CCAGACCGTAGTTGTACAGGTCGTTTTCGCGGACTTCCAAGTGTGCGATGCGGTTCTGTTGCGCTTCGTACACCTTCTGGGCTTCTGCCAGGCTGTGTTCCAGCTGTGCTCGGAGTCTTTGTTCTTCCTTCAGCACATCATTTAGTCCGTGGACCTGGTCGGCCAATTGGGCGTTCGCTTGTTCCAGGTCGGTGATGGCTCTGCTTCGGTCGGGTGAGGCAGGTTGCTGGCCGTAGTGAGCCATTAGCTGTCGTCCTGCCCTGACCAGGAGAGTTTCCATCTCCCTTTCGAGTTGTTCGATTCGATATTTCTGCCGGTCGACCTCGTCGTCGGCCTGCTTGAGTTCGACAATGTATCTGTCGACCTCGTTCCGGTACACTTCGGCCTCTTCATTGGCCTGCTTCAACTGTTGGTGGAACGTCCCTGCTGCCAGTTCCGATTCGACCAAGGCTGTTTGTGTGTCAGCCAGGTCTTTTTCCACGGTGGCAAGGCGTCTCTTCAGTTCGAAGACCGATTCCACTGACGTTGCAAGTGTACTTCGGAGTCGTTCGATCTCTTCGAAGTCGTACCGACATGGGTTGTCGGACCTCTTGAGGTGACTCTCCAAGTGTTCAATGCGGCGCTGTTGCGCGGCTATGCCATTGTTGGCTTCAGCGAGTTCCTTCTCCCATCGCTTCCGTTCGAGCTTATGGGTGTCCTCCGATCGCGACATCTGATTCTCCGTGGAGTTAACGATTTGGTCGGCCAGGACGATTTGTGTTATCAAATCCTGGCATCGTTTCCGGAGTCGATCGACGTCTTCGATCTTTTCTGGAGGTGTGGATGCAATCCACTTCCGTGCCGTGTACTCAAGCGTGCTTGCTTGGTACCTGTGGTTACCCAAGTGGGGTGCCACTGGCGTTCGGAAGAATCCATCCCTACTGCTGGGACGTGACACTTGTGTCGTGTCGAATACGTCGTCCGTGGGTGGTGGAGTTCCACTACCCGAGTCGCCAAGTTCGAACATAAGTGGCGACCTCTTCTTTAGGTCGACAGGTCGACTTGTTGGCGACTTCACCTCCGGTTGAGTTTCTGTTGCTCGGGTCGACCTGCCTTCCGTTGGCGAAGGTCGACTTAGCGGTGAAATAGCCTTTTCGTTAGGCATCGGTATGTTGGTTGGTGATCCAGCCGGGTGGGGTCCGCTTCGTGGCGGGGCCTCAGTTTCTCCCGTTTTGGCCGGTAGTTTAGGCCACTGGATGTCCATATCCGACCTTGTATCGACTGGCTTCTTTTCCAGGGAGGTCGGTTGTACTTGACCGACTTGCTGTTGTCCGACCTTTGAGGTCAGTGGAAGTTGCCCGACCTCAGTTCCGACTTGTGTTGTCGAACGAGGTCCGACCTGGTTGGTCGGTGGACTTCCATCCTTCTTGGTCGGCGAAATCCTCCCGACTTCTGTTGTCGGTTGGACTTTGCCAACTTCCTTGTTTGGTGATTGCTGTGGTCGTCCGACCTCAATTCCGACTTGTGTTGTCAGATGAGGTCCGACCTCCAGTTGAGGATTACCGACCTCCAAGGTCGGTTTCCGTTGACCGTCCTTAGAGGTTGGTGAAGCCCTACCGACTTCTGTGGTCGGTTGGACTTGACCGATTTCCGTTATCGGTTGCTTCTCTCCGACCTTCGAGGTCGGTGAAGTCGCTCTACCCGAGTTGGGCGAGGTCGACCTCTTCACGTCATCCGTCTGGTTGGGTGATTTTCGTTCGGCGTCGGTGACTGTCGTAGTCGTTACCGACTCCTGAGCTTTCTGTGAGCTCAGTTGAAGTCCTTCTGTTGGGTCCGTAGAGGTCGGTTCACCATGTGGGTGTTCCGCCTCGGCATGAGACAATGTGGTCTCAGCCTGCAGCTTCTCCAATTCCCCCCGGTCGGGTGGGACGGGGCTGCTAAGTCAGCTCTGGGCTCAAGGAACGTCTTGTCGTGAGCGTCCTCGAAGCTGTCGTCCGACGTTGGGTTGGAATCGGCGAGGAGGATCCGCTCGTTGCGCTTCTCCCTTGCCTCCGGCCGACTTCGTCGAGTCTGTTGATGACGGCTGACTTTTATCCTGACCGGAGTGCCGTAGTGCATACGGCGCGTTGGAGGTCAGGCGCCGCGAATAGTCCGTGTTGAACTTTCGGGCGTATTCGTTTTCCTTCGGGTTCGACATTGTTGTCGGGTCAGGTCGGTTCAAGTGGAACCAACGAGAGACTTGTACTGTTGTACAGTAAATTGAACAATCCCTTATGTGGGGATGTTCAATGAAATCAGGAACGTCTTTGGGTTCAGGAACTTCCGAGGGTCAGGATGGTCCGACTTGTTGTTGTTGTTGTTGTGTTGATGTGTCTGTGTATGACTCAGTACACAACGTTACGATACAGTACTATGGTACAGTACAGTATGATAAGGTACTACAGTAGAGTACGTCCTATACTACTGTGCTGACCAGTATGACGTCACAGGGCTAAGTGGTCTTGCACTTCACTGCCTACGTCACAGAATGCGAGCCGCGTGCAAAATTTAAAAAATGATGATTCACGCCTATGTTAAGCGTATGGGAAGTTTCCCCTGCACGCTGATTGGCTAGCCTCAAAGTACTGAAAATCGGGCGTTCTGACGTCACAAGGAAATTCAAGAATTTTCACGCTTATTTTCGCGGAAAAACAAGAATATTTTTAGGTCGATCAGAGATGTTTTCTGGTCGAAATTTTAATTTTTAACCGTTAGAAATAATTTCTAGGTTCTTTAGAAATTTTTCTGACGGTGAAAAGTCCGTCAAATCAACAAAGAAAGAGTATGACCGACCTGTGGTCAGTTACACAGAGTGGTCCGTTAGGTCGGTAAAGTAACTTTTTAGGTCGGTTTCTCCGACAAAAATTAAGTTTTTACCGTAGAAAAATTATTTCTAGTTCTTAGAAATAAATTTCAGCCGTTAGGAATTAAAAGTTATAGCTAGAATCGACCTGTGTCGACCTGTAACCGGGACTTTACCGTATGTTACTGTAGAGTCCGTGGAGGTCGGTGATCCGCCGTTGGGAGGTCGATTTCCGTTAGAGTTGCGGGTCGCCGTTCAAGGCGAAGGTCCCCGATTGTTGAGAGGCTCCTTCTGGGCGCTGCAGGCTACTGTCCGAGCCTGATCCGTCAGTTGGGATTGGGGAAGTTCCCGTTCGTCCGTCTGGGGCAGTCAGCCGAAGTGCTCTCCTTGTGTGGAAGAGCCGAAAGATGGGGCAAGCGAAGGTGGCAGGGATCGCTTTTGCGATCAACCTGTTGCTACCACAGTCGCTAGACAGCAAAGACCAGGTTGAAGCAGAGGCTGCGTTCGCAGTCAATCTGACTTTCAACCACGGGTTCTCCGAAGTTCTCCGCGAAATTATGCCTTTACCGTCTCCTCAAAGGATCCGGTAGAACGAAAAACCAGACGATCTGCTTACCATGTGACAGGCAAGCACAGAGAGCTCACAGATGACTTTATTGTACAAATAAAGTGGAGCAAATGCCGCGTGAATGCGGGGAAAAACACAACAAAGGCCAGTGTCTGGCAGAAATCAGCAAGTCAAGTTGCTGCGAGCTAGTTCTAGAGCGTAATGAAATGTAGAGAAAGAAATGTGCTGGCGGCAACGGCGTCACGCTGTCCAGACACATGGAATGTGAGTGCGCAGACTGGACTCGTATCCAACGCGAGCGAATATACGCTGAGTCATACAGCGAGAGAGAGGAGCGAGAGAGCAAGTATGCTCAGTGAGTGCGCCCGCGGTGTATCCGCATAGGCGGAGAGTGCAGTGCAGCCACTCACGTACGTACAAGAGAGGGCGAATCAGCATGTGTGCAGTGATACGCATACGCAAAGTGGCGTATCTATCACGCAGGCTGTCGTGCCTCTAACATAATTCACACGCGGCTGGTATTTCGTGGTGGCACGTTATGTAAACTGCAAATTATGAGTAGAATGGCGTTGCTTTCGTTTTCCTGCTTGAATGGATATTAGGCTTCCCATGTTTTCAGTTTTTCGATGTTCCTGACCATGCAGAATCCTACTTCAAAATAATTGTATAATTTTTAACGAAATGGCTACGCGCGAGAGCCTCCCGCGCTATGAGTTTTGGCTAAGCGCGAGATACTCTCGCGCTATTTTGTTACGAGAAAGGTTAATCGATGCACGTCACACGACTACGAATCAATCACGCACGCCGGAAATACATACTGTAACATTTAATCTGACGACGATAATTTGGAACAACCGGGAAAAACGTAAAAGAGCTGAAGCAGTAATTTTTAACAGGTATATTTTACAAGAATAGTAGTTTTTTAACGTTTTATTGACTGAAAATACTGCAGTGCGGTTCGAGACTTCGAGTAGTAAATATTGTATTACGCATTAGTAAATCCATCTTGATAGCATAAAATAATTATTTTGACAACACTACCCTACTGGTTGGCAGTGGTTGCTAATCCTGCTGTCATGAATCACGTTATTTTCACAGCATTCATAGAAATCTCCATCATTGTTGTGTGGTATCTTCGACAGACTGCCATTCCAGTGGCGGTTAAAAAAACTAAACAATTTTGGGAAACATCCGGTGTCAGTCCAAGTCGGTACAAGCCGTACAACAGATAACAGAGTAGTCAGGGAATTCGGCTGATTCAAAATCACGATCAGTTTACGCATTTTCCGTGATCACCCACAAGGTAAACGTTTATAACGAATCATGCGGTGTTTCGAGAACGTTCCATAAATCAGTACAAAAGTAAGCACATTTTGGGAACTTGTGGTTTGCCGTATTTCCTCACTTTTGGTCTACACAAAAATAAATAATTTAATTTAATAACTAACGTAAGTACTAGTACATTGTTGAAATGCGTATTTCTGCATCCTTTTACATACTTCCGGTAGCTTCCATGACTACTGTCCGATTAGAATCTACGTACGCAGAGTGGTGCATGCAGACTCATCATGCGATAGTCATCACATTCCCTGTAACCGGAATAAAAGCTGAGCCCCGCTGAGTCATCAGCCAGCACTGCTTCATACGCGCCATTCAGTGACAGCCAGCATTCCAATTTGCTGTAGCAGTGCAATGATCAAGCCAGACCACCTCATCATATTTTGGTCCGCTGGTTAACAGTTATACATGCACACACTGTAATATTTTCACACTGTCTGGGCTATCCTCCTCCTCCAAAAACGCGCGTATTTCTAAACCCATTCCAGCGTTGCATTCCCTGATCCATCTGCACATCGTACGTGTCCTGGCTCTTAACCACGTTGCTAAAGACGTATTTTAACGTGTTTCACTGACTATTACTGTCTACTTGTGCTGCCACAGGGTTCGCTGTGATTTTCCGGGAGACACACCACACCGTTGATCATGTCGTGGAAGGACTACGTAGACAACAACCTGCTGGGCACCGGAACATGCACGGGCGCCGTGATCGCCGGGCACGATGGGAGTATTTGGGCGGAGGGCGGCGATGTGGCCGGGAAGGTGACGCAGACGGAGCTGGCCAGGATCTCCAACGGGTTCGCCGATCCGACGCCCTTCCAGGCCGAGGGACTGCGCATTGGCGGGGAACGCTACGTCTTCCTCAACGCCGACGGGGTGGTGATGCGGGCCAAGAAGGGCGCCGCCGGGGCCATCATCGTCAAGACCACGCAGGCCATCATTCTGGCCACGTACAACGAGGCCATCCAGCCGGGACAGTGCAGTAATGTGGTGGAGAAGCTGGGCGATTATCTCAAGAGCGTCGGCTATTGAGACCGGAAAAAGCATTTTTTAAATGGGGATTTCGACGGATCCCTGCGAATTCCATCACACAACACACACACGTGGGTTTGCTTTCATTTTTTCTAGCAAGGTTAATTTTTGTTTTTTTTTTCCATTTTGTGGCACGCTGCTCTGCTTAGCTGTTATATGATTCCTTCGGTTTTTATAAATGGGATGGCGTTTGAATAGTCCGCTTTCCTCTTCCCGCAACAGTCGCCTTACAGTGCGTGTTTTTCCCGACTGCGATTTTCCGCGGCACACATGTGATCCAGTGCTGTCGCGTTTTTTTGTGTTTCCTTGGCGTTTCACAGATATTACATTCGAATTTCCGATTGACTGACGTTTTCTACCAGAACTATCTGCCCCCGCCAATTTATCACTTGATCTTCGTTGCTCTGTTTCTTTCCCCCATTTTTTGGCGAAAATTCTTTTCCAACGGTTTCCAGAATAAAATTGGTGATTTTTCTGTCAGGCGAGGATTACTGTAATTGCGGATATTAGTCATGTAATATCGATGTACCTACGCAGCCAGAGCGCTTATCGGTCCGCATGATCGCCATGGTAGTGTTTAAAATCACCCCTGAGATTTTCTAATAGCGGACGTACTGTACTTCCCCAAACGTAACTTCGTCTACAGTAATAGATTTGCTTGTTTATTACACCCAAACAAAGTTTTTAACAAATTTTTCGTAAATTGGGTTTTGCCTTATTATAATTACTGTCTCTTACTTTATATATTTTATTATATCGTTAAGATGGCGAAAACAACAGGTCAAACAAGGCACTTCTGAATGGAAAATTCGTACAACGTAATACCGGAGTATATATACCCCTTTCTAATTACCCCGGTAATACCGCGGATCAGTGGTCTCAATGTGTGTTAGAACAGTAGAAGTCAACTGTTATGGACGCAGTGGAATATAGTACTGTAACCAGTAACTGCAAAATATTTTCATGCTGTGATTTTGTGCCACGACGAAAGCACCGATTGTGCTGTTAGGGTTTTGTTCGTAACTGTTCGAGCGACAAAAAATGTAAGAACGGACGACGTTGAAAATACAGTACTGTACTTTCATGGCGCTGTGTGCTGGATGTAACTGTACAGAATGGGTTGGTCAAAATATTTCGTACGACGATATACTGTAGGACAAAATATGTGGAAAAACTTCAACAGCTTACATCGGTCTCACGTGGGATATTTTCGCTTTAATCACTAGCGCTTCGGTAAAAACAGCACACCGCATATTGCAAAATAAGACAAAAACCGATAATCATAACATTTGAAGGATCCGCAGTTAAAAATACTATTACGTTTAGTCAGTCAACATACAAATAGTTTAACTATAAGAAAGAGAAAGAGAGAGAAAAGAAAAAATTGCAAAACATATATATAAAAATTTTAAACAACCCTTGCCGAGCATCAATTGCGGCGCTTCCGTTTGGCCGCGCCCACGCTCTTCCCGCCCAACGGCGACTGGCTGACCAGGGGAATCTCCGTGGTGGCGGTGGCGCCGCCGTCCTCCTGATAAGCAGGGATTTGTATGGTCACGCCCTCAATGTCTCCCGAGGGAAAGGCGTAGTCACCCAAAAGATCTTCTGGGTGCGTCTCCAGCAGTTCACCATCATGGACCCCTGTAACAAGAAATTCAAGAAACGTCAAGCACCGGCCATGCTGCAATGTAAGCTCCAAAAAAAGTCTCAAGCACATTGTAACAGAAATAGCATTGAAGAATTAGTTAGAGAAGATAAGTGTCTTTTTTTCTTGTTTATTATCACATGAGTAATGTCTGTTCAATCGAGTAATGTCTACTCAAACAAGACGTGGTAATTGCAACAAAAAACTTCGTGAAATGTGATGATGCACAACCCTCCGATCGTAATAACAGTGAAAACACTGTACCTTGAAGGCCTTCGTTATGTCCCGGTATAGTAACCGTGTTTGATTCTGGTTCCGGTTCGGAAAAGAGCTGCAGTAGCTGGTCAAGATCCATCAGCTGTGTGAAACCGGGACTGGCCAGGGTATCACGGATAGAATCCAGGCCGGACTGCACCGTATCAATCTGCTGGGCCATTTCCGAACTGTGAAATTAATGCTGTTATTTTCAGTCATTCATACGAGGCATATTCGACTCAAAATTTACGATAAGATAAACAGGTAACGAACAGCAGTGTGATACGTATTACTCATTCAGTCATTCCAATGTTTAGTTAAAACTCTCGGTATAATTTACACATAGCGATAGCACAACCATCATCACGCTATTATTAACCCTACAAGCATGCTCAATACTACGAATTCGTAATTGCTACAGCGTCGTTAGCGCAAAACGACTGCACAATTCTAGAAAAACATTCTTATAAACTATTATTCAATTTAGACATGGTATGCAAATTTAGTACTGATTACAGAGTATTAGAAGTAAAATTATATGGTTAGACGAGCGCATCACCGGGCCGACCTTTGAATAGGTGCCGTGGCACTAGTGGATGCTCCATATCCCGGCAGCAGCTGTCCGCCGCTCCCAACATTTGTCATGGTAATGGAAGGAGCAGGTGAGGGCGCCGACATGGGACTATCCGGATACTGGATGGTATATTCCGGGCGCTGCGTCGGCACCCCCACGCTAACCAGCCCCGGCGCCGTCGCGACGGGCGCTGGGGGTTGTTGTTGCTGCTGCTGCTGTTGCACCAACTGCAAGAGCGACCCCAAAGGAAGCGACAGTACCGTTGTATTAGGGGGCAACACCAGTGGTCCCGCTTGATTGCGCGGCTGCACCGCCATCTGCTGATTACTGGGCACGACGAGGGGCGCTGTGGGTAGTGTGGCCAAGATCACCGGCTGCCCGGCGGCAGTGTTGGTGTTAACGACCGGCTGGACGGCACCTGCAAGAGCAGAGCTGTCGTGGACGGGACCAGGGAGTGACTTGAGCAGGTTAGAGAGAAGCATGTGCAAGACTGCCGCGTTATTGTCGTGGGGTGCGTGATGAGGGGCGGAGACAGGGAGTATCGAGCTGATTAGCGGTGGGGAAAGACTCTTCTCACTCAAAGTAGGGGTAGCAGTCAGGCCACCACCCACGGGGGCGGCGACACTGCCCAGGAGATTCACGGCCGGGCTGGAGGTGACCTGACGCGACGGCTGCAGAACAGGATGGGCTGCAATACCTGCCAAGAGAGGCTGCTGCTCTCCTGGCTGCAGAGCGCTAGTTGATGCGTTGGCGGCGTTACGCAGACCGTTGAGGATCTGCCCGTTTCCCACATCTACAGACAAACACAGGTAACCACTCATTAAAGGACACATGATCTACGGACACACAATTTATCGAATATCGTAGCAATATCGCTCACCATATTCACTCTCAATTAATTATATAAATGTAAAATGTTAGTTTTTTAATTAATCCAATTCCACATTCTGCACCTTCACCAATCAGCGGAAGAATGTTATTCTTTGAAAAGCATTACGACTTCATGCGCAAAACTGGAACTTCAATGTCACCAAATTCATTGAGAACATATTAATTTTAAATTCCCAAAGTAACTGTCCACTGCAAAATTAGCTTTCGCAGCCACACACATCAAGTTAATCCCACGCTAATCGCAACAACTGCAGTGCCAACGATAATGTATTTTCCGATTAAAGGGGACATCACTTACTGGTTAGCAGACGATCCCAGTCAACCTGCACCGGCGTCTGCTGATTGTAGGCTGCAGTCCATGCGTCGGTTACATCGCGAATGATGGGCCCTTCGTAGTCCTCACTGCCGGTCGGGTGATCACCGTTCTCCACCTGCAACCACGACGCTGCAGCGGACCAAATACACTGTAATTAAGACACTAAACTAAAGCCTACCGGGATGGTGGCATTACTGTCGCTGGCGAGGCGACGCCGTTTCGTCGGCGGATTCTGAGTCTCCGCCGTCAGACTCTGGATGGCTAACTGGGGCGCCGGGGCCCGCAGAGTGCTGGCCAGATTGCCTGTGTTTTGCAGAAGCGTCACGAAGAACTGGATCAGCTGCAGAGCAATTACAACAAGCATGTTATTAAAAGAACTGTCACAACAAATGTTTGACAAATAAATTTCATGAAGGGAAATCCTGGGAAACGCAAAGGATCCACAATAATGACACTGGGAGACAGCCAGTGTTTAGGATGTTGACCGACCTTGTTAACGACATTCTGCTGGTGTTGGTGTTTGGCTCGCAGATCCTGCATCTCCGTCCATAAGCGCTCGTTGTCCCGCTTGAGACTGTCCAGTTTGGCGTCCGTGGACTCTTGCTTACTGCGCAGTGTCCGCACATCGTTCAACACCCGACTGACCTGCTCCTCTTGCACACCGGCCACCGCACTTCCCGCCCGGATGGCCTGCAGAGAGTTGGCCGGCAAGCCGTTCTCCAGCGCCATGGAACTTGCCACACCGGCCAGGCGCCCGGCATTCTGACCGCTAGAATGCTGCAACATAGGCAAATTCAATACTGCTCCTGCCCACCGCTTCATCCACCGATAATACTCCGCTCGAAGGAAGTTAGCATGAGACCGTCAGAACTATCTCCATTATCTCTATTAACAATTAACTAACACGACGATAATTATTCAGAGAAAAGTCGTTGCAGTATTTATACACTATTTATTATGCAAAATAAGTTTGTAAAGCTGCCAACCGGTTAATTATGGGTTTAGATAATTAATTATTTAATTTATGGCTCAGATTCGACATCTGAAAAAGTTTTCGAGCAGTGTCATCTGCCTGAAAAAACTCGAAGAATCTGAGCACGTATTACAACAAGCCATCGCATTTAATCTGTCTAATTTCAAGGATAAGGTTGTATAATTTATTTAATGAAATTCATATTCATGCTGAATTATCTGCAGTAAACAATACTGGATATCGTAAATCCAGCACTGCATTTTCTGCTATTATTTTAGCGAACATACACTTTACACGAATGCGAATATTTCTCTGCCGAATCGCAGCGACTAGCACCTACAGAGTAGTTGCTGAAGTCATCTAATAAGTTGGTACATAAATACAAATCAAAGCGTGGTAATGTACCGTTCGCTTAATACTGGCGAGTAAATGTTCGCTATCGCGTCGGAAGCAGGGATGCTTGTACTCCTCATCATCCCGACCACTCTGCAGACCGCTGGACTCCACGCTGATCTCCTTGCGAAATCCATCTACACAGAGTTAAATTAATGACGATAAATAGTTGAAAAAGCCACATCATCTGCAGCAGACCGAAACATGTCCCACTTACACATATTCAGTACGCGCACAAAGGAGTTCCATTTGTTGTGTTTGTAGTACTGCGGGAGGAGTTTACGGGCGAAACTGTCTCGATCGGGAACGATGAAGGAATTACCATCCTATTAAGTAATTAACATTCAACATATACCAAAAGTGATGCAACAACGAAGATTCAGCTGAGCTGCGGAGAACCTACGGCGCTCCAGCTGATCAGATTATCCGTCGCTGGATCGTTCACCATCCGCCATAATTTGGCCAAAAACAGGGGAATCCCGTTCTGGGTGCGGGCCATGCCAGGAGTCAATGGATAGACGGCGTCCGCGCGAATGGACTCAGGTTCGCATCCAGAGAACAGGCAGAAAAGAAGGACCTGACATTCTTCCAGATCCGATGCACGAGCTCTGCGGATGTGCTATCGAAATTACTTACACCTGCCCCTATAGGAAAAGCAACGTGAAACGGATTGGGAAAATGGAAGAAACGTCATCCAGGGCAAAATTAGGTATGTAGATTATATGCACGCATGCTCTTTCAGGCTGCTTTGCTAAAACATGATTTGCAATAAACCTATTTTTATCGATTTTTCCATCTCTGATCAGCCTTGTTTGTGATGCGCACCTTTTCCGTAAGTACGAGTGCGGCTGTGAGCGTCAGAGCGATTCTTTCCATGTTATGTAAGGCAGAAACTGTCCGTTTGCCGCCCAGTGGCGGTGGCGCGGGTGACCACTGTTTTCATTTTGAATTTTCGTTGCTATTTTACATTGTTAAGTGCTGAATTTTATCTTAGATGAATTATAAATCATAATTAATTGTTTTCTTAGTTATTGGCTTAAGTACTGAAGTGAAATAATTAAATTCGATAATTTCTTCCCCGTGTTTAAGATAGCGAAGTCGGTTACAACAACAACAATGCGGTCCATTTTTCGCTGATTTATTTTGTTAAACAAAACGGCAAACTCAACAGATATCAATGTGATCATGCGACCCATAGTAACATGAACCAAAACCTCGAGATCGGCGTAACAATATTGAAATAACCTGCAGAAAAACAAAAATAGTCAAATTTTGTAACCGCATGCACACGCATTGTCTCGCCAAAGCCAAAACACATGGGAGCTGCATCCGGCACAGTTGCCGGCATAATAATAATATAAAAAATCAAACATGTGCACATAGAGGAACTTGCGGAACGTATACATTAAATGAGCCATGGTCAGTTGATACAGAATAATTTACAAAATACCGAAAAAACCAACAGTCCAGCCAGAAAAATACACCGCGGACACATTTCTGCAATGCGTGTGTAACTGTGCATGTACGTGTACGTACAATGGAGGGCAGCCAGAAAAAAACGACGGGGACAAATTAGAAAAGAGAAGAAAAAACGGACGATTATTTTGAGCCCAAACGCTGAACGTGACGACAAACCAGGTCCGGGACGGAACTCCGGGACAGCGCACTGACGACTTTGTGTGTGTTATGTTGGACAAAAGGAGGAGAGAACGGGGGACGTTGTATGAGCAGGATAATATGTACAAATAGAAAAAGATTACAAAAAGCTTGGAAAAGGCTAACGCAAACAGGAACCCGCAAAGAAAACAAGCCACGCGCTGCTTCAATAGTGGGGAGCTTTGGCAATGTGTAGGAAAAACGACACCCGATCCATGGCCTGATGTCCGCATAATCCGCACGTGTAGGGACTGTCCCGTCCGTGGAAGCCCATGTGCATGGTGTACATGGTCCCGTCCTCGAATGCCATGCCGCAATGCTCGCAGGCCAATTCCCGACGGGGTTTCTTTACTTTAATGACGCTCTCCGTGCCGCGAAGGTCCTCGGGACTCTCCGGCTGGATGATGGGGCATTTCTCCTCCTCCAGGAAGCCCGACGGCTCATCCTCCTCGGTCAAGGCGTCCTGCAGACGCTGACGAACAGCCAAATCGATCTTAAACGCCGGGCCTTTGCGCCGGCGTCGGCTGCTGCTGGACAGGTCACCGGTGGAATCGGGTGCTGAGGAGCCGTTGGATTTGGGGGAATCGGAGTGGCGGGACTGGGATTCGGAGCTCGTTGTGGTGGCACTGCTACTATGGCCGTTCTCTTTGCCGCAGCTGCCACTGAGATCCAGCGGCAGGCCGTTGGGGGCCGGCGGCTCCTGAATGCTGGAGCGGATGACACGCGATTGTGGCAGCATTCGCAGGACACCCTTCTGCTTGCGCTTACCCAGATTCTCCAGGTTGTTGCCTGTAAAGACGCAAACGATATATAAGCATGCCAGCATGGAAACTTCGATTTCTATCAACGCTGTCTATGCACGACGTTTTCACAATCTGCGCTAAATACACGAAATACGCAATAGCTGACGGGCTGCTTCGGTTTCTGCTGAAAACAAGCCCATCCACAGAAAGAGAAGAGACAGAAAGAGAGAAATTTTTCTTCTAGCCTTGTGCATTATAATATAGGGCACCTTTTCTTTTGTGAAATGAGTTAAAGCAGTCTCAGTGACTAAGAGTAAGTACTTAGGGGTATGCACTTCACTGGTAGTCAACAGAAAGGCACATTTTTATCGCTACTTCGCTCCATTATCAAGCAGATTCAGGCTTACGCTTGTTGCCTTGTTCGGATTATCTGTGACTCGTTACAGCATAATTAGGTAAGTACGAAAACTAGGTAGGTACGAAAAAGTAACTGCACTTGCCATGATTCAACTGACGCCGGAAAAGACGAAATCCTACAAAATTATAGTCAGCAACAATTACACAGTTATATCAAACCACCATAAACGGAGTGCACCGTGCAAAATTTCGTGTTTTTTGTAAGATTTGGAGTGAAACGAAAAAAAGAAACCAGCATGCAAACCGGCAACTAAAGACAAGTAGGGTAGCTAAAAGGTCATCACATACCAGTCTGGTGATCATCGGCCAAAGGCGGCGTGGGTGAATCCCGTTTAATAATAGCGTTCTCCGGAGTGAGCGCCAGTGGCGGGCGTGCCATATTCATCCGCATGGCCGGATTTATCAGACCATTGGCGGCAGCTGCACTCAGCAGTAAATTATTATAAATAGACGCTGCCTGGAACTGGCTGAATCCCGGTGGGTATAGGCTGTAGGGGAAGGCCTGCGGCACACTGACCGCCGCTTCCGGCATGGCCATCGGGAAGCCGCCAAAGCCCCCGCCGCCGGGGGCACTGCTGACCACTGGCGGAGGATGGGGCGCCACTGACGGCTCCTGAGGGACGGGCTTCTTGGGGCGGCTGCGACGTTTCGGGTGGTGTTCGTCGCGAGGGGATTTCACCGGCGATGCGGTGATGATGGACTGCGGGGACGCGGCCATACTGAGCTGCGCTGACTCGGGGCCGTTGTTGGTGGCTTTGTGGTTGTACTTCTTCAAATGCAGCTTCAGACTGTGACAGTATTTTGTGGCGTAGCCGCATTCACAGCGGTACTGGTAGAAGTTGGAGTGGGATTTCATGTGGGAATTGAGCATGGACTTGTTGACGCAGGTGTAGTTGCAGTTGGCGTTGGGGCATTTGAACGGCTTGCTGCCGGAATGGTTGCGCACGTGGTACTCGAGATGGTGCTTGTACTCGGTGACGAAACGGCAGCCGTCCATCGGGCAGGCCAACTGCTTCTCCGCTTTAATGTGCAGACGGAGATGGTCGTAGTGCTCGTTTTTGTTGGCCGCTACAAAATCTAGGCACTGTTTACAGCGGTAGTTCTTGACCTTTCCACTGGACCCCTGAGTGACCGCCATGCCTACAAAATTTTCCACAGAGATTTGGAATAAATTCTCACACACCAAATGAATTCTCTACCAATATTTTATTTCGGAGAATTAATTCCATAATATGATAATTGTCTCACATCGCTAAATTTTCTGCTGCTTATTTAGTTATCTGAGAGATTACGATTCCATAGTATCACATTTTTAACTATTACTTACTCATATTAATTAGTACTTACTTAACAGTTACGCAAAAGCAAGAAATAACAAAGCAGTAAAAAACAGCAAACGAAGTAACGGAATAGGCTACACCCGAAAGGCCAGTAAGTCGAACAAAATTACAGAAAACTGTTCGGAGCAAGGATAACGAAATAATCGAAGTATACATAATCCTCTGTACATGTTAATAACACAATGTGTACCTGTCGTGCTATCGACATCCGACGCCCGGCGACTCTTGGACTCCCCACCAGAGTGGGTCCCATCATCCTCGCCTCCGACACTGGAATCCCGCGACTGCTGATGATGGCCCTTGACATGCCGGCGCAGTCGGCCTTCCGTGCGCGTCGAGTAATTGCACTCCGGTATGGGACAGCGGTGCACCTGGTGCGTGTTCATATGGGAATTGTAGTGAAATCGGGAGGTCGAATGGAAGTCACAGATCTGACAGTGGAACTCCTGGCCGACCTGGGGCGGCGGTGTACTGCCGCCCTCCGGCAGCTCCGATGAACTGGGCGAATTGCTGGTATGCTCGGCTTCGGCGTCCGAGCCCCCCTCGTGGTCGCCGGGATGACCGCCCTGGAGACGGTACTGCAGCAGACTGGTCTGGCGCTGCAGCAGCTGCTGCCGCAGCAAATTCGTATACTGAATGGTCGTTGCGGGTTCGTAGCCGCTGCGCTCACTGCACACCGAGCCGCCGCTGGCCTCCGATTTGGGCGATAACGGCGGGATGGAGTCCAGGTCGTGGCCGTTGTCCAGAACCCCATGGTTGCCGGGCACTTCGGCCAGATCGTGATGGGCTTCTGCAGTCGCACACAACACCGGTAATGCGCGCTGACGAAAGCAGCACGAGTACGTGAAGATAATTTGGTTAGGTGTATTCACCAACAGATGCATGATTTAAAAACTTAAACATATGTTGTATCAATAAACAAGAAGAAAGATATGAGAACTCCCGAAACGGAGGTTAGGAACTGGAGGAAATGATTCGAGTAGACGAAGAACTAGACTGTCGAAGTGTCAATGGCATTCTTCGAATTCAATGAATGCCATTGACGGCGATTGTTTGTCTGGCGCAATCGACTCTGCCCAGACGGGTTGAACTGATCTGTCTCTGTGCATGACCTGAACACTTCTGGCAAAAAAACATCCAATTGCATTACGTCATAACGGGCTACTGGGAATTATGCAATTAGCGGCCGGTTTCTCGGTTCGATTGGCTGATTTCAGCGCTTTGCTTCTCAATTTGAATTAATCGACCTTTCCTCCTACCTTCTGGAGTTTTACCAATTCTTAGGAATTCAAAACTAACCATAAGAAAATGAGAGTCATGTTCTCATAAAATGCTTCTTACCTGAACCAGCAGAGCTGGGCGATATCTCTGGCATATCCTTGGACGTGGAAAAACGGCGGGAATCGACAATAACGCTCTCTTCAAACCCGTTGGACAGCCGGCGACCAGGCAACGGTTCACCGTTCTCCACGCCGCCCATCACATGACCGTAGCCATTGAGAGGCGTGGCCAACGCCGGCGGCATTTTTACGTCCACCGGGCTGTAGCTGCGGGCGGGCGCCGCCTGAATCACCGACGTATTGGCCAAAGCCGGTCCGCTACGGATCAGCTTAGCGAGAGAGGTCCGGTCCGGGTCTTTGTCCAGTGCGACGCCGTACGGGTCATGATTGGCCCGCTGCACCAACATACTGCGGATCTGCTCAAGATAGTTAGTCGTCGTGTCGCGCGCGGGTTCCGTGTACGCCATAACGGATGAATTTCTTTAATGCTATCAATCCGGTGGGTTATGTGACCGTGGGCTGTATTATTGGTGCAATCAATTTCCAGCGGGAATTATATGATAGCCAAAAGGAATTATCGACACAGCGCGCAGTGCGTCTGTGTTTTCCGGTGAGATGTTTTTCGCGACGGCCGTATGCTGCGCGGTCAGCACATAAAATAACCGGGACTGTGCAGCGGAAATTGGGATGTTGGCAGGAGGATGGTGATTGGCATGGTCCCTTCCGGTGAGACGCGAAATAAGCGTATGGGAGCACAATTTCTAGATCTGCGGATAAAAATGGGCTAGCAGGCAGGAAATCGTCAGGGTGGCTTTCTCCTGATTAACACCGTGTGTGTATGTGTGTTTTGTAATTTCACAAATAAACAGGCCTTTTACGAGCCCACCAGCACGATCATCTGCAAATTATCCGCTCACGCGCACTGGCAGTGGGTGATAAGCGAGTGAGTAATCTCTGCAAAAATACGGGAAAAATCTTATCAGTGCGAAGAAAAGGTGATCAGACTGAAAAATATGTTACGGTTGTGTTATAATATTCAGCGCGATTACGGCTGCATGAGCGTTAATAACAAACAGGTTGGCGTTATTTGGCGCGCTATCGCAGCTTTTTCCTCCTATTTACACAAGCCTAGCAAATTTTCAGGTGGATGTGATGATAAAATTTTGTTTAAGCACACTCGTACCAGCGGTAATCATCGCATGTACCGCTGGCCCAAGTATTGCTCTCTCGACCTTAAAAACACATGACAAATATTCGACATTTTTCTCAGTGTTTCCCATTCCCCTCTTTTCTGGCTGTGTACATTCGTTGTCGGCAGCTACAGTATCCTCGTCAGCACAACGCTTGTTTGATATCAGCGCGGAAATGTAATGTTTATTGGGTGGGTGTTGTTGCATTTGGGGAGACCTGTAATTTACTCGACTGGGATGAATTACGGGACAGAAAAACGGGAATAAAGTGGAATGTTAGCTTGCGACAGCAGATGTTGCAGCGTTCATGTCCTTACTCGTATAGTACATATTTGTGAGACTACACGGCTAATTACCCAATCTTTGTAACACCGTTTTTAATTTTATGGAGTAACTGTTGCATGTTTTGGCTTATTTGTGGAAATGTGCTGATTGATTCCACTCGTATTAATTATTAAAATTAATGAAAATAAACCATTCAATTAAGATCGAAATCGGCTTTGCCGATGTAGGATATAATATCAAGTTTATTAAGTACTCGTACTACAGCACCGGGAGCTATAATTATTGCCTCGCCATGTCAGGATACATAAATTTGCAAAATTACTTTATCATCCTTTACAGCACATTCCGCACTTTTTTGATGGTTTCCATGAAAAACAGTGAGCAATTAAGCGTCGCTATATTGAAATGGTGGCAGGTGCCGCGTGTGATTTTTCATGCTTAATATCTATATGTTAAGTAAGTAAGTACATATATGTAAAGGTAAAGGGCATACGGATTCTGGTTCTAACAACCAGCAAGTACGGAAAATTGCGCAGTGAATGCTGGAAACTGAAAAAGCCTCGTGAGCTGTTGCTGATCTTTCTGCGTAGCAAGCGTGTATTCTTGGTTTTCTGTATTGTTGTACCGGGAAAAGGGAGCGCATTTCCGTATTATTTATTGTTTTTCGTCATTCTCTTGTGTGTGTAAGCAGAGTAAAGGTTACATGTGTGACTGCAACACAGGGGCGACAATTGCGCCACAGATCCGGTCAGCGTGTCAACAAGCCCCATTCGGTGTGTTATAGCCGGTGTTGTTTGCCTAATCAAAAATGATCAGGGATTAATCGACAAGCGGCTAAAAATGATCGTTCCTTTTTCCTGGCGCTCACCACACACGGCACGTCAATGCCGGCTTGATCGGCATACATATTACAACAAAATGATTAATCCCCATTATCAATATAATATTCGGCCGTGCTTTTGTCAGGGGGTATAATTTTTCTCTGATTGTTGAATAGGGTAAATGATATAACCTTCTTATTTTCCATTTTAGCCATAAAGGGCACCGTGAACGACGCTGTGTGAAACTGTCATTTCCGGTGGTGCATATATATTAGTCTGCATGTGTAAACGCATACGCACACCAGACAGCTACAATTTTTTCAGGGTTTACGCGACTCGTTTTTGCGTTCAAAGTGAAAGTTCATTTAATTAAGTAATATGTCAGACAACAATTAAGCGGATCCTGACTACCGAGACTGTTTTTTCTTCTAATCGGATGGTGTAGTAAACGACGCACGTTGCCGATAGACATCGCGCGGTGTAGTGGAATTGATGTCACGCCGGCTGACCGTTCCCTTCCTGTGTCCGCATTGAGTATTGCGAAACCCGGGACTGATTGCGATATCAGCTGGTTTGTCATCAATTTCAAAACTGAAAAACGCTATTCGGAATACTAACTAAACAGCCAGTCAAAACATTCTCGAACCCATTCGCATTTTTTTGAACGTTTCCACCACAAGATCCTGATAGGATTTTTCCTTCATTTTGTAGAACTGTAGTTGCATACCTTTGCGAATTTGTTCTTCGCGATAAATGTAACAAGTCAGTGTACGGCACACAATAATACGTAAACTTAACCTCTGCACGCCTGTTCGCAAAATAACCACTAATAACAATCGGAAGAAAAAGAAGAAGTTTACGCAAATAAATAAAGGCATAACGTTTCTCGCAAATTGGCGAATAATTTACCCATCAAGCTATCAGGCATTATACGTTCTTGTTTTTAATATACTTATAAGTCTTATAATAAGGGAATATTATTGTGTCAGTCCTGTATTCGCTGCCGTGCTGTACATCAGTTAGTTGCCATTCTTCCACAAACGGATTATAATACTGCATGCGCATAGTCTGTATTTTTGCACCACCGTCCACCATGATTTCGCATATTTTATACGCGGTTTAACGCTGGTGACCTTTGGATCGATATATGCCGTAAGCCAAATATAACAATGACATGAATGCATTTTTAATCTTGCGCAATAGTTGGCTAGTGCGCACCAATAATTATGCGAAAATTCGCAAAATGCCCTTTTATGTGTTTTGTTTGCAACAAATACTTTGAGGATTTTGAGAAGGCATATCAGAACTTAATCGATAACACCCGACTCAAACTGAGACAAATGCAAAATTAAAAAAGTATGATCTCCCATTCTCCCATATTTAACCTATTTTAAACTTACAAAAATTTACCAATGCATTAATGTAATAAATTACGCTATTACTAATTACATATTACTCGCTTATTATTACTAAACCTGATTAAATAAAACACAGGTAAAAATTAATCCGTACCGCGCTGGTTTGGTTGCTTCCGGTTTACAAAGCGCATCAACGCAAATACAATGCGATATGTCGATGGTGTCGCTGATTTAATTACCAGTTCCTTTACATATTATTCCTCGTGGAATATATCCATTTTTGAAAAAAAAATCGAACAAAAAGAGCAACCAAAAACAATCTAATGTCGGGAATCAAAAACAAGAAAATCTATGTGAAAACTAGCTTATTAATGGACGAAAGGTTGTTCTCGATAAACAAGGAATGTAATCATGTTTGGAAATCAAAAATTGGTGAGTGTTTTTTCACATGGCACGTACACAATTGACCGGCATATTCAGTACGTACTGGAGTTTACCGTCACTGTACGTTTATTCACATTTTTGGCGGTCGCTCAATCAGTAGCCGGGTCTTTTTTTGCCGCTGAACGTGTGGTAGTCGTTTAATGGTAGCCGTTAGATTGGCGCTGCCGATTTGCCCCGGCACTTTTATCGTGAGTGTGCAAAAAAACATCTGATGATCACACTCCAGCGGCATGCCGAATACCTATATATTATACTGTATGCATTCATTGTACGTAATGTATATAATATGGCCGCCAACTGTACATCTCATTCTCCTTTTGACAATTTACACGTTTTCTGTCTGTCTGCCGTCGATCGGTTAGAAAAAACCAAACGGCATTGTCATGCTCGATATCCCCGGGCTTTTATTTTGACCAATTATTGTATATTATTTACCTGTCTAATGCTCTGCGAATACGTCGTAAGCGGTACAAAAAATGCTTGCCTCATTTGTGCTAACGTCATTTCAATAATAATATGTTGGTCCACGTTATATAATTGATCTCCTAAATTCCGTTTGATTTACTTTTCAGAAGAAACTGCTGCTGTAATTGATGCATCATCGAAAAACAATAAAATTAAAATAATGATAATGTTTTTGATTGCATTGTGCATCGCCTGTACATATACATCACACTGCGCGATACTCCCAAATCAAAGCCAACAGAAAATGTCGACGTGCGTCAGCCGGCAAATAAACATATGCCATTATCGCAATGCATAATACACGTTATTATTGTCTTATGATGGTGGTCACAAGTACGGTAGGGTGTATACAGTTCCCTATTGTGCCTCGTTAAAAAATAATCAAGCTGCTTATCTGCTCAGTTGGAGCCACAAAAATAAGAGCATGTGAAATTTGTTCTTGTTTTAATTTTTTGGTACGTTTCCAGAACGGTGATGACCATTCGAGATTAATCCTTCCCATCGGCCAGCTGATCTCTTTCTACCGGTGTTATGCAGTACGTTGACTGGGTACAACGGCATAAAAACAAAACCGGGAAAAACCAAACGTCGAGTATGCAAGTGTCTTACACATACCACCCATTAAAGTATATACATAGATATGATCCCGAAATTAAGGTTTCTGTTGACGCTAAAGAAAATATTATCGCTATAATATCGGTAGTAAGATATTTTCTAAGCAATTTAAGTATCGCAAACTATCATTTTAATTCTCAAAGCGCAGTAATTTCGTGAACGTAAAACAGACAGAAAATATGAAGCTGGAAGCGCCGTCCACACATTAATTAAAAATTACTTGTAGTTGTGATAAAAGTAAATGTAGGGTGTACACTATACAGAGAATATTTATATGTTTACAGTCGCACATGCTAGCTTAGTCGCTGCCACCGCCAGTACAGATATTCCTGTGCCGTGAGCCATACAAGCTTATAAATATATCGGACTTGACCTCGAACCATTAGCCAGTGGTCAATGCGATTTTAAAACGCATCTCACATTAAAGCAGAATTTAGTATTGCTCGGACTAACTGACTGGCTGGTCAGCTGCACATTTCATTCTGACAAAGTCCGATTTACATTTTCTCCATAAAACTGACCCTTCTGGCCACACTATAACTGAGGCAGTTTCCTTTTTGCGGCTTGTAATCGCTGCCAATCAACAAACCGGTTTTACATATACAAGTGATGAATTCAAATTAAAAACCTTTTATTACTAACCATACTGCACACACGTGAGGATTAAAATATGCGGCCTGTCTGTTTACAGGGGCTGACCACTGGCCGGCACAAGAAGGCCAGCCGGTTTCCCTACCGGTAATTTTTTTCACCATGGTGCATACTACACATAAAGTGACGAGGTGCTCTCTCAAAGTGCCTAAACACGATCTAGCACTTTGGAGTCAGCTACTAGACTGCCAGGTTTCTTTACACTGATTTCGATCGATAAATCTTGCTTTTTTAGCACACCTTATATTTCGTGGACAGCACCACTCAATGTCAGCACCCGATCAATGGACGGATAATTCGGTGTGTTGGGATTTCTATACTTTACACAACGCAAAAACACCGCTTGTGTATCTGACAATCTTTATGCCCGCACCGTACGAGTGTGTGCGGTGTGTTCGAAAAAACTATCGCGAACTTGTTACAGGTGCGTAGTCTCGCACGCATAATTTGGTAGTAATATTTATCATATGTTTTGGTAGAAATTCAGTCCTGGTTTTTAAAAATTTGCAGAGATTACGAAGCTTTACAAAACGTACTTCTCATACTCTATTACAACATTGCTTTTAAAAACTGTTTGATAATTTCTAAAAGCCACAAATTTAAATTTACAGTTATTGGTAACTGAAATTTAGTTAGGTGTATTTCATAATTTACTTACAGTACTTACTTAAATAACACTGCTTTTGCAGTACTTCTGCGTTATTTAAATTTCCGAGACATACGGTGTGACCCGTTTCTATTGGAGTGTAAATGTCTTGCGTCAACCGCGCGCACCGGCGACAACAAAATAGAAATGTCAGCGCTAAAACACAAAGCTGGAAAATGTTAGTAAATGTCAGCGCGAAAACACAACATGAAACAGTCTATATTATTTTCCCCAGCGAGATTAGTTGAAATTGCAGGTGTGCGTTTATATGTGGAGTACTGCGAATACGTAAAGACCACGTTCTCCCATCGGGCCGCACGCGTCCCTTTGGCATCCGCTGTTTGACGAATGAGGAATAAAATAACTTCATTTCCTATATTATTTTTCCTTCCAATCTGCTTGATTGGCACAATATGTAGGAGACCGTCCCGGCTATAATTTCACGGCCTTCCAGTATGAAGAAAAGTATTGTTGCAAAATTGATCATAAGAAAGTTAATTCGCTAAATTGTTATGATAATGCTATGATATTTTGCTGAAATGGTGTTTATTGAAAACTAAGGTAAGCTGGTTATAAAAATCAGGTTCAGATTTATACAGTATTTCAGTGCTGTCAACCTTATAATTATTAATATGAATAATTTGTGGAATCTGTAAGGCTTTTGTATCGGTTTTCGAATATTTTAAATTTAACGAGTATGTGTTGGACACTGCGTCATAAATAATGTTGAAAGTAGAATTGCGCAAGATAAACCTAATTTGAAAGTAGAATGGCGACACATATGGCGGGGATATGCGCATCTCTAACAGGTCGCATGAATATCAGTTCCGTATCGGCAGTGACCCTCGCTCCTCCTCCCGCACCTATCAAGGACCGCCCCACCGCACACTGCTGTGGGACGACGTAATCACGTGGTGGTGATGGATAAAAAGATGTACGCACCACTTCTTAATCTATCATACTTCAATTGATTGGTCTCACCCATAAAACATAACTTTGCCATATTATTTTTCCCACCGAATATCTCGGATGAAAACATAATGATCGTAGACATTTAAACAACTTACTAATTAGTGTTGTTTAAAATTAAGGACGGAAAATAAGATACCACGCGTACGACTTACCGAATCCGGTATCTGTGCGATTTTCTGCCCGGGACACGAACACGTAATTTACAAGCGGAGAAAAGTAGCGATGAAGGAGAAAATGCAAGAGAGCGGAAAACACACACGCGCGTCAGGGTTACATTATTGTGATGGTCCGTTGGAGTGTGGGAGAGAATGAAAAGAGGGAGAAAAATGCTGTTGAAGACAATATAACCGTACATGCGAAGAAAAACGCTTAGTGGAAAAAGCTGAGCCACACGCACACAGAGGAAAAATACATCTGGATGAAAATGAACGTGTATGTGCCGTTGGCGCGCGCGCGTCTACCGGCTGCTAGGAAAAACAGGAATTTACGGATAAGCCGGTAGTACATACAGGGAGAGGGGGAGAGAGAGTCAGCCGGGAAAACAACAGTGTATGCACGCAGAAAACACTGCTTATCGATCCGGTCGCCGGTGTGCCGCGCACGGTATATATAGGGGGAAAAAGTAAACGCGTTCCACCGTTCCCCTGTATTGCTGCCGTCATCCGCCTGGAGTGTGACGTTACGGCAATACATATGGCTAAATCTGGCGCGGTACATAAGCGCCATGTTCAGCCACAACGTCAAACTCCAGCCGGGTGACGGCACCAATACAGGGGAACGGTGGAACACGTTTACTTTTTCCCCCTATATACAGTGTACTGTGTCGATATAATATTGTACAATGCAAATGTCGACTGATTAAGTGGATTGTACATGGATGCCGATTGGATTCCCTCCCGTGCGCCTTTCCCTGATCAACGAGTTTCTATACAGGCGTAGGCATACACAGCTCAATAAAAAATGCCGGTACCGACGGAAGTCAGAGCGCGTGCACACGGCTGATCCCTAATTATTCTGTACGTACGAACCCGGCATCTTTTTGCCGGCACGTACGTAATTGGACGCAAGGTTGTGCTAATATTGTTGATATGGCCCATACCGGGGATAAAAAACACCACACAGCAGAGGAGCCGCCGGGACGGGATTTGGGACTGTGGGAGAGAGAAAATCAATACCACCGGCTGCTTGATTTTTCTGACACATGCGGGCTGCTTACGCTCGGCAATCACAGCGGGCGCGCTTTTTTTGCCTCTCTTTCGCCAGTTTTCTTAGCCAGGTAGAGTCAATGGGAATTGTTTTTATCGTCCTACGCGCCCATGGGCGCACAATAACCGGGGTGTTCTGTGCTGGGTGTTCGGATTATACTTCCGGTGTCGACTCCTTCTGCTTTTTCTTATGTTGCCTTACATTATTATCGCCGATCGATATGTATGTCCGATCTTGTAGTAATTATTAGAAAATTTCTAGAATGTTTGATAATACTTTTACTCATTTTTTACTTTACTTACATCAGGCTGATTAACTGAAAGCTTTAAGAAAGTAAAGTACGGGAATCCAGAGATATTTTAGTAAAAGAATTGGTTTTGTTGAAAGCCAAATATTATAAAAGTAGAAATAAATATAATGCCGAGTTTTTCCACAAAAAAATGTGCATGGACATTGGACTTACATAGTTTATCAGGCAGCGGCGATCGTCGCTTCCGGTCGGCTTAAAGGCTTTTCATCCGAATTCGGACTCTTCCACTATCCAGTATATGACCCGCAATGCATTTAAAACTGCAAAATTGGATCGGTACAGATATTACTTGGTAAAGAAAGGCTTCACACTGCGCCACACGAGATAAAATGCCCATTACACTACATTGCACTGACCACTGGCCAAGCATGGCACGGATATACTGGCACGCTTTATCAGCGTTTTCTCGGGGCAACTGATTGGGAAAAATGACTGAGCTGACCAATGGCCGGCCCGGTCTGAGTGGTACGTTTTATCGCAGACTATAAAAAGTGACCTGAACCGGCCTCAACTCAAAAGTTTACTTTACAACTTTAGACCATCCTTCTCTCTCGGCCTCTGTCTCTTTGCCTAACGCACTCGATCTGTCTGCCTCTGTTGGACATACATGTCCACATAGTCTGTCTGCCATGCTGACCAGCGGCTATCTGGGCGCACAGATACACATTACTAAGGAAAAAGCGCATTTTTCCATCTTGACCCCAGGCTATCGAGCCGTTCTGGTTTTAGGCTTAAGCGAACAAAATTATAAATGCTTTCCTTGTCTGTGTGTCTATTATTAGCCGGGGCCACTGGGCACTGGCGACATTGAAGGAGTACAAAATTCCAAAACGAGCAGTACTTTGTGTATACTTTATAGTCCATACGTAGTTTATACGGTACACTTCCTCGTTGCCGGTCTTTGTGCAATTTTAAACAATGAGCATGTCTTTTCTGTGCACTGGAGACTGTTCTCACTAGAGTTGTTGGTAGCGATAAAACGCGATAGTTTCACTTTTGCTTGTTAAGAGAGAGAAAGAGAGAAAATAGAGAGGAGGAAATTTTCCAGTGATCGGCCAGTGGAGTTTTTGATTGCATGACCACTGGTCAGAAGATGAACTTTTGCCCTGGCAAAATGTGCTCAGTGGGGCAACGCCCAGTGGTTTTCTTTCCTTCTAAATGCGTTTTCAATCTGCTCGATCAAATCGATTTCTATAAGATTTCTAGAACGATGTTTCTTTCGTACACATTTCTTATCAAACACAAACACTGCGGTTTTCTTCGGAAATTTATTTTATGACACTAACCAAGGCTAATAATTTAGTAGGACAGTGTTTTTATTATGTAGATTATGAAAACTACGTTGACCAAAAAAATTTAAGCTGCAGAAAATATAAGGGCCAACTTTCTACTTACAACCTTCTTGGTATATTAATTAACTAACTGTACTTACACTTATACTATATCGATGTTTTCACCTTTGAATATTCCTAGCCACTAATTTACAAAAAAAATGTTACGTACTGAAATTGTATGTACAATTTTGAGCATAAAAATGCTAAGGTTATAAAGTGCTGAACAATGCAAAAGCAACACTTGCAGCCACCGGTACCAAAATTACTTAATAAATTTTTCTGACCACTGCAAACATTTCTCCAAATTGCTCGGCAGTTCACACGGTGACTCCACCCCAGTCGGACCGACGCCGGCAAATCCTGTAAGATTGCGTCGACCATGTGGTCACTCAACGGACAACGACGCATACACTTCTATATCTTCAGTGTGCAGTATTCATTGCGAAAAGTGAGCGCACATTTTGTTGCGATTATCGATCGCAGCAGGCAGATTCGAACCCGCATGTATTTTTATGCAGATGTCAGACAGTGGTCGCAGCGTCCGGCAGTATTGAACAAACTGGAGTATCATGCCCTGTCCAGCAAAACAAGCTCAAGGGAAAATAATCGATGCCCTCAAAACGAATCATACAATATCGATCGCAAGCTGCACAAACGCGTGACAAACAACACGCTGGACGCTGGCCGAAAAATACGACTGGCCGAAAATTTCACAACAAAAATTTTACTGACTTGTGAGTTCATCTAGGAGATCTACTTCACTTAAATATGCATGTGTGTGCAAAGCTACTTCAACACAAGAGTGACAAGACATACCGAATTGGTTCGTGCTTTTGCCGGCATGAGCAAGTAAAGAGATATTCCCAAAAATTATAAAAATACGCATGTGGTTCTTTAATCCGAACACGCTATTAATTATGAAACGTAGCTAAGTGTGGTTCGCAATAATGCAAGCCCATATTCGAGACAATACTGCATACATATTATTTGGAGAGAAAATCAACTGACTACCGTATTGTATGGCTTTTTCTCCCTCCTATAGAAAATTCATTTTCTTTGCGCCCACCGGGCTGATCAATGACCAGCGGTCAGCCGGTTCCCATCGTTAATGCGAGAGCAATGACCGGGGCTGATTTTTTCCATTGACTTGCGCTTAGCACGTTCTCCATTTTCTCCACCCCAGCTTCCACCGATTTGTGGATCGGTTGATGAATTTAAGACAAAAGTTGAGCGGAGCAAAAAAGCACAGAGAGACTGCGCATGTGTGTGTGTGTGTGTGTCCTGAGATGTTCTGGCTGTGTAGTGCATGTTAGGTCAGCTATATTTAGCGAAGAATGATGAGAGTCGGGTCAGTGCCGGACACATTGGCCAACGGTCAGTGAAAGAGCGGACAGTTTTATCAAGCCAGACGATCAATCTGCATCCGTGGCTTGAATGAATCAACGCTAAAAAAGCTTTAATGCAGAATTGGGTGCACGATAAAAGCACAGTGATAATACTAGTATAAGAAATTACGAATACTTGAAGTATGTATTTTTGTTTTGATTTTTATTGAACAGCCAAGCCCGTAAATCAATATCAGCGGTATGCAATGTTCATCATGGACGAAATCCCAATAAGAGTTCAACGTAAACGGGCATTCTCACATATTCTCGTCCGCGAAGAACATTGAATATGCTGGTCAAGTCACGATATTACATTTTTATTCGACTACGCCATTTTTATTACGACAAATTTAATTAGGTATTCAGTCACAAAGCAGGACATTAACTAAACCGGTTGCGAACTTATCTATGAATTAATGTAATTATCAAGAATTGGATATTATAAACAATCTAGAATTCATTCCAATGCGTCATTCATTACAGCGGTCATTAGGACAAATCACTTAAATAAAAATAATGATAGCGAACATTATATCGCATGCGTACCCACTACCCACGGACTGGACTTACGTAACAACCGGTGTGGCGTATTACATATTTAATAATCGCGAGCTGACCTTACAAGGCATAGAATTATTATGAATGGTTATTGATCCCTAATTTCTTTGGGATTACTGCTTATTTAGCGCTCCTCCTTAATATACCTTGAATTATGTTTAGAATTAGCGCGTACTAGCTCAAGCCGTGCGGGCACCTTTACGAAATATTCCCGTGCATGCAAGGATCATAATCCTGCAAAAGATTTTGAATACGACTCCTGACGGCTGACTCGTACTGCAGCAGTAAACGGTCATTTGTGGTTGTAAATGCATCCAGATCACCAAGAAAATTACCAGCGCCGGTCGTGCGCAACAACAGCAAAATAATCGCCCGGTATTTAGAATCACCTTATAACTGCGCACACGGGAGCGTTCCGGCCACCCGGCACACACTAACAGGAAGCCAACCTGCGTCATTGCGCCTAATTTTTTTCTCCTCTTTCCCCGGCAAAAACATGTGCTGGCAATCAGTGTACAGTCTGTATCCAGCCGTGCGAGCTGCAAAATAACCACCGTTGATCGCGCCTACCGGGAAGGGAAACAAGCTATTTTCTCCTCATGATCCCGTGTATGCCCCAGTCAACAAGCTGATTCACAGTCCAAATCACCCACGCCGAAGATGACACTACCAAAATGGTTTACATTTATTCCCACTGACTCACAATTTGTCCCGCACTTCTTCTCGTACGGGATCATGTAATCTCACATAATGAATTTTGTTTTTTGTGTGGCTTATTTAACGGTGACATAGTTGATCACTTCCCTTAAATAATTTTCAAAAAATTTATGTTTATGCAGTCATTTGTTTTGTTTTGCGATGTATTTCTGCGTGGTGTGTTTTAAATATATGACGATTACAAGCTGGACGGCACAGCGGCGCTAAAGTGCGGCAGCAACCGGAAGTCCTGCAGCAGCACAGCCACCTGACACATTCTTGACTCGCTGCACATGCTAACACACAAACGTATGGGCGCGCATCATGCGGGCGCCCATGACTCACACCCTACTTTGTCATTATCACTGCATCCAACTTCCAACCATACACCGATAACTGCGATTCATCAGCAGCGATAACAAATTATTAAATAATATTTATTGCAACATTTGCGCTAATTTTATCATTACTATTGTATTTGATTCTGCAAAACGTACGCGTTAAGGTGCTTTATAAGCCAATAATTATATAGTACTGTGTTTCCTCGTTATTAATGACGTACGTACAGATACATGTGCACCATGTTGGTCATAAATGCGATGGAATTGTAGGCATGAACAGATTTGATTCAGGTAGTTTTGCATAATTTTCTACCCTTTCTGTTATATATTTATATAATTAACCGCAGTCTTTTTAAGAGCGTTTCTTCTTACCGTGATCCGGTCTTGAAATACAATGTTTGCAGATACCGAAACTCCAAACCGTTCTACCATTGGTTACCCGCTGCAATAAAAAGTCAATATTAATTACGTTGAGGCTGCAAACAATGAATAAAATCAACCAAGCTGAAACAAGACGTAACCTTAGCCCTTTCGTAAAACCAGCTCCTTATTTGCAGCTATTTTTTTAGGGAAAAAATTTGTGGTACTCGTACTGTACGTATATAAAATTAAGGGAAACGAAATTCTGGATACCGGCTTTCTATCGCATCGGCACGCTACGCTGTACCTGCAACTGTAAAAACCAACGAGAAAAATGCACGTATAAGAAGACACTCAATGGCGGTCAGTGTCGGCAAGCACATTAGGCGTGAATGTTGTAAACATGGTCATTTGGGCGAGAATGTTCGATATCCCGGGAAATGTCCCTTTTTCCTGTTAGTTTTGTTCGTGTATGTGTGTAGACGTATGTGTCAGTGCATGTGCCGGCTACCAAGTTCATGGGTCAGCCGGGAGAAAGAATTGATTTTTCAGTATTTTCCTCCCGGTCTGTACAGCGTCCAGTGAGTAATCGAGCACACACTGCCTCGCGTACTTACAGCCATATATGCACACACACCGGCACGCATAATATGTTTTCTCGTTCTTGGCCCTTTTTCAAGACCATCGTGCAGTCAGCACCGCCCCTTATCCCGGGACACACTGGCAGCAGAGTCCAGGTCAGCCTGTGCTGAGGATGAAAAACAAGTCATATAAGTGGGAGACAGCGTAGATCTATATACATGTATCTGCACGATGCCGGTCACTTGTGGGGTTGTTTTCGGTTTTGCTGTCAGCCGTATTGGGTTATACAGAATATATGCAGCCGATGGTGGCCAGTAGGATAATTCAGGAGATGGATGCCTGTGTGGAGGGGATGTGTAAGCACTTGACGGGAGATTGGATATGGACGTTGCAATCCCGGCTGGAGAGTTCTTTTTCCACAATATGTACAGTGGGCATCGAGTGACCGATGTACATAATACATCCCGTCCACTTTTGTCGAATCAATAAAATATATTATTACTGTAGTGAATGTGGTGTGGACTGTGGAAATCGAATAATTTCTGAAATCTCCACGTCTGCGCAATTTTCGTATCAGACTGATGCGAGCTGTAGATGCACGTCTGATGCATACAACCTTTTATGTTCATTACGTATAAATGATAAATCTGTAAAACAGTTAAAATATGTAAAACACGATAGTTATCAAGTTTTTTTAAATAACCCTTAGATTACAATAAAGGTAAATTTTACGGTTAAAAATTGATTTTATTTCATGTATGTCATGGATGTAATAATATGATATAATACGTATAAACAGCCACAAATTAACGCCATGAAAGAAAGGTGCACGCATTTTTCTTCTTAATAAAAATCATTTTACAGAACAAACATATTAGAGGGCCGTAAAATTCGAGACTTAACTGGAGAAGCGCGTTCTACTGCTTTCCTAAAGCAGCGTTTCAGCCTGGTCGTTGTTAAAGGAAATGCCACGGCTGTTTTGAGAACGTTGCCTTTTAACCCAAGACAAGATAGAGATTTTGGTTGTTTTTTTAATGTTTAAATTTTAACTTTCATGTAGTGCACCGGCGCTTGCGATCTTTGTTACTTTGGCGGCTATTGCCCATTAAACTATCAGTTCAACATATTAGAGTGGAGTTCCCCTTCGATGCAGTTTACTCCTCTACCGGGAGTATACCTACATAGTACGTACCGATCTGACATCTGAGGATGGATTTGATAGTGACCTGGTTATTGGTCAATTTGTGCCATATTTTTCCCCATTATCCCTGTATTACTTACTCCAACGAGTAGGTTGTGCATGTGTCACAGTGTGATTGTGTGCATACATGCACACACATTAGAAAGCGACTGCTTAGACGGGAATAACGGGAAAAAACAGAGTAAGTCAGTGTCAATAAAGAAACATGATACCGGGCGGGAATTTCTGGGGATGCAGGAAATCATTTACATCTGCTTGTCCTGTAACTAGACTACCAGGTCGCCACCTTATGGACCGCAAAAACCTCAAGAATTAACCTCCAGTCAACGCTAGTACGTACTGCACTGTATTTGCACTCCTCTTTGTTTCGTACAGCACAGCACAGTTACATACTTTATGCTTGAAAATGAATTTTTCCGTGATTTTTCTCTTTCTGAACAATATCCATTGACTAATGTAATACTGTTAATTTTTACCTGTTGACGAATATTCACCAGAGAAAAGGAAGTTTGTGCTTAGTTAGCGTTTTGTGTGAGAAACGGAAAAAGTTATACGAAATTAAAAGAAAAGAAATATTAGAGAATGCCGTTCATTTTTTTTTGTCAAATTGAGCTGCTGACCATTTGATTTATATTGTTCTGGAGAATTGCACCGGTTTAAGGGGTGAGGAAAACCAAAATTTTACTCAAACCGTAGATTTTTAATTTTTTCCTGCTGATACTTATGAATTTTGTGCAAGTTGTGCAACAGTAAGTCTTTTTCGATTTTTTTCTTAGAGTCATGTCTGTGTGGATCGATTAATTTGTTGTGCACATGGCCCCTCAGGTATAAATGCCAATAATCGTCTCGTTTTCTTCCGGTGATATTCACGTTGTTTACCGAAGCAGTACAAGCCAAAATCCTCTTGCTCCATAGAAAATAATGTCACCGTTAGCTTTCTGCTCTACTTTCATCCCAGTATTGCCGCTGTACTAGCAGCATATGATTATTATGTACTAAATACAAAAATGGATAACTGCAAAAATAAAAGACTTAAAAAACTTGAACGTAAAAGGTTACGCAAATTAAAAAAAATTTTAAGGTAAAACAATAAAAAGCAATTTTCAGTAAAAAGATATTCCACCTCGATATTTGCTGATTAAGTCTTAATTTCATTAAATTTGATCGGTTTGATTTCTGACCAATTTTTCGCAATATATTTCATTATTTCGATATACGGTAAATAGCGTTATCAAATCAAGGCATTATTTTGCCATGAAAAATGCGGAAGAATGACAGAATTTCAGTCCGGTGCGCTATGCTATATATGTATAAAATGGGTATAAGAATGCGCTGACGTGGTAAATGTTTTTTTACAGCACCGGCAATAAATGCGCATAAATGTGTAATGTTTGTCCAGTGCGCAGTGCTCCAGTTGGGACCAGCGGTGCCCTTGCGCGACTAGAAGCATAAAGCTAACAATATATAACTGCCTAATCTAACAGAGGCGGTGCAAAGGTCGTCGAAGTTTTTTTATCGCTTTTGCTCCGATTAAGGATTATATACGTCGACATCTGGCTTAATGGCCAGGTAATCAAACCGGCAAAACGTTTTACCGTACAGCGACGATAGTATATAGATATACAATACATAGGTACGAATAAAATATAGATACTTGTATACTGTACGCATATTTGTATTTTGAGCCGCGTGCGCATATGAAGACATATATATACCATATGTAACGGAAGTGCAAAAGTCCGACGTGGAAACAGCGCCAAGGTGAGAAAAACAAATATACGTAAGATGATGAGAAGCTTATTTTAGTGCATTGTGAGTTGCAGACGCCGGGATCGTGCAGTGCGTACCAGAGCGCCGCTAATGCTAATACCAGCATAGTACAATGCTCATTCATTCTGCTATACATGGGTAAAAAAAGCACCACATCACCATTCACCATTTGCAATGCTCAAACATAAGAAATTATGTGAAATGATTTGTTCTTGCATAGCTTATACCGTTATATTATTGTGATTAGAAAAATCCACACTTTTGGAGTAAGCTGTAACAAACTTTCCACCCTAATTCTTCTTGCATTTGAGTGTTAATTACATCTTGTATGCAGTATGCTCACAGTTATACACAGTTCTTTAGTCGCAAAGATAAAAGTAGAAATGTAGGGTATGATCTACGTTATTACGTACTTACTACTTAAAACTATTTTGTGGATGTACCAACGTATGTACAAGAAGTGTATTATTAGGATGTGTCTTAATTCTTAATGGTAAAAATAATGACAATCTCTAGCTTAAAACAATTTATTGTATACAAATGTTGACTGTGAATAATCTCGATTCGGACGATACGATAAAAAACATTATATAGACAGACCTACATGGAGTCATTGTGTACGCAATGGTGACCTTTGCCTATACACCATGGTTTCATAAAATTCATAAAGCACATACAGTATATAGGCTTCTGATTGAAGATTCTGGGTTTCCTGCTAGCGCGGTTCGTACTCCTTTGAAATATTCTTGAAAACTTTGGCAGACAATGTGAGAAACCGCTGCTCACAGTTAATACCGACGTTGGCACGCCATCGCTAAAATCACTAAAGAAACCCTTTCGCGTATAATTTGTTTGAATTATGGACGGGTGTACTTGAGTTTTTTGCTGCTTAAGAAAAGAGCTGATGGTGATAATTGTAGCAAATATATTCTTCTGGTCAAGTCGCTGGCACTTTTTGGTTTTTTCACTTTATCCGCACTTTATCCGCCAGCGCTGCACATTGTTCATGTCACCTCCAGACAAAAACACCTGATAAGCATTCTCGGCCATTCTGATTAATTTCCCAACCTCTTCGTACTGTCAAAATAAATTATACTTGGGCAGATGCACATTCTGAACAAAGTTCAATCTATAAATTCGACAAGCGATTATTTTAAAGAGGATATAATTAACGCAGTGCTTTTGATTAGCTATGCTGTTACACATGTTTACCAGAAATATGTACAAATATCTCACTGGATAATTACGGACAATCGAAAACGGATAAGATGCAATTAATAACCTCGCTAAATTTCGAGAACTAGATTAGAGCCAAAAAACTTCTTATAAAAAAATAGAACATTAAAAACTACACCAATCTTTTGAAGTTGACGCATCATTTACGGTACCATAAGCAGTTGAACAAGAATCTATTGTAACTACAACCTTGTTGTAGTTAATTTCATAACCAACATTGGGGTGTCGCACAAAACTGACCAGTGAGAATGCTGTGAATAGTAAGTTGAGAGCCAAGACGGTGAATTTTTACCGACAAAAAACAAAAAGAAGAAGTTAAAATTGATAAGCATATTAAAAGGCATACCATTTAGGGTTGTTTTAGCAACCTAATTAGTCAGTAATAAACTTTTACTTTAACCTAATTAAGAAACTAGAGCCTGCCTATGATATATAACTTCAGAATTGATTTCGTTTACAGTGTTATACACTTACCGAAAAAACCGGTTCGGAAATGACCACTTGTGGACAATGCGCTGCGAAAACCTTTTCGCTGCTCCTGGTATAGCTTTTTCACCTAAAATTGGGAAAAAACACAGACTGGAAAAAGTGCGAAAAATTTTCTCGGTTTTATGGCTCAATAACGCACTCTCAAACACGCACAGAGGAAATGATAGCGATATGGAAAAAGCGTAAATGATAGGTGTCGCGCTGCGTAGCAATGTCAATAAGATATTTTTCTCCGGTTGGCGTTTTGTTGGCTAATGCAAACGTTAAAAGAGCCTTATCACTCGTTACGAGCAAGTTTTGTTAGAATTTTTCCGGTGTGTAACAAGGGCCAGTTTAGATAATCGTCCCCGACTGTATTCCGCACCCAAAAACGGATTTACGAGCGGATGGTAAGTGTTATTCACCGGAGTCGCTTAAAAAACGCGCTCGCTCCTGCTTTTGACCAATCGAACCATGTAGAACAATAAACACTTTTTAAATGAAATTTTTAAACACAACGGTTTGAAAAGAACGTAATTTTTTAATTAGGAAACGCATTCAGTCCTACAAAGTAGAAACAAATTCGATAAAATCAGAGTTATTTTCAAAGAATTTAAATGTAAAGGAATAAACATTAATTTTTTAGCAATGACTGACAAAATAAAAAACAGAAGATACAATTATAAAGTTATGCTTTACGTAGCTTACCTTTTACCTAATTATAAAGATAACTGATAAACCGCAGTACACGGAAAACTTTGATGACGTAAATTGTCGAAAAAAAACCGGCAAACTGGTCGCAGGTTTAGCACTTATCAAGTGCAATAGAAAATCTAAGAAGAACAGCTGCGCTATGGGCCGAAGCCGTCCCAAAAGCAAAAAGCAATATTTATGAGTAGTGATGAATCAGCATCTGAGTTACTACAAGTCAGAAAAAAATAAACCCTGCCTGTTTTTTTGTAAATGAGCCTTTTTTCTTTCACATGCAGATTATATACAAGCTTCTGCGGGGGAAGAGAACCGCCAAGACTAAACAGTGCAGCAGGCGATCTGCTGGCAAATTGAAAGAAAAATACGCCGCCGGAAAATTGTAAAAATCAGCTGCGACAGTACAAACGCCAACCAACAGAAAATTCAACTAACGGTTTGTTTTTTCACTTTAGACTATCTATACAAGACACTGTCAAAGTTAGTATTACAATAAAATCATGAAGATTATTGCAATTGATTGCATTTGCATCAGTTTTTACGAGGAATAGTAAACACTGAACGGTAATTTATTCGGTAATTTTACACAAATAAAAATACCAGTGCAATAATTATGTGTCCAAGTTGAGAATCTGAATATATTGAACTTGCAACATATTTATGTACATATCTCATTGTTGCACTTACATAACCACGCATAAACATCCGAGGCAAATTACACTACACGCGTCCAAACCTTCGGATTAAAAATGAGTATGCACGTGCATTTGCGCCGGTATTCTACCGTAATATGGCACAATGTTTCAGCGCGCAAACGTTTTTCTGCAGAGTAAATCGGTGTATTTCGTAATTAACTGAAAGTCGATAATTCTGTCCAGCTGTACATGCGCACGATACTGCAAATGTCGACTGCTGTCGATTTTTTCCCATTAACCGAGCGCGAAGAACAATTCACCGGCGCAGTCTGAATGCCTGCTGTTTGGCTCTCCTTTCGCGCCAGATTGGACCGCTTCGCTTTTTTATGGTGTACTTTTACTTTCGATAGGAGAATGCTCTGAAAGAAGGAGATTAGTTTTGCCCGTGCATTGAGGGAGAAGAGGAGGAAAAAGAATTCGATTATCCTAATCAGCGTTGTGACCAGTGGTCTGCGCTCTGCAGCCGTGTCACACTGGGCACCGGCCACAGATAAAACGATAACGGACAGCCAGCTCGCAATCTGTTCTGGCATGTGTCTAATAATGGTAAGCCTCTCTCTCTCTCTTATTGCGTCTTATTAGAACAGTCACAGCGAACAACTGACCAACGGGCAGAAATGCATACAAAAACGTTTTGTGTTTTTCTTTGGATATCACAACCACTCTTTCGTCTTTTGTCCATATCGCTCTATAGCTTACGTCCATCACTGTACTGGCAAACAAGTACTTATCGTTAATTATTTATATAGGTAACATTGTGCCTACACGCAGAAACACATATAACCTGCTAAACTAATTATAACCTCGTATACAAAATATTTTTTAGAGATTCAGAGAAGAATGCCGCCTTTTCCAGTATGTTGAAAATCGTACAGAAATCGTTTAACAGCCAGGCAGTGGCAGGTAATGTGCATTTTCTGTAAGCAATTGTAGCGGATGTGCACGCCGCGCGGTGACATTTCAGTGCCGGCCTTTGGCTGGTTTGCCAGTGTTTGGCACGAGCGCCCTTCTTTGCATACACTCGACAAATTGTTTTCTTGTTATCGCATATGCATATCCTAAACAAACTTCAAGTACCTATCCCAAAATGTTCTCAACACGTTTCTTTTGTTTGTGTGGATGGTTTCACTTTTGGGGACCAGACTATGGCACAGTACGACGTTTCGCTGTCGCATATCCTGACCGCCTTGATGACGGTAGAGCGAGCCATCAAGTGCGAAACTGGAACGTTTTTTTCATTTTTTTGTCACTGCATCACTACCCTAGCTATTAGTGAGTAATATCAGCGTATATGTATATTAATATAAGCATAATAAGCTCGCTGGTAATATTAAGTTGATGTCCAAGCAAGCCGTGAAGAAACGAAAGATATAACTTTTCCGTTCTCAATGGCGGCAAAATTCTTCGACTTTTCCGACAGGGACGTTATGTGTCCCAGCATCGAGGCGATTAACGGAATGTTCTTCCGCGTCAATCCCGTCAGTGTGGACGAAGGCGACAAACTGATCAAGAAAACCCAACAATCCGGTCGCTATCCTCCCAAACACGACGACATCCAGGGTACCATCAGCAATGGCAGTGGCTGCAATGCAGTTGATTGTCTGCGCACGATTGACGATGAGTAAGCACGGTGTTTATTTGTCGCAGATGTAACGGAGGACTTCAGCGTTGAGGAGACGGAGATTCTGTACAAGCGCAGCAAGAAGGCGCCCGATGGAACGTTTCATCTCCTCCTCGACCAAGAAAATCTGCCCCAGGCGTTGTACGCCATGGTTATTGGCAAGGGAGGGCAGGCGAAGAAAATCATTGAAGAAGCCACATCAGCGCGGATTGTTATTCCGGAGAAGCGGGAGCAGGAACGTGGGAAATCTATCGGTGAGTTTTGAATATGCATGGACAGCATGGTTTTCATTTTTCAACTTACGGTCAATCAGAACTACAGAAGCTGAACCAATCAGTTAAAATTATTTGTTTGAAGTAGGGATTATTTGTTTGAAGTAGGCTAAACCTGCAGTACCAACTGTGTATGCTGTGTTCAGAATCGATTTATACAACTCGAACTGAACCAAGTACTTCTATAGAAGAATTCGCTGTAAAAATTGAAATGTAACGGGCAGTTAAAAATGGATAAGTTTGCAGAGATAATTAGCTACGACGACGTCCAGTTGGTCCTATGTCGACGCAGACTGTTGGCGTCATTCCAGAATTGCCGCATGAGAAATCCCTTCACGCACTTCGTGTGCTTCCCTCTTTTCAGTACCGCGGTGCGGCAGCGATTCCAGGTGTTTAAAGATGAAGTTACCGAGAAATGTGGAGGGGTAAGAAATCGTTTCGTCTGCATTTGTCTACTCGTCAGCTGATTCTGCATGCATTGCTGCAGGCGCGTGGATTTTCCCAAGATCTTTTCCAGAATCCGAAAAAGCTTCACCTCACAGTGGGAACACTGGTTTTATACAATCCCCGGGAGTCCGATGTGGTGATGGAGAGTGTAGAGGCGTCCGTCAGCGACTGCTTATCGTAAGTAAACATTTTTTTGCTGAAATATTTGTAATTTATTTTTCAAGTGTACATTCATGTAATGCATTCGTTCACTAACCATAAGCTGCAACCTAAGCTGCTAATGAAATTTCACAAAAGTTGAATTTTCTGCTAGCTTACTATGTACTAAATATTTTTAAGAAACCCTGAAGTAATTTTTTTGTGGGTATGTCGTTTGTGCTTTCTTGTTGCCTTTTTGCGTTGACACAGTAAAGGATTTTTTATCTCCGAGGAAAGACTGAAACCGACTAAAGATTGTTAGAATACTGTAATAAATCAAATTCTAAATTATTAGAATTCTGAAGGTATGGAAAGAGGGCTCATTTGTGCATTTCCTTTTGGCACAGATAAGTTTTGCAACTTTAAATGAACTGAAACAATGAAAAAATTAACGTGGTTATTAGTCTAAGGGTTTGGGGTTCTATGCACGCTTGGCACGGAAACCAGGGCGATCCCCTCCTTTTTCCACCTTTCTATAGACTCCCAACCGTAGAGGTAGAGGCAGTCATACATCTGTCATCTACGGTTCTGTGGACCGGGGAAATCGTAGAAGAAAGCTGCAGTAAAGCGGTTTTTTCAGATGAACGTACTGAGCGAAACCAGTAATACTGCGTCACGCTTATAGCGGTCTAAACGAAGGCGGTGGGTTTACTATTTGCAATTTAGATTTCATATGCATGGATGTGTAATTGCAGAAAGCTTTCCTCTGCGCAGACTCTTACCTTCCGCCTCCGAGGGCTGGAAATCATGAACGACGACCCTACCGACGTAGACGTCCTTTACGGGAAGATCGAAGATCCTTCAGGTATCCTGCAAAAACTAGCCGACCGCATTTACCGTCATTTGGCCCGCGCCAGTCCGCGTTTCCTCCTCGATCAACATGAGAACCGTGACTTTGTCAAATTGCACGCCACTCTTATGAATAGCCGTTTCAGGAAGGGCGAAGAAGTCGGGGAAGACGATGCCGGTGGCAACATGAAGCGGAAAGCCTTCGATGCCTCGGGCATTCTCCAGCAGTTTGGCGCCTTCGATTTCGGTGAATGTGAGTTGGCGGAAGTACATCTGTCGCAGCGATATTCTTCGGGGGAGGATGGATTTTACCGGCCTACTCGCATGTTGAAGATTGATGCGAGTTTTTTTACCGAGAGTGGTGATACGGTGGAATGTTATGGAGATGAACCGAATTGTCATTACGATGAAAAAGAATTTGAAGGTGAAATGTGATTTTTGATTGCTCGTAGCTAGCACTCAAAGTGATTATACTACTTGAAGAAATTTTGTGTTTTATTTGGTGGATTAAAAAGATCAAGTAGCCGGATTTGAGTCGTTTTGTTGTAAAAACTGAGAAATGTGAATACATATCACGGTGACGAATATTTATTTCCACCCAAATCACTCAATGTTCAGTATCACTCGCAATCACACACGCCAAGTTTGCAGTAAAAAACTCAAAACATACAAAACACCAAAACTACCGGTCAGAAAAGCTGTCTGTTGCGGCAGCAGTGCTGCACTGTGGTTGCGCCGTTCCAACGACGCCCGCATCATTGACACCAGCAACTTCGCCCCGGGAATGGTCAAAAGGGGCAGAAAAAACCAGCCACACTTAGTCAGAGCCAGCACACCCACGATGACGAAAGGCATGTACAGCAGGGCCACATAAAGCACCAACGACCCGGTGTCGCCTAATAACAGTGCCACCGTCTGGATTTTCCCCGCCGCATCCGTCTCCCGATCCCGTACATTATTGGCATGCAAAACAGCTACGATCAACAACCCCAACGGAACGGAATACCAGCAGGGCGCCGTAGAGAAGCGTCCGCAGGCGGCGACGTATGCGAATAGTGTCGTAACCGGGCCGAAAGCGCAAAATACCAGTAAATCTCCACAAGCGATGTATTTCAATCCGGCGCCGCCGGTATATAGATATGATGCGAAAAATCCTCCGAAATAAATTAGGGTTAGTAAATATAATGGTGCGGGTGAGAGCCGCGCCACAAGAAAGAAGATAACGGTGGCTATGGAGTACAAGCCGGTGGCGAGGTGAAGCACCTCCGTTGGGGTTAAAATTCCCTCGACTAGAGTACGATCGTCGCTTCGCAGCCTGTCCACGCCGTTGGCGTAATCGAAATACGTGTCGATGATGTTCCCGGCGGCGTGCACCATCATAACCGTGAACAGCGTCAGAATAGTGATAGGAAGGGAGAAGGCGTGGTGGACGGTGTAAGCCAGGGCGATCCCCAGTGACGCGGGGAGGAGGGACGCCGTGAAGGACCAGGGGCGCAGGGAGAACCAGTAGTCTCGAATCCGTTCACACACTACGGGGAATAATGGCGTAGAGATGTGGAGATCAGCGGAGGGTAGCTGCGCGGTATCCTCGAGGTAGGAAGGTTCCCGGGAAGCGGACTGCTCGGGATCCATGTGGTCAAGGGCGGCGTTTAGTCGGCACTTGCCTTCGTTGGAAATGGGCTGTGGGGAAAACATGGGGACGTGCTGGAGGGTGGGCAGTGTGTCCTGCGTCATGCTGATGGTCCACAGTGCTTTTAACACAGTCTGCGTTGGCGAGGCCGTGGTATCAGCATGGGCGCACACTCACAGATCTTCCCTCTTCCCAAGGAGGCAGCGAATCGCAGCCAGTCACACTGAGGGGATCATGATCGATTGTGGAAGTTAAGAAAATCGATACGACTCGCAGCCTTACGGTGTACAGAGTGCCATCCGATAACGGATGTTTCTAATACTTGATATCATTCACAAAAAAAAATTTATATATTAATGAACTACATTATTTTCCTTCGAATCACGAAAATTGTAAGTCAACGCGGACACTAATAAACGCGATACGTCGAGACTCGAGAGCATGTTTTGAAAATTATTCTGAATTCACGAGTAGGAATTCACTGGTGGTCGTACATCCTTCCTATCATGGGGGACCGGTCGGGTTATTCCCCTTCCGGTTGCCAGACTGCAGTGGCCAGTGTTCGGACTCTGAAAGCCCTGAAGATGTGGAAATGCACATTTGGAGCTGAAACTCAAACAGTAATAACCAGATCATTTTTACGGAAATCAGTAATTTATAATCTGCCTGTTTTTACAGTTTTTATCAAAACCTAACCTGAAATTTTTCTACACGAAAAAAAGACATCATTAATTTTATTTTTTATGTCATCATAGGTTTTGCTGTGTTGTTTACGATTAAAAAGAAACTACTTGTACGTAGCCAAAAACATTAATCGCAGCCTGCAGGTACTGTATAGAAGTACGTATGCTTCTATCTGTATATGACGGAATCGCATAAAAAATGACCAAAGGCGCGCCAAATTAAAGGCAGGTCACACAGAGTCCAGGTGGAACACATTTTGACAAACTTGTCTGAATCACATTTATTGATATCTTAATTGCAAGATTAATTTTTTTATACCTATACAGTAGGTCAATACGCACAGAATTTGCCGCAAACGTACTTGTATAGATATATGCGTACTATCGACGTCAAAGCTAATGCCAATATTGGCATGTGCTGATTGTGAGTGGAATGCTTATTTTTAATGAGAAATCGGCCTGTCAATAAGTGCCTGTACACTGCAGCGCAAAATCGCAATCAGTAACAATCGGTAATCATTGCAGTGTAAGCTGGCAATTGTTTTGACAGGTTGCTGGTTCGATCCGATTCCCGTTTCCCAAGTATCACCGGAAACAGTATGTGCCCGGCATTTCCGTGCATGCCGGTCGGCTGCAACGTTAACGCTGACAAACGTCCTTCAGCAACGAATAACAGCATAATCAATTTTTCCTGGTTGCTACATGTTGAGAAGCGGACTGGTGGATCGGAAGTGGCAGAAAGGAAGGAGATTGTAATCAAATTGCACTTTTAAGAAGAATGAGACGGCATTTGGTCGTTGCATTATACGGCAATCATCCGCTGACTTCACGGTCCAGTCTTACGTGATTTGCGCACACTGACAGCCAGTGCTCAAGATTGTTCATATTTTATATGCTATCGAAGGTTTCATAACATGGATAATCGGTTTCCGGCTTCGAAAATTAAAGGTAATTGCATCAAGATGTTAGTTTGTGAGGGAGATATGCATGGAGAATAACGCAGGACATGTGTGTAATAAGTTAATAGTGATATTGCACATGTACGTAATATTATATAGATATTATTTGCTCTTTTGCTTGCATTATATATATAATAATAAACTTTTTCCAGAGCTGCACGAAGCGTTCCGCATCTTTGATAAGGATGGCGATGGATCAATAACAAAAGATGTAGTATTGTCTAATTTTTCCTGATTGGATATATCCCATATAAATTAAAATTATGGCCGATGTTATCCTTAGGAATTAGGAACAGTTATGCGAAATCTGGGCCAGTGCCCTTCCGAAGAGGAGCTCCAGCAGATGCTCCGCGATATAGATTTCAACGGTAAACATGGTGTTCAGTAAATACCGGTGCAAATTGCGCCGCGCAATTATTCAACTATGCCGACCGTGACCTTTGGGGCCGCGTTGCGTCGATTTACAGGAGACGGGATGTTCTCATTCGAGGAATTTGTGCAAATTATGTCAAATATGGGCGCTATCGGCGGTCCAACTTCCGCTGAAGACGAGGCAAGAGAACTGCGGGATGCATTTAAGGTACGCAGAAAAACACGCGTATACCAGGGAATGCTTATTACGATAAGATAATTTTTTTGTTTGGTAAATCTTAAATGGCGCAAACATACACGTAGCTCTGATTGCTGTTGTGTGCGCTGTTGAATTTCTGTACACTTACTTCAAGTCGTAGCAAAACATAATTGGAATTTACTTATTCAAGCTGGTACACCTAATATCTATATTCTGCGGTACATTATAACAATTCAAACTGGAGAACTTACTGAGACTTAAAATGTTTGAAGGTATAATAATAAACTTACTTGTTATTATTACGTAATGTCCCCAGTACTGACGATCAGATTCTGTGCAGGTGTTCGACAAACAAGGAACGGGATACATCACGCCATCCGATTTACGGGCTGTACTGCAGTGCATGGGAGAGAGTTTAACGGAGGATGAAAGTAAGTAATCGTAATATATACGAGAAACGATAACTGATAGAAACAAAATAACTATAGAATTATACCAAAACAAATTATGAATCTGGACAACTTAATCATCCCGATGTACGAGTCTGTTTTAAAGATGACGAATTGACGACCATTTATTTAAATGCACGGATGAATTATCTCATACACGAGTAATGCAACAAATAATTATTATTTTCAGTTGACGACATGATAAGCGAAGTAGACCTGGACGGCGACGGGCGCATTGACTTCGAAGGTAACGTACAAATTGCAGATAATATTTATTATTACTGTACTTATAAAAACTATAGTGGATATTTTTAACTGTAGCGAACCGTATAAATACAATAATAATTGTTTTACCGACAAAGGGAAAACTACCTGTGAGCAACAAATTATTCACAAAATCTCACATGGATATCAAAGACGACGTTCATAAATTCCTTCGTCTATTAGACGACAAATTATAATTAAGTTGGTGCTTTCAATGCAGAATTCGTGGCGGCAATGTGCGAGCAAACACAGGAAAAATCGGAAATTGAGGACGCCGAAGATGATATCGACGAAGAGCTTATGCGACTGGAAGGCCTCAACCTCAACATAGTCCAGTGACGAAAACCTAACCTTTACAGATTTCCATATCAATCGCATAGCATTCAGTTTATTCTCACAAAAGTGAACGGAAACGCAATTATTTTCAATGTTTTCCTTGTACAACATAATGTAAACGTCGCAAAAAGACAACAACACTGAAATGTCAACAAGACGCGCCATGGATCACAAAAGAGCCGATGTAAGAATATTGCATCACTGTACAAGAGAGATCAGCGTCATAGTCGTAGATAGCTAGTTTGTAGATAAAACCATTAAGAATTAACAAATCAACATACCAGGCAGATCAATCTCACCTTGACGCAAGGCCGTCGCCGTTCCCATGCCAGACTGAATAAATTCACAAAGCCGGCTTGACCAGCAATTTCATCTCTAGCTTCACTGAATTCTGGAACATAGCCGCCCGGTTCTGTTCTTCATCACGGCGCACCCAGTGTCCGTAAATCTTGAAAGCCGCCGCGTCAATTGCCTTACGAATGACACGTTGCCGATAGGGATCCCGCTGGATCTGGGAAAGCGGAATTTTGGTCTGCGGTTTGACCACCAACTGCCGGTGGATGCGCACCGCACACCGGACCATCAGCATGGTGCGCCGCATGCGCCGCCGCGGACTAATGGTCTGCAGGACGAACGTCCCGATCTGGAAAAAGGAGTGGGCCAGCGCTTGCTCGGCGGTCATACGGGCGGCCGGATCCACGACGAGCAGCTGGCGGATTACGTCTTTCGGGCCTTCCGACACATCCTCCCATTCGGGAGCGGAGAAACTATACTGACCCTCCATGATCAGTCGCAGCATCATCATCTGACGACGGTGCCAAAAGGGAGGATAACCGGCTGCAAAACAATACGTGCATTAATCACTGATACCAGGAAAGTTAAGGACGATGGCAAGAAAACTGGTGACAGTATTCCAGTTTTCTGTGGCAGATCACGCTACTGTCACCGTGATATTTCTTTGTGATATGCAAGCAAACTTTTAAACAACACAACACAACTTTTAAACAAAAATATTTTTCCGCCATTATTTCGTTGTTTCCTATCATCTTCGACAAATCCGCATTGGCTGCCGCTAGCCACAATACTGCCGTTGCACCTACTTATAGGGTTATAAGTACAAGTACTAAACTACTGTAAACGCAAACAACTGTATCGAAGACAACGATTCGTACTGCTTCGTTAACTACTTATTAAATACTAATTCGTGGTTATCTGACAACTTCTCCTAGTCGGCTTTACCTAAAAGAGTATACATAATCACTCCACATGCCCATAAGTCCACTTCCTTTCCATAGGGCGATTGTCCCTGATACATGGACACCTTGAGCACTTCCGGCGCCAGATAACCCGGCGTGCCACAAAGATCCCGAAAGCCCCCGGTCTCTCCTTCGGGAATAATTGCCGCAAACCCGAAATCGGTCACTTTAATGTTCAGCTGATCATCCAACAGAATATTCTCCGGCTTCAAATCCCGGTGTACGACATTCCTCTTGTGCATAAAATCGACCACCTGCAGGAGCTGCTGCATAATCTTCCGGGTGCGCTTTTCCGATAGCGTTACCACTTGGTTCATGTGATCGAACAGTTCCCCTTTGCGGCACAGCTCAAAGACCAAAAAAATGAAAGTGGCTGACTCAAATACATCATGGAGTTCCGTTATGTGTGGATGACCAGCCAGCAGGCGCAGGATTGCGATCTCGTTCTTGGTGGCCGTGTAGACCTCCGTGGCGTCAGCTTCGGTGGCATTCTCGGTGGTCAGATCCACGATCTTCACGGCGAATTCTTTTTGTGTGCGCTTCTCCACGCAACGCTTGACCACACTGCAGGCGCCCCGACCCAGCACTTCCTTGAGAATGTAGCGCTGCTGGAAGCCGGAAGTGTCCTCATTAATAGATATGGCCGGTTGTTCGTCCGGGCTGTTATCGATGATCTCCGGAGGCACTTCCGATTCCACAGGCACCGGCATTGCTTCTAAAATTCAAACAGCGTAAACAGATGCGCGTTATTCCGCTGTAAGGAGATAAAAAGCGTAAAGAAATAATTTATAAAAAAATACCATGAAGCATTCACGGCAAACAACAGCTAACGCATGATACAAATCGAAGCAACAGCATTTCGTCAAAACTTGCAACCGAACTACAACGAAGTGCGCTGTAACGCAAAAAGTAATCAAATAAGGCTCTTTTAACGATCGAATCGACGAGTTTCATTTAAATTAAGTATTCCACAGTAATTATTAAAATGTTATTTAAGCTAACTAACGTTGTCAGCATTGCATCTATCAATCGAGTTCATCGTCGAACAGTTTAAAAGAAAATGTTAAATGAATAAAGCCTTTTATTAAGGTTATATAAATATCCACAAAAGTACGGCTGTTAAAAAAATAAATAAAGTTATATAGATACTACCTTATTTAAAAGTAACATACTACAGTAGTATGCTCGTATCTTTTGATAATAACCAAATAACGCAATAAGAAAGATGCATTGTTAATTGTCTATTACACAGATGCCAGAAATTCTGAATCAGTCAAATATTTTATGCAACCAAGAATTTCTTAGCTTAATAGTTAATAATAAATAAACACGTTGTAAATAGTATGAAGTACCAAGATTTAGTTACGGTAATTAATAACACCAAATTAATTATCTGCAGTTTATTACGCCTAGTCAAGGATCTTGTACAAGTACACCCTACAAAATTGCACAGACATAATTACCTACAAATCAAACAGCTGCAGTATTAAAACCTTCCAAAATTAATGGAAGTTTGCCACACACCTGCAAAATATCTGGAAAATGTAACCGCAAGTGAAGGAAGGAGCAAAATGGCAAAAATCCCCACAGATGCAAATGTTGAACAAATTGACTGAGCTGTTTCGAGCTGCACCTGCGCCAGCAGTCAGCGAGATTCACGAAATGCAAGGGCGCTGCTTTTATACATCCAGGGCCGGGTGCTTGGGTTTCCCAAAAAGCCAACACAGCGCACTTGTACATATATAAAGGCGATTCACAGCAAAAAACGGAGCAATAATCATCTGCTGACGGAAGCATCCCGATCACTTTCCGCGACATCCAACGCCAATTCATCGTCATGCACTACCACATTCACACGCAGTCTAGCCATGACACTTAACGCACTTCCAATCATGCTATTTTCAGACTATCGGAAACGCAAGCGAGCGCGGTTTTGGATCAACGAACACCAAAAGATCGAGACCTCTGGCTTGCAACTGGCAAACTACAGATTGCAGATTCACATCAGCAGCAATTCACAATTTGCAACACTAACTGTGACTAACAGCACAGTAGTCCAACAAGATCCAGCTTGTTAATTCCTAGCGCTGCCGCCAAACGTTGTAGATTCAGCGAATGCCAAAAGAGTCAGTCAATAACTGGAAAATTTTAAAATATGACAAATAATATTATATGAGAAGCAAAATTTTGTTGAAATAAAGCAAAAACACCAACCTAAAAAGCAGTAAAACGGCCAAAATTTCCGAAAAGCTGAATAAATACGTAGCGAAACGAGCCACACTATGTACCCCAGGAATATGCGGGGGATCACATTCTGTTCCAAAAATAGAGCTCTTGTTTCGGCTTACGTTACAATTACGAAAGCATTTTTTATTACGCATTTTTTCATTTAAAATAACAAACCAAAATTTTTATACCACAAAATTTTTATACCACAAATTTATATACCAATGACTCTTTTCCGAAAAAGTTTTTTTCGAAAAGACTCGTTTTGCAAATATCTGTTCAGACCCATCTGGCTCATTCGGCACGCTACGAGTGTGCCGGAAGCTTTGCCACGAAGTGAGTCATGAGCGACTGCTCTTTGTGGTGTCAATGATGTCATCCGTCATTGCTGCTTGACTCCGCACGTGTTTAAAACGTAAACATACAGCAGATGAAATCGCAAGTGACGGCAAGTCTTTTTTAAGTCTTCTAAACCGTTTTACTAAACATCGATATCCTAGTTCTAATAAAAATTTTTGTTGTTTTGGAAGTATAAGTTTGCTGTTTATATATTTGGCTGTTTATATAGTTTGCTGTTTATACCCCCATTTGGCTTAAATGTGGACGATTCGTTAAAGAGGGAAATTGTAAAACAATTCTGCTTGAATACTTATTCGATTGCTCGAAAACTGACTCAGGTAATTTTAAATTTCGCTTTAAAAGCTTATCGGTTGCAGATCTTTTTTGAAACATCAATGTATTATGTATGTAGCTAATCGCCGGCAAACTAATGGTAAGTTTTTATTATAGTGTATTATTTATGTTGTGAGTTAACCTGCTTTTACCTTTACCTAGACATAGTTGTTAAGGAACTGTTTGCTAGTAATTCAGAGCTTGTGCAACGCGAGATAGAAGAAATAAAACGTTCGTAAAAATTTATTTAAAACGTGTTTCGTTATTGTTCTTGGTTAAAAATAAAAAAATGACTGTAATATTTTTCTCTAAGATCCTTAGCGGTTTCTGGAGTTGAGTTATGGAAATTCTGCGGAATAATTTTATTGTGCATGTCTGCAGGGATTAGCATGAAACTGGGTGCGTGGGTAAACAGTGGCGGTCGTGCAGCAGGTAAGCGTCGCGGAACAAAAAGGACCGTAATTTATAACTATCTTTATATCATAATTATGGTTTTATGAAATGTTTCCTGCACAGAATCTTCATTTGCTAACCTAATGAAGCTTTAGCTTCTTTAGCTGCTTTACCTTCCTAATGAAGCTATCCAGGCCCGCCACAAGGTTTTTGGAAAGGGCGCAGTTTTGCCAAAAATGCGCCGGGAGGGGGGGGGCGCACCATTTTTTTGCCCGCCGCCGGGGGGCGCTTAATAAAAAAAATTATTTTTAATTTATTTTTATTTTTGAACCGTATTTTGGCCCGACAAAAACCGTCGATCGGTAGATGGTACTATCCTGTGTCTGGTTTTAAAATGTGTTTGAAGCTTTGTGAACACGCAGATTACTAAATTCGAACCACAAATTTCAAATTTCATTAATTTGTATATTAAAAAAATTAAAAACGTACGGAACCAGGGCAGTAAAATCTGCGCCGGGGCGGCGGAGCCCTTCTCGGCCGTCAGGACGGCGCGCCGGGGGGGGGCGGTCAAAAATCCGGGAAAGGGGGGGCGACCGCCGGTGCGCCCCCCCCCCTTTCTGGCGGGCCTGAAGATATCTTCCTAAGTATTGCGAGAAAAAGAACCTTTACACAGTTTGCGCTATGTGTTATCATACTTACTACGGTAGGTTACGAATTAACAGTTAGTGAATAAAAATATCTGTAATAAATACATGTATGTGTTTACGTTGCAGACTTACAGTAGTTCTTCGCACAGATTATTTCTTAATAAATTATTTTTAAAATAAATTAATAATTATTCTTAAATAATCCTAAATAATTATTTCTTAAATAAATTAATGATGGTGAAGGGTTTGCGTATTAACTACGGTATAAAGGCTGTATTTTTCCCGAACGAGGCTTATCGCATCACAAACTTAGTACATAATATTATCACTTGTAAGATTATGATTAACCATGTAATGGATGTAAAATACATAAAATTAAAATTTCAATCATGGTTGCATCGATTCGAGCCGGCGACTGCAAGATTGTATGTTCTTACTATGTTTATTTTTTATTGTTGGCGTTGCATCGACATGTACAAATATGTACATAGGTACAAACTTCGTAGTTAATGGAAGGTGTTCTTTCTCATGAAGTCACCTAGCAGTCTTGGTCAAGACGCTGTCAACATCGCTGGTTGATACGCGTGTTTTGTGCCCGGAAATGGGCTTTTCCGTTTGTGTCATCGGCAGCGTGCAGCCGACGTTTAGTTGCTGTCGTGACCATTGTCGGCTTTTTCTGGGGGATCTTTCCTGTACGAGCACCTAGTTCATAAATCGTTTTAACGGACGTTTATAAGAATTAAAACGTTTCACACATAAGTTTTAGGCTTAATGTGCGCACAATTTTGTTTTACCGGATTGTTTGCTGTGCTTGGTACAGCTTCGAAAAGTTTTTTTTCGATCTTGGGGATCTAATTCTCCTTTGGACATTTGAAGGGTGTTGGCATTGAGTGCAGACGCTGTGCAGTCGAGCATTTCTTTATGGTTAGTTCTCTAAATTTTAGATTTACATGCATAATGATACTGCCGTGCATTGAAAGGGTTATATTTACAATTGCTAATCACAATTCGACGCGATTCGATTGTTACCTTCCGTAATTGCATAATCGTCCTTTCAAAAATGGTCACAATTTGTCCGCGAACGAATACCTGGATTTTTTCGCCATGACTAATCAGTCACCTTCAGTCTTCACGTTGCCGCAGTTCATTTTTGGTCGATAGTTCATTGGTTGGCGTGTATATCAGATTACTTCATGGTGATATCAGCCACGATCTGTGTTGCAGCGATCATATGTTTCTTTGTAGTCGAACTGGTTTTAACCGTTTAACCTTATAATATATTGCGTTTCGTAATCGGTGCATAAACCGGCCATACACACTACGCAGTACGCAGCAACGCACACTCGAATGCAAAATTGGCGTTTTCTCTATATTTTGTACGGTTAATTGTATAACGTTAACAGAACAACGTTTATAGAACACGAGATCCATTTGGATAGTTGGGACAATATGGCTTCGCAGAATCGGCGTTTCCGGGAACCATGGGAAGTGCTTCGGCATCTGCACCGGGGCTCGTCGGAAGTGGACTGGTGCGAGAGTAACTACGTGGTGTCCCCCACCATCGCCGAGTTTGTCAATACCGTCAGCAACATTTTGTTTATTGTTATCCCGCCGCTGCTCATCGTCCTTTTCCAGCAGTATGCTAACAGTGTTAAAAACAAGGATATCTACCTGATTTGGACGCTGCTCATTGGGGTAAGTCAGCAACTCTAGAGTAGCTCTTTATTTGGAAGATAATTTGCAATGGAAGCTGTTGCCGTTAACTGCCTAATTGAACTATGAGAATTCCCATTATTTCATTCGGCATTTTTTCTCTCTGTGATCACAATGTTGAGTTTTATGTGAGACAAACTATGGTGCTAAATTATTTAAAATGATTTGAACTGGCAAATCTTTAGTGCGATTTATATAAATGCAGTTCTACAGTATGTGTAGCCATGTACGGAGTACGAATATGTTTGTTTTCTCTACTTCCGGTTGCGTAATGCGTGCTAATAATTTGGAAACTCGATTTGGTGCAGCCCGTTTCCGCTGTATTTATGTTGTACCATTGCCGTTACTCCAGGAGTGCGAGCGGAATGAATGAACATTCCTCTCTTAAGAGGAATGTTCATTCATTCCTCTCGCACTCCTAGAGCAACGGCAATGGTTGTACAGTACAGTACCTAAATTTGTGTTTGACCGTTTACATTGTCCTACAGGTCGGCTTGGCCTCCGCATATTTCCACGCCACCCTGAGCTTCGCCGGGCAGATGTTAGACGAGTTGGCCATCCTGTGGCTAATTTGTGCCGGTTTCGGGATCTGGATGCCTCGGCGCTATCTGCCGTCGTATCTCCAATCTAACCGCCATCTCTTCAAGTGGACTATGTTCGGACTGACGGTGTTTGGCAGTGTGCTAGCCTGTGTAAAACCAGTTATCAATGCTTTCGCGCTGATGGCGTTTGGATTGCCCATCACTGTTCTTCTCGTTATTGAGATGCGAAGGTCAGTCCTCTTTTTTCTGTGATTTTCGGAATATTTTTGGCCTATGCATTCGCGTTTCTTTGAAAGCAATTTGTGATGAGTTGAGCTTGTTTACTGCAGCAGTTTTGTGATTTTACGTTTGTCGTTTTCCTTAGAATCTGTGAGGTTACTTTGTCTTACACTCATTTTGCAGTTTAATGGTTTGGGTTTTTATCGGGTAATCTGTTTTCGAAGTGTGCTGCCACGATTTGCCAGATTTCAGTGATATTTTCGTGACTAAACCTTTCCAGGACATCATTCCTACTGACTAAAGCTGATCCAAAATGTTTTAGTAAAAAGTTTCTGCTTTATTAAGTTTCGGTTTTATTCATAATAAATTCTAGGTAATTGTGCTAGCAAAAATTTGGCGAAGCTTAAAATATAACATTTGCCAGTGGATGTCATAAATGGATTATATTGGGCTGTTTCTTGCAGATGTCGCAATGCCCGTATCCATCAACTGGCCTCGCGTACCATGGCCTTATTTGCCGCGGCTGTTATCTGTTGGATTAATGACAGGTCCTTGACACACTTCTCAATAATCTAATAAACTGCGCTCCTATATTCTTTTGTTTTACAGACTCTTCTGTGACGTGTGGACGAGAGTAAGTGTACAAAAGTTCGGCTTCGGATTTCAGCAATCTAACACTGAACTCCGCGTTGCAGTTACATTTTCCTTATCTGCACGGATTTTGGCACATCCTGGTGTTCCTAGCTTCCTACGCTTGCTGCGTTCTCTTCGCCTACTTTGACGCCAAAGAAGTGGCACCACAACTGGCGCCCCGGTTACGGTACTGGCCTGTGGACACATTTGAATTTGGGATTCCTTACGTGACCCTCGATGAGACGAGCGAGGATCAGTCGCTGGCAAAACTCCATCACTTTTGATTGGAACCCGAAAAAGAATGAGACGTGACCCGGTGTGGTCTGACTAGCACGTTACCAAAAATAATAATACGTTTCTCTCCTAATTAGTTGAATCAGTACCGTATGTCTGTGATCTCATTAAGAGTCCAGTGCAAAATTGCGTTTCAAACTGGATGTATTTACTCATGTGGATGTGCTGTTTAGAAATTAATCATTCTTCTTTTATTGTCGTCACGCGAGACTTTGTTGTAGACCTGTAGTATACCCTATCTTTTCTTTTTAAATAAAAACCCCAGTTATATATTCGCAAAATGCGCTATCTTAAGATGACTGAAAGCTGTTGCAAAATACACATCAGTGACATCACCCAAAAACCGGTAAAAACTGGCAAACACATTTTCAACCGGAAATCACCCGCAAATGGTCCCCAACAAGCAGCCGATCTCACGGCTCTGCTCAGTTGACTTTGATTTGACTGTGCATGAGCGTTTTCATCTCCAGTTTGAGTGAGTTCTGGAAAAGATCCGCTCGGTTCTGTTCCTCCCCCTTGTGCACCCAGTGGCCGTACATGCGGAAGGCCGCCACGTCCACCATCTTGCGGACGACGCGGATCTTGTAGGGATCACGCTGCACTTGTACCCGCGAGATGGGCTGCGGCGTGATGCGCAGCCGCCGTAACCGAGTAACTGCTCGCACCAGCAACAGGCTGCGTTTAAGACGCAGCCGTGCCGCCACATGCACGTCCAGATGGGTCTTGATCTGGAAGAAATCGTGTTGCAGGGCGGCGGCTGCAGTGATGCGTTGGTGGGGATCCACGGTCAAGAGACGGCGGATCAAATCTTTCGGAACGTCGCCCACGTCCGCCCACTCTGGACTGGCGAAGGAGTATTGACCTAGAATTAACAGTTATCAGTTAGCTGCAATTTCCACTACTGCAGTATTAAAATCTGCAGCATATATGAAACAAGGAAGCAATTCGCTGACTACAGAGTGCGATATATTGTATACAGAATACATGATGTGCGCTACTGTGGCATCGCGGCAAAAGGTTGTTTAAAAGCCGATACTGTACCGGAAAAGTTATGGGAAAAATAACGTCTTTAGAAGCGTATGTGTCGTCGAAGACATTGATCTAATGCAAGCAAGGACTTTCGTTAGACGTATGTACGAATACTGACAAAACCGATTTCAAATCATAAGATAATCTAATTATCTGTTGTTATATCAGCGACAAAACTATTCCAGGGCGACCCAATCTACACTCAAATTCCGAATGCATTAAAAATTAAACAAATAGTTAACCAATTGGGCTTTCAGAATCTTTTCAAGAAGCATTTTTTCATTGTTCCTCAGAGAATTCAACAAAGCAGCAATGTCGAACTTGAATTACCTTCCATAATATGGCGCAGCATAACCATCTGTTTGCGGTGCCAGAAAGGCGGATAACCTGCCAGCAGTGTGTACATGATGACTCCGCAGGCCCACAGATCCACCGGTTTCCCGTAGGGCGCCTGCTTCTCGTACATGTTGGCCCGTAATACTTCCGGGGCCAGGTAGCCCGGTGTGCCGCACAAATCCGTCAAACCTGTTGCACAATCAGACAGATCAATAGGACACGCAGTCATCCACGCTACATGTCTAGCACGTGTACAACCGGTATATTGCACAGTACCTAATTACTGCCACAGTGCGAAACATTTCCTGCTGATTCAGCACATTCTCTCGGTGACCTTCCAGGTACCGCGCATGCGTGACCGTGCAGGTGTATCACCATGCACGATCAGCATATTGCAGTGTTATTTCAAAACACTGACGATAGCGAATGTTTGTTATTAAACATATACTATCGTCGTGATAGTGGAATCTTCACCACCAGTGTCAAAAAGCCAAAGCTAGCGATATCAAGCGTGAATACATACTGAGTGCAGTTACATAAACTGCACAGCACGACCGCTAATACGTTGTTCGACGCATTACTGTAAGTATAAATGAAAAATCATGAACTTATTGCAATGATCATATGATTATTGTTAGCTCGTATTGTACACGCACAAATACGTATGGGCATGTTATAAAGTGTACTCTAGGAGAGCTCGAGATTTTTATATTTTAACAGACACGTCAGGCAAGAATACGAGGAGAACAGCACACTTCAGCGAAGTGAAGTGACTTCACCCACCTTGTTGTTCATCGGTGAGCATGGCGGCGAAGCCGAAATCCGTGACCTTGACGTTGAGTTCGTCGTCCATGAGAATGTTCTCCGGCTTGAGATCGCGGTGGACGACATTGCGGTCGTGGATGAAGCGCACGGCGCCCAGCAGCTGCTGCATGATGATGCGTGTCTTTTTCTCGCTGAGCGTCACCACACGGTTCAGGTAGTCGAACAACTCGCCTTTCCGGCACAACTCGAACACCAGGAACAGGAAGGCCGGCGAGATGAACACGTCGTGCAGCTCGATGATGTTGGGATGGCCGGCCAACAGCCGCAACGCCTGGATCTCCTGCAACCGGCAATGCAAGCACCGTTAATCAACTGAACATGTGAGCTAAACTTCCATATAAATAAATAACAGGAGGAAATGGGCTTAAGTCCACAATCACAGGCGCAGCTTCGATATGGATTATTAGTCTAATCAGAAGAAACAACACAGAAACCGCAAAAATCATTTCAGCTAATCAAAAAAAACCAAATATTAGCAATAAAATAAATATGCAATACGTCAACTGCACCGCTGTGCAAAAAAACAAAAATGTACGATGAAAAATTCATTTAAAGAGGCATATGGACGCTGAATAAATTTTATACAATTCAGTGATCTGATAATACAATACAAAAACAGAGCGAAGTGTGGTAGGACGAGTTTAGCATCATTAAGGCGCAAATTTGTACTTACCTTCATGGCGGCATCGTAGATATCGCGGGCCTCCTGACTGTCGGGATTGACGTCGCCGTTGACGTCGATGACCTTGACGGCGTACTCCCGTCCGGTGTCCTTCTCCACGCACAGCCGCACCACACTGCTGGCGCCACGCCCCAGAATCTCCTTGGCCTGGTATTTGGCGTAGAATTCCGCCGCCTGCTGTCGCTCCGGCAGTTCATCGTGCTCCTCGTGGAAACTGTCCAGCATGCCCATCATCCTGCCCGATCACCCGAATGCCGATCGAGGCGGCCGAAACAATGATAGTAGTGAGAACACCTGCAATTAACCGTAAGTAATACCCAGCACATTCACTAATACACATGCGGTAGGCATTTCGCGATTGGACAAAAGCGGAATTACATAATCGTGCTGTTTATAGCGTGCCGATTCCGGTCTGCGAAACAGAAAAACTAACAGTAAGCGTAAGTTGGTAACTGAAGTCACCGATTTTCCACTGATTGTAATGGCTGTAAAGGTGTATTTAAATTTACGATTAATGTAATGCTATTTTTTCACGTGCGCTTACTATTAACTAACTGCATTTAGTTCGGCAGAAAAACAGACCAGTTTCAAAACTTCACGATGCACGTATAGTTTTGTCACTTGTCGCTGAACAGTGAGTTTTAATAATTTAAAAATCGTGTACACTACATCACACTAGCTATATTATTATGTACATTAAGTCCTAAAATTAACAGAGCAAGATTGCTTGTGCTGCGTACTTTTCGAAGGAAGAGGTAGGCTCTGGCCAGAATGATTACAAAGAGATTAGATTATTAATCGGTAAATAACGTGAATCCGTGCCAAACAGGACCACTGTGAGTTGGCAGGAAATGCGCTGCAAATTCCCACAATACTGCGATCAGCTGATTGCCATTTAAAAACCGCCACCTGCTGGCGCCGCACGATTTATCATGGATCCCCGCTAGACACTCCTCGTAGGATGCGGATTGATGTATCAATCGATGGATAACCTGCAATCCAATCAAACGGAGATTCCACAAGAAGCAGTCTTGCTCACAAAATCACCACGATGCCAAATTGCCAAGGATATTCTGCAGCGACCACTGAACATGTGCAGTCAGCGGAAGCCACTAGTGTCTAACAGCAGCTCGCTAGAATTGTTAATACCGTATGCAAGTGGCAAGTCCATCATATTTTTCACACATTTCGTTTTACAAGTAAATAAGCTAGATGATAGTTCTCGTAGAGATTTCCCGATGGTGCCTTTGCGTCTGAATTCTTATCCTAGAGTCAAGAGTGCATGACACATTTTGATGACGTTCGCTTCTAGTGCACTAACAACTATTGTACATTTAATACTGCGATGGCTTGGTGTGGTATGTATTTTGGACCGCTGGTAGAGCGCGCGTCTCGCGGCGTATGTACGGTACTTATCTGTACATTCAAAACGGAAGTTATCTCGTCGGCGATGATATCAAGTCGCGTGAGAAACACAGAAAATTTAAGTGGCCGGTGTATTTCACCTTCCACCATCAAACCCGGTGAAACACCGGCATCGTTCTGTGTTGCCCTGTGTATAATACTACATAGTGTGTACGGCAGAATAGTGCTCGTAAATTTGGCGTTCGCATATCCTGCAATTTTGATAAATTTAAAAAAAATTTTTTTCAAGTAATTATCATTACCGAAATAATTCAGCACATTATGTAATGTTGCACGTTAGTGACGTTACCGTGGCAGTGCTGGCACAGAAAATGCGCAACCCAAAATACTCCTAATCGATCAGTGACTAATTTTTTGACTACAAAGTATTTTGCAGTGAGTATTATTCCATCAGTGCAACGTTCCCAGTTATGGCGCAAGTGAAATCGGTATGCAACGATTATTGTAGTCAAAAGTCGGATCTTCTGCTGTGTATTAAATAAAGACTTGTGTATTAAATAAAGACTTGTAAAATGTAAACGGGCTGGTTGGCAAAACATAATCCAAACTTCCGGTCGGATATAAAGATTAACTCGAAGATCAGGTGTCGGTGGGCAGATTTGTTAGAACTTGAATTTGTTGTCGCGAAAACTGGAACCCGACGTCGCCTGACAGCGATGCGGATCTACAACCTTTTTTCAGTCGTTGACTCGGCGCACTTCCATCCTGTGCCAACTTTTTATGCCGCGGTTGTCCCGGCAGGCCGGCCCAAATATCGTTGCATACTACTTTGTAGTACAGAGTACGTGCTCCGACCGGAGGTGTGTCGCATAGCGCCAACACCAGAAAAGTGCGATGCTCCCTTTCGACAAATGTGTGTTACACCAATAAAATTCTATCTCTGACTATCATCGCTGCAAAAGCGATCCGCACAAAGATAAACGTGATCGTCTGCCGTGGTAATCGAGAGCGGCATTAAGCGGTGTTTATTTCTGGATAAAATAACAGTAAATAGAGGGTTACCGACCTTCACCATCCCCGCATGTCGGTAGACAACAAATTCGTTCGATGACGGCATCTGATACAATAAATACAAACGGGCAAAATAAAACCACGTAAAAATTACCACTTCGAGAATTTAACGTTACACTTCAAAATAAACAACAATATGAAAAAGACATTCAAGAAAATATGGAACAATGAGGTGCAGGCCATCAATGGCAATGCGTCTACGTTCCGTAATACTTGACCGTCCGATCCAGACTACAGCTGACCAGGTAGCCGGCGTTGGGCCCGAAACGCAGTCCGGTTACTTCGGCCGCGTGTCCCTCAATCACCACCGAATCGCTCCATTCTTTGCAACGGTACAAGCGGACGTCGGTGCCGGCCACACCCAAATACGATGCGCTCTGGTCCACCACGACATCGTGCACCTGCAAATAAGTCGCAGCAATGAAATATCATTCATCCAGTTCAACAGCAGGAACAGAAAATCGAAATTCTACTTTTATAGACATGTTTTGCAGATGTATTAAAAAAAACTTTATAATTATGCCATTACATAAAAGTAAAAGTCCATAAAGCCAACTACTTTAAGGAAAAATCTGGACAAAAAGGAGCTGTTTCAGACACAAGGGGTTGCGCAAGTGTTCTCCACATTGACTCAATTCACTCGCAGCGTCAACAGTGCTTGCAAGAGCGCCTGCAGCATTGCAGTGCTAACATGGTAGACCAGTCATACAGATGCCGCACTGTTTTCACATGCGCTTTCTCCACACTGCAGCCGCCGCAAGTGCTCCCTACTCCCCACTGCAGTCAGCTGGAAACTATCATCATAACAACACGCTCCACAATTAATAACAAGCTCGTATCCCATAATGAGTGCCACTGCACCACGCTATCACTTTTGCACGAACTAATTATACTTGCAAAATTTGTTCGCAGTGTTTATTTTGCAAAAGAAATTACAGACTGTATTTGTTTTCTTGTTGTACAATGTACCTTATAGTTGGCGGGAAGTTTAAATTCCTGCAGTGTCTTCAGTTTACGGAGATCCCAGACACGCACGGAACAGTCAGCCGCCGCGCTAACGAGATGGTAGCCGTTCTCAGAGAACGCCAGTCCCGACACAGCGTCCATGTGTTCCACGAAGTTGGCCACGTTAGTACCTTCACGAATATCCCAGATCCGAATAACACCAGCGTCTGTGCCCACTCCCAGAATCATGCCATCTGGATGGAACTGCGCTGCCGTTAAACCTGCAAAACAAAAACGTTCCGTTCCCACTACAAACTCAAAAACCGCAAATATTTACCAATCAAAAACGGATTTCCAGGTTACCCACCTTGATTTTCAGGATCTTTTTCCACACGATAACATTTTCCCAGCACTGCATCCGTGAATGCCCAAGCCTAAAAGCAAGCAAACATCACCAAAACTACTAATCCGATGGACCGAAATTTCGATACTGAAAAACTCGTTCTGCGAATGTCAAACATGTAGGATTGTATTATACTGTATACGATTTTTAATTTATGTGAACCAAATTCTCCATCCATGATAGACTCCAAATTTTCCCATTTAGGTCCCAAGAAAACGTTAAAAAGTCCCAAAGTGATGAAAAATGTCAACTTACTGTGTCTCGCGATGCTGTAAGAACGTAATCCCTGGCCGGATGGACATGCACAGCCGTAACTGGACCTCGGTGGAATCCGAACGGTGCCATCGCTGCTTCCTTCTGATCGACATTCCATACCCGGAAGGTGCAGTCATCCGACGCACTCACGACAAAATTCTGTCAAAGCATCGCACTTCGCCGTTTCTTAAACATGACTGAACAATCTGGTAATTCACTTACGCGATTGGGAAGGAATGCCACTCTGTTAATGCGGTCAGCATGCCCCCTGAGATTGGCCACAACCTTTTCCGTGTCGCCTTTTCGCTCGTGGACCACCACCATCTTATCGTTACCACCGGTAACGCAGGTGCTGTGCGCCCGTTGGCTGTCATTCTCCGCGACTTGCACATCGATACAAGTGATGCCGGGTGTAGAGGCGCTGTGGAGACCCTGAAAAAATAGACGAGCGATATTATTACTCATTACTATTCAGTAATCTCGTGAAAGACTCCTGTTCGTCACCGTGCAACAAAATCTTACCGAAACTGAATGGACTGCACGGAACGTTTTCAGTTCATCCCATCCGACTAAGCCTTCCGGAGCTGGTTCGCCCTTGCGGAACTGTTAAATAATACAATATGAAACAAACTGTCGAAATTTTCTATAAATCAAAGCCTTTTACCTTCTTTTTTCGCTCCGCTGTCAATTCCGCATTGCGAGCCGTGATCTACAACATTTTAAAGATTAACTGAGAAACAAGAACTACCACAGTCGATATCCGTCAGCTTACTTCGGACAAAATACTGTTAGAGATTTACTGAAAAATAACATACTGTAATTACTGCAAAATTTAAACTTTTATAATACGTATTACACAACAACAGTAAAAATTATTCAAACATTTGTTAACACCAATCTTAACCATTATAAAACATTTCCATCACATTCCGTGGAGCTAATCTCGCTGCTAGCGCATTTTCAACACTGGCATGTACCCAGTAAAAACCGGAAGTACAGTGGTTAAAAGGGAAGCAACCAACAAGAAATAAACATCTGCTTCTTAAAACGCTTAAACACAAACAAGATATTGTCATCCTGAAAAAAACATTATACAGGATTCCGGATGCAAAGTCTTACCTTGGTGAGAACATCCTCCGGAATGCCCTGTGGCTCAACCGGCTCGGGCACGGCTGCCACTTGGGGCGCGCTGGCGAAGCCCTCCCGTCCGAGCGCCGACTGCTGATGCGGCTTCAAATGCGCCAGAGCGTCGCGTGCAGCACTCAATTCCTTCTGCTGCCGCGAGATCACACGGCACGCGGCATCGTGCTGGTAAAGGGCGTGTGATAACTCTGTAACAGTATTAAACGTAAATCTGTAACAGCGGTCAACTTAATTACAGTACTACACCGTTCCTTGTCTTAGTCCGAGGCAAACAACCGCATCCATGGAAAAGCTTACCTTGACGCGTAGTCTGTAGCTGCTGCTTCATTGCGTGATTATACAGCATCAGCGCATCCTAGACACAAATAGATCACTGAAACTGAGTTGCGGTATTACTGAATAGGGGAGGTTTACCCATTCGTCCTGCAGGGTCTTGAGTAATCCGGGAATACCAGCCATGGTGGGGATCTTGGGTCGCACGACGCTGCTCGCTGCAGTCAGTACACAATTCAGTTTTATCCGTTTTCAAACCAATACAGACCATCTTACTTTTAATCTCGATCAGCTGCTCCTTGGCCAGCGGCTGCCCGTTAATAGGATCAGTGCCATACTCCTCAATGTACTTCTCCACGAGGCGTTTCTCGAACACACTGCCAGAGACAGATGACACGACTGGCTGCTCCGGAATCTCGCGGCTCACTAGGTACAATAAGCGCAATAACCCTTAGTTTATGATTACGCCGATGAAAGCTTAATGGGAGAAATAAAAACATAAAATTAGAGAAGTCCGATTAGAGAACATTAATGATCGCGATCAAAGGAAACCGTGGAGAACCACGCCATAGTTCCTGATTATTACTTACGCGCACAGATCAACGACATTTCGCCGAGGAATCTTCCGCACGTTACGGAGCCACAAGGGAATCTTCGGGGGAACACAAGTTCCGTGAATTTATAAATGAATAATCCGATTTCTTTTGAAGAAACCGTACGAGTACGAGTCGAATAAACCAAAACTGGTAAACAAATCTGAAATCAGAATAACTGAAAAGTAAGAAATCAAAAAGCAGCGTCCAAAATCAAACGCTGAGTCGGCCATTGGGATGCCATTGCCGATTTGGCGATGTTCATCGGCAACCCAGGGTGGTTGCTGTTAAGGCGCTGATTAGCGGAGGCGGTTACGTGTGACCACGTGGATGACAAAATCGGATTTGAAATCTAATTCTTCTTCAGCTGCAATTTGCGAAACTCTGCACTTCAGTTTCATGCGAACTTTAACTTGGTTTTGTCTTTTAATGTGATCACATTTTGGATCGATCACGAAAATGGCTGCTCATCGGACCCGTGCCAAAGCCAGTGCGTCGCCGTCATCCAACGGAAGCAGCCTTAACGTGGTGTTCGTGCATCCCGATCTGGGCATCGGTGGTGCGGAGCGTCTCGTCGTAGACGCTGCTGTGGCACTGCAGAGCAAGGGCCATTCCGTCCGCTTCCTCACTGCTCACCACGACCCCTCTCACTGTTTCCCGGAAACCCGCGACGGCACTCTGGAAATCTGTGTCGTGGGTGACTGGCTGCCGCGGTCTTTAGGCGGACGACTGCACGCGCTGTTCGCCTACCTGCGCATGATCGTCTGCGCAGTGTGGCTCATCGGCTGGAGTGGCTGGCAGTATGATGTCGTCTTCTGTGATCAGGTGTCAGCCTGCATTCCCGTGCTGAAATGGAGCGGAAAGCCGGTGATCTTCTACTGCCATTTCCCCGATATGCTCCTGACGCAGCGGGCTTCGTGGTTGAAGCGACTGTATCGTGCGCCCATCGACTGGCTGGAAGAGTGGACGACGGGAAAAGCAGACTGCATCCTCGTCAACAGCAAATTTACCGGTAATTCTCTTTATCATTAGGTGTTTCCGTATGTCAGGTTCTCTTTTCCTGTTCTTGTGATGTGCTACCGACTGTTCACGTTGTCTGCAGTCTGCACTCTGCACATTATCAGTTGTTTCAGTTCCCAAATAATAGTGATTAAATCATTAATTTATATATATTTAATTATGAATGAGTTATGGTGGTATGATCGGTAATTTAACTTGTTCGATTATCGTTATTTATTGTTAGTTATTGTTTAATTCAGGAAATTTTTTATACATTTTCATGGTTTTGTGGTTCCGATTATTTTTGTTGATTGTTGACTGCGTGATGTGACGAACTCGACATTTCGTTACGAATTTTCTGAAGAATCGGTATTTTTGCGGATTGAGTTAATTATTGTGTTTACCGTTTTTAGATGGAATTTTCGAAGATACTTTTCATTCACTGAAAGGAGCGCGTCGTCAAGTCTTGTATCCATCGTTGCATTGCTCAACGTTTGATCGCTTCCAGCCGGCCGACGGACGCCATGCGCAACTTCCGACAAGCGCGGATTATGTATTTCTGTCGGTTAATCGCTACGAAAGGAAAAAGCAAGTGGAACTTGCCGTGGCTGCCTTTGGTATGCCCGCTAAAAACTCGATCCTACGTTAAATTTTTGCAGCCTACGTATTGCTGAATCTGAATTACATTTTTTTTGTAATCATCTGCTGACTGTGCTTCCGAACACAGTATTTTCTCTAAGAGATTTAGCTGACTGCTGCTGATAGGCTTTAGTGATGGGATCTGAGCTGTCTTTTACTGGTGTTCGTTGAATTTCTCTATTATTTTGAAGATTGGTCTGCCTTGCAATCTTACTGCTATCCATCATTCTCCATAGAGTACGCTTTCTTAAATATCTTCCGCTTTTAGAAAGCAGAATAACCTACATAAAAAGTTGTTTTATTTTTCCAGCAACACTGCAGCATTTGCTTCCCTGTGAACTGACTCTCCACCACGGTCGGAAGAACGCTAAAATCCATCTGGTCATCGCCGGGGGCTACGACGAGCGGGTGCCGGAAAACCGCGAATACCATCAGGATCTGGTTGACCTCGTGGAACAGCTGGGTCTGAGTGGTCACGTGACGTTCCTGCGCTCCATTGACAACTCAGAGAAGCTGCAGCTTTTGCACGACTGCACGGCGCTGTTGTACACTCCCAGCGGAGAGCACTTCGGGATCGTTCCCCTGGAAGCCATGTACATGCGCCGCCCGGTGGTGGCGGTGGCTTCCGGCGGCCCCTTGGAGACCGTCCGGCACGGTGAGACGGGATTTCTGTGCGACGGCACTGACGAGACGCTGCAGGAGAACTTTGCAGAGGCCATGAAGAAGCTGGTGGAGACGGAGGGGTTGCGCGACAAGATGGGCACCGCTGCCCGAGAGCACGTCGTCAGTAACTTTTCCTTCAACGCCTTTACCACGCTCCTCGATAACATTGTCAGAAAAGTAGCGACTGGTTAATGTTACGGATTATGGTGCGATCACGCGTGTTGTTCTCAACGAGTTCTTTTGTAAATTGATTTCCGGATTGGGATTCTCACTAGAATTTTCTGGAAATTTTTTATGATCATGGTTGTGTCGTAGTCAAATTGTTTTTTTCCCATGCGAAAAAGTAACTTGCCAACATCTAAAACTTTTTTGAATTCCGATACTTCCAGTTCCGTACAATGTCTTTTAACAAGGAAATTGTTTTATTTTTTTTATGCCTTGCTGGTTCATTGTTTCTTTGCTTTTAAATGATTGAGAAGCACATCCCAGTGATCGCGACCAGCGATACTGGGAATACTTTTAAGCCCCAAATAAACTTCATAACGAACACAAGCTGCAAATGCACACGCGAAGCCTCATCACAGATAAACGCCACAGCAAAACTTGCATACACTCAATCAGTCCGAATTAAATGAACACCTAATTTTACTATCACTATCACACTGCCCGTTGCAACGGGGCGGTCGCCTCGCCCGGCTGGACGACCGGTTTGACCGGCACCGCGTCGTCATAATGCGACAGCGCCGTGTGACGTCCCTCAGCGGCCATCCACATCCGCTGACAATTAAGGGTCCGCCGGCGCGTCACATTCCAACTGACGATGGATGCCACCAGAGCGGCGGGCAGGAGAAAGTGCTTGCGCTGGTAGAAGGCCGGAAGGCGCTTCCGGTTGAGCTCCTGTAGGAAGTACACCGCGGCGAAACCTACACAAATAATTAAAAATACAAACAGTTTTGCAAAGTAAACTGTACTTATTGTTTTAAAATTAACGCCTCGGCGAGTTTTAAAATTAACGCCTCGGCGACATCAATATCAGAGTCATCAGATTTAAAAAATCATAAATTAATGGTTTTTCCAGGATATGGCCGGCATCACAAATCTGCGAGCATCGCGAACGTACAGAGCATGGTTCTTTGCATGGTACAGATACAGTACTTCTATGGTTATTTGCATGGTGCATAACAAAACTGTCAAATTACACAAAATATCAACAGTTAATAATGTTAATTTTACAAATCTGGGAGACTCACCTAGCGTAAAACTAGACAATCCGACCATGAATGCTCGACTCTGACATTCCAGATACGTCGGAAAGGCCTACAATTGTACCGCAAAGGACGAAATAAACAATGAAGAACATCAAAAGAGTGAAAAGACACTAAGAAATCAAGAAATTATTACGAAAAACAATAATGTTCCATGAAACTCACAGGATATTGCCCTTTATACTGTTCGGCCACTTCTTTCATGTTGTTCATCTTGAATGCGCAGGATCAAACATTTAAACACGAATTCATGGATGAGACCGAGTAGCCTCAGAAATCCCAGAGTAACAGGCAAAGCTCAGAAACCCATTTCTGCTTGCAGGCTGGTGCAAATGTACCGCAGATGTGCCTCATTCGCACAAGTGACAAGTACCTCCTGATAACTTTTTGCCCAGATACAAAAGCTCCAGAAACGAGAAGAACGCTTTCTGCCTGTCCGTTTGAGCTTGGTTATCGTCTTTAAAACTTTTGTTTTTCCTTTTTAAAGTAATGCGAGAACGAAAAACAGCGAAAATGTGGACAAATTAAGTTCAGACAGGCAAAAATAAAATGAAAAATGAGATGGCAGTCAGGCAGATGTCAAGGTAAATCTTGGGAAATCGTCGCATCCCTGGGCGGTTGCAACCCGCATTTTAAAACAGCCCACTTACGAATTTTCAGAAGCGCATTTTGGCAGTCTGTTAGGCTGTGTTAGCAGTGTTCTTTAGAATGTGTTGTTTTGGTTTTGTTTTTACCGTTTTGTACATTTCGTTTTTGTCGTTGACATTGAGTTCGTGAATTATTTTCCGGGATTGTTGTGATATTCTTCGTGCTCTTCCACTCATCCGGTAACCGAGTTTTCGCACAGCGTTACCGACGTTGCCTGCTGAACAAGCTTCGTTTATCGAGAATGGCGGAACCCGGACAACTGGTGTTCGTCACCGTGGGTACAACCAGCTTCGACGAGTTGGTGGAAATGATTATACGTGACGAGTGTCTAAGGGTAAGATCAACGGACAAGCGCGACCCTATGGTCGCGCTTGTTTTGCGTTTTCGTCTTTCCATGGGGTTTGCCCCATTGGTGGCACCAGTGATCAGCTGAGTGTTTTGACGGCAGATTTTGCACGCGCATGGTTATTCCCGTCTGCGCATCCAGTACGGACGCGGTCGTGTGGATCCGCCCGCTGGACTACGCTGTGGCGTACGGATAGAATCCTATCGCTATAAGGATAGCATTCGACAGGATCTCCTGGATGCTGATGTGGTCATCAGTCATGCAGGTGAAGTGCTTCACTTATTCAAGTTTTTGACGTGTTTTCGGTTGTGTTCTTGCATGCCACAGTGTGATAATTACACACGCTTTGACTAAATAACTTTGTGCGTTAAGAACTGAAGATCCTACTTTTTGCATATAACCGTGGGTAATCTGGTTTATTAACAATAATTAATGCTAAAGAACGTCAAGCTATATGCCCGCGCTCGTTTCCCGTTAAATTTTGACTGTTATTGGTACGGGAATTACAAACAAATACAAATTACAATTAGCCCGAAAAAATCACAATTGATGTAATAAGGGAAAGGTAATTTTTGGACATGAGACCATGTACTGTACTGGAGTGTGTGATTGATTTCCAGTACTTGATTAATTTGTTCACTGTATGCAGAAATAAGAAATATTACATAATTATACTATTAAATTAATAGTATTAATAAAGTTGTTTAAAAAACGCTACAGAAATTGTGTGATGTACTCGTATACTCGTAAATACGTTACATGCAGAGTGTATCAGAAAATCATTTTTGCTTTTGCAGGTGCCGGAAGTATTATGGAGTCTTTGGGTTTGCACAAGCGGTTGTTGGTGGTAATTAACGAGACATTAATGGGCAACCATCAGACCGAGTTGGCCGAGGAATTCGCCCAGGAGCAATTTCTCCACTGGAGCACCGTACGCAACCTTCCCAATGTACTGAATGCTCTGAATTTCAGCACCATTAAGCATTGCGAACCTGGAACGCCTCAGAAGTTTGCTCAATTCATGGATGACTTTTTACAAATTTGACATAATATGTAAGAAGCAACATGCCAGATACGGGAGTATTGCAAATCGTTCGCTTTTTTGATAGTTCATTCGACATCCTAAGTATTTCGTTGTTTCATTGAGTGGAAGCTAAAATATGAAAGGTGTAGCACTGTGATAAACTGTGGAAAACTTATGATTTGTAGCGGTAAAAACATTTTGAAGGTGAGCGGTGCAGTAAGTAGGAAGTATTTTGAAGGTAACAGCTAATAGCGCAGGTGTCCGTGTATTGTAGGTTATAACTTTTCAGATTAACAAAATAATAATAAGTTTCTCGTTGCAAGATACCGGTATGTAGATCACTGCGGTTCGGTGTCCATATCGGTTGAGAATTACAATTACAAATATCTGTAGAAGACGAATCAAATCGGAATGTATTCATTATTCTCGCACCTTAAAACTTCAGATTTGTTGTTTTAAAACACAACCTCACAACGCATAACGAAGCTAAAAAACTAAAACATACATCCATGCTTCGAAACTGAAAACTCAAACAAAAATGCGCAGTATACAACGTTCACCACAGTCATCAGTTTCTACCAAAAATTCGAAATCATGCATTAACTTCCAGTTTCGCCGAAAATTAACAGTTGCCGCGCACTGAAATACATACTAGCCATATTAATAAAACGAGAAAAAAAAACAAAATTTGGACAAAATTTTATAATTTTGGTACTCATAATATAGAGAAACAAAACGACTGGCTGCACCTAATAAAAAAGACAAAACACAGAGAAAAGCTGCCACACTCGCGTCGGGGTAAGTGATTCTGTCCGGCATGCTGCGGCTGCCGGAAATATCAAATCATCACAGGCCAGGAAAAGCAGCGCGCTCCGCTCTGTTTCATGCCATCAGTATGGCATAAGTAGTGTGCTGAAAACAGTGAACATCCGGTGGCAACACGGTGGATCGAGGTGAGACACAGAAGAAAAAGGAACCAGAAGAATATAATTGCCACAGTTCCCATCCATTTGTCCAAGTGGGCTCCCAAGAGCCGAATAAGTGGCAACAAGTTGTGACGAGAAAAAACATTCTTCAACCAGACAAAGTGAGAACGACACGCAGAAGACAGAGAGAAACAGAGAATAATTGCAAATCAACAAAGAGAGAGACCGTCACGCGGAGCCCCATCCGCCCAGCATCGGGAGAACGGTGTGTCGCGCGCCGACAAATATGACACACTTTGGTAAAAACAAGAATCAAAAGGTCAGAGTTGTGGGGGATCGTGGGCCAGGTCCAATCTTACACTCTCCGCCGAAAGACAAAAGGCACCCAAATTGAACACTTGCACAAGGATTCCCCACCGATTAAATACACAACGCGGCAAAAAAACCAGTCTACTTTCAGCTTGCAACAACACCACGCAAAATACTGCATAGGACCGGCCGGCGACACGGGACAACGACGCGGGGGGCAGGCGCGATGCCGGTCGTCCCGTTCTACGCGTAATACTCTTTGCCGGAGTTGGTCGGAGCACGCATGTATCCGCCTGGACGTTTGGCCGGCTCATCCAGGGCGTAGCTGCCCTCGTCCTTCTTCCGCATCCGATATATCAGATACATCACCAGCAGGATGGCACACAATAATCCCACCACGGCGCCACCGATCACAGCTGCAATATTCAACACAGTATTCAGTTCTATCTTGCCACTTTCAATTCTGTCTTGCCACTCTACCTGTGTTCACACTGTACTTCAGAAAAAACTGCAGATATCGATTTATCGGGAATGCATACGAACATTTGCAATATTTCTTAATTTTTCCTTTATTATTGTGCGAAATTCGAATATTCCTTACGTACTAAGAATGCGTTGTGCAATCTGTCCTTAGTTGAGTACCTCGAAAGCGTTTCGTAATCCAAAAACTTATGCTTCAGTTTACCGCAATTTCGAGAGTTAGGGCTAAGAACGGCAAACTTTGCCTGAATATTACGCAATATCGATCGGGATGGTTATCACTTCGTTATGGTCTGCGGTGCATCACACAAAGAACTCTCTTACCGGCCAGCATAGCGGGTTGAGCAAGAAGATTGGTATTCTTTGTCGACACCTTGTGCTCCACTTCACCACGGAAGGTATTCTCAATTTCATTCTTAAGGTCATCATCAATGTGCTCACGATTGTCCGCATCAGGCGTGGAGAACACCTATAACACGCATCAATAAATCAACACCACTACCAGGACGTCCGCGACGCATATGCGCCCGTACACCGGCATAAGCAGCAGCTGTAACTCATTTGCAACGTAATCAGTAGATGGCAAAATTCAAACGCTTTTTCACATGCTTAATAAAAGAAAAACGAAGGCGGAAAAGAGGAGTAATTCAAGTAATCACAGAAAACTGTCTACATAAAAACAACTGCTTTCGTTCTGATAAAACAACAAAAATAAGAATCAGCAACAATAACAAAAACAAAGCGTATACGAAGCCAAACGCACAATCTCATCAGACGGCTTTGCAAGCGTTGTAGCGGTGCTAGTAACCTGGTAAGAACCGGGAGGTATCGTGTTCTCCTCAATCCAATCGCGGGGTGTGGTACCTGCAAATGAACATAATAACATACTTCCGAACAAAATACTGCTTATGTTACAGCAAAAACATATTCAAGCTGACCAGTCTACACAACATACCTGAGCCTTCAGCCACAACAAACCGTCCCCCATCCATTTCGCCGCGCGGTATGTGCATGACACTGGACGTTGGCCTTGCCCCGCCCACGGCGACGGATGCTCCCATCCCGGAGCCCTCAATTTGCACATCAGTCTCCGCCACGTCCTGGTCGTCCTCCGCATCCGGATCCGCGCGCCCCATGGCCGGCATCATACCGCGGCTGCGATCGGAAACGCCCATATAGGGACCACTCCCGGACCCCTCCACTGAGTCGGACGGGTGCCCGCGCAGAGTCAGACCAGTCATCCCTGTACCCTAAAAACGCCAGCATGCATCGCACTACTCATACAAACACCGCGGAAATTTTACTTTAAGCTTTGGTTCTCTGCAAAATCTGCATGGCTAATACTAACGCTTTCTGTAGGAACAACTTCACCACTTTTGTATTGAAATGATTTCTGCAGTATGTCGATACAATTAAGGTGTTCTATTTCGCCAGAATAGCTGATACTAAATCAACCTAACATAATCAGCACAGAAGAAATGATCCCAATTAAGGATATTTGGCACACAGTGCAAATGCCAGGCGATACGTGTACAAGCGTATGGCTGTGACATGAGGAGAAAATCGGTCAAATGGTGAAAATTGTTCAAGATGGTCCAGTCGGAATCAAACATCTGTCACACATATCTATCCCATTAGGCACAAGTACCGTATACTTGTACAGGCCCATAACCCCCGCCCTGCCCCGGCCATCGAGCGGACCGCATTCGACATGGCGAGTGCAACTTGAGAACTCGAGACCTACGGAAGTGCTCGCGCTCATTCGCCATCAAAATAGAAATTCCCCCTACATACATGATGGACCAATAATTTATGTAAACCTTAGTGCAAGCCAAGTTCCCAGTGTAAACTATAATCCTATAGCGGAGCAAACAGGAAGGTGCATAAACGCATATTTAAGGACTGATGTAATTCAATAGGAATAAACAGCATTCTCGGCGTAAAATAACGATTCCCTTGGTAAAAATACTCGTACTTCTATGCGTTGAAATTTTCCTTATTGTACGTTTATACTAAACAGAAAACTTTTTATACGTAATTAAATAAGACCCGTACATTAAATGCGCAAGACGCTAATAATTTAACTGCCGATACTCACTTATTTTTAATTTTATGAAACGTTTACTTTCACTATTCAAAAGCTAACACTATTAAACATTTTTTGGCGCCTGTATTCTGTGACATTTGCACACAATTAAGTCCATAACTGTCACCGCCCATCCAAAAACCTACTTCCTAAACTGCAAATTAATTTTCCCAACGCGCGTTTTTCCACCCTCAACGAGCTGCGTGAAACAAGGCCACCGCTGCCCCGTTTCCGGCACAACTCGGCTGGTGACAACTTTCCCCAGCAGAGCAGACCGCCAACAGCGTAGATATACGCGCACACCCCAACCAAGAGCGAGTGGCGTTTACAACACTGCTGTTTGAACTGTAATGCCATCCTTAGAAAAAAAACCAGGTCAAGCTCCCACTTAAACCGTCCTAACTGCTCCCGTTTTCCCGGCTTGTTAGCGACAAGCGTTAAACCATAATAAGCAGCGTGCGCAAACCAAAAACTAGCTAGCAGCCATGCAAAATAACAAAACCCTCGGCGTTCCATTCCCATCCATATTTGTACCGCCGTATGACGTACCTGCACGTTGTCGTTATCAATAGACACTGCGGCCTCATTAAAATCATCCCGGCGTGTTGTATTGACACTGCTCCGCGGCGACACTGTCGTTGTCGTCAGAATGGGTGCAATTGTGGATGTTAACATCGAGGGTGTGCTGCTGTTGGTAACGAGCTCGTTAGCGGTGGACCTCAAGGTCACGGCTGGCGTGGACGCCGCGGTTGTCTCCATGCTGATCAAGTCCTCCATGTCGGTCTCTTCCTCATCCTCCTCTTCGTAATCGTCGTCCGCCGCGGTGTCATCAAACACCGCACTGGCAGTTGTTGTAATTAGCGGCAGACGTGCAACACTTGTGGTGGTTGTTAACTAGAAGCGCAAAACAAAGCTAGCCAAACAAACAAACCAAAATCAGCCAAACAAAGCGGGTTCGATGTGTAATTAAGTCAGTTTGCAGCCAGGTGGAATTAATAAATTAGCAGTCAGCAGCACGCAAAAATATCGGTCATGCAATGAGCGTGGTTTAATCATCACAAAATGCGTACAGAATAGTCGGCATGCAAGGCCGTGTAATTGCAGGATCAAAAGCATCGAGCGCCTGCAAACTCGTATCCAACAGCACGAACCGCGCCGGATTTACCGAGAGATTGACCCGATTTCTAATCAACCGTCACGGGAAACATGTCGCAAAGGACGCTCGACAAATGATGGCATAATTGTATGACATTTTACCAACTGGATACTGATGTCACATCTCTATACTGGCGATTACCGCTTGACATGGCCATGAAAAAACTATTCCAAACAACTCTGAATGAGAACAGATTACAGCGCGAATTAGATTTCCACCGCTTTCTGACAAAGGTCATGATTATCACAACAACCCCAACCACTCCTATCGATTAATTATTTTTAACACATCATTTTTTTTCGCTGCAGACTCCCCGTTCTCGGACAAACGTTAATATTAAAATGAGCCTAGTACACTGTCAAAGTGACGCACTCAAGTACAGGATAGCGTTAACGTTTTGTAGGCTAATACCGTTTTAACAATCGGGTGCTGTGGCCGGACTACTTCAAATTCTCTGGAATTTCAGGCGCCGCGGCTGACATCTTCCCTGATTTACGACTTTTTCTATCAGGGCTCTTTATTTATTGTCGATTTTTCTCCCAAACAACACTGGAATACTTAAGCGGGCCATGTATTAAAATGGATAACAACTTGAAATCCTTTTGCACGTACGGCGTAACCATAATGCTGAACATTAAAACTGCAGACGGAAGGTTAATGAAATACATCTTGAGTTCATTAAAAACACAACCGCTTATTGTGAAGAAATCTACCAATTGTTACGTACTTTTCAGTTTGCTTCGTATTAATTTGCTTCGTGTTAAGAAACGTACGGCTCTGAACCACGCATTCAGGCTGCTGCTTGCGATATCGGCATTCGACACTTTATTTACGGATCTTGGCGATTGTAAGCAAGTGAGCATCCTCTTTGAGGCCGCCAGATGCCAATGAATGAAGACAATTAAACAATTTATGCAAATCTAAATGCACCAACCAATTAGGAGTTGCAGGAATAAATTTCACTGTACTGATTATCCACATTTCGTCGATCTCGCCGGCATGAACAAGAGATTCCAACATAACCGTTTATTTCAAACGTAAAAAAACATCATCAAATTTCCAGGCATGTGAAATTTTCAATTATTTATCCAGGTTAACAGTTACAGATAGACTATAGTTTGAAAAACTCCACAACGCAACAAATACCAGTGTCAAATGCCAAACAGACCGCAATAAATAATTATTAGTAGCTGAAAACTTATTATTTTAGAAAAGACTAAACTGGTTCTATTTTAAATTTCGCAAGTACTCTCTTACAGAACCCAGGTTTCTGTTAAACCAACTACAAACCCGCCGCCCAAAATATTTTTATGTTTTAACCATTATTAACTACGCGTCTGATGAAGAATGCGATGTGCAAAAGTCTTCACTTTCAGCCGGTAAACGGTCAAACAGTTGGCCTGACCATAAACCCATCAATCTGATGAGAGAGCGAAATCAACTTGAAAAAATATGCCATGCCGGCAGCCGGAGTGAGAGGGCCAAAAAGACCTCCCGATAAACCAAAACTCACCGGACATCACACTCCACGGAATGCACATGGAGGCAACAAAGATAAAGCACGCAGTAACTCGACAATGGCTGCTGCCAGTTGGAGTTCAAGTGCATCTGTCTCACTAATATTCGCTTCATTCTTCAAGCGGAAATATTTCCATAACAATGGACATGGCGGAGGGGAGAAGCGAAAAAGCACGAAGAGACACTTCACTATGCAATGGGTAAACTGTGCGGCTTCGTGAAGACACCGGACACTCATCGCTCAGTCGTCAGGAATGTCTATTATCACATCTCTTCCATCGAAAACAAACGCTCTTGTATATTTGGACGCTTTTTTTGTAATAATGATGGCATGATGATGGACTGGTTCGAGCTGCAGGACTAATGGGGACTTCTCGTGCAGTTGTAGCCTACTTTCGCACTACACATCCAAACAGTTTCATTACGGGTTTAATTGACCTTTTCCGGTTACCTGCACGAGCGCACACAAAGTGTTTCCTGTTGTGTCCACACACGTAATCTCTTCCCAGAGTTAGTTTTCCTTCGCAAGTTTTCCTCTTATCGAAAAACAGGAAGCTGTATTCAGTTTAATTTCGCAAGAAAAGCGAGTCCGTAAAAACAGCACAACACACTTAAGTGCATATCCAGTCATTTATCGTTGTTTGCATCCCTATTCCCTAGCCCCTATTCGCCTGGCTACCGTCGTAACATTTACCTAATTAAAAAGGCAGTCATTTACTAAAGCTGGATGCATTCTGAATTTTTCATTACAAATCTCTGCACAATTTATACTTCCTTGTTTCATCCCCTAAAATATCCTGCTTTTAATGTAAGCAGTAACAGGATACAAGCAAACGTTAATTAAATCCCAGTCACACATCACCGATTACCTTCATACAGGTTCTCCAGCTTTACAAGCACAAATTTTCCAATTAGCGTACGTATTCGGTTACACCAGCGTTGTATAACCCATCGAGGGAAGACCACCTTTACTTTCCCACCGAAAATTGACAGTGAACCCAATTACGGGCAGACTATTCATTAACGCCGCTGCAGAGACATTCAATATTTGCGCGCTACATTTTACAAGAACCAATTACTGTATTACGCACACCGGACCGGATACAACAGCAAACATGCCATTTGAAAATAACCAAAGTCGTCACAGTGAAAACTTGTAGTGTCTCTTTCTTCCACAAAAATACTTTAACCATTAAAAAGTTATTCTAATGCATTCGAGGAAACAAATGCATCTATATGCGCACTAACATTACCGAGTGCTTAATCGATTGCAAAATTCAAATTTATTATATCTATACCAAACATGCTTCTGACATTTAGTAATTACAGTATCACTTGCACATCTGCGTAAAGCAAAATAATAGCAGCTATTCGGCGGATATGTATTTGAAATTTGACAAATGCTGAAAATTCTAGAACCAGTGCACTCTGACGTCAATAAAGACCTTCCTTTGTGACGCTCTAATTATCTCACAGAATTTTGTACAGGATAATAACAAAGATTTTAGTTTTAAAGAACTTTCGTTTAAAAAAACATTTTTCAATAAGTATGACTTCTGAAGTACCGCACAGACATTGTAATCTTTCTATCCTAACTGTAAAAAGCGGAACGCTTGTGTTCAAAAACCGCAAAACAATGCAGAGTAAAACAAGCCAGCGAAAATTACAGTCGGGGATTGTGTTTCTCAAAATGCTTCATCTGCCGGCACACAATACCAGAGTAAAAACCGATCATGTTCACAATACTGCACCAATCTGACCGCGCCATCCACTGACTATTCATCGGTTCCGATCACGGCCAAAATGCCCTGCATCCATTGCACAGAGGCATCGCTTTCCTTGCTGCATATAAATAGCATGCAGCCGTACATCGGCAATCTCACGGCACATTCTTCCCTTTTCTGTCGTGCTCTCGCCTTCCCTCACCCAACTTGGGCGCACAGGCAAATCGATATTGCTTCCCCATTATTACTCCGCAGACAGAGAAACTTTGTTAGCGAGAGAGTTAAACAACTTTCGCAACACACACATATGCGAGTACATATATACGATGGCAACCTAACCGACAAAATTCAACAGACGAACCGGCATCACACAGCGGCCTATAATCAATTCAGCAAGACCACGGTTATAAACGGCAAAAACGCGGACTTCGATCGTCCTCGGCCGAAACTACATGGGTACACACTACATACAGATACTACTTATAGACAGCGGCACGCTTCGCGTCAGGGAAACCTTTACAATTTAAACAAACCTCATTTGGGGGCGTAATAGACAACAGCTTAACGTTGCATTAACCGTTACAGATCGGAAATGCGGCCGCATCACTCTTTTAAGTTGTCGGAAAAAGGTAAACAATACACGACAACGCCGTGCCGATTACATGATCACTAAAATACGCCAAACGGTCAGATTTTTGACCGAAGAACGCGGGATGATAAGATAACACCAATCAGCTAACATCAAATAATCGAAACAACAAAGCGCACTACTCGTAGAGTTTACACTTTACAGTTATACGATCCAGAGAATCGCTTATGAATAATTCATGAAATATTTCTCGGTTTGATAAATATCGTGATTAACGAAGCTGTACAGCGCCAATAACTGGCGTTAGTCGTTACACACCTCAAAGTTATATATACAATGACGCACCCATAATTAAGGCATAAATACATAAAAATAGAAAGTCGTTGAGCACTCGCGCGAATAAATAAAAATAGCTGCACAAGTCAAACTGACCACGAAATACGAACTCTGCTAGAGAGATATTTCGAAAGTGTCATAAATTGTGAAAGTTCAGCTTGCTTGTCTCATCATCGGAAAAACCGGATACCGGTATCTAAAACGAAGTCTTGTAGAGACGTGGTTATTGTTATTTCAACTTAACCGAAATCCAGTCCAGTGGTAAATCTTACAAAAGCCGATAGCCGCGTAAATACCGCATAATCAAAATTACAGCTGCAATTCGGAGCTAAGATTAAGCGCATTAAACGCATAAAACAACATCTATGTAATACAAAAACGTTTAGTACTTTATCATATGCAGAATTTAGAAATTCGGAAAGACAGCAAACACGACGACTGGAACAGAAGCAAACCATACGCAGTTGTTGTTACATAATTTATATCATAAATATTTTGGTAGTATAGCTATGTGCGCTTTTTTGGTTTCATAGCGCGAGTTGCAATGTAACTGCCTAATTAAGCACTGCCACAATAAAATCTGCCGAAAAGGTCGAGCAATAAAAATTAAAAACCAATCAAAAATGACACCATTTTAATTAAAATCCAAACCCCCTCTCCAAGTCATCATGTCTTACGCCCGCAGCACAGAGGACATATCTATAAACCGGAGGTTTATTTTTCTGCTCGTTATCGACCGTTGTCCCTCTCAATCAAGGAGCTCACGCATCTCCTTCACAAACTGGCATATTTAGGCAGCAACTAGCTGCAGAGAGGCCAGTCAACCACTACTACTGCCAGTCTAGTAAAACAGCAGCAGCACGCTGCAGTGGCATGGCTGCCGAGAGTGAAATCTCTCGGTCCATAATATTCGATCAGCATCTAGCGGTAATTCGCATGAGCCCAAATCCCTCTTCAACCCGCCGATTCAAGGCAAGTGACCGACTTACAACGCTACACAAGCCTAAAAGTAAGTAGTGACACTGGCCACGCAAATAACACCATCCGATCGAAATGTACCAGTTCACGATGAAAACGTATCAAAGGTTTGAAGAAATATAAATATATATACAATGAAAGAAACAAAGAACGGTATAATTATTAGGGCTAAAATATATAGCAACAAACCTTGGCAGGCTCCCGCCCTCGTCTGGCCACCCCGCTCCCACTGGACGCCCTTAGTCCGCCACATTGAGACAATAATATTCCACACAGCACCGCTATCGTGCCCGTGGACAGCACCACGCTGTTCAACATTTCCCGCGCCGATTCTTCCTTCTTCCTGCGCGGCCAGACAAAAATATCTACCTGGTCATTTCCTTTGTAAATCCTTACATGGGCAGGGATTTTTGGGCCGGGATAGCACACACACTGGTGATATAATCACACCACCAGCGAAACAAAGGAGATCCCAGCAGAGTATCACTGTGATTAATATTGCTGTGCAAAGCGTAGCCAAACCTTCTCGATATGGGACGATTAATCATTCATGTCCTGCATTCAGAGCCCTGTGCTCATGCTCAAATCTTTACTATCCCCGTGCATTCATCGACTTTTCCCTCGATTCGACTAAATATGAAACGGAACGGACAGACCTGCCGAGTAGTAGTAGTCGTAGCTGCAAGTTGTTTGGTAGACGACGGCTCAAATCTCTTTGCCAACTTGCCAATGCGGCAAGCTGGATTCTGGCAAGCAGTGCAATCGGCGAGTTTACTATATGAATCACGCTCTTTGGGGCACCGCCTCATAAGTAGTGCAAACGAATTACAAAATCTCCTTTTCCCGATGTCAGCTTCTATTGGCTAACCGAATGATAGCCCACCCAATAGCGGCACTGAACCGCCTTCGATTCCATAGCGCACGAATGACATTGAAAGCCGTATGAGCCGCACAAAAACACAGAAAACTGTCCACACTCCACAAGTGCACATACTGTATGTTTTGTAAACAAAAACTTGGGAATATGACAGCTTTGGCGTGAATATCGGCCGTTATGTGTTTTTTATCTTGACAAGTGCTGATGACAATCTTAGCATTTTAGTATCGACATAAGCTATAAAGTACTGTACTTGAAATTAAATCAGTTACTTATCGCTTATCCATCTCTCCATAATTTGACGCGTACGTAAAGTTACTTGAGTAGAAAAAGAAACATGGAGACCGTGCACAAAATTACGTTGGTGATTCCCCTTTGCTATGGGCCACCCCGACCAACAACACAGTTGTAAACACAGACGATCCATACGGATGCTGCTCGGCTGTGGCATGCTGTTTGCCGTTTATAGAGAGCCCGGAGCATGATAACGAACAGAAGTGGACGGATCTGACGGCAAGGACTGACATGGATGGGCAGGAGGGGAATTTCATTCGAGGCATTGTCGAGGCAAGCAAGCATGAAATCTCGTTAAGCTTGTTTTGCACCTTCATCAGTTGCGTAAGTGGTTACGTTTTTCTCGTAGGGTTTTTATGGGCGCCCATGGACTGCTGAGCAGAGGAAGGAGCTGTTCCGGAAAATGCCCGAGTTTGGTTTGACATCATATATGTAAGTGTGTATTCAACTGATAATTTCCTCTTTAACATATTAATATAAAAACATTGCGTCTAAATTATTTAAAATGCACCACAAAAATTACTCGTGCACGAAGCAAAAGCAAAGTAATAAAAATTATAAAATCGTTACAAATAAATACAGTAATTGATTCGAATAAACAGACTATAAACTCGTAAAAATGTAATCATTAGCCGAAAGAATAGCATGGGATGGTGGTTTTGGAAAGAACTGTTGAAAATTTAACTTTCCGGTCGACTCCCGAAATGGACTAAGGAAACACATTTGAGTATGTTATAAATTTGTAATCTGTGTATAATCGATAGAATTTCTCCGCTGCCGTGCATCGTATAATTGCTTCGCATTCGCATTAGGTACGCTCCAAAAGACGACTACAAGCACCGCACCAACTGGCGCGAAGCCTACTCGTCCGACGAATGCGCCGAGCTGCAGGCCCTCATCCAGGCCGCTGCTCAGCAGCACATCGCTTTCTTCTACACCCTGTCGCCCGGCGTGGACATGCTGTACTCCAGTCAGCGTGATCGCCAGGCGTTGCGCAATAAATTTGCCCAGGTAGCCGCCCTGGGCTGTCGCTGCTTCGCGCTGCTCTTCGACGACATTGAGCCGCAGTTGCAGCCGGCGGACCGACTGGTCTTTGCCTCCTTCGCCGCGGCCCACGTGGCCGTGGCTAACGAGCTATTCGATGCGCTGGGCCGACCGGTGTTCGCCTTCTGCCCCACGGAGTACTGTGCCGCGCGGGCCGTCCCCAGTGTTACGACATCCGAGTATTTGCATTGTGTCGGGCAAAATTTACAACCGGAAATCGATATCATGTGGACAGGTGTGTATACGCTGTGTTACTGTATGTGTGCGGGGCTTGATCGGGTGGTGTTTACTTGCGGATCTGTCATGCGGAACATGTTGACACTTTTTTCCTGCCCCTTTGTACGCACTGCGCTCTATTTTTACCAGTTTTATACCCTTTACAAATGAAACTAACAGAATATTGTCGCGAAAATCATTACGAAAATCATTGCTTCTTTTAATGGAGTCTTTTGATCGTGATTTAGTGTATGCCATGCTCCGCGTTTTGATATCGCTTACATTTTTGTTTGGTCTTGAAAGTGCACTGGCACAGTGTCTGGCGGAAAAAGATTTGCAACATGATTTCCCTAAAACAAATTCCGCTACAATGAATGAAAACTGAGTAATACATAAACTGGTTTATTCGGTCTTTTTTTCATAATGTATTGTCGAAATTATTTAAAAGACTTCGTTTTTGATAATACAGTAGAAATTTAGAGGACCAAATGACCATTCAATAGCATTACGATCGTTAAAATTTGGACAGTATCCATGTGTCTGATTAAGACCGATATGTTTAGGTCCGCAAGTGATTAGCAAGACGATTACGGTGGAGTCGTTGCAGGAGCTGGCCAGTGTCATCCGACGGAAACCGGTCATCTGGGACAATTTGCACGCTAATGACTACGGACAACGGCGTCTCTTCCTGGGCCCGTACTCGCGCGATCCTGCCATCGTCCCGTGCATCCGCGGCGTCTTTACCAATCCCAACTGCCAACTGGAAGTCAATTTCAATGCCTTCTACACTCTGGGCCTGTGGATTAAATGCGGTTTAACCGCAATCTCCGGGGAAATCGACGACGACAACAACGACAGTGGCACGACGTATGAGCCGCGGGCCGCATTGATGCTGGCCAGCAACGCTTGGCTGAAAGAGTTCCAACAGTGCCAGCGTGTCCCTAACGATTATTCGCTGGCTGCACAGGCCAAATTGAACGATATTGGCCTCGTTAACACGGCAGCGTCCGAAACGAAGAGGTCGGTATGTTGACTGAACAGATTAAAAGTTGAAGGGATTTCTGTGCCGGCATGTGAATATATACGTGTAACGTGTGTACGTGTTGTAGTAATTTGATCGATGTGGAACCCATGGATTTGCAGGGGAAGATGGATGTAGTGGAGAGGAGAGCAGCAGAGGATGATGATGATTTAATGCGCTCGGCCGGCAGCGATGAGATGTCCAACGGGAAGGACGCGGTACGTGACCTTGCACTGCTGGTTAACACTTCTCATACCAGCGTATCTTTGCGTGATAGGCTTATTTTTTTATTGGGTGCAAAAAATTGGCTTCCGGCGTGGAGAGGCTGATTTGTCGGAAGATTTATGTGAACGGTATTCTGATGCTGTGCGATGTCGTGAATTACAAGTTATTTAAACTTAGGAATGGACAAATCGTTTGCTATAAGAAGATAATTTATTAGAAATAGATACATAAAACTAAAGAAGTTGGTTTTAAAATTAATTTTAAATTGGAAATTGTCATCTATTGCGGTGATCAAAGTGAAATTAACATTATCAAAAGTTCTTAGACAATTCCCTACTGTACAAATGTATTGATTACTTAAGTTTTGTTTCAGTTTATTGTGGATGTTTATCTTTTCTTTATGTTTTATCTTGTTGTTTATAAACTCTGGAAGGGATGTTTTTTTTGTTTAGTTTGCATTGTGCTGTTTACACATATTCAGCTTGTTTGACCATACGCTGATATCGAATTACCCTGTAAAAACAGAAACTTCGTTCTGTGCATGTCTGTTAAAAAGGCGTTCTACTTTTCGTGAATCGTCGGCCCATCACTGACAATTACATCATGTGTAATTATAGGGTAAGAATCATTTGCCGGCCGATACGGAGAGACGGAACGATGATATTCAACACACGGGACGTGATTGGAATGCGGATGAAGAAATGGGAGACCCGGACGAGAACAGTAAGCGGCAGCGCATCACATCACATTCCGTTGCTCCCTTATACCATCGCACCATTAACTGGTGTATTAAGATTGTTTCTGTCATGTTGTAATTCAGAAGTCACCGCGGCGGATTTGCTTCTGCTGGCCGATCTCTTCTACCTGCCGTTTGATCACGGCGTTCAAGCCATGAAACTGCTGGACGACTTCCGCTGGCTGCGTCGCCATGCCGGCTGGATGACGGCGTCGCAGCGCGGCGGCCACCAGCAGCAACAGCGGAAGCCAGGCCGGATGGACGCGGAATGGCAGCAGCGGGCCAGCGGCTTTGATGAGCATTATGGGCACATTAATCGGATGTGTCTGCGCATTAGCAACAGCGTCAACCGTAATCTGGTCTATGAGCTCTTTCCCTACTTTTGGGATCTGAAAGGCATGCTCTCCTTGCTCAGCGCTTTTGTCAGATGGTTAGGTAAGTAAATTGACAGCGACTAATGAGCGCTCATCGATTGATGCTCCAGTGGGGCATGCAGATTGCTGTGCGCGCTCATTGGTTGTCATTGGGCCGTGATGGTAATGGTTTCTCCGTTGACACGAGGCGGGTAATTATGTAAGTAATTGAAGAAAATTACCGCTGTAGCTCTTCTTTATTGATTTGTCAACAAAAATCGGGATTTTCTCATAAGCGCAGCTTTAGTTTCTGGTAAAGCTGTTTACATATAAGATTATTTGACGGGATTTCGGTGAAGCGATCATGTTTCCTTAGGATCAGCATCCCAAGAAAGCAGCCCATTTGCCGAGGAAATACAAGAGTCTTGGATTAGAAGAGGTACTTGTACTTGGCATTGTTTATATAACAGTTCAGTTGCTTATGTGATTCCACATGAAGCAGTAGAAAACAGTTGGTGCAGCAATATGGATTTATTTCGTAGGTGGTTTGTACGCTGAATTTCAGGTGAGAAGTCAGAATTAATTTGATCATAATAATTATTATAACGTTTGGCAAAGTTAGAATCTATATTTCGTACACTGTACAGGTTAAATACACTATTATTAAACCAGCCATTATGATACAGCTGATACTTACTTATGCGAATGCTGAAATTGCCATGACATATTTCTGAAAACCAGTTTTATGCATTTTCTTGCTGTAGTTTTTTTATACTTATGATATTTTCAGCGAATACTATGCATTAATTTTGGGGTGCAATTAACGTAAATATTGCTAACTGAATTAACTTTTTAGCGTCTGCTTCCCTTGGAAATCTACACCATTCGTCCGTACCTCCCCGACGACAAAGCGGAAGTGTACGATATCTGCCGTGAATCCTCAAGTAGCCCTTCCAACCTTGTGGACACCATGGAGCGGTATCCCGATGTACTGGGTGACTACACCCTCGGCTGCTTTCTCCACTCTCTCCGTGATTACTGTTTCGTCATCGAAGACGACAGTGGAGCGGTGTGCGGATATATCGTGTGCACAACCGACGCCCGCAGTCTGCACAACACCGAGCTCTGCTTCCGGGAAGACCTCCGGAAGAAGTATCCCCTTGACGCGGACCCGGTGGAACCCGTGGGAGCTCTGCCGGATTACGTCTACCGCGACTACCCCGGCCAGCTGCGGCTGGGGGTTCGCTCGAACGTTAACGAGGCGGACGTTGTGCGACGGTTGGTCAGCTTTGCCCTTAATACGCTAGAGATCAACGGGGCGGCGGCGGCGCATGCACTGGTGGAACGCGCAGGGCCGGCACATGTACAAGAGATGATGGGAAACATGGGCTTTGAAACGATGCCGCCAGAAGAGCAGAATCTCAAGAATTTCGTGCTGATGGCGCGCAGTGGGAATGTATAAAGTGGGATCTATACGCACAACGCAATGTGGGATTTAGACTGGGATTTCAGTTTTTCTGTTTGCACTTTTACAGTATGTCTTTGCACGCGGTTTTGAAATGGGATTGTAATAGATTTGGTTTTATGGTTTTTAGATCTTTCAGTCTGGTGATTTTTTGTGGATCCGTATTTTTTTGAATGCTCGAATCTGTAATGTCACTTTTGTGATGGGCTCACTAATGGGCGAAACGATGTTGCGGTGTAAACGGAAGTTACAGATACCCACCGAATACGTTTTTTTTAGCAAACGTAGGGCAAGAGAACAATAAATTTTACAGCTAAACCATTTTGTAAGCTCTGTAGTTTGGTTCAATAATCTGATAAATCTGCGTACTCGTATTGAAGTTTTTCGATCAGTGAACACATGACCATATCAAATCAGAATACCAACGGAAAGGGCACTTAATTTAATTAAGCCTTGCGAGCAAATGGCGAAAGAACGCTGCTGATCCCATCGGCAAAGGACATGGGCGTCGGTGCACCGAGCTTCTCCAATCGGCTGCAACTCAGCGCCGCATCTGCGCAACATAAGCGATTTTTGACTACTTTCTGAGCAAGTAACAGGCCATAGAAGTTTCTTACCGTACGGTCGCGCGGCTCCACTGGTTGGCTTCGTGGCATCGGCGACCACGTGGTCCATGGGCAGGCCGAAGATCTTGGACATGTGCTGCACCATCTCGTACTTCGTCAGACAGTCTTTGCCGGACCAGTGGTACACACCGCGAATTTCTTCACCCTGTTCGAAGAATAGACATATTTCGGTTTTACAAAGTAAAACACAATTTCCAAGCCGGTAACGACCGATTTTATACTCCTTTTCACCTTATTTGTTAGTGAAACTCCGCAAATTAGATAGTACACGTCAGTACACGATTTGGTAAAATTCCAATGAACACGCCTGGCTAATTTTAATCATGCCTCTGTGTTATTACTAATTACAACGCCCCGCGTCCTCGGCGTTTACTTGTAATTTCAACGTAGCCAGGAGAACCAGAGCTTTAGCGATGTCAGCCACGTGCGTAGGATAGCGGCGCTCGTAATGCGACATGACAGCCGGCTTCCCGGTTGGCCCTTCCAGCAGCTTCTCAAACAACACAGTCACCGCGCTCTCCGACAACTTCTCCACGGGTCCGTATAAAACTGGCACCCGCAAAATCACAGCATCTACATAAAATGTCAGCGTCAAATCGGCGTTGCTCTGCTGCAAAAATTATAGCTCCTCTCTGTACAAAGTACAGACAAAACAGAGATACTCTAATACTGCACGTACACAGTAGATGTGAAAAAAACGAGCACACGAAGAATGATATGATCACAGAAATCCAAAAAAAGTGCACAAAAAATCTTGTGCAGATATAAAACGAACTATGAATATTAAAAAAGACCTCTACAAAGACCTAACAAAACAGCAAAAATACTATAGCTACCAGCTTAAGTGTATAGGAAAAAAAGAATTAGAACGGAAATAGTCAAAGATCGCCGCAGCCCACCTGGATAAACTGAAACGGCAGCTTCTTCGCCGGCCAGTTTGCTTTCTCCGTACTTGTTAATGGGATGCGGGGTAGCGTCTTCCGTGTAAGGAGGTGCGTTGCCGTCGAAGACATAGTCGGTGCTGATGTAGAGGAGGAAAGCGCCCACATTCTCTAACGCACACACGTCACGCACTTGAGACGAATCACATCAAATGAACGCAGACAACTGCGTACACTTACTGGCACACTGGCTCAGATGCTGCGTGGACTGCACATTCAGCTGGAAGGTCTCGGCCGGTTTCTGGTCCACGGCATCGGGACTGCGCTCCGCTGCACAGTGGACAATGACGTTCGGCTGCAAAAAAAACCCCAGCGTCGCTCGTTTAATTCACCAACAGAAAAAGACAGCACAGGCAATTCGCCCCACACTCGCCACTCGTGCGAAACAGTACGCTCACGGAGCAGACCTTCAAATCATCGATCAGTTTTTCCATTGCCACGGGATCGCACAGGTCAGCCTTGACCAGATTGGGATGTCGATCAGCACGGGAAAAGGCCAGCCCGGTGCTGTGCCAACCCGCCGCGATGAACGCTTCCAGAACGGCGCGACCCAGTAAACCGGAAGCGCCAGTGATCAGGACGCGCTTGCTGGAGTTAGTGGCCATCGCTTCAGCGATGTTGAGCAGACACTGGACGCAAAGAAGTCTAAACGGCACGCAAAACAGCGTGCTAAAACCAATGCGCAATATCGTTTGCAGCAAACATCTGCAAAATTCTTGCTGCAGTCCTGCAAAATCATTACGACCGCAAAGTGTTTCCTGTTTACAGTTTACTGTAGTCTTTTCCAGTTATACGCACATGCAGTGTGCGTGCGGTAGCTCGTGCGACACGCTCAAACTTTATACTCAAAAGAATAAGAAGTGCTCAAAATTCAACTGCGGGAGTCAGCCCCAGCCACACACAAGACCAAACTGATATCTTGCTATCGTTCGATAGCTCATCATGTAGTGAGCCATCAAAAGTTAGATCTGAGAAAACAGTTCCAGTTTCATAAAAAAATTGAAAACGTAACATGCCGAGTCACAGAAGTGAAGAATCCACCATTGCAGAACCGACCACACCATTGTCTCAAATAAACAGCTAAAAACCTTTTGCTGCCAAGCAGCCACGGGCTTGCACAACGTTTCACTGAACGAAACTTGAATGTTTATAAATTATAGGGTAGCCCTGCGTTTCTAATTTCATCGAAATTGACTCAGAAAGAAAGGAGGGTTTGATGAAAAAGCAACGAAGAGTCGAAGCGTATCGCAGTTCAAGCATGATCATTAAGACAACTGTCCTCCGCAGAAGTCGACCAGTTTTAGTACAGCGCCCAAGGGCAAGCTGGTGACTGGTGAGCATTGAAGTACGCATTTTTGGCAGAATTTGCCATTTCTCGAAAGCAGTAACAAAGGATTTTCTAAAATTTCTGTTTTGTAAAATCTGTGACAACCAGCAGAAGGCGAAAGGCGCCTGGCAGAAAACGTTTTAAAATGTAATAAAATCAGCAGCAAAACACATTATCTACAGAACGATATGAATTACGAAGTTGACGAAACCACGCGATTTGCACGGGTCTGTCATTCGATACACATCTTACATATCAAAGTCAGCAGCAGAGCCAGCAAAAGTTTGATTTGGAGAAGAGTAGGCAACGGTGGCTCCAGATGTCACGGATCATTAGAGTAGGTTTTCCTTTGCGTCATAAATTTTCAGAAAATCTGATTGTTCTCCAACGTGTGGAATAAGAACCGAACAAAGCCGCAGGCGACGCTGAGCACGGCGCGAGCGGGGCATCATGAAACATTAATCGTGGCAATTTTTTGCACGGGATTGCATTCCGCTTTCCCACCATTTCCCATACTGATATTTTCGGATTTAAAGGGCATGGGTGGAAAAATTATTTTTACGGGTGGGATATGCAGAAACCAGAAACGTCAAATGAGCAACATGTGCTCCATAGTTCTGAGTCATAGTGCTGTTTCCGGCATCCGACCTTGGGAATTTACGACTGCTCCAAGTTTGTGGCCATGAAAAATTATTCGCACATACAATACAACGCATGATACGAGTTAACCGTGATATTTTCATCAAAAAATAAATAATAATAATCATGATATCCTTATGATTTTTAAATTCCTATTCCGTAGCCGGTAGCCTATATATTGCGCGCAATTTGCGGGTCTACTAGTAGTAATTATTCTTTTCGAACGTAGTCTTCATATACTCGTATTTAATAATATGACTACAGATACGTATCTAATCATAATATTTTGTGCACAAAGCTTAAAAATTGCACTATTAATGTACGCTGCAATGTACGCTAAAAATACATACACGGTACACTAATGTATTTGTGCTGTAATGAAAAGTTTGTTACAACACCAACTACAGACTTACAGTATAATACAGTATAATAAGATTCATCATCTTTAAATCAGCTCGCGCTAACTGCAATAACCAACATTTCACATTCACCAGCCATTTAATCGGGTTTTCATGATCAACAAAAACATAACCACTTGCACACAGCATAAAAGTCCAATGACACTACGAAATTAAAGCCAGAAAACTATTTATCCATTTTCCAGCAGACAACAGGGAGAAGCACACCATTTGCAAATGAAAAGCACAAAACAATATCTTATGCCAACTAAGTCGCGTTTCCTATCACACAAACCCAAAATTCTTGGTTTTAATGGCTAAAAGCAGTTTGGCTCGCATGATGATCTTGGAAGAGTAATGCGGAATATAAAGTCGTGAGATGCACGTGTTGGCTGTCGGCAGATGTGTATCATCGGCCGGCCGAATGGTCACCGACGGGAGCGGCGCGAAACCGGCTTCACTGGCCGGCATGGCCGAACTTCCCGTCCAGAAATACAACTGCAATAAATTAACGTGTCAACAAAAAAAGCTTGGTAAACATCATCGCAAAATATTGTATTCGATTGCCTCCTCATGAAAATACATTCATCTCGAGATTTTTTATTACATTCAAACCACAAAATTAATATGCAAGCTTCAAGCCTTAACAGTCTGACGACGATAAACATATACGCTGGTGACGCAGCTATCAAACACGTCTGCAAAGCGACGCGATATACAAATCGCAGGTGATCGCGTACGTATCTGTAAGCATACCTCGTGCGGTTGAGCAACCGTACCATAAAAGACGCAATTACAATGATCGACAACAGCAAAACTAAGAGCGTTAAAAATTGAGAAAATCTTTTATTTGTTTCGCCATCTGCCACTTACCAGTTCCTGCTTTTCCTCATTGGAAAACTTATCGACCGTATTCCAGAACCAGTGTTTAAAGCGGGTCTTATCCTGTGTCTTATCGTTCGTCTCGTCCTGCCAGTTGGTCCACGACGCCAACTGCTGGATGTCAATTGCGCGGTCAACGCCATTCAGCAGCAAGCGGAAGTCTTCCGGGGTAAGAATTTCCAGGGTTTCCCCAGGTATCACGTCGTGAACTCCACGCTTTAACGCCTGCAAGAAGAAGCGATTTCAATAAGGTATAAAATAATGCTGGACAAAACGGCGAACAAAATTCCAACCGCGACTCACATCCAGAACTTTCTCCGCCATTTTGCCCATCCTCATTTCTGTCGCTAATTTAACAAACTCGTAGATATTCTCCCGTGTCACGGGCACGTTGCGGCCCTGGGGTTTCAATTCCAGATCTTTTCCTCCCTGCACAAAAGCAAACCACAAGCGTAAGACAACAAAACTATTGTAAAAACAAAACTACTGTAATTTGTATTGTTTATGCAAAAAAAGCCTTTCTGTGTACGCGATGAGTAAATAAACTGACAATATTATTTTCTGACCTCTTCCAACGGCAGATCCACAGCAAAATATAAATACAGCTCCGCAACCTCCTCCTCGTTGATCACTCCCGTTTCAATATCAACGACTAACTTGCGCAGCGTTTCAAACATCACCGGATCATGGAAGGCGAAATCGCTCCATGTTCGCGGCCGATCCAAGATAAATTTGGCGGTTGCTCGTGTCAAGCATAGAGGGAAAATCTCTCCTTGCAGCAGTGCCAATCCGATCAGCCTAATCAACAGAACCATCATATAGAATTTCGAGAACCAATGAACCAAAAATCATCCAACATTGTTGCAGTAAATGAAATACGGTTGTATAATAACAGGTCATCATAAACAGAAATTTCGTATCTGAAAATATCCTTACCGTCCAACATTCCTGAATGCCAACAGTCGTGCTACACTGCTCTTCCCCGGTCGCAGCGCATAGAAACCAGGCCGCCCCGGTTCATAAAACAGTGGCTCATCATCGTCCTTTAATTTTTCCTCGACCTTCTCCTCCTCCTTCGCTGGCGTCTCGTGCGTCTTCAGATTGCCCGTCAGCGTCGCCCCGCTGTTATCGGTGACAATGGGAAAGGGTAGGTAGCCACTCGGAGAATGCGACTCCGAGCGGTGCGCCTGGATGGCAAGCGCCGCCTCATCGATGCGCACGCTCAACATCTCATCATGCTGCAGCAGCACCTGCACCATACCCGGGTCCAGCTGCATTAGCATGGCGCTGATGCGCTGCACCGTCGCCGCCGTGAAGCTCGGTCTCAAAGAACTAATGGTGTGCGACAGCGCTTCCGTAAGATTCCGCTCTCCGCTGCGGCCACCAGCGGCGGCGGCAGCGGCTCGCGCACCGATGGAGGCCGCCATGTCCGGCCAACTGTTGCGTCCGGCTGAAGAGCGCAGATCCGCCATGTTCAGTTCGCTCATTTCGCTTTCAGATACGGATCGCCGATTTGAAGAGCCCGAGTCGCTGCGCATGAAACGCATCCGGCTATCGCTGCTGATCCAACGGCGTTCTTGTGCATGCGGAGGCGCTGGGCGATCCAGCTGGGGTAGACGCTCCGAAGACAAGAGTGCCTGCAAAATGTGAGCACAATCAAATTTTACGAAATATCAAATATTTAGGTGCGCTCTATTTCAACGTAGCCCGACGGACACTCGCTTAGTCACTTCTATAAACTTCCATAAAATACTTCTATAAAATAACGAATAACTTCTATAAACACTTCTATAAAATAACGAATAATATCGTAATATAAAGTTATTTACAAGTTCAAAGGCATTGTATAGATATTTCCAACTGGTTGTATTTCTAATTTTTTTTATGGCTAGACTGAGTTCCAAATCGAGTACATCTGTATCAAGTTCACTACCACAACAAACAGCTACCGACAAAATCACAATAAATTTTCTTTAGGATAATTACCTCTGCTAACACCGTAAAGAAACTTCGGGCCACACCATTTCCTTCTCCCGGTTCATCGCGGAAAGTCACTTTTATTTTGGCACACGGTTGCGGTGCGGAAGGATTCGAACGCCGATTAAAAAACTGATTGAGCGCGGCAAAAGATTCTGGTATTAAATCACCACGTGCTCGTTGAACCTGCATCACAAAATAAGGCATTCAATCAGACATATCCAGTTTGCTGGCTTTGCATAACGCCGCCTTACATCCATAATGAGGTCCCTCGCTTGAGTGCCCCTTAGGCGTTCCATTTCCTTACGGAACTTGGCTTCCTTGACGGGGAATGCAGCAATGTCCGCAATCAACGAGCCCGATTCGCCACTGAAGTCTTCAGCGAACACACGGCTGAACGTATCCAGCGTTTGTCGCCATCGTCCCAACAGCAAATCCTGGGTTATCGACGCACTTAACACGCGTTTCCTGCAGTAAAAATCCTAATAATAAATCATCATAATACAAACCAAAACTCAGATACACATTGATAACGACAGTAAAGGTTAAAATACAATCACAACAAAAACCTTTTCTACGGTTCTGTAATGCAATGCTCCCAATAAACGAATGCACTTCCTGGTAAATACAAAATCATTCAACAACATAGTTTCATAATGTAAAAAAATGCTTTTACAGATAGATAACAAGCGCAGTTTTACTTTACAACCGGCATATATTTGGTACTATCAAAGAAGAAAAAATGCCGGTAACGCCGCCAGCACAAGCATAACAGTACCGTGCACTGGATGCTCCCGTCTCGGTTTCGGTATCTTCCGAATGGGGATTATCCTCTCCGTACTCCTCATCTGAATCATCCCCGACCAACCAAGGCCGAGCATCCTCCTGACGATTAGTCAACGACAACCGCACCGGGGGGCTCTTGAAGCTAGCTGGGCTCCCCGTCGGAACTTCCGATGAGTAATCCACCAACTTGGCACCGAACAGCTCTTCCCGCCGAGCGTTAGGCAGCAATAGCTGTGGTCGGTCGGCCAACGGTAAGGAATCGGACAGAGATTTCTTAAATGGATCCGGTTGGGCACTTCCGAGGTAGCACATGGACCGGGCGCGGCGGAAAAACGAATGCGAACGACAACTTTCCGCAGAGGCACTTGCTGATGCACGGTTACGCTCGGAAGCCGATTTCAAGTGGATCGTCGCTGACTAAAACAACGAACCAAGCTGCTGCATTAGAAAATCACTAAAGTAAATCGATCTGCTGCTTACAACGTTCAAGATCCGTCAACACTGAGTGCAAAAGAAAGCTAATCAAGAGCAGAAAGCATGTATGCAGTGACAAACCTGTTCGTAGACTAGAGGTAATGGCATTTCCGGATCGATCTCGTCCTCATCAAACGGCAACCCCCATGGCTGATTACCGCGCACTTTACGCAGTTCGCTGAGATTGTTGGGATCAGATGTAATACGCAAATAATAAACCATGGCGTCGAAGACGAACGCCACATGCTTCAACGCCGCGACATCCAACACCGGAAGCGAGTCACCGTGTTCCGAATTATGAGCCCGCATCAGCGATAACATGTAACCGAGGAAATCATTCCGCGACGAGGCAGTCGCTGACACTTCTGCAATTAAATTAGCGATTTTCAGTGGAATTACATTAAGCAACGGTTCCAGTGCATGTCGATCGACAGTTCGACATACGACAAGAAATCCCTAACGCAGACAGTCACGCCATCTGCAAATTCTGACGGCTTACCACGAGATGATTTGCGAACTGTCGTTGGCAGACTGTAGCTCGGATGTACGCTACTTCGGGGATCTTCGTGATCGCGCGATGACTGACTGCGTGGGGTTTGTGCAGGAGCCGTGTCGCTGGACTGATGCAGGGCATAACCAAATCGCAGTTGTGCTTCCGTGGAATCCATAATTTGACATAGCCAGTTCCATGTCCGCTTCAAGCTTTCGCTGACAAATATCTGCGAAACAATATTTCGTCAATGCAAGAATTCGCTAGAATTTGCAAATACGAGTAATATAGCACCCCCCCCCCACTTTTATCGAAACCGTTATGCAAAGCAGTTACTCGAAATAACGTAATCAGTCAAAAAAGTCCATCCCCCTACGCCCCCAACACTCCATAAGCGAAACCTTTATAAATCGTCATACTTAACTCTATAAACCTATATTATTATGAGTAGCATACTTAACAGGAAAGAGTCGATGTGTATCAAAATATTAAGTATAGCAGGACCAATATGAGCCTTAATTTTATCTACATACTTCCAAACGTTCCAGCTTGCTGCTATCCATGGAAATATGTTCCTGTCGCACACTGGGCTCTCGCATTTCCACCAACAACTCCGCCACCTCACGGACAATAGTCCCATAAGAGCGCGCTAGATTCGAAAACGTCGAGCTGAACGAAGGCGACGTGCCGTCAAGGGTCGCCGGTGAACGCCGGTACATCCCAAAGGAGTCCATATAAATGTACGAACTCCCTGCAATCAAGTTCACGACAATTAACGTTCTGTACACACCAAGAAAGCTGTTAACTCACTTAAAGTGGCACCGGAACTGGGAAAGAACTCGCGGGTACGCGCCGACGGTCGACTGCCGGTTGTAGGTGACGATGCCCACTGCAATCCGGGTGGTAAAGCTGCGTTGCCGCTCAGACGTGACGAATGCGTCATGGATATGGAAGGTGCCGCTCGCACATACACCGCATTACCGCCACCACGAGTGTTTGCTTCCATGAAGAACGGATACAAGTTCTCATCATCACCCTCCATGGAACCGCTATCGTCCATGTCGACACCATCACTTTCGCCTTCATCTTCTTCCTCATCATCGTCATCTTCCTCATGTGTTCCCTAAATTGTAAATTCTTATACATATATTTTTGAAACATTATCCCAAGCACCAACCAACTCACCGTGGACGGATCCGAATCATCATTGTCATCATCATCGTTATCATCGGAAAATGGGTCTTGGGCTGGATTAGCTAGAAACCATAAGAGCGAATGAACATCACCGTTATTTCTTGCAATAATTTTCCAAAATAAAACTCACTGGTAAACTAGCTGTCTACTACGAAGTACCTTCAGCTGGCTGACTGCCACCTTGCTCGACCACCACAGTTCGCTCGAAATCGTTGCCTTCGCCGTTATCGGAATCCGTATTGTCGGAGTCTCCATCATCATCGATATCCATATCACTGGCATTGGCCACTTCCGCTTCTGCCAGTGGAATAGTGGCGACGGAGAATGCGGAATGAGGCTCCTCCGCTTCACCGGACTGAGAACTGGGCGGTGTGCGGTTGGCCGTGCTAATTACATGCGGAGTACGAAGGGTACTCCTACTGCGTGCGGCCTGCCAAGTACAGTTTAATCAAATTTCATGTCAGATGAATGCGAAAATTCAAAAAATACCTTACAGTATACAATGCGAATACTAACTGAAGGAGCAAACCGACAGCAATCAGCAAAACCTTTAATACCAATAAAATTTGAATACCTCCGGTCGATAGATTAACTGAAAGTCATCGTCAAACGGCACCGGTTCTTCCTGTGGCGCTGTATTCGATGTGTGTATTTCCCGTCGATTTCGGCCACGACGTCGTTCCGCCAGCGGCTCCGTATTGAACAACTCATCACTCCCACGCGAATTTTCCGAATACGCATTGATGGGAATAAAACTCGAAGAGGGGCGCGCTACGCCTAGTCGTACCGGCGTAATCAGTGCTTCCGCGGCTTCGCACAACTCCACAATAGATAGCAACGGCAACTGACGAAAAATCTTTCGGATTTTTCGCAAAGATTTTGGGAGCGTTTGTCTAGACCAAATAACTTGTCACAGATACTGTATTTCGAAGCAGAAAAACGTACTACTCACTCTTTGGCTTTGCTGTTTTGAGCGGTTTCCGATGTCAGAATGACAAACACTCGCACAATAGAGCGTACAAAACGGTTCGTCATCTCCTGCGCTTCCATGCTGGTATCATTGCCGTCACCGAAATCCCCCACGGCAGCCTGGATGGTGCGAATAAAGGCGTCAATATGATCGGAATTGCATTTGGTTAGCAGAACGTGCACGAATTTATCCAACGACGCTGTGCCACTTTGATACGACAAATGGAACTGATCTTCTTGTACCGCCGAGGAGAAGGCAGCCAATCTGGGATTTGGATATCCTGTCAGCAAAGCTGTCTTCAGAGCTTCATAACTCCCAAGCAAAAGCGTCAAAGCCATTTGGCAGAATTTCGGCGGACTAAGCACTAAAATCATAGGACACTTACGGTAAAATGCAACCTTTAACAGGCAAATTTGAAAACCTCTATTCACGTACGCCAAACGGCAAAAACGTATATTTGGACAACACATTAATCTTAGCCACATAATATAAAGTTACATTCATGAGAATGTGGCATTCAGTTAATTAGTGACTGCCACTGACTGGACAGTATGCATTAACGGGAAACGAACGAAAATAATACCAACAATTATCTTACAGTCTGCATGTCGTGTGCCACGGTTACTCTTTAGAAATCGCTGCTCTCCAAGTTGTCTCCCAACAGTGTGTACGAGGTATTGGATAAGATATTCATTCCTAATAAACATTCATATGTTTACGGAAACTTAATCGCGATACACAAAACATTCTGCGGGTTACCGGCTGCTGGGGCGCACAACCAGGTCAGTCGACATATTAATCAGCTTGGAAAACAGCTCCAACCGTAAACTCTCATCTCCCGATACCAGACTCTGACATTTGCATTTCTCCCAACAGTCACAATAGGCCGTAGGAGAAGACCGTTTAATCCGACATTCATGGCCGCGATGGCAAGTACGGGCGCATTCGGTACAGCAGCACAGTGATCCCGTGAGGCCGCACGTTCGACACTCCCACACGTCCTGCTGTATGTGACCTGTAAAACCCAGTATTACCGTATTACGCTTTTTTCCCACCAAAAGTTCCGCTTCCCTACAACGCTTTTCCAGAAAAAAAAACTGTTTAATAGCCACCATAATCAACGGATGCAATATTACAAGTATTAGAGGAAACTGAAGTACATCAATCACCGAAACGCCATAATAATCAATTTAAGTGATAGTGGAATATGCAAAACTCAAAAAGCCGCTTACAGGCACCGGTCCAAGTAAAAGTACAAACATCGTTCAGGCACAGAACAAATAGCGGCGAATCATCGGCCGGTGAACCAGGAGGATACAAGAAATCCATCACCAGCGCATCCACTGTCTTCGAATCAACGGGATTCAGGCCGAATTCCGGGTAGGAATCGCGTATAACACTGGTAGTGGTGCTCAGCATCATTAGCGCGGCTTCGTACGAGCGGATAAGCACCGCGTACATAAACGGTGTCATTCCCGAGGAGTTTCTACACAGCAACCACAGTGCGTAAAAAAATCAGGATATGGCCATTTCTCGCGTTTCAGCCTTACTTCATCGACATTAATTCCAAAAATAATTTGCGAATTTCGGTATGGTTACAGAGCAGTTCCAGAATGGTTCGGCTGCGTTCCGTGCGTGTACGTGAATGACCTAAAGTGATACAACTGTATCCATTTATGGCTCAACTCATTCAAAAGTTAAAGTTCTACCGTTGCCATCTCCGTCACCTTCCGGTATCCCTGATGGCGTACTCAAGGCTTTAGTGCTTCTGCACAACTGGTGAACTGTTTCTAATAGAAGCATAATTTAAATAATGCATCTGCCTTGAATCGCAAGATCATTCATTTCTAATAGTTTGATATACAAGAGATGAACTACAATTCGTCAGTTCCCGAATATCCTTACCGTCATTAACCGTCCGCTCCAAATGGTGAAAGCGCGCCAAAGCGGACTCCCGAATGCGACGCTGCAGTCCGCTGGCAGTTCCAGATTTCCGCGAGAACAAATGATGAATGTATTCCGACGATGATGATGAGCCAGGATGATCCGGAAAATCCGGTAATGGCACTAAATCTAGGAGTTCATCCTCACGCTTTGGCAAAGAATCTATGAAAACAAACTATGAACAATTCCGTGCTACTAGGAAAACATTATTACATGTATATAACTTAATTCCAGAATTCATAAACTTTGCTTTGACTGCTCACCGGTTTCCAGTCGCGCTGACGACAAACTTCTAGGAAAATCTTTGCGCGGCTGCGGAGCACAAACTGCCGCCGCCGAATGAAATATGTTACGATTGCCATCCGAACACTCCAGGATCATACGATGCAACCTATCCGGTGCCATTTGGAGCGTCGCGTGGACTTTCTCCACTGAGTTCTCCAGGATGCATTGAATCAGGCTGTCCTTTCGCACCACAAATGCCACAACCCCGCAGGGAATTTTACTGCTGGCCCGCCCCGGAATGGCCAAATAGCGCATAAACACATTTAGGGATTGGACGGGAGAACAATTCAGCGCATGGGGAATACGCAAAGATCCTACGCAGTCCTTTTCGATGGGATAAATACAACTGTTTCCATCCAACATAACCGTTACCGCATCCTGCAAAACAGCGTTACATTATATTGAAAGGCCAAGAAGAAAATTTTTCGCAATCTCTAAATCAAAACATAAACTAACATCCATAAACTCCTTCAAAAACATTTCTGTTTAGTAATCGCTTAAAACTTTGTACATAAGCATACCAGAATTGCTGTTGACAATATTGTTCATAAAACGCATAAGCTTCAATAAGTTACTGTTTCAGAACCAATATACCGTAACTGGTAAGTATTGGTAGCCACCTATGAAATGATGAATGACAACCCCAAGCGAATCCTTACCCGCCCTCCAGTTACCAGCTTCAAATCGCGCTCCTGATTTCCCAGAATATACTTGGCATCACAGAGGAAACGGCTCTGCACGTCCTTCTTCCCACTCTGCAGATTATACGTGATGAAGGACAATTTGCCGGACATGCCCAATATAACCATCTGTATGTTGCGCAGATTGGGGGCGCACGCCAGCACCTTCTTGCAGCCGCCGCTGATACGCAATTTCTTTGGCACACGTTGGATGCAGTCTACCGATCTGGTAGTCGATACGGATGAGTGTCCCTTGAACAACTGCAAATCGGACTTCTTCAATAAAGGAGACTTATCAGCGTCGGAAGTTTCCATATCGATCTCTGACGGGTTGAAGATGACATAAGCGTGGTCATCGGTCACCTACAATGGTTTTATAATTCAAGACAAGGTAGCTATCCTTGCATGGGGTGTACAGAAAGCAGATGGATCTATCCCCGTAATTGTAGCAGCAATACGTGTCAGTACAGAATAAATCCATTTAAAAGAACTATTTCTACAACATCCACTAAGAATATTCGCATTATTTCGAAAATGCAATGCTACAGAACTTATCGGGTACGCATACTTAACGGCTGACTGGTAAAACACCCTAATATTCTAAAAAACCATACCCGAGACACTTTTCCCACCATCGATGTTCGTCCGCCCTCCTCCAGAATAACGACATCACGGGTGTTCCACGATTCCGTGACATAAACTTCATCGTCCGTCATGGCTGTGTCAGCTGTTCGTTTGCCCATCAGCGCTAATTCATTTGACGGCAGCTCCGAGCCAACGAACTCCGAAGTAGCTTTTCCAGAAGCACCGTCCGATAACATGGGTTTGCCAGACTTGGCATCGAGAAGTTTAAAGCGCATCACACTGGACAAATCCCACATATTATCCATTAGTTCTCCACACTGTAATTCCCCATAGGAATTAATCCGAAATCCGATGGCACCAGGCTGGTACAGCGCATTGCTTTTATACACAACCTGAAATACAGCAATTCTGTAGAACAAACAAGTTTAGCTAAATCGTACAGCAAATCTTACCGTTGATCCAGCCTGTATATCGGAAGCAGGTACAGTCTTGGTTTTCTTCGTTTTACTTCGAGCCTTTTCCAATGCGCGATGTCTGTATCCAAGTGGCATAACTCCCCTATAAGAAAAATGTTTGCCAAGAACAGTATTTTCAGACGTTTCAAAAACATCCAGAACGAATGCATTAAAAAAACTTTCTGAAGCATCATGTTTGCATTGTTCGTAATATCTACAGTAACTCACCACCAATATAGCGAACCAGATTCGACTCGAGCACACGAATACAACATGCACACAACTAAATCGGCAATTTTCTCGTTCTGCAGTTCTGTGAATGCCGTTGCAGGGTGCTCCAGCTTCTTAGCCACAATTCCTCCGGACTCGTCAATTAACGTTGCAAGCTGCCAGCGAAAATTAATAAATCCCTCTTAATATATCCTGAAGTACCCCCAAGACCAGCGTTCAACAACCAAATAATCTACCTTTCCACTATTCGTCAAAAACGATGCTCGAATTCCACAAGCGGCCATAATGCGCACCTTCTCCGTTGTTAAACCCAATACAGCGGCTTTGGGATGGAAAATTCCCGCGGACGACTATCAATACAATGGCGTAACTGAGATCACATCGCACAAGAAGTCAATCATGACTTACAGAATTCTCGCAATAGGGAAACTCTTGATCCCAGCGCCACTGGTACAACTGGCCATTGTCGCATATGCACAACAATTCCGAAAGCAATACACCAATGGAGACAAACTTGATCTCCCCAATTTCCTATATACAAATAAATGAAGTACTTAATTTCCTGTCTTCAATACAAATTGACTGCATGCAATATTTTTCTTCTATTTTACCGGTGAAGCAAAACGCAGCGTTTCTAACTTGCTGCCAATCATCGCTACAACACTGGATTGGTGTCCCAACTTGTCCGACCTTTCCGATCCATAAATACTGGTCAGGCCGGCACCCAGACGAGATGATCGGGCGAGATATGCGTCGGGAGAATCGGCGGCGTCTTCCATCCAGTTAATCAACATCTCATCAGCATAGGCTACAACAACGAAAATCCTGTAGAAAACAGTTCGTTTACTAAATGTTTTTGGAGATATTCACCTTCACCGGCGAGGTCCTCGGATTCACTCATTTCATCGTCATCACGGCTCAGTAAGTTATTTGCCGCAGTATTCACATCCAAATTCTATATAAAAAGATGCTAGATAATGCAATAAACAGAGCAAGAGTTCAATCTATATGCAAATTTCCAGTTCATTTAACGCAACCATGCACTATCACACGAATGATCGCGCCATCTTACCGTTCGCATAAGCTCACGGATAACCGCGCCTCTTGATTTTCCTTGCAGAACTTGCTGCACCTACAGAAGAAGCATTAATAAGCCGCTAAAGCCACATATCAGTGTCGAGAAACCACCGAATTCCGTGGGTAACCAAAGAATTTCATCACATTTTGTTCTTTACCTGCGCAATGAGCTCCTCCGGAACAGCACCGGTGCTGATCCGTCGAGGCAGGCTAGCATCGGGTGCGGAGGCCCGGTGCGGAGCACTGGCCACCGGCAGCGGCACGGTGACGGTGCCGCTGGACTGGTTAGTGGAACGCGAGCGGCTGCCGCTGGGCGGCGCGCTAGCTGATGGGGCAGACACCAGTCGGCGTGCGGCGCGACGTGAGGGCTGCACCAGTGGCTGGCTGCGGCCGGGCGCCGGCCGCGATGCGGCGCGGCGTGCCTGCTGCATGTGCTCCACGGCGGCCTGGGTGAGGGCCAGGCCTTCCCCGCATTACAGCCGCGGGATCATCACTGGGGCTGGTATGCGGTTTCTTCAGTGGGGGTCTAATAAAGCAAAAACAAAACCGATAAAAACGACGATTACAAATTATCACAATTACAGTGACACATACTGTAACGATAAACAAGCGATCCCACAAGAACAAAATGTAAGTCATACGAAAAATAACTGAATGTATGAAAAAATAACAGAATTCAACAGTAGGTTGCCAGTTTCGAAGTTTTTTACGCTAGAAAATTCCAAAACGCGAAGTGTTGTATGGCGAAAAACAGCCGCAGTACGGCAACGAATAAAGGAAACAATCGGAAATAATAAAAAGAATGCAATTTTTCAAAATGGAATACACCCTCGTGCACTTACTCGAAACTCGACTTGTTTTTGGAGTGCGAGTCAGTCGCATCTGTCGGCCAGGAGCGTTCGCACTCCAGCTGATAGGAGACCCGATGCACGGAGCCATCCTGCATAAAAATTAATATTTAAATCAAAGAAACAGATTTATGGAAAAACGCCTATTGACGTTCTAAACAGCCCCTAACAGCAGAAAGACAACATACATCCAGCAAGAAGCAGAGATGATGCGGACCGACCGCCACCTGGCTGATGCCGCGTCGGTTCAGCTCCTTCAGAACAGCAGGACCCTCGTCGCGCCCGTTCAGATCCTGCACAGCTTCTTCAAGTCTGGAAAACAAAATGTTATATTACAGTGCAACTAAATTATGATCAAAGAAATAAATTGTGACATTCTCTAAAATGTTCCAAGGAAAATTCCTAAATGTTCCAAGAAAAATCACTAAGTGTTTAAACACTTTTACACTTGGAAAATTACTTGGAAAAGTGCAACAGTTTCACATTCAGAAATATAATTATGCAAATCATACGCTGCTAAAAATGGTTTTGTATCAAAAAATTACAATAGTATTTCGGCAAGATAAGATCCCAAAAGGCTTGCTGCTTCTCGATCAACAATTTGCTGTACTGCATTTTAGAAGAGCTAATCATGCTAATGCTGAATCCACGAAACAGGCACCTGATTTCACTTTTTCAAATAAAGGTCAAGACTAAACCTCCACGGTTATCTGGTTTTCCCATCTTCTATCAAAAATACAACACACTAACCTTTGATTAAGAAGGGATATGGAAGCATTCTGTCCATGGACGAAGAACTGTACAGCAGTGGCCATAATGGCCACAGCACACCACGTCTACCGCAGCGAATGTTCTAACTTCGCAGTGCTTTATGTCTTTGATATTCTTCTTTCACCATAAATCACGGATCAATTCTGGTTACTACGTCGGAAAATATCTCCAGACATTCCACTCAAGAGAAAATACTAAATCAACATAGTAAAAACCTGGAACTAACCATAAGAGAAAGTATCTATATGAAAGAAACCACAGAATCCAGATAACTGCAAAATCGCGAAACCCGTCAAAACAGTTTTGTTTGAAAACGAAAAAATCGAAGAGCATGCACGCGCAGCTTAGAGAAATACTGAAATACACACTACAGTGCGGTACAGCTGCTCCATAATATTACGTATGTAGTTATTTCGTAGCACAAACGTAATCGCTTCCTGGGCGGCACATCTAGTGTGAATTTGCTAACTAACCCATTTTTTTGGAAGAACATGGTTTTCGACATTGACCATTATGATTTACCATTTGCGACCCCAGGTTTGTAAGGTAAGTTCTTCAATACGAATAACTGGCGATGAGTCCAGCGCCGGCTAATTTCCAAAATAGTTCAAGAATCACGAAATAATAACATTTTGTGATAAGAACACGATACAGGATTGAAATCATTGAATATTCCCATTAATTAATAAAAATGCTTAATTTTGTGATCGATGTCGATAAAAATTTTGTGATCGATAAAAATTTTGTCACATTTTTGTGATCGATGTTCTGTTTCTTTAGAAAAACATCATTAACACGTGATACCATTTTCCCTTTTAGTAAGCTTTCAACAACTCTATTGAGTTAGCGTTAATCTTGCACACCTGTTGTAGTGATATTTTGTGTAAATTATGTTAACAAATTTTGAGTCACAATGCATAAATAGTAACAGCAATGCGTAGCTGCAAAAGTGTTAACTTCACTTTTAAATCGCCGTTTTAGGAAGCATATGTAATACGAATCGAAAGTCGAACTGAAATGCTCAGGAAGGCGCAACCCGTGATCAAATCGAACATTCTCTGGAAGAATAACAAGGCGCAAAACAAAATATTTACAAAACATTTCAGGCCAACATCAAATGGTTATAAATGGTCGAAACTAAATGAGAAAAATTCGACAACAATCGAAACTGTCAAGAATGCCAGACCGGCGCACCATCCATAACACCGCAAAAAAGTATGCATTTGTAGAAATAAACTGATATTCATGTTAAAATCACAAAGTGGCCAATGTAACTGGCACCCACTCGTTTGTAAAGCACCTGCAAAAACGTGTTTATTTCACTTGAATGGCGGCATTCAGCAGATTTGCATCTTTTAATGAGACTGAATCATCCGTCAAAGCCTTCGAAGGAAATCCGGCTAACATTTGGAAATCAGCCGCTTCAAACTCCGGACGCGCCAGACGAACGAAACGACGAATATCCCCGACAGTGGCCACTTCGTTGAACCGGTGCACGATACGAGATCCGTCGGTGAGACGAATCTGGATGTTCGTGGCCGGCAGTGAGCCATCCGACGCGAAGGCAGCTTTGGCCTTGTCTTCCGAAGCTTTTCGCGCATCACCAGATTCTGCTTTTTTTGCTGTCCCTGGATTAGAAACGACCGCCGGAGCAGGACTAAAAACAACAACTGATGCCTTTTGTAAAACAACTCGCAGCCAAACCAAACTGAGCGGCGGTTCCAAATTCATCATGCCTATGGCAACAGATTACTGGATTCCCAAGTTTTTTATTATTTCTTCGGTATTTCCTACTTACCTCTTCATCAGTCTTCACCCAAAAGCAAAAAACTGCATACCTAACTAATATCATATTGCTGCATAACTATCACTATGGCATAACTATAAGCTAAATTTACCTGCCAAGCATATGTCCGGTTCCACCGAAGTATTCAGGAGCTTTCTTTGGTGGGCGGTACTCCGCGTCGCGGTGATCTTCCATCTGCACGCGGACCTCTCCCTGACTGGCCATCATTGCCAGCTCCCGCGGCATACGGCCTTGCTTAACGGAACTCATGAACTCCTCATTAGCCGGATCACTGTAGCCGCGCAGTGGGCCGTCATTAACCGTGAACCCATTCTGCCACATGCGCAAAACCACCAGTCCACGATTGGGAGGATCCACCGGCGCCGGCGCGCTGCCGGACGGAATGGGCGCGGAATGCGTGCCCACCGGCGCACTGGCATCCAAGCGCTGTCCAGCACCGGTGAACATGGACGATCGACCAGCCGCCGGTGATTCATGCTCCACTTGCTCCGCGCCATGCTGACGTGCTGATTTGAACACCGACGTAATGATATCGTCGGGATTGCGGTTCTGTTTGCGCCCCGGCCCGATCACCTCTTGGCCAGAGCCAACATAAAACTCCTGTCCTTGATCTTTGTCGTTGTCCGGGTCGTCGTCCTCTTCGTCTGTGCTTTCCCGTCCACGGATACTGTTGAGTGTGGCAATGCGACTGGATCCCGATGCACCGCTGGTTGGCTTTGGATTGCCAATGGGACGCGGTACTGCCTGAGAAGCTAAAGGAAGCACTGTTTCAATACGCAATACATCTAGATCATGCCTCCTTATCATATCAAAAAAAAAACCTCAGCAGCATTAAATAGGGTACGGATTTAAATAATGGGGTCTAAGCCAGCCAACAAGAGCAAGAAAACCGATAAAACAGAGAATGCCGCTTTTATATGAGCACTGCTAAACGTTTCTGTAAATTGTAATAACTATCGTAAGTGAATCATACCAGCAGGCGCCGGTGCGGCATTCGTAGGTGGTGTGAAGTACGGCGCGAAACCCGAGCCAGGCATCTGCTGCTGAGCGTGATAATCCTCCATGTTGACGTCCTCATCCTGCGAGCCCCGCGAGTCGAAGTACGTCTCCAGTGCCACCCCGATTTCCCAGCCTGCCGACTCCAGATAGAACCGGGAGCGGTCTGGTTGCAGTCCCGTAGTTTCCGAAAACTGTCGAATCAGATCGTCCTCGTTCGACATCTTGGCCTATTTGGAACAAAAGCAAACAGATGTATGACAAAGGCGCCAAGTTGCCAAGTTGCCAACACAATATCGTTTGAGATTAAATTTTTACTAGTATAAAAATACGACATAATTCATGATAATTGAATAATAACTGAATTAGGAATAGGAAAGGCAATATTTATTTAAATTGCTCGCTACATGTGTAGGACAGTAAAGAATGGCGATGCGCCGATGACCATGAGGAATTTAAGCCATACCCATAATAACCAATTAATGTAATTATATTTTCCATTTCCAAACGTATCTCCAAGAACTAGCAATTGTAACCCTTTATAGTTTAAGGTTTCTCGTTCACAGAACTATGAGGCCAGAACTACTACCGTAAGAACTACCACTGTACTCATAGTTACTAACTTTGGCCTTTATGGTATTTCACAGTTATATTTACTGGATATAACTACTCGTACTCCTCCAAATGAAACATTTAGAAAAGTTGCACTTAACGTGCCACTACTGTACTGCCGATTCTTGATTATGGGTAATTGGGTATCAACTATCAACATTCAAGTGCAATGCAGTTACAAACAATAAATTTCTGCCTTTGGTTTAAAAAAAACACATTGCCGACATTGGGTTCGGAAATCAGGAGAACTTCGTCTCTCTGACAGCCCGTACAAAATTAATTAACAAATTACCTGTTCTGGGGTTTGGAATTAATGTGGCGCACAGAAATCAGACTCGGAACCAGGAAGGTGAGTCAAAAATAAACAGAAAGAGTTGAAAGTTTGAAACTGAAGATTTCCTCAAATTTTTACTTGTCAGAATCTGAAACATGACAGAATGAGAAAGCAATGAGGGTTAGCGAAGCAGGAAAAAATTGCAGCGTAATCCTACATCCACCGACTGCCGGCTGCAGGTGGTTGCACTACAGACAAAACCAACAGTTCGTGTCCAGGTGGCGCTCGTACTTACCTGCCGCAGGAAACAAGCAATGACGTCAGAAATTTACGCGCCGGTGTACTCACTGCGGCATGTGTAAAAACAGGCGGGGCCCAGACATTTGTCGGGTCCATTGGCTTCTCTCTGCACTCTTTTAAATGCTCCGTTGCTATTGGTTGAGCGATGAACTGAATGCGAAATCCGCATTCCCCAAATGCTCCATCCCAACGGCAGACCGACGTCTGCTTCCGCTTTGAGGTTTTGTGCCACCAGAAACCGATCAAAATTTCATTACGACATCGCTGGTTTCGAAGCGGTGGTAATTCAATGTTTAATGAAAACTTTGTGAATTATTACAAGTTTAAAACTGTGTTTATTTGTGGACATTTATCGACGCTAGCACGTCGTTGTGTCTGTTTGCGTCCGTATGCATCGCTTTGGAAAATCTGCGCAGTGTGCACGAGGACTTATTGCTGTTGAGTATTGGGTAACCGTAAATAATTGAATTGAATAATTTAAAATAAAATTGATCCTCGAACATCTGGGTGGGAATTGCACTTACGCGGCAGTACAACTTAGCGGACTATTGTTGCATTGATTCTATTGATCGGATACATTGCGTGTATGGGCGATTGTACTGGAATGTCATGGAATTCTTCTCATGAGAAGGGTGGCCTGAAAGGGGGATTCCAGCCCACAGTGCACGTGTCCGCGAATTCGTATCAGGTCTCCCCGTTTGGGTACTCCGCCGATCGACGCCTGCCTGGTGCCGTTGCGTTTGCCCATCCGAAATCATCCGACGGCAGTAAAATCGCACTTTCTTCGCCCAGCAACAGCAGCGCTTCGTCCGCCGCGGCCACAGATTACATTCAGTGTGCTCTGAGCCAGCAGCTGGGCAAGGCAGCATCATCGTTGTCTAGGTCTCCTTCATCGTTGGCTGCCGCTGCTGAGATCTCGGAACAAGTGGAAAATGACGTGCAGAGAATCTTGCAAGAGTGCATAGAGTTTGTTCCCGCTCAGAACTCAGCGAATCAGCTGCTGACGAAAGTCCAACAACGATGCACTGACATCTCCACCATTCCCCTGGTCAAGTTCAGCTTCCATGGACAACGGATGCGGGAGATTCAACACACTGCCGAGGATACGATGTGTGAAAAGCAGGGAAATTCAGTGCACGGTGAGGATGAAATAATGTGCCATGGATTCGAGTTATATATGTTTGCTGATATATCGTCAGTTGAATTTTCATTACAGTATTATACAGGCTTTTCTGTAATTTATAATTAGTATAAGAAAAATCTTTTGCATAAGACTATGTACTGTAAGTGCATTTTTACATTAGTCGTAGTGCCATAAAGAGCAAGAAATAACTTTGTAAAAATTATTATAGCGGTAATTATAAATGCTAGCGCAGCATTCGACTGCGGGAAGTGGAAGCTACCCATGTTTGTTATTTATGATGCATTCAGCAGCGCATGCTTCTGTTTGCAGCATCTTCTGGCACTTCCGAAAACCCTGCATCCTCCTCCAGACATTCCGCCCCGCCGGCCAGTCCGGCTAAATCGCCGCTGCCGAGCAGCACCAAACCCTCTCTGGAAGACAGACTCCCTGAACCGAAGGTAATCATTTTCCCGGAAGCCAAAATCAAACTAGATTGGCCCCGACCGAATATGGCCGTCGGATGTGGACTGCACAATCTGGGCAACACCTGCTTCCTGAATGCCACACTACAGTGCCTAGCATATACCCCACCGCTGTATAATTATTTCGTCAAGGACGACCATAAGCAGCATTGTGGGTGACTTTGAAATTTTTGCAGTAGTTCTGCGGTAAAATATCTCTCTGCAATACTACTCTGGTCTGCAGGTCGTTTCAACGGGTTCTGTGTAACATGCAAGCTGCAAGAGTTCCTACCGTCCATGCTGCGCAGCCCGGTGAATGCGCTGCGACCTCATGCGATCACGTCCAACCTTCGTGGTAAGAAACTTACTGTTTATCGGATCTTTGAAATCTGCTTAAGAAGAAGCCCATGTTTTTTTTCTTGTTTTAACAGTTTTCATTAATTACAAAAATTGATGTTGCTGTTGTTGTGATTGATGTTGTTCATATTGCGACAAACTGGTGGGCCATTTTTAGCGTTTGCCAAGGGTCTGACAATGGGACGACAGGAAGATGCCCATGAATTTCTCCGCTTGCTCATCGACGCCATGCGGCGTTCGGCGTTATCGGGATACAATCCGAAAACCCTGGATATCTATAGTCAGGAAACAACCATTACAAGTCGGATATTCGGTGGTTTCTATCGTTCGCGCGTACAGTGCCAGCTGTGTAAGCAGCCATCCAGTGTGTACGATCCCTTCATGGACATCCCCCTGGATATTGGGAAGAACGTCACTGACCTGCAGGATGCCCTGCGGACCTTCACCCGGACGGAGCAACTGACATCGCCAAACAACCTCTACAAATGTGAGCGCTGTAAAAAGATGACGCCTGCCACCAAGCAGGTGACGATCCATAAACCGCCCAACATCCTCACCCTGCAGTTCAAGCGGTTTCTTTTTACCGGGATGAGTTCGCCCTCGAAGTTGGATAAGGCTGTCGGCTTCCCTGAGCGGTTAAATCTGCGGCCGTTTATGAGCGCCAGTGATGATGCTTCCGATGTGATATATAAGCTGTATGCGGTGCTGGTGCATAGCGGTGGGTCTTGCCACTCCGGTCATTATTATTCCTATGTTAATCCCAATGGAACATGGCACCGCATGGATGATACTCAGGTATTGAGGCGATGGATTGACATTAAAAAATAATACATTATTTTTAAAAAACGTTTTTTTGTTTTACAGGTGTACCCTGTGAATAAACAAATGGTTTTAAGTCAGAGAGCCTACCTGCTATTTTATGTTAGAATTCCCAATGATCCAAAGCTCAACTGCGCCCAGCTGAGTACAGCGGCGCAGGCTTCCAACGGGCCAAAACCGGTCATTGGTCCGCAGCTGAAGCCACCCATTGGACCGCAGTTGGATAACCGTCCCAGCGAGAAATTCGCCTTTTCTTTCAGTGATCACGCGAAGCCCGCGTCGGCCAACAATACTCTCAACGGAAAGGACACCAATCAGTCACCTTCCCCCTCCCCTTCCACACCAGCGAAATCCAAAACCGCTTTGAGTTTCGCGCAGCGCAGCACTCCCATGTTCACGCCGCGTGTTTTAACTTGTAAGCCATCTCCAGCGCCACAAAAATCCTTACCACCGTCCCAATCCGGCAAATCTCTCGTTCCATACCCGGAAGACGACGAGGACGTTATTCCAGCTCCTGAACCGGCGTCCAGTAAGAGCTCCGCGTCGTCCACATCCTCTGAGAGCAGCAAAGAAAACCGAGAGTTCTCAAAGAGCGTCAGTCCAGCCAAGGAAAGTGCGGTGCAACCGCCAACAGTGGACAGTCCGTCGGTGGCGAAAGCGGAGCCGATGTCACAGCAGTCGTCAACGGTCAGTTCCCGTTCAACATCCAGTGAGAGCAGTGCAGTCGAGGAACGTTTGGCGGCACTGCGATTGGAATTGAAGGGTGGAACTATGTCCAAGAAGGATCGGCGGCGGTTGAAGAAGCTGGAGCGACGGCTGCGGAAGAGTAAGGAGCGGACGGTGGAAGATCAGGTGGCGCCGGTGGTAGTTTCTCCGGAGAATGATCGCAAGCGAAAGAAGAAGAAAAACAAACGGCAGCGAAATTCATCGGGGAGCACCACCTCGTCTTCGGCTTCCAAATCGGAAATGGTGTGGGTGGAGAAAGACAAAATAAGTGGTACGCGCTTCATTGTACAGACATTCACGCCAGCGGTATTACGGTGACTGGTTTTTAAATATAATATCGTAAATTTAAATTTTAAAATCTGTTAAATGGGTGGTCACGCTGTTGCTGAAAATTGTTAATAATGGGCAGCATCTGCGTATTGGTCCTCTACAATGCGATTTCTTGAAATTGAAGCGTTTTGTCTCTTGTTTCGATAGGGAGTGGTCCATCCGCTGCGATTCCAGCCGGAAACGAGCCGCAACCCGAACCTACGCTGCTGAACGGTAATAAGAAATTTATTCTGGAACAGTCGAATTCGGTATACGGAGCGGATGTACGTGGCTGGAATGGCGAACGCTCCTTGTTGGACAGCCAAGCCGATCTGGTGAAATCGGAACAACGTAAACGTTTGTTTGAAGAGAGCGATCCGTATGAAGAGGAGCTGGATGTTGGACGAACAAAGAAAGTCAAGTATGCATCGTGGAAAAACGGTGACGGCCCGTCAAAAGCCAACACTTTCCAGCGGTTTCAGAATGGTCTGTTGGAGGATGCACTTCGTAGTAAGGTATGAGAATTTTTCTGTCATTCTGTTGAGGTTCGACAATTTTTTACGTGTTTTATTAATTTTCGGCGATATATCTGCATTTTTGTTTTCGGCTGCGATTGAGCTTGCCATTGCCCATTGTATGACTCAGCCGAGTATTTATGTTTGCCCACTGTTTTGTAGAGCATGAATTCGCACTCCGGACAGCGCGATGTATCCCGGAATTGGCGACCATCCAACGTGAACGGACAGAATCGTCGATCAGCATCTCGATAGCGTAGCTATGCAGTACGCATTGTGTCGCCAGCTTAAGCGTGATTGGGTTTTATTTCGTTATTTGTGCTCCACATTGGGCGCGTTTCAGGGCATTTTTTTCTGGTTTGAAGAGCTGTTGTTAAAAATTCCGTTTCCCCTTGCTGTTATAACCGGTTGGTTACTGTATAACTTTTATTGGGAATCATAGCTAACATGAGGTAACATGAGTAATCATTAGTAAAACTGAAATTGGAAGCGAAACGGTGAATTATTAAAGAAGCTTGTTATCGGTGTTGTTTGTTGTCGTTGACATTCGCTGAATTAGCGGGTACCGATGGGACATTACTCCTTTCATACGAAGTTGTAAGTTCCATGCAAGTGAAGTAAATTCAGTCAAATTTCCAAATTCAAAAAAATCCCAGCTGGCGATCGGAAAATAGGAATCGAACATCCTGTGAAATTCTGCACTATAAACGTATTAATTACAAGTGTTTTTAGCGCCTGTTTTGGCTGGTTTCACATTCTGGAGCTGTGGTATTACACGCAAGAATTCGAACTACACCCATTAAGTACGGTGATTACTACCATCTTTCAGCAATTAGGCTTTGTGATTCTGTGGGTGACCAAACCGGCTAGTTGTGAAACAAGTTTTTTTATAAAAATTAGCACGTATGTTCCTGTTGATTTTGCTTTCTCAGGTGGTGTAACCGACTTCCTGATTCCTGCTGTGAATCCATGTTTTAAATGTTTATATAACAGCTCGCATCTGTATGGGTGCGGTTGTCCGTTGTTGCATACTTCTATTTGCATTACACCATCTCGCACCCCGTGTTGGACTGGGCTTTAGATAAATGGCTACTGGGTTTCTTTCACCGCTGGTCCGTTAAGTTTTGTGTAATAATTTTTGACACCACCAAAAACTAGAATTGTCTATTGTAAATGCGGTCAGGTAGCCCAATAAATGCTAGCTATACGATCCAGATACACGACCCTAGCATGGCCGGAATCCAATCTTGGCTAATAACAGTGATAAAAATCAGGTAAATGAAGTTATTACAAAAGCTGCTCAAAAAAAATACTTTAATACGAAAATGAAGCAAGCAATGGTAACGTGGTCATATACATATCTGTATGTAACATCGTAAGCAATTGCAGCGTTAACAGCAGTTTTTTGCTATGACAATTCGAAGCATGGACTTAAGGCGGTGTTGTTATTAGTAACTTATGATGGTGTAATAAGCATTTCAAAGAGGTGGTGCAATAGTCAAAATGTAGTGAAAGGCGGTGACAGACTGACAATATCCAAAGGTGACGGCAGGGTGGATGAGCAGCCACTTTCTCTGTATTCTGCAACTGGACTATAGTGGTAGTTTAGTCACTCACCAATAACAAATAACGGGCACCAATAACAAATACCGGTAAAGAAAAAATGCCGGTTTATGTCTTGCGCGATCCGGACTTTTTTGTGGCTTTTAAACTTGTGTAAATAAATTAACGCAGCTCAATGTAGTGTGAAAGGTCATTTTAATTTAAATCTTCAATTACGAACACAGTAACAGTTAATTATACTCTAATTCTATTTACGAACACAGCAGCAGTTATTTCAGTCAAGTACTGATGTACTTTAGGAAAGTATGGAGATATTTAGGTGGTTGAGTTTTGTTGAAATGATTTGTTTGCTCTGATTAAAGGAGTTTTTAGAAAAACTAATTCTGGTGGGGTTTTGGAATATGGCTTTCAGATTGTGGCAGTGGTTTTGCTGATTCTGTACGGGAAAGCTGGTTGGTGTATCTCCTTTTATTTTTTGTGATAATAGAGATTTAGAATCTAGACTAGAATCTAGATATAACCAAATACGTGCCAGTGCTCCTATATATAAGACAGTGCTCATATATATATATATACTTCTCTCGATACTCAGTTAACCTCACACTTATGAAACATTTACTGTACAGGATTAAAAAAGAATGCTGCCTTTGTCTGCCGGTTTAAAGGTTGATTGCACATATAAAATCACATAAACTGCCCTTCCGGTCGACCGGCTCCGAAGCGCATATTAACTCGTCAGTCGCTGCTGTAGCAGAAAATAAAAAAGAAAGACTAGGTCGAGAAAATAGTTTTGAAATACAGGACACACATATGTTATATTAAGCAACTATTAATTTTTCTGTGACACCGTTTTTATTGAATTTTGCAATAATTGTACTGCCTTTTTTGCCGAGCCACAGAAGTGAACTTTGGAAGACTCGACAGCATGTCATGTGAGCGGGCAGTGTTGCTTCTGAAAACAGAGGGATGATGGAGAAGATAAGAGCACAAATTGGACAGTCACCGCGGGCGCCTTTTCCACCGAACGGTGTCCGCGCGCTCGCAGCCGGCAGGGCATCCCTCCGCAAAATGCGATGACAAAACTTGTATACACGAAGAAAAACTTTTTACCGGCATGTTATCTCGTCAGCATTGTCATATAATGATCGTCACGCATACAGCAGTCTCCCGGCGTAAATCGGGAATTGATTGCAGGCATTTCCGCTGCATGCATCTCTCTACCGATTATATCAAAACTCTATGATGCTGCTGCTGAGCACTTAGATGGTTTGCCGAGATTTGCGAGAGCCGTGTCAACCCCCGGCAACGGCTGAGTGCGCAAGGTAGCCGCAGTGTTCCGGCGTAATCGGCTTTGTACCTTGCAGCAACAATTTTTCTTCATAAGCCACACTTAACGAATTCTGACAGACATCCCTATTAATGGAGGTGTGTGCAGTCCTTTTTAATCGCCAGTTATTGTAGCGTGTTCGCACCCGGGAATAGTGTTCACGTTTTATCTCGTTCCGTCATATACATACCAGGTCCATGTCAGTTTACATCAATTCCATGTATCGACGATATTATTTCGCATTTATATTTATTCTGCGAAAAATTAACATACCGTGCTTTGCATATTATTTTTTTTATTTTGTATGTGTTTATTTCCGGTTTAAACGCTAATACGAATTACAGTCAATACGGTACGCTGCCACTGTGAAAAAATAATGTAAAATACCAGTACTGGTCGTAAAAATTTCTGGTGTTTGAACTGCTTGAATTAGCTCCTATTCAACGCACGCACATAGCACATTAATGTGTTAATATGCAATATTTACACCGTTTTTCTCCAGGATTGCCGAGTGAAGAGGTGGACCTTTATGGCAGCGCATTAGGGATGTGATTAGGCACATCTGTACAGAATTAATAATCCAGTGCCAACGCGGATGTCATGAGTAGCTGGCTGCTTCCGATGCGGTGTCGGGGAGAGAAGCTGGTGTGTGTATATTGTCCTTCCCACGAGATTGATACACAACACGGTATAATTGTACTGATTGCCACTGTGAGGATCTCAGGATTGCGCTTCGCACCGGCTTGCCAAATGAGAGAACCACATACTGCAGCCTAACAGCTAAATGAATCGGCTAATCGCACTGCTACAATGCCAGCTCTTCTACGGATTCATCCACACATCCCGGGTTAATATTATCATTATCACTCGCGATGACCCTAGATTTGGATTAGTCTCCACCGGTAATACGAGTGACAGTTCTGCCCTGTCAGAGCATTTTCAAGTTTACTCAGAACATGTTCGTGTAGTTGATTTCCCCATTTTCAGAGTGTTTCATATTATGTAAAACTTATCTGCATTATGGAGGTACCTTTCATATTTGTAGAAGAACAATAAACAATAATTATGAAATGGGGATTTATGATGATAATATAATTTATCGTCAGCTGTTTACATTAGTAGCCTATTAATAATTTGTGCACAAAAGTATTACCATCTTTTACCTACAGTGACCATCTTTGACTCGGTAATTATTTGGATTCCTTGTTAGTAATTAAGCCCACTGTCAGCCACCAAAACTGCGTTAGTTCAATGCGATATTGGTTCAATCCTGGACAGAAACTTCTATATCTAGGTGCCGTACGTAGCGTTGTAAAATCTTTTGTGCAGGCCCCGCGTACGATCTGGCCATCGACAATGCCAGGATCGCATATCCGGAAGTATTTCGAAATGTTAGCGTGCATTCGGTGCACTACCGCGTCGGGCGCTATATGGGCTGTCCAGAGGCCGGCGAAGACATGGGGCTCATTGCGGCGCGCAATGTCGGCATGCAGACGCTCCGGCAGTTGGAGGGGTTCAGTGTGATGGTGACACCAGGCAAGTGCAGACGGAATGTAAAAGTTAACCACTAACCAGTAAAGTATAGTCTATGAGTTTCTTTAATAAGGAATTTCTGTACTTCTTAGGTTGTAGTCCGGAAGTGCTCGTGTTAGGTGATTTTGCTCGCGGTAAGTCACACTGTTAGCAATTAATCAATCAATTTCTAAATACATTTTGTTTGCTAGTTTTCGCGCAATTATGCGACATTAAACACAAAGCTTGATCATCTAGTGCGTTACAGAAAGACAGACATTACTGGAAGTTACTTACTTCATAACTTGTTAAACTCTTCTATGATCAATCATAATCTGCGCACAGTGAGGAAGAATGCACATTCATTAGCAAAAAAGCAAGAGTATTCTAAATGACACGGTCATTACAAATTGCAAAAATCCAGTATTACGTGACGGTATTACCATTATTACGCAAATAATGCATATTTGACTTCCAGTAAAATATTGATGGTATGTACACGCGGTAGAACGCACAGCGTAAATAGTGTTGTTCGGCTTATGCAACCGGCACAACTGTCACACATCTTTCAGAATGGGACATTCCACTCCTAGCCAGGTAAGGAAGAAAGTGCTTTTCGACGCATCTATCACATCTCATCAGCCTTTTACCAGCTGATGGTCAGTCTGACTCCTAAGCACGATTGTAATACCAATTGCGTTAATGTTACACCGCGCAGTTCCGCCAGCGACAACAAAATCACCAATAAAAGCCGGTATCCCACGGTGACTGCCTACGGGCCCGTGGACATGACTAGCTTCACAACGGCCTCAAAAAAACTCTTATTCCAACATTCGTGGAAGACGGTGTTCTTGCTGTTCGACAATATGACACAGTCACCGTCGGTCGGCACCGTCTACTCGCTGCTGTTCAATAATCTGCGCAGTCAACTGGAGCAGCAGAAGCACATCTACACGGTGTCCGTCTTGACATTTGATTCCAAGTATTTGCTGAATAATACCACAGAGATTCTGCTGCGTCCCCGGGATGAAGCCCGAAGTAAGCAAGGCCATTACGTCAACCGGAAGTGTTACGTTTCTACTCGTCACCTGCGCGCTGGTCACGCTACACTCTTCAGCTCTGATTTTTGCAGTTATTTTCATCTTCACCAAACCGGCAATCCTGCGGGACATTCTGGTACTGCTCAAAGATATTTCAAGAAAATGTGATATCTGCTTCGCCATTCAAATTATGAATTAGCGCACATTCGTACAAACAGGACAGCTATCGGTATAGATAGCCTACTTAAGCATAATCAATGACTTAATTCGTATTAATTAGCCTCGCGCATTCGTGATCGACATTTTGCAAAGGTCATAATTAATTTCTTAATTTTGAACTGACAAGGCAAAAGCAAACATTTTCTGGATGGATTTTCTGGTTGATTTTAGTTGAGATTAGAAAGGATCTGATTGCTGATTTATGGTTAAGCGTTTTCGTTTTGCAGTACAAATAAGGGATATCTTCTTACTGGTCACAGCAGAAACCAAAAACTTTTCGAAGAGATAAATTGATTCAGGTTTCATTGCAGATTGCTGCATATATGCTGGGCATGGCTAACGGAGATTATGTAAGCACCGTCTCCTGTTTATATCCACATTTCGTATTTCCAAATTTTCAAGAAAACTAGCTGTTCAAAATTATGTTTTCTTGTACTTCAGGTGTTCATTGCACCAATGTCAACTAAGCAGCCGACACTGGGCGATTTATACTGGCAGAACAACGACAGTTCGGATGAGGCACGTGCTAGCCGTTAGAACATGACCTTTCGGTACTATACGCAAACCAGCTAATACCATCGCGTTTCCTTGATGAATATTAGATGGCGTTTATCGCCTTCCAGTCAACCATTATCATGGCGCATCCTACTCCAAACTGGGAGGAGTTCGAATCGGTATTCGAGACCATTGCCGCCATTTCGCAGACCAAGTACAATAAAACCCTCACCATGGATGAATGGGTAAATGGATGAATATGTTACGTAATATATGGAACACGGAAGCGTAAATAGATTTTATTTTGGTTTGCGCGCGTAATCTGCACTCATTGTTAACTCCATATACGCTTATGCACTACAAAAGGGGGGGATAAATTCCAATCATCTTTGTTCCATAATTTTGCAGTATAACGACGTTGTCGTCTGTGCTTACGAACTGATGGAAACGGTAGCAATGGTAAGCACTTACTACACGAATTAAGTAATCTGCTTTAATTGGTTATATTGTTGATCCCAATGGTCTTCTCTTATCCGACAGTTCATGAATTATTATACCGCAACACCTTTAATTAACACTGTTTTAAAAAGACTGGGAATGGCATGTCTTTCAACTAAGAGCTTTTTTAAAAAAAGTAAACGTATAGGAGACTGTCAGGAGTGCATGCAGAACTGTGTTGCAGCTGATCAATGAAGTGTACCCGTTTATCGGCAATGTCACCGGGCGCAGTTTCAGTCAGCGGGCTTGGAATCGAACATGGGATCTGGATCTGCAGAGTGTGTACATTGACCAGAATGGGATGCGCAAGGGTAATGTGCGTCTGACCCGCATCAACACCAGCAGCGGACTCTTCGAGGTATGCGTTCCCTTTGGGACCTCGAATATCTCTTGTAAGATCACTGTAAGGTAACTTAAAACTTTTTTGTGCTTATAAATACTGGTACTGCTACTAACAATGATAATGCTGATAATTTTAATTCTTGGTGCGTTCTATAATTTGGAAGTTATGCTTTACCGAAATCTAGCGGCTTTTAGTCATAATTTTTTCCCAGTGAATAAATAGTGCAAATGTGCCACCGATCTACATTCTGCCCATGCCGGAGTTCATTAATTAACCTACAACACGTACTGCGCATCGTTTTAACCGATTTACAGGAAACATGGTTTTATTCGGCAAGGAACAACACCTTGACTGTCTCGAGCTCCGCTCTGGCTGATACATGGTACAATCGGACAAGTTTCCCACCGGATGTGCCGCGGTGTGGATTCCGACACGAGCGTTGTTTGGAACAACAATGTATAAGCAACATAACACTACCATAACCGGCATAAAATTTGTCTCATGACTTCGCTTATTGCAGCTCTAATAATTCTGCTGTGCGCCATAATTGCCCCACTTGTCGCCTGTCTGATCCTCTTTCTGGCATTTTTCTGTCAATGGTGACCTTTTCCTTTCCTGCTTCTATATACACTCGTATCTCTGCTTGGATGAAATTAAGAGTTATTTAATTCCATTTTATTCTCAAAGGAGGCGCATGAAGCGGAGAGAGGAATATTCCATGTGGTGGAATTTGGATCCTTACCGGTTCAGTGAGGATTTATCGCGGATCAGTTTTACCGGAATTGTCCGGGATGACAGTGGGCGGCAGGATTTTCTCTTGAAATACAGCTCAAAACTACGCCAGTATGACGGTAAAGCGGTGTGGACGGAGACAGTTAGCCCCGCCCTATCCGTTGAAGGGATCGCTTCCAAGGATAAAGTCAGGAAGTGCTTTGTAGCGGTATGAACTCATTAGACAACTTATTTTCCTATTAACCCCGTTTTATACAAAACATTTAGGGTTTCGCAATAAAATATGGCAAAGCAAAATAGTGCAACGTGTGTAAGGAAGTTTTTGGTCAAGTATTTATAATTATAAATTATTAATTGGAATAAAATAAATAATTATTATAAATTATTAATTATAAATTATTATGCAGCTTCGCCACATTCATAATGACAATATTGGCCAATTTTATGGTATTGTCACGACGAAAATGACCAATCATCTGTTGTGGGATTTCGGTGCACACGGCTCGTTACGAACACTTCTAGACTCCGATAATAAAGCGGTGACACACGACCTTATCATTTCCATGATTTGGGATATTCTGGAAGTAAGTTGACTTTACATCTTCACGTGAATGTTTTGGGGAAAACATTTAACCGCGGTCTGTTTATACTCGTTGGCTGGCAAAATTTAACGACAATTTGAAGAAGAAATAGCTTATGTTTAACCATATGCAAATACATAATTCAAGAAATAACAATTTCTATTCAGACAGCTAAATTTTGAGAGTGATATACCTATAAAAAAATATTCATCGACTAAGCTTTTATTGTCGAATCAGGGAATGTCGTACATCCAGAGCAGTGACCTGCACTTTCACGGAGTTCTATGCAGCATGACCTGTATGATTGACGAGCGGTTTTGCCTGAAATTGTCCGGCTACGGATCTACCAAGCTGCTGTACTACTTGACCAAGAAAACCACCGGAAGCAACTGGGATCCGCTGGTGCTGTGGTTTCCGCCGGAGATGCTTCGTGACCCACAGAACCCCGGATCGAAGGCAGCGGATGTGTTTAATGTAGCGCTGATTATTGTCGAGATGTTCACACGCAATACGCCCTTGGATGCCATACTGGAGAGTGAGAGTAGTCGCAATCGTGAGTCTATAATCACCACTACGTAATCACTGTATTAAATTATTTTATGCATAAATAATTCCCTGTAATTCTCGGCGCCGTAATAATTGATTTTACTTTGGTACCTTATCAAAAATGAATTTATTCTTTACATTTTTATTCAACGGCTATTATAACAGTAAGTTTATGCTGATCAAAATTTGTGTCTATTTTGACCTTTTTGTCTATCTGCTGTCAATAAGTTTTTGTTTGATCTGTATGCGCGCCAGTTACATATGTTACCAGTTTAATTTTCTGTAATTAAAATAAATATGTGAATTGCAGGTTGTTAAAAATTAATACGTGCCAAATTCATAATATTACTGAATTATTCGGCGTTCACAACAATTAAAAATATGTTTTAGCAATGGTATACTTTTGATTGATTTGTCAGCACTTAAGACAGTGAATGAATGAGCAGATATAATCGACAATCTCCTGACGATGAACTTCAACCTCCCGCGCATGCCGGTGACGAACGAAGTGCCGCGGATGTTGCATAAAATCCTGGAGGACATGATGCTGGAGAATCCCAAGGATCGGCCGAGTTTGAAGATTTTCACCACCCGCTTCCAGCGCTTCTTCCAAAAGCGGGGATTCATTGAAAAGCTGCTGATCCGCTTGGAGAAGTATTCCAAGGAATTAGAGGCAAGGGTGGAGATGCAGACAGCGGATTTGCTGGATGAGCGCGCCAAGGTGGATGCGCTCCTCCGCGAGATGATCCCACAGTAAGCAAACTGTTACACCACGCCGGTACAAACTTTATGCACACAATTCTGCATTTTACTTTAATTTTTTATTACCTTATGCGGAGCAATAGTTTCGAAACTTTCACTTGCGGTTGATTTAAGTACAGCTTAATTGTGTTTGTACTTTGTGGCGTGATAGGTGGTTTGTCTTGTAGGACATTTGTTGATAAACTACGAAATAAAGAAACGGTGGAAACGGAAGCGTTTGAGTTGGTGACGATATTCTTCAGCGATTTACCAGAATTCGGCAACGTGTGTGCCCTTTGCACACCGTTCCAGATAATCGCGTTGCTAAACGGTGTTTACTCGGCATTTGACGTTGTTCTGGCCGAATTCGATGTTTACAAAGTGGAAACGGTTAACGACTCCTACATGGTAAGAATATCGTATTGCTAAACTTATCCTTTTTAAGATTGGAATTGTATTTTTTCGACACATAAATATGCTTTAGTGGATGTTGACTCATCCGGCTGAAAGAATTGCGCTTCTCTTTAAAGAAAGATCAATAGACAATACGTACACTTTTTCAGCCACATCCGCTCAAAATTATGCGCTGAGTACTTCTGCCTAACCATAAATACAATACTCCATTCTCATAATCGTTTATCTCGCTGAATTAATTATATAATTAATTCAGCGAGATAAACGATTACTACTTAGCACAATTTTATAAAATATATTTTATAAAATTGTGCTAAGTAGTAATTTCGTTCAGCTAAATACTTATTGTATGTCATAACACTGGGAAATCTCGCGACAGGTGGCCAGTGGTCTTCCACAACGAAATGGACAGCGACATGCACCGGAAGTTGCTCAGATGGCACTGCGTCTTGTTGGCATCCAGCTCAATTCTCCGTTAAAAGACGGTAACACTCTTCAGTTACGCATCGGCATCCACTCAGGTAGCTCGCTTTTAATAAAATACTCGTTATTTTAATTTCATTCTACTGTATGTGTAGTTGGCTATTATCAGGTGAATTATACTAATGCTGTGATATCTATATTCCATATGTTGAATAGGGCCGTGTGTGGCGGGAATTGTGGGTTTACGAATGCCGCGCTACTGTTTGTAAGAGATCGTCCGTAATTCAACAACTTAAGGACTTCAATCAATATGCAATGTCATTTTTGTGTAGCACTATGTTTTTAGATTTGGTGACACCATAAATACCGCCAGCCGTATGGAGAGCCACGGAGCTGGTAGGTTTTCTTACAACGCCAACACTTTCTGACCTAAACCGATTCAGTACTTCTATGAAACTTTCTTAGTGCTTCACTCGTAGAAATATCATGGCGGCACTAAACTTAAATTTTTTTTATTTTAGTACCGCCAAGTAAGTACTGTAAACAAGTGAATTATTAATAGTAGCTTACCCGTTCTGCTCGTATGTAAATGTATATTGTGCGTACGCATGTGCAGTGTGGATATTTTACATAATTATTTCGATTAGTTTAAGTAACTATACAGTATATGGTTTGCTGCGCAAGTCGATCGAAGTGAAATTGCGCCTCAAAAAGTTCATTGTTAACGTTTCTTGATTTAAATTATAAAAGAGTCTCAGCTAAAAATGTCAGGCAGTTTTTCAAATGAATATGTTTCAGCTGCTAAAATACATCTAAGTCCAACAACCAAGCACTTATTAAGCGCCCATGGAGGTTTTCTGATTCAATCGCGGGGATCCATTCCCATAAAGGTACAGCTGGTGACCATTGTCTGCAATTAGCATGGTCGTGCACATACTTACTGAAAAACATAAATGCAGTCAAAAACCTTGACTACATTGTTTTGTACGCAGGGCAAGGGCGAAATGGAGACATTCTGGTTACTGGGACTCAAGCTGAGCTCGATGTAATATTTATTTTGCTTTATGCAAGTATCCTTTTCTCGTCTCTTCCGATTGACGTGCAACGAATTCGTGTATATTTACACTCCGTTATGTCGTTGTTTTTCCGATGTATTTGCTCCAGTAACGTTTGGCTCCCTTTTTGCGTACCTCCACTACTCTGTACCAGGCTTCCAAAAGGAGAATCTGCATCAGTGCGAGTAGGCTTGTCTTGCCGCTTGTTTGTCAGACTTGCATTTTATCAAGTACGATCACAGTACTCGAGCATGCACACATGTGCTTAACAATAAAATTATCAGTTTTTCTGTCGTTTGGTTTTTTTTAGTCCATATGTTTTGTTATTCTTGCAACGCATTGTGATATAACCAAGAATACAGTATAACTATCACCTATACAACTATCTGTTACCTATTAACTAAGAATGCAGCTGCATGTACAATTTATTCTTAAACACGACCATAAGAATATTTTTTTAAATAATTATAGTACTACTTAATACCTGAACTGAACTTCAATGTTCTATGTGAAAATTTTTTTTATGTTTTATTAATTAAAATTTGTCCGAAATATGGTGAGAAGAGCTGAATTGTGACATTTGGTTACAATTTATTCCGCGCCAAGTGGACCTGTGACATCACCCTTTATTTTTGTTTGTAAAATTCATCCTGTAAAATAAAACACACTCATTACTACCAAAACCGAAATAAACTAATGCTTAACGAACTGAACCCTCTATGTACACGAAATACAGTACAATCGTGTTTGTCTCTGTACAAAGTATTAGTTAAACCGACTCAAACGCATGCTAATTAATTACGATATCCAACGAATAATATTACCACATTTAGGAAATAGTTTTTAATGAAAATCATGCAAACCAAATATTGGGATGAGAGGCGGACAGTGAATTCTACACATCATTAACCTTCTTTTCTTCGTCTACAAAATTCACAGTGGAATCTGTCTGCGGAATGAGGCTCTTGCGACCGCGCACAATCCCGAAAGGTGTGACTTCCGGTCGGGAGGCTCTCTTATTGGTTAGCGGGATGTCAGTCATGACGGGCGGGGAATCCTCCAGCATCTGCTTCTGCTCCTTGGGCCGCACCACCTCCCAGGAGCCCAGTTCACCGGAAGCGAAGATGGCGAAGAAGATAGCGCAGGACATGGAGACGGCGGCGGTGATGTAGAACACCAGCCGCCAGGCCACAACCGAGTTGCCAGAAGGGCCATCGGTGATCACGCCCACAATGGACGGACCAATCATGCCCGGTATGGAGGACACCGTGTTGGAGAGACCCATCAGGATGCCGGCGTACGTTGGACTGATCTATGGAGAAAAACCAGTAACCTTAAACCCAACGGCAATCACATTATTGCACTGCTTGCGAGTTTTCAGAAGCAGTTTGATGTTTCATTTATCTCTTGGTGTCTCTTCTATGGCGTTTTCGCACGTTCACTAAATAATTATAGCACGTCAGGCCGCCTTGTTTGCGCATGATTTTACAATATCTGACCTGCTACATTTTATAGAACAAAAGAAATGAAACTCATGAAATACACATTTTGCAATAATAGATTTTGTGTGATGTCTTTTTCTTTTCCAAATTGCAAATAATACAGTGCTTCTGTAATTTTTGTATGCGCGAGTGAATAATGAACCCATATACAGATGAACCCATGAACCCAATGCCCATATACCTTTCATACAGTATACTCGTATTTCGGATTAGTGACATGACAGCTTTTTTTGTTTTTATTACAAAGTACAAAGTAGCTTACACTTCACTCGTCGTTTCACGAGGCAGTGATCAGCGATCACCACTGTATCTATATACTGTACCGGTACGGGTACATACAGTACTCTTGAACGAGGAGTACAAATGTCTGCTTACATCGACATGGTTGAACTGATAGCCACTGGAGGCTATTCCATCCAGTCCCACTGCCAACACCAGCACCGTTATAGCTGCGTACCAGTCACATCCGACAAAGCCCAGCAAGATCAACAGCGACGACGGCAGCAGTTGGCCAATGAAATGGAACGATTTCCGGATGTTGGTCTGGGTGAGGATTTTGCGCGTCCTCAGCACATCGGCAACATAACCGGCAAGGGTCATCTTCAATATTTCATCGTGCATGAAATGCCTTATGTTAGTGATTATTAAGGAAAGAAATTAAAATCAACGAGCATCATGAAAAACCGAGACAAAGTAACGACAATTTTATTTCCAGTATGAATGTAGGTATTGTTCAGTTTCCTTGTAAATTTACAAGTAAATTACCCAAAACAACTCAAAAATTGCTTTTGTTTAAGTACTTCATAATCCAGTAATAAAAATGGGTACTCGCATCGTCGTACGTTATTTGCACCGCGCTTAATTTTTGTTTATTACTTAATTAATGCCCGGATCTGCCCGGATCCACGACAATCTAATATACAAGACGTACCACAGGAATTGTGGCGAGGTAGGGCAGAGACGATATGAAGCCATTATTTTGAATGCTGAAATGGAGTACTTTGGATAGGTAGGAGGGAATATTGGTCAAGAGGGTGTAGAATCCCCAATTGTGCCCAAAGGCACCCACACACACCGTCCACACCGGCACCGAGCGCAGAATGGCTTTCCAGGGCACCGGCGGCGACACACCACGCTGCGACCCGATGGCGGTTAGAATGTAGTCGAGCTCTTCTTCGGAGATACGCGGATGCGACTCCGGTGTACTGGAGGCATAAAGCAACCAAAAAGCGTACCAGATCACTCCCAGTGCGCCGAAGAAATAAAAAATGCTCTCCCATCCGAGGTTCTCCGCCAAAACACCGCACAGGATCATCGTGATCACCGTCCCAGTTTGCACTGTAAAATTAAAAATAAAAAGTGCTGCAAAATTCTACCAAAATTATACAACTTCTGCGATTTTTTTATGCCAAAATCTGTGCAAGTAGCATGTGAGTATACTTATACCAGAGTTTTACCAGCGTAGAAACTGCAGTACAGTATCTGTAATGCTGCAGTCTATTGTGTGCAGGAAACCCACTTGTGCTTTCTCATATTTCAAATCATATATATTTCAGATCGCGTAAACATGGGTTTAAAAAAGTAGATTCTTAACATCAATGTGATCTGGAAGAATGTAGATATATTTGTCACATAAAAAGTAAAGAGTAATGTTGTATACGGTTTTTACAAATTTACCTCCGGAATACGAGATAGCAGCCATTCGTGACCTTTCTAATGGCGGTGCCCATTTGCCCAACAACGCATGCATTGCTGGATAGCTGAATCCCTGTAAATGTTCAAAACTGGCACTTCTGCATTTCTTCATTGTATTACTTAGAGTACTGTACACTAAGTATCCATACTTTGAATTGTTATTACTACCATTACAGATGCTTGGAAACTTCCTTTGCTAGGAAAATTGCCGGGGTTGTCCGAGAGATTTTTCGTCACGTGCATTCTTGGAGGAACATTTAGCGGAAAGCGTAATTAACTAAATAGTGCGTGCCTACACTATGATTGTATAATCCCTAAGTAATTATTATTCTTTTCAATTGTTACGTGAGTATCGTTTCTCCTCAGGCACAAAATACAATAACACAGTTTCCGATAGTTATCAAAATTCAAAAGCGTTTTTTGCTGATATTATGAAGCGTATGTTTTTAAATTCTTTTTTTCGACATTGCGGCAGAGGATTACAGTAAAAAGTTTCAGACCAAAGACCTAATGAACTATACTATAACGAGTACATAGCATCAATATCGCCAAAACGACGAAATAATCTATATCATAGATTTAGTTAAACCGGGTTATAGTGATGTTCATAAATGTCCATCATTCTAATGGTAGAACTATATCTGTATGATACATTTTGCACGAAAGCACGCAATCAGTGAACGTCTGTTGTGCGAAACGGACATAAACGTCAAAATAATTTGGCTTCCTGTAAAGTAAAAGTCTGGAATCCAGTAAAAAGTCTGGAATTTAGTTAAACCGGGTTATAGTGATGTTCGTAAATGTCCATCATTCTAATGGTAGAACTATATCTGTATGATACATTTTGCACGAAAGCACGCAGTCAGTGAACGTCTGTTGTGCGAGACGGACATAAACGTCAAAATATTTTGGCTTCCTGTAAAGTAAAAGTCTGGAAAGTGTAAATTAACAAAATTTTTACGACCATTCCGAAGGAATAAATTACTACTGGACCATTAAGTTCTTATACATGAAAAGTTAAAAACTGAAATAAATTGTAAAATTTCTGAAAAATTGTTTTAAGCATATGTGTCCCTGAATTCCAGAAATCAAAATTAATGGCAATGATATCTGCTTAACTTCATACAACACATTTTACATAAACCAATTACGTAGTTGTAATAATAACATGCACATAAAATTCTTCTCTTTTAAGTAAGTTAAATTACGCGTCGAACAGCTTGTGAAAAAGTACATATTATAATTATCAAGGTATACCGCAAAAACAGTCATACAAAATTAATGCTACAGCTTACATACTTCGGTAAACCCTTGAATGACACGAATAACCAGAACAGCTCCGTAATGATAACGCGCCGCCATGGGAATAAAGAAAGACAGGATGGCCGAGGCGAAGATACTGAAACCGAAGGGATGTTTGGCACCCAGTTGACTGGATAGCCATCCGCCGATCAGCTGCGTACAAATGTATCCCCAGAAAAATGATGACAGAATCATGCCTTGGATTTTGTTCGTCCACACTATGTCGCCCCCACGAGCCTGCAAAGAGTTTGGTACGTCCCACTGCCTTCCGGCTCGTAACGGTCTCAATAACCTACAGTGCTCGTTACAACCAGTTACGCCTAAAACTCTTTGAAACGTTCTATAGTAAAACAGACGCTAGTAAGTGCAATAACAATAAATAAGAATAAACACAGAAGTTTATATAAAAATTTCGTCGTTTTGTTTAGTTTTTACATCTTGTACTGACAAATGTGAATTGCAGAATTGCCGTACATATTTATATATGGCTTATACGAAATGCTGTATAGATTCTACACTATAGAATTATTCGTAAATGAAATAGATAACTAATTTAATTTATAAATTTGTAACAAACTATCAAAGAAAACAGTTTACTTATAAACAGAAAGGGTGAGTGTGGTACATAAATGTTTAACCCACAAACAAATGATTACGAATGCGCAGCGAATTTAGTTTCTCATTCTATTGATAATATAGTCTTGTTATAACTAGAAAGTGGCATGCTTGATACATCATGAAATGTATTGTATGTTACTACGTACACCGGGTTTTGTGGAATTATCTGCAGATGGATAAGGGCATTCGTCCGAATTTTTCATTTTGGATTGGTTGGCAAATATATTAGAAGCTGTGCTATTGAAAAAACTTGCATTGGTGGTTGGAATCGTCGCTTTATTCAGTTCTGCAACGGCTGTCCGATTGACCATTGCAACAATCCCTGCGAACCTCTGCTGTTAGCCAACTTTGCATAAAATTATATTAAATAAGAACTGTTATATACAATAATTACAATTGCACGAGACTATAAGCGTGGCAATTGTGTTACAGCCATTTATAAGACAGTAAAAACAACCGATGCCTGTACAATTTAAGTTCATTATTTAAATTAAAATTAATCCGTAGACAAATCATTTGAAATGCATAATGGTTTACTAAGCATCATCGCACTCGAAAAAAAAACCGTAATTTAGAAATAACCATCTCATAAAGCACTTACCAACACTAAGATTGACCCGCAAAGCATATAAATTGAAAAATCCAAAAAAGCATAACATAGACATAGCGTAGCGCGCAGGAAGCCAGTCGGTGCCTGGAATATTAAATCAATGATATCAGATGATGTACAGACGTACCACCAGAGCATTAATATTTTTAAAAAATTCTCACGAGAGAAGTCCGTATGCTCTGCTAAATCAAATAATCTCACTGTTATGTTTTTATTTTTTTCTAATGAGCAAATACCTGCAGATGTACTGCAGTTGTACCTGAAGTTGGTCATTTTACCACTGTACAGGATTATTATACAAAGTATTTCATGATATGCACTCCGTATGTTTTATAAAGCTACCAATAAGTAGTCATTTATGATAGCACAAATCGTATCATGCGCTTACCAGGTATTCGTAAAGCCTTCAAAAATTTGTTATATTTCTCCATGGTGGCAATTGAGGGTAACCGAAAGCATGCAAGTTCACGCGCAGCAGGAAGCAAAGGAAACTAGCCACTAACTACATAATTTGCAGAATGCTGCCTCTTTCTTAAACAATTAAATTCGCGCATGTTAAAATAACAAAGAGTATTTTGCACAATTTTCACCGCGGGCCAGACGGCGTGCGGGTCTCATGTACAGCGTCTTGATGTGATGGGTCATGTTCTAGGTCCATGCAGTGTAATTTTTCCTCGCATTAAAATACGCAAAAACCATATCACTCAATTTTTGCTGATCCGTGGAATTTTGGCGAAACTTTTTATTAGTGCTGCAGAAGTTTACCTGTGGCAGATTGGGTGATATACAGCGCTCATTATGTAAATACTGTAGTTATGTGCATATATACCGTATATGCACACGCAATATGGGCCATAATTTACAAGGCATGATAATTAATTTTCATTTATACGCATTCGTAACCTTGTCATCACATAGCGTGCACCACTAAACGCATCCGAGCGATAAAACAAACTACTGCAATACTTAGCAGTTTGGACGTGCTACTGCACGTTTTTGCAATAACAACTTGGCTTTTTTAAGCAAATGGGATTTATTAAAACCGCTTCCCTACGATAATTTTGCTCCCATTTATACTGCTTGATGGACTAACAAATGTACGAGTATACAGTACACGCGAAAATAATTCTATGATACGTAAGATACGCAATCAAAGAAATTAAAAACGTTTCCAAAGTACGTACTTCAGTAATGAATACAAAAGATCCTTTTTTAAAATATGCAGTTCTTTTTCTGTGGCTTCTTGATTAATTATGAAAGAATTAAACTGTGACTTTTTGACATAATTTGACCGATGTTTTCTAGGGTTTCATGTGGTTTACCTGCCGTGCAACACAGCGCTACTCCTTTCTCATCCATCATAATTAACCGTAATTAGATTTCTCTAAATTAGCGTTGATTTCAACTCGTATACTGATATACATCCATCAAGTGTAGCGCGAGGAAATTGTTTTGACATAATATATTTCAGGTACACGTCAGTCATGTCGATGTCTCTATTTTGTAACTGGTAATTGGTCGCATGCCGGATGCAATTTCCGCCCAAGGTAGGAAAAACCAAGCACCCGGGCTTTTGCGCGGCATTTCTCCAATAAACCATCTATTCAAAACCAAATTTTCCCTTTTATATTCTTTTCTTTTACATTGCTACCGGGCGCATTGTGATGTGTAGTAATCCGCTTTGCCGAACCAATGTACGCAGTACGTGCATAACTATAAAGAGAAAATCATCAGAAAAATCTTAATGCTGTAGATTAACTCGAAAAAAAGGGAATTATGTGAGAATTACTCTGACATTTTTTGTGTGATCCAATATGCAGTAAAAGCAAATGTTTTGGACGAGTGTAAAGAAATACTGACACCAAGTGCCGCTTTATTAGTTTCAAAATTACCGGTGAAGTTGTAGTCGAACCGTTACACTAGACTGAGCCGGCAACTAAGCAAACAAACAACGCTATTAAGCTATTATCGTGTCCGTCAATACGGCTAAAATGCCGGCAAAATGACTGCACCCGTATACACCACAAATACTGGACAGTCAGTTTATGTATGCACATTTACGCCACTGTCACAGATCGTAAAGCCGATGTGTGATTCCGATTATCAAGCTGTCATGTTGCCGTAAGCATCTGGCATTGTCCATAAATATTTATTGAAAGATCGTTTTTCCACCACCCTTTCTGCGCTTTTAAGTACTTACACAAGTCAAAACAAGGCAAATGTCAGATTGATTCCGAAATGAAATAATGTTGCTGGTAATTTTCACCATTAACGTAAAGCAAATCACCCGACACTGTCAAAACAATCACAGGACAGCTTAAGTAAAATTATTTTTGCTTTGCATTATCAAGGAGCAAATGCATACTCTTAACAGGTATTGTATCCTGTCGTACATTATGACGAAAGCAGGATAGGATGATTATTATAAAAGTACCCGTACGAACTTTTGAAATACCTCCTCACATAAAGTTTGCGATAATATAAAGCTGCAAATTATTTTATTGTACTGTCATTAATCAATAATGTATTAAAATTTTTCAACATTTTCGTAAAGGCACATGGCAGAATACTCTGATAAAAATAAAAAATTGGGTGCCTTGCAAGTCACCCTAAAATTACAAATAACAGTAGTGACTAAAGCATTGCTATCATACCCGAAAAAGTGTTTATGGTTAGATGTACAGATACGATTGCTATGATTATTAATTTTGTACAACTGGAATCGTTGTAATGAATAAGCCAGCTCACTAGTCAGCTGATTACGTGACAACTGATTATGAGTATGCTACCGGCACTACAATAATTTAGTGCAGTTGGGTCAGCATAAAAACAACCATATTTAATATGGAATGTATATCTATGTAGACAAACTGCTCGAGTTCTGCAACAACGATACTACAGAACTCCATCTCTTATTACCGCAAACGGGGTTATGCATTGGAGTGTTGCAAATGCTTTAACAATCAGCTGTTGTCTTGCGTAGCTTTCTCTGTTTTGTACCCCTTAAATCTGCATAAAACCAGTTTAAACAAGAAAAACGAATGACGCTAATACAGCCGAAGAAGGGATCTCTTGCCGGAAACTGAGCATGATGCTGTTGGAACCTGGAAACTCATTATGCTGCTATAGATTATTGCATATGCAATCAGTTTTAGGGTGAGACTAGAGGCACCCCTTTCACCCCCGGTCACTATAGGCACTCTTTTTGAATTACTTGCAATTGTTAGTTATAGCTCGCACCCCTTTTTCGTTTTATATAGCATATAGGCACTTCATTTACAATTAGCCACGCTTGTAGAACTGCCGGTTGTACGCTTATGCAGTTATGCAGCTTGGGCGTTACCAGTACAGTGCTTCACCAGACAGCACATGACACACAAAGAGAAAATTCTGGCATTTGGAAAATGTCGCTGCAGTGTTCCCGTTTATTGTAACCTTTGTCCCAGCAATCTGCAATTATGAACAATTCCCTTACACATCTAATCGTTATTAATTTTATCAAATTAACATCGATCTACTGTGTGTACACTAACCCCCAAGATTTGTGACATCTCTTGAAGGCACTGAAAAAGACATCGACATGCGTGGCTTTTTCTGATGACATAAAACCGAACGCCACTGGGCGGCCGTGTCCATGCCGGTCTTGAATTACCACGGCGTGCAAGGAGTGCAATGCTATGTTATTGTGCAGCAGTGGCGTTTTAAGCAATTTTATTGCTGATTTTACTGGCATTGCACCATTTGTGGACCCTCACGGTTGTCGAGCGACAACGTAACAGAAGCACGCGTGCGGTGGCCCATGCCACAGGCTGTTTTAACGTAAATCTTTGAAAATACATAACTTTGTTCATTCCTCCATTAAATTCTTATGCATAGTCTTGAAAAATGCAGAATAATACACAGTATCAGGCAAAAGAAATGCTTTTTAATTTTTCTTTCAGGATTGTGCGCTGTTAGCCTGCGCGGCTAGCATAGCCGCCTATGAAGGATTTCCATAGGCGGCTATGTTAACCGCAGGGCTCATACTGCATTACCCTAAAGAAGAAACAGAAAACATTTATTTTGCCTAATACTGTGTATTATTCTGCATTTTTTAAGACTATACATAAAAATTTAATGCAGGAGTGAACAAAGTTATGAATTTTCAAAGATTTACGTTAAAACAGCCTGTGGCATGGGCCACCGCACGCGAGCTTCTGTTACGTTGTCGCTCGACAACCGGAGGGTCCACAAATGGTGCAATGCCAGTAAAATCAGCAATAAAATTGCTTAAAACGCCACTGCTGCACAATAACATAGCATTGCACTCGTGCAAGCAACAGTTCTAGATCTCATTACTTCTCACTTCTCAGTATTCAGCTTGTAACAAATATATAACTTACAGGCCATCCAGGAACGTTACCAAGTAATTATTATTGAAATTCTTTTTGATCTCGGAAGTACATTAATGATGGTTGTGTTCGTGACCTTCTGCATATCAGAAACAAAAGCGTCAATAAACACGCCGGCATCCTTCTAAATCTGGCGAATCTCGTTCAGCACGTGGTTCACCATCTGTTCTTCCTTTCTCGATCCCTCGTTCCACTTAGTCGTTCTTGGTTTTTATGTTGGCGATGTCTTTGCTTGGAACAGCTTTTTCTGTTTCAACTGCCATTTCCGGTTGTACTGCTTTAGTCGGGACACAGCGATTTCTGCACGGAAACAACTATGTCTACTTCTATTGTACTCAGCCGCCTGTTTTCCGATAAGATACAGCAGCAAATAAATATCTTCTCTGTTTCAAAAGGGGTGCCTATAGTTTTTCCACATAATTAGAGGGTGTAAGCAATAAATAATAGGAAAGGGGTACCTATAGCAAAACGGAGTGCAAAAGGGGGTGCCTATAGCCATTTCCTCACCTTTAAGTGGTATAAAAGCTGTTGATTGTTCTATAAAGATTGCATATGTTGAGCGGACTAAATTAAATTTCTTTTTCAGTTAAGTTTGTGGCGTTCTATAACAATAAAACAATTATTAAAAAAATTAGAAAACTCTGTATTTTGAAATGTTCAACGCTTTTTAATATTCGAGCAAATTAGCACAGATCAAAGAGTTTTTGATTGGATTTGTTTAATTTATTGCTGTTCTCAAGTGGATCACTTTACCACATTTTTGGTAGCAATAGTCCTTTCATGATTGTAATCGGCAAAGTCATTCTGCTAGTCTTTCTACGGATGGTTTGGTAGTACAATATCTTGATGGTAGCTGACCTTTGATACGCAAGAAGCTCGTCACAAGCAGCTTGCAAGTCAAGCCGTTTTATCGAAAATATCTTCAACAGAAGCCACCTGTCTGGTAGTCGTATTACCAGAACACTTCACTGAACTGAGGGGGTAATTTTCCGCTACCTTTAGAAGAATACTTCATAATTGTGATTTCGATGTAATTATGTGTCTGTTTACGTCGCGCACAGAAAGTTTGTACGTGTGGTTCTCTATTGAAATCTCTTAGAAAGAATGCTTTTTATAGACGTTTTTGTTCTGACTCCGGAGCATCACCATTCCTTCCAGAATTTTGTACTGGATCTAATATAAATTATATAATTATCGCACTGTACATACAGTGCGATAATTATGTGATGAGATGGTGGAGATTGTTGAATATAATTCCACCTTCGATAATTCCACTGCCAATAGTCAGGAAGTGATGAGAGCGGAAATCAATACTGAACTAAAAAATTCAACAGATCATCACCAAACCGACAGCAGACGGTCATCCACCGCGCATAATAAGACAGGTACATACTGCAAAAAGCGTAAACCATGTATATTTATATGTAGTATGTTTTGTAATTATGTACCAGTAAGAAAATACTTCAGCCGTATATATTGTGCACTGCCATTTCCACTGTGTACCGTAGATATCAAGTGCAGAGCTTCGTCAAACGTTTGCTCAAATATTAATTTTATTCGCTGTGGTAAGACAAAAATGCCCTTATGATGCAGATATATTTAGTTTTCACCAGTGATGCCGTAAAAGTTTCTTATCAGAAAATTAAAAATGATAACGACTGTACCAGGCGTGCCGGTATACGTACTGTATTGTATTGTAATTTGAAAGTGTACGAAATTCGTGGTGAAACCGGCGCTCAAAAGTTCACGTTACATTTTACCACACAACTAAGCGTACTCAAGAGCCGGTTTTTCTGTCTAATTGAGAGATCATACCACAACTAAACATTTATTCTACTGTATAACAGTTTGATTTATATTTGTACATCTTTTGATCTGTTTTCCCGTTGCATTAAAATCGCCCAGCAGTCTCGTCTTTAAATTTACTGTTATGTGGCATTTTATTCTACGTAGTGTTTATATATCCCTTCCTACGATTTAGTTGGTAGGCGTGAAGGACTAGTTATCAGTGGATTAAAGAAACGTACCGTAAAAATCATTAGCATGTAAAATGTCCGCCAGTAAGGGTCTACTGCAAGAAGGGAGGCGAAATTTGGATTTCCAAGCAGGTGATTTGCATCGTTATGGTACGATATTTTTGACTTAAAATTAACGAAAAGTCGTTTCAGTTTTGTAGTCATTAAAAGCTTTGGTTTAACTGCTCACTTCATGACCGACGTTGATGTAATAGGCAGTTTTAAGTCAAATGGATAAATTAAATTTTGATAAATTAATTTTAAATTAAATAATTTATGATCAATATATAATCATGTAAATATTCCGTACATAATTATGTACTTTCTAATTTCTATGACTGTATGTCTGCCGTTTTCTACCGGTAGGTAACCGCCACCTGCGTTAGCTTGCGACTTGCGCCACTTCTAAGTGAAGTGTGTAGCAGGTCTGGATTTATTTATTTGTTTATCGTTTAATAATGGTCCAGGTCACCTTACTCAAATAATTCAAATTTGTTAACAGTTAACTCTTTCGATCCCCTTTTTTGGCAAATGTCGTTCCATACATCGGACCGTAAACCTTTATTAGATGATGCGAGCGACGAAAGCGATTACGTAATCCAGACCAGTGCAGACAGCAAAGGCACGCTAAAGTCTGCCTACCAGCTGTTTGATTTTGTAACAGGTTGCTACTGGTTCATTTGCAGACAAACCATGGATTCCCGCGCGCTACATCCTCGTCATCCTGGCCTTCTTCGGGTTCTTCAACCTGTACGCTCTGCGCGTTAATCTCAGTGTGGCTATCGTGGCCATGGTCGGCAATGCCCCGTCCTTGAACGCCAACACATTGACAAGCGAAGAGTGTCCACTGCGTAACTCAACAGGTTCCTCTTCGTCGTCTGCTGTAGGTTTTTTACTGCATTGCGGTGGTTGCCCTGACAAGCCCGCGTATTCTCCATTGCTATGTTTTTCAGAAAGGAGAATTCAATTGGGACAGCTACACACAGGGGATCATATTGGGATCATTCTTCTACGGATACATCTTCACGCAGTTGCCTGGTGCGTGGATCGCTAAGCGTTTCGGACCCAAACAGCCTTTCGGACTCAGCGCGTTCCTGGCAGGATTGCTGGCGCTGTTGATTCCGGTAGCTGCGCGATGGAGTTATTGGGCGCTAATCGCGGTTAGAGTGTTGCAGGGAGTTGTCGAGGTGAGGAATCGGTTTAAAGATTTCTTATTTCGAATTGAACGTGTGTGCCAAGCATTTTATGGTAACCATTATTTCATCGTCCTTTTTTTTATCGTCCTTTTTATCTTCAGCTACCTCTGGTTTTGGATTAGACATTTGTGCAAATTATTATCTATTTAGGAGTTAAATGATATTAACGTTAGTCGCACAGATTAAATTTACCGAAATATGTGAACTAACTTTACTATACAAGTATGGTTTGCAGGGAGTGTGCTTTCCGTCCATGCATACAATGGTGAGCTGAAGCTGAAGTCTCTTGCCTTTTATGTGCTTATGTGAATTGCTATTGTTTTTTGTACTTATTGATTAGATGGGTAACTGGGCACCTCCTCTGGAGCGCACAAAAATGGTACGTTTTGGCCTTCTTGCATTTGATTTTTAAGGCTGCTAATTTCGTCTGAGTGGACGCTGCAGTGTCGAGAAAAATGGTTAAATGGTTTGCAGTACGTAACAGTAAAAATGCCTGAAGTTTTAAAAAGCACCTGAAAGCAGTTTTAAGATTCTGGCGTCCAGCGTTGCTTAAAAGATAAAAGTGTCAGGGTGATGTCAGTTTTAAGATGCCTTCTAAACACTTACGTTAACCGTTTTGGTGCAAATAATTCTAGAAGTACAGGAAACAGAAATTGGAGTATACTTTATGCAAAGAGGACTGAAAAGGGAAATGGATTGATCAGTCTTTTCGTATTGGAGGGATATTAAATTGCGGACTGTAATCTTTCCAGGTTACTTTCGCTTACTGCGGAATGCATCTGGGTAATGTCGGAGCGATGGTGCTGTCGGGAATGATCGCCGAATCGTGGGGCTGGGAAAGTGTATTTTATTTCTTCGGGGCATTATCCTGCGCATGGTACTTTGTATGGCTCTGGTTTGCTTTCGATACCCCGGAGAAGCATCCGCGCATTTCTGCTCAAGAGCGGTCATTTATTGTTTCCTCTATCAATCATTCCAAAAGTGGAGAGGTCTCCCACATTCCTTGGAAACGACTGCTCTCCTCCTGGCCGGTGTGGGCCATTTGTGTTGGGCACTTCGGTAATAACTGGGGTTTTTACACGCTTCTGACGAGTCTGCCAACGTATTTCAGGTACAAAAAGCCATAAACACTGCAGAACATTTTCTCATTTATAATATTCCTTCAATCCTCGAGTGCGTATTAACCGTAGTACTTCTGGGTATTATTTCGCTGGATTATGATGACTGTGGCTGATAGCAGCACGTAATGCCAGCAACGAATTTTAACTGATGGAATTTTATTTTTGCAGCAAAATTCTTCACTTCAGTCTGAAAGAAAACGGCACCGTGTCCGCATTGCCGTACCTTGTCTTATTGGCATCGATGCCTAGCATGGGATACATTGCAGATCGTCTGCGCCGCAAGCACCGCTACAACACCACATATATCCGGAAAATATTTCATTTTGTTGGCCAGTTACTGCCTGCTCTATGTCTGATTTGTGTCGGTTACATCGGATGTGATGTGTTCTTTGCTGTGTTGCTGCTGACTATTGCCGTTGGCAGCACGTCGATAGCTGCTTCGGGATTCCAGGTCAATCACATCGACGTAAGTGATAACCGACACTCATTAACACGGGAAGGGACAGGTCCCTACACACTTCGAGCGTTTATGAGTAGTGTGACCAGGAATTAATATATTCAGATCTCTCCGGCGTACGCGGGCATTCTCATGGGCATCACCAACACAGTTGCCACCATTCCCGGTATCGCTGGTCCATATGTGGTGGGCCTGGTGACGAATGGACAGGAGGGACAGACGGTGGCGCAGTGGCGGATCGTCTTCTATATTTCCGCGGCTGTCTACGTGGTCACGGCGCTCTTCTACGTGATCTTTGCTTCGGGTGAGCCGCAGAACTGGGAGAAGAAAAAAGCAGAGACACCTAACGACGAAGAGTAGTTTCGAATCTTTGATGACAGGAGAGGTGGATTTTAGATCTTTCTCTGGAATCTCTTGTTGTTTCTTACAGATGTTGCTGTATTTTCTCTGTTCCAATGTTTTTTTTAAAATTTTGTACTTGACAAGTTTTAAAGAAAATATTTTAAGCATTTGCTAGCTGTGTGGAAATCTTTGACCGGTTTCGCTTTGTGGATTATTGGTGAGATAGAAGCATATGAGAGTTACAATGAATATGTGATTGTAATGATTTATTCTCATTCCTAACAGCAGAAGCGATAATCAAAATACTACTACGTACTGATTCAGACCAAAATTGAAATTGCTACTCTGGTAACGTCCTATATAAAAAGTTAAATCGAAGCCGCCAGTACTGTCCTTCGAGTCATCGGACTAGTTGTGGCAATGTGCCCAAACGGCTGCTGCAGTGCCGCGAACAACCGCAACACCAAAACGCTGCTTTAAAAAAATCACCTGACCGGGCATCTCCAGTTTTTTTCCACAAATTTTACGTTTGAAAAAGTGAATAATTATATCTTTAGTAGAATACCCAGTACACTCAGGGTTAAGGCTTCACATGCGACGGGATAGAGAATTACGAGGTAACTGTAAGAAAAGGATACCGATTCCGGTTGTGCATTTCCAAGGTACTCGTATGCAGCAGCTGAGCCAGCCGGCTAACATGAAGAGAATACCGTGCAGAAATATGTATGTGAGCACCCCAGACAACACAGATCTTCTGAACATCCTGAAGATCTGTGTTGTCGACCATCCTGAACAGGGGCCAACTTTTTCCGTCCGTTTTCCGCTCTCTTTAGACATGCCTGCCGGTATACTACCTTGCAGCTGAATAGTGCAAGTTATGACCACTTCACTTCCGGCGGGGAACTGCAAAAGGTGGATGCATCCATAGACCGCAAACACGCGCTGTCGCTGTTCGACGGGATGCGGTTTACGAGTTCGGCAAGGTGCCGATCACTCGACTAGTCCGGTGGATTCAATTTATTCGAAGTCCCAAGGTATGGGATCCGCAAATTTCTCTCGCAGTAAGTTCAAAAATAGAAGAACAATATTTAACGCTTCGACAAATCCAGGTTTCTACATATTTCTTATATGTGCACACTGCACAGAGATAAGAACACCGAAAGGATTGTTTTGAGAAGCAGATGCATCCATGGCTTGGTAAATATCTATATAGTATAATACAGATACTGTATCTGTAGATACAGCAATTATTTTCTCACTAAAAGCGTGACGAGAGTTACAGTACGTACACAGATTTCACTTATTTCAGAGAGCCGGCAAATGCCACACCGCAGTTGTCTATAGTAATATCATATTGTAGAGGTAATAAAACACATTCCTGGATAATTCCATATTTTTCCCAGCATCCCAAGTTAATGTGGGACGTTTTTTGTCATATTTCATGTACTGCAAGGTTACCTTCTGTTGGTGTACCGGTACTGTACAATTGTTCACCGTCGGACTACGCCGCTGTTTTGTCTGACCCTTCCTCGCGATCCAGTCAACGATATCCAGTGCATCCTCTGTGAGCTATGCATAAAGAATTTTTTTGGCCTTTCTTTTTTGACTACAGCCATATATTTGCGGACGGGCTGCGTAACTTTTTGATTAGATTTTATTTTTTATTTCTGCAAAACGTTTATTTTTGTCAGTGGATTTCTTTACGCAAACTGAAAGCAGAATAGCCGCGAGATTGCCGGTTCTGCCATTAATTTTTACTTGAGGCTATTGTTGTACTGGCATATGACTATAGAAGTATGTATTGTATTGTACAGTCCGAAAAACTACTACAGTAGTAGTACTTATACAGTATATACAGTATACGGTGAGAAACGGTAATAAACCATACCATACAATACTTACATAGTGTGAGATGAGTTTTTACTTGATTGACGGGTTTAAATACCGATGTTATGCCGCAGAAATAAGAAGTGTGGATGTGGTTAACGCAGTCTACGGGTGCAACAACAACAACACGTAACGATTCAATTTTATTTGGGCATTGGGTGAAGACACTAGCACCGAAACACGGGACACCGGCGCAACCGGCCCCGCAGTCCTTGCTAAAACAACCCCCTCTCCCCTCGCAAAAGAGGGTGGGGCGGGAGGGAAGAACGACTTGTTAAATGCAGAACATCTTTACTCCAATACGCCAGCAACTCAAATGCACTAACAGAAATGCACAATCACTACAAATGCAACGTCCACCACCAAAACTGCATTGCTTATACAGCATCGGGATCTGCCTCGCAGGACACACCCTAATGGGTTTTCTTGGCTGGACACTGGTCAACCAAGTCGTCCAGCCTTGCGAACACCTCCGCTGCGTTAACCGGAATTAGCTTTGCTAATTCTATTTAACGCAGTCTACGGGTGCAACAACAACAACACGTAACGATTCAATTTTATTTGGGCATTGGGTGAAGACACTAGCACCGAAACACGGGACACCGGCGCAACCGGCCCCGCAGTCCTTGCTAAAACAACCCCCCAAACCCCCATCAAATTAGTACGGACGCAAGCCCTCGACAGTACGTGGTAAACGAACGTATCGGGCATACGCATCACTTTTCCACCGACCAGCTTTCATTATAGCCTCGGATGAGTAATTACGATCGGCAGCAACAGTCGCTGCGCCGATACGAAACGAATGTGGAGATAAATCTTTAAGTTCAGGATGATTACGCAACACTAATTTAAGCAAACTTGCAAATCGGCTACGAGACAAGAAAGAACCGTCATCAAAGGTACAAAGGGAAGGGTACTAGGAAACCGATCAGTACACAACAACAAAAACCGTTTAACAGCCCGGTACGGGCATACTGACCGATGAGTGGGACGTAAATAAACTTTATAGCCTCTTCCGACTTGATCGGTTTTTGACCGTTTGATATTCAGAAGCACATAACGTTCTTTAATTAGAACATCACTTTGCATCAAAGTACGATGAGTGATAAACGAATGTCGATGTGAGGTAACAAACTCACTTGGTCGTAAAAATCCGAAGAATGCGATAGTGCACGCTGCCCAAAGCAAACACTGTGCGTAGGCAGACAATGCCGAATCAAGAATGCATTGTTTAATACATTTCATAACGGAAAGTGTCACGGGACATCGATGGTCTAGCACCGGTGGGATCAACCGGGCATAACCCTTTACTGCCTGTCTTACAGCACTACAATCTGTGTAGTCGGAATATCCGTGTTCCTTATACCAGTTAGATAAAGCCGCTAAATAGACTTTTAAAGTTGAATATGCAATATGTTTGTCAAAAAGATTAGCAATAAACAGTGCAACGGACGATGTGCTGAATACATTTACACTCTTTACTTTACAAAAACGAAAATATGACGATACACCAGCTCTGTATGTACGACGAGTCGACGAAGATATATGGTTACGTAACAGGCGCTTTAATGTGGTATTCATGACGAAAAGGAAGTAAAGAAATCAGCAGGCAACACGCATGGCGATGCATCAGCCAGCGGTGCTAATGACCGAAAGCGAACCCACTGTTGCCGAGATAACGCATCGGCAATCTTATTTGAACAACCCGGAATATGCGAAATTTTCAAATTAAAATTAAACTTAGCCGCTAAGAAAAATATCTTACGCATCAAAATATTTACAGATAAAGAAGACGTGGAGAATTTGTTCCAAGCTTGGACAACTCCCAAATTGTCACAATGTAACAGCACTTTTCGCTGACAAAGATCAGAACCCCATATACAGCATGCGGCATAGACAGGAACAAGCTCGCACCATTCAGTTGAATAAAACGGCCGAGAACTTAGCTCAGACCACAAACAACTAAACCACTTTCCATTAAAATAGCCACCAAAACCAATGGTACTGGAGGCATCAGTATAAAACTGCAGCACATCAGAACCCGACCAATCGACATCGAGGAAACAATTCGAGCCGTTCCAAATAGGGAGAAAATCTAACCACCACTGAATATCTTCCCGGATGTCTGCACCAAGCACGATTGCGTCAGTACCGGATACGGGTAATAAATTTATCATACGCCGGACAAACAGGCGACCAACCGGCACACACTTTGCCGCAAACTGTAAAGTACCAATGAGACTTTGCAGCTCTGTCTTGGTGCACAATGAACGCACTGCCCACTGCTGTAATAACAACAGGATAGCGGCATGCTTATTAGGCGGTAAGGCAATAGTGCACGCGACTGAATCCAATTCAACACCAAGAAAGGTCAGTTTCGTTGCCGGCCCTTCTGCCTTTTCTGTGGCTAATGGAATACCCAACCGATCAGCGGCAGCGATAAACAGCTGCACGATATTAGTACACTCAGCCGACTTTGATTTACCAACGAAGAAGAAATCATCCATGTAATGAAGTAAATTATCAAAACCAAACATGTGGGCGACAATCCAATGTAATGCTTGAGAGAATAAGCAGAAAAGATATGGCGAGGATGCAGAACGACTTGTTAAATGCAGAACATCTTTACTCCACTACGCCAGCAACTCAAATGCACTAACAGAAATGCACAATCACTACAAATGCAACGTCCACCACCAAAACTGCATTGCTTATACAGCATCGGGATCTGCCTCGCAGGACACACCCTAATGGGTTTTCTTGGCTGGACACTGGTCAACCAAGTCGTCCAGCCTTGCGAACACCTCCGCTGCGTTAACCGGAATTAGCTTTGCTAATTCTATTTTATTTACGTCCATGCTGTTTAATGCAAACATCTAAAGTACTCGCTGCACAGGAGAGTACAGACTATTGTGCAACTTCTTTATGTTATGTCAGTATCTCTTTCCCAAACTTTTTCACACCGGTGATTGTCAAACGGTAACGTTAACAATATGTCTCACCGATGCGATGACAGTCTGATTCTTGTAGCATATCCAAGATAGCTGTACTTGTCAGGAATCGTCAGTCGACGGTGGCAGTTGTATTGTTGTCCGTAAAAATCAGACAGAAGCTATGGAAAAGGGAAAATTTTTGTTCTATAACATGGACACCAAACTACACCGGTTGCATAAACCACAACTTTTTAATTACACGTTGTAGACGTTGGCCGTGATAAATTGATTATAAAGTCAGCAACACGCGCATTGTCTAGCCGGGAGAATTCAAACATTCAATACTTGTCAAAAAATTGCCCCTCTACACTATGGACGTCAACGGATTCAGGCTGGAATGGCTGGCATACCACATCGTGTGTCTACGCAGGTACGTACAATACTTTGTAATATACATATTGCAGTATCCAATACACTTTGCGGCGTATAGTGTACAATTAGTCCACGAAGCAGTAACCCACAACGGAAGAAGGCAAAAACGCCATAAATCAATATTTATCAGGAGCATAAAACCGTCCCACGCTGGATTCTGCTGCATCATTCCCTATCTTTATGGGTTTCGGGGTTTTCTACGAATCTTGCACTCAAAGTGTTGTTGTAAGATCAGTTTTATGCCCGTCTTATATCAGTAATACGACGGTGAAGACTTGAACACGTTGTCAGCATTCTGAGGTTTTTCGTCCAGATGATGCTGCAGAGATAGCGTTCAGTAAAGTATATATAATCCAATTATGTAGCTCAATGATTCGCGTTTTCCAGGTTAAATCTCTTCATCTGGTATCTCAGTCAGGTCGAACTGTTCGAGGATAGGTAGTCGATAGTCCGGAAGAAATGCCGGGTTCCACGGGAAACGAGCAGCCGAATGGTGCTCCAGCACTGTTTGACAAAGGTATGCAATAATACGCTGCGTCGGAATCTTTGTTAATAGAATGTGACTTGCAAAATTTGCTTTTTCGATGCACAAGTTGCACCTCTTAGCGAACGATTCATGTCCAGAAAATTACTTGCTACATTTTGTCATACACCAAACAATGAGATGACATGCGTACTGTAGATAGATATAGATATAGAGTATATAGCGTATATATAAACTGCAAATTGTGTAGATATCTGATATAGATATTATACGAGGTATAATACACGGTACACTTGCAAATATGCCGGTTACATTATTTATTTCAACGCATAATTACATGTGAAACAAGAACTGCAAATTCTCATTTCATCAATTAGTTAAATGCCCCTAATACACATTAATTTTTTTACTATGTGCCTCGCGCTCTGGAATCTTAAAATAGTAAATTTATATACACCGTATCTTTATAGATTGATATATCTTCTAGTAAAACCTTTGTATATTTGTATAGTACGTCCTGATCCCATATTTGCTTTGAATTCGGCTAGCTGGCTTGACTTGTCTGCTTTTCATGAAATAGCATAATTGTTAGCTAAACATTGTACGGGATCAATTGTTCCAAACATCTGTCCTAAATTAGAATAACCTAACCGGACGCGCAAGCAAAAAAATTTGATTTGCAGACATAAACAAGACCAAAACAGCACTCTTTATACCTTGGGTATTGCTTACTTTGTAGGAGGGAATGGGTTTCCAACCCGTTATATTTTTGCCATACTGGCATTCGTTGGGTTATTCAATATGTACGCGTTGCGCGTTGACCTGAGCGTGGCTATTGTGGCGATGGTCAAGACCAAAATTACCAACACCACATTAAACGCATCGTCAGTCACTCAGCGTGCGGATATGTGTCCTCTTCCTAATGACTCCTTTTCGAACGGCAACGCATCCGAGGTGCGCAACGAAAAATTTTTGATGTATAGTGTGTAAAAATCTATGAGGATTTTATAAAGTAATGAAAAATTGACAACACTTGTTGTAAATGGAATCACAATGTTAGTAACTAGTTTCACCTGATAGATTTGACCGAGTTTATTTTTAATGACTTTATGTGCCAGATTATCGCAGGACGCAGAACTACGTATACCGTTCGGAAATAAAATAATAAATTACAAAATTAGTAAGCAAAACACCATTAATTTATTATGAATAATTTTGCCTTCTTTTCTGTAGCATGCAACAGGAGAATTCGAATGGGACGGTTACACACAAGGCATCGTGCTGGGATCATACTTTTACGGTTACGTGCTGACACAGTTTCCCGGCGCATGGGTGGCCAACCGTTTCGGAGCCAAGTACGTCCTGGGACTGACGATGCTGATTTCGGGGCTGCTGTCCCTGGTGCTGCCGGTGCTGTCCCGCTGGAATTTGTGGGCGCTGGTTGCTGTGCGCTTTCTCCAAGGATTTGTCGGGGTACGCGGGGGGTGCGGTTATCGGGATTAATTTCAATCAACGTCGAAATGGCATAAAATTCATAATGCAGTGCTTTGCAGGGAGTCAGTTTTCCCTGTGTGCATGGAATGTGCGGCAAATGGATACCGCCCATGGAGCGCACCAAGGTCAGTGTCAGGTTTGTCTATGGAATATACGTGTGTACGTACATAAATACACGTCTATGGAATATACGTGTATACGTTCTGCCATTTACTAAGTACAAGTACTCCAGCATTTTTCATGCGTGACTAAATGTTGACTGGGATAGGTAGGGCAGAAAATATACAAAAGATGTGGCCCTAGTTAACGTTTTACCTCTGCACCGCTCGCTTCGTATCATAGCGTACAGGATGATCAGTTCTTGATAACCTTCATTAGCAGGACAGCTGGAAATTCCTAAAGTCACAAGAGAGCATTCTCATTAGAAAAGAAAAGAGGACGGAACACTTTCCAATTTTCGAAAAGAAAACTTTCCCAATTCTATAAGCATCACTTTTAATATCAGACTTTACCAAGAGGCAGTAGTACCCGTGATTTCAATTTAATTTCTTGTATAGATATTTACAACGTGATAAGAAGTGCAGATGTAGAAGATCAAAATGTCAGGTTCAGTACCCACAAATTTTGTGCTGCGCTATGCATTCAACAAAGCTGTACAGTGTATGCTGGTGTTTGTCTTTATTAATATTTTTAAAGATAATAATAACGTAAGTTAGAAATTTGTGAAGCACGTATGTTTTTTCCGAAAGATGTTGTGTTGTAAAATATAGTCAGTTCTTCACACAACCGTTAAAGTTTCATCGAAATTGGGAATTATGTACTCGTATATATACTGTATCTAAATATCTCACTAAAATACTGAAGAAAATAAATTCTTGCAGCTGAGCATGCTCATCTACGCTGGGCCCCACTTTGGCACAGTTTTCACCCTGATGATATCCGGCGTGTTGGCTGAGCATCTGGGCTGGGACAGTGTTTTCTACGTATTCGGCGCCCTGGCTTGTGTATGGTTCGTCCTGTGGGTGTTTTTTGCCTACAACTCCCCGGAGGAACATCCACGCATCTCCGTCGCCGAGAAGAACTTCCTTATCGCCGCCATCGGTAATAAGCCGACCAGTGCCGGCGGCGGTCCGCAGCGCATCCCCTGGTCACGGATCGCCCGCTCTCTGCCCTTTTACGCCATCTGTGTGGCCTTCTTCGGTAACAACTGGGGCTTCTTCACCTTGCTCACCAATCTGCCGTCCTATCTGGCCCGGGTGCTACATTTCAGAATTGAAAAGAACGGAGTAATTTCGGCATTGCCATACTTGGCGTTGGGCATACTCATGCCGGTAAGGTCATGTTGACTATCGGTTTGCAGTGGCACCTAAAATCTTATAATAATTTAACATCCAAGAAATCTTTTAATTTTAAAATATTTTTCAGTACCGAAATTTGGATATTAGCAATTTTCATCCTGTCAGATTTTTCGAAAATTCTGTTTTCGATCACATCGTTCTTTGGTTTCACTAATCAACGTTTTGAGCCTATGTGTTCGTAACACTGTATCTGGCCTGCAGATTGTTGGTGTGGTTGCCGACAAGCTTATCGCCTCACGCACCCTCAGTACGACCACCCTCCGACGCGCCTACCATTTAATCGGGCAATTGTCGGCCGCCGGCTGCTTGATCATGGTGGCTCTCGTCGGCTGCAACGTGGTAGCCACGGTGACCCTGCTGATCTGCGCCGTGGGTCTGCTGGCCTTCTCCATGGCCTCCTTCGCCATCAACCACATTGACATTGCCCCGCAGTATGCCGGCATTCTCATGGGCATCACCAACACTGTCGGCGCCGTGCCGGGCATCGCCGGTCCCTACCTGGTGGGCGTGTTGACCAGTGGACCGGACGGTCACAATTTAACGCAGTGGTCCATTGTCTTCTACGTCACGGCCGGAATTTTTATCGCCAACGGCATTTTTTACGCCTGCTGTGCCTCGGGGGAACTGCAACCCTGGGACAAACCAAAGACTGCGCAGTACCAGCTGGCCAAACGTGCCTCTTTGAGAGATTTATGAATTTTAATCTTGCGTTATGATTTCTTCTTTAAACAGAGATCTGAATTTAAATAAGTATGCAGAGGTGCATATGCAACCGGTTGACGCAGTTCACTTGCCTTTCAAATTTTATTTATTTTGATGAGTTGTTGAACTGGTAAACTACTTAGTATTACATAGTTTGTTGTGGCGTTCGCGTAGGTAGCATGGCTGCGATGGCTCACCCTTTCCGTGAGTAATGTAGACTGTTGACCTTTTTAGATGTTTTATGGAAAGAAACGGAAGCTATGATACTGATTTCGTGCGATTTCAAGCTCCCCATGTGCTATCTTAGTGAAACACTGATTCACGAACGTACTGTTCTCGTTAATTTAAATACTTAATTGTAAGTTTTTGCTTTGTATGTACTACTATCACGTATAGTACAGCAAGACAATATTAATTACGAACAAAGTAGGTGTAATAATGTAATGTAAGCAAGCAAGCTGACGCCAAATATTAAATTTTATTATTGTCGCTTATAATGTTGCCCTGTACAATAAGTGTTCGGGCTGTGGTAATGGAAATCTACAGTACCCACTCCTTCTCGTGTTCATACGAAAGATCAATACAGACTACAGAGTACAATATTAGTGATTCCTGCGTTTCCACAAAGGGCACTAAATGTAAGTATCTACCGTGCGCAATGATACTTGTAGATAGATTTTACAATGTACTGACACATAATACACGGTCAGTAGTGTAACTGCTCCAGGTAGGGAAGTGTGCGCCTGTAGACAGCAACCAATCAATTCATGCGTCATCCAGTTTTCTGGATCATCACAGCCCAAACCGCTCCACACACAGGTTAGTGTGGTGTTAGATCCTGACTCCTGAGCATATATATCGACTAGATTTTAATAACAATATTAATTAATTAGTATACGTTCATCCTTCAAATGTCCGTAAAGACTTTTGATAGCATCTTCTAGCTGAAGTTTTCTATCAAGAATGGCCGTTTACTGATACCAGTTTTTATAATTATCGTCCCGTTTTCGCTGCACCTATCCTGTTTACGCTCATTCTGCGGCCTACCAACCCAAATAATATTGTCATGATTTGTATGAATTTTGTGCACATGTAGTAATGAGTGGGACGAAGGTATGAAATATCCACAATTTCAAAGGGAAAAACTGTTTTCAAATAATGTACATAATTCGTCGCAGGCCTTCTTCACGATCACCTCCGATTTCCTGCGTGACAAGCACCGCGACGAACTCTTCCTGGAATGGCAGCCCACACAGTCCCACTATCTGGCGGTGGGTTCGCCCCTGGAGAAGCGCATCCTGCTGTACGACCGGCCGGCCAAACAGACCCGGGAGTTGTCTCTACCGGCGCCCTGCTCGCATCTGGCCTGGAGTCGCCACGGACTGTGTCTCAGTCTGGCATGCAGTCAGGGCGCCAGCACGGCGCTCTATCTGTGGACGCCGGGCCAGCCCACGCTCAGCATGGAGAAGGGGGCCGTGGCGGCGGGCGAGGATCTGGGAAAGGTCACGTGGATGGGCTGGTCGCCGGTGATGGATGTATTAGCGGTGGCCTATTCCAGTGGTAAGAGGTTCTGTTTAAAAGATCTGGTTTTTTAAGGGTTTGGTATGGACAGGTGTTGTGTGGCGTCTGTACTTTTGTATTTTGAAATTTGTATCTGAAAATGAATTTGTACATTACCAGCTGCCAAACGTCGCTTATCTGTACTTTTTACTGTATTAAAATTAATAATTTAAGTCGATGCTGCGTATCACGGCCCACGGGTGTTCGTTCGCTATTTGCATCGGTTTGGGATGTGTGTACGGGCATAATGAATGGATATCTACAAAATAAAAAAGGGAGAAAATGAGTGAATTTTAAAAATGTCCATGCACAAAGCCAAAACCCGTGCCGCGGAGTTCACTTACTGTAAGCCGCTAAATTCCATGCGAATTCCCGTCTGAACGTTTGTGCACGTTGCTCGTGTTTACCGATCACGGATCACCCAACGGTCCCAACCATAACAATAAATCTACAACAGCTTAAACAGCAGATGTGTCATTTCCGACGAACAACGGTGTGTTTTTCCGAAAAATGGCGTGTTGTTAAACTGTTTTAAAATTCGATAGATTTTTATAAGAGCGTAGAACGAACATGACTTGCATACTTCAACATTTTTTCAGCAGGAAAGCTGGAAAAAGTCGTTCACTGGGTATCCCGATATTTCGGCGTCTGTCTTAATTAACTTGGTTTATTTGATAGGAATTATTGTGCTGTTGGATAAATCCAGCGATAAACGTACGGTGGTGCGCGGCGACCACAACGGGGTTATCAGTGATGCGGCGTGGAGTGCCGATGGGATCCTGGCCAGTTGCAGTTCCGCCGGGCCGGCCTCGGGCGGCGATGCCGGGCAAATGTCGCGGATTGTCTTTATCGACTGTCACGGCGAGAAAGTGCTGACGCCCCGCGAGTGCCCTTATGGAAACGTCCACCGACTGCAATTTGCCTCCAGTAAATTTGTCCAGACGGGGTTGCGACGGGAAAACACGGTACGATGTGTAATCTGTAAATTAAGCCAACCTTGTCTAAAAAATTGCGAAGAAATGTGAAAAATGCCAAACTGCAGGCATTAATTTGTGTGATTTTGAATATTTATTACGCCCGAGAACTTGTAATAAACTCATTTCTTTTTTTTACATCTTTTGAGCTGTGTCTGCCGTTCAACATTTTTTTCTTTTTGATCGTATATCAGTTATGTTAAACAATTTTTTGATTGGGTTGAATTGTTAATATTTTATTGTAGCTGTGTTGTGTGGCCAACCGGAAGACGCTGGTTTTGTTCAACCTGGAAGACGAAAACCGGTCACTCCAGTATTCATTCAAAACGGATTACGGTGACATATCGGAGTACACGTGGTTCGGCGATGGCTACGTTGTTTTGTGCTTTCAAAAAGTTGGTTGTGAATTTCTGGATATTTTCTGCTGACTCGAGTTAACTGACCAATTGCAGGGCATTCTTATCTGGGTATCCTCGCATCCCGACGAACAAGGCAAAGAACTGCAGCACTCCAATGTCTTTCAAAATAAAATCGTCGATATGGCCGCTGTGATGGACGGGTCGCGTTTTGCCATTTGTTCGCACAGCCACATCAAAATATTCCACAGCGATGTGAGTAAATCGCAAATGTCGGAACTGCCGCTACCGGATGGATCGCATATGCTAAAACTGAAGTGGACCTCGGACGGTAATGTATCCGCGTATATCTGTTTCTTTGAAGATCCTTTGCTTCAAAGCCGTTTTTGTTTAAATCATTGATTTTATGTGCTAGACTACATGAGTTTTACATGCACATTTCCAGTCATACGGCCATAATAACACTGCATAACTGACAATAAATTTTAGCAACATTTTGAAATTGATACATTTTCTAAATCCGGCAGATACATGTAGCCACGAGCACTAAAGTGAGCAAACACATAATAATACGTATGAAAAATGGAGGCGTTTTTCCTCTTGTCTCAACTGCGATTAAACCTTTAAAAAATAGCTAAAATAGTGCATCGGCGTATAATATGGTATAGCAAACCAGTGTTTTCTGCTGTAGGTGCTCTGTTGGCCGCCATTGGTGGGAACGGACAGGGTTTTGTCTTTTTAACCAAAGTGCCGGATATTGGATGTGTTTGGCGAAATAAAGCCTGCTACATGGTCTCCTTGGAAGCCTTTAATATTGCCAGTATGCCGACGTTGTCCGAGGTCACCGGCACGGTGTCGTGTAAATTTGAGCCGGCCATGGTGGCTCTGGGTCCGCAAAACTTCGCGGCGGTTATGAATAATTTGGTTGTTTACTACATTGAACCAAGTACGAGGATATTAGAATTACGCATCTTGCGCAAAGTACGAGCTATAAGGTTTTGCGTGAATTTGAACTGTACTGAATTAGAAATGTACTGAATTCACGAGAAATCTAGCTTAGCCGTAAAGTTGCAGACAAAATGAGGAATGCATTATGACGGAAAAAATTGAGTGCTTAACTGAGATTTTGCTATCGCTAGATGCCTCATTGGAGACACCGGCATTCGAAATACTGGGACGATATGAGTATGCCGGCAGCGTGCAATCCATTCAGTTGAGCTGGAATACTGCGGTGCTCTTGCTGACTGATGGCCGAATTTTAACGCATAAACTGCATCCAGATCCAACGGTGTTTCTGTCCCACGTGGAGGAAACAATCACTGCACTGGATATTATTAACAGTACGATACGACCTAAGAATGGGTTAAGAATTTGAAATCATGTGGAATTAACTTACCCGAAAAATCTTTGTAATTTCATATAAATGAAAAAACTAACTGTAGTTGACCGCATAATTAAGTCATAAAGGGGAACCGTGTGACCGCTAATAAACAGATGAGACGAAAAGCTTTCATCTACCCGTTTAGATTTCTTCGGTTAAAAAAAATGCTAATTTCGCAGCCGTGGCGCATATTCCGACAGCAACCATAAGTCCATAATTACAGATTTCGCTAAAAAGCTTATCAAGTTAATTTTTACATATTGCAGACGTATCGTGCATGGCATTGGCCGATACGAATGTTTATTTCGGAACATCGACAGGAACATTGGGCTTCTTGTCTCTAAATGTGCAAAAGTACGAAGCAGCACTGCATCACACTTGCGGAATTATTCAAATTTTTCTAAAGGAGGATGACGCAATGTAAGTGTAACGGTTAACCGTCCAATCGTCGCTAACCAAATCATGTTAGAATGAAGGCTTCATAGCGACGACGATTATGAAGCAGTGACAGGAATACGTGTTGTCTGAAGTGTAGCGTATCTTGATGTTGCCAACGCCATTTATCTCTACAACATAATACAAGAAATCAGTATAAAGGTGGAAGGATTCAACGGGAAACCGAATGGATTACATTTTGACTGGAGTGTACAGGCAAGAGATATATAACTTATCGTTAAAAATTAACTGACATATTTGCATAACGATGAACCATTGTTTTTTTACCTTGCAGCCTATTATATATTAAGAAAACCGTTTTTCAGGATTTCGCCATTAATTTTGTCGTGTACGATCACACCCATGCTCAGTGCTTTATTTCGATCGCCAATACGATATTCGGTCATGTGGTTGAAGAAGTCAAAGCGCCGTCAAAAAATGCCGATCAAGTGCAGCGAAACGAATGCATTATTGGATTTAACAGTGGAAATCTTGTTACCTTGTTGAACGGTGTGCCGCACATCCGGAAACTCAGTGTTTTTCCGCAGAATTATCCAGTAGAAATGACCACAACGCCTACGAAAGATGATGTAGACAAGCTGCGAAATCTGCACCGGTACCGCGAGGTGAACTTCATAAAATTATGAATACTACAATTCGTTCAGTGTATTGTACACACGTATGTAGTATTCATGTACACTGTACAGTAGTACAGTAGTAATTCCGCTGTCTTTAAACTTGCAAATAAGCATATGTTACCAAGCGTACGATATAATTATTTTCCACCAATCATATCGATCTCTTTGCGTTGTCCAATGCCGTTCGTAGGCTCACACGATTACCGTTGTAATGATATCGACCAAGAATTTCAGGGGCATTTTTAGGCTGCGCAAATCTGCAAGAAAGAAGGCTGGAAGGATCTTCTTCCTTCCATTGCCGGTGAGTGCCTGCGCAATCTGGATTTACCTTTAGCGATCGCGTTGTATCGGGAGAGCGGATGCTATGATAAGGTCACCAGCATTGAGCGCTATCGTGATCTGGAGAACATTCAGCGCCTGTGTGGCTACATGGCACTGGTGGACAACCAACCCGAATTGGCCTGCAAGTGGTTTCTGCAGGCACATGATCCGCTGACCGTTTTGGATATTTATTCGGATCTGATGCAGTGGGAACGGGCCATCGCTCTGGCGGAAATGCATGCCCCCGACAAGGTAGGCAAATTCGTCTTACGCGTTCTTATTTTTAAACATGCCAGTTTACAGCTTACTTTGAAGTGCGAGATAGAAATATACAGTGGACTTCATAAAATTAAGTGTTACGTCCACAACCGTGTAACGGTTGTGGATGTTACCGTAGTGTTACATCACAACCGTAGCACATGATGGGTATGCAGTAACATCATTTTGAAGTCCAGTGTACGAACTATGAATCAAAGCGCGGAAAAAAATAATTTAGTAAAGGCAAACTCAACACATTAATCTGGTCGTTTATGTGGACGACGAGTACAAGTATGCACCTGTTGCTTTTAAGGGAGAGATTTTAAAATATGTTTTCAACAGCAGGAATTGAAGTGATGAACGCATCCGATGTAAACACATATACCCTTAGTGATTTTGAGTTAATCATTAATTTTTATTTGACGTTCATTTGACCACGTAAATTGTATAAAAGAATCAGCGTTTTCTGTTATAAGGTGGGATATGCTTGTCAACAGCATGCGCAGCAGTTAGAATTCCTTGGCGATTACCCTGAAGCATTGATCAACTACGAACGCGCATTGTCACTAGCCAGTGATGATGACTTCGAGTTGAAGGTTGCGTGCAAACACGGTCTGGCCAAGGTGTCTTTCAGGATGAACGATCTGTCGCGAGGGTTCGCATTGTGCCAGGAAGTGAAAAATCCCGCACTGACCGAGGAATGTGCCGGCATCGTGGAAGAGGGCAAACATTATAAGGAAGCCGGGAGACTGTACAAGGAATGCGGGAATTTCTTCAAAACAGCTACAATGTACTTGAAAGCACGCGAAATGAAACTGGTAAGGCCATAGGGTTTAATAACATGCCCTTTTTTGCAGTTTGGAGAACAGTGACAATATAAACGCAAATAATTTGGTAATCAGCATTTGCATTCCGTATTGCGATGCATTTGATACAATATGCGTATTCTGTATATCCAAGATCTCGATCTGTTGTACGATACAGGTCTGTATACACCACAGACCGGGAAATGCTTCAACAAAGCCACTGAACCGACTGAAGTCAGCTCGAAAAAAAATAATGCAGCATATCACACAATCCCGTGCAAAGTGTTTGCAGCGGAAGTTGTTATATTTTTCAGTTGCTGTATACATACCTACAGCCCAAAGTTAGCCGTAATTTATTTATCATCCAAATTCGGTTGATCTCCTCCATTCGGTTGGCACAGTTGCTGTTATTAACTTACATCAAAAATCGGTTCTTTAGTTTGCGTTAATTTATTTATTTTACTAATTGTAAGGGTTGTAACCTTACAAAGTATCATCACAAGCAGAACAACGATGACTGCCACAGTGTGCCTGGATAAAATGGAAGAAATGTGTCTATTCTGCAAAGCCAATAACAGTGCAATACCTAATATGGGCCAGCACTGAAGACGTTAATTAAAATGGTACAAATTTCAGGCGGAAGAGGTCATCAACCAAACGGATTCTATTCCGTTGAAAGTTCAGCTGGCGGCCGCCAAGGAATCAGCCGGCGACCATAAGGGCGCTATAAAACTCTACGAAGCTGCCGGTGAATATGACGCCATGGTAAAAATCCTTCTGGAAGGGCTCAACCGTACGGATCTGGCCATAGAAATTGTCGACAGGACCAAATCACAAGAAGGCGCCAAAATGGTTGCGGCGTAAGCTGACATGTTTATGCAAAATATTACTTCGGTACTGTATTGAGCGTGATTTCCGGTTGTCGTAGGCATTTCATGAAGCTGAAAGATTTTCCCTCCGCTATCCGTTACTTACTAATATCTAATCGTGGAGAAGAAGCATTTCTGACAGCTAGGCAGTTCAATCAGATGGACGTATTTGCCCAGGTCATCGGTAAGAAAAATAAAAATTTTAGTTAACAATCAAGGGCGGAAGGACTATGGTATCTTTCAGTACTATGTAAACCAAGGGAATCTTTCAGTACTATGTAAACCAAGGGAATAAAATAAAATTATACGCCAACTTGATAAATTTTGTTGATAATATGCTCTTCAGGAAACGATCATCCCGCGCATCTTTACGAGAAAATAGCCCGATATTACGAGGATAAGCGGGATATCGTCAATGCCTCGCACTTTTTCAGTCAGGCTCATAAATCGCAAAGAGCGGTGGATTTGTTGCTGAGCGCCGTCAAAAAGAAAGGCCAACCTGCGGCGGAAAAGCAGTTGCTGGAATTGTTGGTGGCAGCCACGGTGAAAGCCAACGACACCGCCACCACTGAGAAAACATCGCAGTTCCTCCTCGGCAGCGAAGACGGGAATCCTCGGGTCAGTGTTAATGTGGAAGTATTAAAGAAGTATTTATGATAGTGTATTTGAAAAATATGAAGTAAGAAAGTGTTTGTCTCTTATTTGTGCATTTCAAGTAAAGGTTTATAATTATGGTGCAGAAGACAGTTGTTGACAATTTTGCGTATGGTGGATGTTAGAAAAATTTTGAACTGGCATATTATATAACGTTATTTTGTTTTTGGGGGTGTTGGAATTTGCTGACATAACTTTAATGGCATGTTTGAAAAAGACCATAAGAGAGTAAGCTTGGTTTTAAAAAAGTAAAGGGTTTATTTGCGAAATCTTACGGCAGTGGTAACTAAGACTTCTTATGACTTATCCAAAAAGTTTCTTCTGGCTGCAGGACGAAAAATATCTCTTGGATTTGTACCTGCTTTCAGGGCAGCTACACGAAGCTGACCGCATTGCGTTACTCGTTGCTGACCACCATCTGAAGAATGGAGATTATAAGGAGGCTCACAAAACTCTTTTCAGGTAACAATCTTCAATAATTATTTGCAGGTAATGTACATCTGAACCATAAGTATTGTTTTCTCTTATAATTTTAACCTATGTTTTAAAATTCATTTATATTTGCTTAATACTGCTCAATGTGCAAATTCCACTAATCAACGTGTTGACTGTTCAAATATTCTGCACCGGAAAAAATATTGGATTATTTTGATTTGCCTTTGTTCTCATGCAGAGCCTACGATAAAATCGTACGAACGTCACATACTCCATCCGGTCAGCTGGTGGATTTACTGACACTGGTCCACAGTCACGCTGTCAGCACGGTGATGTACACTTTAAAACAACACGAAATCGGTAAATATTGTCAGCATTGTTGACTCACCTTACTGTATATCCCCCTTCTACTTGCGGCATATACCATTTTTCTCTGGATGTTTGTAGTGGCACGGATGTTGATACGCATTTGCCGGAATCTGAACAAATTCCCAAAAGATGCCAGTCGTTTTCTCCTGTCCGCCGTGCTGGAATGTGCCAAATGCAATCTCAACAAAACAGCCATGGAGTGCGTTGCATTAGAGATCACTACATCTTATGCCTAGAGTAGTGTTAAGATCAGCCAAATAACAAGTTATGGAATTTCTGTACTATTGTACAGTAGCTTAATGATAACCTTTTTTAGCGTAAACGTTTTTAACGTATGTAATTTTTTAACGTATACTTTTTTAACGTACAAGAGTAACAGACTTAAGAAAGCAAAACAACTATGCACATCGATACGGGTACTTGAAGTACTGCAAATTAATCAGAGATGCCATAATGATCTGTTGTTGTTGGAGCAGGTTCGCTTTAATCCTGATGCAACCGGAAAACCGCAGCATGATCACAGAGAAGTACGAATCGAAAATCCTCAATATCCTTCGTAAAGGTGATCGTGCCACAGAGGAGGAAGACACGCTGACCGCATGCCCTTTCGCCAACCACAAATTTCCTAAAAGCCAACTGGTCTGCCCGTTGTGCAAAATCCGGGTGCCCTTCTGCATTCTAACGGTATGCCCGGGCAGTAAAAACAGGAAAGCGACAACTCTAGTTTATCGCTACGTAGCTATCGACAAATGTACGCTGGTTACAACATACAGACTCAGAATCTAACGCTGCTCAAATCTATTAAGCAATTTCGTCAGGAATAACGCATGCAGTAACATTGGCCATAAATAATGGTCTGAAATTTATCACATTCCGAAATATTTCTGGCATTTTTCAAGGGAATGCATGTGATTCGAGTGGACTTCACATTATGCCCATCTTGTGAAATGCCAGGAATCTATTCCGAAATCGTTACCGCCTTATCACGGGGTCTACAATCATGCCCTTTATGTTCCACCCCTTGGCATCCACAAAACATCCGTCCATTCGACAACGAAGAAACCGATGCTTTTTTTAAACGTATCGAAATGCTACAGTTTATTGGAGAAGAAAGAACTTAGAAACGCATTAAACTACGTGGAAACTGGTTTTAAATTAGTAAATAAAATCTCTGGGATGCGAGCAAAATCCATTCCGTTATTGCACTTTCTTGCTTGGACGGCTGGCGCCCTTTTTGGCGAACAACTGGCTTTTGGTTTGGTAGAACATGTAGCGGAGCATGAATATGCAACCAACCGGGAAGATGAAGAGATACAAGGCAATAAAATGGGCCACTGTGATACTCTTGCTGCCCAAATGAAACAACGCGCCAGGATACGTCAGAGGATACGCCTCCAGCGCTGCAAAAAAATCCGCTCGGTTAATGGAATTATGTATTGAGATAAGCAGTCAAGACACAATTTTCAACAATCCAAAAAAAACTGAACAAGAATGGAATTTCTTTCAAAGAATTATAAGTATGGACAGATACTTTTTATCTATCAACAAACCTTGCAAATAAATAATCGCCTCCAGAATCATCCCCATGGGATACAGAACAATCCAGCTGGTATACCGCAGCACTTTCAACATTTCCGGAACGTATCCATGCAGCTGTGCCAAATAATACGGATAGCGAATCAATTCCACCGCCGACCACGCCACAAACAACCAGTACACTGCCGGCAGTGTCTGCAGATACGGCTCAAAGACGATGACATGCAGAGCCACCAACCGACCGGTGCTCTGCAACAGCGAACTCAACGGACTAGTCTTGACCAGACCCAGTGCGGCATGAACAATCTCCGCGCACTGCGCGATTTGCATGATGCGCACATTTAGTCCCACGGTGTGATAGGTACGCTGATAGAAATCCGATCCCTCCTGCACGTAGTTGCGGATCAGGGAAACGAAGATGCCGAAAAAGCCCAGCAACATGAAGGTGTTGTAGGCCGTCAAGTACATTTTCTTGAAGTCCAAGCCGGGCTCACGGAAATTTGGGCGCTTGTCTTTGATGTTCTTTAACAGTTCGTCCACGGTGTTCTTCATGTTTGGCTCACGGTCCGGGTCGTGGCGCTCTTTCTCCTCTTCGCTCTCCGCTTCGCCGCTGTGGAAGCGGTCGAAATCGATCTTAAGCCTGTAATATTCGATGCTGAAGATGAAAACTTTCTCTAACCATTGCGAAGATTTACACGATTATGTAGAAAACAGTTCCATGATTTCCATCCCAAAAATCTTATGCAGACACAAAAACGATATATCCATCTACCATAGCGCGGAAATAAATTCTCGCAAATGTGAGCAAAGTTACATATGTAAACAAAAATCAAGAAGTTCAAGAACGGAGAAAAATAACAAATGTTTCCAAATTAATCGCTATCACTGGGTCCAGCTGACAAAATAAAAACATCATTAGTTACAGATAAAATAACGGAACTTTGCAACATCAACCGAAGCCAATTATAATGCTAGCAGCCTAACAGGTAGAAAAAGAGTACAATTATTATTATTCGAACAAACATGATTAAGTTACACGGCCTTCCAGCGTACCACTCACAACTTACCACGCAGGTTTCGCTCCATCTCGATGCAGCCTTGGCCAGTATTCATCGTTTTTCTGGGACTTTTTTATGATCAGGTCCACGCGACTACCTTGAGCCTTCATGTCATAGCCTTCAGAGCCTGGAACGATATCGGCGAAGAAATCAATGGCAAAGGCGTACCGTCGACGCCCTGTCGTCGGAGCAGTCCCATCGCATGAAAATTCCAAACGCTTCGCTGTGGTAGTCACGACAGGCTGCCCATGAGCTTCCACATCCACTCGCAGAGAAATCCGATCGTCTTTTTGAGCCCAGTACACCAAGGGAATTCCAGGTTTCGCATCCATAATAATTAATACTGCTGTAAATTGTAATCAGGAAATCAAAATGTGAAACAGAAATATCTAGTGAACGTCTTAACCGAACAGCCAGAACGAAGAACAACGGTGCAACTTTAAATACAGCAAACGTCTCCCGCAAGGTTGCAAACGATCCCTCACATGTCTAGATGCCCAGCATGAAAAAAAACGGAAGGAAGGAAAAATTCAGAAGTCAGTAAAAGATTCCTGGATTTCTCTCGCAACCGCAAAGCCGCAAAACGTCATCCGCTGCTACAGAGCCTCCTGTAATTTGCATGGGCAAAACGGCGCCCGCTCGCGGGGGAAATTTTGGTTATCTGCGATAACAGACGGGCCGCAGCTATGGCCTGTGGGATCGGATTTTAGCTTGAAGTTTTCTGCATAACTTTAGCTTGATGCGTTTTTCTGTTTAATCCAATCTCTCTTTCGTACGCAGTTTCCTAATTATTTCAGTTCAATCTGTCAAGGTTTTTCAAACGTCAACTTTTGTTGAATTTCGGTTTTTTAATATCGCTTTGCTGAGATGTCCGGGAGGAATTTCGAGAAGTTCGTGGACTTGGCGTCGAAAATCATCGCCGTGGGAAAAAACTACGCCGATCACATGAAAGAAATGGGCTACGCCGCCGCCAAAGTGGACCCCGTTATCTTTATGAAACCCACGTCGGCCTTCATCGTAGAGGGCCAGAAAATTGAATTCCCTCCGGGTTGTCAGAACCTACACCACGAAGTGGAGCTGGGCGTCGTCATCGGGAAGACCGCCAAGAAGATTCCCGAGGCGGAAGCGCTGAAGTATGTCGCCGGATACACCATCGCGCTGGATATAACCGCTCGCGATCTGCAAGATAAAGCCAAGAAAGAAGGCCTCCCTTGGACTATCCCTAAGGGCTTCGACACCTCCTGCCCCGTGGGACCCTTCGTCCACAAGGATCGTGTGCCGGATCCGCAGAATTTGAAGTTGTGGTGCAAAGTCAACGGGCAGACACGACAGAATGGTTGCACCAAAGATATGATTTATTCGGTGCCGTATTTGATTAGCTATGTTAGTAACTATTTTACCCTGTATCCTGGAGATGTCATTCTCACAGGGACGCCGGCGGGAGTTGGCCCGGTAAAGGAAGGTGATGTTATCGAAGCCGGTTTGGATGAGTTGTCGCAGGCGTCGTTCGAAGTGGCCAAAAGTGACGCTTAATACATTAGTTTGATTGCTACTGTTGGCACTTTCTCCTTGCATTTTCAGAAAATTTGTTATTATGGATGGTTGAGAATTCTGATTTTATTGATTTTGAGAAGTTTTTACAAAAATTGATTAGACTGATGGGATTATTTACTTCCGACATTGTAGGTGTGATTTATGTTTTTATTTTTTGTGTGGTGGACATTGTGAATGCGATTAATGAAGATTTGATCCATGTGTCGATGCTGATTACTAGTTTGCTTTCGTAACAGTTAACACTACCAGTTCTTATTCAATCAAATAATATGGTGTCTTTATTATGATAAAGTTTTGATTGTCGCTTTTTTTGCTGTTATGTCCGATTTTCACCAGGATTTGGCGAAACAGAAAATACTTACCATACGTAATTTTTATTACTAAATACGTATTTCACTTATTAATAAAATAATTTATTGTGTCATGGTGGCCGCCCTAGGTGGCTGCATGATGTGACTCCACCCAGACCGGTACATGGCATACGCTTGCACTTTGCAGTGATTCATCACGCCAAGGCGGAAATGAAGCCTATGATGTGTACGAGCAAGTACTTAACAGCAGTCTGCGTCAAGCTGCCACAAGTTTTCATCGAGGTTAATTGGTTAAATTTGCGTTTCGGTTTTTGTGACTTTCTAACCGCATCAGGCAGGCTTGCCTACATTACTCTTTTTTTCGATTTTCAAACAGTTTTTTTTGGTACGAGTAGGGATCCGCAAGTGAAGATCGCTTGGTGATTAAAAGTGTCACACTGGTAAGTCGATCATGTAACTCGGGCGCTAATTCCACGCAGATTGCATCATCAGTGTGAACCGCGTAGCCACATTGCATCGCACAGCTTGTCTAGGTGGATGATCGTTGATCGGGTTATGTCAGCGTGTGCAACCTTGGCCTACGTTTACATTGATTACATGGTGATTTCCAGGTTGACCAGGAACCTGAGCGTGTACTGTTTTAACCATGGCAGTCAATGGGGACGTCAGCGAAATCGCTGTGGAGAATCCATGGAAGGATAAATTATCCGCTCTCACTAAGGAACTTGACGAGGACACGAATAAGAATGTGACACTAATTACGCGGAATCTACAGGAAGTCCTGGGGGCGGACGCCCTGGTAGATGTCCTCCATAAAGAGAAACGCCATCTGACGGTGTACTGGGGAACGGCAACAACGGGTCGGCCGCATATTGCTTATTTTGTGCCCATGATGAAGATTGCGGATTTCCTCAAAGCGGGCTGCGAAGTGACAATCCTGCTGGCTGATCTCCATGCATATCTGGATAATATGAAAGCCCCGTGGAATCTGCTCAGGCACAGGACGAACTATTATGAACGAATTATCAAAGGTAGCAACCAACTTGTCTTTTAAAGACTAGATTTAGGTTTTTGTTGTAATTTGCACTTCGTTACGTTCTGCAAATTTGTGCAAAGTAACAATTATGTGTAATACGTTATGGAAGTTTATGATCATTGATGAATTATTAACCAGATGGATAAATCCTGTTCAAATTCAGCATGCTTTAATATTGCATTATCACTTGTACATAATTTTATTTTTGGTGTATTTTATTAAACATAGCTGTTTCATTAGCGATGCAATTTGTACGTTTTCACTGTATGTGGTTCGTAAATTAATTAACTATGAGTAATTTGCTATCTATCAGGTGCATTTTCTGCTTGATTAGCTATGCTGCGCTCCATCCGTGTACCTCTTGAGAAGCTTAACTTTCGAAGAGGGTCGGAGTATCAGCTTGAACGCGAGTACACGTTGGATGTTTACCGTATGTCAAGCATGGTCACCGAGCATGACGCGAAGAAGGCCGGCGCTGAGGTTGTCAAACAAGTGGCCAACTCCCTGCTGTCCGGGCTACTGTACCCTGGATTGCAAGCCTTGGATGAGGAGTATCTCAAGGTGGATGCACAATTCGGCGGCGTGGATCAGCGCAAAATCTTCACCTTCGCCGAGAAGTACTTGCCGCAGTTGGGCTATAAAAAGCGTATACATTTAATGAATCCCATGGTAAGCAGTGTTGCGTGTTTACCAAAGATATTCGTTTATTTTTTAGGTTTAATTTTAATAAACTGTAGTACTCATTTATTTAATTTAAAAGAGGGAGGTTATAATTTTTGTGTGCGAGACTCGCTTATAATTCTATCAAATTTTCTTCTTTGGTTTTCCCATTTTTTACCTTGGGTCTAGAAATTGCACTTTATTTTTTTTGCTGTGCTTTATTTGATAATTTTTGACTATAACAGCTAGAACGAGTCCGCCTTGTCTTGCATTAAGATTTTCGGATTTCTGTTTACCGCTGCTGTTTGAAAGTGAATGTTGAATGTATGGGATATTCTCTCGTAAAGGGTTTGTACTGTATAGGTTCCGGGTTTAACCGGTGCCAAAATGAGTTCATCTGAGGAGGACAGCAAAATTGATTTGCTCGATTCGGAAGCCGATGTGAAAAAGAAATTGAAGAAGGCATTCTGTGAACCAGGCAATGCGGAAGGCAACGGCGTCCTGGCCTTTTGTAAGCAAGTGGTGTTTCCTCTCACGCAAGAGACTTTCGGTGAAACAGCTGTCGTGGTGGAACGTCGACCACAGGATGGGGGACCGATAAGCTATGCCACCTTCGAAGATTTAGAAAAAGTAAGTTGTCACTTTCTTTCAATGTACTTAAATCTTGTAATTAACGGTCGCTTGTCTTTCGCGATCTTTACCAGTTAAGTATCACAATGCAGGTTTAGGGAAATAGCCGAGTAGTGAATTTGCTTTTGCTTGTGTGTTTGTTGCTTCATTTGCTTGCCGTTCTATTTAACTGGCTGTCGCATTAATTATATCACTTCATGTATCGTGTATTGTGCGCATGGATAAGTGTTCAACGATTTTAACTGCTGATCTTTATGGAGAAGCTTGCATAACACAAGATGACTATCATCATCTGCAGAGTGAAGAATAGAAGTGACAGATTACCCTGATTACATATTCACCTGGTCTGATATCTTCTAGGATTTTATGGAATTAAAACTGCATCCTGCCGATCTGAAAGGCGCCGTGGCGGTCTTCGTTAACCGCCTTCTGAAACCCATCCGCGAGGAGTTTGAAGATCCCGAACTGAAGAAACTAACACAGGAGGCCTACCCACCACCGCCTAGTAAAACCACGCCCACTAAGAACGTGGCAGCGCCCAAACCCAAAAACGGGCATGTGCCCAGCGGTGATGGGACTGTCGAGAAGAAGAAACAGACCAAGAAACATCCCAAAGTGAATGGGAATGTAAAAGAGAACGGAGAAAATGGAGTTGAAGGGCAGGGCGATCAGGCGGAGACTGCGACAACAACGACTTAGTTAGTGCGTATTTTTCGTGTGGGTCATACAATTTGGCTAGTCGGCTGAAATATTTTTTGCTTCCGCTCGCATTGATGTTTTTCCAATTTTCCGCTAATGCATGAATTTTGTACCGTTAAACAGCGAAACGTAGTCGTTTGTACCAGCTTTCGCATCGTATGAACGAAATGAAGATTATTTAGTTCAAAAGATTATTGAGCAAAGAAGTGTTGCTTTTTTCAACAAGCAGGCAAGTGGATTTTATGGTTTGCTTGTGTTGCTGTTGTCGGCATTCGGTTGTGGTTCCCATTGTTGACGTTCTCCAGATGCTGTTAACGCGTAGAACGTACACGTAACGAAATAGACGGCTGCAGCTATAGCAAAAACAATTCGCCACTGAGAAATCATGTTTTCGGGATCGGTAAGTAATCCCACTAGGTAAGGCGCTACGATTCCGGGAATGGATCCCCATGTCTGTGACCATCCCATCAAAATTCCTTCAATCAAATTGAGGTTTTAAAAACAACTGTCGAAGTAAAACAGGTCCGCCGTCGTCGAATAATTGGTAATAAATACGTATTGTTCTTTATTTTTATGCAATTTACTGAAAGCTCATGTCTATTGGCTGCACACACCGGCATATTTGGGCGAGAGATCCACGTGGTTCACCGTGAATCCGACATTTGATATCCCATTGGTCGCCAGCGCCAGTATCAAAAACGCCACCGCTGCGTTATGATCACACCCAATGAATCCCAATCCCACCAGGCATCCAGCCGGCAACACTTGCCCCACAAAATGGAACCCGCGTCGAATCCACGTCACGCTGATGATCTTTTTCTGTCGCAGCACATCTCCCATCCAGCCGGCCAGCTGCATGACAACGGCCATGGCCAGGTACGGCATAGCCGAGATAATCCCGTTCGACTGGATGTTATAGTGAAGGACCTTGCCCAGATATGATGGAATATTGGTCAGGAGGGTGTAGAAGCCCCAATTATGCCCGAAATTACCGACGCAGATTGCCCATACCGGCAGGGAAGTTAGAATCTGTCGCCAGGGTGTTTGGGGTACCGCTGTGGTCATTAGCGGCTGGGCGTGACCGATACTGTCCAGGATGAACTGTTTCTCCGTGGGAGTGATGCGGGGATGGACGGAGGGGGAGTCGTACGCGAAGTACAGCCAACCGGCGTACCAGATGAAGGCCAAACCGCCAAAAAAGTAAAATCCGCTCTCCCAACCCAGATTCTGAATGAGAACGCCGGAGAGGATGAGGGCGACGACAGTGCCGATTTGAATGCCGGTGAATGTGATCATTACCTGCAAAACAGCTTGTTATTGTGCGATTGCGTGCGCTGGATGGGAATTCTTTAAACAATCTAAATGCACAGGATACCATGCGTGACCTTTCGTTGGGAGGTGCCCAGAGGCCCATGAGCTGGTGGGCGGCCGGCATACTAACTCCCTAAAAATGAATAAAATTACATTACCTCAACTATCAAAGCCTGCAACACTCGCTAATTACATATAACCGCCATGTATCGTGGTTTGCACATTGTTAACCTCAATTTGAATAGGAAAATCTCCGTGAGCCGTCGTAATTCGACGGATTAAAATGACATAATATGAGCGAAATATCTAAGGAACTGTTAATAACGGTTAAGAAATAATTATTTTATCCTTATACACAATGGAGCGCAGTGCTTTGGCTGCTGCGAAATACCGCATGCGCTATACTGTACTTAGTATTACTTACTTACCTGGACGACGCCCTGCAGTGCGCGAAGGGTCAAAAGGGCCCCGTAATGCCAACTGGCCGCCAACGGCTGGAACAGGGCCAACAGCCCCGACAGGAGAACGGCTAAGCCGAAAGGATGTTTAGCGCCGAACCGCTTGGACAGCCATCCGCCGGGGATCTGCGTTAGGATGACCCCGTAGAAGAAGGAACTGAGAATCAAGCCTTGCGTCTTTCCATCCCAGTCAAACTGCATATTCGACAAATATTAATATTCAGCTGATGGTAAGGCCATCCAAGCGAGAAATAATGCCGAAAATAATATTTTATCTTGGTCGAATTTCCCAAAACCCTTCGAATCGTGTACCATGTACGTACGCAGCAAAAATCGGTAAGATACGAATTTCAAAGGGCAATAATTGCTAGAATACCAATCAATCGCTGTAGTAATTAAATCATTATAATTATTATGTAGACTTCATATTAATACGCTCATATGTGCAATTAGTGTAAGTTGCATTTGTGCTTACTTTTCCAGCATGCGGTACAGTGCCCGTGTCGTTGATGTTTGGGCGTGGACATGCGTCGGTGATGTTAATGCTGGCGTTTGAAGTGATGACCGTCGTATTGACCATAGCTGTTATAGTAAGGAAAAACATCGGGTACAATCGTATACCATGCTGATATTGCGCTTGCGCTGCTCAGTTCGGCAATCGGAGCCCGTCACCGGACATCTTCAACTGGAAAATTTTTACCTACAATGGCCACACTCAGATTGACGCGAATGGAGAACATGACGAAGAAGCCCATGAAGAGGAAGAGCACTAGTTGATAACGGGATGGGATACACCACGGGGACTGGGCATCGTCAGCTAAATCGACACAAGTGGTTTGGCATGCGAGAAAACTTCATAACAATTGCTATGTAGCACACAGTACTAGTACAATATATACTAACAAGGTTTGCTAATAATAATAATTATTAGCAAACCGTAGTATTATTCTACGGCCGTTATTATTAGCCGTAGTATTATTCTACGGCACAAATTACGATGTAAATTTGTTCATAATAGCAGTATAGCCTGCGTTTACCACGGATAGGCGCTGCTGGGGTGGATGTCGGGACCGGCAGTTGACATTTTTCCTGGATGTCGTTGAGATCTGGGATCGAAGAAGACATTGTCACAGGGAAACAAGGAATGGGAGAAAATCACTCCGCGCTGACTAATGATAAGCGCAGGGAAGATGGCAAATTTAGCAGCTGCGTTGAAACCGACTGCGTGCAGCTTGTGATTTTCGTCAGCAATGAGATGGCTTGCTGGGAATGTTTACAAGTGCCGTAGTCTTGCCTAGCCTGTCTAGGTACCCTGGTGCAGTGCGTCCTTTATCGCCAACCGTCAAGCAAAATTTAACTATTTTGAACTGATACTGAGAACATAGCCCATAGCCACAGGTGTTAATTTTATCGTAGCTATTAATGAACTTTGTGTTAGCTTCAGATAATTAGCCATCGGATTCCGCCGCTGACACACTGCAAGCGCTGAGATGTGGTTTTCTTATCATATTCATTCCGGTGATTGTCAAACTAGCATTTTGCGGGAAAATTTACGGGTCGAAAATACGTAAAGACCAACGTGACCTGACTGATATGGTATTGTGACCACAGGTTGTACATGTGTCACCAAACTCTGTTACATGACTTACATCTGGTTTTGCAAACCACCAGTTGCACCCCGTTAAAGGTAACGGAAACATGGCTAGTAATACTCGCCCGTCAGTAAGTACTCTTTCATATTATCGCGTTAGCAATGATTTTCATAACTTTATGAAAGACAATCTGACGATGCAGTTCGTTTTTTGAGTCGACATATTCTGTTTGTAAATGCGCACAAGAACAGCAAGTACTGTGTCTCGGCGAAACGAATGAAACGTACAATTTCATGCTTTCTGATTTCTTCTTAACATATTCCGGCCTTCCGGCAAACTTTGAGGCCGCTTCCATACCTGGCGTTCACCGGACGCGGTTAAAGCGTAAAACACACTCGTTACCACATAAATCGTTGCAGTTAAAGTAAAAACAATGCGCCACTGTGCCACTGTATTTTTTGGACTAGTGATGAGACCAACTAGGTAAGGGGAAACGATGCCCGGAAGCGTTCCCCAAATCTGCGACCATCCCATTAAAATTCCTGCAACAAAAAATTTGCAACAGGCATTAAGCAACAACATTAGTCTTTGATTAATTTTGATTACTTTAATGTTTGAAAACAAATGAACCATTTGATTAGTGATTATAGTATCTTCTTCATAAACTGGCAAGGTATTACACATCACGTGTATACTTTACGATTCTTTTGTAATCGAAGTAAGACTTCAGATTAACCTGTTTTTATAAGTTTGAATTGGATTTAAGTGGAGGTGTTATACTATATACTGCAATCTACTTCAATACTCGCAGATAATTAATGTACGAATATTTTGTATCCGAATGCGCACCGGTGTATTTTGGTGAGAGATCAACATGGTTAACCGCGAACCCGACACTGGAGATTCCGTTCGCGGCCATAGCGGCAATCAGCAAGGTCACCGCCATATTTCGATCACATCCGACGAATCCCAACACAATAAACAGTCCCGCTGGCAAAAGTTGCCCCACCAGATGAAAACCCCGGCGGATGCACGTAACACTGATGACCTTTCGCTGTCGCAGCACATCCCCCAGCCAGCCGGCCAGCTGCATGACGACGGCCATGGCTAAATTAAATACGGCATGGCTGAGATGATGCCATTGGTCTGAATATTATACTGCAGTGTCTTCCCCAAATAGGACGGCATAGTAGTCAGCAAAGTGTAAAAGCCCCAGTTGTGTCCAAAATAACCCACGCAGATAGCCCAAACTGGCAGAGACGTAAGAATGTGTCGCCAAGGCGTAGAGCGAAAGGTGTCGCCGGGATGGGTGCCGATTGCGAACAAGATAAAGTGCCGCTCTTTAGGCGAGATGCGCGGATGGGTTGACGGCGACTCGTGACCGATGTATAGCCAACCGGCGAACCAGACAAAGGTCACACCACCGAAAAAGTAAAATCCACTTTCCCAGCCAAGATTCCGGATGAGAACGCCAGAAAGGATGGATGCCACCACGGTGCCCATTTGAATGCCGGTAAAGGCTATCATTACCTACCAGTAATGGAAACATTGCACTACTGAGTAGTGTATGTGCTACCCGTATATCAGAAATTTGTTAAAAAATTACTGTATTATATTGCACGGTATATTCTGTTTAAAATTACGTATATCATGTGGAACAACAGACATTATTTCCCGCTTCAGATAAGGTGAAGCTTCGCTGTCAGTTTAGGCCTAGCTAATAATAAGATGATAACTCATGATCGTATTATTGGCATACTGCGCGCCGTGCACGGTATGATTTCTCACATCATAATTTCGTGCACGGTATTATAACAACATTATTCACCATTCGTGACCTTTCGTTTGGAGGTGCCCAGAGTCCCAGAAGATGATGAGCCGCTGGCATACTGACACCCTAAAAACAAACCGCAGCCGAACTTTGCGATTTACGATTTACATCATTAACTAAATTCCATTATTTGCACAAGCAAGTAGGTACGGAGTACAAGTACGCACTACGCACTTGCACAACACCTTGCAGGATACGCAGGGTGAGGAGCGCCGAATAATGCCAAGTGGCGGCCACCGGCATAAGTAAGCCGAACAAGCCGGACAGTAGCACTGCCAAGCCAAACGGATACTTCGCACCAAATTTTCGGGAAAACCAACCACCGGGGATCTGTGTCAGGATGAAACCCCAGAAAAAGGAGCTAAGGATGAGGCCCTGTGTTTTTCCATCCCAATCAAACTGCAACTGAGTATCTATGAGTATCATGTGTATGGCACTTACGATACAACTGTCTATATCTTTAATTATACTGTATGGATATAATTTATTATTATACAGCTCAGGAAGCATCTGTACTTCTACAGTTATTACAATAATGACAGTTGTAATTTCGTCGGTAAGCTACATGCATAATAATGCGCACGTAGTAGAAATGGAGTATACGTCTATGCTGTTATAACAGGCATGTACAAAGGATTCAAAGAATCCAGAGCGACCAGTGTACGAGCACTCACTGTAAATCGCAGCAATAATTTTGAACCTAAACAGCAGTGAACAACAAAGCAAAGCAGTAAACAACTGTTGTAACTTGTAATTCTAAACCGTAACACGAGGGAAAATTAACACCTATATAGATATTAATATTTTATTTATCAGATAATTATGTAATCACGTGAAAGGCCAGTTCACGTAATTTGCTCGCTTATACAATTGTACCTTGCCGGCATGCTGCGATGGCCCAGTTATATTGCCGGCCTCTCGTGGACAAATGTTATTAACTTTGGATGCGTTGAGCAAAAGCGACTCTGTCGTGGTGCTGGCGTTGGTCATGGCTGTATTAATTAAATAAAGTTTCTGTTAAAAAATTGCTAATTAAAATTGTAAAAAGCAATGCAGTAGACGCGAAATCCACATCATAGTACACGGCAGCCGCACAAAATTAGCGTTTACATTATATATTTTTTACCTACAATTGCCACGTTCAGGTTCACACGAATGGAGAACATAACGAAAAATCCCATAAAGAGGAACAGGACCAGTTGGTACCGTGCCGGTATGCACAAATGCCTTTCTAAAAAAATATTAATAATGCAGATAACAATATCTTGTACATGTTATGCAAAATCAAGCGCAAACAAATCGAACTATGCAACAGCATTTTTACCAAGGTATTGTTAGTTTGCACAACGGCGTTGTTGCTGCAACTGTAGTTTAAATTTTAAAAGAAAATAAAAATGGAAAGGGCAAAAATTGAAAAACATCAAAAATGAAATTAAAAGCTGTAGATAAAAAGGTTAATTAAAAGGGATTTCGTTAAATAAATATTGCAAAGTTAAAAGCTAGCAACAAAGCTACCCTTGTCTGTGCCGTCAGATCCAGCGTCTTGCGTTCGTATAAATTCCTGCTGCTCCTTTGCATCGTCCTCAATTTTCGTGGAAAAAATCGCCATTTATTTGCTTTTTATTAATATGCAGAAATTAGGTAAATGGATGAGATGCGTAGCAATAATCTAACATTCCATAGCGCTTTGCGTGCGTAGGAATCAGATGCAGATAGTATTGTACTTCGCTATCAAGAAACTTTGTCCTGTCACCGGATACAGAACATCGAATCACAGGATGTTCATGAAGGGAATTTTGCCGTTAAGCATTTGTAAAATGTAACAATGCGCGTTTGCACCATTACGATTATAGGGTATACAAAAGTGACACTACAAGTTTGCAATACGTATCTCTAATTAGTTTATACACAGAGATTGTGACAGAACAGATATGGCGTGTGTCGTATAATGAAACTTCGCGACTCCGCGTGTACTGATTTTTCGTCTGTATATATATGTAAGTGTGTCAGGTTTCCAACATTTGTGTAATAAGAAAAGTGGCTCATTTACCGAAGATTAGATTAAATTTCAACCAGAGCTCTCTCAGTGCAGTTGGTTGAAATTGTTTGTTCTAATGTATCACAGTACACGGTCGTACCTGGTAGCCGGAACTGGTCAATCCATCCGTGCCAACCGCCAACGTAAGCAGTGCAATGGCCGCCGTGTGGTTGCATCCCACATAGCCCAGCAGAATCAGGAATACCGACGGCAGTAACTGTCCCACAAAATGAAAAGTCCGCCGCACCCAAGTCGTATTCATCAGCCGATGTTTACGCAATAGATCCGCCAGCAACCCACCCGCCTGCATAAACAGCGCCATCACAAAGTACGGCAGTGCCGACAGGAATCCATTATTCTCTATCCCGAAATGCAGGACTTTGTTCAGATACGTGGGAATATTGGTCAGCAGGGTGTAGAAGCCCCAGTTGTGCCCGAAATTTGCCACAATTATCGCCCAACAGGGCAGTGAGCGGATGACCCGTTTCCAGGGAAAGGTCACCTCGAAGGGATCCTTCTTCGGTTTGATAGCGTGCAGGATGTAGTGCTTTTCCTCGTCGGAAATGCGGGGATGGTTGTTGGGAGAGTCGAAGGCCAGAAACAGCCAGAAGACGTACCACAGAATGGCCGTGCCGCCGAAGAAGTAGAATACACTCTGCCATCCGAGGTGTTTGGTTAATACGCCCGAGATAATTAGCGAGCCGACAGTGCCAATCTGGACGCCGCTGTAGGTGATTGAGACCTAACCGATGAATTTGTTGAATAAAGGATTATTTTGATAACAAAAAAACCGTAGGTTTATAGCTCATACCATGCGAGATCGCTCGAGAGGCGGAGCCCATAATCCCATCATTGCGTGCATGGATGGGAAGCAAACACCCTTTAACAACCGAATTCGTAAGATTGGTGAACATAAGTAATGGTCATACGCGTCAAAGTGTTGATCATAATGAATTTGCAAAATGTCATTATGGTTGATGCATTCTGTTGATACGTCCATTAGTATATTATTGATAATAAAATAGTACTGAACACTGGACGTTATGGATGGGATTTCCATATATGTATTCGTATATTATATAAAGGTCTTCATAACATCCTGCCTGCATAATTTTTATTTTATAGATCACGTACAATATGTGTTATACTAACTCGATGTCTAGATGCGGAAGGGCATAATATATACGATTTAAGAAAGCGGCAGTGTTCAAAGCAGTTCGAAAGGTTCTTTTGTAAGGATGCTGATAATCATAGTTGACGTGAGTCGAAAAAGTTTGTTTAAAAGCCTGAAGACAATTTAAAGTATCATGAGTTTCGAGCTTGCGTAAAATATAACGCATAGTTAAATACTCTTTACTAACAATAAACGTCTGTTGTATTGTAGTACGGTAGTGCTCTAAAAGATCAGTAGTGTGGGGATGTCAGTACTTCGCTGTTACAATATATTTCTATTTTTCCTTCAGAATGAACCCCCTTTAATACTGAAAATCAACAAGAAAACTACCTGAAAAAGGCCTTGCGCCACTCGCAGAGCGATCAGCGCTCCGTAGTGCCAACGCGCTGCTAATGGGATGAACAGCGCCAAAATGCCGGAAATTAAACCGGCATAGCCAAAAGGATGCTTGGCGCCGAACCGTTGCGCCACCCAACCGCCCAGGATCTGCGAGCAGATGTACCCGTAGAAAAACGAGCCCAGGATGATGCCTTGCACATTTGTACTCCAGCCGAATTCCCCATCGCTCTAGACAGTAAAAAATTTACAGTCAATTACTTTGTAATAACAAATGGATTATCGAACACGTTTTATCAAAGAGCTTGTTTTCAGCGAAATTAATTTGATTTCTGGCATTAATTTGCGCGGAAAAAACGGGCCTTACACGTCAGAGCAACGAGAAAAAATTCATAAATTAATCTACTTAACAATTAAACTGTTCACTGTTAAGTGAGTGTTAACTTGGATCAATATACTGTGAAATAACTTGTCGGTCCATTTTTGTGTAACGGACAACACAATCCTTTACAGAAGATATAGAAACACAGGAATATTACTTACGGAAGTTTGACTACTGGTGTTCGACACCGGACAGACGTCGACGTGCGTAGCGTTATCTGGCACGGATGCGCTGCTGTTGACCATCGCGACGATGGCCACGCTGAGGTTGACGCGCAACGCATAGAGATTGAAAAATCCCAAGAATCCCAGTATGACCAGGCCATAGCGGGATGGTATGCGGAGACGTTTCCGATTAGATTCTGTACAACACCAGAAAATAATGCTCAATGAACTGCTACGTTTTAATTACAGAATTTTACATTAGCGGACAATGTGTAAGACAAAATCATACACAATGAAAACGAATAAACTATACAACCGCAGCGTGTAATTATTGGGAGTACTTCTACAGATAGAAGTACCGAAAGGTCTTGTAATTTACGATTAATGCAGCCACTGAGCCACATACGGTATGCAACGTATGTACATTCACTGCGGAGAAAGTACATACATACTGTACTAAAAAGCTTCGAATACTGTAACAAAAGCGGTGAAAAGCCACTAAAATTACCTTGTGTATATTATTAATTTATTATTATTAGTAGTATTTTGCGGTTGGTACCTGTTGGTTGTAGTAAGCTCTGATCGTCGGAATATGAGTTATGTGGCGACTGCGAATCCATCGTACAGATAAGTACAACTTTTACTGCACAGAGCTTTTGCGCGAGTAATTACGGATGGATTTAATTGTGTTGATTTTGTGAGCCGATCACCGGACAATCCGTTCGGGACTAGGTTTGGCTGACTTATTTTACCATTCCTGATATTCCTGATGCAAGAAAACGTTCAACATACACACGATGACAGCGGTATCGTAAGTAATATATTTGTGTGAACCGAACGATGAATTTCCATAAAACAAAAGGCAAAACTTGTCAAGGTGGAGAAAATCCGCCGAATCATCATCCGACGTACCGATATAGTCCACAATCTCAATCCACTTTCAAAAAACACAAAAAATACTCACAGTGCACGGCGGATGGTAAATAACTGCTGTCAAACGTAGGAAGCACATTGGCGAAAATGAAATTAAAAGTGTGCGAATAAATAATATTATTATCTAATCTTATTATCCCTGGTTAGTAGCGATAAACCGCTGCACTCTGAAGACTGTATTGTCATAAATTTAGTTTGACTTCAGCTGAGCTTTGATTGCAAACGCACGTATGTTTTAGTCAGTTGTTGTTGGTGCACTGCTATCAAGATCCCCGAAGTTATCGTTTGATATTAAGCTTGTGTTTGTAAGCACGGTAGAAGCAAGCTTACAAGTTTAGGTACAGTACCCATGTTTGTTGCATGGTAGTGCTACCAAAAAAATTTTGCCGCACTTCTGTGGATTTGATACGCAATGCAAGTTAGATGATTCACACAGAATACGCAACAGCACTTATGCCGTTTAAATGGAACTTGTACATGACTGGATGTGGGCGTGTAAATTTCAATAATATCATGTGAAGCGGAGTTTTAAATTTTGAGCGGAATTTGAATTATCATGTCTGGATTATTTACTGCTCTCTCGACCTTTATGTAATACGCTGTCTATTATCGACGGTAGTCTACTGGCATACTTAATTTAATAAAATTTTCGTTTGGACAGGTATCATACATAAGAAAGCAGCGACAGTAGCACTAGTATGTAGAAGTACTGTCCATCAAATCGCTTTTGTATCGAAATCGAAAAACTGATTGTCCTGGATAAATTTCCATTAATTGTCATGTCGAAATTAATCGTCAACCTACCAATTTTTACTGCTACTCTAAATAAAATACGAGCAGTTAACGCGAAAATTCATTGGATACATCGTATAGTCTTCGATCAATGACATTCACTAACAAAAGAAATTCCAAATCGAACAAATGACAATAACTGTGGTACAGTGGGGCTTTTTGTGATTTCGTAGACTGTTAGTGATGCCATTCTGTTCAGAGAGAGAAACTGCATCGCTGTAATTCAACGAGTTTGCGTGTGAATCAACCGTTGTCGTAGATTAATTTTTAGTTTTTTTCTTTAGAATGCTAACTCAACATTTTATGTTGCTTTTCATGATTTCTTGGGTTGATAACGAAGAACGGGCGGCACAAAACCTCTCTTATTAAATAAACAGCAAGTAACTATCGGCAGCTTCTCCCATTTCTGCAAGGATATACGAAATACGTTTGAATCCATAAACAAAAAAACGACTTATAACAACGAATAAAATTACAAACAAATCGGAAAACAATTCCCTCACGAAAGAACAGGTCACAATCTGACCATAACACATCCATCGGGTGTCAACATAGTCTCCAGCGACACTCCCGACTCCACAGAGAAATTATTCAGCGTATGCACCTTCTTATAAATCTGCCGCGGCAGCCGATGCTCCACCTGGGCAATCAGCCGGTTCATTATTAACAACTGCTGCATCTCCGTGCCGCCACAGGGCTTTCGCCAGTCGCTATCCTCCAGTCGATTACCGTAATACCGCATCCACCCGCTGCCGTTGATGTAGTTTACAAAAAGAAAAAACGGATAGACGGTGTTGCGGACGCTGCATTTCTGTGGGGCGCTGGTGGTGCGCGACAGAATGTGCGTGAGGAAGAAGCAGGCTTTCAGCACAAGGACGTTCTCGATGGCCAGCAAGGAATGGGTGGCACAGGCGAAGGTCTTTCGACTGATAATGGCCTCTGGGAAGTAGCGACGGATGGTGTCCCAGGCTTTGTCCATCATGATGTCGATGCGGAAGGACCGGACGGAGACGCAGGCACGGCTGGTCGGGTCCGGGCGTAAGAATGCCGGTTTGCCGTAATGGGCAAAAGCGTCAGCTGAAAAAAAATACTATTACATGAACGTAAAACTAACTGCTAAAATATACTCGTAGTTAAGGTAATTCCTTCCAGACAATATTTTTATAATTATTTTCATCCCCGTACTTAGTTGTCGTATCAAAATTTGACAATAATTTGATTTCTTGAAGCTTTCACTGCTTTCGTTTTATGAACAAGAACTATACAAATTATCATATATTCACACAGTTATTGCATAATTATGCGATTAAAGGCAAAACAGCAACGAACGCCAGCCACTGCTACATCGGCTGCTGCAGCAAAACCGAAAGAAAGTCCACCACTCCACCAAAATGGCAAAAACCCCGGAGTACGGCAAAGTACCCACACTCGCAACAACTTGTATGCATAAATCATAAAAAATTCAATTAGATTGCACTGCTAGAGATTCTACACATTTCGGATAATTATCGCAAAAACCGCTAAACACGTGCGTAGACTTACTCTGATCCACGGAGTTCGAAGAGATCACCGGCTGATCGGACAGATCAACCGACAGCGACTGTCCACTACCATAGCACATTTCCGCACTTAACGCTTCACGGAAATCAATTTGGTGTTCAATTTTAAATTCTTGAATTTCCTCATCCCCCCATTTGCGTTTGCCACTCATCGGGATACAATGCGTCATGGTCGAAGACAGTGGTGCAGATGCTGCGAGATCATTATGTTGCTGCCTTTGGTCCACATTATCACGGAAATGATAACAGATTAACATGCCGCCACCGTGCAGAAACAACCGGTCGGGAAGCGCCATGCAGTACTCGGGATGGAAGATCGGATGCGGGGTCTCTGTAAACCACGGTCGACTATGGATTTCCGGAAGTTTACAGCGGGACCATGAGCGGATTTCAAGAGGTATGGGGATGATGGAGAAACGGATCTGTCGGTCCACGGTTACCCCGGAATTACTCGGTTGTGGAGAAGACTGAAAAAACAACAAGTACAAAGTAACCCTTCAGTTAATTAATATGTTCTATAAACTCGCAGCTTCTTGTTGTTCAGAAATCGGGAAGTAATAATTGATTTCACTGGTCCACAAAACATGACCGAAAAATATAAAAAAATATGGTAAAGCGTAACACTTAAAATATACTATGTACCGTAAATGCCAAAAGTGGTAATTGTGGAACGCGGTAATAAGCAAATATTGTATCGCCAGATTTCACGTACTTCATCGTCCCAAAAGGCCAGCACCAAGATCTTGGAATTATCGTCCGGCCATTGAGCAACGCAAAGTTTAGTTGAAAAAGGCACATCCATGTGCATGTCATCTTGCCCCTGGAATAATTTCACGCTGTGCACGATCTCCGTCTTTTCAGGAAATGGAGTGAACAACCAAAAGTGCAGTACAATTCCGTTGTCCTCCTCCGGAAACATTTCCATTGCAAACTTCAAGGAAATGTCAGATATTAAGAGATAAATCAAACAAGTCAAATTCAAAACGCAACTTCATTTCCCGCAATTGGAAACGCCTGGACAACATTTCGTTCTAAATTCACTGAATAAGTTATTACTACTATGTATTTCCCCGATTATTCTGTCTGTACTTTGTTCATTCTTAATTATTCGATAACTATTCAAAATCATACAAATAGTTCCAAAAATTAAAAAAAATACACAAATTGGCACTTACTGGATACAGCCATGTAGGAGTATTGTTAGAAGTATACGACAATAGAAATCTGCTGTCCTGAGTGAACCCGAGGAAGACATGCCCATTGCGCGTAACCGACCGCGGATCCTTCAGAATATCCCACAGTTTCACATCCTTCATCACGCCCAACCTCTCGCGATGCTTGTCCCCGTACGCTCCGGCTAGGGGAGTGTGAAACACTCCTGACAACTCCCGATACAGCAACAAACGTGACAACGGAACTTTGACATGCCGTCGTCTGCTGCTGCTGTCTGGTCGTCCAGCTTCCTTCGGTGTATCGAAGCAAGGTTCCACGCCTCGCGTCCCACCTTCTCTTTCCCCATGGGAAAAGCGTCGCAGTAGGCGGAAGGTGCGGGTATCTTCGTAGCCCACGTGAGCGGTGAAGTTGCAGACTTCGCTAATTTCTGGATCTGTTGATTGGGAAGATGAGCTGCTTGATGGAATCAAAGACTGTACGTCGCGCTCCAGTTGGGAGTCGTCGTCACTGGGGAATGCATCGTAAGGATCCATTCATACGGCTTCTGTAGTGCATTTATAGTCTCGCCATTCTACTCTGACAAACATGCAAGTGGATTAAAGCAAATAAAACACCGAACTTTTATCCCAAAACGGTGCACCACATAATAGACTGAACTCCAAAGAAAACAACGAAGTGACTACGGAAGTCAAACACGAACAACAGTAATCGTCATAACAGTTTAGTAACGCACAGTCTGAGGGGACGCCACGTTCCGAAAGCGAGAACGTGGCTGCCGCCCGCTCCAGGCAAGTTCCTGCTTCAAAATGCAAGTCTGGCCATTCTCTTTTGTGGCGTACCGGGGCGGCTGGCATGCGCATGGAGGAAGTTATTATGGAATGCTTTTGAAAGCCATTTCACTTTCAGTCAGTTCAACCCATTTCAGCACGCAGTGGCAGTGGTGCAAAATGCTTTGTGGTGCATAAAATTGACAACTCAAAAAGGTTCCCCATTTCATCCCGTAATCTGTTAACTTATTTTCTCACACAGCTCTAACAGTCTTTCGTAGTCTTTGTCTTAATTTATGTTTAACATTTAGATGGCTATTTGCATTCCCTGCCGGGAATCTTCGGCCAGTGGAATTTCTCAGGCATGATGGAATAATTTATCTCCGCGTTTCTTTTTGTCTTTCATATGCTTTGCAGGACAGCATACTGCATCTTTGACTTGTGGTCCCGTTTGATAAGCTAGCTGTGGCAGTGACAAAAATATCTCCATTATATAAAGTTTTGTTTCTCATTAAATTATACTTTACCTGTGCGGCTGAGATGGGAATGACTGGATCTGGAATGCGGTAAAGGATAGAAGATATCCGGGAACCAGGTACGCTGCTGCTTGTAATTAGGCATGGACCCACGCAGTTGAGTCAACAATAACATATGCGTCCACAGTGGTATTTGCATTTATGCATTGCATTGCTGACAGTGATGTCTCCCGTTCGGACTACTATGTCTCTTCAATGCAGCCATTTTGTCACCTTTTGAAAGATTTGTCGAGTAAGACAGTGAATGATCTAGAAAATTTGTAATATCTGTATGTGCTTGTTTTAATTTATTTAAGTAAAGTACGGTATTGGTCTATGTTTGCAGCTGTTGATCACGTTCTCGTTGTCAGAGTTGTACTATTTTACCGAATGAGCTTGTATCGTTAATATTAGTACGAGACTATGAGTACATCATATTATCTTGTGTTATAACATCTTGCAGTTTCACTGATAACCAGTTGCTCGAAAAAGTTGAATTATGAAAACGAAGGTGAAAAAATTATGCTTTCTTTAATTACAGTGTGACTTTTTCGTTAATTAACAACAGCCTGTTATCTGAAAATGAAATAAGAAGAAATGACTACAGTATTGGTGTGCTTACATTTATGTAGTTTAACTAATAACTGCTTAACATAGATATACTGCAAAATTGGTTAGGTATTTTGTTGCATGTACCGTACTTGAGGATATCTTACCGGTTACTAGTTTTTAGCTATTTAGTGAATGGTTTTCATCTGTCACTTCAACATAACTTCTACTTTTTTATGGTATTTTTGGGTGAACTTTGATTGAATTCATTTTATTTTCACAGACAGCATCATTTCATTGCCCTTATGGAGAAATGTTGATCTACCGTTTGCATGTTTTGAAAGGTAGTTTTCCCATTTGCTGCAGGGTTCCCATATACTGATAATCTGATATACATATTGGCTTATGATATTGCACCAGTTTTGTATTTAGTTGACCGAGCTGTAAAGTGACGACGAAATCCGTACTAATTTATTGCGGACGCCGGTTGCCCCGTCATGTCCTACGTTCCCCGCACCTCTACCCGCACTCGCACCGTAAAAGTTTTAACACCGGAACTGACCATCGCATCACGAGACTCTATTAAAACCTCCCCCGCTGTCGCCGCCACCACCCCGCCCGCCTCCAAACCCGTCACAGAAACCAGTGAGCCGGAATCGGAGGAAATTCCCATGGCAGCCATTGAGGCCGGATCGCCGCGGCCCGAACCAGTACTGGATGGGGAGACCAGTGGGAAAGAGGATCGCGATATTTTGGGCACCACGTTGGAAGGAAAACTGTCCAATGGGACGCCTTCGGAGACAAAGGACAAAGATGCTGTTGTGGTACTGGCCGAGACACCCCAATCTGAGCAGAAACTTGTAATTGCATCGGCGTCCGCGCCGAAACCCACCGGAGCGGTGTCGCTCAGTCCCGGATTGCTGAAATTGAAGCCCGCGTCCGTCCCAGTTAAATCCGCGGTTGTCGCGCCACATGCTGGGACGTTTATCCATCCGGCACCTAAAGTACGTCAATTCTGTATGGTTTTATGTTGATCTTCAAAACAAAGTTGTGTTTTATTTTACAACATATACGTTTTCCTGTTTATTTGCTGTACGTTTTCACAAGGCACCGATGAACGGGAAAGGAGTTAATTTTAATAATCAAATCCCGCATCCCCCGCTGCCGCCAGTAAATCGGCGTAGCTTTCGGCTGAGGATAGCAAAGAAAGTGCTTATAATATAATTTCGAAATTCGAAAGTAAACTCTTCAAATATTCTTGTTTGACAGACGGGTGTTCCATTCAAACGCAAGCTAAATTTCGACATCACTAACGGCACCGTGACGAAGCAGATCAAGACTGAGACCCTGAAAGTCATCCCCGGAATTGTCCACGCCTCATCGTCTTCGCTTGCCGGCGATGTTAAGCCCATTTTCAGTGCGGTTACACCAGCAACCGGGGCGGGTGGAACACCTGTGGGAGCAACGTCTTCCTCCGCGGCTGCCGTTCCTGGGGTGCAGGTGGTCAAGATCACCATGCCCGGCGCGCCCAACACCACCACTCCCATTCTCAAGAAGGACTTCAAAGCGCCAGCTCCGCCCACAGGCGTCGCCGCTACACCGACACTGAAACGTTCTGTCCCCCGCAAACTATCAGGGAGAACGTCGGCAACGGCCAGCCGATCCAGTAGTGTCAGCGGTGACAACGGTACAGGTGCAGTGAAAAACTTCTGTAACGAAAATTACGTGTGATATAATATATAGTGAAATTTGTTAACTACTTTGTACTGTACAGTTGGCTAAATTGCACTTTCTTTGTGAGCATGGGAACTTATCGAAGGTCGGACGCGTGATATTTCTTGGAATACGAACTGTTTTTTACATTAATCATTGAATTGGCACAAATCAGCCAAAACACAGGAACTGATGCTGCGAAAAGGAAACGCATTACGAACTTCTAGTTAGGCTTTGCGCATTGCCTTCTTCGTTGAGGGCAAAGACCACTCACGCACCCCGGTGTTAGGACGTCACTTTTCTGTAGCAAACATTTTTGTCAGCCTAATGAGCAAAAGAACCAAAGCGGTCTAAATAGCTGTTATTACGGCGCCTTTCCTAGCAGTAATACAAAGAAAAAAATCTGACTGAGATCCCGTTGAAGTTAGTGGCGTTTCTTTGGCGTTTTTTACTCATGGCGTTGTCACCGTTGTGATAAGTAAACCACAAGTTGTGAACTTCGTATTATTTTCTTTGAGCTGTATCAGTTTTACAAAATTAAGCGCCGTTGTACGGTATGGCCGTATTTATAAACCTTTGAAATTCAACTGACCTGTGTGATAGACTGCTTAGTTGCTGTAATGTAATGCGAGTGCATTCCATTGTAGTTTTATCTGATAATGCGCTTTCAGATGACTCGGATGATGATTCGAACGGGATGTCTTCTTCGCGCTTTGATTCGTCATTGAATGTCATTACCAAGAAGTTCTTTGAATTGTTCAAGAACTCTCCAGACGGGGTCCGTGTGAATTTGATATAATTTCGAAAATGTTTTCCTGTTGAACCATATGTTGCGATTGATCGTATAGATTGTCGATCTGAATGAGGCCAGTTCGCAACTGCATGTGCCCAAGCGAAGAATTTATGATATTACGAATGTCCTGGAGGGAATTGGTCTGACGAAGAAGAAATCCAAAAATCGCGTGGAATGGATGTAAGCCGTGTGGTTTGTATTACCTAACCGTGTACAATACCGAATCGTTTTCTCAATAAAAGTTCAGGAAATTGAACAGTCAGATAAAGCTTTTGTATCGATTGCAAAGATTTTGTTGCTTTTAGCAATAAAGATGGGAGTATTCAAGAAGAAGAGGATTCTTCAGGTACATTGCTGGCTGTATTTCTGCTCATTGTTCTTTCTCTACATAGTCATGTCACTTCTTCAGGTGTCATAATAAATACATCGAATTACACGAGCAGTTCAGAACTTCAGATTATAGACCTGCACTTTACTATATTTTGACAGATGAGGACCGCGCGCTGAATCAAGCCTTGGAAGACGTAGAGAAGTTGACACTGGAACTGTTTCGGAAGGAAAAGAAGTATATTCATACTGTGCACGAATAAACGAAAAATTTCTGGTGTATCTATCTCATTTGTAACGTTTTGCAGGCATCTGTATGTCCGTCCAGAAGCTTTGAAGGAAATCGATTATGTCCATAACAAAACAATTATCTGCGTTAAAAAGCGAGCGGATACAAAACTCATCGTCTATCCCGTAAGATCGTTTGCTATGTTGTTTTTGAAAATTGTATTTCAAATGGAGGTCTCCGCTGCAGAGTGATCCGCGGCGTCTCAGTATTGGCACAACCGCTGATTACAGCCAGCAGATGTGGCTGGTGCCGACGTTTTTGTGGCCGGGATGGGAAGCCGGTGGAGAAACGGTTCGAGCGGCAGAAATGCTGATGTCGCCCATCAAACAAGAGAGTATTGAGCTACCGCCAGAAATCAAACAAGAACCGATAGATGAAACGGCACTGCTGGATGATACACTGGACACCACACTGAACAACTCCATCTGCTCTAACTCGGAGGCGGGAATGGTCTTCAATGATTCTATGCTTACTGTGTCGGAGCTATCCGATTCAACATGTGAGTTTTTACGTTGCGCGACTAAATGTCATTACGACCACATGAAAATGCTAGTGATACTTGGACTGTCGTACTACCACTTCAACGAAGTTTTCACGGCGCTTGTGCTCTGCCCTTTACATTGAAGATTAAGATGAAGGAGTGGAAAACTTTGAATATTTAGGAATGACAGATGGTGATAAGACAATGTAGCAAAGATGCGGACGGACTGTAATTTCTAGAAATCAGTTTTATTTCTGCTTATATTGATTTATTGTGTTACTTAATCGTGGTTGTGTCATTTTCGCTACAGTTTTAAACATGCCGAATTCATTTCTTTATGCGTGCTATCGATTGGGTATCGTTGTACGTATTATTACGACGCTAGCGTACAGCGTCTGTAGGTTTCATTTCGTTATGGCTTCGGGCCTGTTGGAAAAAGCACTGCAGTGCTTTATCCCTGAGTTAAAGTTTAAACTAAGGATTTACGGATATTCGATAAAAGTTATAGCAGTGGTGCTCCTTTCGGATTCATTTTTCTGAAATATTTGTTACTTGAAAATTTTTTGCATCAGTACGATTACAATACTTGCTCGTTTGTTATTCTGCGACTGACGACTACTTGTCAGAGCTGTGTGCTGGGCTGACGTATCTGTAATTCGTATAGCGTTGAATGTACCATACTTGTTATATTTGTAATTGCCTGTTACCGCGGTTATGGGATAGTTTACTAGGCAGTCGTTATCAAAACTGAGTGCTCTGCAAAAAGAGCGTTCGCGATGACACTGCATCAATCAAAATTGAGTCGTATAACATGTGAAAGCAGTCTTTGATCTTTGTATAAAATTGCTGGTCTTAATGCAGGCGGAGCCGGTCATTCGCAGACAGACAGCGATTATTCGCAGATCGACTACTCGCTGTCGCCGCAGAAATACTGGCCACTTCCGGCATCTCCGAACAGCGTCAATCCCCCTCCGGAACTGCTGGCCATGGAGCCCTTCGAGGGATTCGATTTCATGTTCGGATTGGATTTGTCCGAGGAGGGCTTCGGCGAGATGCTGCAGCTGAACTTATAAGGTCGTCCTGCGGCATATGCTGAAGATTGCCTGTGTCAGCGACTGAGAGAACACACCGCAAGGTCTTGTGAATTCCGGTTATGCGTTCCGTGTAGAGGAAACTGTTGTGTGTCATTTCTCTCTTATTAGCATAATTCCAACAGCCAAGGCAGTTTTAAGATTTCATGTGAACTAATTTGAATGTTTTGAAATTCGCAGTTTGATTATATGAATGTTCATTGTAAGTATGTAATTGTCTTATGTTAGCGGGTTTCTTTTTTCTCATCCTCTTTGCATGGATGTACGTGGTTTGTTTGCAAATGTTTTGGAATTTTTTTATTGTCATTCTTTTTGCAGTGTAGCCGCTGTTTGCACGTCAGCAAGAATTGAATTGTCGATGCGTGTGCACATTTTGCGGTTCCGAGAACGAATATCGTACAGCGTTTTTCAACACAATTAATTCACATTTAACCGCCACTGCTACCTTCATCGCAGATGGGAATGGGGCGCCATTATCGCTGACCTGTTTCTTTGCCGAAATATGTTCCACCGCCAGCGTTTTCCATAATTTCGCACTAAAACTTCTTGCAATGCTCGTATACAGGAAGACGCGAAGAATTGGCATCGCAGTACCGAAACAAAAATTGAATAAGTAGCTGTATTTAAACGAGTACCGGAGATGCACAACTACCGCATAGTGCGCTACAAAACGAGCTGTCGTATTTATTGCAAAGTGAGCTCCCTTTATTGTTGCTCTGAGTCTGCTCCAGTGTTTGTCTGACAAACTGTCAGCTCGGAACAGGTCCCGACAATTAAAGTCCTGTTCACGGCACGTTCATTTTTACGGGACGGGAACGCTCGCTGTCGGGAGTGTTGGGAACGGGAAACCTTGCAGATGTCCGGAAAATGCCCTATCTCTTGTCGAAAAATAACGAATTTTAATAGAGAACAGCCAAATCCTTGAAAAAATTAAGCGATCCACGCGAAAACTACGGCGAATTTTTTTTAAATAATTTAAACTCTGTTTGTCTATTGATTAAGATTCTTAATCAATAGACAAACAGAATTTAAATTATTTAAGAACGATGCATTACGATAAGCCGTTTAGTGCAAAGGAAACTGCCCTGATATAAAAATAAATTATAATCCAAAATATTTTTTGAAATTTGTCGGGACGGGATCGGGGTTCTGTTGAATGTTGGGAACGTGAGCGGATCGGGAAAGATCGGTGTCGGTCGGGAGTCCCGTACGAGAAGGCCGTTTGCGCCCTTTGCCACGCCAACACTGCTCTACCAGCATTTGATAATGCTCTCCATTACGTTCAACTCTACAAATGTGGCTGTGGTTTAAAATCAAAATCATACAAATGCAGCGGTATTCATAGTTTATTATCATGAAATAAGTACTGTAAGTAAATTCTTTAAGTTCATCTCGATCGTACGACGTATGGCCAGTCGAGTCTGCGTCACTCACTAAAGTAGCTGCTACTTGCTAGTACCGTAGTACATATATCCCTTGTACAGTACGGTTATTAAAATTAATGCGGTGCAAGCGCAGCGTACATTAACGTACAGCTTACTTGGTTTAATAGTAGCAATAATTATTATATAGATAGTAGGTATGTAGAATTCTCTGCCCATCTCCGGACATCTTCGTGTTGAATGAACTTGCGCCTTGCATCCGATCCGCTACAGCTTTCTTCTGTTTTTCTATTACTCACATACGCACCTCGGTATTAATTTCAAGCTCCTAATGTTGAATTGTAAACTGTCATTGTCTAAGTAAGCTTCACTGAGTTATTAGCTAAATAGATCTTTTCGTAGTTGATTAATCGATAACCAGATTGGGAATGTCCATATCCACGGATCCTGCTAGCAACAAAATTTATCGAGACATCTGGATACTCCTGCAGGAACTGGGAGCTCCCGATCCGTTCGTTCAAGATTTTGAAAGAGATGGGCGGAATAAGATCGCTGAACTGGACTGCCGGATTACGCAGCTGTTGCGCAAATTCTATGGCACGCGTGCCGTGGAAGCAGGTGTCCAGGCGATAGTTGCGGAGAGCGCTAATGGCGATGGACTTTGCGCTCAGGCAGTGCCAACGCTTGGCGCAACAATCCAGACTGCTATGACTGGTCAGCCGAAGACAGCAACTAACGTCGGACACAATGACAGCGTTGCGACGGAAGTGAACCCGACCAGTTCGGGGAGCGATAACCGCCAAGGAAAACACAGCGATGGCGGCGCTGAACATCCCACGCGTGCGGTGTCCGATGCGGTGACGAATAACGTGGACGCCAACGTCCCGCCGACATTAGACCGTGTAGTACACTTTGTGGACGAAGAAATTCCGTTAACGGAGGCCATGGCGACACAGAAGAAGAAACAGCCAGCTGCGAAAATGAGGGTGATGTCGTCGCCATCTGTTCGGAGCAAGTCGGAAGTCAAAGCTGTGCGAAAGCCGGGGAAGACGCCGTTGCCGCCGCCAGTGGTGCGGCGGTGGCCTGGTTGGCTGACGGAGATGATGCCCAGGCCCTTCCCTTATTTTCCGCAGATAGGCGACGTGGTTTACTATTATCGGCAAGAACATGCCGTGTACATTATTAACTGGCTGATGGAGGGACTTCCGGCCACAGCGATCAAAGGCCAGATGCAGAATTTCAGAGTAAGTGAGAATCAAAGAATGTTAATTTTTTACTGCCCAGTGTCCACTCCGGCACATGGGTCTGTTTTCTTGGATTGTATTTTGGACTTTCTATTATTAATAATATTTGGGGAATTTTCAATGTTTTGCCTTTTTACATGTTTCAAGTTGCACAGTAATATGCACTGCATTTTGTTGAAATTGTATTGATATAATATCTATAAGAAGTAGTAATACCACGTACAACGCGCTGGGGAAAAATTTGCCGGCTTACAGTACCAGACTCCGGTAGTGTTTTGATTTTTCTAGGACAAGGAAGAGCTGAAAATCGTTGACATGAAGTTCGTTAATGTCAGTGTCCAGCACACTCCACAAGATGCGCCCATGATTTACCACGTAGCAGAAATAGAGATGAAACGCAAGGACAGCCAACTTAATGAGAAGACATTCACGATTAGGTACAATTTACCAAATGATGGGTGAAACCTAGATACAGATACCTTATTTACTATTTGACTTTTGAACGGTTCGAAATTTGCAAGCGCGAGGGTTAATTTTTGTCACTGCTTAGCTTTCATGAAGCGTCGGATACTAAAGATTTTCTGGTTTTGGAACATCATGTGTTGCGCAGCCGGAATGAAATGTGGGAGGAAGGATCGCGGGTGAAAAGTCTGTTTTTGGAAAACGGCGAACTGCGCTGGTATAAGGGCACCATCGATGCCGCGATTCCCGACGCTGCCGGCATGTACCATATGCTTAAAGTCAGGTACGGTCTATAGCAGCGCAGTGTGTGCTACAGTATACGAAAGGTCGAAGTTTTGCATAGTCATGGACTCATGATGAAAATATTCAGAACGAAATATGCACGCTTGGACGAATCCTTTCCAGATTCGATGGGTCGAAGGATGGACCAGGGTGTGTGGAACCGGCCAGCCCATGGGATCTTCGACTACTCTCTAGTAAGGCGTTAAACACTAGTTTTTTTTCAACAACAAGTGTTTTGGCCCATGAAATTTCCGTGAACGTACACGACACTTACAACGAGTAGCAAATATGTAGGATGCTTAACAATTTCACAGGCTCGAAGTAATCACAAAATTTTGTTCACTCTTTTCAACGTTTGCGGCCATGCGCTTTAAATACTGGACTTTTAAAACACAGTAGACAATTGTTTTCTATAAAATTGCTGCCTAATCTTGTTTTCCGATCAGGTTTTCATAAATGTAACATTTTCATGTAACGATTTTCTTCGTAAATGCAACATTCTTCTTTAGTTACTGTATATACCGGTTGCATGATGTGCAATAACGGTGATGGTTGATGGTTTTAAATTGTTGCACATGCCATCTGTAATTTTCAACAGTGTATTTTTTTACAATTTTTTAAAAAATTAAAATTTGTTTTAGCTTTCAGTTTTCAGCAACAGATTTGATTTCGGACTAAATCAAAGTGAATTCAATAGTGTACTATCCGAAGTTCCGAACAATGAATTTGGATTTTAGCGAAACTGTACCAAATATGTTCCATGCAATTTAAACCGTGACATGACAATCTTAATGCAGAAGAAGAAGAACTAGCGCAAGATGGTGCTGTCATCACTTCAGCTGAACTGCACAGCATGACCTACGAACCAACACCGGCCGATTGGAACTACCAAGACCCCGCTACCGAAACCAAGCGCATCTTGAAGCTGCTGAATGCCGTATCTAAGTTGCCAGAGGCGGCATGGTTTGTGGTCGCTGTCGATTTAAAACGTTATCCCGATTATGCTGTGGAAGTGGCATATCCTGTAGATCTCAGTACCATCCAGCGACGAGTGGCGAAACAATTCTACAGGTTATTTATGACCACAGACCAGGTTATTGTGGTGATATGATTAAAATTCTTTTGACTGTTGACAGACGAAAAGAGGCGTTGATATTCGACTTCAAGCAGATCGCCATCAACAGCGAGAAGTACAATGGGGATGCGCCCATTTCCATGCAGGCCCACGTTATAGCTGACATATGCACTGACTTCACAAAGTACGCTAATAGAAAACCTTCTTTGATTTGGTGTAAGTACTACGTTAAGATAAGCACTTAAACTACTTATTAACGCTATTCCTGCTCGCTTGATCATTTGCCGCTCGGAGGATGTCGGGGCAAGTACTCGAAAGCCGACGATGTCCAAACGGTCGCAACTGAACGGCGCCGTTGGTCATCGACTTCCGTTGAGACGAGCCGCGCCGAACACCCCATTATTGAATTTGAACCATAGCACAACTTCGATCGGAACAAGATATATAACACAACAGAATTTCTAAGTAAATCAGCAGGACTTCCGGGTGGGAGGGCGCGATTTTATAATTCGCAAGAACTCAAGTTTAGGCGTACTTCTCTAAATCGAACTGATCTTATACAGTAACATTCATCCGCGTACTTATTGTCGATTATTATAGATAAGTAAATAAACGACACTATCGCCCGGCGTTAACAGTATTTAACGTCGTAGACGTTAAATACCATTAATATTACATACATACTACATAGCTTTCGAGCATTAGAATTGCTTTGACCTTTCTCTTTCCTGATAAGAGCCAATGGTTAATATTACCAAGTCTCGTGGGGCGCTTGACAGCTTTCCACATTGTTTTCGTTAGGGAAGCGTTTTGATAAGTATTTAATTTTTTAATTAAATGTTTTATGTGATTTTTTTTATTTATTTTATTTATTCAAGCGATCCATCGGTCCACGCTTTGCAATCCACTTTCATTGAAAGCGTTAAGATAAAGTGGAGTACGGAATTCGAAGCCCGCAAGAAATCTGCATCACGAGTGCCTGCCAACGCGCGCACTGGCCGGCCCGAGGAATCGGGCATGGAACCCGCCAACGTTCCTCAGGTTATGCCAGATGAGCCCACCAAACAACCGTATGGTGCAAATCCAGGTCATGAACAACGGGAAACTGCCGGCATAATTAAACGCACAGTATCCGGGCGGATAGTGAAGGCACCAAAACTTTATGAGCCGGTGTAAGGCTAGTAACCAGTGACAGTCTGAAAATGTATCCGGACGGTTCGGGATGGATGAATTTTAATAGATAACGACGTTGCCAGTTGTCATAACGTGTGCAGATTTTTAATTATTTTTTCAGGGATATTATGTAATGAAAACTTCCTGTAAGTTGTGAAGAACATTAAGGACTTCGCTGTGAGCATTAAGCAATCAGTAGCAAGTTTGTTATCTACTTCCGAGTGCAATAAGAAGTTTTCGAACATCTTGTTACTTAATTAGAATATTTTACAGCAGTCGTGGTCGTTAAGTGTTCAAACTGATGGTTCCCGGCCAAGCATTTTTGTTTGGCATTGTTTAATTAAGGAATAAATTAGCAGTAGTCGTAGGCCTAGGGAACGCCTGTTTTCACCAAAAATCTCGAATGACGCAAACGATTCACACTACATTAATGACTTCATTCGGCAGTACAAATTCGCCTCTGTAAATTCACTCTACACGTACTACCTAAAAAAATGATGCAAATTTAGCATTAAGAAAACAAGATCTCGAATGACGCAAACGATTTTATATGTTTTCTTAAATGTTCACATCTGCATCATTTTTAGGTAGTGTAGTGTGAATTTACAGAGCCGAATTTGTACTGCCGAATGAAGTTTGCTTTGCGGAATGATATAGAAGTACGGTAATTGGCTAAATTCTAACAAAACACACTTTCACGTCGGGAAACCGGAAGCGTCTGTAAGAGTTAGTACGCATACACTGTAGGCGTACTGACTCGTACAGACGCTTCCGGTTTCCCGATGTATGATTCTGCTCTCTCAACTTCCTCAAGCATCCCGACAACAAAGGTCAAAACTATATTTAGATTGGGTGTATCGATAACGCCCAGCGCCACTGTCATCTCGCCATGCATCACTCGTGACTAGCCAGTAGCCACTGCTGCGCTTGCACGTTCGAGCAAGCCGGATGTGCTGGATATTGTTCACAAGCACAAATGCCAGAAATCCATTTTAGCGAATAAACTAACGTAAGTACTGCCGCGGTACTTGGGATCGATGATTTACTTGCTTTTCTATTTACCCCACTACACAGTACTGTCTTAAAGCTCGCCTTTCCTTTTTTTTGGTTAACCGCAGTCCACACACACAACGGATTTCTTTCTGAATTTGTTTGTTTAAATACAAATCGTAATTATGCGGTTTCTTTGGACTCTGCAGAAAGGGCGCAAGCTGTGATGCGATAACGATATTCGCACAAACTGCACTTGTGCGGCTGTGCCGATCCGATAGCGTCCGACGTCGCTGCTATGTACGCACTACGCACTGCACAATAAGCAGAGTGCGGGTTTGTTTTGCGTATCCTGGAGATTCGATAGTTGATTGTCTAGTCTAGCGCAAAAAAAACCTGTCTAGCGTTTACCGTTATCACTCAGTTGTGGAATGTTTTCAGAACATTGTTCTGTTATCATCTGAGTAAGCCGTTCTGCAGTGGATTCCAAAGAAGGATTGCAAATGTCATTAATCATGGATCCCGCTGCAAAAAACAAAATATATCGCGATGTTTGGATTCTCCTGCAGCGACTGGGCGCTCCCGATGATTTCATCCAGGATTTCGAGAAAGATGGCCGCGACAGGGTCGCGGAGCTCGATTGCAATGTGCTGCAGCTGCTGCGGAAATTCTATGGCTCGCGCGTGGTGACAGCAGAATCACAGACGGAACCTGCGTGGAGTTCACAGTTCGGGTTAGACGGCGATCGCATGGTGGAAGACCCGCACACAATGGCTGAATCAGCTGTTGCCGCCGCAGCCATTGTGCCTGATACGAGCGTCGATGCTGCGATACAGGTTGTTGCGCCCGTCTTGAATTCAGCGCACTCATCTCTCCCGTTGGAGAAACGATTGGATGCGGATTCCGAAAGGCGTGTGGTCGAGGTTTGTGTTTGCTGCAGGTTTCTCTGATTTATAGTTATAGTTTATATTAGTAGAATAGTAGTTACAAGTTTTATTATGTCCTGTTGGTTTCTACATGCATTTAAGCATTTCCCTACTTCTGATTTGTACTCTTTTTGATGTGCACCCGCCTTCGAAAATCGTATACAGTTTAAATTTGTTTCGCCGGTTATACGATTTTATTAGCTGATGATTATGAATGTGTTGTACCGTTTTGATATCGGTTTATCATCATGTACGTAATTATCGTAGTGAAATTATGCGGTTGTTGAATGTTGTTTGTTCAGGTTTTGCAGCATACATTCGAATTGTGTTGCTGCATTGTTTTGGTTTTGCATAATGGTAGCTAAGGCTAAGTAGATGATGTTTTTTATTTAGACTTCTTATGTTATGATTGTCTCTTCGTTTGTGTGCATGTATGATTTAGCAAGTTGATTGCCGATGCAGACTTTAATACCATCACGTTGTCTTGTTATCGTTGTTATGTTTCAAAGATGCAACAGATTTGTTTGGGTTGGTTTTGCGAAACCCTTAACCGTAAATACTTGTTTTCCTTCAACCTCTTCGGAGTATTAATTGTCGCTTATATTTTTTTCAGAATGTTCAGCAGCAGCAGGGCGCCCCTGCAATAGATCCAGTACCAGCAGCACCGATGACTTCACATTCGCCGGAGCCGCGCTCCGTTATTGATGAAGCATTTGACAGCTGGCGCGAAAACACGATTCGTAAACGAAAACTTCACGACGATTCCGGTAGTGAAGATGAGGACACTGAGACCGAAGGTACAGCATTTGCCGTTGGACTGTCGACGGCTGACATGAAGGACAGCTCGGTAAGAAGAAACAGCATTGATTCCAGCCATCGACTGACTTACAGGGCGGATTAAATTGTCCGCTGCCGATGGATTTGTATTTGAAAATATAACTGTTAGTTCCATTTTAGGGTGACGATGCCCTGACTAACGCTGCGGACGATCCATCGGATAATTCCAACGGAAGTTTCCGGAAGAAATACTATAAAAGAACTCGCATTTCCATTACAACAGGCAAGCGTTATCGGCACAGAGGGAAAAATCCACCCTCGGATCAGACTGCTTGTAAACGCAAGATGATTAAAAAGTCCAAAAGCGGGAAACCCCTGAAGGTACCGAAAAGCACTTATTATAAGCCACCAAAGAAATCTCAGCCGAGAACCAGTGGCATGTGGCCTGGGAAGAGAACAGACAGCGGCGAGATAAAGATTGTTTCCGCTAACTGCTGGATGGATAGGGTGAAAAGGGAGGACAGCATGGAGTCGGGCTTTATCGGGCCGAAATGTGGACATAAATCGAAAAGCATCAAATTTGACCTGAACAATTTTGTCCTGTCGACCCCTGCAGGCAGTGAACTGCTCTTTTCGCCCAAAAAGCGCAGACACCTGACCTATGCGTATCCCAAATGGCTCACCGGTTTTTATCCGGGACCGTCTCCCTTCTTTCCGCAGATCGGTGATGTGGTGTATTATTTTCGAGAAAGATACGAGGCATTTATAAAGGAGATGAGGCGCGTCGCCCATCGTAATGGAACGAAATGTAACCTGGAATTTTCTGACCCAAATTTAGGAGTAAGTATGTTTCACGAAAATTATTAAACCCAGTTCCACTTTCGTACGCGGTCTAGTGCAGCTTATATAAGACTGTATGAACTTGTTGTTCATGAGTTTATAGGTAACAGCTTTAGCAGTCACTTTCCTTCTGAATAGCGTGTTGTTTCACATGTTTGAGTTGAGGATTGCCAGCTGTTTTGTTTTTAGAAGTATGAATTTTTCAAAATACTTTCTAATTTTAGGACATGGAGCTGTTTAAAGTAATGGATATACAGTTTATCACAGAACCGCCGGATTACGCTCCATATGCTATGTTAGATTTGGAGCGGTTGTCCTGCGATGAGGACAATTGTGCAACCGGCCAGCGTTTTTTCATGCGGTAACGCTTCGTATTACATTGTTTTCACTCATTGGAACGTTGGTATGGTTTCTGTAGGTATCAAGATATGAAGGATGTGGCCGATATCTTCGTGATGCAGGATGTTGTCAGACGCCGCAAGACGGAATTCCAAGCCGGTCAGCGGGTGCGTGCCATTTTCGAGGAGAGGGGAGCACTGCGCTGGTCCAATGGCACGGTAATGAAAGTGGATGACGATGAAAAGAAAATGATGTCTATGGGTCGGCTGGATTCTATTCATGTGTTGTAAGTTTTTTCACGGTTCTCTGCTGTGGTGCCCTAAACTGTCTTAGTTTAGTTTTTTACATTTCAGGAGCAGATAAACCTTGAGACACTAGATAGTCAGATGTTTCCCTTTGGTTCATATTCAGCTGAATAGTTCGTTTGTGTTTTCTACATAGTACATACCTATGACGAGTAATTCTAATCAGCTCCGTATAATTCCAGTAATTTATTCGAATAATTTATTTGCTTCTGGATAAATAATCCTGATAGTACTAATGTTAATTAAGGCTGGATTCGCGAAGAGAAAAAGATCCACAGTGGGATCCTCTCAGTCCCTGGGATTTGCAGTTGATTCCTAAAGGTAATCAAAGCTTGTTCACTTTGATTTTGAAATCGGTATATAGAAAATGTAGCGTATTTGCATTTACTGGTAAATCATTCTCTGCGAAATGTTTGATAACATGTAGAAGAGAAGGACATCGAAAGGAACTCTACCGAGTACGAAGAAGGTCGAGTAGTTACGCGGTCAGAACTGCGCAGTTTGGCCTACGCTCCCAGACCGGACGACTGGGGCGGCAGACCGCCGTATGAGGTGGAGAAAACCATTCGGAAGAAACTAAAGAAAGTGCTGTACAGAAATGAGGTGGAACGCTTCCGCCGTCCGGTTGATCTAGCGAAGTATCCACAGTATTATAAGGAGATCGCCTATCCAATGGATTTGACTACCGTGATTCGCCGACTAAAATACCGCTTCTATCGGTGAGTTTTGTCGTATAATTTGTTAATCTCTGCTTAATAAATTCCTAACCGTAGCTTATTTTTATTATTGCTTTCTAAATGATTTAAAATCACTGTAAGTTACTTATTAAATCCAGGCCTAATCGACCCTTTCAAAGTGCAGTAAGATTTGTTGCACTTATCATTTCAAAAAGCGCATAAATGGCTTCGCGCTGTACAGTATTTTAATGGTAAACTTCTTGATAAGATGCTTGCAAAAAATCGTAGTGGGTATACTTTGTTTTACTGCAGCCGGAAAGCAGCGCTGTTGTTTGATATCCGGCAGTTGGTGGCTAACTGCAGAGCTCACTGTGGTTATTCCAAGGAGGACGTGGAAAATGCCAAGCTTCTGGCAGCAGTGTGCGAGGATATTGTGGAGTAAGAATAGCTGTTCAGTTAGCTGGATTATCCGCATTCACTGCTTTCTATCGAAAATAGAATCAATCAGTATATTTATCGCACTGGATAGTTTGCTACGAATTTTTTATACTAAATGCACTCCAACAATTTTTTTCTGCTGTATATATATGCGCTGCGGCAACTCAATACTGCTTATAATTTCCTTACCATTATGCTCTGTTTCAGTAGTATTTCTAGCTCTTGATCTAAAATGACTTGATTGATGTTGAATCGGTTTTCTTTTACGAAACGCTTCTTTAGGAAGTGCTACATGTAGTTGTGGGCATGTCTCTGGGCTAGTGCTGCTGCAGTGATTTTGTAATTATAATCGTTGTATCATACTGTTTTGCACTGCAGTTAATGATTACTCAACATATTCCAGTTATAGGTTTCCGTTTGTCTTTGCAGGAATCCTGAAAAAACAGCCACTGTTGACGAGATCTGGGAAGCAAAACGAAATTAACTTGTGAATTTGTCTGATGGTTATATGGGTTACTTACATAAATGGATCTGGATTGGGATTTTCTTTAGTATTATTATCTGGATTATCTGGATCGGGATTTTCATCTGGATTGGGATTTTCTTTAGTTGACTATAACAACAGTATTTTGGTTGTTTTTAAGCGCTTTGCTTTAACGACAGCCTTTATTTACCGGTAAACTGGTTCGTTTTTAAGAACTGGTTTTTGTTAACGCAGTTTGGACGTCCAGTTAAAATCTCCATGCATCCAAATCAAAGTTGATGTCTACCAAAGCCTTAATTTTGTACAGATCTGTTGTATTTTCGAGTGGCTATTGAAATAATTTTTGAAGATGCACGGAATTGCTATTATTAAAGTCAGTGTTTGTGTAAATGTGTAGTACACGGTACTCACTTGTCAGTATTGTCAAAGACTGTGAGATGGGGAAAATGTGCAGAAATCCGGACACATCCAAATCAATAAAGCATATCATTTCCTGGCATGTTTATACAAAAGGAAGTAAAAGGATTATGATTTCATTATTTTATCTTCTAAATTTAATAAAGAATTCGTTCAATTACCCATATCTGTATTTATTTTACATACGAAGTGGACTGGATACTAGTGGATAGACGGTAATTTACAATTTCACAGTAACGGCTACGTAAGCACTCGTTTTACGGTGAGATCATGCATTGATATGCGATAGCGGCCAGCAAGTATACTCGTAATACACTGTGGTCGAAAAAATATATGTACCCAAATTGTTTTTCTTATGCGGGGATCAGCGAGATTATGATTTATAAGTAGTATCAAAAAAAGATTTCGTGCAAGGAATATCGAATTTACAACCAGTTAAGGAGACCTAACGCAATTTTACTAAACAATGTTTTCGAAATAATTAGAAGAACGCTAAACAACGTTACATCCTAAATATCCATCCGTCAAATCCTAGATTCAGTTGACTACGCATTCATTAAATTCTCAATACAGCCTTTTTCTTGCCACTCCATTTTTCATTATTCTGACGGTTACAAGCAAATGTGGAGTTTCACAAATACAATCCCTCCGGAGTCTTTTCCTGCTTCCGATACAGAACGGTTTCTTTCGCTTTCAGGAAGTCATCATTGGTGACTTTCATCCGTCGCTCCCGAAGAGCCATTAGGCCAGCTTCCGTGCAGATGGCCTGCAATAAGCACAAGCTTATTTATAGTCATAAAAATCATAATTATTTGATAAAATAAAGGTAACAAATTGCTTTTCCCGGTTGATCGTTTTCAAATCAAGATCAATCAATCAAACATAAATCATTCAATCGATTAATTTCAAACTAATCAAGACTAGCGTCCCCATATGCAATGTCTCTACAACTGGACGCATGATGTGACTGTACCTTGATATCGGCGCCTGACAAATCGTCCTTCGCCATGACGTAATCATCCAGATTAACGTCATCCGCCAAGGTCATGCGTCCGGTGTGGATGTTGAAGATGCGCCGCTTGGTCTTTTCGTCCGGGAGCGGAAATTCTATCTTCCTGTCAATGCGCCCGGGTCGGATAAGCGCCGGATCCAGTGTTTCAATACGATTGGTGGCCATTATAACCTGACACAGAACGCACTCAATATTTCTAAAATTTTCACTCCAAAATTACTTAAATAACGAATTAAAAATACGCAGCCATCACTTGGGCCATAAGTTTTATTAATTGAAAGACGTACTTTCACGTCAGCCATCGTGTCGAAACCGTCCAACTGATTTAGTAGCTGCAAAATGAATTGAATGCATCAGAACAGAAGGAGAAAGCAAACTTTCCAAACTGCAGTTACCTCTAACATGGTTCGCTGAATTTCTCTTTCTCCACCCGAATTTGAATCATATCGCTTAGTTCCCACAGCATCAATTTCGTCGATGAAAACGATCGAAGGCGCGTGCTCCTGAGCGACACGGAAAAGCTCCCGAACCAATTTCGGCCCATCTCCCTATTATAGTATGAACGTTAATCACACCACCGTTGAAGTGCATACCAACTTAAAACAAGTTATGATTTTTTTCTGACGCTACTTAATCAAGCTTTATAGTCTCGCAAAATCGTAACTAAACTTCCAATAAATCTACAATTAAAGAAACTGTGAACTGGAAAGCTCAAAGTATTGTAAGTACCCAACACCACCCAATTAATTTATTTAAGCACAAGAAATCAATTTGTTTTCGGAAAAATTGTTCAAATTTCGACCCCATCACTTGTCAGTGATATCAGAAGCTACCAGAAACAAATGAATACCAGTAAATCCAAAACCGCAGTTATTTTTTTGATATTTACCAGGTATTTCTGGATGAGCTCAGATCCGACCACACGCAAAAACGTAGCTGATGTCTGGTTGGCCACCGCTTTCGCAAGGAGCGTTTTACCTGTAAAACCATCACACCGCGATTGTCGCTGTGTAGTAAGTAATTATTCCCTTACGAAATTCTTGAAAACATAAGAGAGCCGACATACAACATACATACTCTTGGTATACACTACTATACAGTACTGTCAGTACATACATACACCGGGATGCAGTACGTATGTATGTCAATTTTTTGTTCTCATTAGGCTTCCATTCCGTTGTGTGAAATCATTTAAAACACATACCTGTGCCAGGGGGACCATACAAGATCACTCCTTTTGGAGGTTTAATTCCCATCTCTTCGTAATATTCGGGATGCGTCATCGGCAGTTCGACGGCTTCTTTAATTTCCTGAATCTGCACATCCAGGCCGCCGATATCGGCATACGTTTCAACCGGAGCTTTCTCCAATTTCATCACACTGAACAGAAAAATAACTTCCGTACAACCCTAAAACTTACTGCTTACAGCACTTTTATGATAAAAAAGGATAAAAAATCACAATCATCTTTAAGGCACACAGACAGTGTCAGTGTCAGAACTGCGCGATTCACAATTGTTCACTAAGTTATGAATTTACGATGGTATATGATTATATCATTTAAATTCCATGCTTACACCATCGTAGTATTTAACACAATTTTAACATCAGTTGGTTTCGAAAACACATTAGAAAACTGCACTTCTATAGTTTTATTGCAAAGACATAACTATTATAAGCGCGTAACAAAAAAAGTAGAATGCCGAAATGCACTGAACGCGATCTTTAAATAAGAATATAATTTTCAGATCATTTCCGTCAGGAAATGACGGAAAAAAGAAAAAGTACTTACCTAACCATGGGATCGGTATCGTCGTTCAGCACTCCGACGACAGCATGAACCTTATGGTTCAGCAGCACTGTACATCCGGGCTCCAGCTGATCTTTATCCACAAAGGACAGTACACTGACGTAGTGTTCGCTGCCCACTGATGTCGACACTATTGCGTGATTATCGTCGATGATCTCTTCCAAATTGCCCACATTCAACGGCGTCCCCCGCAGCTCGTCCACCTTGGTGCGCTCCTCGTCTTCCTTCTCGTCTTGGGGTTTCAGTCGTTCCTGATTGCGCAAAAACTCTTCTTCCAACAGAAGAAAATCCTTAATGCGTTCCATTTTCAACAGACGCAAGCGACAGCGCTGGTACGGAGTGACGGTGGGCAGTTTGGATGCAGCATCGGGTCCCTTGGTCTTCTTCCGCTTCTTCCCCACACGTGTGGGCACCGGAGGCTCATATTTGCGCTTCTGCTTGTCTTCTTTCCCGTCGCCTTTCCGTCGACCACCAGACTGATTTTGGCCCATTATTCAACAACTTAATTTCACACTGTCATACAATACAGGACCCAAAGACAGTCGATAAAAATTTGCGCATGAAAATACATCGACAAAAATCAAACTGCACTGCAAAAATAAACACGTCTTTAAAAGTAAGACTGATCGTGCAATACTACGAATTTCTATGTTACGCTGAGTTTATCGCTGCAGGTCTTCTATGCAGTAGATTTGGATGCGCAAATTTGTTGGGTTCGCTAATAATATTGCTTACTAATGCTGCGCAGTGCGCACTGCAGTCTGTTACGGGTTCACTTCGTTCCAAATTACATGATGGCGTTCATGTGAACGCCCGCTGGGGAGAATGCCCTGCTGTTGGGCAAGATTAATTATTTAGCGGTGACCTGATGGTTTTGGACTTTTGGTCAAGCAGCAGTGTGGCGAAACTTTCGCCGCGAAAGTTTCCAGAAGCCACCCCGAGCCCCGACCACTTCCTCGTCAGCTAACTGAGCGAATTGTAAGATTCACCAGGAGAAATTTTATTATGTCGCACAGCAACTTTAAGTCCTCAAGCAGCCAGCTGAATTCTTTACCGTGAATGATTTTCAGTTCGTACGGAATATTTATTAGCAGTTTAATTGGCAGAATATGCGCGACCTCTAACCGCGTTCTCTCCAAAAATATGAGTTATTTCTATCCAAGTAATGTGCGTCGGCAAGTCAGTCGGCTCAATGTAACCGTAATTCGGCCAACAATACAAGCGGAAACATCCCCGTCGATGGCCTCCGATTTGGCGGATGCTTTGACTTTGTTGACTGGTATTCTACGTGTACGGTTGTTTCAAAATTTGAAACTATTTTCGCATACATTCTATGCTGATCATTTTAATCATACTTTTCGCGCAAGAGGTTTTTCAGTTACGCAGGTTTTCAGTTTCCCGAATGTAACAGAGGGTCCTAAAGGTCATTAACGTATACTCGAAGTATACCTAATTACTTAAGCTTGCAAAGCAAAGATTTGTTGCACTCCGTGCCAGTCCATGCCTCCATGGCTCCAGAAATATGACTTCCGCCATGCAACCCACGCATTGAGGCAGTTACGTTGGCCGCCTGTCAACACGCTTGGGCGTACGGCTTTGCACGCTCATCGTGCAAAAATTTAAAGCTGAAGTTGCTCACGTGCTTTGAGTGTTCCTGTCATTTCCAAGTTCCCGTTTTCCCCAGTTGTGAACGAGGAGTATTTTCATTAAGTTACAATATTATCGGAAATGGCCAGTTTATCTAAAGCTCTACCCGAGGAATTAGAGCAGGTCGGAGGTACGGTCCTTGATGACTTAGGACGAAAGGATTTCTCGTGCCTGAACGATGTGTTGTACGCACATTGCACTTGTGACTTGTCACTTGTGCTAACGAAGAAGCCTTCGTGATTCCTGCCTTCTCTGAACATTTTGCCTTTTTCTTGGTGCTTCGCTGACGATAACAAGTGCTTTGTGTTGCAGGCGTCGTGGTGGCCAATTCGGCGCTGGCCACCCGTGCCGCCGAGGTGCGCGCCAATCGGATCAACTGGCAGTCGTACCTGCAGAGTCAGATGATCACACAGGAGCAGTTCAACGTCATCATGATGCTGGACACGGCGCCCCCTCCCAAACGCGATCAGTTTATGAAGGAGCACCGGTTTGAATGTGCACGGACCTTTCTGGAGATGATCGCCAACGTGGCCAAGGATCAAACGGTGCAGTATCTGCTCACTATGATCGACGATATTCTCCAGGTAAAGTTACTCTAATATGCTGGCGAATGACGAAGAAGCCTGTTTGTGACAGTCTGTGGTTAATTCAAGTTAGCAGTTGTTATGAGGGACATAGTATTAATGTGTGATATGGGTTATCCCCTTTGGCAACGACGGAAGCTGAGAATGCGTGAAGATTTGAGAAAGTTGTCGACTTGCCCTCAGGACAAATCAGTTTGTCATTTTCGAGTGTTGCTTACATCATACAGGGCATTTAATTAAATGATTAATTATGCGGCCTTTAGTTTTATATATGGCCGTAAATATAATGACATTAATTTGAAGTTTTGACCAGTGTAACGTGCTGGCGAACTCAGCTAGTCAATTATGAAGCGTTGCTACAAAATCTTTCAAGTATTTTTGCTTGTATATATTTTTGCTTGTAGGAGTGTAGCTTACTGCTTAAGATAATCCGTTGTTACCATTTTCGCACCAACAAATAGGTTTTTTTTAATACATGGAAGCCATTCTAAACAAGGGCATTCTGAATAAGTATACGAGTAATGGAATGTTATGGATTATGATTTCTAGGTAGTAGGGAAAGGGAAATATTTGTACAGTAATTTATTTTCATTCTTTTAATGGCTGTTATGTATGTTGCAGGAAGACCGAACTCGTGTCGAGATTTTCCACGAGTACGCAGCAGCGGAGAAAACCACGGTCTGGAGACTTTTCCTTCCGCTTTTGAATCGACAGGACCAGTTCATTGTCACACAAGCCAGCCGCATCATCGCCAAACTGGCTTGCTGGAGCCGCATCCTGATGGACGGAACAGATTTACATTTTTATTTGGCATTTCTCAAGGAACAGCTGCGTATGCAGGTACATATGGACTTTTTGTTGCTTTTTTATCAGATCGCTTGTTAATAGCCTTTTTGTAGAATAATGAGTACAAGCAAGCCACAGCAAGATGTCTGCAGATGTTGCTACGAGTTGATGAATATCGTCAGGCATACGCCACGGTGGACGGAATAACAACGTATGTCTCTTTAGTGGATTGGTTTGGATGGCTGTTTGGGATGCTTTAATCGGGTGAAAAATCTTGTAGAATTCTGAATGCACTGTCGACCAGCAGCAATTTCCAGATCCAGTATCAGCTGATATTTTGTCTTTGGTGCATGTCGTTCAATGCGGATCTTGCGGAACAGATGAACAAGTGAGTGGAACAACTGGAATCTGTGGTTAGACGGCGGGCGTTAATTAAGAAAAGCGCGGAAAGAGGAATTTATTTAGGTTTTTTGCATAAAGAGTTATTGAATTGTGGTGTTTTTTTTTCACAGATACAACGTGATTCCAAATTTGGCATTGATACTAGCCGATTCCCAGAAGGAAAAAGTGCTGCGAATAATTCTGGCGACGCTACGAGTACGGATATTGTTTGCGAGCTTTCAACAAAAAAAGCTTTTGAAGTAAATAAATTTATGGTACATGTAGAACTTGCTGGAGAAGCCAGAAGATACCCAGACTGTGCAGGAGAATGCTGTTGCAATGGTTCACGGGAAGGTGCTAAAGACGTTGAGTCTTCTGCAGTCTCGGAAATTTGATGATCAGGATATCATTGACGATATCACTTACCTCGAAGAGAAACTGCAGGCTAGCGTTCAGGATTTGAGGTAGCGTGTCTTTGGGGATTCTAATTACCAATTTTTATTGCAGCGTGTTTTTGTTACATTTCAAAATATTGAAGTGCTTGTTTTTAGTTCGTTCGACGAGTACGTGTCTGAGCTGAAATCGGGCCGCTTGGAATGGAGTCCGGTACATAAAAGTGAACGTTTCTGGCGTGAGAATGCGCAAAATTTTAACGAAAGGAATTACGAATTGCTTAAGTAAGTGTTTCTGACTTCCGCAAAACGCTTCTGATGCTTTCTTATGAGTTTGCATGTTGTTTTGTAGGATTTTGACTCGTCTCTTGGAAGTTTCTAAAGATCCGTTGATTTTGAGTGTTGCCGTGCACGATATTGGCGAATATGTACGGTGCTATCCCAGAGGAAAGCAGTAAGTAAAAAGAGCGCTCTATCTGACCTTTGGTTGAGTTTTTCATGGAGTGTTATACTGTCTCTCTGTTTCTTTCATCTCCTTTTTACTTTAAATATTTTCCGTTTGAGAAAATCGTTGACTGTTATTTTTTCTAGAATTATCGAACAAATCGGGGGTAAACAGTTGGCCATGACGCTACTTACACATGAAGACTCCAATGTCCGATACCAGGCTTTATTGGCTGTTCAGAAGATGATGGTGCAGAATTGGTACGTAATTGTATCCGTTGATTTCTTTAATCCAGTGAACACATACATCTGCACATAATTATAGCAGTCTTTTTGTGTTCCTTTTTACGGTACAGGGAGTACCTCGGAAAACAGCTGGAACAAGACACGGCAGCAGCCGGTAGCGCTGCGGTCAAGGGGAAACCCGCCGTTCCAACAAAAGGTTAAAAAGACTGTTGTGCGTTCTGGTGTCGTGTTGGCCTACTCATATTCAGAATTCCGAGTGATTCCACCTAGTTTAGCGTGCTTGTCTGTGTGTCTCCCGAATCTGATGATCTACGTAAAATATCGTGCAGCTCTTGATGTGCTTTTATCTTGTCTGTATCGCTGGGGGAGTGTTTAGTTCACTGTTTACAGAGTCAGAGACGAGACACTGTCGTTTATTTAAGTTTTAGATGCTATCATGGTTATAATACTTTGACATTCCGCGCTGAGATAATTTAACGTTCCGAATTACCTGTTTTAATCTGCATCTACAACTGTGATTTGTGAATTTTATTGTGCGTGCAGTGATGAATTTGCCGAATTAAAAATAAACAACAGTGAACGCAGTGCGTACATTTACGGATTTAGTTTGTTTTCATACAGATCTCTGCTGTTTTCGGTACGGTAAAAAAGCGAATCGGGCAGGTGTTTCACACTTTATTCAAATTATTCGCCGCGAGTATCCACAACTCCAGGCATCGTTCTTATGATATCAGAATCTCCTGGGTCGGTGATGCTCATCGTGGCCACTCGAAAATATTTGCCGCAAGCGGTGCCCAATTCGATATTATTTCCGGTGTAATGATGGACTCCTGTTTTTGCTAACATGGCATAATATTCGATCTCCGACTTCCTGTTAACGAAAACGCAAATAAGGCTCAACTCTGGGCAGAATGACGGACAACGGACAAACTGCACAAGTATGTATCATCAGTAGGTACTGTCCTGACTTAATTTTTCATTTAAATTTCCTAAAAAGTTGTACTATGTGATAATGTGCACAATAAATAGTGACATTATCCTGTATAATAATTATGTCCAATAAAATAAACCTTCATCACATTCTAGAAGTCCCAATCGATTTAATACAAAATTAATAGTACTTACGGTAATTGTCTGTAACCTGGTAAAGTACTTATAGAAATTAAAAAAGCTACCGGTCACTCAAGGTACAATTAACAAAATTCAAAAAACCAAAATAAAAACAAACACCCAAGAGAAAGTTTCGTATTTACTAACCTAAGCGCGGGTGTGTTGTTGGCGATAATTATAAGCTTGGCTTTGCCCTGTCGGAGTGTTTTAAGGGTCTGCTTGTATCCCAGCACGAACTTTCCGGATTTCATCACCAAAGCTAATCGGGCATTAATGTTTTCTGCGGATTTTTTCTGCAAAACCACATTCTTAAATTTCCACATCTATACTATTTTAATTCTTGTGTACTAATGTGACCGAGCAAATAGATCAATATTAGAAGTTAATATATTACGCGGGGAAATTCGTGAAACGATTGGAAACCTTACCGATTTCTTGGACACCGCGGCGGCCTGTTGGGTTCCTCCTGCCGGAGCCGACATTCTCAGTGGAGACACGAGATTATACTGCAATCGGGTAATGAAATTGTCCAATCTAAAAGCATAAAAATGTAAAATACTGCATCCAATATCACATGAGCCTCCACGTACCTTTCGGTAGCTTCTCGGGCTCCCCACTTTTCTGCAGTCTGACTGATTATTGAAAATGAAAAATGTTTCGCCGCGGTGGCTACGATTTCCGATTTCCGGCCGAGCGATACGTCAGACGACCGAGGGCGGTACCCGCGTAATTCTGCGTGTCTATTGGTTATTGTGTAACATTCAATTTTGATTGGCCATTGCATTGCATTGGTCGAATTGGGTACAGCCGCCTAACGTCGTAATGTGGTGAGCAGCGTTTGCCGTACACAGCCAGCCTGATTGAAAACGAACCAAACTTTGAGAAATATCGTCGATCGCTTATGCTGATGATCTGATACTTTTGCTGGGCCTGAAATAACCGTAGTTTTCTGGTCGATATTGCCCATTCTTCCATTATGTCCACTCCGGAAATGATACTGTTTTGATTTAACTTGTAATGTTTTTTTAAACTTATTCCCATTTTGATTGTGTTCGGCCTGAACCATGGCATCAACATCGCACGAGGAAATCGCGAGTTCCTCTGAAGGAGGTAAGAATAGAACAGCTTACCATTTTGTTGATGTTTGTTTGTTATAAAAAACTGCAAAGTCCACTTTTGCCGCTATGTAACATTTAAATAACCGCTTTATGATGTAGAAATCCAGTTTCTTATCGCCAAATACCTTCAGAATGGCCCGTATAAGGATGTTGGTGATGTGAGTACAACCGATCAGAGACTTTTAGCTGGGACATGTTTCAGGGATGAAAAAACGTTTCTGTTTATAGCTACTGGTCAAGAAACTGGAGGATGGAAAGGTAACTTTGCGACTGATGTTAACGTTGTTGTTGTCGAGTGTGGATGCAGTGCAGCACTGTGCTACAGGGCCCTGACGATCAGTGTGTGTATCGATCGTGTTGGGGCATGTGATAAGCTGCTGCATGGCCCGTTGGCGCTGCACTGAGTTCCTCCGTTCGTCCCTTGGAAAACTGACCTTGTGGTCATCTGATTATCATTTTTTTACGGTTTTAGAGTTTACCCAAACGCGTTGACTGGCAAGGACAGGAGCATGATGTCGATTTTGACGAACTGGTATGCACTTGTCTAATCCATCAGAACAATTTTGTTCTGCATGGAACATTTACTAAAAATGATTGGTTTTTGGTTTTTTCGAAAAAAACTTCGAATTTTTGGTATCTCACTTCCTGTCAAGGCGTTGCCTGGCTAGCTCTCGTTAGACCATGTTATACGGTATTGTGCGGCGTCAGCTTTAAGTTCACTATCCGCCGTGCGTCATGCGATGTGCTTCGGTACGCACTACGCTTTGCGTAGCGTCTGCGTAGTGCGTGGGTACTTAACGTACCATCCTGTACTGCTGCCGTCACCCGGCTGGGAGTGACGTTGTGACTGAACAAGGCACCTTTTTATACCGATCGCGATCCCCATCGGAGCTTCGATTCTTTATTTCAATAAATTTATCGATACTACCTTTATATGTCATTCAGGACTAGTTTTCTTCACATGGCAAAAGTCGATCTAGCTGAAACAAGAAGACGAGTCCTTGCTGAAAGCAAAACGGCTTACACGTTAACTAAAATATACAAAAATTAACGAAATGCAGTAGTTTGTTTTCAAAATAGCTACTCGTACAATAAGTATAGCACATCCACAATTTTAGAAGCTTGGTCCCTTAAAATGCTTAAACAGTATTACATAAATTTTATTTCTTATTGTAGTATATTGGATAGCCTGGATGCTTTATCGATCGACATTGGTCAATCTAATAATTTTATCAATAGTTCGCACTTAGCAGTTATTACAGTAGTTAGGTACTCGTAATTCAGGTATTATAGTGTAAATGAGTGTAGTCTACGATTTTACTCTACTCATCGATTTTGTTACTTACTGCATTTTTTGCTTTCAAAACATATTCAGAATGAAACATATTCCCATGTGCCACCGGACTATCTGGTCAAGGTCGCTGAGAATTTCGGATCCAATCTGGATGAAGGCAGTCGACAAAACAACGTCGAAGGTGTTTCCTCCTTGCTGCATAGCGCTGGGTGTGGTCGGCTGGACCCCTTGCGCCGGGCGGAAGGTAAACATTTTTCGTTTCTTTAAAAATGTGAAATTTATCCGGTTTTATACTTACTCAAAGTGCTGTTAATCGTATTCCGCTTATTTCTTTTTTAAAGTAAATCATATTCCGCTAAGTCACTTTCTTCTAGACTCGAGGAAAGCTCGTTGGGGCACGAAACAGTTGTTATATTCGCGAAATCCTTGGACTCCTCGCACTCTACCGCTCATCGTTGCTAAAAACTCTAGAGGCAAAGCTGAATCGGACGAAGGCAAGGGCGATGCAATAATTCCTTCCCTCCCTGGATGGCGTAAGTGGCATGCGGTGCACCGTTGTTTTGTTCGACTGCGATTTTTGCGCAGCTGACTATTTCTTTGTAAATTCTCACAGCCCAGCTTGCCATTGCCGGACAGATCAGTGGGCTGGTTAATCCCGATACAACATTTTCCAAAGTATTTTACAGCAAGTTTGAATTGCACAAACGAATCCTGGGACATTTGGCTGCGGTCTTTAATGTCCTTTTCGATAAAAGCGGAAAATTTTTACTTACGGTAAGAAATGGATTTATCTTGTTATGCTAAATATTCTCTACCCGTAAGAGAAGGTTTTCGTTTCGCAAATGGTAATTCATCAGTGTTTTTGAATATTATTATAGTGTTATAGCCAAGTTGGTTTAATTTGATGTTGTTTATTCTTTCGGAGTAGGGCTCAGATGACCGTTTATTAAAACTGTGGAACGTTGCCGATGGCCGACTGTTGTTCACATTCCGGGGCCACAGTAACGAAGTAGTGATAATGGCCATCAACGATGAGAACACAATGTTGGCTTCCGTAGCCACCGATCGAACTATCCGAATTTGGGATCTGCAAACCGGTGCGCAGATTGTGGTCCACAAATGCTCCAACCAGTATGCGTTTATCTCCAGTCTGAAGTTCTCTCCTTCCGTCCGTGGAAATTACCGGTTTCTCATCGCCTCGGCCATGGATGGAACAATAACGATATGGAAATACGATAAAACCACTTTGAAATTCGCGTACGTTGATTTCGCTTTGTATAAAATATATTGATATTCTATTTTGAACTTCCGGAAAATTATTCCGATTTTTCTTACAGTCCTGGCGAGGTTATCATAAACGAAAGGGTTGGCGAACAGAGCCCGACAAAGATTTGCTCTATGAGCCTTAGCTCAGGTTGGTTGTGACTATTCTAGTCGTACAGTATTTATCCGGTTGCTGACTTCGCCGATTGCAGGTGGGACGTTTTTGGCTTCGGGATGTTCCGAAGGTTTCCTCCGTGTGTACAATCTCATGGCTGACGGCGGAACCAACAAGATCTTCGAGAAGCGGCTGCACAGCGAGCGTGTGGACAGCGTGGAGTACTGCCATGTCGGCGATCGAGTCTTGACGGGCAGCCGTGATGGTACCGGTCGCATCTGGCTGTATCGCCGTCAGGAATGGTTTTCCATTATGTTGAACAGTGCTCAAACTCTCAAAATGTAAGTGCTAAAGGCTCTCTGTGATCTTTCTTTAAAATGTGTACTGTAAGGGCAACAGATCCTTGCTGTTAAATCACTAAATTAGATGCTAGGTCTGCTACGAGTAGGGCCGCAGTAACTATTCCAGAATTTTTGCAGAGCCGGATCGGATAAGCATGATCCGCGCGCCTTCAAACGTCGTGTAACGATGGTCGGTTGGTCTCGTAACGACCAGTACGCATTAATAGCGTCGGACGACTGGTTAATACGCGTTTTTGACTCATATGACGGCCGTATGGTGTTTGAGTTGATCGGACACTCCGATAGCGTTTATGTCCTTGAAAGTCATCCTTTTGACACCAACATCTACCTCACCGCTGGACACGATGCCCGTCTGGTTATATGGTCATTATTAGATGGCACCATGCTGTGCCGCTTCGAACAGTGGATTACTGGACACGGTGCTTCACCTTTCGTCGACGCTAAATGGAGTCCCTGTGGAACAATGTTTGCGGCGACGGACATGTTCGGATCTTTAAATATTTATGGTCGTGGTTCCGGGGCAACATACTCGCAGACACCAGAAGAGCAGTTTTTTCACACGGACTACCGGCCTTTAATGAAAGATCACGCGGGGTTTGTCGTGGACGAACAGACCCAGCTGGCGCCCAATTTGATGCAACCAGCTTTCCTGGTCAGCGCCGCTGGTGTACCGTATCCGCCTAATTTGCAGAAATTGGTGCCGGGGAGACGCGATTCCGAAGAGCAGATGAATGTGCCCGCCGAGCCATTACCGGCATTGGATGCTGCACTGCAGGCGCTTAACAATCAAGCGCAGTTGCCGCCGGGACAGGTTGCCGTACAGGAGGCGGTGGGGATCCAGTATGATCATCCGCCCGTATGTGCCACAGCCTCTTGATCGTCGCCTGGCGGCCAGTATGTTCCGCCGGCATCAAGAATTGGCGGTGCTGGAGATTGAGCGATTCCGAGAACAGAAGGCGCTGACGAAGGATACCAGTGTGAGGAATAAAGATGGGACGACGGTGTTCGTGGCACCTCCGAAAGCTCTCACGCAGAAGTTGGAACAGATGCAGCGTCTCAACAATGAGAACCCCTTAGTGGCCGAACAGGCGCAACAACAGCAGCAGCAAAATCTTTTACTGTTTGTAAGTTATTTGCATAATTGCATTTCCTGTTACGTTATGTTTTTGTTTGTTCTAAATTGATAACTTGCAAAGAAAGCCGTTGTTCTTGTGTTGATAATTTTTTTCAGAATTTGCAGGAAATTGACGAAGATCGAAAATTTTTATTTAACTGCAAAATGTATGCACTTTTATCGGTTGAGGAAGCTGTACGATGTTGTGAAGAATTTTCTTGGCCAAAATTTAATTGTTGTCAATGATAGTTTAACCTTTGTAGGATGAAGATGATTCAGAAGATGAAGATTTCCGTATGGAAGAACAGCCACCAGACAGCCCTTCGGAGATGTCGGAGGAATTATCCGACGCGGAAATCTCCATCGCTAGTGTTGAAGCCAGAGCCAGGCAGCGCGACAATGGTCAACCGCAAGAAAATGGCGTCCGGCGTAGTAATCGCAAACGAAAGCGCTCCGACTCTGGAAGTGAGAAGGAGAACAGCATTATGGCCGAAGAGGAAGTGGACGAGGTGGACTACGAAGGCCCTTCCACCTCCCGCGGTCCTCCACCACTACGTTCGTCGCGGGCTGCTGCCAAGAAAAAAACCAAGCCGCCCATCACTTCACGCGAGAAGAAACTGCAGTCGAAGAAGAAAAAGAAAATGGATAATAAGAAATCAGTACCGTCCAAACTAAGCCGTAAGAAACCCAAGAAGAGTAAGCGGATCCAGAAAGACGAAAAACCTCGAGTATTGCCGGAAGAGAGATCATTTCCCAAGTGGCTCACGGAAACCGTACCCAAACCTGCCCCGTATTTTCCGCAGATTGGTGATGTTGTGTACTATTACCAGGAGGGACACGAAAAGTATGTTAGGCAAGTGATGGACGAGGGTATTACGTCCAAATTGTTCAAAGGAATGCCTCGACCGCAATGGAATTTCAAGGTACGGTAATTCCTTGCGTATACAGGATTGTACTGCTGGTGGCAAATTGTTCCGTATTCTTTAAATCTTAGTATGGATCATTGGTATCAATGGATGAGTCGATGCTTGATTTTATTTCTTCGCTTTATAGGATATCTCGATTAAATTTATCTAGTGATTTTATCGGTTGAGGAAGCTGTGCGATGTTGTGAAGAATTTTCTTGATTTTTTTGAACTTGATGATTGTTTAAGCTTTCTTGGTTATCCGCTTGACTTGGTTTTTTTATCTGTTTTTATCCTCTTGCTGACGCTTTTTTTTCTAAATAATGTTTGGATAAAGCACTTAGGCAAGACATGGGAAATGAGAAGTAAATTATCATGAACGACTTGGATTTCTTTTAGGAAGTGGAAGAGCTGGAAATTGTTGCTCTTAAGTTTGTCAACGTCAGTGTTAAGCCTCAGACACAGAGTGCCCCCACGATCCACCACATAGCCGAAATTGAAATGAAACGCATAGGCGTTCCACCGAATGGAAAAACGTTCAAAATCAGGTACAGTTCCGTACAAGATCAGACATTTAACGGCACCCTGTACACGAGTCTTTCTTCTTTAATTGAAATTGTATTGAAAGTGGAAGCGCTTATTACTTGTACGTATTGCGTAGTTTTCACGAAATGCCAGATATTGAAGATTTTCTGGTGCTGCAACATCATGTGCTGCGGAGTCAGAATGAGTTGTGGCAAGAGGGAGCCCGGGTAAAAAGCCTGTTCTGGGACAAAGGCGAACTTCGCTGGTACAAGGGCACTATTGAGTCTGTGTTGCCCGATGCACCCGGCATGTACCACATGCTGAAAGTCAGGTGCGTCTACGAATGGCGGATTGTGCTTTGACTGTAAACCGTTAAAACATATTTTTGGCTTTTCAGGTGGGAAGGATCGGAAGATGCTGAGCCGATCAGTCCATGGGATCTCCATTTAATTACGCCAGGTGGGTCCGTGTACGAATGTGTCTTGCATCTGTTATGCATTTAGGGAAATGTGGCTGAATAGATCAGTTTAACTTCGTGTATCGCACAGTATTTCCAGGGAAGCTTATGGGCACAAGTGCAGATTTATTTACGGTTACGTTTTGTTCCTTGTGCAGAAGAAGAGGAATTAGTACAGGATGGTGCCATTGTTACCGCCCCGGAACTGCGTAGCATGGCCTACCAACCAACTGCTGCCGACTGGAACGATCAAGATCCCGATACGGAAATAAATCGCATCTTAGAAGTGCTGCACACCGTATCTTCGCTGAATGAAGCGGAACAGTTTGCCGCCCCGGTTGACCTGGAGCGCTACCCAGATTATGTGATGGAGATAGCGTATCCTGTAGATCTCAATACCATCCAGCAACGCTTGTCGCAGCGGTTCTATAGGTATTTACTGGTGTTGTTTCGCTTTGCGGGGTAATTTTTATTAAACTCAGTCGATCTTTGCAGACATAAAGCCGCCTTGATATTCGACTTCAAACAGATAGCCAGCAACTGCGAAAAGTACAATCTCAATTCGACGATTTCCATGCACGCCAACTTTATTGCTGACATTTGTACCGATATTACCAAGTATGTCTGTGTCGTATTCTTCACTTCCTTTAGTTGTGCCAAAATGTTTTATGCTTGCATGTTTAACCAGGCTAAATAATCAGTTATTTATCAAAAACTGTAGCTGTTGCGTCATGAGGTTTTGCTGGCACTTGTACCACTTACATGCTTGCGTGAATTGTATTTAGTGATTCATCGACATCAATTGTGCCGGGATCTACCTACATGGAGCGCATAAAGAAGAAATGGCGTGCAGAATTTGAAGCTCGTAAGAAATCTGAGGCAGCAAACGGTCGCGCCGCACCTAGCGTTAACGCCTTTGTTGACTCGTCCATCTTGTCGGATTCCGAAGAAGAGAAATCTGCTGATGACGATAACGACAGCGAATTCTCACTGCAGCCGGGTGATGACGAACCCAGCGACGAGGAAATGGGCGTGGAGCCGCCGACCGTCGCCGAGGATATGTCGGATGCGCCCAGTGAGGACGATGACGATGACGACGGATATAATTACGGCCGGAAGCCCCGTCCCCAGCGGAAGAAAGCCGTACCGGTGCGACTGTGCGGCAACGCTCCCAAACTGCGCTACCGCCCACGTCCAGGACAGCTGCGACGGGATTCCGCGTCGGATGAATCAGAGATGGGCCATCATCGTGCCAGCAGGCAGAAGGCTGCCAAATCGGCCAAACACCACCGCCGCATGGCGCGACGGAAGAGCAGCAGCGGGGCTAAACCGCTGCGTAACCATACGGCACAGGAGAACGGTGTGGGTACGGCGCGATCGATGCGCAGCGTCGGCAAGCGGAAGACGGTGGAGGAGCCGACAATGCAGCGGCTTCGGAAGCGCTCAGCGGCCACTCTGTTCAGCTATGCGGAATCGGATCTGGAGACGAATCACAACAGCCCGGCGGAGAGCGGACGCTCCTCGGCGTCCATGGTGCCGACAGAAACCCGCAGTGGACGTAAAGTGAAACGGCCGGGAATGTACGAGCCGTGAGCGCTGTGATTAATGCGGACGCTGATGGAGGATAATCAGTGGGAGGAAGCAGTAATATAATTTGATGGCATTTATCGATAATTGTGCTGCAGGGATGGGCGTCGGGAGGAATGTTTAAAATCGCTCACTGTATTGTCTTTGAGTTCTTTTTTTGTTTTTTAATGCTTATTAGAAGAGATGCTGTTTTAGTCGGTTTTTACAGATGATGTATAAGTACTCAATTGTTTACATTCGTTGGGTTTGTCTTTTCACGTCGTTTGACTGAGGTATGAAGAAAATATGCTTTAATCTGCGTTTTCTCATGAGCGATAGGAAAGCTTTTGTGTTGTATTTGAAGATCAGATAAAATTTTCCGCTTGCGTAGGTAGCCAAAATGATCATTTTAGCCGCCGCATGTTTAGGTCACTGTGGCTGAAGATAAAACGAGGCAGTGCCGCTTCCGTTTTTGGAACAATTATGGAAGGAGCGGCCGCGTTAAATGAAGTTAATGAAGACCGTTATTGATTTTCAAATACAGATATGTATTCGTGTGTTATTGTTATGCGACAAATGGGTACATGAACAGTAATTAATAAAATTAGTAATGAGTAGTTTTAGCGCGTCTGTGTTTAGTACTTTTATTTTAATTCAACGTTATATATCGACTTCAACAAAAAACTCTTGATTCTCACAAATGTTTATATCGCGAATAGTTAGTTATCCCCACAAGTTAACGCGTCGACTAAAACGAACCTTGGCAAAAGTGATTAACTGCCAGCCGTTGGGCAGGAGAAATTTAATAATTATTTTAATTTATGCGAGCGAGATTCACCTGTGGCATACGCAGTCCGGGTAGCTTGACGATTTCTTTCAGTAGGAGGGCAACTGCTTTTCCCCATGGGCCGAACGTTTCGAAAGCCAGTGCTCGAAGATGTATGTGACCTCCGTATATGAACACAGCCCGACCTTCCTATCCTCCACTTGCGCGGCTGTGGATCCCGCAGTAACTGAGTGGATTTCCGGTGCGAGAGAGCAACGGTGTCCACTGTCCACACAGGCAGCCTCCCAAGCGAAGCACATACCGCCTTTCCAAGCAAAAGGGGTGCGCCCATCCGGACGACTTTCTGAAGTATGGGTGTTCCTCGGAGATTCAGTTTTGCAGGGTTGCCTGCGGCTGCGGATACCCCTAACCATTCCTGCAACCGAAAGCCAACTGGCCAATCAGCTGTTGCGTGTTGGCCATGACCACCCGGTGAAGGCAGTTAAGATGGAACCCCTAACAGCTGATGTTTCGCTGCATCGCTTGTTTTCGCTCATGTGGTGTTGAAATTTGGAGAGTTAGTAATTTTGTGGATTTTAGTTTACCTTTCCTTGAACATCTCCCTCATCTTTTCGCTATTTTTTACTGAAAGCTATGGCAAAACAGCTGTCTCTTAGCCAGTTGTTGGATGGTCAGTGGTGTAGTCTTCGGAACACGGAATAGACCATTGATGGCAGTTTTACTTTGCGACGAAATTTTATTTTGTTTGTTCGTTTTCGCTAAGTGTGAGGACTATAGTCTACATTGATTTTCTGTTGGGCCTTCTTGTCTGCTTCGGTGTGTACTCACTATTCAGATGGCAGAGCCAGACTCCGTTCAGCCGTACGTAGTTTTGATCCTCAGCGGGAAGCGCAAAGCAGGCAAAGACTACATTGCCAATCGTCTGCTGCGGAAATTCGGCGAAGAGATCGCCACCATCATCCATCTGTCGGGCCCGCTGAAGTCAGAGTATGCCCGTCTCTTCTCGCTCGATTATGACCGTCTCCTGTCAGCGGACACCTACAAAGAGACCTATCGCGAGGATATGATCGCGTGGGGCGAACAGAAGCGCCGCGATGATCCGGGATACTTCTGCCGCCTCGCCACTGCCAGCCCTTGGGTGGTTGGCAAAAAGGTGGATTGCTAATTATTATTGAATTGTTATAATTATAATTGAATTGAATTGTTACGGACTGTATCTGTAGTGTGATATCCTTCAATTGCGCTTTTTGAGTTCTGCAAAAAGTTAAAAACTCAAGTTGTATTATTATGAAGGGATGTTTATTATTCAGCCAAAAAATCTTATTTACTATTTATGTATAAGGAAAAAATTGATTCGCGCAGCGAAATCGTAATGGGTTTATTAATAGCGTAATTCGAAAGTTTTCTCATTTTAAACGAGCGATGTTGGCAAATTTACCAAAGGAAACTCGTGAAAAAACTTGAATGAGTTAGCAATTTACAACATTACAAAGGTCGGCGAAGTTCTTTCTGACCATGGCTTGAATAGGCAGAATAGCTCACTGCTCATACGTAGTAAGCAGTTCCTCGTGATAGGTTTGGATTATCTGCGATGCGCGGCGTCAGAGTGATCTCCAGTACTTTGCCGCCTATCCCCATGTCATCCGTATCCGCGTGCGGGCGGACGACGCCACGCGGACGAAGCGGGGCTTTGAGTTCATTGCAGGCATTGATGATGCCGAATCTGAGTGTGGGCTGGACGCAGTGACAGATTGGGATTATGTGCTGGATAACAGTGATGGCAAAGACAAAGATATCGATACGGAGATTGACAAGCTCATTTCCTACGTGGATGAGCAGGCTGATTCGGTGGGCGATGCCGATATTCCATGAAGACAGTGAATATACCAGCTTGCACCTGCTTTTTTGATTTTTTTGTGTCTGGTTGGTATGTGTTTCTATGTGGGAGGGAAAAAGTGGATTTCATTATGGTATTTCATACATGAGTATTAAATCTGACAAACGGAGAGTTATCACCTGTCTGTGTAATAACAATTTAGTAAAATCTGCGGTCACCGACGTAGTATTATCGCATGAGTTGCTTTTAATGGTTTTGCGTTCAGTAATTTTATCTGCGTCGCTGCTACATTTGTAGATTTGCGCATGTGACCGGCAAAAATGTCTCCCTTGTCCCCCGGAATCCGGTTTGTGCGCCTAAATTAACTCCTAATTGAATGATTAAACAATTCAAACTTTTATTTCATATTTCCATAAACGATATCGAAAGAGACAATATAAAAAAACAAAATTTGAAAGATTTTTCTAAACAAATCTCAAGCGACAGCTGAACTGAATTATCGCGACAGCATTACGAAATACATAATACTCACAAGGAACTCAGATTACATGAGAATAAGGACAAAAACTTTTTCGTCCGGTCACCCGCAAACAACTAAACCAAAAACAACATATATAAACAAAAAAAACAAACTGAACTGTCACTTCAAAGTTTCAAGATTTGGCACATGCATAAATCGAAGGGCAGATCCAATCCAAGAGACACCTATAACAATACAACAAATAATCAATCAAGCAACCACATTAATACTACTTGTTACAGTAAATGAGCGATACAAAAACGCAAGATATAAAAAATTGCAAAATTTGTAAAGTAACTAATAGGTATGATGTAAAATTATGTGACTGTAAATGCCCAACGAATTATTACAAGAAATTCACCATTCGAAAAATGTCGGCCACAGTTCACCTAACAACAAGGCTGAACCGAGAACCAGATAGTATCAAGTAAAAAACCAACGATCCACAAACCAATAATTAAAAGTTACGTAGCCTTACACAGAAAACTTCCCACCATAAAGTCTTTTCACGAATCTTTCGAACAACTCGCGGTATGCCGGCGTCCCGAATAGTGATGCGGTTCGGCATCCCGCTCTCTTCGGCTGTGTTCCTGTTTGGAATGGCGCAGCGATGTACGATCATGCGATCGACTGCCAGTACGATCGCCTGACCGGCTACGCGAACGACTGCGGCGTCGCTCCTCTCGCCGGTGGCCCGTGGATCGACCAGGCTTCTCTGTTTCTCTGTGAGATCGCGGATATTCCGAAAAATAAGCCGACTTTGTATGGTGGCGGTGCTGTTTTTTATCTGATGTTGTGGAACGATTGTCAATATCTCCACTGACTGCCCCACCAGCACCGCGTCCGTAATGGGCCGCGACCGCGGCGTTTCGAGGCTTCCAAACAGGATTACGTCCACGATAGTGTGGCGAGATCCACCTAATAGCAAAACACTTATAGCAAAAATTCCAACCGAAGAATTGTATCTAAGAGACTTCTCGAATTTTCAGAGATACAAATACTGTTTTCATTATCAATCCTGATCATCTGCTATTTCTTTAAAATCATCCAGTCATGTAATACGGTAGTTACGCGGTTTATTAGCTAGTACTAAGTTAGTACTACTAACTACTAACAATAAGTAAATTACCGTAATTATCGAATTTGCACCCCTGGGGTGCAAATAGTTCAAACATCCTGGAGGAGGGGGGCTTATTTCGGGGAGGGGGCTTTATTTCGGGGGGTGGTACTATTTTTCAAACAGCATTTTTTCGAGGGGGCCGTTATTTTTCGAACAACTATGCATCCAGTTCTAACTGTTCTATTGATACTGAACGTAGTAAATACCGGTATTTGCAATTTCACAACCTTACGAGCAGCATTCCGAAGCCTCGCACCACATTATTTTTTTAAAGTTTGTCTGTTTATTCATCAAATCATAACAATTATTATGTAGCAGTTTGCGGTATATCTATCATTTTGTGGCGCTTAACATTTAATAACGCCCCCTGGGCGGTAAATTCGGGGTTAGGCGTTATTTTTCAAACGGGTTTCGGGAGGGGGGCTTATTACGGAGGGGGGCCTTATTACGGGGAGAGGTGCAAATTCGATAATTACGGGTATACATATGGCAGTAAAATATATTTTGCTAATTTTGCACTATATTATTCATATACAGTATATATTCACGATAACGCTGACTGAACTGCCGCAGTTGAGACGGGTCAAACTATAGCATGTAGGCCCGTAGAGAGCCAGGGTCAAAGGTCATGGGTCCTTAGTCAAGGGGCCATGGTCAAACTACAGTCTTTACCACCAACAAGTACATTTTTTTTAATACAATAACTAATTCAAGCTAATCCATCCAAGACTCTAATTCAAAGCTAACCTATCCAAGACTCTTATCCGGGATTGTCTTAATGCAACTATGTAATTCAGAAGGTACCCTTTTTAACGAGGTTACCCACCAATCTTTAGTAGATTCATATTTTCGTCCTTCATCCTCAGTGTCATACTTGGTCTGCTCTTTTTGGTATCGCGATGGGCGCTGTCCTCGCGGTGGCATACCTTTGCCCCGCTTGGCAGGAAGCTTTTGGGCGTGTCTCCGGCGCTCCTCCCGCTGCTCATTAATGCTTTTCTCTACTTCGCCGTCTTCCCGCGATGATGTCGACCGCTCCGCATCGCGGACAAATCCTTCCACTACCTCTTCGTAGTCCTTCAGAACTCCGCAGGGGGAAAACACGGCTGACAGAGAAGCAGCACGTCCGATACTCTCCGTCTCCGATGCGGAAATGTCCGAGGTCAAATCATCTACCGCTGGACGTTGAACGGGACGGGGAAGAAGCAGCACTGGTTCGGGCGGCGGAGGAAGGAGTGGGAGTCTAGCTATTTCACTCAGCAGCGATCCTGGTTCGGCCTCCTCAAGGAAAGTGGGCTCGGATTTGATTTCCATTTTGCTATTATAGAAACCGTCGATACATAATCCACAAAACAAATGCAACGAAAATTTCAATATCGTTATTGCTAAATGAAATTAGATCCAAAGAATTTCGGCCAAGTAATGATAATAAGCAAGGAAAACAAAATTAGGTAAAGGTAGGACAACATTTTGCCTAAAATAAAAAGGTCAGGCTACAATAACTTATGAACAACTAAACACATGCCCAGATACAATCAGATGTGAAATAAAAAAATTACTGACCAACTTTAATAGTCATCGTTAGTGAAAATTAATTGACGCGAGCTTTATACTTAATGCACAACCGAAGAACCCATGCTGCACTCACATATCTCTGGTATCTGGAGCATCTTGAGAGACCTCTTCGAATGCTGAGCTAAACCATCCCAGCTTCTGCTGCTGCAAAGCGATTTCCGCATCTTTTTGGGCGATACGCTCGCACAGCTCTTCGGTCCTCGATTTTTCAATGATCTGGGGTGTAGCAAGACGAGCAGCGTCTGTAGCCGGCTGCGAGTAGGATGAAGGCTACAATCGAGAAGACCTTTGTCGAAATCATAATTCTATGAGTAATAACAACGTTTAATTTAGCTATTATGATAAATAAAAAAATCAAAACAAATAACACGTAATACAAAACAAATAATACTAATAACACCTTTCTACGATTACACCTACCGGTTGGATGTGTGCATTTCGTGCATTTTCTCCAAATCTTATCTGTATCTGTTCCCTCAGATGCCGATACTGTGCAGTTGTCCAAGGCGAAACGGTACAGCCCAAAACCCTCTGCGTTAATTTGGCCGCAACATTCAAAAGAAGTTTCTACAAACGCCGATTGCATCACTCGCACGTCCATCATCACCAGATAATATTCGCCAAAAAAAACCCCATCGTATTTAAATGATAATACTCGGAATTTCCTACTTTCTAATATTGCTGATTTGTCAGTGTAATAACTCCGCCTTGCATCTGATCAGTAAAAACAACTACTTCTATCCTACAAACCATCGAAATATTGCTATTATCACATCGCTTATGAAATGCCCACTATTCCTTGTTACAAATATTACGCCATCATCAGCATATTACAGAGCATTAGAGCTTGGTCCCTGTGCGTTAACCTACCACCACCACGCTCTCATCCACACAATTCATGCTAAACAAAGGCGCATCCGTGTCGAACCACAACGGGTCGACAAATGCAGAGTTGATAAAACGCGCCAGCGTATCCTGCCCGTTCACGACGACGGGCCTATTCCTGCAAAACGCATGTAAATCTTTAAGCTATGATTTTACTGTTCGACAAAAAAAAATTAAAGCACTATATTTAAAAACCATATAATAACCATCATAATTATTATTTATTATCACCGTCTTTCAGACTCACCACAGGGCTGTGTACATGTACTGCTGCTCAAATTGTGTGGCCGTGCCGAACACGCCCGCCGACCATGCCGACACGAGCCGGACAATCACAGCGCCAATATCCCGAAATTCTGCACTGCGATGCAACGCCCAGATCAGAACGACCATTTGCTGAAAAGGCAAACTCATTGCATTTGCTTCATAGTCTTTTAATCGTTTATTGTTACTAACAGAAAAATTAGTAATAAATCACTTGCTTACAGCAAAGCAACAATGTGACATTTTGCAGTAACGTAATGACGTACGTACAATACAATAACGCTTCAAAGAATACAACATCCAAAGCACAACCACTACACTAGTATTCATAAAAACCAGCGAAATTCTCATGCCGAACAGTCTCGGGAGTCGGAACAGAGCTACGTCTATAGATGAACCTTGCTATGGATCGCGGCATAGTTGTAAACAGAAATTACAGTACAAGTAATTTTCTGGGCACTCGATCTCCTTTTAAAAATCCAATATCTACGGCTGGATTCCCAGGCGTATAAAGATATAAGCATTAAAGGCATCAATTTCCAGATACACAAGTCATAATTAGTTAGTTACTTACTAACCGAGATCTGTTCCAATAATTTCATAATAATCGAAAGTTTTTGCATGGTAACAGTAATAATCATAAGTATGGACTTCGTGAGGATATTAGCAGATTGAGGTTACCCCCCAACCTCTGTTTTTTAATCAAAACCGACTACAGATTCAAAATCAGCGCATTTTTCTGATCTAGAAATCATCCTTCAAAGTCAGAAAAGGTCAAAACCAAAATCTGATTTGGTTATAACTAACGCGTTAAAACTGGAAGAAGAGAAATTTTCACCGAGCGCTCCTGGGGACCGTCGAAATATTTTTCTGACATCATATTCGGATTCAGCGTTGCCGATTCACCTAGAATAAGTATTCAGAATGCAGAAACAAACTTTTTTGTCTCTGACTCCACTGCCACCACCCCAGGTAGTTCTGGGGCACTGGGGGGGCGGCAGTCAGAATTTGGTTGTGACCTTTTCTGACTTTGAAGGATGATTTCTGATGCGCTGATTCTGAATCTGTGGTCGGTTTTGGTTCAAAAACAGAGGTTGGGGGGTAACCTCAATTTGCTAATATCCTTACGAAGTCCATTATCACAAGTACAGTGCTAGCGATACTGAAACGTACCCATGGCGTGCAAATATTCTGCAACACCTGATGGGTGCGCCATATTCGCAGGGCCATCTGAACACCAAATCGCAGCGTCGGCTCCCAAGCAATGCTCGTCTAAAACCAAAGCGCGCAAATCAATTCAAAATAAACCAAATTAACTGCAACCGGAAGCTAATAAAAACTCGCTTTTTTAACTTCACTAGAATAAATTCGCAGCTACAACGACTTGTTAACAAATTTACTCGAATTCATTCGAGTATACTGTTTTTACAGTTTTTTCTATTTTTACATTTTACTCAAATTCATACGAGTACAGTATTTTTACAAAAATGTGTAAATACCCCAGTTCCATTTCTGCCTTACCAGAATGAAAATCTCCTTGTAAACCAGCAGCAAATATTGAAAACTGGGGACGATTTGTTTATTGTACCATTCCGACAACTGATCGACCGGCGTAATCCGCACATCGTCCCATACATCCACATATGTAAAGTACACGGACACTTTAAAGACGACAGGAGAGCCCTGGACAGTAGGATCCATAAATTTCACTTCGAAGCGATACTCGTCCAGCACCCACACCCACGCCTCAATGTGCTCATACCCGTTCGGGCCCTGACTGCCCGAGGGAGCCAGCATTTTCTGCACAATGCAAACCATTGGTATATATTACAATCACATTTACCACATAATAAATCCCAACAAATCTATCGAGTGGAACATTTTAGTTACTATACAGTGGCTGAGTATATACACTGATTACGATAAGAAGTGCGAACTGCAAACACTGGCGAAAGAGCATACAAAGGCCATCAAATTCAAATGGACAAGCTACAGTCTAATGCAACACAAAGTTACAATAATAGGTATATTAACCAAGCTAAGAAACGGTTTTCACGTAATGCTACTGAGCACTAACGATAGATACACCAAGGAATTACCTGCAGATGGATTTCCAAAGGAGTTTTCAAAAATCCCAGAACCTTCAGGAAATGTCGCTTTCGCAGGCATGCTAAAATTTTGCCTTCTTTCCTTTCCAGTGGACACAGTCCAATCAGCATATCTCCAATTAAGGGACACATGGAATGTAACATCTGCTGACAGCGGGGATCTGCAAGATCTTTCTGTGCGGCAATCAGACATTCCTCCACCATCCCAGTGAATCCCAGGCATAATTTCACCTAGAACGGAATATATACAATACATTGCCACAACTAAATATACGGAACGATTATACCAGACAAACTTGATCCAACTTCAAAGCGGTGTCTACTGTCTACGTTTACTGTCTACGAGTAGTGCCTCCAGTATTGCTGAAACGTTTTTGTTATTCTAATTTCTTTTGTTAAGATAGGCGCGCCCTTGTCAACAAAATCTCTATTTCCGCCCGCCGCCGATTTTAATATGCGCTTTCAGGTGGTGCTGGAATTCCAGAGTCGTTTTTAACCTGCTTGGCATTCCAGAAGCGACTGAAATTTCGATTTCGTTTGCATAGTTCGATAGCATGTGGATGGAGGCACCTTGAATGCGTTATATTTTTATCGCATAATAGACACAGCGCTAATGAAAATTTTTACGGGTGTAGTCAAATGATTGGTCAAGTGTGTGCTTTTCTTTCTGCTCTCTTATGCAGATAACTTGGAAGACTGCAAAACAGATTTGGCTAAGACAATTACCTTGATCAGACCTCTTACATTATGACCTCAATGATTACAATCTCCTTGACGAGATAAAACTTGTAACAGTTCTGTGTGAAATGAGCAATAACTGTTGACAGCTCACAAGCCGGCTGCACCCATGGCGCAAACGGCGCACGCAAAAGCGTTTCATTTGCCGATCTACTCTCCCAAAGCACGCCCCATTAAACGGTGGCGCCCCATTGAGTATTTAATAACCAAGCAGTCTTTTCGCACTTTCCTTACCAAAAGTTGTTGCTCGGGAATGTAAAATTGCTGGCGGACGAGGTCTGTTCCAAGCAAATTGGCCCAGATATTGCACATTTCACGGTGGAAACCCGAATCTGACTCCCCAGGATTCTGTAAAATAAAGTGTGCATAATCTGAAATGTCATTCACAGCGATTTGTTTGTGAATGGGGTATGCTCTGCAATTAATTTTAAATTTACCACATTATCTGAAAACAAGGACAGGTTTTTAGTTTGTCGCATACCGTTATTACATTGTTTGATAAATTTATTGAGAAACTGAAAATGCTCATAATCAAAAATTTAAACTAAGTAAATCAAACCGAAATCAATTCGCTTCAACTGCATATAGTTTAAACTGCATATCTGTTTGAGGTCACAGTAATTTATTTTTATTTACTAATCTTTTACAAACCATTTGGCGGTCTTTATTTTTTTCCTGCTTTAGGCGGTCCTGCACCGATCGTTGCACCGCCGACAGAAAATGCGCCAAACCATGCTGCTCGGTTGATCTACAATAAGGAAAAGGCGCTTTTGTTATGTAAACTCTGACCAACGATTGGCACGATGCCGGCTATGGGCCAGCTGAATATCCGGCAGATACGGCACTGTGTGAGTGTGTAGTGTGTACGATCACAGACAGTTTAATATCAAAGTACGAGTACTTACTTATCGTTAGTATGTATCAAGTTATCAACAACCAGAAACAATTTTGCGCCATAAAGCCATATGCGACCTTCATTACTCCATTAATCACGACCATCTCCTGCAGTTGACCTGCCACAAAATGGCTATCACCGATGATGACTGCTTTTAAAAAATAAAAGAAGATGATGCTATTAGCCATATGCATTTGACTTGCATTCGTTTAGGCTGTCCAGCCATAATGTGCCCAATGTCCAAAGATAGTAGTAATTTTGAAGCACTAACGTACCGTTCCTATACAAACGTATGAGAAGTTTTAAGTTCAAGTCGGTTTCAAAACGGTACAGATTCAGGTCAAATGATAATGCACACAATCTTATCGAAACGCATCTGCCTCGCTTGCACTAACCATAAGATGTGTGATAAGGATAAAAAAGATATTATCATTCGTTGAAAATTGTTACTTTAAAAATCATAAACCAAATGCTGTGCAAATTGCGATACATAACTGAAAGGAACAAATAATAATTTTATGATAACAATTCAAATAAGTCTAAGTTAATGATAATTATGATAATAATTCAATTAATAATTATAATGATTATAATAATTATATCCTCTCTCCGCCTCCCTACTGATGCCAGTTTATTAGCACTAAATAAAATTTCACTTTGCATCTACTGATCTACAAAACACCGAAAACATTATGATGTATTCAAATAAAGCATTCGGATATTACGGGCAAATCACAACGTGTATCTATGCTCTGCACTCTGCAGCAGTGTGCCGGGAACTAATCTAACCGAGCAATGCAAATTCGCAAGGACTGCACAGACGACATGCGCATTTTGTCGTATCCATTAGGCAGCAATGTAATATAAATATTTATCCACGTGCTGTGTGTGTACTGCACATACCGGAGTGTCGAGCCCAGCGCCTCGTCTACGTAGAACGACGTCTGGCGATTATTGAGCAGAGTGGCACGGAAGACCTTCAAGGCGTTCTTCGGAACAGAAGTGGCGCTGCTGGGATCCCCGTACAGATCTGTATTCAGCATAAAGTCCACGTGTTGCGCCAGCTGATCGCTACTCTGCCGCTGCGCTTCTCGGGAGTCCGGCTGTACGTCCAGCCAAGGACGGTGCAGATCGACCGACACCCAGGCCGATGCTAGCTGCTCGATGCGCGCGTGCAGCTGCTCAATGGAAGGACCGCTGGACTCCTCCGTGCTGGGCGCCCAGGGACAGGGCTCCATCGTCACAATGCAGCAGAGATTTGGTCCTCCTCGGATTTGATTATTAAATAATTATCCAACGACTTCACTGATGAAAGGAAGAAATAAAACGAGCACAAATGAACAACACAATCATACAAGAGAATGAAATTTTGAGCTGATGATTACAGATCTCAGACACAGGATCGATGCATTTTGATTTTCCATGTCATTCTGCTAATTATTGTAAGTACTAAGTAGAGCCACGAATCACCATCGCGTACCAGAATCGTACAAATACACTTAGCAGAATGACACAGTGCTTATTATAATGCTTGTAATCAGCTTATTGTACAAAACCGAGTACATAAAATTAATTAAAGATCCGATGCTTGACAATGGCAACAAATCGCGTTTCACGCAAGACAAGCGTCTCGCGTTTCGCGTTTCACGCTTAGTAACAAGTTGAGCTGAGCTGTTTGCAACGTGTACAATATTAATAACATTATAATAATCTGATCATCATCTCATCATAATATTGTTTCTATTACAGTACTAATTTTTACATTACAGAGTAAGTAGTAAAATGATTGTAACCTAGTAACTTTTATACATAATTATTACTGTATAACTGCGGGAGAAACACTGAAACAGGCTCAAATTCTACAGCCCTGGCCCCTGGACCCACTGCATAACGAGCCTGAATACGTACATGCCTACATGGCAACAACCATTAAAATTTTTAAGATTTTAATCCATAAAAATTTAAAAACCGAAACCGAAAATTTAATGTTTCACGGATAGGTTGTATCTCACAAACAAGTCACAGATATCAAGTTAGCAACCAACAAAAGTAATCACATACCCCAGTTAACAGGTAGCTTCGGATGTCTGAATATTAAAGCGGAATAAAGTTTAATTTGGCGCTGCATGACGACACCATTATTGACAATAAAAAGTTATAAGAGTAATAAGACACCATTATTCAATAAGTCAATATTGAATAATGAAGATAGTATAACCGATTTTAAGATAAAGTACGGTACTTCAAGTACTGTACCTGAATGTAGATAATCCTTAAAACGAGAGAATAAGGAGCCAAAATACAAATCAAGATTCAGTCCGCTCCGCGCTGTCAGATTCATCCATCATTCGTATACGGTATTAAAACTGGAAAGCTGGTGATAAAAAAAGAGTAGAACCAACTTCGTACTGCGCAGTACTGCGCAGCGCGCAAGACAACACAGATGAGCGGACCCCGCTTTTGATCAAAGCACAGAGTATCGCTTTCCGGTTGGCTCAAAAGACTTCGGCAGAGAGAGGTTATACGTAAATCACGCCTACCAGGGTGCTCTTGTACAGTACCACGGAACAAAATTGGGCGGCATCCATGAACTACGTAACGCAAGGTGGGGAGGGGAGGGGTGGGGAGAGGGTCCAGAACCCTGATAAAATTATTATCAATGTTAGCAAAAACCGTTACGCAGGGGCAGGAGGGGGTCAAAACTGGCAATTTTTGGCGTTACGTAATTATGGATTCCGCCTTACCGTGCTTATGCACTGTGCAGTGGTGCAGTGCGCACATGAATAATGCTTTGCAGCGGAATGGCAATTGGCAACCGCCTTAGTCTTCGATTTGGACGACTCCTAAATTTACTACAGGGATCTGCAGTGCGTGGGACTACGCATGCGCTACCAAACACCTTAAAAATTAACGCACGTTTGGCAAATTGGCACTTGGCAAGTTGGCATCTTGAAAACTGAAATACCGTGATTTCTTGCGCTGCAGAGTAAGGGCATCAGGGCATGCCCGTTTTTCCGTACCAGTGTCACGCTGTCAGCCTGTGGCCTAACAATTATAGCAATTATTGTGTACAATATAAATTGCTGGAGATTCCTCAGTCCTCACAGGGTGGCGACTCACTGGCGAGTGTTCCTTCCTTCCTGGACTGTTGACCTTTTGCCATTTTCATTAATTCTTAAGACCTGTGGTCACTCAGAAGGCTGTAATACCATGAAATCATGGTGATGATGGATGCTGTAGAGTTGACATGGCTGCTTTGTTATCATTGGGCATGGGCTAATTGCCTATTATTTATTATATTATATTTTACAGGATTGCTAATAATTAAAATGCTTGTTTTGCACTGCATTCCAGTTCCGGTTACCTGTTACCACTAGACTTACCGTAGGTTATCAGAGAACAACAGGTCTCTATCCTCTAAGTTACAAATACGTTAAGAAATTTTGTCCACCTCTTTCTTTCGACATCGAATACACCGAACCCTAATTTACATTTGCAAACGCAAGCGCAGAAGCGAGGCACAGGTAAACGTGAGAGGGAAGGTCCTATTAAATTAAGCATTAATATAAACCAGATTTTATTAGTGCTCCCATGCTGTAGTTTCTTAATCTGAATGCTTCCGTTCTGACAAAGTCGAATTGCATAAGAATTAAATTCACGTAAGCCAGCCAGTACGCCAAGCCAGTACAGTAGGTACTAGGTAGTACTACGATCCAATAATACCCATCCGTGGTTACAGATATTATGTTTTGAAGTTTTGATTGTTTTCCGTGCGGACCTCGCCCCACGAAAAATTCCGAAATCGAGAATTTTTAGACGTCGGCGCGTGCACGCCGCGCTCCATTGGTAATTTGGTATTTATTATAATTATTATAATCAACAGAATAGACTATATGCAACATTTATTTTATTCACGGGCTCGGCAAAACACGGAAAATGCTTTTTCTTCGAAAGCGGTAACGGGAAACGTTCTGCTCGGGACGGGAGCGGGCGGGAATTCGAGGGCCAGGGGGGTTCGTCTGCTCACTGCTGTTAAAAAAATATTAAGAGGTTCTAAAAATAAATATGCTTCGATTTTTATCAAAATTGTGCTGATTTTTTTACGATTTTCTTAAAATTTTAATATTTTTGAAGATTCTTCGCGCGAAACGGCTGTTTTGCCACCGTTTTACAAATTCAATGTGAACAACAGAACAAGCACTTTTAGTTTTGATTCTATTTTTATTTCATAATATGGTATCAGTTATTTCTGTTTATTTGCTTGTTGACTGAATTTGCTCGGGTTTCGTATTCTGCAGCTAGATTTCGATTTTCAAATTAAGAAAAAATCCAACGTCTGACTGCATTGCATGTATTCTGTACAAGTACGTTTCACGAAAGTACGGTTCTACCATAAGTTATAATAACTACGTTCATATATTTGGCTGAATTTACTTTGGTTACATATCCGCACTATATGTCGAAAACCAACCAACCGACCGCATTCTCGCAAAAGTTTTACTGCCAGTATGTACATTATACAATGACAATAAAAACAATTATTCTACAATGTGACAAAGAAGAACAGAAGTAACAACAACGGAATAGAAGTTCTGCGCAATGCATATACAACGATGATTAACCCACTACAGTTAACAGGCCACAAACTCAAATTCGAATATTATAACACTCATGAACATATTATACTAAGAAACATAACTAATTAAGCCACTAACTATCCAATTGAGTAGTATGCACCTCTGATATGTTATAACTGCCAACTAATACCGTAAAATTTCAAAAGTCAGATTAAACGAGAAAACAACTTACAACACCCCACATGTTGAGACCAGGGACAGGCGTTAGGCTGGACACGCTCACTTCAAGCCGTTGCTGCGCTTCCCGCGGCAGACGCTCCCGCCTTTTTCTTCCCTTGCCCTCCGGCGGCCTTCTTTGGCTTGCCCGCGGCTTTTTTCGCTGATCCGGCAGCTTTCTTGGCGGCAGGGGCCTTCTTCGGCTTGGGCGCTTTGGCCTTGGCGGGGGATTTCTTCTTCTGGACACCTCCGGCCGTTGCTGTCGCTTTCTTGCCCGGTGACGCGGCCTTCTTAGGCTTCTTGGCAGCACCTTCCGCTTTCTTGGCTGGCCGTTTGGTCTGCTTCGCTGCTTTCTTCTCACCCTCCGCTTTCTTGGCTTTGGGCTTGGTGGGGGATTTGGCTTTCTTCGGTTTGGCGGCGGCTGTCTTCTTGGTGGCTGCTGCTCCCTCACCGCCCGCGATCTCCTTCTTGGCAACGTTCTTCTTCTTCTTGGCCGCACCCACGGTCTTCTTCTTGCCAGCAGCCTTGTTCTCCGCATTGACACGGAAGGATCCTGACGCGCCCGATCCCTTGGCTTGCTTCAGTGTCTTGTTCTCAACGCCACGCTTCAACGCCATTTTCAGTTGACTGTTAACGCTCTTGGGATCCTGTGTGATGTTGAACTCGGACAGGATGTACTTGAGGATGGCCTGTCTGGATGAGCCGTTGCGTTCCTTCAGATGCTGAATGGCTTTGATGACCATCTCCAGATATTTGGGATGATTATGTGCGGCCTTGGCTGACTTGGCTTTGGCACCACCAGCAGCAGCCTTCTTAGCGGAACCAGCGGATTTGGGGCTCTTGGCTGCTGCTTTACCAGGACTCTTCTTGGCTTTCACGGGCGTCGCTGCTTTGGTAACGGCTGCTTGGTCGCTCATTTTCCTGCGAAATCTTACGAGAAACGTGGAGAAAAATGTTAAAGAACAAGGCGTAAATTAACGAGTTAAAAGACGCGAACGTTCGCAAAAAGGCAAAGGCTTAAAAACAGAGTTAACAACTGTCACGAATCAACAACTTGAACTAACGTGTTACGAAAGCTTTTCTAGTCGATCAGAGTGAGAAGGCACGAGACTGAACCTACGTAAAACGATTCAGGCGCTTATATCGCTTAGTTGGATTTCTCATGTAAAACATCCTTTGTGCACACGGCTCAACCGTGGGCGTTCAGCGTGCGGATTGGCCCGATGCATTGCGCAAGAAAGCCTATTGGCTGCCGGGCAAGACCGCTATGTTCTTGTTGTATGAAGCCCCACCCCGCTGTATATACATAGAGAAAAATTATTTGACCATCTTCGTCCTTTTGCTCCTATCTCTTGAGTTTTTTTACCAAATCAAAATCTGACTTCACCATTCATTTTAGAAATATTTTTTACATTAGTCTACCAAAAATCAGTACGAAATTTGGTGGAATAGTGATTAAAATCGGGTGTATGTGCTGTCATTGGCACGTAGATTGGCGAAAGTTTTCTCCAAACGCGGCGACGTCACTCTACTTGATCCCTCCCCGAGACACACTTCCGCCACTTTCAAACATTATTTTCTCGAAATATATTATAAAAAACTCACCGCATTACCACTTAAAAGATGTAAAAATATTTATTCTTTAATACTGTTACATTTTGGAAGCAATAAAAGCTAATCGGAATTGAAAAAGAGCGATGTTAAGATGTATCACTATCGCAGAAAAAAGCCGATTTTTCGAGTTGATGTCGTGGCGACACCTATGAAAGTTGGCTCCGGTCACGAAAAAATGACCGCTCGTAGTTCTGTATTTAGCAACAAATCTTATGTATACCAATCTAAAATATGTTGGAAAATAATTTAACTTTATTTCTTTTGAGTTAAAACAGCGTAAAAAGCGAACAAAATCCAAAAAACAGCCATGTAGCGATATACCGGTACGCCTTCCGACAGTGGAAAGTTGGTGTCGGGGCGACATCTATGACAAACTTTTGCGCTCGTGTTTCAAGTCCGAAGTTTATGATTCGGAAGTTATTGAGAGAAAATTTGCTAAAAAAATATTTTTAATAACTAAAGTGCATATTTCCAAAATAAATGTAAAACGTTAAGTTTCACAAGCTTGTTCTAATGGCCCGTCGGCATTCGGGAAAGGGAGATTTGGGTGCGACTCCCGTGTGATTCTGAATCCGCCCAAATTTGTTCCTTTGTGCTCTTTGTGATGTTGTACTCGAAGAAAGGTGTTGCTGTGTTTTATTTTGAATACTTTAATGTTTATTACTGTTCATATTTATGGACTTCTTACGTTTTTTCACTGTTGAGAAATATAAAACGACAAACATGTTCGAATACCGAACAGGAATTTTGTGTGATTGAACTACACACTTCTTGGATTTGTAAAATATAGTACGGCGTTCACTCACAGTAATTTTCGAGTGTCACTTTTTATGGTTTGCAAAGTTGCGCCTGCCACTCAGAGAAACAATTCTACTTACCTATCTTGTATACGTTTTCGTCAACTAGTAAAAACTAAAAACCAGGAAAAATGTTCAAACTCTTCAGAAAAAAGCTTAATTAAGTACTTTCGTACGTACGCGAATACAGGTAGCAGCAAGCACCTTGATCAGAGCAGTCATATTAGGCGTTCAAAAAACACTGAAAACGATGTTCTAGCAACTTGCTTGTCTGTATGCTTGACTAAAACCTATCGTGATTTTTCAAACTAATTTAGATATAACGTCGATAAGCTGATAATACCCAAACAGTGCAAACACGCAATAATGCACTATAGAGCGCATTTAATATCATGCTTTGCATTACTTATTTACCCGTGATGCTAGTGCTACTACGAAGGAACATCGGGCGAAAGCTTACGAAAATGTGCGAGAGTATGATCGATCCCTGAACGCAAGCGATCAAACGGGAGCAGTCACAAGGGCCACGACGGCAAACTGAACCACTTGGAGAAAAAAGTGAGTAAACATGGGCGCAAACGCAGGATCATCTTCGTGCCGAAAAACACTCTTATTGCTGTCTTTATCACGACCGCGTACACACAACATCTGCTGCTGAGTCACAACAAACCATCACATTAATTCCCGCCTGTCACAAGCAGAAAAACACAACAAAAGCTGCAAACAAAACAATTCACACGTACTGTGCAAATACGAAGTGACTGTAACACGAATCCGCTCTGCATCACCACAAAAAATAAATAAATACAATAAATTACGTTCTAGACCAGCTTCTTCAAACGAGGAACTGAGACAGACACTGGATGAGGTCATGCGCGTTGCGGCTGCAACTATTTTGTTTCCGCCGGGAAGTTGCCACCTATGTACAGTAACCATCAGCTGCTCTATGGAGATTTCGTGATGTCCCCTTCCGTTAACTGTTCCGGCTGATATATGGCCATCCGCACGTCCAACTGCTTTTCCCAGTCTTTGATGATTTGTGCGATTCGATCATGGCCAAATAGTTCGGCGTCCTCCAGAGGAGTGTGACCCCATCTGCAAGAATTGATTTCATTACTTTTACCTTTATGTTCACCTAACCTATTCAAGCTCAGTTCGTTATAACAAATTGTGAAGCTCGAAAATTCAGTACTACTTGCAATCCTTATCCACAGAAGTACTACAAAAAGCCGAAGCCGATGTAAAACAATAAAAGTAACATCTGACAATATTGTCAAATCAGCGCTAAACAAATCAAACAATCGATTTTACCGTCTACCGAGAACAAGTGTTAATAATGAGGACAACAGAAGTTACATTATTAAAGAAACACACATTATTACGTAAAAAGTTAACACACATGTCTCAGAAAAATACACACGTGCCAAAAAATATTTAAACGTTGCCACCAACCTGTCTTTGGGATTGTGCACTACATTACACCGTTCCAATAAGAATCTAACCACCTCCTCGTGCCCTTCCGAAGCGGCCAGATGAAGGGCTGTCCGTCCATCATAATCACACTGGTTCATATCCAATCCCTTTAGGTACAACCTATAAATGCGCTTTTTATCACCAAGGACAAAATGCTACTTAAAACGCCACAAATGCTTCGGCTGCAAACACCTTCTTAATGCGACCAAATCGCCGGATGCTGCACTGAACAAGAGAGACACGACGCGCAGTCCCTTAGCTTCTGATTTCTGATGGCGTGGATCAGACTTCTTCGGCGACTGGCGAATGTTGTCAAAATTGTGGAAATTAAACCGCGACACAAGCTCCTGCAATTTCGTCAAATGAATACAGAAGTAATCATGACGGTTGTATAATTCCACTTGCCTTGCAGAACTCCACACCGCGAACAGAGTTACCGTAATGATCCAGCGGTGGCGACCAGGCACACAACCCTATCGTACATCCCAGTATGAAGATTTCATTCACGTGCACAATAAAAGCACTTGCGGCGATGCTGCTTTACCGGCAACGTTTGGAATTACCACCATTATGGCTCCACAAACACCAGATTTCGCTGGCATACCAACCTAAACAGAGCCAAGATTGAAATTATCAGCGGACAAAGTCAGCGAGATACTGCACTTACACGAAAAGCGAACTGTCCGGAATAATCATACCTGTCAGCATAAAGCCACGAGTTTTAGAATTGTCACGTTACCTTCTCACGTTATGAGTGTATTTCCTATTACTCATGATACAAACTATTGCATTAATTTAAATGACTCGACACGCGACACCTTCAAAGAAAACAGTGAATAGGAATTACTTTTAACGACCGAATAGGAACGACTTTTAATGCTATCCATAAACAATTTTCAAATAACAATAATAATTAATACTAAAAATTTTTGTAACCGTAGTGAAGAACCTACTTGCTACGTACCGAAATACAAAAATACCCGTACCTATTAATGAACAAAATACTAACACTGGAAAGTAGAACTTACATTCCACATGAATACATAAGAGAAAGAGCATCCCGTACTGAGGAATTCTTCACCAGTCGCTCGCCGGTTATGGGACACATTCCGCCGTGGGCCATCGTAGCAGCCATGACGGCTACCGATTCACAGTTCACTTCCACTGAACAGAGCTATCGGACATAAAGATCATTAGGAACTACTTAGAGACTCCTATTAAAAGGGCGATACTCCAATGTTAATTCAATGTTTCAGTGTTAATTCAACGGAAGTGAATTAACCAGAAGAAACAAAGGAATTATACTTGACAAGTAGCACAAGCCGCACAACAGTGGACACAGTTTAGTTACCGTCGCCATAAATACAACTATGCTACATGTATTATAGTGCCACAATGATTCACCTGAAAGTAAAAGTCCATAGTTTCAGTCAAATTTGCACCTTCGGGAAAACATTTATTTTCCCGCATATAGTATCCCAGGGCATAATTTCGGTCGGCAGTCTCTCGTTCGGAGAGGAAACTAAAAACCACACAACAATAAATCGCTGCAGTTTTATTTCAGTGTTTATTCAGTAGTGCAAATGAACTCACGTGGCATTGCTAAAACCAACATGTTCTCCTCCTGCCATTCTTTGGAAATTTTTCAAAACCTGTACAGACAGATCACAATGTTAACGATTGTTGTTGTAACCTTATGCAATCAAAACTACGGCTTACGTAGTCAAACCGGTCGGCTAAATTGCTCTGGCGCTTTAATAGCGACGTGATGATAATGGCTCCGGCGTTAACCAGCGGGTTGTGCGGCTTTCCTTAAATATACCATACAGGATTAGTTGATAACGACTGGAAAACACGACAGCAGGTTGTCCGTTCGCGCTCACTGTTATAGTCCAGAACGAGTTCGTTAAAAATTCTACCGCTGGGCTCCTGGCCGACATACTGATGCACAATTTCCGGCCCCAACTCTGATGAATACGGCAAAAAATTAGTACATCGAAATATATACAGTAAGTTCAGTCCTATACAGTACTTCTATAACAAAAAGCAGATCAAATCTGCAGGACGCTTTGAAGTTTGAAGCAAGCGTTTTACCAAATCAGATCAGAAATCGCGATGTACTTGCCTTCTAGTGCCAGGAGATAACTCAGCGGTTTAGCTAAAAAAAAATAAACCGGAAAACATTACCGTCACGTTAATGCTAATGGCACCGCGTCGACCGCGAAAATAAGTAGAAAACCCATAACTAATCTTTCGTGGCTGGCAGCAAAGTACAGATCTTATTATACTGTATGACTGACAGTTCCCACCACAACCCTTTTATCGGTGCCTATGGCCTTCACTAACGATTTAACGATGCATCCACCTACAGCAAGACTGTAGACAAAACGGGATATCCGTATTTCCAATAGAATGCCTGCATCATAAAGGGATAATCAATTTGCTGTTCCATTCCATGTGAGATTAAACGGAGAACAATCTAAAACAGCTAATATATATTTAAATTCAATGGTCTACATAAACACGAAATCTTAATGACGTTCATAAACCTAGGATTCGTAAATTTATTCTTTGAAATTATTATCGATAGCAAATAAAGGAAAGTGCAGCTCGAACTACTCTGGGATGTACCGCCATGCTCGTATTAACAACAGTCTTACCTTTGTCCATCCACGGTGCAAATACTGACGCCCCAGTAATCGGGACTACAAAATACCAATAAAAAACGTTCACAATTTAGCACATGCGAAAGCAAAACTACAACTGCCGCTTATTAGCTGGAATATCCAGTATAATATGGAAGATTTGAACACGAATTCAGTTTCTTTATGTTTCAGTGTTTACTGTTTACCTAAAACGAGCTAGCTGAGGAATATAGCTGGCCACTTTGCCATCCTTCAGTGCCCGGCAGTTCCAATAAATTTCATCAATACTGTTACAGAACTCCTGCCACTCCGGTATAATGAAGCTGTTAAGGAAAGCGCGGCTGATAAGAAGTAAATTCTCTCTGATGCATCTGCAATAAATCACAAAAAAACGCTAGAAAAGCTAAAAACATTCCCATGCTACCCTGTGTGTGAAGCGACTATCGATTATTTCGCCTTCATTATTTTATAAAGTTACGCCAGCCTAAGTGCTCTTCTTTGTCAAAAGATTCCATTTATGCGATCGGATGACATAGCCGCGCGACAAGTGCATTGCAATTTATCAGTGCTCCGCGCAGATGGCTTTTTGTGTCCGCAATGTGTCGTGCTAACATCAGCACGCTTTTCATTACACTACACACACCATGCAACTAGATCAGGACGAAAAAGTGTCCCTGCGGGACAGGAAACGGATACCGTGTGTGCACTGTGCAGTATGCGCCGTTCCAAGAGGGTGTGCACTGTTGTCCCAAGGACAGAAAAGGCGGCTTGATGGATTTTTAAATGTAATTACACAAAATTCATTGACGGCACACTCTTACGCATGAAACGTCTCCCTGTCCAACGTCAGGCCGTATAAGTCAGACAGATCACTGTTGGCTTGTTGGGCATTGAGAATGTGACGATTAAATTCTTCCAATCTCGGATCATCTTTCCGTAATCCGGTATTCAGCAGAGTCTAAATGCAAAGAAAAAGTTAATTAAACTGAGCACTACCATATCGAACGTCAACATGCTGGTGACTGTGAGGCGGCGTTTCCTATTTTTACAATAATATTTTAGCCAGTTGATTTTTCACAGGCTACGTTTAACCAAGATCTAAGGATATCTGTAGGGTTCACCATAATATTATATATCTTGGTTTAATTAATGAACTATGCAGCAGAGAGACGAAAATACGAATAATTTCCATTACTAACAGTAAGTTCACCCTCCAGTTAATCGTAAGTAATAATACTTTACTTTATTAGTTAATGTTCTTAGTCCTGACTGATTTGCCAGAATTTACATTTGCCACAGTATTCCATCATAAAACAAATAAAACACCAAAATGTGCATATCTAACTTTCCATATCTATTCCTGGAAGTGCAAATTCACAAAATCAAGGAGAAGTACAGTAATTTATAGAAAAAAAATCGCGCATTAATTTCATACAAGAATTACTACCACAGCAGCGCTATTGTAATACGAGAAGCAGAAGTTAACAATTCGTGGTTAATTTCACTAGGACAAATTTTTGCTTGTTTTCGTTTTCTTAACATTACACAAGTCTTAACGCGTCATAGACACTGAGCGCACTTTTCAAAATTCTTCCAAAATTATTCTCAAAATGATGTGGACTGGTTGCTGTTCAGATATCAGCCCAATCTTTTCCCAAACAAAGGAGCAGTAAAAATGTAAAATGCTTAAAAACGCCGCGTGACCGCCTGAATTGACAAGTGAGAACTGAATAATAGTAAATACATATCGTGGGCGGAAATAATTATCCGCATCAACTGCGCATTCACAAATCAATGCCGTCGATTATTATTTCACAACAGTCAAAATACAGCGACGTCAGCCATGAATTAATACGCTGGAAAAATAAAATAAAATCGATTTGGAAGATCTTTGTGAAAAATCAAAAGGTACGGTTATTAATCATCGATTTTCCCAAAACCCGCGTGGAACGAAATCAATCATCACTGCCACGCTAGAGACGCTCAAACGACTCTGATCATCCCGCTTCCACCAGAATCCGTAATTACCCAACTTGAACGCTTACCTGCACGAACTTGCCCACAGGGACGCGGCCCTGTTCATTTTTGAACACATCAAAGAGCAGATCCTCAATATTGCGCACATCCGGATTCGTGGTGACATTGGATGGCATAGCGCTGGGAATCAGATACGGGATCCTGCACAAACACACATCCATCACGTCTACAGGGCACTTGAGGCAGCACTTAACAAAGCATTCAGTCTCACTCTTTCACACTGTCCCCCTCGCGCTCATAATCATCGGGATCAGGCTGGTGCGCGTACTGGATAACCTGACGGTTAAGCGGTTGGGATGCGTACCTGGCACGGCGGGATTCGAAGGCGTGCTGCTGACTGCGGGGAATGGCGGATGCGCCCGCCGCGGTGGCCGCCGTCAGTGAGCTGCTCTTCATCCGCATCGGCGTCGTTCTCCCCGGAGAGAGACTCGCGCTGCGTTTGCTCACTTCGCGGACCACCGCCACCACCCCGTGCGAATAACGAAACATATTCGACAGTTTAATCAACGAAAAAACGGAAAAAAATCAGATGAAACAAGGGAACAAAAAGAACAGACAAACAGTCCGCCCGAATTCTAGCTCCGGCCTGAGTTAAACGAAGACGGAGAATTCTTGATTAGTCATCCACAATATTTATTGCATAAATAAACTACGTCACATGCCGCCCCGAAATTCTTATCGAAAGCTGTGTGTCGCAAACTGATTTATCATGACTCATCAAAATCACCGCATGCTCGTATTTATCCGCATGTGATAACGGCAACTGGCAATTCGGGGACAACACCGGATTTAACGCGCTAGGCAATTACGTCACGGAAAGCTACTTTTTTTAACCGAAGCCCCAGTCGATCCTTTCGCGGTTCATGAGCAAACCTGCAAACAAACCGCATACCGGACGTCACGTTTGTTTGCGGAGACACACCTTTAAAAAGCACAAATCCGCGAAAAAACCTGCTGTTTGCGTCATATGCACAAAGTTTATTTTTATCAAAAGTAGATGATAACGTGAGATGGTTAGTCTGATGAAATCCGCGATGCCGATTGCTAAAGCATGCAACGATACCTGAGACGGCGAGACCGTGCAACTGCTGCCCGGGCTGTGGCCTGACCATGTTTGGCAATACGCCAAAAAAACTAGACTAACGAAAATTTTAAACCAGTCAATACTGGTCAACGACCGTAAGCGCCGAAGCGCGTTGTATTATGCTAATCAGCAAACGTAATTTTCACAACCCATTCACAAATTAAAAGACTGCGTCCGGTTGATTTAAGGCCACATGCAAAATACACACGTAACTTGACGTAAGTAAGTACTTAACTTGTAAATCGTTATATCTACAAAAGTTTACGTATTTCCACTGCACAAGACGCTATCGAAGTAACACGAATTCCAACAGACAGAGGACAATTACGGAAAGCCAGAACGGCCCAAAAGTAAATCTAACATTTGACTTACACGAGAAATCTGGATCGTGGTAATAAACTACATCGGTTTTGGGATTCAGACAATAATATAACAGGCCGAGAAACAGAAGAAAAAATTATACACTGCAGGAAGTGCAACACTGAATCCAGAAAAAGTAAGGAATTACTTAACTTTCTTGCAAAGGACCATTTCAGAATTATTAAGAGTTTAGAGACAAATTTTAAAATGTGGATAAGTTTACTACCGTACCCACGCACAAGCTTGAATAAGCGGCGAATGTGAAAAAAGTTAGGATATCTGCAGTTCTGCACTGATTACATTACACGATCATTCATCGGTCGGTCGGATGTGACTCGAGACGGATTTCACAACACTCCTACCGGGTAGACGGATTTCCATCGCGGTTGTACCGACGTGTGAATGTAGGAGCACTACTCGTACTGTAGTGCGGTTTTGCCGTCATCGGAACTTCGCGCCGCCTCCACAACAAAGTAAACAACACTGAAACCGGCACACCCATTTTTTCGGTACGTACTCGACTAGAGATACGTAGGAGTCCAGTAGGAATCCCAACAAGGCAACAACAATACGAGTATCATTAACTTAGGTATCATATATAACTTAATATTTAACTTAGGTATCATATTATTATATAATCCATCTATATATTATTGGCTATTATTAATAGGTTATTACGTATTGTTCATACATTTTTATTGTACGAGTACTATGGCACTTGTCCAATAAAATTATTAAACAGTCTACACTTGTATTGTACAATACATATACTATAGTATGATATGAATATACTCTAGTACACTACCAAGCCGCTTCAAAGGCGGTAATTAAGGATTTTCAATGTGCTATTACAAATTTCAATTGTAGCAATGTAGCTTCATAAATTATCCAGCCAAGCTAACAAAGATTATCGCAACGCGTATTGTACAGAAAATGTAATTGCTGTACGATATATTTTTACAAGTTTCTAGTTTCTGGAATACTCTTTTCTGCCTAGGAAAAGTATATACAGTGCGTCGTTATTCTTTTTACTCAGCAATCAGCATGTTTCTGAAAGCGCCAAAGTCAACTACAAATGCCATCATCTCCTTTGAATAAAACCAAACGAAAACCAATACTGCTATGTACCGATATCGATATATCGATTCTCTCGCAGAATGCGTCAGAGAATTCGGCTATTTTGTTTTCTTTATTGTTAGCTTTGATGTGGAACGTGCATGCCGCATTCATTTTTCTTGTTCCTGTTTTCTTTTGTAACGCTTCCGGAAATTACTGGCGACAACTCCATCAGTCTCCATGTGACGCAAACCTTTGCCAGCCGAATCAAGCTGGGTGTTTGCGAGAACCAAAGCCAACCTTTTACAGGAAATCAAAGGACACTAATGTTTTCGCGCATCAGCAGTATTTTATTTATTACACTTTACTTAATACGAAACGCGACCATAATTCTATCAAATTAACTCAGTTTAAAAAATTTCCAGAAAATTATTCTGGTCAAAAAGTTCTTGATCACAGAAAAGATCATTTCGCAACCGCAAGGCAAAACACAACAAAACACCAGAAACAATAAATAAAGATCCGAAATAAACAAAAAAAGACTCGTCTATCACAAAAAGAAGAGTAATGATTCAATCGCACTGGCCCAATCACACCGATACCGCAATACTGGGAATATCGTGCTCCAAGTCCACCGGAATCACACGTACAAACTCCTCCCCATTCTCGTCTTCTTCGAATTTGGAGGGAGGCAGCTCTGGCGTGGGCGCCACACCACCGTCCTCCTCGACAAACGGCCGATAATGGAAATTATTCCGTCCGCAAGCGGTGGCGTGTCCGTGTCTGGGTACGCGCCAACTGGCCAACGCCGACCGGTGTGTCTCGGCACGCAGGCGCTTCCGCTCAATCACACGGAACACCCAGTCGCCCAGTTTGTAGCCTACATACAGGACGGCCACGCCCAGACAGCAGGACGCCATTACTGTTGAGCACATTTCAAAGCCGTAGAGATCGTCCAAGTAGCCACCGAGGGCCGGTCCCACGACTTCCCTGTTTAAGCGTTATTAACGTACATATTACTAGTAACACTAGTGCACTTAACATTACAACGTAAAATCAAATTAAAATCTCAAAATATCAAACACTCACCCGAGTGAATATGCAGAACCCCACACACCGGAAACGACTGCATAAGTTCCCATATTTTCTTCCATGCCGGACTCTCTATAAATCAGAAACACATTTCAGCCACTTCAGCGGTGTTAATTTCTGTCGTTGATGTTGTGATTACAAACCGCAACACGTAAAAGGTACATATCACGCGAGGCGATAAGCTTACTCTGCAATGCAAAGAAGGGTTTCGAAAGTCGGAATCAGCGCCATGGAGATAGCAGCGCCCAGGACGCTCAAGCACACCAAATTAACCCAAAGATAACTGTAAAAGCGAAATACCGGTCCATTTTTTCTCTATTACCTCAAAAAATCGCAAAGGCGTACTTTTCTAAAAACTGCAGAAATCTGGACGGTCCCAAAAACAGCAGAGTTACTCCCGCGATGATTAGTCCGAGCACCATCATTACGTCAGTATTCTCCACTTTCTCGGCGATCCATCCCCAAAGTGGTGAAAATATCGCGTAAGATGCTGATATGAGTAGAAATACCAGTCCAACCATCGCAGAACTCAGATTAAACTGTAACAAATTTGAAACTGCTTTCGTAATACAAATGCAAATATCTCAAGTTCATCGAGTTTTCGGAGCCGGTAAATCAAATACGTGTTCCGAAACAAATACCGTGCGGACTAGGTGACGGCAAAATAAAGCAAAAACAGAGGAAGTATCATACCTGTTCCAAGTGCGGCTCAAGTGTAGGGTCCAAAAATCCCCAAACACTGGACATAATTAGTATGGTTAAACACACGACATAGACGGAAGGATTCTTGAAAAATTTCATCCGTGATCCCTTTTTGGGCTTGCACACAACATCTGTGTACACAAGTGATGTTTCTCATGATCATTTCACATCGGTAGACATAGCTCCGTAGGAGTCTGTGATTTCTTACGTTCTTGAGTAGGTAACAACCACATGTTTAGTGGAACGGTGAGAAACATGATGGACCCAACAATGAAAAATGGCAGTTTGAACCCTCCACACTACGAAGAAAAAATTATATAAAAGGTACACAGAAGCGCAGCTGGACAAATATAACGGATAGTACATAAGTGCGAAAAAATATATACAATATATACAACTATTACTAATCAGCCGTCATTAATAAAATAATGATTGTATAAATGACTGCACTATGCTAAATGCAAAATAAAGCGATTACAAGAAAACCACTAAGGGAAAACCTGGATGCAAACAAGATCGTAGCCGCAATTGAGCGTGTTTCATTAATAATCAATTTCATCCATAAGGTTAAGTACTGCCAGTACCGAATAGAGAAATCCTCCTAAAGCTGGTCCAGCCGTCATGCCGATTCCGACAAACGATTCCAAAGTTCCCTACGAATCAGCTTGACATTTTCATAATCAGTGCAACGATAAGATTTATCGCCCTTATCATCAGCGACGAAATGTTTACAAATTGTGCGTGAGCGATAAACTTACGAAAACCACCGCCACATTCCCGCTGAACTCGTATGCCAAAATACTGAAACTCGCCGTGCAGAAACCTGCCATTTCCAAACAATGGAAACTATGTCACAGCATAGTTGAAATCATTACACAGCAAAAATTTACCCGCTGCACCCACTCCTTCTACAATTCGGATGGCAAATGCTAACACCGTGAACGTGAAAGGATCGTCAACATACTCCAAAAATCTGCGGAAAGCAAACGAAGGTAGATTAATTTTTTAAAAGTAAACAATTATGCTCTCCATGCAGTTGAAAAAATATTAGGGAAATGCAGTCAAACTATCATCTTACCCGAAAAGAAAATTGCATCCGCTAGCTAGAAATACGCCCGCGATAAACGTAAATTTCGCACCCAAAACAGGAATCTAAAATGGAGAAATAACATGTCTCTATATTAAATCGTGTAGAGGTATATAAAAAATCTGAAGCGTACAAGTTTGGCAAAAACCGGCGATGCAAGGAAAACGGTCAACGCGTATACCGCAAATACAGCACCGGATATTGTTTGGCTGGCACCAACCGCAGCAACCTTAATAAACCAAGATAAATAAAGTTTCCCAATTATACAACGAGTATCATCATGACTTAATTTTGCAGAGAATGTTTTGCGATAGCAGATTTTTGCTTTTTACAACAAACTTATTTCCATTACGAATGACCAAAAGCTAAACACAGAATATTAATTATTACCATTTAAAACAAAAAATTAAATAGACCATACCATTAGAAAGATTGTAAACAAGCAACTATTAAGACTTTATTTTAATCAAAATTATACCTCAAGAATTTAAAGTTTACATAACTAATGTAAAATTCTCGTACCAGTACCACTAAAAATTACATTATACACATGAAAGTAATCAGAAAAATTAATCAAAATGTATGCGATCAAGAAAAGTATACGTTCATTAAAGCAATGAAAAAGTAAAAATTAGAAAGATGAAAACTAATTTTCTTACTTACTTTGATGGGAAAGAAGGGTGACATAATACTCATGCAGAGATAGGAGAACATATCTACCACCGCCAAACACAACAGCGTCAGTTTCTCGTTGCGGCTCATGGCCAGGAAGGAGAACTTGGCCTCCAGCTCAGCTTCCTGCGACTCCGTGATGGGCTCGATGTGATCCTCGGCGGAGAGACGTCGCCATGCGGCGGAGTGCAAACCATCCAGACTGGCGGAGCGCTGGAGAAATCTGCGCGGATCTTCCGCTCCACCGCGCAAACTGCCCGATGCATAGCGCGCCGCGCGTCCCACATCTGATAATAAGCGCCGCGAACTCCGGTGCAAACTGGGCAGAATCCAGGACGTCTTGGGACTCCACACGTCCGGCTCCTCGAGATCATCGTGGAGCATGGTGCAAGGGGAACACAGAAGACGATTAATCACTTATCACCATCGGTAAATTCCCATTAACTGAAAATCCATGTGCATATCTTCGCTGTTGCAGTGTTAAGACGGTATCAATGGAATTCCGCAATAACATTCCACTTTTTTGTTGATCAAGTTTCCTTCCCGTTACGGAGATTGCTATCCAAGAGCGGCAAAAGACTGACACAGAAATCTGCATTAAAATCGACACAAATAAACTACTTCAAGGTACAAACTTTATTGACTGTTGACTGTGGAACAGAAAAAGTACGGACGAGAAAGCGAAGAATGTTAACGATAAAAAAATTATAAAAGCACAAAAGCCGACATAAACAAATCCAGTCGCTTCAGCTTGCATCGTTTGCGGCTTTGAAAATTTTGAAGCGACACGGCGTGCATATCTACAATCAGCTGATTCACGTTTGATATGGAGTTGTTACGTACGGTACTCGTACCGCTTTGTACTGTACTACTCGTACAGTCGTACTGTATGTAAAAACATACAGTAGCAGACCAGAGGCAGTAGTTCTACTGTAGTAGAGCTAGACATTCATTGTAAATATGGTAGGTACTACGTATGTTCAAATTTAAATCAATATGAGGCGTACACTTTGAATATCAGGCATACTACTTAAGGATAAAAAAGTAAGTACAGAAAAATGTAAGCTGGCAAAAATCGGCGAACACAGGCGCACGAATGATGAAAAACAGGAAACAACGGATCGAATAACAATTAACAACAGCTTGCGCTAATACCGCAACAGAATACTTCAAAAAAGTTGATACAAGTGACATGGCATGACTGTTACTGCTTGAGCCATGGGAACGCCGCCAAACTCTTTGGATCGCGGTCACCATAATCATACAATAACTCTTCGTCTATCGCGATTTTACGCGTGGCACGCAAAATTAGATGGATCTTCTGCTTAGAAATTGGAATCTCCATTACTTCCGGTCGCAGATTAGCGTGGCGGCACGAGTGGTTCAGTAGACGGCCCAGACGCTCAGTCTCAGCCGTCGCATCCACACTGAAAACATTCAATGAGATTTACAATTAACTCCAGAAAAATATCACAACATGACCGGAAACCACCAGAAAATCATGCAGGCGTATAAGGCTAAATAGTATAGTTTTATTTTAAACAAGCTTTCTGGAAAGTCCAGAACTCACCATAATTTTTTCCCTTTATGCGAAAAATAATACATGTAGCAACCGTATTTAGTAGGCTCTTTGGCATATTCCTCCTCTAAATTCTTAGCTCGGTGAATGTCGACCAAATCCCCAGCATATTCCACCACAAAATCGTTCTCCTCAAAAATGCGGCGCGCCACCAGTCCTCGGCCTTTTCCTTCGAAAATTCGCGACTACAAGCACGAAGCCATGTTGCTAACGCCATGTCTTGAAATTTTTACCGGAGAAGACAATGAAAATTCTCCGATAAAAAAATCCTATTAAACTAACGCGCTATAATGCGAATCTGCGATCCATCAAGACCACAGGCATGAAGCTGCTTTCTGGAAACATTATGCGCAAAGGTACTATTACAAACCCAAGAAATTAATACGAAAGTTCACCTCGACACCGGGATCCTCAAGACCGTTAACAATCATGTGAACAATCTTCGTCATTTCTTCTTTCCGGCGCACACACAACTCCAGACTGGCCTTGACACGTTCACTTTTGAGTCGCAGCGTCTGACTGCCCCTAATCGTTGCCGTGCCGGTCAAAGGTCGTCGTCCGATTTTCGGAACAGCTGGAGCGATCTCGGGAGAAATAATTAGGTGGCCACGTGTCATCGCTGCTGCCTTAATGGGCGTTCGTGGTGTTGGTGCACTCGCCAGGACATCTTTCTTGGACGGGGTGTTGGGTGGCGCTTCTGTGAAATGTAACTGCATTTTTCGGAATACCTATGGCCTTATTCGAATACGTATTTTTGATACGAGCACTGTGTGTAATGATGTGAACTGCGCAACATTCAATTGTGCATGCTCTGTTTCAAAAAATCTATTAAAAATTATAACTGTCATATTTGCAGCACTAGAAAATCCCCTCACATTCCAAGATTTATTACAATTAGTAAATGCCAGCCTGACATACTTTACTTTCAACTGTTTGCTGATAAGCATAGGAACAGCAAGTTCAAAAGGATAAAAACCGAAGACCAAAATTATTAATTAAAAGAAATTTATCATTTTAATTCAAACAAAAATACGTTTTTCATACCTAAGGGATAAGCGGTTCATTATTAGAAATATACACAAGAACGGACCTGCCTCATCCATTACTAGGACTAACAATTATCACCTACTGTAGTACCTACCAATTTACAGTTTGACGCGAGAATAATAATAACTAAACCGAAAGAAGGATCGTGCTACTGTTTACTCAAACACAGTTCCCATCACAACTAAATATGCCGATAAGTAATTAATGTTGAAATTAGCCTACTCAAATTTTGTACGGCATGTTTTCGGACGGCAACCTTGAAAGGCGATGGTTTGCGAAGACCAGAGGAAGGAAGGGCTGATGATGATTTCTCCAGCGCTCCAACGGGATCCACCGTAGCTTGTTCCGATGCAGCCACGAGTTCACCATTGTGATCCTCTTCAAGGGTTACTGCCTCTGGTGCTTCAGGATCGGCAATAAAATCGGAAGCAATGCATCGGGCTGACTGGCGATGGAAAACATCGGTTAGTGTAGTTTGTTTCGAACTGCAAACTGCTTTCCGTGGTGGATTACGGCGTGCAGCGCCCACACACGTGTTCTTCAGCGTCATAATAAAGGGATCAAAATGCACGGTATCGAAGTCACTGCGAATAACTGCAACCCACTCTATGATGGCTAAAATCGCTAAACACACCAGTCTTCAGAATTGTTACAATACAATATTTGAACTTTTCTGCATCCAAGAGTAGAACTCAAAGACTCAGGGAAATCCAAGACAGGAGCTTTGGGGTTTTGCAGTTTTACCAGTATGGAATTTTTCAATTTCGATAAGTAAACAGCGGTGCGTACGTAGTCAACTCCCAGTGAGCGGTTTCGGCAACGAAGGGACCCGCCTTTGCTTGACATTTACGTTAAAGATGCGCTCATGTGTCCAGAATCTCCAGATTCCAGTGTCCATCGGATGGTCCGAACTAGGTAGTAGGTACTGTAAAGGAGTTCCGAAGTCCAAACTGTCCACAATTAGTTTTAGCTTTTCTGCTGTTCCTTACTGTACCTTTATGGCATATTTCAAATTTAATTACTGTTAAAATAGGTCCTTCAAAAAATCGTAAATGTGCCACATAATTTTCGATAAGTCAGTACGTAACTAGAGACGAAGTTCAGATTCGTTGACTTTCGGGGCTAAATTTAATTACAGTAATCTGCAAACCGAGTAAATAAAGATCTCAGATTAACTAAATTTGTTAGAATAATGCATTATTTATACCAATTAATGTTCTCTCCCCCGCGAACAGAGTCCCCTCTCCTCTCGAAAGCTCTTTTTGGCATAGATTGGAATAGAAACGTTCCTAGCTTCCTGTTCCTATCTGGAATAGGGACGACCTTTCTGTGAATGTACTTTCTGACAGGAATGATAGCCCAACTCTGAAGCATAATTTTTTATAACTATACCCGTTTTCAGTGACTTTTTACATTCGTACGTATTTTAATTGCAGCGCATTATGAAGGATGGCGCCGGCCGGCACCTTTGCAATAAAATTACTGTATCATAGCGTATACAGAGTAGGTATAAATGCAAATCAAAGTGTCAGTACAGTAATACAGTATAATTCCTATAAAATTAATAATAACATTGTTATTGTACGATGTACTGTACAATACAAGCGTGAGCAGCTGCAATTGGCATTGCGCGACTGTTTGGCTTCCAGCAGACCATTTCGTTAAGCAGACCGCGAGATGCAACCACATGTACAGTTACTGTAGTAAAAATTTGATAAAACAATGGCAGCATATACGGCGCCAAACCTTACATTTTCTGGTTGGATACGTGACTTAATAACGCTGCAATTAATTAGACGCATTCGGCACATGATACTCACAATCAGCCGCTGCTGTAACAGAATTCGCTGCCACGCATGATGAACGCATGATTACTTTGTAAAGCCGCGGTAGGGTTGTACCGTTGTAGCGCTTCCGTCGGAAATTAAAGTGCTCGTAAGTCGTAACCGAACAGTGCCGGCAGTTGCACTGGTGCGAATAATCCTGACAATGTTGTCGTATGTATTGTATATATGCAACGTGTGCGCGTTTGACAACGGCTGCACCAGTGTTTGCCCTATTAAATCGCAACATTTACTTGGTCAAGCACTTCCAGCAAAAATCCAAACAATTCTGTAACGATTATTGCATGATGTCCACTTTATAGAATGTCGTGTTAGTCCACGCGGGATGTTATGGTTTTGTTCGAGCGCGCCTTGTGCATGAATGGCATGTTGCCGCTATATACTAATATGAGCGCGTTTATGGTGGATTTGTTCGACAAATTGTGGGTACAACCAATATTCACCGTGCTGATTGATCCGTGATGTATTGGGAGTTTATTTGCACGGCTGTTGTAAAACTTTGTATACTTCTACCGCTATTCACCTTTTGCATCAGAGAAGTACGAGATATTCGTACATATTCGAAAATTATGGCAACGCATCATTGCATAATTGCACAGACAGCAAATATACCATTAAATATGAAGTTTATATCCTCAACATCTTTTTTGGGTTGACATAATAAAGCTGGATTAACTGGAAACTCCTCATGGCACGGCGGCTTATAGCCAAAATGAAACTGTTCATTGGCATCTTTATTACCACCGGCACCGTGTATAATTGCGCAATTTTCTTTTTCTCCTATTTTTTCTTTCTCAGTTAATTTTTTTTGTATAATTGGTTGTATTATTGATCCCGATATGGATTCAGTAAATTATTTGCGTTAACTGCTACTCGTAGTAGTTGCTAATACACACTAACAGCAGCCGTAATTGCATGCATCCATAGTGTACTAGTTAGTACACTGCTCCAAATTCATCCATATGATCGGTCAGACATTGTGATCATTAACCCCGCAGATGACATGTTGTATTTGATGAGGACATTAATAATATTATTGATGTTTTACCTTTCGGGACTGTCTGGTGACCTTTGCGTGTCCTGAACAGGTGGAGAGTATCCAGGTACGACTGAACAAAAATAAATCACGAATTCATACTTTTAGAGTCCAAATGAAGGAGATTCGGAATAGATGCTTTATTCGTACAATTTCGGGCCACTTAGCGAGCAGTGCTGATCTGAATGTGCAAATAGTTATATGTATAGATATTTGTTGCCGGTAATGTCTAGAGTATGTAGTTTTTTATTTATTTTCGTATCTCCTAGTATCCGGTATCATTTGCATAAGTCCCGTAATTGTTATTCGGCTTCGTTTCCGGTCTCATTCTGTCAGCTATTTTTTCCTTACAGAAATTTTGTCGGTCGATAAATCGTTAGGTGATATAAACATCTTCACAGTATTTGTTTTGACAATTTAGCCGAAACTAGTCTCCTGTTAAACGTTTGTTGAATATAGGATATCGCAAACGTTATTACTCACTTTACTTTTCAAATCGATAAAAGGTATCGTATCGCATTAAGCAGAACAAAGGATGCCCTAAGTACATATTGGTATATGAATATTTTATTTATGACCTTAATTCGGCTCGTCGGTTTCAAAAAAAACTTACTTTTTGAAATGTTTTGTGCGTATGTGTCATCTACATAATTATGTAAAAGTATGGAATTCTTGACAATGCGGTAACTGCAGGAAGCTGGAATATGAAGAACGATCGCTTGTCAATCTTCATGTATTTCGGCTTTTATTCGGTTAGAAAATCGATTGTGAGTTTCGACATAAAACACTTATTCCTGTCTATTGAGCGCGCTTAAGAAACATGATGAGAATTGTTAAGAGAACTTAAAACTGGCCGAATTGATGAGTTCCGATACTTGAAGCACACACAGACAAATTCCATCCCACAAAGGCCGCACTTTATCCCGTTCCCACAGGGAATCCCTTTCACGCGTTTATGTATGCAATTGCGTATGCAACAAAGAATGCACAATTCCGGCGATGCCGAGCGCGCCTCATGATCAGACGAAGAAAGCGCAAAAAACTTCGCTTGTCTGGACATAAATTTACTAGTTCTCCCAATTAACATATAGTACGACATTACAATAACTATGTACTATATAATCACGTAACTTTATATAATTATACTCAACTTTATAAGCTAACCAAAAACAAACTGCAAATACCAATACCGCAAAATAATGTTCTGATAAAGATAAAGCAATGGCGGTATGAAAGATTAGCTTTATAATTTTATTCCTAATTTTACATATACAGCGAAAAGTATAATAATACAATTTACATGTGATACCTCTATAATTACAGAATAGGAGTATCAACTGGTGGCGGTGTAAATAATCTTTACATAATCGGATTGCGTTATTAAATAAATGAAGTATCGCATAATAAATATAATCGATGCTCGCATTGCGAACGCCAAAGTTGTACCTGTTTCAGAAATCCGAGGAGCTGTTCTCATGTGATGTGGTAGTTACAGTATATGGAGGATTTGGATTAACACTGACTAATTCCGGCTTTTGGAGTGGCATTTGATGTGTGCTTTAGTTCCCTGTCATATACGGTGGTAGCAGCATTCCTATCGGTTTGATCATGGCGATGACCTGCGGGATCAAATGCGCGAAGTATCGACTTCTCACCTGCAAATTAGTAAACGTTTAATGAAGTGTTACTGTAAAGTGCTGTTGCAGGATAGTCCTTGTGATATTCAATATGATCTTCTTCATCGGCGGTCTGGTCGTGATGGGGATCGGGATCTGGCTATTGGTGAGAATGTTACAATGGCTAAATACAAAACAAAAAATAAGCACAAGGCACATCTCTTATCATTCATGTACATTATGTAACACGTAATTTGCATCTATCGTGCTTTTTAAATATTAAGCAAATTTTTTAATGCAAGGGTTACAGTAAGACTAGATCCATGAATATATCGATCAGTCGCAAATTATATATTAATGCCGTTGTCCATGTTCTAATGTGCATGTCTAAAATCGAAACATGTACGCATATTATATATAGGACCATTTTTAAATTTCATGATGGTGTTCAGCATGTGCTGAAACAATTTCGGTGTCGAATTTGGTGAATCTTATGATCCGATCCGAACGTATGATTCCATCGTGTAGCGACCACAAAACAGATTTCAAGCACCCAGCGGATCGCTTGGTTAATACCCAGAACTGGTTGATTCAAAATGGCTATAACTTTATAATTCACCATTACGCGCGACAACTTCTTTTGTATCAAAAATTTTCCCTAATGTTTCTTCATCTTTTGACGCTTTGGTTGGCAGATCTCAGGAACCGGATCCTGTTATAACAGGAGATTTCATCCAGAACCGGGGGTTATTGTGCATAAGCTGTTAAGCTGTAGGTGCACCTAAAATTACTGTAATGATATCTAATTCTTGACCTTTGCGGCCAGGTGGACAAGAGCTCCTTCGTGATCCTGACCGCGCGCCTGCAGGTCAACGAGGATTTGACGAAGTTCGAGCGGGCCGACACGATGCTGCAGCAAGCAGCCTATCTGCTGATTGCTAGCGGCGTAATCGTTTTTGTCGTTGCCTTCCTGGGCTGCTGCGGCGCTCTCAAGGAGTGGCGACCCCTGCTTATCACGGTAATGTCATCTAACCACTGTGTGCAGATAAGTAGCGACAGACAGAGGGATCCACACAGAGAAGGATTTCTGTGGATTATGACATGATGATGATGATCGAATACTTACGTGGTACGTCCTGTGTCGCAGTATGCCATATTTCTCATCATCATCCTCGGACTGGAGATTGCTGCCGGCATTTACGCCGCGGTGTACCGCAGTACATCCTCCGATTATGTGCCGACGACGATGCGCTTCACGCTCAGCAAGCGCTACCAGCACGACGGCGTCATCACCAACGGGACGCATTTGCTTTTCCGTCCGGCCAACTTCTGGACCAACACCTGGAATAAGATGATGATACAAGTATGAGGATTTAAGTCTTCTTGCAAGTAGTGACAGATACCGCTTCCTAAGGTCACAAATGATCTATCGCACACACTTGAGTAGACCGGTAGGAAGTTCAACTGCCTATGGTTCAACACTAAATTTTCATAGATAAAAAGATATAAATATAGTAGAAAAGAAGGAAATAATATTTCCGCAAGTACAGAATCTCATAATTATGCGAGCATTAGTAAATACTAAGAGATAATTCATAAACAGCAAACAGTATTCCAAAGTAAATTGCTTTAAATGATAAAAATTTTTCGACGTTTCTTTTTCTTCCTCTAGCTGGAATGCTGTGGCATCGACAACGGCAACGATTTCATAACGATGAATCTTGAACAGTTCAAACCTCTTACCGGACCAGGTGATTAACACACATTTACATTATGATTCAGTAATATTTTTGGCTCTGGCTTCGTGTACGGTCGAACTGGGCAGAGAAATACAAGTAACTGAATATATACAAGGAAACAGTTATACAATTATATACGGATTTCAGAAGCGCCAGTAACGTGTTGCAAACTGCGATCCCTACAGTCGATGGAGATGGTGGATTATTCCTGCGCTAATTCCCGTAGTAAATTATGGACGCAGACGTCCACGGCGGATGGATCGACTAATTTGAAATTTGTAAGCCGGCCGAATACGACTGCGGTCGGTCGGCAATGACTCGGCATCAATCGCATTATAAGTAATCGATCGCTTCGAGCCTTCGATGAGCGGCAAACTTCCTCATTTTTGCCGCAGTGTATTATCGTAATCCCGTTGCTTTGGTCATTCTGGGCTGTTGTAGGGCTGCCTGCGCCGGATACAAAAGTGGCTGGATGATAATTTGAAAATCCTAATCGGTGTCGGTATTGGCATCGGTTTACTGCAGATTTTTGGCATCGTTTTCGCTTTTTGTCTATGCATAGCTATCAAAACGGGTAGGAACGAGATCTCATGAGCCGAGCGACTGTAAATTATTTTATATCTTGCAAACGTCCGATTGGGTAGCGGTTCGAGTGTCTGGTTTTCGCACAGCCTCCGGTCTCCATAATTTTATACGGATCTATGTTTTTACGTGCAGAAGTATCATTTATGTGTTTTAAGAAAAATATGTGTGCGAATACAAAAATAACTCAGTGACTGTTTGGGTATTTTGCATAACCTACATATTAAACGAGTTGAATGAATAATTGTATTGGTTGGTTGGCGCATTAGTTTATAAATCACCGAAGACCTTACTCAATAAACAGCATAACAATTAATTCAACAACGACTGGAACTGAAATCACCGTCTCACATCCCGAGTTTTCCATATTGCTCAGTTCCGTCGGCAGGTTAACAAATCCGATGACATTACACTACTCTGTACAGCGTAGAATTCTGATGCTGTACAATACGCACATGTTGGAACCGTGTAACCGGGATATGATTCTGGCCACTATTTCTCGGTCGACACCTTTTATGTACCCTTACAAATTCTATTGCGTCCACTATTGCAATGCGCATAAGCGCACTACAAATATTAGGAAGTGTGCATACAATGCCATAATTAAAATTATTGGTTGTCAGAGGTCACGTTCGTTAACATTTTACAATTAGAATCATTGTTGACCATGTGCATGTGCTACTGTACTTGATAGCACTCGTTTCCGGCATCTGAATTTTGCACTTGGAAAGTTGTGCTGTAAAAAAGTGCCTGGGATCACTATCTTGAAGGACTTGTCTCGAAGATGACCTGGGAGTTGGGGAAAGCACAACTGATGTAGTTTTACAAAGTTTCGAACAATACCAACAAAGGATACCAAAATATATTGGGATTCGGTGAAGTAATTCGTATGAAGTAATTCGTACGAAGTAATTCGTTCGAACAGGACATTTCGGTTCTGCACGGCCATTGCCCATTCGATGTCAACTAGCAACAGTCCGTCAAATTTGACAAACGGAGCATGTACATGTACTAATTCCTTGAGTTTCGGAGTATAGTTTTCAATACTGTACTATTTATTTGGCAGTCACCGAATTCACCACAATTCAGAGCCACTAACTTCCAGAGAGCAAAATCCACAATGCGGTAACAGCCCCAAAAGACCTTTTTAATTACTGTGATTTTCCCTAAAAACATTCTGTTTCACATTTTACCAAACAAAACCAAAAATCAAAACCGCTACAAAATCATACCAACGGGTGACTATTCTGCCGCCACCGCAGTCCGTCGCGGCGGTATTTTCATGGGACCAATCAGCGCCGCATCGGCTTCCAGCAGCGTCAGATCCCGATCCGCGCCCAGGAAGCGTGTCGACAACTCCAGACTGTTCAGTCGCACCCGGACAAAGGCGCTGCGGTAGTACAGGTGCTCGTCGCGTTGCGGCCTTTTGCAGACGCAGGGGAATTTCCCGCCGAAATCAATGTACAGATCATCGGCCACCACGTGGTAGATGCGACCGACGACGATCTTCCCCTCGGGATCACCCAGTTGGATGTACTTGGAGTGGCGCAGCATGCTGGCGAAGGATTCTTCGCGTTCGGGAAAGGGCGGCGGCTGCAGTTCGTGAATGTTGCGGAAGCGCTCGAAAGCGGCAGCGAAACCGCGGCGCGGTCGGGATCGTACTACCAAAACAGGCAGGCATTAGACCAATACTCATGGTCAGTTATTTTAGGCTTTTTTCTGCATCCACAGTATTTAACTAAATCCGTAAAAGTCTGATTATGTGTGGTAGTCTGCTTTACGAAATCCATTACCTGATGTCGACTTCCCATTTTAAAGTCATAGGGTTTTTAATTCATAATAGTATGCATACGAATTTGACGAAACCCGGTTACGCTTAACGTTCGAACTGTGTATTCATGCCCATTCCTTATATACATAGTTTCACTTTGAAAGTGGCACCTAGACAGGCTACACTACTTCAGTACACAAACTTACTTATCAAAGAACACCTACATTACCGAAATACATTTATTATCAAAAGGCTGTCCGCTATAAAAATAATTAGAAACAAAATTTACTTTAGAGCGTAGCTCGAGAGAAAACTAGTGTCAACAAGTGATAAATCATTTGTTGAGCTCGAAACATAACACCAGCACGCTCAGGAATTCTATTATAGCATCACCATAATTATTTCCATTACTTAAATAACTTAATGCATGCTTACCGGGTGGCTCGGACTGTTCGGGCAGTTCTTCATTGCCTAGGGAAGACTGTTCCAACTGCGCTGTGCTCCGCTCATCGTTTATTCCTCCGCTTTTATCTGAAAACCCTTCGCCTTCACCGGAATTCGAATGCAGGCATTTGTATGCAAAGATTCCCGTCGGCTCGGATTGTGCTGTGCGCCAAAGGATAGAGCCGAAGATAGTCCTTGAAACCCACATCATAGTAAGTGGCGAAAATCAGCACGAAACTGAGGTTCTCGTGAAATACCACTTGCAAGTTGTACTACGACGCAAAGAGAGCTAGATTTTACAAGGAGCTTTTAAGCTCCCAAGGGCCAAGAGTGCCAAGACTCAAAGTTCCAGTTGCGACAGCTACTGTTAGCAGCTTGCAATCAAAGTATATGAGCCGAAAGCTCAACAAACACTGAAAAAGCACTAAAAAACTCTGTATCCCTGCAATCGCAAGTAAATAAAAGTGCAAAATTAATAGCAAATCTAAAAGAGGTGCTTTACGAGATCCTGAAAATAAGGAGAAATTGCTGAAATTCTTAGCGTAATTACTCGTATTGTAAATTATTTCAACTCTGGCAGAGTCTAGCTACTTAGAAGTACAGTACTACCCTAGCATAATAATGCAAAATGATATGAAATAAGTACTGTAATAAATTCGGATTTCCTTCGATCGAATATGCAGCCGCCCTACGGGCGGTGCGGCGATGCTCATTGTCCACTTTTCTTTTATTTTATGACATATACTTCGTATACGTAGTTTCAAGTTTGCATCCAAATCTGATTTGTACGAGTACTTCATAATTTTCCAGAAAATATGTTAAAATTAATAAGGATTACGAATAATTTTACCGAAAACCCAAGAAACCCATAATAGTTATTATTAATGTAGTAACACATTGGTAATTTTATTAATTTTTCCCTTCGGATAAGGTTCGACATCCGGATTGTTGCTTTTTACCCAGTCAGCTCTTTAGACATGGAGGGTAACAACCTGGAGGAGGGAGGGAGGGTTCTCAGCCTTTAATGACATCACCGTAAAATTATTACAGAAATTTTTAAATTGTTGGTGCGACAAGGGTAAATTCGAAAATGTAATTAATTGCATATTAGCATAAAAGCTACTCGTAGCAGTAGTCAAGTAAATAAACCTACAAATAAGAATGTTTCACGCAGCCGGTCCGGAATGGTGCATTTAATCTGCAGAGCCATCTCATCCCAGTGCGCGTTCACTACAGTAATATTTTCCTATGACTACCTTCCTGAATTTTTTACCATTCCACTGACAACGAAGAGCGGAAGCACTTGTGGATGTTCTTGAATCGGCAGCTGTGGAATTCCCGGTTTCTCAAGGACACGCCTCCGGATTGGGAATTCCGCTTGTGAGTGGTCCGTTGTGCAGCCTAGCAAGTGGCAAGTTCGTTGCTGTCTCTGCAGCAGCTCACACTCTGCACACACGCTCACAACATACACACATTGCGCACAGCGATTGCCATAATAAAATTTCCAGCTATGGTGCGAGCGCGTCCGCTGCTCGACGTTCATTAGCGTCTCACTTGTTTTTGCAGTTTTCCCGTTTTACACCTAAATGTGTCTTTATGAATCCCCTGTTCATACATTTCCACAGCGGAATCCAGTCTAACCACCCTGTATCGTGTAAAAACGCGGGGTGCGAAGGGAAGATTGCTGCTTGGCGATTTTGGCAGTTCATCTTGTATATACTTACTTGGCGTGCAGATATTTGACCGTGAAACGGTGAAAGTTTGACTATTTGCACTCGTTCGCGGGTGATCCAGTGTAATGAGTCTAATGCCGTGGGCTGAATTGTCGTGCTGCCTGTAGTTTTATTTTCTTGCCGATTCTTCCAAATGGCGCAGGTAACCATACCGTGTTCAATTGCTCAGCAGCGCTGCTTGTATGTGGCGCTTAAGTGATCGCCGTGCTTGTTCTGTGTGTGCAGAATAAATCAGCACGGGCTCCTCCGCTGACGGGGACGTCGCGTCTGCTGCAGAATTATCCGATGGAGCCCATCGGATCTCGGCCGAGTTATGTGGGGGAACTGATATCGCTGGTCCGCGATGGGACGGAGGAGATTAAATATCTGCTGGAAGCAGAATGGTGAGAAACTGCGATTCGCTCTTCTGGTTCTGATTTGATGTGTAAAGATATTTCTGCTTGCTTTTACAGTGACTTGCGTTTCAACTGCAAGGTAAGCACAAGGTTTCGAAGTGCGAACCATGATATATGTATCGGGTTACATTAAATAATCGTGGTGTTGTTTGCCCGTAAGAAGTTCAGCATTTTTTAGAAATTTTAAAAATATTGTTTGACTATTTCGAGTTCTCAAAAAGATTTGGGTGAAAACAGCAGAATTTTCATTTCTTGTAAAGTCTGCGAGTAAAACTCCGTAGATGGTCTCAATCCGCCAGCCAAGTATCGTTTTAGAATAAATTTCTTGCTATATATGGGGGTAGGGCATAATGGGCGAAAAAGCTTTCCGGCTTAACCCTGAAAGATATAATTATTAAGCCCTGAAAAACAAACAACAAAAAACCCTGAAAGGTATAATTATTTTTTTTATTAAGCTGATCGTGATTGTTAAGAGCTTCTGTCTGCTACAATTCTCATTAGCAGTTCTTCAAGTTAAAGGCTAGAAGTACTCGTACCTGTCGTAAAAATTTTTTTTTATTGCTAAAATGTTAAATTATGCTAAAGAGTTAGATTTTTATATGGAAAATGCTGCATTGCGTGGTACACATAACGCAGTGAAAGCTCACAGGTGTGCGGATCCATTCTGCCCACCGCCCGCGCCTTTGTGATCCATAAACGCCAGTTCTGTACTTCGAAATACATTGACTATCAGCGTAAGAACGTGGCCGTCATGGAGCGACTATCGAATCTGGTGTCCTTTGAGGACCGCTCCCTGCAGACGGACAACCTTGACGCCCTGGAGCTCCTTAATCCTATCAATGCGTCACTGCTGATTCCCTTGCCTGTCGCGCCGTTGCACACCAACGGGTACGCATTCAGCGATCCTCCCAATCCCGCCAGCGGCAGCACACCGCGCAGTGATGATAACGAGGAGATGAGCGACGAAGCACAGGAAGTCGATGTTCCTTTAGGTGTTGAGGTGAGTACAATATGTTCGGAGTAGCCTTGCAAATCTTTTTTTAAATAACTGTTGTTTTTTATTTTTAAAAATTGTGTTTTGGAAGTATGTTATTTTGCTTTTGTTAATTTTGTGTTTAATATGCATTTATATTAATTAGTTTTTGTGTTAAATGGCGTTTGAGTGATTTATGTTTTCCTGAAGTGAGAAATTTATTGTTTCTTGTAGGGATTTTGTGGTAAATTTTTTTTATGTATTTCTTTCCTGTTGTTATCACGCGGAATACGGGTTGATCTGTGCAGGTGGTAGTTCCTGCACGTCCTCCGGTGGACGGTGTGTACCGTTTCGGAATGGGCAGTGCAAATCTGCTGGCCAGTCGGAAGAAGAAGTACCGGACAAACAGTATGGCGCCGCCGAAGAAGAAAAAGCCAAAACCTGTTCTGTTCACTTTTACTGATGAGAAGAATTGCCCGGCACCGCCAGCTGCCATTTTGCCGAAGGCTCCACCGCAGAAGGTGACCCGCGTGGAGGAACCTGTTACCTCGACGTCATCCTCCTCCAGTATTGTGGAAGCGAATGATACCGCGTTAGCGCCGCGACCGACAGAAGAGGTAAAGCGCGGCGCATCGTTTGCGCCGGCCGTCGAACGAACGCCGCTCCTTCCGCAAGGCCACGGACGGACAGATTCGCCTGTTAAACGCTCCAGGCGACTCGCTGGGGTTCCGCGTAAGTCAGACATTCTCAGCGACGTAATGCAGACTTTGTGCGTACACTTGATAGTACAAATTGTACATTTTTAAAAATTACGAAAAAGATTCCAGTTTTCAGCTGTTCAGTGTTTGCTAGTGTGTATTTTGTTTCTGAAAAATTTTGAAGCTTGTATGTCTGAAATGCTTATTTGAAGTTAATACAATGATACCGAAATGATGATACGTCTTTTTCAATTTGGTTGCTTTGAATGATGCCAAATGCTGATATGCACCGACTGCTAGCAACCTAACAGACTGCCAAAAATATGGAAAGGAAGCGATTAAGCTTCCAGTACATGTGCCACAGGGCGAAGAATTTCGCCGCCACCCCTGCGGCATTATTATTGTGATTTAAGTAATTTTGGACGTTTGTGATTTTGTGTAAGGGTTGATTCTTGTTGTATAACGCGGCGCTAAAACATAATCACAGAAACCGGCTCATAGTATAATACAAAACGAAAATTGCAGATAATGCGGAAGACCTGAATGGTCTCGGCCACTGCAGTGACCGTAACGAGCCGAAACCGACACCGGAACAATCGGAGCGGATGAAGGACATCCGCGATCCCCGCTTTGTTCGCAACCTGTTAGAGCAGTTGGCCGAAGTGGCAGACTATGCCAGTAAAACATGTAAAGAGTGTAATCGAGTCGTGGTCAGTATTTACAATCTGGATCGGCACGTTGCCACACAACATCTGGGCCTACGGGAGTGCGAGTACAGTCTGATCAGTAAAGAGTTGCGCCGTCTGCGACAAGAAGTGTACGGTCCGCTGAAACACGAAGACAGCCAGGAGACCTCGGAACCAACACTATCCCGGGAAGTTTCCCATGTGGACGACGTCCCGGGCGAGGAGGGTAAAGAGGAGGAGAAGAGTGATACAGTGGATGAGGAGAGTAATGAGGGGGAACATCAGAACGGTCTGGATGTCCCCACATCCACCAATACCCCGTCCACCGATTCGGAGACGATAACCGAACGATTGGCGGCTATTACCCGTAATCCGCAGGCCTTCAAGGAAATTCTAACGGCCAAGGAGAAGGAGGCCGTGCATGTGGATTACACACTGGATGAGCTAGTGCAGATCCATGCGCAGATCCTGGAGGCGGCCGATACGTTTCTGCAGTGTTGCCGACTGTGTAATAAGCAGTTCTTCGACGTGTACGTGCTGAATCGGCACGTGATGACTGTGCATCTGCGTCTGCCGGAGCGCAGCTGCGGGACGATCAATAAACTCATCAAAGAACAGATGAAACGCCATCCACAGGCTTTCGGTCTGGCCGCTGATGCTGAGAAAGCGGCGCCGACGACAATAAATACGACGAACGATGCGTCCGGCGAATAGCGTTGTTTTTTGCTCAGTGATTATGCACGGAAAGATCGTAGCGGGGGAAACGAAGAGAGCGCCAATGCGCATGCGTGCACATCTGTCCTGTTGATCAGGGCTCTTTTGACCTATTTTTACAGGTGATCGGATTATGCTTGCAGGATAAAGTATGGATTATACCTGTCTTCTTTTTGTTTTCCACGGCACAAATCTTGCGCACTGGCGTATGTGTAGATATTATCCAAATGGAAGCAGTCCAGCCACTTCCTGTCGACCAAGGTTTGATTGATGTTAGTGCTTCCAGGATGGAGGATTTTTACACAGGAGTTTAATATACAACCCATACGCGCGACACTCCTTATAGGATTGTACAGAGTCCTGTTTTTTGAGTTTGCGTTGAGCACGCTGTTGTGGCGTTGAGCACGCCAAGATTCGTTTGCCGCGTATACTGTTGTTTATATGATTGATCTGACTGTATCGCTGATTTTTACTTTTAAATGCTTTTGCTTTGTTGCCTTTAGTGTTTTATTTAATTAAAATCTGAAATCGGTGATTTGAAGTACTAGTACGACATTCCTAACTTTATACTGTAGGTTTGTAGTGACACTGTGTACTAGTACTATTAATTATACGATGTAATTCAATAACTCACGATACTAGCAATAAGTTGTTAGTAACTGTACGTAGAGGCTAAGTAAGTGCAATTATCTATCATTATTTATAACTATTCACGTTTTGGCCGTGTAGATTAATAGTCCAAAAATACAAACATACCACGGATAATACGAGTATTTCCAAGGTTTCCTCACATGATTGATTTTCGACTACACTTCGTTGCATATGTAGAGACACAATTTTACAGATATAGACATAATATTACTTAACTAACGTTCAGTAATTTTATGATACATATAGATATAAATATAGACAGATCATAATATTATAGTACAGTAAGTACACTACAAGATATTCTACAGACACATGCAAGCGTTTTTATCGGGACTATTGCCATTTGGACATTTTAACTGGGATACTCCCTTTTGATGAAAATGTTTATCAAACGTGCATGCGTTCGTTTAACGCTTTTAAAACTAAAACGATAAGTGCACTGTATACAGTATGTTGTACAATACTACTCGTATAACATGAGAAGACAGGTTCACGATCTTATACACATTAAACGAATTTGTAAATACCAAATCGACAAAATCAAAATGAATTATAAATCAAAGCCTACAGATCAAAAATGTCAGGGAATATTAAACGGACGAAATAGTAAAATGCCGTTTCAGAACTATGTATGTAACCCGATAGGATAACTGCAAGCACTAAGCTTAACCGAGCATCAGTTCTGGGCTAAAATATAAAATCCACAACATTAGTAGCAGCTGCGAAAGAATGTAATAAAGAATCGCTCAGTTGCTGAACTCCCGGTCCTTGAAGATGACTGGCGCTATCAGTGTCCAGACGTAGAGCAACACACACACCCAGCTGGAGGAGATCTTCACCCAGGCGGACGGCTTACTGATGGCGATATTTTCCACGCCTTGGCCAGCGCTCTCCGGGTTTAGCCAGTTGGTGATGGTCATCATGACGTACAGGGTGCCCAGCAGCATCATCATATGGAAAAAGGAGTAACTGTACGTCACCTGATCCTCTTCATCATCATACACTTTAGCACCTTCAGCGTCGGGAGCTGGAACATAATCTGTATACAATGTAATCCACTAAATTATTGTTATTTTGCAGTTCATTTCATCCAAGTCTAAGCATATTCCAGAGAAAACCTAATATAATTACCAAATTCAAAAAATATAAAATAATAAAAATTCAATTACTACAGGCTCTCAAAATATGCTTTTTCTCTAGTTCCATTTAATGATTCTGTACTGACCGCCTTTCGATTCCGCCAGCGTTGTCTTCTCGCCGCCTCCGGTCAGTTTGGTAACGTTGCTGTTTGTGGAATTGCGTATGGTGGACCAGAGAATACAGGCGAACCAGATGATGAGACCGACAATACCGGAAGCGGTCACTGACTTGCCCGAGGTGGAGGCGCCCATAAAGCTCGGATAGCATTGACCGTCGCTATCTATGTCCGCACAGCAATCGTAGAAAGATAGTCACAACTCGCAGCGCACATTACATGGCGACACTCACGTACCAGGTTGGTTGCTCAACGAAGACCAGGTTACGTAAATCACGTATAAGCTGATGATGGACGACTGCATCAAGCCCGAACGCGGCTGTCCTGCAGACATAAAAAGAAATATGCTGATAAGAGCAAGAAAATATAAAACACCAATTATTTTTTAAATTGCGTCGGCACATTACAATGGTCACAAAACCTGGAAATATACAGGATATAAAATTAAGAATTATTTGGTTCCGTACAAAGTCGCATTAGAAAAATTTAATCAGCTCACTTGCAAACCAAATGGTCAAAAGGCAATACACGAAATTAATTAAGGACTTACGTTCTTGCACTTTCGGAAGGACGGCGACAACCGACAGAATGACGCATAGGATCATGTTAAAACTGATGAAGAATTTATTCAACGGGCAGCCTTCGGTCTACATATAAAATAAATTAACTAAATTATTTTTTCCGGAAACGGATTTGCCATTCAGCCTTACTTTCGTGTAAAATACGTAGAGGAGCACCACTGCCACGATGGCAGCAATATAGCACATAACCGTAACAAAAATAACACCTGCAAACATAATTATAATAATATGTGCATACGATTATTTACTTTCCGCATCGTTTCGACTGAAATGGTGATTTACCAAAATAATACACTTTGTTGTCAGTATCCTCGAATTTCCCGATCCAGTTCTCAGCCCAACTGTGGGCCAGATCAATCAGTAGAATCAACTGAACGAGAATGAATCCAAATCCACCGATCATGCCAATGTACATCCATACTGTACATCAGAAAAAGCTGAAGTATTTGCAAGGTCGATGTTGCAAGAAAATCGATTTTGGTCAAGGACGAACCTGTACTGAAGTCATTACCGGGAATGTAGAACGCACCAACGCAGATTCCGATAATGATGGCATATTTCCAGAACCAAAACCTGGGAAAATATTACTTCCATATCACCCTGTATACAGTAACTCCCCAACAGGAAATAAATATTTAAAATAATATAACAAGGATACAGTCCAGTGCTAAATTTCTTTATCCAACCAAATTTTACCAATTAAAAATAATGTTAAATTCTGAAGCAATCATTCATTTTATTAAGTATCCAGCAATCAGCTCCCTAAAAAACTTACATGCTTTCATTGCTGTGTTTATCGTTTAAATTTTAAAACTTTTATTTTTAAAAACTCGAATGAATTGCTTTCCCACAATAACATATTCTACGCAGGACAGTCACAAAGTGAAAAAACTTGCACGTTTCTTAACGTTTAAGTCGCTAATGCACCATACCCGTTTTGGATGCCGGATCGGAAATCCTTGGAACTGCGCACACCGAACATGATGACCATCATGAGGAAGAAGAAGCAGGCCACAGCGAAGCACACACGGTAGACGCCACTGTAACCAGCCACCTTGGAGCAGTCGACGCCCGCATTGGGAACGTTGGGAATTAAGGAATTCGTGCCATTCTGATCGCATATGAACTTATTCGCCCAACCCTGAAAGCATTACCTTTTTATTCCCGATTTGATTTGATTTATTTTCGAGTAGCCAAGCCCGACTTATCACAATCTCGACATAATATGTGAATTACGTATGTTGCTTCGTACATCGGCCAGCTGGTGCTGTACTGAGGGCGCCAAGAGGATAAAGCACACGATGGTCCACAAAAACAGCATGATTCCGTACATAATGCGCGTCGAAGTGGAATTTCGGCAAGTTGGACATGATTGACAGCATAGGCCACATGCTGCACTGCCACAGCAGCAGGCCAACTAAAGTTAAATAAAACATACAGATATGTGCGTTTACAAAATCGTTACAAATTACTACATAAGAATTTAAAAAACTGAAAAAAATTCCAACAACCTGATGTCAACCATGAGGAGCACAAACCTGAGCGAGACAAGTTGGGACGGCTAAAACTGCTCCCATTTCAAAACGTTTCTCAGAAAAGGAGCAAGGTGATCCTTTCAGTGAAGAAGAAAAGGTCCTGAGTCGATAAGATACGGTAAGTGAAGATATGCAAAGCGATCCCAGGAAGCTGAGAGAGGATTGTTTGATCTAGTCAGACATCATCAGAATTAACTCACTATAACAGAAGATTTATGTTGATACAGGAGGCGATCCTGAAATGAGAAGCCCCGTAAAACGAAAACGATGAGAGTGTATAATCTGGACTGCCACAATGTGATCAAATGTGGGGAAAATCGAAAGAGTGACACTTGCTGCGGTTTCGTTGAAAACAAAATGGCAACACACAAGTAAATGACTAATATGGTACAGTACATACAGGGATTTGCTGCACGGGCGCCAGCCGGTCAGTTTTATTTCCGACCCCGATATACGTTCAATACAGTAAATAGCTCTTTCTCTGATTTTGTGAATACTTAACTCAACAACATATTTTTAAATTTTTGTTTTGAGCTGCTTTGATAGAGACCGCCACAAAATAATTGTGGTCACTCACTCTCACTCTCAGTCAGGCGTCCAATCCTGCCCTAATTAATTTTGTAGTCGCATAACCTACGAACTGTGCAAACCAGACAGTACACTGCTCTGCGTCTGTCTACTTACTTTTTTGCTATGTTGAAATTGTTTTCCTCGCAAACACTGAAAACAGAAGTTTTTTAGCCATGCTCGAGAATTTTTTTATCTGTCTTGGCGGCGTTTGAAGCACAATCTCACTTTTGATTTATGAGTATAATCTCCTTTGTGTGCCTCTTGCAGAATGTCATCAGCAGTAGGAATTCGCTGTTCTGCACTGCTGGCGAAGCTAATCCGTATCCATGCCGCTTCGAACCCACTGCGCACATATAGTGTACTGCGCGCGCCTGTCCAGCGTCGGGCGCCTGTTGCGAGCCGTTTCCTGGCAGCACGTGCCGCTCCTGCCTTAGCTGAGGAGCCGAATGCTGCTACGAATGCACCGGCGGCGAAGACCGCCCGAAGCACCCCTGCCGCTGCTGGTCGCAGCCACACGGACCGCGGGCGAGCGAGCGGTGATGCAAGAACCGCGGACTTTGAGAAGAGCCTGGCGAAATTGGATATGGATGTCAAACGCACGGGGCGTGTCAGCCTAGCGGATTTCACAGCGTGTTATGAGATTCTCAAAAAAGCTGGTAAGCTGACGGATGCAAGTGAGTGCGTGCACACTGGCACGAACTTACGGATGCAACGGATTCTGAGTTTCTTTAATTTTATTTTATTCGTAAAATAAATTGGGCATTTTAAAGTACATTATTCTCAATTTTCTCAGATACTTTAAGCCGAACTGCTAAATTTTAAAGTTAGTGTTTTTAAAGCAGTTTACCATCTACGAAAACTGTTTTGCGTCCAGCGTTTCTTTGGGAAAAATTCGTTTTTGCAGTGCATGTTTATGTTTCAGATAAAAAATTACCAAAAACACAAGAGCAGCTAGAAGATAATTTACGCAGTATTAATGCCCTCTACTTTTGTATTTATTCAAAAATATGTTTTGCAGAAAGTATTTCAAGTCAAACTGCACTGCTGATGATCCGCTGCTGCGGAAGTCTCCTGTCCGATTTGAAACCGGTGGACCGCATCAAGCTGACCACGGAACTGTGGGACCGGTTGGTAGCGAGTCAGACCCGGCTGGACATCAGCCACTACAATGCCCTGCTCAAAGTTCACCTGGAGAACAACTACCACTTCGACCCTACCGCCTTCCTGGCGTTGTTGGAGCAGAACAAAATTGCCCCCAATCGTGTCACCTACCAGCGTCTGGCCGCCTTTTACTGCCAGCAGGGCGACATGGACGGTACCACCAAGATCCTGGAGTTCATGCGTGCACAAGATATCCCCATCAACGAGACTGTCTTTAACGTCCTGATCCAGGGCTATGCACGCGCCAACGACATGACCAGTGCCGTGGGTGTCCTGGATATGATGCGCAATTCCCAGCTGGAACCCAGCACGACCACTTATCGCACCCTGCTAGAGGCATACGCTGAGAAGGGCGACATGGAGAATGTGAGGAAGGTCCTGGCGGATGTGGAGAAACGCGGGATAGAGTTGAGTGATGCGGATTTCCTGGATGTGGTGTGTGCTTTGGCTAGTAAGGGGCATACGCAGCATGCCGGTGAGTTGTTCGCCCGTCTGCGCCGTCACCCCGGTTTCTTCCACGATGCCCTGGACTGTTCTCTGCGTCTGTTAGACTACGACGCCTCCGATCTGGCATACCAAGTGATCGGAATGCTGCAGCTGAACAAAAATGTGGCCGATCGCTCCGGATTTGGGATTAGTTTTCTCAAGAAGCTAATCCGTTACGGGCATCCCGTGGAGGAGATCTGGCACTACGCTTCCGATATGCGCCAGACCGGGGCCAATCCATGGGCCGTGGAGCGGGCCTGTGAAATCAGTCTGCAATTGGGCCGGTTTGATTACCTCAAAGAGTTCTTCCGCAAGATGGCACAGAATGGCATACCGGTGCGGTCGCATTATTTCTGGCCATTGTTCAGCGCCTGTCGACGAGATGGTAACACCAAAGAGGTCTGGGAGATCATGGGTTTGATGCACGAGGTGGGCGTTAACCTGACACTGGACACGCTGACGGATTATGCGCTGCCAGCACTGGGTAATATGCCATCGGATGAGATCATCGCTGAAACGCGCAGCCGCTTTCCGGCGATGTCCATCGTCAATCCCCTGTTGGTGTACCACCTGGACAGTGGGAATATTAAGGAGGCCACGCGCTTATTAGACGGCCACGATATCCACATTAATCCGTCTGTCATGATGAAGCCCCTGGCGGAGGCATATGTGAAGGGCGGGGATTATGGCGCCGTGGAGGGGTTACTGCGACATATTGCGCAGCAACGGTCTGTTGACGCATACGATTATGTGGGACAGTTCCTCATGAACGTCGTGCAGTTGACCAAAGGGGACGAAGCTGCGATGGCCAACGTGTTGAAGAAACTGGCCGGGAGTGGGTTCACGGTATCGTCGGCGGTGCTTAACAGTATTGATGACCAGTTTGGCGGGAGGGTGCCGGAACAGGTAGGGGCGCTGTTGGATCGTTTGGTTAACCGACAGACGAATTTGCGGTTGGATACGGAAGGAGATTACGGGAAGCATCCGCGGCATATGGGCATCGAGGAATTGGAGGATCATCTGAAGGAGCTGAAGAGCAAGAATATGAACACTAGAGGTGAGGTGAACACCCAAGATGCAATCATTTAGCGATACTTACCTATTTGCCGAACTTAGCAGGATCGACTACTATTCGAACTAAAATTGAGTGAGATTACAAAAAAGAATCCCCTTGTTATTTTTTTATGACTTGCATCATACGGTGGTGATTCGGTGAATAGTAGAATGGAGTTTCATACGACGCATAAGATGAGTAAATGTTGAGTCTGTATGGCATTTACGTCTGCAGGTGTTTTGCGTCGTCTGCTGGTTGAGCATGCTCGTGAGCGCGATGTGAAGCGGGCTGAAGAGATCCGCGCTGAACTGGAAGCGGGCAATTTTGTTTATTCCGGTGCCATGCATGCCCAGCTTATCGACATGTACACCGCCACCGGCGACGTGGATAAAGCCATGGCCATCCACCAAGCACTGGAACAAATGGACAGCCAGTTCGTCATTGATTCCTACAAGATCTTCAATCTGGCGGCCTTGCTGGTGGGAAAAGATCGCGCCCCAGAAGCCATCCAGCTGCTGGAGCAATACATCCAGAAACGGGGTAAACCGTTGGAGCTCGATTCATTGGAGCGCAACATTTTCCGTCTGTTGAATGCTGCGGCAGAAAAAGGCAATCTGGAGGTGGTGCGGAATTTGTGGGATTTGCTGCCGAAGATGGGGAATATGGTACCAACGAATCAGTTGTGCGGACCACTAGTCAAAGTGCATCTGGTGAAGAACGATCTCTCCGGTGCCATTAACGCGTTCGAAGAATGCACGACTCGGCACAAGGTGACGCCTTGGAAAAATGAGTTGATGCGCAAATTGATCGAGGCAGAAGATCCGAAGACACTCCAGCAGGTGAACGCCATTTTAAAAGTCATTTTGTAGAAAATTTATTCAGGAGATTATGAAGAAAACTTTTGCGCACAAAGAAATATTTTTTGTGAACAACTTTTTCTGTTTCTTTCGTAGCAATAACATACGAATTTTTGCGCCTTGGCGCTGTCGACTTATCCGTAGCTGATGTGCCATGTATTAAAAATCTGGAAATTTAATTAGGTTATGGACGCCACTATCAAAGTCCATGGCGAAACCAATGCGCTGTACGATCTGGCCTTTTCTTTCATCGAAGCCGGGCGGGTGAAACAAGCGCAGAAGATCTTCGACACTCCCGGCCTGCGAGCGCGTCATGATCGTCTGGAGGCGTTTGCGGAGCGCTGCATGGATAACAATCGTCTGCCGGAATTGGAGGGGCTCATCGGTGCCACGCGCGACATCTTTGACATTGATCGCGATGCACTTTATTACCATCTGATCAGGCTGTACGGAAAGAACGACCAACCGGACAAAGCATTAGCGATGTGGACCAGTATGCAGGAGGAGAATGTGCTAGCCTCGGGAAAGACACTCCGCGCACTGGCCGAAATCCTTCGGCAGCACAATCGGGAGATACCCTTCGATGTCCCGGAGGATGTAACTGATCGGGAATCTGCCATGCCGCCAGAGGAACAGAACCTGCTGCAGTGTATCCGAGAGGATAATCTGGATGAGGCGATGGAATGTAAACGGCGGATGGGCGGCAAGGGTCAGGCGTTGTCCGTAAAAGGTTATTCGTACCTGATTGAAGGACTGCTGCAAGTATGCTCCACGTTACACTTCTTTGAATTAAATTTTGATGTGCATTTTGAATTATTTATTAATAGTGGGCAACAGTACCATCAGATGGTTATATGTTATATAATTTGTACCTCATGGGATTTGAGAATAGTAGTTTTTGTAGTAAATGTGTTGGTGCCACAAACTAGTTCTATTGGAAGGATAATTTAATTGCTCGTCCAGTACAAAAACGAAATAATATGGGCTACTAAGATTGATTCCATTAACTTTTTATTTCCTTTTATTTTCTTCTACGTTCCTTTCATTTGCAGAAAGAAAGAATACGAGAAGCCGTCAAAATGACATATGAGTTGCTGGAAAACAATCAGCATCCCTACCCGGCTGTTTCTCGTTTCCTGGTGTCTAAACTGAGTCGTAGTGGCGACGTTGCCCAACTGGTGAGGCTTCTTAGCATCATAGCGCTCTATGCTTCGTTGGTTTTCTGCTTGATTTGCAGTATCTATTTTATCGCTGTCTTCTTCGTGTTTTGCTTTTTTTATCCTTTCCCTTTTGATATGTTTTATATAGGAAGAACTGCTGCAAGCCTTTCCGGAGCGCATCGCGAGCTATCTGCAGTTGAATAAGCATATGTTTTCAGCATACGTCCACGCCAACCGTGTGGACGAAATCCTGGACCGTTATGAAAAAATGGAGCCCACCGAGTACCGTCTTCCCATCACCGGTCTCATGGCTCTCCTGCAAAAATACCCCAACTATCTGCCGCGCATCGAAGCCCTGACGGAGCGTTGTGCCCAAGCGGGAATGCTGCACCCGGCAATAGCTGTGTGGAATTACCTATTTACGGAACGCCGTTTCGATGATGCCAAAAAACTGATGGACCGGTATCCGGATTTGAGTGTGCGTCTGCGCACCCTGCCCATTTGTGAGCGGGCCCAAGAGACCAACGATCCCGAGCTACTGCGCCAGCTTATTGTCACGCTGCGCGATCACAGTCGGTCCAATGTGGCGCTGGCCTACAGCTACCTTATCGGACTGAACTGTCATAATCGCGATTACAAGGCGGCGCTCGCCGTGCTGCAGGAAGCACAGGAGCAGGCCGGAATGGTCCTGCAGGAAATACGGCTGCCGGCGTTGCGGATGCTGGAACGCGGATTGATCCAAATGGGACAGGTCGGTTTGATTTTCTTCCGATGTTTATGGGAATTTAATTAATAGTTTCATTAATAATTGTTTTGTAAATCTTTATGAAAGGGACGAAACTTCAGTAACTCAATAATTAGTTAAACAGTGTTTAGAAATGTATTGGGTATGTTGTCGGGTAGCAAAAATAATATAGAAAAGAGTGGAGCAGTGACCGATGTGTTGTTCGCTCCATAGTTTTATCGTTTGGCGGTTAATGGTTAATGACCATTAACAACAGCGGCTGCATTTACGTACCCGAGACTGGAAAGATTTTAATTGTTGGTGCGACTCAGTTGGGTAGATTTTCGTCAAATCATGTTCGTGATAGTAGTTGTGGTTAATTGCGGAGTTTCCTGGTAGACGGCTGGCAGGTTCTTTACAATGGTTTTATGGCGTGTTTATGAGTATAATTATCAGTGTTCTTACGTCACAGCTTCTCAGAGATTTCTGTCTCCCTGTAAAACTGGTTCGATAAAGTGCCGTGTAACGAATCTATCGAGAACCAAAGCAAGTGTTATGAAATCAGCTAATTTACCGTGCTGTATTGTGAATTTTGTATTTGAGTGTACTAGGGCCCGTTTTCGCAAATAAGTAAGTCGATAAAAGTAGCGTCTGGTTGGATATCATGGGTAGCGGTTGTTTACGGAAATGCCGGCGCTTGTGGAAAATGAACTTGATTTCACTTCCAGGTGCTCAGGCGAGGACAATGTGATAGATTTTGTTTGGCTTGTTAATTTAATGTGTATCACTGTAGACGATCGCGCTTTCGCTCTGGAAATCTAGATTTCCCGTCTTGTCAACAATGAGTCATAAAACTTTAAATAATTTATATTTAGTAAGGGGAATACATGGTTACTTGGTACTGTAGTTAAAACACGTAATAATATTGGCTTGCCTTGCAGTTGATGTTTCGTTTCGTTTTTTAACATTTGGATTTAAATTATTGTTGTATATCCGACTGCAAACTTTGAGGCAAAATATGGAACGGTTTTATTTACTGATAATATTTCTCTGCAGCCGGTGCCATTCAGAATACCAGAACATCCGCGCACCACCCAACAAGAGCGCCAAATGCAGCAAGATATAATGCCAGATGAGGCCGATAGCGACGACATAAAGGAGCGGAAGTCGTTCCAGAATTAGACGTGGAAAATGTGTGTCGCGTCGTGAGTTAATTTTGTAGCAGTTGGTTGATTCGGTTGTTCATTTTCTGTACTTAGCTGCGGTGTACTGTATGCGTACGCTTCGTGTGTTAATTAACGAGGTTGATATCGTATTTGATCTACATTTTGTGTGGTGCGCCAAACACTTGTTGATAAGACGGCTGCCAATAAAATCGTTTGTGTAACGAGCACTGAATACCGAGTGACGACTACTGGTGGGAACGGTATTTATTGCAACTGCACACACCACTGCACGGAAAAATTACACGAAACGGCAGCAGACTTAAACCAACGCCGTCAACCATTAATAACAACCGCGTGACATTATAATACAAAAAAGTTTTAAAAAAAACTGAACGAGGAAAACATAAAAGCATAATTTATGCGAATGGATGCGCGCGAGGCGGAGCGAAATATCTGCTAAAATAAAACAAGCTTGATGCAAGCGGATTTTTGTCGAATTGAGCAGTTTGTGACAAACCACATAATAATTATAAATGTTTATGGTTTTGCCGGTGGAAGAATCTGAATGATCTCTGTGTGGACCACGGCCACCGTTTTCGATTGCGGATGACAGCAGGGAAAGAGTTCCTGCGCATCGATACGGCGAGCTATCCGGCCCATGCCGGAGGAAGCCGGCATCTTCTTGGCGGCATCCCATAAACTGATTGTCAGAACACAAAAAACAACCAACAAGGCACCGATAATACTGAAGTAATGGGGAATAACGCGGAATAAGACAATCTGCCAGATGAACGACCACACTATGTCCCCGGTGCGTAGCAAAGAAATCAACCCGGCCGATTCTGTAAATTTCGTAAATTAGATAATAGGTAATAATGCACATAATTATTATATATACTAGTCAAATAGTTGTACATAATTTTTCTTGATTTAAAAAAAATGTGAATCGCAGGAATGATATCGCACAAAATTAAAAAAGAAGGTAATTAATAAATCACAATAAACTCCTAGCCGAGCTTTCAATATTTCAATTAACAAGTAAGAACGAAGCAAACGCAGAAAAATAAGCATTAAAAATATATATCAGTACATCTTGCTGGAATTATCCGGTAAATGGCACTTCTCGTGCAAGATAACAACCTACCTAATTTGAGCGCTCGATTGAGGGCATCCTGTGAGACTAACGTCAGCACGCCCACGCCAAGGATGTAGAAAATCTCATAAATATCCGTAGGGAATGCGAAGTGGTCAAGCGTCGCCGTTGCCACCATGGAAATGATAAAGCCGACAAACGCCGTCCAGAACAACACAATAGTGCTGTCCACATCTTTTAACTGCCTCACCTAGAGAAACACCGAGAAGCATGATATATTCAACCGGTCAAAACCAGATGGACAGGTCGGATTATCGGCGGATTAAAGGCGATCTGTGTGAGAGGCAGAGAGAGAGACAGAAAGACAAATTTTCTGATCACGCGCACATACCGTGACATAGACCGAAGCCGTGAAGATGGCTGAAGCCAACGCCGCCACACTGCCCCACATGTGGTCATCCCATTCCAGATCCGGATTGTAACCGGCCGAACCGAAAATGAACGTCGGCCGGGACACCAGTGTGCACCCGCTCAACGTAACCAAAATAGCCATACCGTGCAACCAGTGGAAGCGCTCTTTCAGGAAGATCAACGCCAACAACGACGCAAACACCGGACTGGAAAACAGTATAACGGAGGCGTCGGCCAGCGGCAGTTTGTGCAGGGCAAAGTATTTGCAATAAGTGGACGCCGAACCGACGACGGCCCGCAGGACCAGCATGGCGCCGCGGCTCTTCAACAATTCCCAGCGAAACGGATTCATCCGCTTACAGCCCAGCGTAAAAATCAACGGTACGATCATCACCACGTAGCGAAATACCGCAATCTCAAAGGTTCCGATGGTTTCGATTAATTTCACCAGCAGGGCTACCAAGGAATTGGTGAAACCCGATGTCAAACCGAAGAACACACCCAACGATGATTTACAACAATGGGCTTTCTTCTTCGGCTCGGGTTCGGGCTCGGCCGGATCCCCGGTTGAGAGGGGACCGTCGTCGAGATTCATGAGAGGCAGTTGCTTCTCGTCGTGATATGGATGATCAGATTCCTCATCCAGGGAATTCCGTCCAGAATAGTATTTTACGCGTTCATCCGCGCTGATAATCGTCTCGATGGATGAGCCCAGCTGGGAATCATGCTCGAAGTCGGCCGCGGAATAACTGTTGCGCTGCTGCTGATCGGCTTTGCATTTGACACTCAGTATATCAGAAGGAATGTCGACTGTCGTCATGTCCAACGGTGCGACGTTGATTTTCTTGTCCAGCATTTTTGCAACAACAATCAGGGGAGAGATAATTATGTCGTAAAGATATACTCCGGGAAGCCGTCCAACTGACTCACAAGATGATCAATCGGCGCTGTTGATGTTGCACGAGGACAAAATTATTGCCGACATGCAATCATCAAGGTATAAGTCATAATAAGGGCATTATCAGCATGTAATATAAGCAGTTTCCAGGAGCCTGGAATCATGCGAACACGAAACCATACAATCACAACAACACCTTGGTAATTTGAGCAAATACGTTAACGAGAATCAAAGAATGAGCTTTTTGATTGCGCGACAGAAAAAGATATATGGATAAAACCGCGAATTAACTTATATATATATATGTATATATATACAAGAAATACAGTAGCACGCTTTGGCGGAATATTCTGCACCACAAAATATTACATATGACTGCCGTAGAAGTACAGTAAAGATTTTTGTGAGTCACGGTTTGCCACGAAGAAATACAAGGGTTCATGGTATAGTGCAAAATTGCGAATAACGTTAATATCTCGGCGAATCGCCCAATGGTGCACGTGTTTATGTTCATAAAGGCTGGCATAGACGCGTCCCACATGGTACTGTACGCACATAAAATTTAATGTCGATACTATACAGTAAATGAGCCGGTGCTGTGATATGGCCGCGTAGGAAATGACCACTATCAATTCGCCGGAGGGAATCTTGCAGAACGACCAAAATGGTGTTCATCTCCTACTGCTATTTGGCATAATAGTTGCTTACAATTGATACACAAGCGGGAAAATCGGGAAGATGAGTACCCCGAGTAACCAATTGCAATTAACAATAGTGGACATGAGTTCCAGTTCGGTGCACACCGCAAACGGCAAAATAAAAATTCTGTCACCACGGCTGCGGTAAATGTAGAAAACGGATCAATATGGACCACAAACTATTACCACTACTTGTGTATTAATGATTACATAAATTCCCGGCACACAGTGACATTCGACATATCTAGATCTGTAATTGCCTTTACCGATAATTTATAAATCTAAGTGTTATATATGCACTGTTACAGAAACACCAATTTTTGCTTTGTCAAAGCAAAAATTGGTGTTTCTGTAACAGTGCATATACTGTATAACACTTAGACTTATAAATTATCGGTTACAAAACTTAATTCTCTGAGTGTTTGGAACGATCATGGCTAATGTTTCATCAAAACGAAAATTTATTCAAATTTGCCAGGATTAGAAGTATCGCGTTTTAAATCAATGTGGTTAATGCAACTGCAACACTACAGATACATACGGTGTTATCGTTAGACAGTAACGACTAACGACCTTTACTTTGAGCAAACTACTGCAACTTTACCAAACCATACAAAAATGCATTTTCACGCGAATGGTTACCGAATTGATGAGAAATTTGTTAGTTTGTCTGAAATAGAATAAATTTAAAGGTGTGATGTATTTCAGCTGCTTTCGGTTTGAACTGATGCGATTATTTTCTACTAGCCCGACAAGTTCTAATTTTAGTATTTTTGGCACCATCGCCGCGTGCAGCGCGTTTTATTAATTTCGACAGTAGCGCCGTGATGTTCCGCACCCATACTTCCGAAGTACTTTTGCTGATTGATGACGGTTTCTATCTCTTTCTTCCCGGAGGGGAGCGATTAGGAGTAAAAATTTTCTTCTTGGTCTACATCGTTCTTGATTGCTCACGTTTACTACTGCAAATAAAGTCTGTCGACAAAACGACCGGAAAAGCTTATCACACACCATTAGAACATTTTGTAACAAAGTATTGTTTTTTTGCACACTTGTTCTCACATTCATTGCTGCACGAAGTTTTGAGACAAAAATCGTCAAACGATAAAAAAGCACACAAGTAACTTTTTCTCACGGGCAAACACGTGCCGTAAGAAACATTAGAGAACAATGTCCACTGGTAGAACAATATCCGTTAAAGGGTCATTTTTTTCCCTTTGGCTCTCCAGGCCAACGAGTACCGGTTGGATGTTATTCGGGGCCTGGTAGACTTCCATGTGCAGGTACCGGTCAGGTCCGTAGCGTATCTGTATCAAATTTTATACATATCACTTCTGTCATCAAACTATTTAAATATCTGGCAAATAACAAATCAATAAATGATGCAATGACATACATAAATTACAAAAATGTAAACATAAAAAATATTAAATAAAACAATAGCATACTTGTTAAAACAATCAATCGCTGAAGCTAATTACAATCCGTGTACAGTGAGCATGATGATTACAAGTGTCAAAGTATTCGTGTGCGATATTGAGAAATCCCAATGACTCATAGTAAGCGTTTAGAAAGCCAAACAGATTTCTGATAATAGATAATAGACGAGGTTGCAACTTGCTACACATATTCTGTGCACTTAATACAGTAATTTAGTGATAGCTATCTGTAGGACGAAATCTTGATGTCTCTTGAGCAGTGTTCTTGTAAGAATTGAAATACTCCGAAACTACCAGAAAACTCATTTCTACTTGTAAAATCTCACCTTAAAAGAAGTATAAGTGGTCTCCTGTAGTTTTGACGTGACGTATTGCATAACGGTAAATTCGGACAGGGAGCCCAATCGCATTTCCACATCCTTGCGAGCCTATTGCAGAATACCAGAGGTAGAGGTTGCATGCACCGACTGAACCGGAAATCGTTGGTAACTTCTCATAGATGATTTGAATGCTAAATTTCACTACAGTTATAACATTAAGACACTGATCTAATCCAAAAATCATGTGTAAGAGTACTGTACCTGGGCTGCCAGAATTTGGACTGCTGCGGGTATGGTCTGTGACATCGTTACGTTCCCACAATTGCAATGCCGTGGGAACAGGGAGAACACCTAGATTTCTGGCGTTTTCCTAAGAGCCCGGCTGCTTTTTATGTTAGTGTCATATTTTTAAATGTTCCTGATTTACTGCCACGCAAAATTAACGTAAGAGCCGTCGTGTAAGCATCAAATACGTAAGTATATTCTGAATATTATCTAAGTACTACGAGTAGTAAGACTGTAAGCAGTATCTACAAACAATGAGAGCAATGTTCTCGGCTTGCGCAATCGCACGCTGTATCGGTCTTCGCATGAATACAGCAGTTTTTTTCGCATTACTCTCAGTGTCGAGCACAGGTTTATTTTATCGCCCGCAGCTTTTTACAGACTTACAGAGAACTGTAAACTGGATCAGTTATTTGCGTTTCTGATATTAGTTTTCAGACATCGCGATCCTACATACACTGAACTCACATGTTCTCCAGTGTATTGTTATCGCACAGCAGTGCAGTATACCGTTACAATAGTGAAAAGTGGCTATTGTAAAAGTCCTCTGTGGACTGTGGTTTAAAGTAACGCTGCACACACTTTATTGTGTTATGAGAACGTCTTGAGAATCTGTGTGATACTTTCTTACATTTTTGCATGTTGTTTTTATTTCTTTAATTTGTTTAACTATCTACCAAAATGCTCATAGTTTTGTTGTATTAATGTTTCAGTGCCAAAAAACTTTGTACATCCTAACGAAAAACACAACCTGAACTTGAAATCCCTTGAACTTGCTGAACTTGAAATCCCAAAGGTTGTGTTAGCCATCACATTAGCTAAAGCAATAAAAAGACTACAATAAAAGTAAAAGACCATACCAAACAACGATACCAACGATGCACTTCGAAAGGTCAGCGACGTTAATCCCTAAAAAATGTGAAGTTCTCTCAGCAGAATAAATTTGGCAAGTTTTGCATTGTTTTCTCGTGTAGGGATTTCTACCCCGTATTACTGTAGTAGGTATCACAAAATATCGATAGTTATAATAAACACTTTACAAGATCTTTAAAAGCGTACGAAACGTTTGCTCTCAGTCTCAGCTATCTTGTTTGTACAAATTACCTCATCTACCACCATCTATACACAGCTTATGTAGCAGTCATAATTATACATAGCCACATTATGTATTAAAAAAGTCTTTGACAAGACCTGTACGTCTACGAGCACAAACAATGGCAATACAAAAGCTGGAAGTTTACTGTCCTTCTTACACCAGAAATCCGCGCCATCTCATCGGGCTGGCGCCGGAGGATACCGGCTCATCAGCTAAGGGACCGGCCTTCATCCCATCACTGAACAATCCCTCCGTTCGCGACGTCAAAGCTACCGGTAATGCTTTTTTGACGAATGCCCGTTGACCTGGAGCCGTTTGGGTGGGGCGTGTGGCCTCATCACCGTACAGTCCAAATACCGGCACAGTCTGTGGTGGTTGCGGGGCGTTGAGGTTAGCGCATAACGGTCCCCGGGCCATCGCGTCGTTGGGGATCAGGCGACAGGTGCAGTAACTGGGCAGGCGGAAGATGTCAGTTCCGGTTTGGACGACGCCGTTAATGTCCGTGTCGATGGTGGTCAGCCGGTGCTCCATCTCCTGCTGGGAGCAGATCGACTGGAAGCCGGGAGGCACGCCGACATAGCTGCACGGGGAGCTAATCGGTGCCGGTCTGCAAAGGGCGCATTTATCATATATAGTTCACGTACTTAGGCAAATAACGCTATCTATATTTCATGTCTAACAAAAACTGTACAACCCGGAACGGTTTCATTACAACTTAGCAGAACTAGAAATAGTTCAACCGTATAAAATGGCCTGTGTCCGAATAGGCTGATGATTCTAGCATTTTATAGATCACAGTTTTACGTACAGGCAACGTTCTACGCGGATCCCTTGCATGAACGGCGGGAAATTTATTAAGAATCTGCGTTGACCACGCGTATTGAGTGCTTCTTGTGGGAAGATAACTGACACATCCGATGGGCAGATTTGAATTTGAATATCACCGTACTGTGAATAATAAGGATCTGCAAATATTGGCATCTAACAGTAGTGATGGTGACTGTACAACGGTTTTCACAATTTTTTTAAGACATGCATAGAATAGTATTGCTCACCGTCCTCGCTGACTTCTTTGTTCGGCTTATTGGTGATTTGTAGATTCTTCAAAAATTCCAGCGAACTGTCATTTGTCAGTTGCTTTTGTTGGAATATGGAACTACCAAACATGAATAGCTCAAGAAATTAAATTATTATCGTACATAAATCTAAACGTAGACAATTATTTATCGAATGCAGAATTGTAAGACTTGTGCATTACAATACATACACAAATTCATGTAGTAACCTATAGTGACCATAGCTCAACATCACATTGTAGACATATGCTGTAAGATGGCAAGCGTACAAATATTTACTATAACGTTTTACTTCATTTTTTAATATTTTGCTGGATTATGATAACTTTTACAGTATTTGCCATTTGGCGAATAATTACATTACATTGGATATTCCATGGATTTTTCACAAAACGTTTTCCCACAAGTGGTCTGCGACCAGTTGGACTTCATGGATGCCACACGATGGCTGATGGAAAGGAGCAGGACCAAATTAGACAATAAAGGCCAATTCCGCATCCTGTAGTCAGGACGGTGCACGCCGGTGGGCCATGATACGGATCGATAAGACATTGCTCTAACAACTGCCTCTTGCGCATCAGTTGTTGTGGTGGTGTTGTTGTGGCAGTGCGATCTGCGGCAGAATATGAAATTGCCAAAAAAAACGAAAATCGCAGCCTAACTGAAACAATCTGGCAATAAACCTGGAAAGAGTTGCTTTAAGTAAACAGTGTCAAAAGCAGCCGGTAGTCTTCATTAACGAACGAACTGAAGGTCACTTCAGTTCTGCTGATCACAGGTGTGGAACGGCATTGTGAACGCTGACCTTTCTGAGCAATTTGCATTCTAACTGCGCCCGGCAAGTATCATACGTGTAACTTCGGTCGGTATGAAACAGTTTGCAGTTTGAAATAGCTTTATAAAAATACTGTAACGTTTTCACATGCAGGATACGTGCATCTACTTCGTATAAATAATTTTTAAGGCATATGAAAATCAAAATTTCTGGAACTTTTACAGTAATATTATGTTAACCCGGGAGCGCTGACTATCTGAACGAGTGCGAGTTTTTGCTGGAAATCCTGAATTTCCCGGTGAAAACATTAATTAAAAATGGGAACTTTCTGTGTTCTAGTGCTGACCATAGGTCGGCGGTGGTGAGTTCAACCCTGTTCATTAGGCACTAGTACTTATTAAATTAGACTTGAACTGGAAATTCCACATTTAATGGCAACCAATGATTTGCATGGGCAGCGCTGCCATGCATTAACAAATATAGGTATTTGAATTTATATCATGAAAAGAGAAATTACAGCATATGGTTCCTTATGATAAGAATGAACAGACATCATCTCGAACAGTGCTCGTAGATCAGCTTTTAAGATTTCCTAGCATATTTCGGTATCATCACAGTCAAGCGGGACATATAGGTGTAGGTACATTCTAAAACCAACAAAATTATGGTTACGCTGCATAATGAGCTACTTCGATCAGCGGATCATCGGCGGTGCGGTATCGTTCCAGCCCAACCAGGACTGGTGGACTGCCGTTGTGCTGGAAGACTTCCGCGTGTAGGTAGCGTCCGCCGCCCGCTCGAATCTGTTATACACAACGGCAATTTGTTATACAGTGCATAGAATATAATCAGGCACACGATTACGAAATATCAACGTATATGTTCCATAAAATGTCAAATGCTACTCTCAGATGTAAGCTTCTGAGATTTTAATTATTAACAAAATTTTATGTCATTTATAACACACATTTTCTTCAAATTGAAAATTTTAGAACGCGGTTGCCCAGTGAAAAGGTCTATTCCGCGTCCGATACGGTCCAGTAGGCTCTTAGGTTATTCTTTGAATACATATACACATTTCGCTCCACAAGCAAATGACAAAATACTGCCTAAATTATTAATAATTAATAATTTTATTGTAGGAATAATTAAAATTTGAGTGGCTTAAAATAACCTAAGAGCCTACTGGACCGTATCGGACGCGGAATAGACCTTTTCACTGGGCAACCGCGTTCTAAAGAGTTTTTCCGGCAGCGTTTGTCGATTCAGATTTGAAGAGGGAACACGCTGTGTGTTATGGGAAAGTTTGCCGGACATGAAAAACATTTTTTCGTTATAGCTTGTTATAATGTTTTTGTTTTATCTTTTACTTTTTGGGGGAAAAATATAATATTCACAATAGAGTAGAGAACGATAAATGAGTTGATTAGTATTCAGAAGTTGGTGAATTCGTCCGCACATCGCGTTCGTGCTTGCCTTGCTAATCTGCAAGGCAAGATCGATCCAAGACGCATACACGCCCCTAACCTTGAATGCCGTATATAAGCTTCCCTGGACATTTTGTATGCGAAATTTTTCCACAACGAATTCCTGGATGGGTCGACCACTCCGCATCATTATGCCGTCTTTGACCTGTTTTAAATTACACAAATCACCGATTTATCGTACATTCTTTTCGCATTAATGGTGCCGCACCATCGCCTCTATCAGTAATGTGTTATTGTTCATTTGAATGATACCGAATCGTTTGCTTGCTACTGAATCGGACAGGTGGATGGCAATTAATTCATTTATTACTAATAAATACTACGTTATATATGGAGTTAGGTGATGGTCGTACAACTGTACACGGTAAAGGTGACATGCACTGTGTTGAACCCTTTGTTCAAAGGAGACAGTTACAGCGAGAATTCAGAATCTTACACTGTACCTGTACGTCGATATCGTAATATTATTGTATTTTGCCGGACCAGCTTGCATTCAAAACATGTACGTACCTGATCCGCGAGCGCCTGCATTTCAGCCAAAGTGGGTGCGCTAGACATTTCGGACTGGGGAGGCGCTCTGTCGTTGACGGTTGAAATTCTGTCCTGTCCTGTCGGTTGAAATTCCAAGCGGGATCACAGTATCCACCACAGTTTCCGGTGAATTGTTCGAAGTCCTGGAGCACTAGTTATGTTGCGTGAATGGAGCCTATTGTGTACATACTGTGGTTCATGAATTATGATCACAGTATGTATCATATCAGTTTGGAAGGTCGTGATATCGCACGCACGGCTTTGAAGCCGGCTTCACTGATTATTTTACGAAGTTTCCATCGATTTCGCCTGAAGTGGTAAACGAGCATAAGTCCCTGCCGGCAACATGAGCTCGGCTCGCAATGGTTTGCATTTATTTATGACAGAAATGAGAAATATAGCAGATGAATTTAACACAAATTGGATTTTTACTGATTTTATAGTATCAACATGATACATTTCTGTACAGATAAGAGTGCGATACCTATAGTTATCTTTAATTTGGAAGCTGCATAGACGGACGGAAGTACACATACTCACGTATGTCGTTCTTGTCAAGTACACAGTACTTGATCAATTTAGCGAAATATCATCAACTAAAATTTGTGGATTCCGAATTCAGATCGATGCCACTTCAAAAGAGTTTTCGCAATCCCGTACGCATGTATCGTACGAGGACGAGCTTAGTACATATGATAGACAAAAAAACTAGCGAGAGAATCTGATAACCATGCCCGGCCCGTGCAACACGGGCAACCACCCAGGTCTGTCAGTGCTGGTAAATACATCACATTTAATACAAATAATCACCCCAGTATTAAATACCGCACGCTTTATTTCTTACAGTAAAACTTTGACTTTGTAGAACCACATGTGAATTTCAGAGTACTCACTTTTTACCCATTCTGAAAGATTTTTTAATTTTAGTCGGAGTATTTGTCACATCGCTAAGTCCGCTACGAGTGTTTCTTTTTCGCTTATTTTTCTGCATCAGTTTTTCTGCTTCCCGTTGCTCGAGCGCTGCGATTACTTTACTGTCAGTCGCAATAAGCCCTGCTTCGGCGCGCAGATTTAAGTTTTCTCTTTTTCTGAGGACGTCGCTGGCAGGTTCCTCCACACAATTCTCACTCAACGGTAGGCCCGAAACAACGCTGATACTCGTGAAAGAAATCTCCATCGCAGGTGCAGAAAACAAACTGGCAGGTAGCCGTACGTCGGTGATATTCTCAATTTCTCATCGTAGTACATCTCGCCAGATGAATCTTTATATTTAGATGGTAATTTTATAACATTACTATCAAGAGATTGGTTAATTAATGTCAGTCACTGGTTACTGGAAATTTTGCGGAGAACCAATTATAAACAAAGTTATAAACCAAAACAAAACTCGCATTTAAATTTCAATACGAGTGTGCGTTACAGTAAATAGCAGACCGTGTTCAGCTAACGGCTGCGTGACGGCGCGCGGCTACCGCCAGCCTAAGGTGGCTGACAGTGTTGCACAGCACGCAAATGGTTATCAGATTCTCTCGCTAGTTTTTTTGTCTATCACATGTACTAAGCTCGTCCTCGTACAGCTGCAACGCAGTTTTTTACTCGTACTTTACTAAAAGAAACACTACCCGTAGCACTGCATGCAGCAATGGTGTACTGTACAGAATCAGCAAGTGATACCCATTGCCGGCCATCGGTTATTTCATACTAACACAAATCAGAAACGTTTCCTCTTAATGCTCAGGCGATAATAGAGCGATTAATGATCAGATAGATGTGAAACTTCTGTAAGCGGGTCTTCAGCTTTTCTGTAGCGTTCCAGTCCTACCAAAACCGGAGCCGTTTCTTCGTTGGGCTGAAATACTTCCGCGTGCACAAAGCGCCCACCGCCGCCGCGAATCTGTAGACAAAAGAATAATTTGTTTGAATTACTGCTTGTCAAGAGCAGCACATCGTCAGTCGCTACAATTGTAGATGAAACTCTGCTTATTTTATTAAACTGTGAGAATTATACAATAATTACAACGACGTTCATCGCAAGAATTCCATTATAAGAATCAGACAAACTTACTTTGAACGAAGTGTAAATTGAGCCTTGTATTCGCTGTGACCGCGACTGCACGACAACGTATTCCTGAAGTGCACCTGTTCGCTCTTCCACACTTGATCGCACCTGCAACCAACATCGCTATTTTTAATTACTGCATTTATACACATGCAAGTGTCCAGTGTCCAGAACGATATGAATTGTGAACCCTGCACCAGAAACGTTCACGTTATTTCGCTACAGATTTATACCCATTCTGCTGTCCTTGATTACGAAGTGTTAAGTAACGGTACGAATATAATTCTGTATGGCACTAGTACCTGATCGGCAATGGACTGATCTTTGCGCTGCGTCGTCATAATAGTTTCCGAATATACGCTAAAATTTACTGACGATCTAAATTCATGAACCGCAAAGTGCGGGTGTATGTATGTACAGAATAGCACAAGGACAAGACCGTTCACGTGTTCTTCTGTTGGTGAGGCACTGTTTTAAATAATTCCACTATTATACAAAATCCGCTAAATAACGTTTATAAAATGGATGTTGATGCACGAGTAAATAGGTAATTCAAACACCGAGAAGGGAAACTGAAAACCTGTCCTGCCATCATTTACCCATACCGCACACGCTTTCAGCAAAGCAGAATCATGGGTAGTTGCACGTATGAACAGATAAACAGCTGTGAGAAATGCTTTACTTGTTCGTCAACTTTTCAACTTTCAACATAGAGGCACTGTTACTGTTTTTACTGGTTTCATCAAAGAGTTATCTTAAGAAATGCACATGTACCGGTAAGCACAAGACCGCACCGTTCTACCTCGTCAGCGGGACGAATTCTGCCGTATCAAGAACAATCTCTCCGCATGCTACAACTAAAAATCACGAATACTTCGTGTAAAAGAAAATTCCCAAGATTTACGTTAGTGAATAAATTTCCACAAGGCATCAGCAGTACAACCAAAGCATACACCACGAGTGCGAGTACAAATAAAACCTGATTAAAAACCACTGTTGTGTTTCCCCATCGCGCTCCTTTTGGTCAACACCAGATACGGCCCACCATCCGGCGCCTGTGCGCGTCTACGCGCTCTTCTCAGCTGAGATCGGCTGCTGCACCACCACCAGCATCTCCCCGCCCTTGGTCCCCAGAGCCTCACGCAGGAAGGTAATAACGGCGGCCTCGTTACCGATCAGCAGGGGCGCCTTGAATTTGGAGTCCAGATTGTAGAAGACCATGCGTTTTGGCTCGCGCCCGGCGGCTGCCGGATGGGAGGAGGGCGGCGGTGTTCCGGCCACGCTGACCGGCCGGATGCTGATCCAGTGTCGGCGTCCCAGCGGCAGTTTAAAGGAACCGATACCGTAATCGTTGGGCAGGTTCAGAATCAGCCCCACCACATTCGACAGGTCCAAGCTCGACAGGTCACTGCAACAGCGAAAAGTGCTCCAGTATCATTTAAAACACACCCCTTCCTAGGATATTACTATTCCAATCCAGGTAACTACCATCAAACAGGATCAATATAACTAAACACGATAAATACAAGGGTGACACTATTGCCAACCCAAACACCCCCATTATTAATAGCCACCGCTTTTCCACACCCCGTTAATTATATGCACCCTTAAACAAGATTAATATAACTAAAATAGGCTAAAACACAAGTAAAACAAGATAAATATAATTTTGATCAGCTTTAATCGCAAAAGTTATCGCCAGAAGATTAATTTATTAATTATCCATATATATATTCTGTACAGTAAATGCAGCTTATCCCATTAAACATCAGACGGAGCAGTGTACCAAAACTCGTTAAATTACCACGCACAGACAATCTCTAAAATTAACAACTGAAAAGAGTAACAAGTGGAACCGCTCAGGCTATTCAGATAAACAACTCCCAGAATTCAATTAATAACATTTCAAATCTAATAACACTCGTTCAGCAGAATTCCTTATTACACTATTATTATTACTATTCCTTATTACACGTTACACCTTACCACCATTACGATGATGCTGTGTTATTCTATACCTACTGGCATGTTTGTGACGTTAAACAATAAGAAATTTTAGTGAAGGAAGTGAATATCAAGTTAGAGAGTTTTAAAAAGACCCAAACCAAAGCAACGTGAACACTTGAACTTTAGAGGATGTTTTAAAAAATGACTTCGGACACAGAACAACCGACAACCGCATTTCGTAAAGGCGTTGGACAAATTGATTAAAAATCAATTTGTCCAACGCCTTTACGAAATCGTTCGCAAAAGACTAAATTAAAATCAACAACCAAAAATGTGGGCCACAAAACAATCCTGCGTTTCGCCAAATCTTGAAATGTCCAGAGCTACAAGAGCCCTAGAATTCAGTCAACCAGAAGAGAGCGTGCTAATAACGCCACAGCACATCAACCACTTACTACAAGAAATCACCCGTACTCATTATGAGAAAAGAATATTTACAGAAACAATTCCTGTTCAATTTGCATATCGTAGCCTGGAAAACTACTTATTTTTGCAAAGCCCCCGAAACACAGAGCAATCTACTGTACACACCGATTTCGTAAATAGACAATAGTCAATACAATGGTAAATCCTAAACCTACACCAAATCGTTTTAATCCACTCACAGTTTCAGCAGAAAAGTGCAGAAATTATGCCTTCCTATACAAGAAATAATTAATATCAATCGATGAGTTATAATACATAAGCAAGATCGTCCAGACTTCAGCGTAAGTATTTCAAAATCCCATAGGTAACACACTTATTTTGTAGAAATAAAAGAAAAACAACCTGATGATCACAAACTTAGAAAGGGTACAAAAAAAGCTGGTACACAAATCAAAATATCAACCGTTAGATCAACCGCGAAACCGTTAACAGTAAAACTGACAAAAAGCCCCCATTAAACTCACGCGGATCACAAAAGAGAGGCTGAAACTGGATTTGGCACTGATAAAGACACAAACACTAAGGGAAGAAAACCACAAAAAAAGATTCCTAAAATCGAGAATTCAAAGAATACAATAGATGATCAGTCTGCAATAAACTCGGACATTCTGACTGCATCCCGTGGACGAACGTTTCTAACTGTCAATAATGTTCGTCCACGTTTCTGTGACCGTCTATAGCAAGATCACGTTTATTTACTAACAAAGCGAAACTCACTTGCGTTTATCCCACCAGATGGCTTCACAGTTGCGCGACTGGACCGCCACCATGACGACATTGACATCGTAATTCCCGAATCCGAAGAAGGATCGGTGGGGATTCGTCCATCCCTTGGAAGGAGTCAGTCTGCACGCGCAGCAAGGTGAACAATGAGCACGCTGTCATGGATAAACGAACACACCAGCACTCACCTATCGCAGATCTCGTCTAGGGATTTCTTGGAGAAGCACGGCTCTCCGAAGAGATTGTTCAGTGCGTGCATGGCACAGAACTGCTTCACTTGATGCTCATGATACACTTGCGGATGACTGCGTGAATCCATGCTCCCAACACTTCAATGTCCTTTATCAACAATGTCTTTGAAGTCACGGTACACGGGTAAGTCGGGGATGGTCATGGATCAAATTCCAGTGGATACCTTCCTTGCGAGAAGATTTCCTGGTAACTTGGAGCTGGGTACTTGGGAATCAGTACTGCTCCAACTTAACACTTGAAACGATTAAACTTAAAGTTAACTCAAACTTCACAGCATAATTTTTAAACGTTCACACACTATCGTAACGGTAACTTTGTCAAAAGTAGTGACTTCAACTACGCTACTCAGTACTCTAACTCCACAGTGACTTCATAGTGCATTTATATTTCCAATTCCAATTTACTGGCAGTAGATTAGTAGTGCACATCCATGATCAATTGATATCTAGAGTAGGGACTTACATAAAAAACAAACTGGGAAACTGAAAAATGCGAAAGCAAATAAAGGAAATAGCACAAACGACTAAAAACTGCATTTTTTCAATTTCATCATAGGTATCACGCCACGAAATGCCATGCTGCGGAAGACGTACGTAGCGTTGTACGCGTACGCGTATGCCATCAGAGCGCCGTACAAAAGAGGTGCTTTCTATTTACATTTTACGTGTACCCCGCTATTTATCGTTTATGTTTTTATTACGCGTTTTTGTTACTGTTCGTCAGTTCGTGCTCTCTGATCTTCCAGCTCTATAGTTTTGGTTACAATTTTATCCAACAGGAGTTCCATCGCTTTCGAGACTACAGTAACCACAAGTGACAAGTCCTGTTCAAATTTATGACTAACGTGAGTCCTTATTATAATCTTTTTAAAAAAAGTTTGCAGTACTGACATAAATTTAATATTCCCTGACTGTGGGTTTCTCTGCAGGCCTGAAGTTTAAGTCCGCTTTCGGTTGTCTGTCGAGAGAATGTCTTCGAATGGCCATGGTGTGAGGCAGTCACGCAACCTGGCGAACTTCGTTCGTCGCCAGCAAGAATGGTTGGCATCCGAGCAGCATCGGCGCAATGCTGACTTTATCCTGCGCTCCAACGATGGTAAGAAATTCCCGGCCCACAAATTCCTGTTGATGGCCCATTCGCCCGTTTTCGCGGCGATGCTAACGCACGATACGAAGGAGATACAGCAGGGACAGTGTGATTTGTTGGACACCGATGGGCAGTGTGTGGAGGTGCTGCTGGATTTCCTGTACAGTTGCGGCAGCATGGGCAAGATCACCGTCCAAAATGCTGAGAAGGTGCTGGTAATGGCGGATAAGTACCAGATTGATGATCTGTGCAGTTCGTGCGAGGTGGTACTGGCGGGAAACGTTGCAGCGGAGAAAGCCATGCATTATCTGATACTGGCCAGCCGACACCGTTTGCCGGTACTGAAAGAGGCTGCACTGCGTGTCATCCCCAAGAATCTGGCCAGTCTGCTCAAGGGAAACGAGCTGGAGAAGGTGTGCCAGTCGGATCCGGAAGTAATTCGCCTGATTCTTGAACACTGCTCCAAGAAGATGCGCGTCGTGGAACCCGCGCCAGTGACGGCGCCGCTCGTTTATAAAGTGAAGCCGAATCCCCCTCCCAGCTCCAGCAGCGAATCCGATTCCGATTATTAAAGTGATTTTAGGAGTGAGGAAAATAACCGATTGCAGAACGGGTTTTTTTTATCTGTAGTTCGGTTGTGTTTTAGTAGTAAGTCAGTAACGTATCTGCTGAAATACATCTTCCTAAATACAGCTGGTGGTTTTGTTCACGCGATTTTTGCAGTGGTTTTTTGTACTTGCATTCGGTTCGGTATTGGGTAATTGTTGTTGTGCGATAATACTTATGTGCGAATATCTATATATCTTATTTCTTAACAGTTGGAACACCTAATTAAGGTTTTATTAGAAATTGAAATGTTGATACTGCATCGGTTCTGTAAAATGGTACTTTGTTTCAATCTGTCTGTCTGTGACTTCCATTCTTCCAGTACTTAATTCTGCCGATTCGTAAACGCTTTAACAGTACTTACGGGTATCTGCATTACAAAGCACACGAATGATTCCGTTCGGTATGTACAATTTTAACGGGCACATAGGGCATTAAAGTCTGGCGCTAACATTAACGATAATATCTGTAATAACATCCTTTCAGTTTAAGAAACCTTTTATTATTAGACATTTGTACGATTAACAATTAATGGCTATCATATCTGCGGTAATATGTAATACAAAGATTCTGCAGCAGCACGCGTAGGTTCACCTGATATTACAGCGGCATCCATCGAAGTTTTCTGCAACAACGACAACGCTGCATATTTACGATGGAAAAATATCACAATATCCGAGGCGGCCACAAACTGACACTTTCTCTATTAACTGGGCAAACATCTTTCCATTTACACAACCATAACCGGCAGGCCGACAAGCAACACTGACGCCAGCAGAATCAAGACATTCCCATGGAAAGTGGCCGCCGCATTGCCGCCGCCCGATTTGGGCGCGGCCGTTGTTCCTGCTGCAGCCTTATCGGTGGCAGCCCCGGCTGCGGGTTTATCGGTAACCTGCTTGCACACTTCACTGATATTGACATCCTTCGCGTTCACCTTCTGCGCTCCGGACACGCAGGCCACATTGATGTCACAGTTGGCGTACATCAGCGCGTTGATTTTGTCCTGCAATGCCCGAGCGGTGGCGTTGAGGCTTTTGCGATAATTCTGCACCGAGGTCACCGCGCTACAGTCGCAGGGCAGCTGTGTATCGGCATTGGCCATGTCCATCCGCAGGCACTTGAAGTTGCTGCTGTTGACCAGAGTGTCAGCGAATCCCGCGTTCATCTTCTTCAGTTTGGGGAGGTTGGACAGGAACAGTGTACTGAGCGCGGGCAAGCCGTCGAAGGTGGCCGGACTGAGGCTTTCTATCGGCACTTTGTCCAGGGATAATTTGGTCATGTTGACCAGTCCGTCGAAGGCGCTGTCGGCATTGGCACCGATGTCGGTCCCGGTCAGTTCCAGTGTGTCGATCATATTTATAACGGAACCGCCGCTGCTGACGGTAAAGATATCCCGGCTGAAATACAGACAAATCATACTATTCTATATTATTGTTTTTGGATGATAATAATACATGATTAACAATTATTACTACAAATGACAGTTCACAGTGATATTAATATAATTTTTTCTCAGCTACAATCTTATGGCATTAACCAAACTAAAATTTTCAGTCATATGTTAAAGCACCACTCATACTAAAAAAACTTTAATTAAATTAGACTTTACCAGTTGTAATGATAATGACAATAATGACATTACAATAATATTTATGATTTACTCGTTTATACTGTGAGACTCTTATCTACACATATTTACAAGTGCAATAAGCTGATTAGTTGTTAGTGGTTAGTGGTTACCCGCTCGTCGAAGGGTGGGTGCATTTACGAAGTGTGTGCTAATTTTAAGATCGGTAGCTCTATCAATTACCGTTATGGTGTCGGAAACAAATAATTTTTATAATCACTGATAATAAATAATTTTATAATTTCTTATTTAAAACAATAAACAAACAATTACAAGTACCTGAAATTCAGAGCACCGCCGATTAAGCGCAGATGTATGGGATTCGTGTTAACATCCGCGGTGGTCACCATAGGCTTATTTTTGACAAAGTAATCCAGCGCGCTGGATACATCCGCATTTGATGCATTGTTACAAGCGATCCTTGTGTACGCATAACAGCCCGACACCAGACATTTGGATCCAGCGGGCGACAATTGTTCCAGCACCTTGCACGAAGGGTCATCATCTTTCGGGACGACTGCCGCAGTATTCACACTGGCGGCGGGCAGCACGACAACCGGCGCGGCGACACTGGCAACAGCCGGATTCGACTGGGCACTGGCCGCGTGCAGGAAGAATACTACCGATAACAATACTAGATACATTTCTGGTATATACCGTGATAAAGGTCAGCGATTAGGAAAAGTATAATTTATGGCTAAATCGTGTGCGCACAGCGTTAGGGCGGATATAAAAAAATGCACATACAGTTCTTGGCACCGAAGGTGGATTAAACACCGATCGTCACATGTTATATAAGCAGTGGTACATTTTTGGAATAATTCACTACAGCCGTCTATTATTATGCCGGTATGTGTGGTAAACATGTACGCACCGCTCGGTGCGTACCGGGAATACGGCTCGTTATTATTGTCCAATTACGCCTGAGGGACAATATGATCGACGTGTTTTCTAACAGCTCCACCGGTGGAAATTTCGTCCACTGCGTAGATCACTTATTTTGTGTTTGGAAGGATTGCTGATTAGCAATGAAAAAATGGCTAACAGTTGACAGTGTATTCATTGGAAGACTTATGTGCCGCAGGGCAAAATTATAATATTAATATATATATGCTGATGTAATCCATCGAAAACAGCGTACGACATTTTGTTTAGAGATATCATGTCCACATGTAGTCAGCGAAAAAATTGGAATTTTGCATTGAGAAAATTTGGAAATTCTTAGAAAAAACGCTTCCACCTGAAAATACTTGGTAAACGCGATTTCTCATGCTATAGAATCGTGTACAAATGCCACAGAATCTGGTTATCATATTTGGATAAAATCGGGCAATTTCAGTAGTGGGAACAACTGATTATTTTCAGATAATACCGCTACACGCAGTATTTTATGGCGATGGCTTGTACAGTCATGCGACATTGCCGGCCGATTTATTATAATTTTTTATTTCCTTCGGAATGTCAGTTTCGGTTGTTATAAAAAATATAACTCAAATCAATTCCGAAGTTCCGGTCAAATAAAAACTGAAAGAAATTCAGCGTTTAGTAATTTTGAGCAACAATAATAAATTTCTTTTAAAAAATGGATGCTGTTAACGAAAATGATGAAAGGCAGTGGCTACTCGGTTTCAACGTCGGTGCGGTACAACGCCGTCTAAGTCGTTGGGGTTGTATAAGAGCGCTCCTTCGCGAAGACGACGATATAATTCACGCCGCAATAATCGGCGTTCCTTGACCGTCTTCTCCATAAAACCGCGATTTTCATGAGCACGCCGAATAAGGTATGGCAGCACCTCGTCCACACTGCCGTACGGCACGCACTTCACAACATTGTAGCCGTTGTGAGCTAGAAGGCAGAGAAACTAAATTACAAGTAACTACTTCTTGAATGATTCTTAGTTTTGCTCTTCCAGCAACTCTATAACATCAGTTTTTGTCATCTTAACAAAATAGTTCCGGTGCAGAGTGAAATTTTCTGGACTTGGCTTGCTTACCTAAAGTAAAGGAGAGATGATCGCACATTCCCAGCAGCTGCCCAAAATACAACTGCTTCGTTTTCTGTGGAATGTTTAGTGCGCGAATCCTACGACATAATTACGTATTATTGTACGCGTTGTCGGAAAAAGCAGTCACGCGCGCACTTATCGATAGCCCATCGGACGGTATGTTCATTATGCCCGGCAATGACGATGTTGGCTTTGCCGGGTCGTTGCAGCATGTCCTCCAGAATGGCACTGACCACCTTCTCGTACATCCGGCTGGTGGTCTCGAAATCCGGATTAATGGGATCAGGATAGCCTAGGGACTGCGCACGTTCCCGCTCCTAATTACGGGAAGATGATTCATATTAAATGTCGGCACAAGAAGCTCTAAAGGTTGCTTGTGATGTTGAAAAGGTGTATATCTAATATCTACCAAAACGATGTATGCGCCGCGCACAACTTTGGCTCCGAAGAGAAAACCTTCCTGCCTACTGAGTTCCAGATGCGACATCATATTCACATGGGCATCCTACGAAGGAAATTTCATAAGAAAGAAATGAATTTATAAAGAACGCCACTACACGTAAATATAGCAAAACCAAAAGCGCGTGTAGTTTTTTACTTTTTTCTTAGACACGCAGTACAATTGCGAAGTATTTCGACTTGATCATACTTGAATTTCCTGGAATGTGTTTGTATGATTTTTATGTAATGTTTGTATTTGTAACATTTTAACAATAAGGGAAGCAAAAGAATCGTACTCGTAAATAACATTGGTACGTGTTGTAAATCGTCGGCTTCTCTTTGTTGTAGCGCCGCATTAATTCCAGGGAGAAACGTGCAATAGCCGGCTGAAAGTAGCTCTGTTCAGCATCCACCAAGATGCGCATTTTTTTGCGGAAGGCATGCTAAAATCAACGGGGGAAAATGATCTATTTTGCCGGCAGACGCTAATTGATGTATCAGTATTACGCGCTCGTACCTCGGCGATGGTATCCATGCGCCGAGCCAAATTATGCGCATTTTCGCGCTCTTCATCGGACAAGAACTGACCCGAGGCGTTCCCGGGAAGAAGAGACATCTGATCCAGCGACATCTTCCGGTCGAGAATATCCCGCCAGTTCAGACTGTCGATCACCCTACATACGAAGGCCAAGTAATTACAACCGAAAATTACTTACTCGACAACAGAGCAAGACGGGCTGCGTAACGATATTGCACACTGGCTTGCCTTGCCTTTTTACTACCGTAGTACCGTACTTGCAGTCGTAGCATCGCTACTACGTTTTACGCTCGTCGGCTACCAATATTTTGTCAGCACTACAGACTCTGTAGGTTGTAGGGGTTACTCGGATAACAACGGTACTCGTACTGCAGATAGTGACCCAATGTTCGTATTTTATTTATGGCGCTGTTTTCGCTGCATAGAAATATTATATGATTGCTCATTTATCTTTCTTTTACTTACAATTAGTACCGTGGTAGTACTTATCTATTTTGCGGATATCATTTACAATTATTTCGATGAATAAAACACAGAAACATCAAATGACTTTAATTTAATGCTTTCCCGAATGCAATTATAAAATCTTGTTTATAATACGAATATGTATGACTATGTAATGGAACACCTGTTGCTACTCTAATCGTGCTTATATATATGGATACTGGCTACAGATACAGTACGTGTCTTTTTTATGCTTACGCAAGGAATATGCAACATATTCGCGGCTGCATTTGAAAAAAGAACTACGGTAATTTCGACTGAACCGACTTGAAATGTGCAGGATATGCAACATACATGTCATCCCGCGTAGCCAGTCCCTTCAACCACGCCTGCACGGCAACATTTCCGAGATCGTGACCTTTCTCCACCAGCTTGCGCTTCATTTCGTCCATAGGAATATTCAGTGCTGTGACGGGCAGCGCTGCATCCCGATCCAGCAAGTGGTTGATAAACATTTGCGACTTGCGGATAGCATCGCTCATTGCCGTCTGCACAAATGAGAACAAATTTAATTACGTCATCAACAACATTTTCGCTTTAAAAGGATGTTTTATACCACAAAAATACAACAGAAGCATCTACAATAAGCATCACTTTTTGGCTGTTAACGAAAAATATTTTTGAAATTACAGATATGTTACCAGCTATACCACCTCCTTTTCGTAATTGAACACCATTGTTAAGTACTAAGTTACCGTTATTACTATTAACAGTGCTTTAAGATGCAGGTATTTGTACGTAATTAATGTGCGAGTGAAAAGCAATGCAATTAATGTGCAAAGCAGTTACATGTGCGAGTAAAAAATGTAACAAAAATGTGGCGACGTAATAATACGTATCAAATGTAGTACTATAAGAAGCGCGAAAATCGGACCAGAGTTTCCGGCTTGGCTAACGCGGTGACTTTGATGGCGGCGAAGCCCTCGCCATTCGTCACTTCGGCCATATCATCCACGCATTTCATAAAGTATCGCAGGTTCACATCGCCGGCATCCTCCTTTGGTTCATGCTGAACCCTGTGACATGAAATCAGAATTCATTTCGCTACCAATGTTAACTGATGAACGGAAAAGTCCACGAAATCCATACATAATTCCTGATTTTTTCTGTTGGCTTCCTTGTTCATCATCTTCCACGGCGTAGTTCAGAATGATACTGGCTCCGAAACGGCGCATTCTGGCTGTAAAAACAAATTGCGGCACTTTAATCGAACGATATGCAACTATCTGTACATACATACTGTACAGATACAAACCGCTGCTTATGTGATATTCCAAAAATTAACGGTGGAGGTAAGTACAGTACTTGAAAGTTGAAACCCGAATCTCAGATCTCAAACGAAAGGGTTTTTCTTACCAATGAGCGGACGGATTTCATCCACATTTTCTCCCGCGACAAACTGACCATAAAATGTCTTCTTCATTACACGATTAAAAAGTTTCGGACCCAAGACTTTTCGTCCGAATTTTATCAGCTAAAAGAACAAGCAAAATATTTAGCTGCACTTAAAAATTTATATAAGACGAATATTAACTTAATTGATGTTTTATGATTATTACTGTTATAGACAGAATTTTCACATTATACTGTAATCCTCGGTTGTACAACTTGTACTCGTACTTATCGTCAAGTATGGTTACGTATTTTAATCATATTAGTAGCCTGAAACAGAATTGAAAAATCCGGATGATCAAGTCTGATTAGATGCCGAAAAAAATAAAATACCCTTCTATATAAATCGAATAAAATTATTCATTCTGTATAACTGTGATTACATAATTATGAATTCTACATATGACTGTCAACTATCAAGCAAAATCAACTAGAGTAGTGATACTAGAAGATGAGTGTGATTAATTTCCGGTCGAAAATTTTCGTAAAAAGGAAGAATCTGTTAAACGAGCAAAAACCTCAAGGAGCACCTTATCGCTGCTATCAACAAGGAATTCGTGCTTGCAGAAGCTCAGCACCATCCACGAGCGGAACACTTCCCACGTCGTCCGGCTTTGGTAGGCCAATTTGGGATCATCAAACTTTACATTTGCCGTATCCGCATGACTACGCGTATGCTCTACCCTACTCGCCGCTGGCGCCGATATCGACACACACCGCACACCACCAAGACTTGTTTTATTGTACACCCGCAACATCTCTCCGCATCGGCCCGACATTTTGTGCTAATCTGTATCCACAATCAGCAAAGAGACTCTTTTCGAGAAACACACACAGATTCCCGCGTTCTGCCAATCCACACACGGCACTCAAATTAACAACAAAATGAGAAATAAATTCCCGAGAATGAAATATCGCAAAAACAAACAAATTCCCGAGAGATGGTAGCGGAAGAGAATTCCAATTTCTCAGATTAATCCGCAACAGTTCAAACAAAATTCTCCAACACTGACAACATGCAACCCCGAACTGGAAAGACGATGATTATGACACACCCATTTGGAAACGCTCCGGGAGAACTCTACACCGGCCAATAATCGCCCCGGGGCTGATATGACCACTGTCCAGATAATAAGCGCCGTTTCAGCTCCGCACCCAATAACCGGCGCTCCTTGGCTGTCTTTTCCAGGACACCGCGATTCTCCAGTGCCCGCCGCGACAGATACGGCAGCACTTCTAGGACTTCACCGTACGGTACATACTTGTAAATACTGTAGCCCGCTTGGCCTAATTAAAACAAAGTCACAAATCAGCACGAGTGCATCCGGGTTCGAATTGTTTAATAGGTAGTGTACTAAAAGCAGCCTCACAAGTTTTACCGAGATTGAAACTGATCTGATCGCACATGCCGTACAGCTGCCCGAAGCAAACTACCCGATCAGCTGGCTTGATACCGAGTTCCTCCATCCTGCCAAAAAAGATAAATTTTTCCACATTTGATTACACAATTTCTGCTATATGGGTGGCCAATAAATGCAGCCGGTTTCAGCTAAAATGTCAATACACCCAGCGGTTGCACGGTGTATGTTTAATTAGCGTTCACACATCGCATTTTCAACACTGCGGTGAGCGTAACCATCTTCAAATGCTTCGATAAGGACAAGGTCACATTTTAATCCAGAAATGTGATCGAACTAAACGACCGTGTTCGAAAGATAACCGTTCTATCAATTTCAATATACCATTTAAAACAGACCTATTGAATACAGAATGTTCAGAAACGGATGTAATGACTGAATGCTAATAATAAGTAATTTCTCATAAACTTTCTTATACAGCATTTACTTTCATATGCAAACCGAAAAACCATACCAACAACCCAAAGGAACGAATCGTCGTTCCTTAAACTTCCTTTCTTTATCATCAGTTAAAAATTTATTAACTTCGAACAAATATTAAGTAGCACGTAAAACATTTTTCGATTGTTACCTTCCAGCAATGATAAAACAACTACATCCCGTTTAGCAACCACATATTACATAAAACAACTACAATCCGCGGCAATACGGTTTTCGAAAAAGGTGCGGTTGCCGATAGCAATATGACAAGTTCCTGGAACATGCAGCCGCCCAGACTCCTTATAAACTCTTTTAAATACTTAAATACTTCTTAGAAATACTTCTTATAAATTTAATATATGTATTATTTTAAAATGCACTTGCGCGGAAAGAATTAGTAACTTCCTCTACCTAACAAATTTTCAATTTCTACCTTAAAGCACATTCATGATAGCACCTTCATACTACATACAAAAGAAATATCACAGCTCACTTTTTAACTGTAAATCGCACGGTGTCCTCATTATGGGTGGCCATCCTGTCAAAAATATCATAATTTACATTTCTTCGGCGCAAAAACGCATAGACCGATCGCCACTAACATGATGGCAACTTTTCGTTCGGCAATGCCGCGCGCCTTCACTTCTTCCAGCGCAGTCGTGACGACCTTTTCATACATTTTCGTAGTTGCTTCGAAATCAGGATTAATAGGATCGGGATAACCTAATGCCGCCGCTCGATCGCGTTCCTTGAAAGTTAACACATCAGTAAAACAGAAAATAAGAAGACACTATGGTGTCTATAAGCTGCAAGACGAAACTGGTTGCACCTGTTTCATGTATGCTCCTCGAACAATTTTCGCACCGAAAAAGAAATCTTCCTTGCGACTGAGCTCAAGATGAGTTATTATCATACGGTACGCATCCTGTAACAAAAATCGTTTTCTGAAGTCATGCAAGAAAATGCAGAAGCGCAAAATACCGGCAGAAATCCATAAAACTGTGTTTTGAAACATTACCGATGGATTACCTTCAAGTAGCACTGATACGTGTTGAATATGTATGCTTTTTCCCGATTGTATCTTCTCATTAATTCAACCGTCAAACGACTGATGGCCGGTTGGAAGTATGTTTGTTCTGCGTCGATCATCATCCGTACTTCCTTCGATATGGCATGCTGTACACACAAAGACAGTAATTATTAATGAAAGTCTTCCAATATACCGTCCATAACAAACCTCAGTAATGATCTTTAATCGACGCATCATATTTCGGAACATCTCTTCGTCTTCAGGGGTAAATTTGGAAATCAGGGATTTGAACTGTACTCCGCCCTTGATCGGCAACGGTACACGGAGCAACCGGTCAAACTGCTTAGCATTGTCAATAAGGTCACCCCACTCGAACAGATCCACCACACTAATAAGAAAAGGTGATACCCAAAGAATTATTAAAGTATCAAGAAATTTACACAAACAGCTTTCGTATTTTGGTTCAAAAAACTAAACAAAATAAGTTTCAAGCAATGATCCATAATATTTTAAAACGGATAATAATATTATATGAAAAAAATGGCTCATAATGGATCAAAATGGATCATAATATTATTATCACATATTATGGATCATAATAAGTCATCCGTGTGATCATTCTGAAACCGCATAGCAAACCATTAGCAAACTCAAAAACAACGGAATCCACATAAAAAATTAAAAACTACTTAACTATACAGTACAAATAGAATTACCCATCTTTGTTGGTGTCAATGTGAGATAACCAATCCACCACTTCCGGCTTATTCAGATCGACCCCTTGATGCAACAAACGCTTCTTGAAATCTTCAACTTTAGTTTTCCTTAAAATAATATACTCTTCCAGGTCAGGGTATCCCAATATTTGATTAAAGTAGCGGCGAGATTCTACTAGAGCTGCCGATAACCGCATCTGTAAAAAAAACACCAAGTTAATTTACCGGGCATCGAAATTAAATGAACTGCTGCAATTCTAACATATTTCAATTATGTAGTTATTACGGTACCAACCAGAGGAATCACAACTGTAAGCTTGTAAAAATTTACCACCTCCACATTCTCACCAAAAGCTCTGGTCGACCCAGAGCCGTTAATTTGATAGCCGCAAACCCGGTACTGTGGGTTGTGCCGGAAACGGCGTCGATGCACTTGAGAAATGTTGCCATGTTTTTCTCGCATTGTGCTTCGTTCTCATACAGATATGTGCGAGCGCTAATAACATCGCGGCGACGATCTCCGAACTGTTTGGAAGGAACGTACTGTTTTAGTGGCTGTGAAGACGAATCTGTAAACACAGGCGATATTAGCAGCAGTGGCACTTCACGCTGTTCCTCTCGTGAACGTACCCCCGGTAGATTTCTCCACTGCCGTCGGTACAATCCTACCAAACAAGTAGTTATTAAATGCAAAATAATATAACCCATGTATTCCACGCAAACTTGCGAAGAAATAACATTGCAATTTTGCCAAGCAAAGACAACAGCTCTCTCGACATGTAATTTTCAAAGGAGGCAAAAAAATCTAAGTACTTTTAATTAATAATGGACTAAAAAGGACTTTAAATTAATCTAACACAAAGCTTCTTGTACTTCTTAATACTGCAGGAAATGCATATCAAGCGTAATCTGAATTAGGTACAGTATTTTAAATCTCACCACGCACTGGCTACCTTCCCCAAAGTCCTACAGTAACTGTTCCAGCAAACTGCCGGCAATCTCGCAACCTTCACACAACCATTTGCTGAAATGAGTGAGTATTCATCTCATTTACACACAGTATGTACTCGGACTAACGGAAGACGGATAACTTGAAAATCATGTGATCGTCAATGCAAAACAACCCCCCCCCGTTGAAAAGCGGCGTTAGCAAAAGGACATATTCATGCATTATAAAATTTTCTGTTTTAAACACCACTGAAATAAAAGACAGAAATATACAGAAACATATATGAACGCTAGCAACAGTAATGTCCTGTATTTCATAAGACCGAAAACGTACTGTACATATATACTGTCACTGTATATATAAAACCTGCATATTGTATATTGTATAAAACCTGGAAAATAAATCAAGCCAAGGTACTAACTAGTACTCGTATAGCTTGCAGAAGGCTACCCGATTATCAATCATCGACTGGTACGAACGATGATTCGATCGATAATAACTGATCAAACTTCCGCACTAACGCGAAATTAACCGATTGCATGCAAAAAATCGTCCCTTTCTCAATTTCATATCTAAATAGCCGAAGTTGCACTGCTTTTCGAGGTGGATGCTGCACGCTTCATCCAGCCTGATTACATAACGCACCCCACCATTCCAATCATACAAATCTTTATCAACAGCCGCGCCCTATCACAACTGTATTACGCTACGGAGACAAACAATATATACGTCATCACTGACTTCCTCCCGGATATTACAGTATTTCTCACAGTGAATAGGTGCACTCGTGTTTGATTACGCAACGCCCGTCTTTCCCGACCACTTCAGGACAATCATGCGGAAAAAAGGGGCGGTCTTACTTGAATTCCTGTTCCACAGCCGTCTCGGTTGGGACGTCTTCTTCCGCACTGTAATCCAGAATGGATTTCACTCCAAACTGGCGCATCCTCTCCACTGCGGGTTTGATCTTCTCCGGATCTTCACCCGCCACGAAATGCCCGTAAAATGTGGATTTCATGATTTTTTCGAAGAGGCGTTTGCCCAGAAATTTTTTCCCCAGTCGAATGAGCTATATGTGAGAAAAAACTCAACTCACCATCAGAGTACAAAAAGTGTACTCAAAAACAGCTGGAAAATATTCGCTGCTAAACCATAGCCACAGTCCACAGATATGTAGAATTACTGGATATGTATGCAACTGTTGCATTTCAGAAAAAATAAATCGAAAATTACTATTAGAAACTGAAGCCAGATTAATTAACAATTACTATTGATACCAACATAGCTTGTTGAATTTGTAAATTTCTTTAAAACAAACAGTTACATTACTAACAAAATCATTCACAAAACGGTATGGAAAATAAATAAGTAAACAAAAAATTGTCAAGACAGAAAGGGGGAAGCAATCAAGAAATAATTTAAACGATTACTGAGCGGAAAAAAATCAAAACAAATTAGCGAAGCTATCGAAACACCCGTTTACTGAATTTATTCGTCGAACCTTGGGATTATTATCCACCAGCCAGGTGATGCGGCACAAATTCAGCACAAACAACGCCCGAATGATTTCTCCCGTGGTCTTACTCTTGTAACACTGCTGATAGTTCTCAAACGTCAGATCAATGGGATCCCGACTAGGCGGCGACGGGTACGTCGGAGTCCAGTGGGGATCGGCACGTTTGGCCAGAATATCAGGGCTGACATTGTTGCTGTCCTTATCCTGCACCAGCATACCCGCACTGACAATCTTCCCCGAGGCATCCTTGGGCAGATCCTTGATCTTGGGAGCGATACGCGACGAGAAGCAGACGCGCTGCAGGTGTTGCGCCTGCAGACAGCGTACGCGAAATAGCATGGTTGTAGTTAACGCTTTCTGACGGAGAGGAAAATCACAACAGCCTGCGGTCCGATTTCTGTCCGGATGATTAATGGGTTCGACGTTTTTTCCACCGTAAAAAAGTCAACAACACGTTCTCGAATCAAATTTTGATGGCACGCGAATATTATATACGCACTACTCTCTCAATACGTATGGGGCTGACTCGAACCTGCCAGCGTTCTTTTCTCAAGCTACATAGAATACGGCTAAAAATACACAGTAAAAAAGCTATAAAAAGATAACGTGTCGTTGCTTTAACAGACGTCATTACGCAATAGGAACCGACTTTCGCTGTGACTCACCGTAGCCACGCCGTGTTTTTCGTCCAATCAGGAAATGGGCGGCTGCGCAGTACAAGTCGGGCCGCCAAAATACAATAAAACTGTGCGAGCATTTATGATTTATCACAAAATTTAATTAATAATACTACAGTGTCATCACTTTCATGCTGCATACTGTCAGGTTGATCTGTTTACTTCTTTTGAATTTTTTCAAGCGTCCTAAAACGCCTAAATTCAGATTAAAAGCAAGAAACGATTTACATCTGCACGTTGACGTTTATTATGAGAACTGATACTTGTGCCTAATTTCAGCCTAAAAATATGGAGAAAATAAAAATCCGATGTTTTGGATCAGGTGTTATTTCCACTCCCGAGTGCCAAAATGTGTAATTTGACTAATTTCACGTTACTTAACTAGTTTGTTAATTTAATAATACTTCAATAACAAAGCGTCCATAGACCTCTTATTGGTTACATAATTTCTCGAAAATGTGTATTCTGCTGCTTCATAGGCGACTGTTCGTTGAGACCTACGCGGCTGCGCCCGCGGTACCTCACTAAATGCAATACGAAATGCAAATCGACAAGTAAACACAGCGACTTTTTGAAACATTTAAATAACATAGCCAAAGCTGACAAGCAAATCGTTGCAAAAATCCAGACATCAAAACGCAAAGCCGCCAAAATTGACGGCCTACGGCTACCGAGGTCACGTACCAAACCGATAAGCAAACCAGCAGCGAAGAAGCGGTTGCACATATACAGTGTAATTTTAAAGCCAAATTTAAGAGCATTAAAACAGTAAGCTTTAAAACCTCTACAACTTAAATTAGCTCTCCACTGAAAACTGTCAAACGAGAATACAAAAATATACACAAAACCCTTTGTGCAAGCAATACAACTTAATCACCGCCGACGCCTCGGGTGGGCCGCTTGTTGTCCACAACGATACCCTCGTCGATTTCCTCGGATTTTCGTTTCGATCCACCGGACGCAGTTGACAGTCGGTCATCACTCTCCGAGTGCCCTGTTTTTCTTCGGGGCCGGGTGTATTGTCCAGCCTGACGATTGTGGCTCAGAATGTGCTGCCGCAGATACGAGGAGGCAATCTGATGGTGACATTCGGGACCTGTCGCACACACGTGTTCAATACATAACTGGATAACGACTCATGGCAATAAGGGCACACACAATTTACAATTCCCAACCATCATTACAAGTAAATAAACTTTGTGAATTTTTACGTACGCAGGCAAAAAAAAGAAATCTTATAACAATTACTTGTTGTAATCTGTTTTAATTAAATGAATACTGAAATAGTTACAAGTTGGAGCCACCATGTACTGTACTTGTACAGCACTCCTGCTGCTCTTCGTTTATGAAGTGCCCGCAAAAAGCGAGTGCACTTTTCTAGCAAGTACCGGTAGTGGTAGCGATTTGCGAAGTTGTAAATATTTGAACTAACAAAATGAATTCACAAAATACTTAACTTCCCCTAAAACACACAAAACACAAAAAAACACAAACTTAAACTATAAACACACGTACATTCCTCCTTGACAACATCAACTCCGCATGTCAACTCGTGATATTGCATGGCAGTTGTAGAATTCATAACCTTTCCGCATGTCGGAATTTGGCAGCGTAGTTTTAGTTTCTTCTTCATGACCATATTCCATCGCTGCAAGTTAAGAACATCATTTATTTCCCCGCAGAACCACTTTTACTAAAATTTCTGTCAGCTAAATAACAACAAAAAACCCAAGGTGCAGACTGTAAATCAGCAGAACTGAGAAGCCGACATACCACTCGCTTTTCTTCGATCTCAAAGCGATCCTGTTCCGCCATAAGCAATCCATTGTGGGTTCTATCAAAATGTTCACGCCCGGCCGGCTTTAGATTGCAGCGCCTGCATATCGCCGGCTCTTCGTTCTCACCCACGACGGCGCTCATCACACTGACTGACGTTATGTCCTTTTCCACACTGGGGCGCGCTACCATTTTCATCTCTGACTTTAATACATTCGGCCGACTGTTTAGGCGATTCTGAGTTCTGGTACGCTTTCCTTTCGACTGCAGTTCCGCCCGTTTAACGGTCGTTCTCAGGATTCGAGTGGGTCCATTGCGCTCCACTGTAGGCGCCACTGTCCGCGATCGTCCAACCGTAACGCGTTTGAACGCCACCGGTATACCCACTCTTCTTGAGTTGGCAAACTTGTCCGGAATGCTAATTATGGGGCCTTCCTTCAAAACACAAGAATTGTGGATTTCTGAAGTTGTCTAAAATTTTTTACTGATACGAATACGAAGCAAAAACTTCAACCAATCCGATTTGACTATTTACCACCGAAGGATCCGTGTACACACTGATAGATGCAGATTTCCCGCTTCCCGGCTGATTAATCAGGACCAACCCCACCGCCTGCTCCGCTAACGACGGCGGCGAATCCACAGATGAAATCTGATCCCAGTCACTGTCACCGAAAGACACCATCGAGTCGCCGGGATTGGATGAGCTCTGACTGGACAGATCCGTCAGCGGTTCCACCAGAACATCACCGGATGTGCCTAAACATGTAGCACACTCAGGAGACCAGAAAAAATACGTGAGAACACAAGAATAAAAAGAAACTCAAGAACAGATAAGGCAGTTTTACCGTCATCCCACACAATCTTTCCACTTCGCCTGACTGTGGGAAACTCGTCCCTAATCTTAACGCGATATTTCATTCCACTGGTATTGCGCATCACTCCGCTGTGCGTCCATATCTCTTCCTGCCGATCTTGACTAGATGTGCTCTGTGCGTCTGTCGATGCCTGTGAGGCGCTGATACAGGACGTTTCCTCCTGACACGACGAGACTTGTGACGAAAGACCTTCATGATCACACACCTCCAGAGTAGAACTAACTGACGGATCCATAATACTGGCGAGGAGAATCTCCTTCGATAGAATATACCACGCTTCGTGGTCAGCACCGCTCAGCAGTTCGGCAACCGATGCCAAGCAGGCCAAAGCGGATGTGTCCAGCTTGGCATCCACCGCAGCAGCGTTCCCGAATTGACTGTCGAAAGAGAAATCCAGCGCTTTCTCCTCATTCGTATTCAGGTTATTCTGAACGCCACCGTCATCCTTATCCAGAGTGGGCTCAAAGTGCACGGACTTCAAGCTGTGCTCTTGTCCCACAACTGTTTCTGCAAAAACAACATGATTTCAAGATGATCAGTGTAGTTCGTTATTGTGTAACAGCTTTTTCACTACTGACTTGTACGTACTTGCATGCTTCGTATGATCATTACTTACCATTGTAACGCAGAATACAGTTTCTCACCGTTTCACTAATCAAACAGTTAATAAAATATTAGTACTCGATTTAAGAATTACACTGGAAAAATTTCATTACAAAAAGAGTAAAAGTCAACTCATCGTTCGTAACGATATTCCAAATGTATGAAATCGATCTTTTTTTGTTAATAGAGTTGCAAAACTGGAATGTAAGTGCATCGATGATACTGATAGTGCTGCACTGCTGCATGTAGTTTTACAAACCAGAAACACAACCACGAAATACATTTTCAAATTCACGCTACTGTCGCTGTCAATAATTCTACGACCAATACAAATCCAGTATTCCTTTTTTTGAGTCATTCACGCGGCAAGGTTATCCTCAGCCTGCTTCTTTCTACTGCGACCGCATTACGACACACCAGCTAAATTGAGTAAAGTCAATACTCGTAGAAATGACAGTCGGCAGGAATGATGAAATCATAATAATTAGTGATAAAAGCGGGAAAAAGTCAGGATGCCCCGAAAGTGCAAACATACCGTTTCCGACACTGTTATTTTCTGCCGTTTCCTTTTCTATCACTGCCACCAGTTCATCCGTTTTCCCAGCGGTATCGCTATTAAGCAGCTCTTGGCCATCTAAATCTGGCGCCTTGGAAATCTGCTCCTCTGAGCTGTCTTTTTCCTCCAAATTTTCCAATTCTTCTGCGCTAATGCTGTCCCTGAACGCGTCTTCTCCAAGGTGCTCTTTCTGATCCATAACTGCTTCACGGCACCTGAACAACTGAAACCAAAGAGAAATCAAACAGCAGAAAATAATAACCGCCTGTATGCAGTATTAAAAAATCCAACGAAGATGGTGATACATTCTGTGCGGGAAAATGTCCAGTTGTGTGCTGACGGTAGTTTGTCAAAAAATCGATGTTTTGGCATCATGTGGCTGGGCTTACCTGTTGTCAGCTTAACTACTGTTTCTTGGGAATAGTAGTGACGAAAAAAAAAACAGATTTTTATGAAACGAAAAAAACGGGTTATCAAATGCAGACCATCCTGAAAAAATAATACCACAGAAACGTCAGAACAGCCCAAAAGTACACGAGAAAAACAATTTAATGCAATCAGCAAAATAGGTTAGGTAATTTTGCTGATGAAAAATTTTGCTCTGGCAAAAATTTTTTCCTGCTACATTTACGATCGCCCTAGAGGATTGGCTGGTACGGATGCACGTGATCAAATGGCCATACCCCTTTTTCGTTTTGACTTGGCCGTGTTTCGCGTTTCTTCTGCAGTTTTGCTTGGAAAGTTTGAGATGTAGTATTGTAGTTATTTGTAATTTGCTTAAAAATTCTGCCGCGAACGATTGTTTTCTTTTATATTGGATAGGACCGCTTGGTTTGAATACTTTACTGTTTGTAACATAATCTGTTGAATCTGGAACTTCGAAAATTTCGATAGTGATTCACGGTGGAAAGATGGCGAACCGCGGACCGCCGACTTGGTTTAAAGAAACCGAGATGTTGTATTCATATGTTATCGACACCGTCATTCAGGAATGCAAAGGTAAGACCGTAAGTTCTTTTGAATTTCAGCATCCAGCGTTAGAGGTTTACGTAAGCAGTGGTTTGCAAACATTGTACAGTTTTTACAAGAGACGAAGGAATGTCGACTGTGTCACACTAGTCGACTAGATAAGTAGCACTAGAATGTTTGAATACGAGTACGTTTTTCTTTTTCGCTAAGGGATGTTTTGAAATTGTTAAGTGTTTGCAGTTTAATATTTATTTTCATCATATGAATCTTCATTATATTTCATATGAAAGGTGTTTATAGTTTTGCAGAAATGAGAAATATTCTCAATAGACACCAGATGAATGAAATAATATTGGTGACTATTGAAGGGATATTTTAAGCATTTGCAGTATTGTATTCACGTATTGACGTGCAGTTTTGTCTTGCAGAGGACTTTTTGGACGAGGGCCTTTCCGAGGACGTAATTATGGATTTGAAAGCGATCTGGGAGCATCACATGGAAGAGAGCAAAGTGGTTCACAACTATCCACCACCTGTATGCAAAACAGGTTCCAGCAACTCTGCCAACAGTGTTCCAGTGGCGTTGAGCGACGCCGCCAACGTGCAAAATCAGGAAGATAAGCGTCCTGATGATGCCGAAGAGGATGAGCTGACATCCGCTGATGAGGAGCCGACTTCACGAAAGTGTCGACGCTCGATCGAGAAATGGTTGACATTAAAAAGAAAGTAGCGTTAAATTACTCGTATAAATAAAAACTCGCGCATCCCCTGAAATCCGCGCCACTCAACACTGACACCCGGGTTTCGGTTCGGCCGGCTCACCACCCAGCGGTCGTGTTGCGTGCGTAGGTTTATGCTGCACACCGCTCTCCGCCGCATTTAAATCCAAACTTCCATCCTGAATCAGCTGATAGATCCTCCGCGCGGTCTCCAGGAACGCATCCTCCACATGGTCGCCGGTCTTGGCGCTAGTCTCCAGAAACATCAGACCATTATCGTCGGCAAACTGTTTCGCTTCCTCATACGTTACATCGCGCTGGGAATCCATGTCGGCCTTGTTGCCAATGAGGAAGATGACCGTGTTGGGATTGGTCAGGTTACGGGCATCCGTTAGCCACGAACTCAGGTGGTTGTAAGTGCTGCGGCGTGTGATGTCGTAAACCATCAGAGCGCCAGCCGCTCCGCGGTAATAGCTGCGCGTCACCGCCCGGAATCTCTCCTGTCCGGCGGTGTCCCAGATTTGCAATTTAATCTTCTGACCGGATACTTCAATGATACGGGTACCAAACTCCACACCGATCGTATGTGGACAGTCGGACATGAATTTCTTCTCGGTAAACTGGTGCAGTAGACACGATTTCCCAACACCCATGTCTCCGATTATAATGTATCTGAAAAACAACATGTTTAGCTCAAGGTTTATTCCACGTTGTCCCAAACTTGGCAATACAACTGACACACAATATACGAACCGCAGGGAAATATTGCTGATGACGATTATGATGGGTTCAAAACATTTACATCGCAAACAAATGCTCAAGCAAGCACGTAAAATAATTCAATGCACTTCGTGCGTAAAGCATTTAGATAGTGCACAATACAAATTCAATTCGCGTACTGCCGTAAGAAACGATGATGTGGAAAACGACGGGCATGCTTTTCAAATTTCGTTAGTCTATCGTGCCATTTTAATGTAAAATTCAGAACAATAGTCCGAGTTAATATACAGTTCAACCGCGAAAGCATTAATATTATCGTACAATTCTGAATACAGTACCTAACGTTGCCATTTGTGCTGCAATACTCCAATAGCACACAGCCTGTCAAGCGATCGAGAGTTTTTTTAATTTTTCGACTTTTTATGGCCCATAATCCAACAAAACATGAGCCTCCGTTCACCATTTCAAAAATGCTATTTTTAAATCATTTCAAACACGATAAGTGTATAAAAAAACTTACTTAAAGATGTAGTTATAATTGTAGGGGGCCGCAGGACTACTTGCAGGAGGAGCAGCCATTGTTCAACGATCAACAGAAATCCGATTCCAATCAAACGAACCGATGTCCACGCGCACGGAGATATCACTGACGTCTGAGGGCTAAACAAATGCCGGATGCGCACAGAACAGTGAGAACACCTGTGAGAAGTAAAAACCCTTAATCAAATATTCAGCGCTGCCAACGAACTGAAACTTAAAACAGACTGCCAACGGGGCAAGAAAAAACTGTGGGGAAACGGAAACCTGCTAGTTTACAGAGTTTACGACGCGAACCAATTTTATCCAACAAGCGATTATGCACTTCCTCAGTTTAACGATGGATCAATTCTGATCTTCTGGTATCAGTAGCGACAACTATAAACAAAATAACTGTGCTCTATATGCTAATGAAACTGAGTCAATCTGATAAAAGTAAAACTAAGTTACTAAAAGACCCCATTAACATGTGATGCGCACAATTAGAAAAATATTATATCAGTATTCGTATGGCGTTACTGCGTGCAGAATCGGAGCAATACCTTACCTCAATAAAAATATGCCACACAATTTTTCAAGCACTATGGAAATAAAAATAATACGTAGATCCTCGCGGTAACACATAAATTTTCAAAAAATTTTTCACTTTTTAGTTATCAGGCGAAGCAACTTCCAAATTCCAATGTTTTTAATGATTTTGCATGTGAAAACTGCAATCCTGAGCAGCTGGAGAGTTTGGATTTTTGCCTATTCTAACCGAAGAAACGCGTTTGAAATATTCGAGCTGTAATTGGCTTCCAGCAATTTTTGGACCAATGAGCATTGCGAAATATTTTGTATGCTGCAAAACGCGCAACATATACTTACGATTAATGGAAAGTACTTATGGTTTGTGTTATTAAATCGCATTACTGACCAGTCTGACCGGATGTCTCGCCGTCGTTACCCAGTTTGACCTATGAAAAGAAATTTTTGTGGAACTGAAGTAAGAACCTCTCCTCTCCGAACCCCTGGAGGATCGCCAAACTCTGGAAACCTGTTGACCTCTACGCATTATACTCTACCGAACCGTGGGGACACTCCATAACGCCCTGAAGGCTGAAGGAATTGCCTTGGTTTTGGAAAGAGACTTCATGCATCTTCGTCCTCTGATATTATTCATTAACATAATTATTGTAATTATGAGATCTACCCCTGTGTTTGACTTTGTGTCTGTAATATTATACTGTATACAGATCGTTAAGGAGTGTGCGATTCCTTGTCGTTGACCAGTAATTTAAACATTCCGAGCCTTTATGCGAGTTAGAATTTTAAGAAGTAAGATGATCAACGGAATCAGATCAATGATCATTCGAATTCGGAATACTCGTAACACTACACTGTAAGTAAGAACAACAGTTTTGTTAATGCATGACAGCTTCTTTTTTTACATTTTTTCATTTTCTGCCGTTCAGGCTATGTACTCAAGAGTGGACAAAAACTTATAACAATTAACATCATTCTCGTTCTGCTAAATTAAAAGCAAAACGCACATCGTCCTTCTCAGCCGAGTCACTAAACGTACCGAGAACAGAAACTACTGAACATTTCCTCGCTGATCATGAATCTCGATACCAATTTTTTATAACTGGTGCTCCTTAGTCTGTGATCGAGTCATGAGCTCTTTTCACCTAATATTAGAACGATTAATTTGAATAACCAGCAAATAGCAATATTGACCTGATCATCACAAAAAATTGTTTGGTGTTGGTGCAGAACCAAAGCCGGAAGGGCTGCAAAATGTTGAACATTTATATAAAATTATTATCACTGTTGCAGCGCGTAGCTGCACCTTTACCATATGCGTACTGTAATTAACGATAAGTTCAAGTCACGAACAATGGAGCACAGAAACCCAAGTAATGCCGAAGAAACGCGACGCGTTTCCGGTAAACCAATCAGCAGCAAGCTGCTGTCTTTTATTGACCAGACACCCAGACCGGTCCAGACGAGCATCGTTTCCAGCGTTGCTGTAGATGTCGGTGTCGAAATGATGACTTTCCAGAACAAAAACGCTGTCCGAGTGGCCGACCAACTAAACTCCAGTACTATGCGGCCGTCCTACGAGTTAAACGTGCATCAGAAAGTCGTCCCACGCTAATACTGCGTAATAGTGCGTATATATATACTGTATTAATTTTGTCGTTACGAGACCATACAACCGAGTCGTGAACCGACCATCGTAACACGAAGTTTTCAGGCACGTTGATCATGCTTCTCGGAACCGACCTAGCTTCAAAAATTTCTGAAAGCGCTTACATATACATATGTACAGAGTATGTCACCTAATTTGCGGACATACCAATTGATCTTTATCCTTTAATTAACAGCAAAGAGACGTTACAATACACTTATACTCAAGGGTTTAACGAAAAGGTTCCCATGCATAGCACTTATAAAACTACGAGTATGTACCGTACGAATACAGTACTATACACGTTATTAAAGTACGTAAATACACTTTGAGCACTGCATCTTCAACATTTTGGACAACCATTCCTAGGCCTAACGATGAATCGATGATATAGCCTGATTCCACCGGTACCATCGCGAATGCCCGTCAAAGCTGTTCCACACTTACTGTTTGTCTTTTCTCCTAAGACCTAAATTTTATTGGTCCCGGCCGCCTTTGGCCATGCGAATGTACACATGTCTACATAGGAAATTTTCGGAACATCCCGAAGCCAAGAATGTTCCACCTTAGTCCACCTACGAAAGTCGTCAGCAGCAGGATGAATACAAGGAGCGTTAATACATCTCTTGGGAACCTACTTAACGACTCCAGCCTAAGGACAGATGTGGGCTGCGCCTGGGTGCACCGGTACGTACATCACACCAGCGCATTTGCTGCGACCAAGCAGATGAGCATGGCTATCATGATTCAAGCTGCAAGTTCAGTGAAACCGACCCACGAAACCTCAAAACGGTCATCAGGCGCGCCTTTGCATCGGTTGGATTCGAAACTGAACTGGAACCTCTCGGAATCTCCCGTACAGATGGCAAACCGCAAACGACCAGACGGTGTGACAATTTCCCCGTGAGAAAGAGGAAAGGCGCTGGCCTGGGATGTAACCTGCCGTCGTACATCGCAGCCACATCCACCCGAGCAGGAGCAGCAGCAGTGTTAGCCGAGCGGAGCAAGACCGAGAAGTACCGCAGCATAATCCAGGATTACTGGTTCTACTTCTCGCCGCTGGGCTTTGAGGCTTGCGGAACTTTCGGACCAGGAGCCACCAGGAGCCACCCGGCTGATAAACGTGCTACGAAAGATGATCCAGCAGCAATCAGGCGAACCGCGCGCACTGGCGTTTTTGCATCGGCGGATCAGCGTAGAAATTCAGCGAGGAAAGGCAGCATCTATAATGGGAATGGCACCACCGGCGGCGAATATTAGACGGAATCTTTTCTGTTATATCACCCGCCTTTGTTTGTAGATGTTGCTGGGTAGCTTGCTGTTTTTCCAGTTTTGGATGACTTATAATTAGTGCAATTTTATCTTCTAGTGAATGATTTTATTATGTGAAAAACAAGTACAGAAGTATTAAAAAAAGTTAATACCTGAACTAACAATTGTGAAGATCACGACTCCAACAACACCAAGTCCAACACAACAAGTCAGCGACGGAAGACAGATTATGGCCGCTTAAACATTTTTGCGATAGCTCAAATCTCGAATACTTTTGAAATTGTAATAACATCGGAAACACTGTCGGTACGACACGCTGTGTGCGGCGTCTATGCCAACTCTCCAAGATAGCCCTTTGATGCAAAGGGCAGAACGCAGGATTTCTTTGGAGTTAACGGCCGTCGGGCGGTGGCCGCGCAGTATAACCGATAAAGTAATGGAAAACCGCATAAACATTTTTTGTACCAACCGAAACTGAATGGAAATTGAACTGAAAAAAATGTGCTGGATAAATTTTAAAATTAACGCTTCTGCGAAAAAGCAAATTCAGTGAATGTACCTGTTGCACCACCCATGCGGCCGTTTTTTATCTTATTCAGTTATTCCTCCTAAAATATAATATACATAGAAGAATCTAAAATTACGTAGATACCGTATACACATACATTATTAGAATGTATTATCAAAAACGTTTGGATTGATAAAGTGTGATGTATGTAGCGGCGGTGTATACTTTATTAATACAACTGCTCGCTACCGAGCCAACCAGCCAACTGATCGCTAAACAAGGCGACAACAATGGACAATAGGTACGCCGTTGCTACGGCACATTAGCCATAGCCACAGGACAACAATTCACGAGATACTTTGCACTCGTACGTCGCTGTACCAATACGTACAGTCATACAGTACATAAAGAAAAGCTCGAAAAATGAATACCCGACCTGTAGACGGTCCACTTCTTTAGTTATTGGTTCCAGCTATTTAGTATTTACCTTAATAATATGTTGTATGTGTTTCCATTTTTAAGTGAGTCGAAGTGCGCAGCTTTTTATCAACCCCAAAGTAATTTATCTGCACGGACACTGGAACTTGGAAGGTGTTCATACATACAAGCCTTTGCCCTGACCGCACGCATCTACACCAAACATCCAAGCGAAGCTTGGTGTTGAATACAGCTAGGGTACTTCGAAGTACTGTTGACAGTGCTCTACTCGGATCAGCACTCCAAGGCTGCTGCGATGTGGCCTATACCGGATGTGTACAGCTGACGAAATCTACATCAGATAATAATAACAAGCTAATAACACGTATGTTTTATAGCTGTCAAAGAAGGTGGTACCTAACCATAAGTACAATCAGTGTACATAGTGCACTGCGTGCAACGTGACCAAGGCGCGGGACTTTCTATTGTCAGGAAAATGGAAGTACCCGTTAACAAGATCGTCAACAGCGTTCACAGCATGCTTACCGGTCAGTTTCGTTACATCTGCTGTAACAATTTTCTGCGAGTACTGAGGACTGACTATCGAAGTCCGCCAACCTATACTCTTGCCGATAGCCTCCAATAGATGTTGATCAGCATAAACTGCTGTAGATTATTCCAAAGATTCAGCGCGTTTGTTGCAGCCAAAAGGGCCGCGCAAATTTCGCAAATACGGTTGCTCAGTCGAGTCAACCCGATGCCATGTAACAAGATTTGGTCTTTTTTTCCACAATTTAGAGGTCGATTAATGGTCTTGCTTAACAATAAGTAATTTATTGGACAACTTTGCTTTTTTCGATGTCAACCTAGCACTTTACCCGGTTCATAAGGGTAAGTTAAGGGGGAATCGTTGTTTTATGTAGATACATATTGGCAGGCGCTAAAATTTATCAATTAAAAGTTTTTTTTATTAAGGCCATAAAATGTCTACAGCGGCATTCCTATACTGCTGCAGCAGTTAGCGCGTAATATAGCAAGCGTATTGTATGGTAGTTTAAACAACTGGAAGCTTGCCGATCAGCGTAGCTACAGTATTGTTTGTTTTCTACTTTCTGCCGACCTTATTATGGATTAACTGTGATACCAATGTATATTTAAATGTGCGCATTGGAACAGGAGTTACTCGTAACAATGTAAGCATTTAATGAAAGATGTTTAGTGCGCATTTCCTATGCAGCCTGTGTGATTGTTCTTGTTATTAGACAGTACCTAGCGGCTAGATCTGCAACGGAACGGCCAACATTTATTTGCTTTTCCGGTCAGATGACACGTCATACCGGGATAGTCCGGAATCACGTTGAAGGTCTTTTGGTTGCAACAATAACTCTAGGGATGCTTAGGTTATGACAGTTTTTTTTTAAATTTAGTCACTTATTAAATTTTGAACAAGTTACTCTAAAACAGTGACAGTTGCAGGCAACAAGCCTCGCTGGAGTTGTTCTAGTAGTTAAATAGAGTAGCTGTTAAAGTTAACAGTTAAACATATCACATACAAGTATATTACATATATTTATATTCAGAATAATATTCTTATATAAACGTGCTCATGCTCGTGCCGGTGTGGCCATACTGAACAATATTATATCTGACTACATATACTTAAGACACACTCAGTTAAGCAGCCAACAGAAACTTGACGTTTTTTATAATTAATTGAACATGTCAGCCCCCGGTCGCTACCGGCCTGTCATCCAGTCCATTATCCTAATAGTGAAGTTGTCAAAAATTACGGAAATTTGAAGGTTTTATTATTAATCGACATACCTAAACAAACGGCGCAGGTTGATCGGTGCGTAATGCGTGGTGTGCACCAGCACCGGAATTAATGTCCGATTGCTTTGTTTAGACATTTTTATAACGCTATAAAACCCGTAGCTTCTTTTAGTTTCAGTGCAACCGACAGATGCGATGTGCAAATCGAAGTTTGTTGCGATTTTGTACTAAATTACCATCGTGGCAATTATCGCTTTTGCCAGAAACTTTCTGTCAAAAACACTTTTAAATTTTCTTAAATGCGATCGGCCAAATTAAGCAAACCCGCATCAGCACTAATGCTGCTTTCTCTCGGCGATGATTGACTCTGATTTTCATTTGTGTAATATAATAATCTTTGCGGTAAATTGTCGCATGAGAATAGTTCGGCTCCTAGTGCGTGCATATTCAATGTCACTTAGTGTTTTGGTGTATGGAATTGATAAATGTTTGACATTTGATCAGCCATTTGGATGACAAAACATACAACGGTACTTGTCAGGTGTACGCATGTTAAACCCTCTACTCTGCTCGGCTAATTTTTATTGGCAATTAGAACATTACTTATTTTTTGAGCGAGCTTATTTTTTTTGGCAATTAGAGCATTACGTTTTTCACCTACACTGTGCAACAGGTGACCTTTTGTTTTCGTGTTTGAACTTCAGTGTCTTTTCCAGTTTTAATACAGACCGCGCTAATCCGATGGTAGTATCGCTCATCTGATTCTATCATTTGCCCAGGATAAGATGACAACAGGAACTGCCGCACTGTATTTGAAAGACGGAAGCGTGTGGCATGGAAAGATTGCAGGGGCAAAGAAAAGCGTCGCCGGAGAAGTTGGTATGTGAAAATCAACTGTTTATCAGTCATCGAAGTCCTACGAACGACTTAAATCGGAAAAGATTATTTGAATCAAAAAGTCATTTACTTGAAGTAAAAACTGTACTGGTCAAAAAGCACATGCATGTTATTCAAGGATACTAATTTTCGGCACAGGATTTTCGCTTAGGCATATGCATGTCTGACGTACCCGTACGTGGAGGCACCTGCTTTGCGATTTGCAATGCTAAGGAAGATAATTATTGATTTACACAAGTACAATGCATATCGAAATTTTATTCCGCCCTACAACATGCGGTGATACCATTTTCGAAATCTTGTTCACTTATTCCTTAATTAATTTACTTTTTTGTAATCGATACACTTATCTGGAACTGACGCTTTTTTGTAACTTTTTTAACAATGCTGCATGCATGCATAGAATTATCTCCTGGTTCAAGCTGTCTGTATACAGTATTTCAAACCGGAATGGTGGGTTACCCGGAAGCCCTGACTGATCCATCGTATCACGGCCAAATCCTGGTGTTGACCTATCCCATGATCGGAAACTACGGCGTTCCAGGCGATGATCTCAACGAGGAGCATTTCTCCAAGTGGTTGGAATCAGCCAGAGTGTGGGCTACTGGGTTGGTTATCGGGGAACTGAGCAAGGAATTCAGCCACTGGAATGCTAAACGGTCGCTGCATCAGTGGATGGAAGAGAGCGGGGTTCCCATCATCGAGGGCATCGACACACGCGCCTTGACGATGAAGCTGCGTGAACACGGAACACTTCTCGGCAAAGTAAGTATTTTTTCGGCAAAAATTGCGTACCGCTTTACAGTGTTGACTCTCGGCTATCTTACGAACCAGATCATTGTGGGCGACGATCCCGTCGATGCCATTCCATTCATCGATCCAGATGACCGCAATCTGGTGGACGAAGTCAGCATTAAAGTAAGTGTCAGTAGGTGGTGTACCTGGTATTATTCTAAACAGGTAAGGCTGTTTATAATTAAAACAAAACGCTTAATTGGGCACTTTTTGTTATTCCACTGCGAATTAAAAGCTTTGCAAACCCCGTACGAATAGCAGTACAGGTTTTGCATACAAAAATGTAGTGCTGCCAGTGTAAATGCGCTTTATCACACTTACCAGAAATAAGCAGCCCCAATGTGCAGTTGAGAATGTGCGGCAATATTACAACGAACCAGAATATTGTCGGTATTTTGCACTCTTGCTCTGTTGTCCATGATTTTGGAAGTATGTAATTTATTGGTTTATAATTTTTTTAACAGATGGTACAGATCTGTGTGCATTTTACGGTGCTGTAGCGCACGCCGTATATAGTCTGTGCGAGATTGGTAGAAGAAATCGAATTGACAGAAATGACCATGCAGCACTCAGCATGCACAGCAATATGCCAACACTAGAGTAGATCAGCGCTGCATTCAGAAATTAAACTGACTGGAAGAGGTGGTCAGTCGTTTTTATGTCGCTTTTTAGACACCATCACCACTGTACAATCCTCGCGGGAATCCAAAAATTCTGGCTGTTGACTGCGGATTGAAGTATAATCAACTGCGCTGTTTCCTCAAGCGCGACGCATTCGTGCAAGTTGTCCCATGGAACCACCCCATCCACAAGGAAATGGACAACTTCGATGGACTATTCCTGAGCAACGGCCCCGGTGACCCCGCACTGTGCACAACGCTCATTGCGAACCTGGCCATGTACATGCAGAACCCCCAGTGTAAACCGGTGTTTGGCATCTGTATGGGACATCAGATTTTGGCGTTGGCCGCTGGTCTGAAATCGTACCATCTCAAGTACGGCAACCGCGGACATAATCAGCCATGCGTCCACAATGGCACCGATAAGTGTTACATAACCAGTCAAAATCACGGTTTTGCCATCGACACCAAGGAGATTACACATCCCTGGGAAATACTTTTTACCAACGCCAACGATGGCACCAATGAGGGGATTATCCATTCAGAGAAACCGATTTTTTCGTAAGTCCAGTTCACAGCATGAAAGTGACCTTTAGGTTGATACCGATGTGTAAATTAGGATCAAAGGCGCTGCCATTCAAAACTTTTTGGCTGATTTACAATTTAACTGAATATTTTTTGGCTTTTACTGCATGTTCACGCTGTTAGCGATTCATTGCCGATACATAGATACCTATCGATTTACACGTAACAGATGCATACGCTGCATAAGCCTGTTTCCTGTTATTGGACGCAATCAACATCGGTTGTTTACGCGTTTTCTGGGTATGATGCCTGGTAACGATTTGAACTGGTAACCTTTGCTGCCGTAGGGTGCAGTTCCATCCTGAGCACATGGCTGGTCCCGCCGATCTGGAATGCTTGTTCGATTTATTCCTGCAGACAGTTAAGGATACAAAAAACGGCCACCCGCACAGTTTCCGGGAGCAGATCATTAGGAAGTTGCAGACTCCGCCGGCGCCCTGTCCTGTGACGGCGTTCAAGCCTCGCAAGGTGCTGGTGCTGGGCTCTGGTGGGCTGAGTATCGGACAAGCCGGAGAATTCGACTACTGTGGATCGCAATGCATCAAGGCACTGAAAGACGAGGGCATCACAACGGTTCTCGTCAATCCCAATATCGCCACGGTGCAGACCACAAAAGGCATCGCTACGAAAGTGTACTACTTGCCGGTCACAGTGGACTATGTCGAACAGGTGACGCAAAATCTGACTGAATAATGCATTATTACACAAAACCGCTTGAACTACGAGTTTAATTTTGGTTGAGTGAAGCAAAAAAATTTAAAATAAAATGTAAATCTTCAACAGGAGCAGCTGCCGTACAGTAGTATACTATGTATTGTAGGTAGTATGTACAAGTACTCTGGGTAATCTTTAATATATAATATAATAATAATTATTACATAAGTTTTACTTCTCCCTCTTTCTACTGTAAACTGTACAACATTATTACATGCATTAGTCGTATAGTATCATATTTGGTCTATCTGCGAGTATAACTTATAAGCTCTGCATTGACTGAAGATCTGGTGAGGTAAATTGTGTGTTGAAATAATTGAGCCATGAGAAATATTATCGTTCAGCCCTGTTGCGCCTTTTTTATTATGTTATAATTATTATTACATTTTTGATGGTTGTATTAATTTTATTTATATTTAATCATTCTTATGTTCGTAACCTCTTTGTGAATAAGAATCATACACTACATAACTACGTGCTACTCAGGTACTAACTTATACGAGCATAATAGTAAAAAGTATGCTATTCGTAATAACGTTTTGGGTGGGACATTTTATCTACTCGTAGGTGATTAGAACGGAACGACCAGATGGAATACTACTGAATTTCGGGGGCCAGACCGCTTTGAACTGCGGTGTCCAGCTGAAAGAGCAGGGCATTCTGGAGAAGTACAGTGTCAAAGTGCTGGGCACCCCGGTGCAGGTCATCGTCTGGACGGAAGACCGAAAACTCTTTGCCGACAAACTGGCAGAGATCGGGTACCGTGTCGCACCCAGTATGGTTGCCTATTCGTTGCAGGATGCCGTGGACGCAGCGCAGACCATCGGCTATCCGGTTTTGGTGCGCGCGGCGTATTCCCTCGGTGGTTTGCATTCGGGTTTTGCCAACAACGTCCAGGAACTGACGGAGATCGCCACGCGAGCGCTCTCGGTGTCGCCGCAGTTACTTTTGGATAAATCGCTGCGTGGATGGAAGGAAGTGGAATATGAAGTCGTACGGGATATCCATGACAATTGCATTACGGTGTGTAAAATGTATTATTTCTTACGCATTTTGCCACTTATAATTAAATGGATTTCTAACTTGACCCTTGGAGGGTCGATGCGATAGTCTGTAGATAAAAATTCTTAAGCAAAACCGAACTAATAGTCACCCCTTTGCGATTTTTGGCAACCAAAGTACGTAGATTAGTAGTATAACGGTCAAGGAAGAAAAAATCTCGAATCTTGATCTAAAGTACTGTACATAGAACTTAGAAGTATACAAAGCATGCATATGGATGGTAAATTTTGAAGTTGGCTAAAAATGTAAAACAACAGCGTTGTACGTAGAATGGATGCATCGATAGAAATAATCGACCCAACGTTCATCGATAGAAATAATAAAAGCACCTAAAGAAGTGTTGAATTCATAAGCTGCCATCATAAATCATGACCTTCCATTGTCAGTCGCTAGAAGTACTAGTAACTAACAGTGATGAAGCAAACACAAAGAGAAATAATTAAGTAACAATATGCAATTTCTTCTTTATGCGCTAAGTACAGTATTAAGCACGATATTATTATTTTCGAACAGGTGTGCAATATGGAGAACATCGATCCATTGGGCATCCACACCGGGGAGTCGATTGTGGTGGCGCCCAGTCAAACGCTGACCAATGCCGAGTACCACCTATTGCGAACTGCGGCCATCGAGGTCGTTCGGCATCTGGGTGTGGTGGGAGAGTGTAATATTCAGTATGCGCTGAATCCGCAATCGCAGGAGGTCACTTACAGTACAGTTATTGAATTACTGATCTCAGTGTGCATCTTCTCGTGTTGGCTTTTCAGTTTTATGTGATTGAAGTCAATGCGCGACTGTCGCGTAGCTCCGCCCTGGCCAGTAAAGCCACTGGATATCCGTTGGCGTACATTGCAGCCAAGCTGTCCATTGGGCAGAGTTTGGTGGAGCTGCGCAATCCGGTGACGGGAGTAACGACAGCCTGTTTCGAACCCAGTCTGGATTACTGTGTGGTCAAAGTGCCGCGGTGGGATTTGAGGAAGTTTCCCGGCGTCAGCACCAAGGTGACCCAACAAATGCCTTAAAAAAGTTCATATTTGGGAGTTTTTCGGATGGAATGGCACTTAGTATGCTGTTTTTTTTTGCATGCAACATAAATTTGTTGATTTTCGTGAGTTTCATTCGTGTAGCACTAGAATTACATAAATATATTCATTGCTACACAAATTGTTGACCATGATTAAATTTTGATGATAGTGTTTGTTACACCGTATTTTTGTTAGATTGGAAGCGCCATGAAGAGCATCGGCGAAGTGATGGCCATCGGTCGTAATTTCGAAGAAGCGTTCCAGAAGGCCTTGCGCATGGTGGACGAACACTACGCCGGCTTTGAACCATATGTCGAGGAACTTTCTGACGATGTAAAAGAATCCTGTTTGCTTTGGTAACCGCAATAAAATTAAATTTTCCAGGAGCTGAGTAACCCCAGCGACCGACGGATCTTCACCGTGGCCACCGCCTTGGCGGAGGGCTACACCGTGGACCGTCTACACGAGCTGACGCGAATTGACCGCTGGTTCTTGTACCGCATGAAGAACATCATCGACTTCCGCCAAGAACTGCGTACGAAGGTGGCTCAGTCGCCCAGCCGCAGTCTACTTCTGTCAGCTAAAAAGCTGGGCTTCTCTGATGCCCAGATTGCTAAGCTGGTGCGTAGTACGGAGCAGATCATCCGCAACATTCGGCTAGAAATGGGTGTCCATCCATGGGTCAAGCAGATTGATACGGTGGCCGGCGAGTGGCCGGCTTACGCCAACTATCTCTATTTGACATATCATTCGCAGCAGCATGACGTGATGTTTGACGCGAAATCTTCTGCTGTAATGGTGCTCGGATCTGGTGTTTACAGGTAAAAGCGCGATTTTTGAATGGTTCTCTAAAAGCAGCATCATTTTCTAAAATTTACGGTAAATGCAGCAGTTCATCGAGAACCTTTGAAGACTACTCGTAGTACTTGACACAAACATTTTTTCAAAATATAACTACAAGCGTCCGTCTGCCGTGAACGTAATATGGCATCTCGAATACGCGCAATAATTAGTTTAACCAAATAATGTAAATGAAAAATTATTGTTTAAAATAGCTATGATTTCTTTGCAACAGGATCGGAAGCAGTGTGGAATTTGACTGCTGCGCAGTCGGTTGTCTGCAGGAACTACGCCGGCTTGACCGTTCGACGATAATGGTCAACTGCAACCCGGAAACGGTCAGCACCGACTACGACGTCTGTGACAAGCTGTACTTCGAAGAGATTTCCCTGGAAGTCGTCATGGATATTTATCAGCTGGAGAATCCGGAAGGAATTATTTTGTCCATGGGCGGGCAACTGCCGAACAATATCGCTATGGATTTGTACCGGCAGAACGCTGTCATACTGGGAACCAGTCCCGAGTCAATCGATAATGCCGAAAACCGTTTCAAGTTTTCCCGACTGCTGGACAGTATCGGAATCGAGCAACCAAGGTTGGTCGGAAACGTTTGTAATGTGTCATTTTACCGTTAAGAAAGCAAATTGTTTCTTAATGAAAGTTGATTTCATTGCTCGTAAATGCTCAGCGACCATCGTATGAGTTGGTAAGACTATCTCATAAGTTCAGTTTTTAATTACAGGCTACATTGAAACAATAAAAATATAAAACGTTTCGGTGAACAGTTATTGCGGCTTTCGGGCCAAATGCAGTAACACCTACTAAATGCTTTATTTACAAATGGATAAATATTCTCGGTTAACATTGCTCTACATAATTATGTAATTGAAATCAGAGTTTTATCTTATGGCTTGTTTTCATGATCAGATGGAGCGAATTGACCAGCATCGAAAGCGCCAAAGAATTCGCCAACGAAGTCGGCTACCCTTGCCTAATCCGTCCCTCATATGTCCTTAGTGGCGCCGCCATGCAAATCGCCTACTCCGTTAGCGATTTGGAAGAATACCTGAACAAACCAGGCACCATCATCAGCCGTGATCGACCCGTGGTCATCTCCAAATTCATCGAGAATGCCCAGGAAATCGATGTGGACGCCGTGGCGGCACAGGGCGAGGCCATCTGTATGGCCATCTCGGAACATGTGGAGAATGCCGGCGTGCACAGCGGAGACGCCACACTGGTCACTCCGCCGCAGAGCCTGTCGTGGGATATTGTCGAACAGATCCGGGATATTGTGGAAGCCATTGGGGATGAGCTGGAAATCAGTGGACCTTACAACTTGCAACTAATGCTCAAAGTAAGCCGAAAGGTCACGCAGACAAGAAGCGTTTTACGTTGGATGAATCAAAAATATTTGCTGGCAAATACTTGTTTAATGAGTACAAAAATAAAAGATGTAAACCTTTTTAAGCAATTTTGTGCATTACTGAATAGTCGGGGGACTAAAAATTGATGTGCAACTGTCATAATATTAGGTGAGTTCTCCTTGTTGTAGGATAACAAATTAATGGTCATTGAATGCAACGTTCGTGTCTCTCGTTCCTTCCCCTTCGTGTCGAAAACCCTGGACTACGACTTTATTGCGGCGGCCACCCGCGTCGCTCTGGGCATTTACGTGGACTCTGCAGACGTGACTTTCGGTCAGGAGAATCGCATCGGCGTCAAAGTGCCCATGTTCTCCTTTTCCCGCCTGACCAATGCCGACGTGACCCTGGGTGTGGAGATGCGCAGTACCGGCGAAGTGGCCTGCTACGGGACCACCAAGTACGAAGCCTTCCTCAAAGCGCTGATCGGCAGCGGCTTCCGCTATCCCCGTCAGAACATCTTCCTGGGCATCAGCAATCCGGATCACCGGAAACTCCTGACCAACAGCGTCAAACTCTTACAGTCACTGGGGTACAAACTCTACGCCAACACCGGGACAACGGAATACTACAAAACCACTCATAGCATCCAGTTAGAGGAAATTGTGTGGCCGACGGATGGATCGGAGGCGGCGCTAGCCAAAACCTTTGATTTAGCCATCAGCATCCCCACTCGCCGGGGAATGACACCGCGACTCTCCATTGACAGCACCCATGGCTACCGTCTCAGTCGGTTGACCGCTGATTTCGCCATCCCGCTCATCACCGACGCCAATTGTGCGCTGATCCTGGCGGAGGCCCTCACCGCTTTCCCCAAACCACCGCCGTTGCGTTTAAGCACCGATTTCGTCACCACGCGCCGGCTGTACCGTTTCCCGGGACTCATTGACGTCCACGTGCATCTGCGAGAGCCGGGCGCTACGCATAAAGAGGATTTCGCCAGTGGGACCGCTGCGGCGTTGGCCGGCGGGATCACGCTGGTGTGCTGTATGCCCAACACCAATCCCCCGGTGACGGACGCGGAATCCTTGGGTTTGGCGAAGGCAGCAGCGGAACGCGGTGCCCGCTGCGATTATGCGCTGTTTGCCGGGGCTTCGGTGGACAATGCGGCGACAGTCAGCCAGTTGGCGTCGCAGGTGATGACCTTGAAGATGTACCTTAACGACACATTTACCACGCTGAAGCTGGACAATATGGCGCTATGGGGACCGCATCTGGCCGGGTGGCCGAAGTCCCGACCGATTTGCGTTCACGCAGAGAGCAGTACACTGGCGGCGGTTTTGTTCTACGCGCATCTGTACGATCGTCCGGTGCACATCTGCCATGTGTCCAACAAACAGGAGATTTTGTTGATCCGCGAAGCCAAACAGAAAGGGATGAAGGTCACGTGTGAAGTAGCCCCGCATCACCTGTTCCTCAGTACGGAGCAGCTGGCGACGTTGGGGAAACGCGGCAGTGTCAAGCCACCGCTGGCCACGCCCCAGGATCAGGCGGCGTTGTGGGAGAATCTGGACGTGATTGACTGCTTCGCCACGGATCATGCGCCGCATCTGCTGAGTGAGAAGGACGGAGAGCACAGTCCGCCAGGATTCCCGGGTTTGGAGACGATGCTGCCGCTGCTGTTGACGGCGGTGGCGGACGGACGGCTGAGTCTGGAAGATATTGAGACGCGGTTGTGTACGAATCCGCGGAAGATTTTTGATTTACCGGTACAGCCCGATACGTTTGTGGAGGTGGATTTGGATGAGGAGTGGGTGATCCCCGAGAAGCAGGAGTGGACTAAGGCCGGCTGGAGCCCGTTTGCCGGCATGAACGTTCGTGGAAAGGTACTGAAACATTTTTCTATATAAACAGATCTTGCTAAAAATGCTAAGAAAAGGGATGTTATCTATACAAAACAATAAATTTAATCAAAAAATCGTTGAAACGTCCTAATGGTTAATTACCAGTGAGTGAGTGTCGGCTATGTGAAATGGATTTAACAGTAAAAAAGAATGTGTTTTGTTATGTAAATCGGTTGTTTTGTTGTGGAATATCCGTTGTGTTTTGTCAGGTTCAACGAGTTGTCTTACGCGGTGAGGAAGTGTACATCGACGGCGCCGTTCTTGCCCAGCCCGGCTACGGCAACGACGTGTGCAAGGACACCATGGGCACACGCCCCATTAAACCCGTCTCGATCGTCATCTCACCCGCCATCAGCACGGAGGCGCCTCGTTTCCGCTCGCGCACCTCCACCCGCGAGCGCACCGAGTCGGCGCCCCAGGATGAAACTGCCGCAGATTACGCCGATGACCATTATCCCGATACCCTCCTAAAACCGATTGTCCCGCGTAACCCCAAACGCGGTTCTTCCGCCCCGGGCCGCAAGAGCATTTCCTTCGTCACCAGTGAGGAAGCGGCCACGGCGCCAGCTAAACCGGCCACAACGGTCAACCAGCGCCGCCCCACCACTTTTATGCCGCACGAGGAACTCATGGCGCGCCGGCAGTCGCGGTTGTCGGTGGATTTCGGCATTTCGGATGTGGCGGGTGGCGCCTACGGAGGTGCAGTGCATATGCGACGCTCCTCCATGATCCCGCCGCCGATGGCCGAGGCGCTGCCCTTCCACTATCTGATCTGCGTGGAAACCTTCACGCAGCAGCATATTGAGCATTTGTTTCGCTTGGCCCGCTATTTCAAGACTTGTGTGCAGAAGAACCGACCCACAGGACACGTGTTGAGCGGGAAAATTCTGGCAAATTTGTTCTATACGGAGGACTTCGGAAGCCAAAATGCGTATGCAAGCGCCATGCACAGGTGACTTTTGTGACTACTTTTACCTATTAGCGTTTAAACAGCTGAAAAATGAAAACGATAACTACTATTTTTTCCCACAAGAAGTAATTGCTAAGAATTTCTGAGCACTAAAGTAAATGAAAAATGAAAAGATTTTTGTCGATGACGACAAAAATCGATGTCGATGTCGATATATCGATGTCGATATATTATTAGTCGATGTTTATAGACTGGGCGGATCGGTCATCTACATGAATCCCGCCACGTCGTCAGTGAAGAAAGGTGAAAGTCTGCACGATACGGTGATGATTATGTCAAGTTATGCCGATGTAGTGGTGTTGCGACAGTCGTACGAGAATCCGTTGGAGGTTGCTGGCTGGTGTCAGCAAAAACCGTTCATTAATGCGGGCGACGCGGTATGTGTTTCGGGATAAAATACGTTTGCCACCCATAGGATGTTGTACATGTAACCTGACGTGGAAAAATTCCTGCTAAGTACAAAACGGTAGTGTTATCCACATAAAAGTTTATGCGTATAATTGTCACAATAAATTTAACCAAAGGCTAATTGTGAGTCAATGTGAGAGGTGGGCTAAAAGGGGGTTAGGCTAATTGACTTGCTAATTGATTTTTTATGATGACTTTGTTATACGTACATGTTGTTCTGACAATATAACTCACCGGTTTCTTGTTGGACAGTCTGGCGAAGATTTTGTGCAAGCGCTGGTTGATGGTTTCACCATCTGGGACGAGATCGGTACCATCCGGGGCTGTGTCGTCACCCTGTCCGGCAACCTAAAGAGCGGCCCGGCGCACTCGCTGGCTAAACTGCTGGCAAAATGCCAGGTCGGTGAGCTGCGCTACGTGGCACAGGAACAGTGCGACATGCCGGAGGAGGTCAGCCAGTATATCGACGAACTGCACACCACACCGCAGCGTCTATTCACCAGTCTGGAGGAGGCCCTGCCGGAGACCAACATTCTGTACATGGCGCCGCTGTACAACACCGGAACGGACGCTGCTGAACACCGTCGTCTGTCGCTGACGCCGGAGCGCATGACGCTGGTCAAACCGGAATCGCTGACTGGGCCGAAATTCCGCATTCTGCATCCGCTGCCCCGTCAGCATGATATTGCGCCGCAGATTGATAAGGATTCACGAGCGGCCTACTTCCGGCAGGCGGAGAACGGGGTGTACGTGCGGATGGCCATTCTGGCTGTGCTGTTAAAGGGGCTGATTGAGCGGCGCCCCTCGGAAACTACGGAGCGGACACTGGCTAGTTTCCGCCGTCGAATGAGTTCGCATTCGTCCAGGAAATCGGAATGAGTGGGATAGTACCGGTGGACGCTTGTCTACCAGCATGGCGCAGTCAGTTTTCATCGAAAATTTCGTTGCGAAATATTCCATTAAATTTTATTCGTGAATTTTATTCACCGGTGTTTTAATTTTAATGTCTTTTATCCGCTCGCAAGTCCTGTCTATTTTGCATTATTATCTTTCGGTGCATTTATTTAGCAATAATGTCAGTTACAAGCACTTCGCGATGTACTGTAAATGTTAGCTTGAGCGTACCGTAGAATGTGCATTATTTGCTTAATGATTAATATTGACTATGATTAATTTAGTGAAAATTCACTTCTAAATATGCTCTTAATTGCACAACTACTGTACAAGTTCTGTACTGGTAATCAATGTTCCATTGCTTGTGAAATTTGTTGTAACAAAATCATACTTAATTCTTTTCCAATGAAGCGCCCTTATCATGTGGTTGAAAGTGGTTTTGCTAGGGATATTATTGAGTGTGCATTAATTGCTTCTACAGTAGTGTCTGTGAACAGCACTCGTTCGGTATTTCCCGCGTTTATCGGTTACGGGAATCATTCCCGCTGACAAATTTAAAGAATGATATTGTACCTGTTCGTGTTGCACAACTCGCTTCAGAATCAAAATATTTACTGTGTATAACGTCATTACTGTCAAAAGAATTTCACAAGAGACTTTTCAGAGTGTTGTCGTTTTGATATCGGACAGCTGATGGCAGTCTTCGGATGGAATAAATTTTCATCGGCAGCTTATGCATTCAGCTCTTTACGCCAACATCTACAAAACCAAATGCTGTTGGATCATGATTGTCTTAGCATGCGGGTACATCCAACAATACTTGGGCCGAAAACGAAAATGCAAACGTAAATTATGCTGTAGTTGCAAAATTAAAGAAGCCCCCATTCGAGAGAAATGACTTATGAACAGTAACTCCACTGATTTATGTAAGTGCATTTGTATAGTGAATATCAGTCAACTGGTGGAACCATATGGTAATGCATATATGATCAATTCTTCAGTAGGAGTACTTTTACTTTTTATTACAAATAGCCGAAGGTAGATTTATATAGCTAGTATAACACTGTATCTACAGATTTCTACATCGATTATGTCCTGTTTTGGCCGATAGGCCTGCGCCGCTGCCGCAGGGAATTGACTGCATTTAAAGTGATCATAGGGCGCGTAATGATATTTAAAATGATTAGCAGGCTGTTTGACAGTTGGTGATCCTGCCGCACAGCATGCAAAACGCCACCCGTCGTTTGAACACAAAACACACGTCATTCAACGTTAAAATTTAATTAAGAAAACGCTTAAGACATATTACAACAACAATTAAAGCCATCGATTAAACAATATTTAATGTGAGACAAACACGTATTTGCCCATTAAAAGCACTTCCATTCGGTACGAGAAACATCGTGTATACTGTATACAGTGCATGATAATGACCATGTATAATAATATTATGCTCTGCATGTATTAATTGTACACCGGCATTTGGCTAATCAGCCAGCACAAAAGTGATTTCAGAAAACCAGTTGACAAGTTATGAATAAACTGTTTTACAACACCAGTAATTCTGCTTGTAAATGCGGGGTTTTTTCCCGTGACCTTTTGGTTTTTTTTAACAAAATTATCCCCGGCTTGTTTACATACTTGTGTTCTTTTTATTTAACCAGCCAGATTTAATTTGCAGCAAAATGGTTCGCCGGCAATCTTTAATGAACATTCCGCCTAAATTGAAAGATGCCGATGATATTTTAAACATCCTGGGAGATCCCGGCATCTTCCAGACTATCCAGTTCACCTTGTTGATGTTGCAGTTTGTACCGATTGCCATGAATGACCTAATGCCTATATTTTACAATATTCGACCGCTAGGCATTCAGATTCCATATTACGGAATATCGGATATCAATAATAATTCTTTCGTGACAGCTGATGACAATTCCTCGATGGGGTACGTTTATGTTAACCTGTCAGCTGCTTGCAACGCTATTCACTCTGGATTACCGTCTTCGAATTTCTCCTACGTATATCGAAATCGCCAGTGGTCAGTTATCGGAGAGGTACATCACTGAAAACATGCTTCTGATTTAATTTTCATCGAGAAAAGCAAGCAGTTGATGTGCTTTGGTTTTAGATGGATTTATTATGTGACAAAGCGTGGCTGGCAAATCTAGCGACAACAGTGTATTTTCTGGGTAAATCTCGCATTAAGTTCAGTTTACGTAATATATGCGCTGATACCTACAAAATTGTACTGGTCCATTACTAGACTCCTTTGCGCGCATATATATAACTTTTGCATGAAATTATAGACGTCCTTAAATTAATGTATTGTTGGTATTCAGTAGCTATATATAAATGGTTGATCTGCATGACTTGGATGGAATCATCGATGTATGTTACATTAATACTTAAAATAAACCGTGTGTGAAAACACAATTTTAAGGCGCCAGGGCGAAATCCTACATAGGGTAGTGAACTATATCGATGTGCAGGGCAAATCATTGGGTCACCGATTTTTGGATGGACTTCCGACAAATACGGCCGAAGAAAAACCTTGATCCTCTCAAATATTGCTTATTCTTTGCTCAGCATTGGAGTAATTTTTTCAAGGGATATCATTTCCTTTTCAGTTTTGCGCTTCTGTGTTGGGCTGGCCAGACAGGTACAACACTCAAAAAGTCTGAATGCTGTCGGTCTGTATCCATTCATAACTTTCATAACTACTCTAGCAAATAATGCATTTGTTACTTAGGTAGTATTTAAGTAAACATAGAAGTAGTCTTTCTCTTTCGTACTTTGTATAATTTATTTTGGGAACATTCAGGGAGTATTTATTTCCATTAACTAAATGTGGGTCATGTTTAGTATTCTAACGTCTGTACATGTGCTAGAGAACATCTGACGTGATTTATGCCCAACTTTTTCAAATATTTTTGTTGACTGCGTTTCGTACTATGGAACAGGGGATGCACAGCGCATTTTTCGTGCTGATGATGGAATGGATCCAGTCACACCGGCGTGGCCCGTGGGCAGCCATCGCCCAATTCCCTTTTTCCGCCGGTGTGCTGCTTTTAGCATTATTCGGATATCTTCTCCAGAACTGGCATCATATGCAGATCGTTCTAGCTGTTTCAAATTTTACCGCCATAGGATTTTACTGGTACAGTACATTGATCGTAAAAATATGTGTAAAAATACAGGTACGTTATGCGCGCTCCGTTGTATGAGAACATCTGGTTTTCCAACACCGCCATACTCTGTACGTTAACCTATAAATAAGCGCGACGAGTTTTGTGGTAGAAAGTTGTACTGCAAAAACAATTAAAGTTAAAATATATAAAAATAAAATAAATTGTTGCTTATGCAGAACTGTTCCAGTTTTTCCAAATTCTGGTACATTACTGCTCGTACAAGTGGAGAATATAATAATAATTATTATTACATCCTGTAAAAAAACATTTCCGCTCTAATCTAAGAGCATGACATGACCTTTTGCGAAACATTAGGACGATAAATGCTTTAATTTTAGCTATGCGGTTGGATCTACTCTAGGCTGAATCCTACTGCCGTCATACTGCCGTCATACTGACTGGTATGAAAAAAAGTTTATTTACGGCGATTTATAAACATAAGAATATAGGTCAAGCTTGACCAGTATCACGGCAGTAGAATTCAGTCTCGAGTAGATGCGACCGCATAAACGCTTAGGCATTTGTTAACGATCCAGGTTCGCTCCGGAATCGTTAAAGTGGTTAATTCTGCACCATCGTGCGACGGAAGCCCAGGACATCTGTAAGCATATCGCGCACTTTAACAACGTTCCCATATCCCGAAGTGACCTTAAGGACATTGAAATCCTAGCTAAGAATCTACATTCCGGTGGCCAGCCTGTGCAGTCCCATTCTTTTATCGATTGCTTCCGGACGCCGTATGTCCGCATATTCACCGTATTGTGCTGTTATATTTGGTAATTATCACAATATATTTCTATATTTAAATTATGTACAATTGGCACATTCGGTAAAGTAAGCAAGGTGGCGCATTATTATGCACAATGATAATGTTCAGATTATTCCGCGTACATAAGTACTCTAGCGAATGAAGCGCTGTTTTGGATTCAGGTTCGCCACGTTCTTCACATACTTTGCCTTTTCTTTTCTCATGACAAACATGGTGGGCGACGTGTATACTAACCTGGCTATCAGCGGGTGCTTGGAGCTCATTCCGCGGGCATTAGCCGTCATTTCCGCTCAAAAGTATGAATTTAGTATTTGTAGACAGCGTAGTTGCAAGATACGTACAGTGATTTATACATTCCACAATATGCTATAAAATCGTTATTTTATTCTTTGCCTGTGATACAGTTGCTATCGGTTTCACTATAAAACAGCAATACAGTAATTTGCCAAGTGTTTTGTCGACGTAGAAACGTTGTGCAGATCCTGCATAATTATTTAGAAAGAGAATTGTCCGAAAGTTATAAATTTTCATAAAAATAGATAGATTATTGTGTATATAATGAGTGATCCAAAGTAATTTTTTCGAGGAACGTTTGTTATTACCAATACGAGTATTATTATCCTGCATTATGAAGGATCACCAACCGTGCCATGCTGGTGACGTATTTCTTCTGGGCCGGCATCTTCGCCCTGATAACTGGTGCCATACCGGCCGGCGCCAAACTGGACGCCAATTCCATCGCGAAAACCGCCATGGCCCTGCTGGGACGGATGGCCATCGTCGGCTGTTTTCCCATTGTCAGCGTGGTGTCCTCCGAATTGTTCCCCACCGCCATCAGGAACAGCGGCTTCGGATTGTGCTCCATTGCGATGAAAGCCGGTGCCATGGTGGCGCCACAACTCGCCTTACTGGTCAGTTGGTGCAAATCTCATATTACGATTGTTGCAGCTGCATAGGCGTTTACAGAGTACGTTGCGTTGCATTACAGACCCTAAACACCTCGTTCACCGGCATTCCCTTCTATATTATCGGAGCGGTGTCCGTTCTGGGCTCGGTGATGACCATTATTTTACCGGAAACGACAGATATGAAGCTTATGTCGACCATTGCCGAGGCCGAAGAATTTGGTACACGGGAACTGATGGCCTTCTACAAGCGGAAAAGCGTGGCCTTCTTAACGGTTATGAAGCCAGTCAAAAAGATGTCACTTAGGGAAAGAGCTAAATCTATTTTTGAGAAAATTGAAAAATTCTAATGAAAACCGGCGAGCGTTTACCGGCAACAAATCAGGAGCCATGAAACAACTTTCTGTCAAATGTTATCGTTGTAAATATATAGATATTTCGCCTGTGGGTTCAGTCCTACGATAGGTGCAACTGCAAGGTGTAAATGATAACGCAGATGCTAGCTTGTATGTGTGTTTTAATGTCACCTCCCGGAGGAAATTTTAGATTTATTGTTAAAGTTAGTTTTTTGTCATAACTTACGTAAATCATGCGTAGAACTATTTATGTCTACATGAAGGATGGCATCCTTAATTACGCGTGTACGTATTCAGTAATTCAACAGGGCCATTGTAATTACCGAAAAATCACAAAAACGTCTTAACTTATTTAATTGTAGTACTCAAATCATTTTTTAATTTTCTACAACCGTTTGTCATGCCATCCTGATGCTTAATTTCCTTTTTACATGGACTAATGTTTATGCCTTTGAGATAGTTCTGGGGTACATAGTATAAGTATAATTACTGGCTGAAAAAAATAGACGAGTATTTCTTCGCACTTATGCTCGTATAAGACAATATGCGCGTTATCATCGGCACAGTAGTCGCTCTAAAAACCATTCTCGTTTTACGACGCTGAATCCTGCTGTATTATCAACCACTTGCGGTTTATCTTTCTTTCAGCGGCTAATAAAACCGTTTTATATTTTGGAAATTTATTTGGATGTGGCGGTCAGAATACTCGTTTGATACAGTTAAACAAAATTATACTGACTATGAATACTCCACAATGTTATATTGCATTGGTCACCGCTCGTACACAACTGGGTAAATTGTAAGTCAGTAAGTGCTTTCCCAGTTTGTCAAAAACAAACCCTCTCGCCCACAATTAAACGCTCATGCGGGTTTCTGGCATGAAATGTGTTCTTTACATAGCTAATCGAACAAATAATTTGCGTCTAACCATTCCTCTGATAGAAATTATCAGCAGTAATATCCCTGGACAACATAATTAAATTTTGCACAAATAATTGCGTATTACAGTAGGAACTGCTACTGCGGTTACTGCGGTACAATGGCCGATCCGCTGATCCAAAATCCCGATGATATCCTGTACTTCTTGGGTGATCCCGGCCGATTTCAGATTCTCCAGTTTATTCTGCTAAGCTCGCAGTTTATACCAATTGCCATGAATGACCTTATACCGATTTTTTACAATATACGCCCAGTGGGATTGTATGTCAACACCCTTAATGAGACCCGTGACAATTATTTAGGAGCGCAATATTACAATCTGTCGACGGCCTGCACACTTTTGGGACAAAGGAATTTCGCGCAAACTGACCACTTGTACGTGTACGCTTCACCCAGGCAGCGCTCAGTGGTTGGTGATGTAAGTAAATAACTGTACTAGTAGTGTAACAAAATCAGGATTGATAACAACGGAAATGCTGGAACAATTATCGTTTGTTGAATATCAAGCGTTCCACAGTACCTACGTAATATTACGATGATGAGATAATCGTTGCCAAGACAAGATGCATTCAAAAAAATTAAGTGCAATAGCAGGCAGAGTTTGCAGCAGCGTACTATTGTAAACAGATGTCATATTTGCACAAATTAATTAATACCGTACACCGGTTTATGTATGAGTAATCTGAAGCGGGTTTTCCATACAAATTAAGTCACACAATTGTTTACTCAGGTTTGCATACATGATACGACATATTTTAAACAAGGCAGAAATACCAAAATAATATTAATCATTAGTGCACTGATGCATGCCCTAAGAAAGCCCAAATACTTTCTATAGTGTAGAATATAAAAAAATAAAATACAGAAAGTTCCTGGAAAGACGTATAACTTCAGTAAGCGATAAATACGCCGACAATACTAGTACTCTGGCAGCTTTCAGTTTCAACCGACTGTGGAACTATCTACCGCCTATTTTTCGCACTCACCTGGTCAGCTTATCCTTTACCTAAAATACCTTTTTTTTGGCTAATTTAAATTAGCGTTATTTCTTGGCAATGCACACTTTATCATTGCAGAACTACATACCATAATCATTTTTAATTAATAAAGTTACATGTAAGAATACCGCACTTCATGCGTGTGCAAGTATGTTGGCGGTACGTGCAATATGTAGCGGTGCGTGCAATATGTAGCGGTGCGTGCAATATGTAGCGGTCTCTCAAATCATGTCATCAAGAGTGAGAAGTATCCCAGCGGCTTAGCGATGCTACAAGGTATATCTCCAGGACCGCACTTTTCTTTCTTCCAAAATTTTAAAGCGAAATGTTTAACGCAGTATACAGATATCTCATGTTTATGTATATTTTTGTACGGTATACTACGAAATTAAATCAAACTAGATACGAAGTACAACCTTCCATAGTGTACGTGTAGACAACAATAATTAATATTAAGAAAAGTTCTTTTACTAACGTACTCATATCTTGTCATACAAAAGCCGTCGCGTGCGAGAATAAAACAGGCTTCGACCACTAAAAGCAAATTCTGCAACTTACTATTTATTTACTGTAAGCAGAATTAGACAATTTGTGTTACGAATCCATATTACCATGGCCAGAAGAGCTTTTCTTGGTTACCATATATTGCAGATGGACTTGGTTTGCGATAAAGGATGGCTCGCGAATTTGGCCACTGCAATTTACTTTTTTGGTATGTACGAGGACGAACGATTTACTTTTTACTTTATTGGATTTTAATTTTTTGGTATGTACGAGTACGAACTACGAATACTACGAAGTATGGATGTTCTATCAAGGTTATAGCAGAAAATTCATGAAAGGTTAATTATAAACCATGATCATGACGGTACTAGAGTATATTTGGCACCACTTTGGTAAAATAGTTTTAGATACAAGTATTCTAAGGAGAGCATTTTCTTCGTGATACTTTTGTCTGAAATATTTATGTGCATGTAGGTTGGCATAAGGCGTTATGATTTATAAATAAACGCGTGTCTAGCGCTTACGTTAAGTAACCGTTAAATAATTGCAATTCTTACGTCGAAGTTGCTATTGTACAATTCCTTAAAGTGCCCAAACACAATTAATATTGTTGTTTCTTATAAAGCTGTGCACATGTAGAAATCTATTTTCATACCTTACACGCTGACAGGATCTTTATAGGACAAATAATTGGAAGTTTTGGCTTTGGAGTAATATGCGATCGCATTGGCCGAAGAAATCCACTGCTGTTTTGCAACGGTATGTGATAGCAGTCATTAGAAATTAACATTATACAGTAACGCAATATGATACCCTGATTCTTATATTAGCCATCTTTGAAATGAATAATGACACTATTTTTTTATAGTGCTGTTTTCCGCTCTTAACGCCGGATTAATATTTTCCGCCGATTATATTTATTACGCGGTATTTTTATTCTTCATTGGGATTAGCAGACAGGTACAACAGAATAACGAACATGCATGCTGTACAGTACCAAGCACATGAAGGTTTAGTTGCTCGTGCTATTCGTTTAATACGGAAAAATCAAATTATATTCGTACACATAAAAAACTGAATGCATAAGTAGCAACTGAAGTTACCTATCTGTGTACAATACATTACAGTAAGTGTATGCCTGCAAAAGTTAATTAAACACCATGATCGTGTTAACTAAAGAAAAGTCATTGTTTATAATAATTGGGCTGCTTGTGTTTGTGATTAATATAGGGGATGCATAGTTCGTTTTTTATTCTAATGATGGAATGGATCCAGCCCCGGCGTCGCGGTACATGGGCAGCCATAGCGCAGTTTCCCTTTTCTTTGGGTGTTCTACTCTTAGCGCTAACAGGCTATCTGGTGCAGGACTGGCGCAAAATGCAACTTGTGTTGACCGTATCAAACTTTACGGCATTAGCATATTACTGGTAAATGGTAATTACTTTTTCGACATGGAGATTCCGTCTCGCAGTTTAATAAACCTGCACATGTAGCAATTGCCCTTCAGAATAAACATAGGAGTGTTTCCGCTATTATTTTTTGCTTATCTCGCACTTCGCGCTGCTCCACTGCATAATTTTAACATGATTATTCCTATTTATACAATACATATTTAACGTATGTTTGTATATGATTTTATGTAGAACACTGTATTTGGACAATGCAATAATTTCGGCTTCTTACAGGTTTGCTCCGGAGTCATTAAAATGGCTGGTGCTGCAGAATCAATTCCCAAGAATCGCAGTCATATGCACGCGTATTGCCCGATTCAATAAAATAACGCTCTCGGAAGAAATTTTACAGGGTGTTCAGCTAATGACCATTCAGCTGCACGAAACACAAACAAAACACCGCGCCTATACCATGCTGGACTGTATAAAAACGCCTTATCTACGCATATTTACTTTTTTGACAGGTTATTTATGGTAAACAACTTCATTCTCACAAACACACTTTACTGCAGCAATATTATTCCGATAATGCGTTGTGGAAAAATCAATCTACATGTTCTTCATAGGTTCGCTGTGTTCATGTCCTACTTTGCTTTTTCCTTCCTCGTCGCTGGATTAGTAGGAAATATTTATATGAATATTGCGATCAGCGGAGCTTTGGAGTTGATCCCACGCGCGCTGTGCATTTTACTGGCTTCAAAGTATGTATCTGTATGCGCGGCCGTAACAGTTAATTAAATTGACATTCTTATTAAATTTTGGTGACTGCACAATGTAGTCGAAGTGTCACATACAACTTCTATTACTCCAGCATAGAAAGTAGTGATACGACTTCAGAGTATTTAAGGGGAAGTTTCGGTAAAGCGTACGTATACAAAAATGTGTTGGACCGCTACTTATTATTAATTCGCATGTTTGTCGATGAAGTTGATCGTACATTTAGTATATCAATCCAAAGTTGTCGTTAATTATTATTTTACATATTTAATTAATGGTTGGCTTCTTTTGATAGGTTCTCCAACCGTGCTATCCTGACCGGTCATTTTCTGCTGACAGCCGCTTTGGCTCTATCGGCCAGCGTGGTTCCCACTGCCGGCAATGTGACCCTGGCTGTTGTCCAAGCGGTTTTGGCGCAAGCTGCCCGAATGTCCGTTGTCGGGTGTTTTCCAGCGGTTGCAGTTGTGACGTCGGAATTATTTCCCACAGTTATCCGCAACAGCGGATTTAGCTGGTGCTCAGTCTTGATGCGATTGGGGGGAATGGTGATTAACAATAACTTAATATTATAATTTGCAATTACTTGTTATTTTCTTCAGTGATAGATCACTGTATTTTTGTAAAACAGTCAGCAGGCATAAGCTTGACTTTTCCAAAAGGCAAAAAAATTTAGTATCTGTTCGTTTTTAAAGGTTCTATTTAATAATATTTACCGGTAGCTCGCTTTGTAATGGCAGAATAACATTCTTACTCTTCTTTTACAGGTTGCACCGCAATTTATCGTGCTCGTAAGTGATCTTTATTTATGCACATCATGTTTGCTGTTACCATTACCAGTCGGTTCAAATTGCGCAGTAACAAAACAGCCAAAGTAGCTAGAAGTATAGTATTTTACGAGAATTGTGACGATAAGTGACGATACAAGTCACATCGGTATCTCAATAGAACTACCTACTACTAAGCATACGGTTTTAAGGCAACCATCACTACATTCAGCGGACTGCCGTTTGTCGTTATATCGGTGACCGTTATTCTGGGCGCAGTGGTCGCCATCCTGCTACCGGAAACGACCGATATGAAGATGCTGTCCACTATTGCTGAAGCGGAAGCATTCGGCAAGGAAACATTCTTAGCCAATTTTAAACGCAAGGATGTTCCAGTTTTAACCGTTCGGAGAAAGCCGGCGAAAAATTGAAGAACAGAAATCGTTTCATCTTCCGGATAGCACGAAGTTATCTTGCATTGTGTCCTCGTAATCTGTAAAACAGTTACGAGCAACCCTGTACGTTAACGTCCTTAAAAGGGTTGCTGGTCTGCACGCTGCATGAAATCATAACTAGAATACGACTATGGTTACTATAGAATGATCACGACCGCCTTGTTTAAGTATTGGATAATACTGTAGTTTTTAATATTGTGGTTCTCCATAGACTGTAGCTTTATAAGTTGAAAAAACTTGTACTTACGACTGGTGGCCTGGTGCGTACTACATACAACCGGTACCGGTAGTAAGATGGATTCATTGTTTATTATGATTCTGACGTAATTCTTGTATGCTTCATTTGTTTTGCAAATTCGGATGTAACTGTGAGCTCATAATAGATTTTAAATAAATGTCTTGTACAATGTACGATATGTCAGATGGTTAGGATAATTATGCCAGATAAGCGGTAGTAATATTCAGACTGAAATTGAAGAACTGTACTAGCTGGACTCCGCAATCTTAATTAAGAAGGCGAGAGCCGCATCAAAGGTTACGTATGCGGATATTTCCTTGTATTGTACTATTCTATCGTAGATATCCACGACTTTTGATAACCTTATAATTTTTAATAACTGACCGCTCAAACTAATCATCAGAAAAAATGGAAAATGATGTAGAATCATCGCATAACTAACCCAACTTTGTTCTACTTGTCGGTGCATGTAATTTTTTATTGTAGTTTACGGTTTTCGGCTTTCCTGTATCTCATGAATAAACAAAAGAGAGAACTGCAATAATATTAGAGTAGCGTATCATTTACGGTACAACGCTTTCCATGTTTCCGAATACTCAGAACCCGTGTACTAATTATTAACTTACAGTACAAATCAGTACGGTACGTCATGTACGGTTACGCATTAGTGGTACTATGATGACGTGCTGCTATAGCTGGAATTATTTAAGCATTTACAGGTTAATCTGATCGTACTCCTAACACAACAAAAAATTCACAAACGAACATGGCAATGTTGTACTCCCCAACTCCTTCTACCATAACGAAACGATGACAGGGCTGGCGGGGACCCATCTGCAGCAGGACGACAGGGTCCGACTCACCTCTTCTGTTAATTCAGGGAAAGGTCAGCCACACAGCGATCCTAATGAACCACGACGGAAATCCTCTCTGGAAGCTCTGACGTACCGTCAGCTTATTCTTTATATGGGATTTCAGCATGTACTCATCAGCATGGTGGGTTCGTTGCTCTTTTTCGTTTGGGGTAAGTCTGTATACGAAAGGTCACAGTCATGTACTTACAACTTTAAAAGCTTCAGTGTTACACGCATTAGGAAGTTACTAAGTGCTTTCACAAAATTCAGTTACTCACTTCTTACGCTGCACCGTACTTACGCCGCACGTTTTTCATCAAATAGCATAAACTATATAATACCGCATTATCAAAAGAAAAGCCAGGAAAAAGTACTAAATCGTTACCCCGAAAGAATAAACGGTGTAAGTGTGGTGATTTTGTTTAGTATTTTGACAATTGTGGCGTGCTTTATCCCTAAACCTTGCGTGTACCAAAGATCACGATAATAAGTACTACTTATTCATTATGAAACTTATGTACGTATGAAAATTTCCAAAGCTACTCGTAGAGTGGGTTGCTAACGTCTTCACATACTCGTACAGTATTCGCTACTTACAGGTGATGCGCTTATTTGTCATATTTGTCAGTTTGGCCTAATTCACCAGGTTTCGTTATTAAATTTAACAGTAGCATCGAAATTACTGTAATTTTTTCTGTGATTCGATCTCCTGTTCCCGCCGTGTTGATACGCTCTGTCCTTTATAAATCGTAGAGAAAAACTATGTCCTCGACAAGCATGTTTCTTATACTGTAGTTAGCAGTAAGTAGCGTTCATTTTGCAATTAATGTTGTTAAAGTAAAGGACGTCCATTCTCTTTGGTAGGTTATATAGATATTATGATTTTTTGGTATTAAACATGTAAGCTTATTATAAAGATAACATGCTGATCTTTGAGCGGCCAGATGTGTACAGTTAAGTAACATAACAGGAGTACGAGTAAAGAATTCTGAACTGAGTATACAGTAATATACTGTACTCTACTCGAGTTAAGAAAATACTTACGTACTGTACTGAAGGTACACAACCTGAATTTTAACTTTTTACCGTCCGTAAAAGATAAAAAAAGAACAGTAGTACATAGTCACGTAATACTTTTTTATAATGCTCACGAAGTATATACAGTAAATATTGTGAATACGCAATTTTTTAGGGATTACATATATCGGCGTTGCACTGATGGGATGGGAAATCACATGCGGCGTGTTATTCTTTATCGGTTACGGAGTCTTACAAATTCTACCTTTGGAAACATATGGCAGCAGCGTATCCAAAACAGTTGAACGTCTATTAAATGTTTTCGTGCTGGTGACCATGCTTTCGGTACTGCTGGCCACGGGCACGATGACATATGGCATCTTCATCGCGTCGACGATCACCAGCTCTAATCAGACATCCCTGGAAGCGGACATCACCTTTGCCGCCGGTCTGTATGCGGCGTTGCTAGGCGTGACGATATTGGCCGCTAAAGTCTTTTTACTGAAGAAACTCATCGAGTATTTGATTGTGCTAAGGATAGCCAATGCAATGCCGTCGCAGAATCTGACCGATCAGCATAAGATTGCAGTTTCTACTGCCGCACAAAAATAACTACCGACATGGCGGAACTGTTTAGTACTGTCATACTACCGATTACTCTGTATAACAAAGTTGCAGCTGCCTGTATGTACTGGAAACTGAGCGATTGTGCGACGTAACCGTTCGCGGCCAAGAGAGTGACCGCGTTCGATTCGATTACCGTTCGATTTTCGGGCATGATTAATTTTATCCCGAAAGTTTTTGTGTCTATCCATAATTTTCCTCTCCGAAGGCATTGGGAACAGTTTAATTATTTATGGTGCTTTACTTCCGAACCGACCACGGTGATTTTTCTTCTTTAGCCATCTCCACCGTCCACCGACGCAGCGTATTATTATATGTACGAGTATTTGGGAACGTAGTCAACCATTATCGCAGCTATAGCTAGACAGTAAGCGATTGCTACAGGTATAAGAACTTGGAGTCACCTTTTATAATTAGACTAAGGTAAACTTTCTAATAATTATTATAATTGTTCTTTAACGGAAAGTGCGATAAGGTAAGCAGGGTAAACTACTTCGCAGATATCATTTAAATATCGAAAAAACAACCAAACTAACTATTCTGCCTTGGGTTACATAAAAGGTACAATAACATACTTTACAGTCAACACACTCCTTTAATAACAGCCGGAATAAACCGTCATCATTATCTTTATATTCATACAATCTTACCGACCAAAGCGTATTTATGCGCCGTTTTTATCTCCTCTACAACGCGTGGTCAGTTTAAGTCCAGCTTAGTCTTAAAAAATTCCATATTTTCCATAGGTGTGCCAATAGATTTTTGTTTGTTTTTAATAACCAGTGGTCAGAAGATGGTTTCACCAGGTCTTAAGTACAGGAAACGTAAAGAGCACCCGAACAAGTATTCACTGCACAGCAATAAAAAGTACTTACGATTAACATAACGACTGTAACCACGGTGACTATAGCGGACGCATACTTATGTAAATACTTGCTCTTTAGGTAAAATATGTATATTACGTCACGCAAAAGTCCATACGTATTTCAGAGCGTCGAAACGTCATAAATTTAAAACGTAAGAACGTAACACCGTCAGAACGTCATAAAGTAAGAACATCGGAACGTTAGAAAGTTAGAACGTCAGAACGTCAGAACATTAGAACGTCAGAACGTCAGAACGGTAGAACGTCAGAACGTCAAAAAGTAAGAACATCAAAACGTTAAAACGTCAGAACGTCAGAACGCCAGAATGTCAGGATGTCAGAACGTCATAACGTCAGAACGTCATAAAGTAAGAACATCAGAACGTTAGAACGTTGGAACGTCAAAACGTCAGAACGTCATAAAGTAAGAACATCAGAACGTTAGAACGTCAGAACATCAGAACTTCAGAACGTGAGATATTAAAATTGTCAGAACGTCAAAAATTCCGAACGTCAGCCTTTATATGTTTATAATGACCTTTCTAAAACAAAGCCAATACTATCCAGTACTTAAGTGCCGGGTGCTTAAGTATTCACCGCACAGCAATAAAAAAGTACTTAACATAATGACTGTAACCACGAAGACTATAGCGGATGCACAAATACTCGTACTTGCTTTTTAGTGTAGATGATAATTATTGTGCTAATAGTACTTAAATTACCTAATTTGGAAAACGTCCATAAAAGGTAAAGTACAGCGCACCTTATGTCGCATACACTGTTATCTGCATACGTCAAAACGTAAAAATATCAAAAGGTCAGAACGTCAGAAATTCAGAATATCACAACGTCAGAACATCAGAATATCAGAACGTCAGAAATTCAGTACGTCAGAACATGAGAACGTCAGAACGTGAAAAATTAAGAACGTTAGAACGGCAGAACATCAGAATATCAAAACGTGATAAATTAAAAACGTTAGAATGTCATAAATTCAGAACGTTAGAACGTCGTTACGTCTTATAAAATACGACCACGAAAGTTTATATACGATTAAAATCATAGTCTTAAAAAACATTTTTTCTCTAATTCTGGCTTTTTTATATTTTTAATGACCTTTCCAAAATAAAGCTAAAACTATCCAGTACATAAGTGCCGAGCGCGGATGCGCGAGGCTACCTTGTAATATAATTACCGTATTATACGGTTTCCTACAAAGCTATCTGTATACGTAGTGAACCGGAAGCCGGAAACTAGAACTGACAATGAGTTGCAGTCGCGTTAAAAAATGTATATTTGTAACATTAATTAACATTTCATATTTGTAGTCAAGTTGGCCTGAAACTATATTTCACAACAGTCGAGCGCTCTGCGGTCATCATGGCAAACGGCATCTTTCGGCATAGTTGTGGCGACTTCTCACAGTACTTACTCATCGCCTTACATAGCGGCGAAACTAAGAAGTGTGCTGGTACTGGCTAAAATTTTCTGGATTTCATGTATTAACTAACGATCATCGTCGCATTTTTAAGAGTTATTCAAACAACATGCGGGTTGCACAATAGGAAATATGGTCCCACGGGTAAGGTCCAGCAGAGACAACGGTGCATGTTTATGTGCACTTTCCTTCTTGGTGATGAGATTTGGCGAAGCTGCAAGATTTTTAAGTATTATGCATTGGTTTGGCTCAGTAATTCAAGTTTGTCTCTTATGTTATAAATTAAGGAATGGAATGAAAGTGGTGCAACTGAATATTCCTGTAGTTAACATATATAACGGATATGCACATTAAAATGCCGGTTTATGAGTTGATGCTGATGATCACAATATTTGTTTGCATTGACCTTGACAAAATTTGCATGGTTTGCAAAGATGTTAGCCGGTGTCGGTATTGCTTTATGTGTTCGCTACTGTCGAATTGCGAAAAACCCCAGTATTGTAATTCCTCGCAGTCGGAGGTGGCTCTGGATAGTCTGACGGCTTACGCGTCTCGTACTTACGTACCAACGGCTTTACGCGGCAGTTCTCCACCATAAACTGCCCGCAAGCCAAACTGTAAATTATACCGTTCAGCAACAGCAAACCGGAACACTGTCGGCAACGTAGCGTAGCAATTGTTCGCCCAAAAAAAGAACCCCAGACAAAAGAAAACCATGTTCCAGATTAGCAAAATCCGCAATGCTGACCACTCCATCACAATTTTATCACTAATCGTTTCTTTTGTCTTTCCAGCAAATTGGCTATCAACATCCTCCAGCTAATAATTAAATATTCTTCACAAATTTAAGACCAGCGCCACGACCGGAAATATGTATAATGTACATATTATTGTTTTTCATTTTTCGGTATAATCGCCAAACAATAAAATGACTGACAGCCAAGTGCGGTTATATCGCCAAAACCGGCAGCTAATCGGTGTAAAAACTCTCGCATAAATAAACATACCAAATTATTGGCAAAGCTGCGATAGCGATCATAAAAAGCCGGCATTTTCTGCTGGCGGAATTTGTCACTCTAGTTTCTCGCCAAAAAGAAGGCACGAGTACGCTGGAATAATGTTGTACAGATACATGTACTGTATATTTATACATCAGTTACTTGTACTTGTACATGTACAAGATACGATATAGATATTCCATCGACCAAATAATTTTGTACGTGACATACGAATAGTAGAAGCCAGCTTCAAGCCACCTGTTAAATTATTGTTTTTTTAATTCTTAAGCGTGCTGGCTTAACAATGGTCGTTTTGAGTACAATAACAAACACCGGCAATTATTACTCCTCTTCACTTTTATGCAGCGCGAGGGCGTACATGCGAAGACGCCGATGAATTACACGTGAGGTGTACAATGGAATATAAGTGAACTGGCATTATATGCTGAAACCTATGCTGAATAAGCATACACATGTGCCACAGTTAAGCGACGTTTATTGTTTCGTCCAAAGAATAACACAACTACCAGTTTCTTGTCATACAGCAAGTAATATCGTGATAACACCTCGCCGCTTGTGCCGATCCGACTATAGTCGTATTTCCGGTGCAACGCAGCAATTCTACAAACAACGAGCATGTGCGCGATATCTGATAAAAGTCAGGTTAAAACGAATTCGCATAATGCACGCCTTGATAATGCGCTTTAATACATTGTCACACCGTCGGCTTGTGCATAACTTACTTCTGTTTTTTAACTATTTATAATCATGTCAGCAATGACTAAATTAAATGATCCCGATGACCTCTTGTATTTGCTTGGCGATCCGGGACTGTTCCAGATTATTCAGTTTATGCTATTGGCATGTCAGTTTATACCGGCTATGATGAGTGATTTCATGCCAATATACCATAACATTCGTCCCAGGGCTGTCAGAATCCCGGAACAATTTTCTTCAACTTTAGACAATGCATCATTAATGGCGGGAGAAAAGAAAATGTATAACCTAAGCAGTTTTTGTGAGTTCTTTCCTGATGTGAATGCAGAAAATGCCGGCTTGGAGTATGTTTATGCCGACCGTCAATGGTCAGTGGTTGGAGAAGTGAGTACGGTAACTCACCCTGCGGGGCACTCACACAAAAACGGCAGATACAATATTAATGTCTGCAAAGTGTCAGATATATACCGGTAATCATGTAATAATCACGTAAGTATTGAACATATTTTGTGCCACAAACATATTTTTCGACACCTTCGTTTTTCATTTTCCGCTTCAGTAGACCGAAAAGGGAGTGGGTTTTTGATGTTTATTAATGTTTAAAATTTTTTTACGCAGTGGGACCGCGGAAGCTTCTTTTACTGTTGTGATGGTTGTTAAAAACGATGACATTACGCTGCAGCCGTAATATTTTACCGTAATATTAGTGTAGCTCAGTAAAGAAGTACACTGAGAAGTTGCGAACGGACTACGTAACAAGACCTAAACTAAAATATTTGTTCTAGGTTTATATCCTACTTGCCATCAGAGGGCATCATCCTAATGCTGTCTTAGAATGCTGTTTTTGTCATAGTTTTAAGGAATTATTTATTTTCTGAACTTCTTTCTAGATGGATCTCATATGCAAAAGATCTTGGCTTCCAGAGTTTGCCACAACAATATATTTTTTGGGTATGCAATCACCAGCAATTTATTTACGATTTTAAAAGAAATTGTCTCAATTCTTTTCATAAAGTCAATCACAAAGCGTGAAGTTTTGTAACAGTAGGTTATCTGATTTCAGGACAGATCGCAGCCAGGTACGATATCGATGGAACTCGATTGATATTTGAGTTAATAATTTTTTCATGGTTGAGAAAAAGTTTTGTTTATCTGATTTATCTATAATCATGGCAAATACATACACACGTATAGAAGTATAAGTAATACTATGCACGTAATAATTGCACAAATCGAATCTGTTTCAGTCCTGTTTGTGGTTTTATCGCCGATAAATACGGACGCCGGCCAACCGTGCTGGTTTGCAATCTGATGTTCACATTATTTGCCGTGTCTATGGCCTTCTCCTATTACTATCCCATCTTTGTAATCTTGAGTTTTTTTCTCGGATTATTCAAGCAGGTAAGCAATCGAAATTCTATAGTTTTCAATCAACTGAACATTTAATAAATATTATTTGCTTATAAGGATAGTGTCATCGCTTTCCCTATATAGATATTACCTGGTTTCTTTCAAAGGTGAATCTAATTTCAATCTAAATAAAGCCTACCAAATTCTGTATGGTTGCACTGCTTAGTCAGGCGCTATGCACTACAGTTTGTATATCTAAATCTAATATCATCTATGCAACATATTATTAATGTTATCTAATCTAACGGCATTTATGTACATTTTTAAGGGAATCCAAGCTACTTCGGTGATATTGATGATCGAATGGATACAGCCGAAACGACGTGCCATTTGGTCTGCCATTGCACAGTTTCCCTTTTCCTTTGCTGTCATAATATTCGCCGGCACCGGCTACTTTCTGCGGAATTGGCGTTACATTCAAATCGTGGTTGGCTTGTCAAATTTCACGGCCCTGGCATTTTATTGGTAGGTGAAACACTTTATTGCATATACAACAACAAAGCCGTTATCGGCATATATAACCTACAGTCAAGTTTGCAATATTGAATCGGCACAATTATTAAACAGTCAAAATAAATGAACTCAAAATTATAATACGAGACTCATACATGTATTTATGTGATTAATAAGAAGCTGCCAGTACTAAATTTGAATTTCGCCAGGTTTGCCCCGGAATCTCTACGATGGCTGATTCTTCACGGCAGGCAACATGAGACTCGGAAAGTGTGCGCTAATGTGGCAAAATTCAATGGAATTTCTCTAGGCGACGATCAGCTGGACGAGATCAATCACATTTCCGCCAAACGTGCACCGGCTACTGCTGCTGCACCGGCTGCATCCCAGTCGTTGTTTGTCTGTTTTAAGACCAAATACCTAAGACTGTTCACGCTGATGGGATGTTTCTTATGGTACGTGTAGAGTTATTATTAGGCTTGCAGCCAATGATTAAAACTAACGTCCATGCGTATATCAGTAGTTGTCCATTTAAATAATAACCGAAAAGGTCATCCGTCTGTTACTCCAAGCGTTAATGCTGACCTGGCCAATGCGCATTTGTATATAACATATACTGTTAGATATTTTTACTTTTAGTAAAAGCATTTCTTTGAAGGATGGCCACCTTTTTCGTGTATTTTTCCTTTTCCTTCTTGGTGGCCAACATGAGCGGAAGCATTTACCTGAACATAGCCATCAGCGGATGTATGGAGCTTATTCCGCGCTCTATTGGAATCTTTATGGCCAAAAAGTACGCATATGTAAAGAACAGCAAAATTAAAGTTTACTATATTTTACAAGATCACCAAAGTTGCACATGCAGTATACCTGTGGCATGGTCATCCAATGCAAATGTCACATGCTTCTAATCAAGTGATTGTGCTGACGAAGCACGTCAGAGGGTATCCGAATCAAAATTAATTCGTGCATTTAAATGAGTATTTTTTATGTCCGCGACTCCGCACTCGTACCGCGCTAAAAATTAATTCGGATTGCACATGTGTTTTGCAGGTTCACAAACCGTGCTTCGTTATGCGGCTATTTTGCCGTCGCCGGTGTATTGGCGATAATTGCCGGAGTACTGCCGGAGCAGCACGGTGTCGTGCAAACGGTGCTGGCACTGTTGGGCCGCATGAGTGTGGTCGGATGCTTCGCCGTCATGCAGGTGCTCACTTCGGAACTGCTGCCCACCATCGCGCGCAACAGTGGATTCGGATGGTGCTGTGTGGCCATGCGAACCGGTTGCATGGTCGCACCGCAGCTGGTATTTCTGGTAAATAACCACAAGTTTACTGTCTTTTTATAAAGCAGAAACCAAGCCGTTGCAGTGATCACGCAGTTTATTTTACCATCTTTCAAGGAATACCGAATGTCATTTACACGTCAATTTTGGAGAGCTTTAGAATAATATTATGCTGGCGCTAGCTTAAAACTCGCACTCTGTTAATTAATAGGTCATATTAGTTTTATTTTAAATTTTAGGCGACCGTTACACCCTTCAAAGGCATGCCATTAGTGGTGGCGGGGGCGGCTTCCCTATTGGCCGCCGGGATAACAATACTCGTACCGGAAACAAGTGACATGCGCTTACTGGCCACCGTGGAAGAAGTGGAGAGTTTCGGTAAACGCGAGATGTTGGCATTTCGGCACAAGGATATTCCCGTCATCACTGTGCTAAAATCCACCATCCGGAAACGGCATGCCGCCCAAAAAAGTACTTCTCCACCACTCGTTATCAGCCATGATTATAATAATGGCGAAACGTAACTGATGGAATATAACTGCTCAATGTTGCGATACCAGTACCTTGTGCCTTAAGGAAAGTGAATTTTTTGCTGTATAAAAAGGGAAGCTTCTATTGCGTAAATTTATCTTTTGCTTCATCACTCGTGTTCATGTTCACTGCGGTAAAAGTATTCAGAGAAAATCGGAATGACAGCCAGGATCAATGTTTCGCACAAGTAACCATGCCTTACAAATGCAAGTTTTAAGTCAGTTTATTTCGATCTATTTACCGTACCTACAGTCATTTATACACAAACATCGCCGCTTGTGCTGTTTTGAAAATAACAAGACAGCACAGCATCAATAAATTAACCATATTCTTATCCCGCAACTCCATTAATCTATTTAAAGCACGAAGTCATCGTGACTAGGAAAGCGGATGCAAAAAGAGAGGAAATATATTCGCCAAAGAAGACAGACACGAACCAAAAGAGCTCACAAGGAAACATCAAAAGTGGGAACTTTCCAAAAATTGGAGCACTGCACAGGAGAAACCGAGGAACGAGAGGAAACAAATTTTGCCAAAAATCACATAAATTGCACCCACTTCAAAAAACATCCACCGTGGCACGGAATATAAACCGTTACGTAGAAGCCGATACTCGTACACTCAAAACATCCCTGAATGTTCGTTCCACCGTCGCTTCAATCCTTATTCGTGTTCCTCCTCTTCCCCGCTGGACACACCAGCCTCCTCCGGTTCTACCACCACCGGTTGCTCCACCGGAAACTCCACATCAGGTTCCGGCTCCACGGGAATATTCACAATGGCGTTAACATCGTCCAGGGGATGTTCAGCAGCAGCGGCTGCCAGCGATCCTGCAGATCGTGATCGCGAGCGAATACACTGGAAATCCACATGCCGACTGCGGGCGTCCTCCTTCTCCCACGACAGCCGAATAAACGGCCGCTGCACGTAGAAATACGACGCCTCCAGCTTTCCATCCCAGCGCGGCCGAATCCGGTCGACATGCGTCGGGAACCCTTCCGTGCCCAGACACACCTTCTTAAAACCGCGCTCCGTCAGCACTCGCTTGGCCACATCCCGATTTTCCACGTATTTAAAGAATGTGAGCAAGGCGGTGCTATGCAAGATCTGCGATTGCTCTTCACCAGACGGCGGTGGGAGCTTGTCATTCCAGTGCACTTCTTCGTCATCCATCAGGATTACCACGTTGCACTCGCGCTCACCTTTCAGCGCTCGCTGTACAATACAAGGCATAATCTTCTGCTCTAACTGAGATTCGAATTCGCGTCGTGCTCCGTCATTAGAGATCTCGTGTAAGAGTGCGCGGAGATCATAGGTCTTGATGGTGTTGGCGTTGAAGGGGATCAGTAGGAAATCACACAGGTCGCGGAGATCAGCCAGGGAGATGTCAGCGGGATGCTTAATGTAGCCCAGCTTGTAGTAGTCCTGTCAATGTCAGATAATTACGCAGTGCACGCAAGGATATATTTACAGCGTATTACATCTACTCCAGAATTTCATATCAGTCAGTTACATGACGGAAATAAATCGCATGCAGCCTTGTGACTTTCTAGGGATTATTCTACCGCCATTAAGCTGCAAATCCATATTTCAGCAATTTTATCCTGAGTTTAAATAACGTATCTTTAATTAACAAAGGATGCCTGCAGAATGGCCAAGAAGCAAGCAGGATTAATGCTGAAATCAAACTTACAGAATATACCAAACCAAGAACAGAATGCTATTTTCCCACTCAATGTACAACAATCCAATAAGCAGTTATAAAAATCAGCACCCAAAAAAATGAGCAAACAGACGCACAACTATCACTGAAATTTTATTTAAGGAAGGGACCAAAACGCTCAGGAACACAAGCACGCTGCACATTAATCCGACTCTTCATACTTAATGTATAATTACGGTCACCGTAAATTTCTGATCTATTTATATTTCAATAATTTACGAAACTATATAGTCACCAAAATAACTAACCAAAGAAACAAACAATCATTTTAACTGCACTTTACTTCGGTTTTTGTCCACATTGAAGAAGAAATTAAAAACAGCTGATCAACATACCAGTGCCACACGGAAGAAATCGGCAGAAAAGTCCATATTTAACACAAAATCGCCTCGATCGTTCTGCTTAACGATATCGTGGGTAGGTGAGCAAGCAACCATTTTCCCCAGCATGGTTTCCGGATGGGCCGCCACGCAGTCACGGTTAATCTACAACAACACAAACAACATGAGCCACATGACATTTTCATCAATCTGCGGCATGCAGCTCAGTCACTGAGTAAGCCAGACAATTTCGTACAGTGAAATGAGTTCCGTTAACAACGAAAGTCACAGTATTGGCGTTGCCAGCGCGGTGCTTGACATCACAGCGAGGAGAACTTCTCAACTGCTCATTAACATTGCTGGCACCGGCATTTACGGAATTTCGCGAGGACGACCGAACATTCGGAGATGTCCGATCCATTCCAATTTCCACAAGAATTTTTACCGCGTAACCTCTTCAGTCCTCTGCAAACACACCAATGCAGCAACAGAAGAAGTTATCAACCATGTGGAATGTGGATTAACTCAATATAAACATCCAGGTAGTTATCAACACGACCTGAATCAGAAAAAGCTGCAAAAATTAACGAAAAGGAAAATCCCGTAGCCGTAGGATAAGTCAGCACGATCGGATCGATGAGTTGAAAATGTTAAGCAACTAATTCGGTTTCTAAATTCTTATGAGCTAAAAATCAAAAATGCATAATCATTATAAGAGGGAGTTAACGGTTAACCCTCATAATCTTACCGCTCTACTGTAGATGTTGAGAAAATAATGCTCACCGTCTTGCGAGTAATCTCGGTGTTATCACTGTTATGCAACACAAAAAATCCAATAATGTAAAGATGTCCAATAATGTAAAGTCACACTAGCAGCGGTGACTACTAGAAGTAGGAAGGATTTATTTGTAGATCAGTAACAGATGCACTGAATATGTTTTCAAACCTTGTCTCAATTAATAAGAGTTGTGCCACAATCCTCTGAATCCTTCAATAGTATGTTCACCAACTAAGGTTCTTCAACAAAAAACGGCAACAATTTCACTGCATCCATAAAGCTGCAAAAAATCAAATCGTCCTTGAGCTATTCACATGAAATCAGCATCCACGTGCTTCGCAGGATCTTACATGAATGCGATCATCTGCGAATCGTGCTTCCTGCTGTAGCTTGCTGTCTGGTTGCATAAAAAAACATTGAAATGGCGTACAGAGATTATGCAGTTGCGCCGTCCTAAAAGCGCTTGAATGCGCTCAGCGAAATCTCTTTCTTTATTTTAATAACGATAAGGTCGCCAGTTGCCTTATTATATTTAAATTTCGCAAGGACTTAATTTAATTTAATACACAGTCATTTATAACGTCACCCAGATTCTAAAGCTTTAAAATTTATTAGCCAAGACTGCCAAGTGAACCTAGATACGAACATCCCATCTTGACATTGCAGCGATTTCCCTGTAGAACGCATGACGTTCGAGGCTGCACTCGGCCACCAATCACATGGCGTTTTGCGATATCACCTCATTCATGAGTGTCCACCAATTCAATCTGTTCATAGCGGAAATGCTGCGCGCGTGTTGTCATAGCGCTATTTCGGATTTGCGGTTCGCGAAACATTCAAGGAAGTGCTCTGCCTGGACTATAAATTCTCGAGAAGGTAAGATCCCAGACGCTCGTAACGCTGTAGTAGTTTTCGCACGAGATTCTGTTGTTTTTTTCAAGTGTTATATCTTTTCTACGGATTGCAGCTGCCAGCACCCACACAGCTAAGTTCAAACGGTTCCTAGTACGGTACTGTAAAAACGATATTCTTTAATCAATCTCACAAAATGCCTCGACGTGGTGGTGGTGGACGCTCTCCTTCGCCCATGGGGTAAGCTGACTTTATAAAGAAAAATTTACTATTCGTGAGAGTTTTGAAATAATAGTGGAAATAGACAAATTGCGCAAAGATAAACTCCGTGAATCCATTGTTATCGAATACACCAACAATTTTGTTTATTTGTCTCGTATAGTTAATAGTATAACTATAGTTGGAACTGGTTCTTGGTTTCCTACATGGCAGATTGCATCAGCATATGATTCCTGCCTGAAATGTCTTGGTATTAATTTTGTCCTCGCGGTTATACCTTATACGTCATTCTGAATTTAATGGAATTCTTCGATTCTGCTTCCAAAACTTGATAGGGATGCAGGTTGTTGGATAATTTATTTTCTAATGTAATGTTTGCCATTTTTTTATAACATCATTACCGTAAGTACTTTTTAGGGATAATCAGGACTGATTTCCCGATAAGAACAAGTTCCAATTAAAAACTTTTTATTTTTCTGAAATCGCCGCGGTACAAAATGACAAAAAAGGCATGAACTTTCGGCTTTTCAATGTGATTTAAGTTCAGAACAGTAACTTTTATCTTGTACATGCGTCTCGCCTATGACTGTGGCTGAGCGTTAAAAAAAGTTTTATATCTTCGGCTGCTTCTCTGCTGAAATACGCGTAGCTTCGGGACTAAGTGTCTGCAGCATTATTAATCAGTTGCTATTTGTATTAATCAGTTGTTATTTGTAGGGGTGCCCCTCGGCGTAGTATGACCACGGCGGCCCCAGCGCGTCCCGCTGCGCCTCCTCCCGTCCCGGTGAATCCGGCGGCTAATGCGCCCATGGCATATCCCGCCCAACGCCAGCCGGGCATGTTGGGCCAGATCGCAGGTACAGCGGCCGGTGTGGCCATTGGTTCAGCGGTGGGGCACACCATCGGTCACGCTCTGACGGGTGGCGGCGGCAGCAACCCCCGGGAAGAGGCGGTCTCGGGTACTAACCCGCAGCCAGTCGGTTCACCGGGCTACTACCAACAGCAAGCGGCCATGACGCCCTCGTATAATCCATGTGAACTGGAGATGAAGCAGTTTATTGAGTGCGCCCAACAGAATTCATCGGATATTTCCATGTGCACGGGATTTAATGAGCTACTGAAGCAGTGCCGTGTTAGGAACGGCATGCCGGCCTAAATTCACTGTGCATTTTCTTTCAGGAATTTTGTCGTGTTTGTGCAGTTTAGACAATTTGGGTTGTTATTAGTTTACTTTGATGTGTGCGACAGTATATTTCCTTTCGGTAACCATTGCCGACAAGATAAAGTTGATTTGAACCATTCGGGCGAACTTAAATAAAGTGGAATTGATGCGCGTTGCATTTTCTTGTTCTAATTTTTGCACTGTTTTCGTTGGGTATTTAGGTTTATTGCAATGAATTTTATCGTCGTGAAATTGAACATACTCGGTACGAGAGCGATCTTGAAACGATAAGAAGAGCAATCAATGCAATCAATTTAAAAATCCCAGGATTGACTGCTTACACTAAACATTTCAAACATGATAACATACCGTAATAACATAACATACCGTACAATGAAATCACAACTGTTGATTGTTAGAACGACGAGGTTTTGGGATCTGAGCTTTTGACTTCATTGATGGGGATCCATTTCACAATTCCATTCGCTAAAATGGTATGCCGGTCTTGGCATTCCAGATTATCAATCTGCATGCATAAAAGAGCAAATGTCCGCAAAATAAATGCAACCGAAAAACGCCTTATAAAAGATCGCACCTGTTTTCGCACGTAATGCACCAACAGCTCTATTTTTCGGGGATCTTCGCACTGCATTGCGAAAAAATTCCTCCAGAGCGCTCCCGCAAGCACTTTATCATCGTAAAGCAAACCCTGTATCACCATGAACATCAAGTAACAAAAACAATTCCGCGATTTTAAGAGCGGAATTGAACCATATCACGGATTCCTACCTCGTCATAAGCAAACAGATTCGCCCTGAACTGCTCGGCTAATATCTTGATCTGCTGTTTTCTGAGCGCAGATGCTGCTTCCTACAAAGAACCGCAGATTAACTGTAACTAAATCATCAACACTGTAACCCCTATGCCACATCTGAGAGCTGCCCAGAAATGACTACGCAGTCTAACTGTAAGAATAACAATACAAAGGGGCCCTTTCAAAAGGGCCTCTGGCCCTTTGAAAGGGCCAGAGGCCCAAAGCTACTATGTATAAACGTTAATCAACGCACTAGTGCTACTTACTCCAAGACTCTTGCTGCGCACCTCCACATCCTTCCACATGTTCTTGACTATTTCATTGCGGCAATATTTCCCATCGTAGGCCTCAATACTTAACCGGACAGCGCACATCCTACACACCAGTTCAACGTGCCAAAACCGGAAATGCGGGTGCAAACTAGTGGCACTCGGGTTGCCTACCATACATGCAATTCCGTTATCTTGAACCAGGAATTGAAAGTATCCGGCAGGCCCAGCACGTCGAAGAAATGCAAATGGTTTAAGGGATCAGTGCAGCAACCGTACATGACCATACCGGCGTACTGCAAATCCGTTCGAGAATATTTTATCAATTTAAAGCTCTTAATCAATCCCTTAATTCGTTCCCAAACACGGCTGCTGTACGAATTTGCCAGTGCTAATGCATCCGACGTCATCTGTAATCACAGCAACGAAAAGGCCTTTAATTATATAGTTCAAAAAAGGGATTTAAACTTATTTTACTGGTTGAAAAGCCAAGCAATTTGATTCAAGTGGCAATGCGACAAGTAAAAACATACTGCGGCAAATTCTTAACAAAATCTTCCGAGATTTCCTTGATCATAAAGTAATGCACAGCAAAACTTAATATGGTCAAGAAAACTTGTATTTATGACCTGTACGGCGGCTTTCAACCATTAAAAATTCGGAGAACAAATCAGAGTTGTTTTTTAGAAAAAATTTTACATTTGCAAACCGTTAAAAAATACATAGGAGACGGTAAAATACGATACTGAAAGAAATTCTAAAATTAAGTCACTAACTGTTGCAAATTAATTATAACTAATAAGTAATACAAATAAGCAAGCGTGCAGAACAGAAAGTTGCATACCATCTGTCTTGAGGATGAAAACGGACGATGAGAACACGAAAGAGCTGGAGAAAAGGCACGGTTGACTGAACTGCAACCAGCATGCCGACGCGAGTACATCGGATACAGGACCGAATTCTGAGGGGAACAAATCGGTAATATAATGAATTCGTTTAGTACAGAATTCAGCAATCAAAGCAGCAAACCATGCTACATTCTTTGATACAACGACATAACCGTACGTACGGTGGCATGATGTCTGCTCGCGCAGTTGGTAATCTGTTTATTCATCGTCAGTGATTTCCAGGCGGAACTAAACACTGAAGAGCTGCAGCCGGAAAAGATATGGCGATGCATAACCGAAGCCAGCATAACTGAATTAACGAGATTCGCGGACTGCGAAAACCAAATACCGCAGTAGCGGGAGACCAGGGGTACTGCGCATCAGAACAGAAGCTCGTCAATGTATTTCTCGCAAGCTGGAGATTAACCGCATAGCAGCAGATGGAAACACAGAGACTCGAAGAAGAACGATCCTGTTGTCAGCAGTCCCAGTGTAGAGCACACACATTAGACAACGTCTTGAAAAATTGAAATATGCCCCGAAAGTCTCACACCAGCTACATATCGCTGAATGACATTATATGACACTGATATTAAACCGTAACGTCTAATAAACTTGTTTTACAAAACTTACAAAAGAGCGAAAAAATTACGACCCCGACCATTTATTAACTATTACGTATCATTTTTATAACTCACCCCCCCCCCCATATGCGGCAGCGCTAATCCATGTTGTTGTTTGTTGAAATATAAAAATTTCTGTCAGAAAAGTGAAAACTTTGTTGTTTCGTTCTTCGTTTCATTTTTGTGTTTTTTCTTTCTAATATATTCTTGGTTACTTCCTTTATGTCAGTTTTAGTTGTGGATTTCTTTTTAACAACACTTTCGTTGTTTCTTTCCCTTTCCCTACTGCTTGCGAAGACTTCCTTATCTGTACTGTACTATTATCCGGCGATCAACAGTACCCACCCAAACCTTTTAATCGGGAATCGGGATGTTGGGCGAAGGATTTGCTCGTTACGAATGGCACAACGTGGCCGGCACCCGAACATTAATCTTAAAAGTTGGCTCTGCTTCTGACAACCTTCTGATACCATCAGTATCTGCTCCAGATAAAGCGAGTAGCGAGTGTGCTGAAGACATGGATGAGCATGTCGGCCCGCGCCGAATGATATTAATTGTGCCTGGTAGGCTAGCAATAAACGGAACCACAGTTTTCTGTCAAATGGATCGTCAAGTAGTTCGCGCTGTTATGTGTATGCTAACAGGAAATCCCGGGAGTATCCAATTCTACGAAGAGTTTGCCGTGCGTCTGTGGGAGCTTCTGGGTGCTTCGAAGGCTGATGCCGTATGGGGCGTTTCCCATGCTGGACATGTTTTCCACTCAAGCTTGACGGAGGAAATTTTTGGTGTGTCCGAATTGCTGGTTTAGACTCAAATGCACAAGTCGCTCAAGAATGGCGTTTTTATACTAGATGGGAATGATTATCCCAACCTCCGCTTCCAGATAACCCACAAATCCCATTTTGTGCGGGAGTGCATTCCCGAGAGTGTCGAGGAAATTGTTCTAATTGGGCATTCCATTGGTGTTTACATCAGTCTTAAAGTTCTGGATGAGCTGTCACGGTCTTCATGGTCAGGTAAATTTTGGTGTTCCATTTCGAAACCGACCTTAAATTGAACCGACCGTAAATCTTTTAGAAATTGTAAACATTATTCCGTACTCCTGATTCCTGAACATGAAATTTGGGCACTATATGTATTTACAGCGTACAATAGTCTTATCGATGGATAAGCGCTAAATTAATCAATGGAAGTGATTTAGATTTCTAAGTGTTGACTATAAGAGTAAACTGTGTAAAGCATCGACAGCACATGTTTTTATTCACTGTCTGCATTGTGTTTCCATTTTATGTTAGATAGAAAGTTACGCGTCATCGGTCTCTTCCCGACGATTGAACGCATGGCCATTACGCCGCATGGGCGGTTGTACACTCCAGTGTTGAGATACTTCCGTTGGTTCTTATTGCTGACTGTTTACGGATTGTCCTGGCTGCCCGAAGGCCTGCAACGTCTGGTATTCCGTTGGTACGGACCCGACATGGCTGACCACCATTTTTGTGCCATTCGCGGTTTGACCAATTACCACAGTTTCCGGAATAGCATTTTAATGGCCAGAGACGAGATGGAGCAAGTGCTGGAATTGGATGGGGATTTAATTGAACGCTATGTTGACCGTGTGGTGATGTATTACGGGAATTGTGATCACTGGTGTCCGGTGGATTATCACACGAATATTAAGCAAATGTTCCCGGCCGGACAGTTTCATCTCTGTGATCAAGGATACGAGCATGCGTTTGTTCTGAAGCACTCGTTGCCAATGGCGCAGCTCGTGGCAAAGTGGCTAACTTGACTGTGAGATTGTCGTAGTCTTTTGTGAGCCGGTGCCACTGGGAATATCGGGCCGATTTTTCTTCGGTCTGATTTTCCAGATATCTTCAGAAATTTTACTGAATAGTTTTACACACAGGTGTTGCGCGTATAGAAATTTCTTGAATGCTTGAGATTGTGATAGAAATTTCTAATAAATATATTTATTAGAAAAAAATACTGCACTTCAGGTCTTCTGCGCTCGTTCGTACTACTTGTACATACTGTAAGAACGTGTGCGGTATATTTAGCGTCACCGTACTAGCAGATTGGATAAAAGCAAGAAAGCGAGCAAAAGCACATTATTACATAAAAAAGGAAAAAAAGGGGCTATAAAGCATTGTAAATTAACCCTGGTGTAAATTAACACTTGCTTGTCAGTGACAAGTTGTCACAAAGTCTGCTACGTCATCGCGGCGCTAGCGATCAGAATAAATGCCGCCAAACCGCCTGTTGCTCTCGTCCGGACTGCAACCCAGTTCGTACTACACAGTCCACTTCCAGCGCCCGCTTAAATGATTGAATCTTAATTCTTATTCCGTTATTCGGAAACATATCTATTCTTTAATTAATAATTTCAAATAAAACGGTTGCCTTTGCAGCAAGTGTGATTCATAATCGATAAACGATTATGAATGAGTACTCTACCTTGTTTTTCTGATTGCGAAACGCAGCGTGATTCATATTCCGACTGAATGGATGTCGTCAGATTGCCTTCCGCTAATGGTGCTGCTTGCCAACTCGGGCCAGACAGTCGACCGTCTGCGATTTGTTGTACTTTTGTTTTTTATACAGCTCCTGTTTCGAAACCACATTAACATGATTGATTGTCATTTTTAAGTTTTTAACAGTTGTAAATCGGGCATTGAGTCGCGATTTTAAGACTATAGTTGGTGTTGTTTCTTAAGGAAATGTTAAGGAGTTGATGTAGCGCGGTTATATGGTGTCACAACCTGAAAGTTTTGATTTACGGATTCGTATCGTTACTAGCGTTGATGATTGTGGCTGAAAACTATGATTCTGCTGCGGGATCGCCATAATCGGATTATATGGTCGGGATTGTCTCCTCTGACAGTATGTCGCTTTTCAGGGATCTCCGTGTTGATTCTGGCTGGTTTGGTCAGTCAGAGCAGCCAATCTGTACAAACAGGTGCGAACGGAATTTTATGCAGATTCTGGACTGTCAAAAATCAGAGTGCTTGGTGATAGAGGTTCTGTTTGCCTTATTGTTGCAGGTTTGCTCACGAGTCGCTTGCGCGGTTACGATATTCTCCAAGCGACAGAAGTGGCGCATAAGATTGTCAAGCGAGCCAGTAATCCCAGTCCGAACGATTATAATAATATGGTCGATATCAGGTTCTTCGCTCTTGACAAGTAAGCGAGATGTGGCTGCGTTGAGGGTTGTTGCATTAATGCATGAATGTTCAGCACTCTTAATTCCGCTCTTCATCATTTTGGATTTAGTTTTCGTTCCATCGAGATTGTTAGCTCACAGCTGTGCAAATGTACCGACGTTGCTTCAGAGTATTGCAGTTGTGCAGCATTTGAAGTAATTTATGCACGTACTTCTGACGCTGTAAAGCCGGTTAATTCATAAAAACTTTACTATTAAAAGTTGCGAATTCACTGTTTTATTGCAGAAATTTTCGACTGACTTTAACGCCGAAAGCCAGTCTCTTCGCTCCCGACATGGAGTTCGCTGCCGTGGACGGTGACGGCGCTCGAACACCGTTCTACGTCAATACGGAGGCGTTCTACGGCGGTCATGTATTTGGTATGGAGTTTTTATTAAAAGCAACTCCATTCTGTGTTTCAGTAGATTTTTTACAAGAAAGTGTTCAGAAACTTTAAATGCTCAAAAATTGGCGGCAGCCCTAATGGGTTTTTTTATTTCTCTGATACGAGCACCTCTATAAGATCTTACACAATAAGCACACACGTAAAAATAATTATCTAATCTGGAAATCAGAAAAAAAGTGAATATGGAATAATTTTTCGCTCCTTTTCTATTTCTTCTCTTAAGGATTTGTGCGGTTTTCGTGTATTTAGTGTGAAAAGCTGCGAAGTAATCGTATTGCAAATTCAGTTTTCGAAATCGATGTTCATTTTTTATTAAATTTTTGTTATTAGGGGAAAAGGATTCTGCAATTAATTTGCACTACGAAAATAACCAGTTCACCGGATCAGTTCGAACGTCGGATGAAGTGTACTATTTTGAAGTGCGTCCTTTCGAGCGGCAGTTCTTAATTTCAAAGTTTTACAATGCGACAGCCTCAAGTGAATGTTCTGTTGATTGAGTGCGCCTATTGCAGCCAGCAGATCTGCACCTGCCGGGTGCTGGCGAAGATGCCACCTTGGTCTACCGAAAATCGGATATCATTGTCAATGATTCTGTAGAACGGAACGAAAGTCGCTGTGCCGCTGTATCTGTTGGTGAGTGATAGTGTAACAGAGTAGTCAAGGTCGCATTCTTGGAAAGTGTAAAGTTGCTTGCTGCGATGCTGGCTTTGCCTGTAGCAGCAAAATCCATATTAATTTCCATTTGTTTGTCGCTGTAAGTTGCAGACGATGATGTTGGTGATTTCGATGACTTGTCGCTTAGTCGTGATAAACGCCAGATCCCGACTTTTGTTCCGACTCACACACGGTGCGGATTGCGATTAGTGGCCGATCATCGCTTTTTCACTTCCATTGGAGCTCGAAGCACAAAAAGGACCGTTACATATTTGGTAGGATGATAAAATCCTTATGGGGTGAACAATTTTCTTTAATATGATAACTATGGCTGTAATGCATACAGTTATGTCTGTAGATCAACATCATCGACCGAGTTAATGCCATTTACAATTCCACAAACTGGAACGAGGGACATGACAATGATCCCTTGCTGGGCTACGGGTTCGTTATTCAGGCGATCAATGTCTTGACGGAAGCGACGCGCACCAGAAATGGTGACCCGCATTATAATGATGCGACGGCACGGGGCGATTCAAAAGAAATCCTGGACGTAAGTTTCCGTGGTGTACGCAGAATACATTTCGCGTTCAAAAATTGTATTTGTGGGTGAAATCCATAGCTTCTAGCATTAGCAGTTGTGTTTCATGATGTTCGTACATAATTTTGCTGTAAAGCAGCCTCAGTTACAGTTCTGTGGCCTTAGTTTGACTCATAACAGGGAAAATAATCGAATTGGTGTATTGGATCGTGATGTTATTTGTTTGGCGATTTGCAGTTGTTCAGTCGCGATCCTGACCACCAAAATTTCTGCCTTGCTCATCTTTTCACCGATCAGGTTCTGGAAAGCGGTGTCCTGGGGTTGGCGTATGTAGGGAATGGACGCCGTGGTTCAGCAGGAGGAATATGTTCTGCGTGTACGCATAGACCTGTTTTTTTTTATTTGATTTTCTTCACAGTATTTTTGGACTTACTATTTGTAGCGTATGAAAAGGAAGGACGGCAGCTGTACTTGAACTCGGGCCTGACAACCTGTCGCAATCAGTTTAATCAAATTGTCATCACCCGTGAAATGGAGCTGGTGACGGCGCATGAACTAGGTCACAATTGGGGCAGTCAACACGATCCCGTATGCCGATTTTCTAAAAGCCATTTTTTGTCTTACCTGTCTATACTTCTGGGCAAAAAGCGGCAATTTTTCATCTAGGAAACCAAAGAATGTACTCCAGAATCAAAAGATGGTGGACGGTACTTAATGTACATGTATTCTGTGACTGGACTGGAAACGAACAACAAGGTATGAAAAAGAAGCAAACGACACTCGTATTGCGCTTGCGGTTTACCGGGAAACATTTGTTGCGAATATCCGAATTTTGGGATAACACGAAGATGTTTTCCATTTTGCCAGTTCTTTTCTCCGTGTAGTCGGCGTTCTATTCGCGATGTTCTTTTGGGAAAATCAGGCGGATGTTTTCAAAGTAAGATTATTCGCGGTTAGGTGCGATTGCATTTTCAGTTATGTATAGGTTTATGTTAAACGCTCGGTATTTATTTACAGAACCACAAAAGTCTTTATGCGGGAATTTTCTGGTGGAAGATGGGGAAGAATGTGATGCCGGCTACATGGGAGCCGACGATAAAGATTACTGCTGCGATCGGCATTGCAGGTTACGACCAACAGCTAAATGCAGGTACAGGACGCCCAGGAGCATTTTTTTTGTTGAAAAGTTTTTCATGGTGATATGCTTACTTGCTCATTCATACAGTAATCGCAACTCGCCATGCTGCGAAAACTGCACATTTATGGACCGTGGTAGAATTTGTTTTCCCGGGAATCGTGACATCTGCCAGGGTACTTCTTATTGCACTGGTGAAAATGCCGAATGCCCGGCTCCACCGGCCGCTCCGGATGGAACGTTCTGCTTTGACGAGTAAAATTGTTTTCTTCTGTTTTCGTTGATTGCCGCATGATTTTTTTGTGTTTTACAGTGGACAGTGTCGGGCGGGACAATGCTTGTCGTTTTGCGAAACGAAGGGGCTTATTTCCTGCGTTTGCGATAACAGTAAGAACCAACAAAGTATCTAAGTACTTGATAATCTGATCACTTTCAGAATTCATACGCTAATCACGAAAATCCGCTGTTCTGGTAGATAATAATATTACGTACTCGTACTCGTTTGCTGATGTAGTTGCGCCGTATTTACAGTAATGGAATCGTGCTTGGTCTGTTGTCGAAAACAGAACGAAACGTGTCATCCACACGATTTTTCCAAGTCACTTAAAAGCTACAAATCCGTGCCGGATGGAAGGGCTTGTATTCAAGGCACCTGTTTACAGGTTAGATGTTGACAGTTAAATATTCTGTGATGACGTGCAAGCATAATTAAGGAGATATTGTACAATACACAATATTATGCAATATTATGCAGCATATTGTTCGAGGTTACTGCCTATCGCCAAAAAACCTACATATCTATATTAAATATTATCGATATTAAGCGCGGCTGTTCGATCATTTTTAAAATATCTATGACGATTTTCCGCAGCAGAGTACTGTATGTAATGGGGGAAATGTTTTCGCGTTTCCCTTAAATCGTGGTGTGCGCCACTGTACAGCATCTGCTGAAACTGAAAGCATGTGACACTTGACTCCGAGATAGACTATGTTATTCGAGTTTACAATATTGTAAGATTCTGTTTATAAAAATTGTGATATCGTATTATTGAAACGTTTTAAGGCACGTATTGGAAAATCAATGTGGTACAGGAATATGGATTCATTGCTGTTTGCAGAAAAGCCAAATTTATTGAGAATAAGAGCATTGGTTTTGAATAAGGACACAGAGTGCAAGATAATGTTTTATGACAGGGAACGTGCCGGAAAACGTCGGTGGACTTTGTGGCCAGAGTTTGGCTGGTAATTGAGCGGATTGACTTCAGCAATTTTGGTAAGTAGATTTTTGAATGCAACGGAAGAATAAATTTTTAGTGCATGATCGATGCGATTTGCAGCTGGGTTCTTGAAAAATAATATCGTGGGAACTGTTATCATCTTGACTTTGATTGTATGGATTCCGGGTAGCTGTTTGATTCATCGAATGGTCAGTAACTTGCATTTCCACTTGTATGTCTTAACCATGCTGTATTTAATGCGTTGTTTTACAGGATAAAAAATATGAGGAAGAGCATCCCGATGTGTACGGTACACTGCGCAAATCGGTATGTACAGTGTTATGTCCGTGTGTTGGGGTGTTGGGCGTGTTTTTGTTTTGGTGTCGGTTTAATGGGAATTCTGTGGCTTCCGTCTGGATAGATGTTGCGTCGTGCTGTTAGCCTGCCTGTGGGTTTTGAATCTTAAAAGGTATTCGGCCTTTTTCCCCCGCATTTTTTCTGCGCATAAGTAAAGCAATTTGACTGACAGAAACAAGCCTCTTTCTTGTATCTATAATATAGATATATTGACAGTATTCTTGACTTTTTTTGTTGATCGAGACCGCGCTAACGCTGTAGTTTAATTATTAAGCACTAAAACCACTTAAGTGCGTTGATTCAATAGTGCATAGCGTAACCCTAAGTAGTTCACCTGTTGAGTGCTGAAGATATATTGCAAATGTCGAAAATTTTAATTCTGACTTTATTCTACTTTTTGCTGGGGATTTTTTAAGTACTGTATTATCCTGTGGGCACCTTATATTTACTGTCGATATTGTGGTGTTCATTACTCATTTATGTAAACTTTCTTAATTGTTACATCTACATACATAAACCACATCCACTGTGACTATTCTTTTGCGTTTTCTGATAATACATCGCTTCTCTGTGCAGGTGATTGCTCAATCAACGCATGATGTCAGCCGTACGCCACTGATTATTCCCCGCGTTGATGCCCGGCCACGTTGGGATGGTCCCGCTTCCGCCCGTGTCGTGACATCACCCGGACAATCCTCCAGCACCGCTGCCTCTGGCCGTGCACGGGCGGGTCCTAAACTGGCTAACATTGTTCAGTTGGCCCTAGAAAACCAGAAGAGAGAAGCAGCAGCCAACTGGAATCGTGCCTCTGAAGCCAATACTACTGTGTGATTTTTATTCTGTGTATTAATACCGCATTTTTCCTTGGTGAGTTCCTGTTTATACGATAACTTATTGTTTAGTGATTCCCGAACATTTGCCTTATTGTGCAAAACCGGTGCCGGCGGCAGCTTTTTTTTGGTTATTTAGTTTGTTTGTTTAACGTTACTTTTGAGGTTGTTGTTGAGATTTCCAGCCGTGAGTTGCTTTTAAATGATTTCAGTTGTAATTACAAAGAATTACTGGATAGATTCAAATATCACGAAAAATGTTCGAAATGAAAAGAAAAGTACATTTTCAATGCGAAAGGCTTTGTAAAAAATTTGGGTGATCATACTGAAATAATCAACAGTTCGCAATGTGAACCCGGCAACTTAGAAATCTGAATAGAATTAGGAAAAAAGCGTAAATTTAACGCAGCCGGAGAGTCGGTCATACATTGAATTTCATTACTATACATTGTGTACGTTGACGTCGAGGAAGGAACAACAATAAATCCGCAAAACAAATATAGGTAATAAGTCCGATTTCCAACCGGCACATAAGACTTACGGGTGTCTAAAGCAGAAATATTGTGTAAGTTTTCCAGCAGTGAACTTAGATCAGGCTCCAGATAGTTTTAATAAAAACTTCCTCGCAAATCCCCGGAAATCGGTAAAAAAATAAATATAAGTAATAAAAAGGAAATGAATTTTAGGCATGAACTTCTTCACAAAGTCGACTCAAGACTAAGTTAACTACAACGTCATATCATGTAATGTTGATGAGTGCCCGAACGACCGGAATCAACGATTGGATCTGGAAAGCGTCATCTAGGAATACCGTCAATTTCTTGTTAAATGTCCACTATGACGTATACTTCATGTTGGTTGGGCTTGTCGTGAACCTGGAGATTCGAATAGGTGATAGCCTTCACTTCCGTCCCTTGAGGGTGCTTCGCTAAGTTGAATTCTTCGCCATATCTAGTGAACATTTCAGCAAATGTGAATACAATTCTAATTCGTACACCCAAAAAACATAAGATTATGTTGGGATCAAAAGCTGCTGAGTGCGACACAATCACTTCACAGCGTTCATAACTTCATACGATCATTTTACAGCGTTTATCAAACCCGTTGACACCTTCTATGGAGGCAATGAGACCTGGTGAAAAAGGCTCAGAAAATTCTGCTGAAAAACCCACCCAGTAGCTTTTATTCGAAACGTCTCCGCATCAAACTCTGTAATCACAACTTTCTGCAAAAGAGTTAAACGTATCAGTCAACAGCCATCCAAGAAATGGGTCATTTTCCAAAAAAGACATCGTAATACTCCTTACCCGCGCAATGAAAAAGGGTTCAGCGGAAAATTTGAAAAGCCATTCATCCAGAAAATGGTACAGCAAACTCACAAGATCTTCTCCTGAATGACGAGAGTATTCATTTTATAATCAGCTGTTTTCTTCAGTACATTACACTTCTGTGTACTGTATGTATGTAATGTACCCTCCGCTTCCACCTTCTCCTCCATAATAATTTCCACGCTCTGAATTTCTGTCATGTATCCGAACATTCCGACTGCCGCCTGAAAAGCGAAAACGTTGAACACTAAAAAAGACACAAATAAATGCATAGCTTAAACCGCCTTAAAGGACAGGAAATCGAATCGGCAGTGTGCAACAACGGCAATTCTGTGACGTGTTAGATCTATAGTGTACCTATTACAAGTACTGTTGTTTAACGGAGTGTGGTGACTTGACGATAAAATCAAAACGATAAAAACCTGAGAACACATCACATTAGGTAATTCCTTGGTACAAAAATTTTCTCTCAAAATTTTTACAGCGGCATAATTATTTACTACTTCCATGCTTCTTCTTTTTTTCAGTTACTACTAGAACTAACCTTTGCACTGTGTTAACAAGTAACTGTCTGCAGAAGTACAAGAAATCTCGAAATACCCGTTACTCAGGCAGTTCTGATTTGATAAACTGCAAATTCGCAATATACCCATTACCCCATGACACCACATTACTAAAAAATTCAAAGCGCCGTACTTTTATAAATTCGGGCAAGATCGATCGATAAAAACCGAAGCAACTACAATTTTGCTGATGTATACATTATTACAGTACCTGCTCGAATGCTTCTTTGAGATCGTCTCCCCCTGCGCAATTAATTGACATGACGGAAAATATTCGAATTTCAAGAAAAAGAGTACAGCCAATGCTTACATGCGTGGATTCTGCAAGAAAACGGCATGATTTACTAAAGCTGAAGTAAAAAGAGATCAAAAGAACTCGAAGAAGATGAATAATGAATCACCCTTAAGCAATCGTATACGAAAAACACAAAAGAGTTGGTTAATAATATTACTCGTAGTCTAGGCAAATTACTACTGTAGAGTCGCGCTCTGCGATCTACATATTTGGCACTGTCTATTTCCGGTGCATGCTGACGCATGCACGCTGTTCTAGAACATTCTGATGTGCAGCAAGAAAGTATATAAGCAGTTCAAGGCTGCTGTTAGACCTTGGGAGTTGCATGAGTTTAGATCTATGTATCAGAAGATCAAGATGAGTAAAGATACCGGTATCCAGTCAGACGCAGACGCTTCGTTTACGTGCAGTAGTTTAGACAGACAGTACAGCACTTCCCCTGACCACTCTGAACCCTCACATCTGTAGCCCCCTCTGGAGGATAGAACATCTGGTCAGTAAGAAAAATCGATGAGTGATATTTTTTTTTCTCGTCTCTTCTTCGTTTTCTGTTTTGCTCAGGTTGAGCTACACATTTAAAGATACGCATTCCGTACCACTGATTACCCTCATAATTGTGGATTGTCTCATTAAGTTTTAATGAGGTTGATTGCTCCGCTGATTTTGTTTTTATCGGCCAATTTTGCCGAGAATGTTTCTTGAATTTTGATGGCCATTGCTGGTCGTTGTGTTAAATCTCAGAATACTGAGTGCGATTATTGCCCAGTTATGTCTTGGCGGTACGGGTGTTATCATTGGTAATGTCAAGGTTAAATGGCATTTTTTACTGATCTGTTATTACTAGCAAAAGGTCAACCTTAATTTTTTTCTTTCACTGCATGCGTCTCAGATTTACAACCAAGTCTGATCTGCGTTTTAGTTATGACAGCCAACCCATGAACTGTTCGCGATTAATAACTTACAATGCTATACCCATCACCTCTTTGCAGCCAACAGTGCCTCTCATTACTTCTGTCATCAACTGCATCAAAATCGTCTCTACAAATTTTTCACACAGCTCGGTAAATTCTTGAATTTTTCAAAAAGACTTAATTCTAGACACCACACTTGGATGACCTTTCTACGAGGTGCTCATACCATCGCCTCATCTCATCTCCTCAAGGGAAGTTAGCCACGTCGCGGTACAACAGATTTGGAGTCTACAACACCTGCATTTTTAAATAAAATTCCCTTGCGGATCAGTTTTCCTGTTCGGGAGGTTTTGGCTGGTTTACTCACGGATTGGACTGTCGATTCGGAATGGAATTGATTAATTTTGTTTAAAAACCTTACATAATATTATTAACAAAATAATTAAAACTAATCATGATCGAGGACGATCTTCTTTTGAAAGGAGAGCAATGTAGAGTCGCGCTCTGCGATCTACATATTTGGCACTGTCTATTTCCGGTGCATGCTGACGCATGCACGCTGTTCTAGAACATTCTGATGTGCAGCAAGAAAGTATATAAGCAGTTCAAGGCTGCTGTTAGACCTTGGGAGTTGCATGAGTTTAGATCTATGTATCAGAAGATCAAGATGAGTAAAGATACCGGTATCCAGTCAGACGCAGACGCTTCGTTTACGTGCAGTAGTTTAGACAGACAGTACAGCACTTCCCCTGACCACTCTGAACCCTCACACTACACAAAGCTGTCCTATTTCTCAAAAATTTTCTCCCCGAAAACGAATGTCACAATTCCAGTAATGCAGCGTACGTACTGGACATCGGCTGTGTGATCCAAGTCTGTAAACGTGAAAAGTCAAAGAATGTACATGTACGGGCAAAAATCACAGTGAAAGCGACGAGGGGAACTCACATTCGTACTTCTTGGGCGGAACGGCGAGGACTGTGGGCAGCTCCTCGGGGCGGACGTTCTTCGGAGTACCCTCCAGAGACATGGTTCCGCAAATGCCACGGCAATCTGACGTTCCACAATAATTGCTAGATTCTGGTACAGTAACCTACATACATAATAGTAATAAACTACTGCTTCAGTTCGCATTTGTTAGGCGGCTTCATCGCTGAGCTGCCTCACAAAGTTCTGTATCTGTAGTACAGACAGTGCAGCACTCCATTTCATAGTTAACGACAGCATTCCTCTAACCTGTATCGAGCAAAGGGTTTTCGGGATTTCCTTGCTTCGCAGCCAGGATGCCAAGCCAAAATCTGATTAAAACAAATGACTAATCTTATAGTTGTAGCACGAGAAGACAAAAAATGGAATATTTTCAGTTCAGCTGCATTTCATTTATCAATCATTTGACTACTTTAACAGTACTAGTACAACTTACAAGTCACAAGTGTTTTGTTTTTGCAAACTGTTGTTTTCACGTTGTGTTTGGCACGGTTGACCGCCCGGGTAGCGCGTACACCGTAAGTTTAATACAAACAGTGCAGTACGACTTACGAGTACTGTACTGTAACGTAATGAAATGAAATGTTAGTTATGTAGGTAAATGCTTCCTGCATAACTAAGTTATGCAGGAAGCTGTGAAAATAAATTTAAATTTTTTACTCGTACTCGTTTTTAGAATTGTTAAAAGTTAATTAGAGTCAGTAGTGTCACAAAAAGTAATTGTGTTTTTCGTGATTCAGCAGCGAGCGGAGCGCAGCTCTTCAGTTAGTCGATCGAGCTAGCTCTTGGGTGGTATCTCAGTTGGCTCAGTCGTGGTCTGGAACGCTGTGTTGAACGTTTTGTGTGCTCCTCGACGTGATGGACTCCTCCAGTGGAGCAGGAAAACAGTACGGTCTGATCATTCCCAAGAAATCTACCGCTGTCTCGCGCTTAAAACCCTCAGCGGCCTTCCTCGACACCGAACTGGACGACGAAGGACCATCCCAACCGAAGAACATTGGCGAGGCCCTGAATCGCGAGAAGCCCGGTCTGCGGATGAAGCTAGCCACCCAGTCCATGCTGCACGACGCCCTCACAGAAGACCAAGACGTTTTTGAGTACGACAAGGTGTACGAGCAGATGCAGCGGGACAAAGCGGAACGCGACGGCACCGCGAAGGAGAAGGAGAAAGATCGCAAACCCAAATACGTCCACGCACTTCTGCAGGCCAGCAAGGAACGCGAGAAGGAGTACGAGCGCCGTGTGGAACGCAAAATCCAGAAGGAGCGCGAAGCTGAGGGCGATGCCTTCGGCGACAAAGAGCAGTTCGTCACATCGGCTTATAAGAAGAAACTGCAGGAGCAGCGCGAAGCGGAAGCGCGGGAGAAGGCGCTGGAGCGCATTGAAGACAAATTGGATGTGACGAAACAGGAAGGGTTGGGCCTGTTCTATAAGCATCTGCTAAAGCAGCAGACGGGGGAGGAGAAGGTGCGGAATGCGGGGGAGTCGTATGCGGAGAAGGAGGCCGTCGCGGGCGGCTCTAAAGCGGAGAAACGTCTTGCGGAGGAGACACTTCTTGAGGTGGCCAAACGGAGCAGACAGGGCCAGTCGCGCGGATCGGAGGACACGGAGGAGGAGGTTGGTGTATCCAGTCGGCGAGACAGAAGTGTATCACCTGCTGGAGAAGTTAATGCGGAAACGGGAATTAAGGTATGTATGCTAATCAGATTTTGGCGCCGGCAGGTATAATGTAATGGCGCATATAATGTCTTGTGCTTTTGGAAACATTTGGTGCAAACGGCAAAGATTAAATATCAGAAATTTTAACTTCAGTTTAAATTTAGTTTTTGATCGTCTGGTCTATTTTGATACGTTACTGGTGTAAAGTGCACTGTATATTGCAGTCGAAAGAATTATTCGTTACGCTACTTGGCATTCGTTGCTTCACTGATTATATCGGCTAATTTTCCTTGTTATTTGGATTAAATATTTGAGCGAGATAGTTCAGTTACGTTTAGGTGAACTATTTTGTCTTTAATATTTATGGTATAAAAAGTTTGAATTGATACGACTAATAATCAGGTATGTCGGGTTTGTACTGTAACATCATCCACTTGTATTATGTTACTAGTTAAGACCTGAGGTAGAATCGTTGAGTGGATGTTTGCCCCCACCGTGTCATTTCAGTTTTACGCAATAAAATAATTCGGATTAAGATCGCGATGCGTAACCTGCTACTCATTTCCATGACAAGGGATTGTTTGTGTTTTTCAGGATCAGGCGTCATCTCATGGGATAACAGCGATTAAAGCCGATTCCCAGTCCCCCTTGGCGTCGTTGACAACGAGCGTTGAGCGAGAGCGCAAGGCCGCCGCTGTCATCGAGGACAAGAAGGCCCTTCTCTTCAGTAAACGATCCACAGATGATTCCACTCTCAGTGCACGGGAGCGCTATCTGGCTCGCCAAGCGGCTAAACAGGCGCCATCATCTGATGCATAGAGTGGTGTTTATGCGACGCGAGTATGCGGAAGACGAACGGAGAACAGTGTGGCCTGTGATATTCGACCCCTTTCTGTTTGTTTGGATGGATCTTGTTTTTGAAAATTGTAATAATTGCATTGATTTGATGGCGTTAGTTTTGACCGTAGTACATTTTGTAACCTCCTTAGAAGTCAATTTTGTGTATTGATTCTATTGTGTAGCAAAGTTCTGAGCAATTTTTATTTGAATATTAATGGCTTTGTTGACATTTGGAATTTCATTCGGCGCCTGCCATGCCGTGCACAATGCATACACGTAATTCGACTGCGATATTCAGCGATGCAGAATGGGATGCTCGCTATAACGAGCGATTGCGAATCGGATCGGCTGTGTTTCTGATTATCGTGGGCTGTATGAGTGTTGTCGGGAACGCTGTCACCTTTGCGGCACTAATCAATTATCGTCGTCTACGGAATCCCACTACAGTGTTTGTTATTAATTTGGCTGTGTCGGATTTTTTATTTGCACTAATCACGACGCCACTGACGGCGGTATGGTGTCTTTCCGATGATCGACTTTGGATTTGGCGGCATGTTGGATGCCGATTTTATGTGTATTCTGGACATGTGCTTGCGTCCGTTTCACTGTGCTCAATGGCAAGTTAAACAAATAAAATGAGATTACTGTAAATCTTTTGCGACGATTCAAAACTAACAGTCAAAAACGTTTCATTATCCAGCACTCGCATTTTCTTGTGGCAAACAACGTATTTACCGCGCTTTATTTTGATGTTACGTCGCGTAAAACAGTCGCCAAGAATTCATCACATGGAAAAACTGTCGTTGGCAGTATTTATTGATTGATTTGCTCTTTCATTATTATTATAAATTCAATAAAAACAAGTGACATTTGCAGTTATTAAACATACTGAAAGCAATAGATACATATGGTGGGAAAGTTTCAAAGGTCATTGTCGAATGTTACCGCACGCCGCGAAGTTGTTGGAAAACGGTCATGCATTGTTGCTCTAGGCTGCCATTGCCGTTACGCGCTTGATCATCATCATTAAAAAGCGCCCGACCACCTCAAAGCTGATCGACTGGAAGGCCATTAAAGCCGGCCTGATCTTCTGCTGGCTATTCCCGGCCATCGCCCTCAGCGCCCCCCTCCTCGGTCTGTGGGGCGACATGGGCGTCAACGTCAACTCCATCGGCGGCTGCACCTTCCTGCCCACCCCGGCCCACAACTCCCCCCGCAAGACCATCTACGTCGTGGGCATCTTGGTGCCGGTGTTCAGTATCGGGATGTGTTACGGCGCCATCTTCTTCATTGTCTGGCGCACACGGGCCCGCATCCCGATACTGGCCGCCCGTCGGCCCAGCGACACCCGCTTCATGACCATGGTGCGCAGTCGTGGCTGGAGTGTGGAGTCGGTGGAGGACGTGGAGCCGACGGATGAGGGATGCTTTCCGCGCCGGCTGAACAGTGTGCGGAACTTTGCCCGGGTGGTCTTCGGCGTGGAGTGGCATCTGACGCAGATGATGGGCGTGACGTATGTGACGCTGCTGGTGTGCTACATTCCCATTGTCTGCTACGAGATTGTCCATCCGAATAATTGTGATGCGTCGTTGAATGTGGTGGTGACGGTGCTGGTATGGGTCAGCGGCAGTCTCAATCCCATTATCTATACCATTATGAGCCGGCAGTTTCGCAAGGCATATGCTAGTTTGTTAGAAAAGGTCATCCACCGTATTAATCATTGTGTTCGCGTCATATGAAACGGGAGATTAATTAAAGTTTCAGGATGCAAGTTCATGGCTCCAGTAGCCTGTTAAATTATTTGCATGTTTTCTGTTATATCGTGTTTCTATAGCCGTACTTTCGTATCGTTTTCCACAGGCGAACATGTACCACAAAATTAATACTCCTTCAACTGCAAAAAATGTGAGCGAACGTTATTCTCTGCTTACAGTTATTAGAATTGCAACCATAGTAAGTCAGTATTTAATTTTGGCACCACTTTTTGGTCCACAAATACAGTAAGCACTAAGCAGCTTCGTCAAGTTCATCGTTAAATAACAATTCATACAGATAAGTATCTGCATGCACGACAAAAAAAGGCGAAATAAATCATTATTAATATCTTATTACATTTGAACACAAAGCATGGAATAAACACCAGGAAGCCAGCAAACACAAACCATAACAAAATTGATTATAAGTAAGAGTCACCCTTTTCGGAAAAATCAACAAGACAAGTACAAAAAATCAATGTCATGACATGGCTTTAGGACGGAGCAGTGGATCCGCTACCAACGCAGGCTGGGAGTTATAGCTTCCGGAGGTTCCGCGGAAATACTCTGCATTTGCCGCAGACCCTGTAAGCAAACATAAGATAACCACATGCACGATGCACATTTTTTTACCAATACGGCTTAACTGGAATACGAAGCCGCTGTATCGGGCGGACCGCGAAAATTGCATAAAACATATGATTTACCTCCAGCACGACTCGGATGTGTGATTTTATTTGGTATTCCGCCTTTTTCAGTGATTCCACCGTGCTGGTGAGACTGTTAATGCGAGCAGTGACATATTTCGAAGCTTGGGCTAACGGCATTTCCACGTAGACGTCGAGACCGAGGTTAACATACATTGTGCAAGGATCCACTCTAGAGGAAGAACATAAAATCTCAAAATAAACAACGACTGCAATAAAAAGCGAAACGAGCTCTGCAGGAAAGTATCAGCTTAAAAGAGATACACAGAACTCAATTTTTCTTTCTATTTCAGTCTGTTTCGATTTATTTGACAAAAACGCATCAAGCTGACAATGAAGTGTATTCTCTGGGCTCTTTGTTCTTCGATTGTACAGTACAGTACCATTGATTCAATAGTGACTTCAGCGGCATCGAATCTAATTTATAATTCTTTTATTAAGCGAGACTGAATTAATACTGCCACTGTTAACAAGTACAACGATATATTCTCTAAAAAAATAACTGATCATGCCTTACATATGAGCCTGAACGCGGAAATTACATCCGAGATCCGTATAAACACGCATGTGATCCGAAGGAATTTTCTTATCCTAAACAATCCGAAATGGGATACATCTGCGCACTGCCGGAAGACACAACAGTCTGTCTCACCTCCAGTTTTTGGATAAGACTCTTTAATGACTGGTACTCATTCAGCTCCTCGAGAATTTTCGCCAGACGGTTCTCCACTTGCCTACAAAACGGATATGTATTTATTAAATGCACCAGCAATAACACCATTATAAATAAACATTGCTAAGCAGCTCAACTACAATTCAACTCATGCATCCAAACTTTTCCAAAACAGTTCAGCATTTCGGATAACTAAATTTTACAGAATTTCCAGAAAGGATAACTAACGTCGTTTTGTTGTTGTTTGGCCAAGGAATTCAGCTTATTAATCAATGCCTGACCAAACGCGGCCGTATACAGCGGACTAATGCTCTCCAGCAGCGCGTTCAGGCTCTCAAAATACCGCGTTTCCCCGCTATTTCCGTTCGCCGCCTGATCGTAGCGATCGGCCACCACCCGATAGCCCCGCTCCGACAGCTCAATACAGTACGGCGTCCCTTCGAGAGTCGTCAAATTAAGGTGCACCAGATTACTCGTCTGCGGCAGGCGACCACTAACAGCAATGTCTTTAACGGCAAACGCCAGATCCTTAGCTACATGCTCAGCATCGTAGCGCAGATCCGAATTCTCCTCCTCCACCTCCACACTGTAACTCCACGCCGGCGGAGCTCTGGGCACTGAATCCATTCAACGCCCACGGACCGTCACACGGGACGCGTAATTACACACGGAGACAAAGGGGCGAAAAGGGCAGAATTAAATTATCAGCGCAACGCCTTTTGATTCCTCCTTGACGAGCAGTCGAGCATGTGATCAGCAATACACTATACACTGCAATGTCTACCATACGAGCGGAGAAAAACGCCAATAATATTCGCTGTTTCGCAGATGTCTGTCGTATGCGTTAACTGATGGGTTGAAATACATTAGTACTACTCGAAACGCACTTTAGATGCGTTCTGTAAGATACAGAGCCGGGAGTTCTGTAAAAGTGAATCTGCCAATGGTACAGCGCTGAATCTTATAGAGCGTTACAGCGCAACGAGACCACGGTTTCTAAAAGCGCCCCGTTACCGTAGTTGAATTGGTCAACGATTTATTTACTTTTCACAACAATTTTGTGGCCGTTTCCTTTATGTTTTTCTGGTGATTTTAAGTTTTGTTAAGTTAAGAAATCAAACGACTGGTGAAAAAGCGAAAGGCAATTGCACGTATAAAGTACGCCGAGGTATTCCTCGCGCTGACGGCTATGGCGAAGTTGCATGTTGCCATCGATACAAATCAAACATGTACAGTCGGAGGCAGCTAAAATCAGAATCAGTGAACAAAGCAGAACTGGAATGTTGATTCGATAGAAACAATTAAACTCCCGTTAATTACACCCTCAAAACTTGAAAATTAAAATAGGACTTTAGTCTTTAGACGTACAGCGGACTGTGCATCCACATCAAAAAATAATTTGACCTAGCAAGAAATGCGAGTTCTGTATCGTAACGGAGCCAGGAGAGTTCCTTTTAGATACAGAACACTTTAACTCGGCCGTCCAATCAGTGGTAAGGGGGTGTGATCGAAAAGTTACAGAACTTCCGGCTCTGTATCGTACAGAACGCATTTAAAGTGCGTTTCGAGTCTAGCTATTAAAGTATCGTCTGCACTTTTATTGATCACTACGAGTACGCTTCATATGAGGGTGTTCACTGTTCAGTGATCAAATGCTTTAAAGAGAGTGTTGTAGAAGCGTCGCCATCGGGTGCGTCTGCAACGAAGATAAACAAGCGGATTGAACGGCTTTTACGAGCGGCGGAACGCGCCACGGTACCGGGATCTCGCTACCTGCAATGGTGCAGGTGATGTAGTCATGTTAAAAGGTTATGCGGCATGTTTGTAAGTAAATATTTTGTGTGCGTATGAGCGCTCGTGAAAACGTTACACCGGCTTCGAGCGGAAATAAAGGCAACCTTTCTTGGATAAGATCATGCGAGCGCTGCATTCGCTAACTACTAATCAACAAGGTAATGCTTACAGTCTATCTGTCACGGTCATGCCGCTCTTCAGAAAATTGCTATCACAAAATTTACGAATACTTACCAAACCGGGACAACCAACAAGTGGCATGCATGTAAAGCAACCAAAAGCAACGCGGCAAGCGTAATTTGAAAACAGGCATCTACAAATTAATTGGATTTCACACCGAGAAACAACCGAAAACGCCGATCAGGAATTTTTCAACAAAACCTACTCTACTGACCACCTGACCCTTGCGGGTTACTAAAAAATGTTAATGTTTGCGAATCGGTTATTAACGAATGATTATTTTTGTCGTTTTCGCATCCAACTAGGCGCTACGCTACTGTCGTACAGATAATATACCTATTTTACATGTGTATAGCCGCACGACTTACAATGCCATCTCGCAAAAATGCTCAAGACAACAACACTTACCGTTAAAGAAAATTCATCAAACCAGAAAACGAAAAAATTTGTGATTTGTTTTTTTTCTGTATTAAATGTGGAGTAGTGTATTGGTGTTTGCTGGCTATCTGACCAAGAACGATTTACCGTTCTGGGATCTGCGGTCATCTGCCATTAATCGTCCAGAACCAGATCCGACAAGGTTACTGCTGAATGCTAATGTCTGCCATTATCTGCAATTTGCTGAAATAAACCATTTTCCATTCTGGAAAATTTAGTTTAATATCTTTCTTTCCTGCTTAACGCTCAAGCATCACTGCTGATGTATCGTGCTTACGACTGGCTGTATCAAACCCTAACCGATATCAACCGACGGGTTGTGTGAGATGAAAAGCTGGGAAGCTAAACTTACAAGCGGTAACAAGCCTTATTACGAGTACACTGTATATCAGTAGACAGTATACTGTATGTAAAGATGTGAAAATGGCAATAAGCTGCTGCTAACGAATGAAGACGGCAAAGACTGAATATTTTTGTCCATTTGTTGCCTTACAGAAAATGCATGCGTTACTTCATCAAGAAACCACGTCTAAAACGCAAACCACAAACTAATACTTAATTAGGTAAAGACTTTATTTACAGTAAAGTTGTAAACTGTAAACTTACTGCAGGTCTCCACGAAGTTTTTCGTTCACGAAGGCCTCGTAATGTGCCAGTTTGGAATCCATCTCAACGGTCCCGGATTCGCAATCGAGATACACTTGGTCAAGACCAATTGTGAACAAGCGGTACTTCAGCAAATCGGAAGTACAGGGAGTCTCGTCACTCTTACGTTGGGGAAGTAGCCAAAGCCAAATCACAAAAATCCAGGGTTTCTGGTTCAGTAAAGTAAGTAGTTTTGGAGTTCTTCGGGCTAGCGCTCGTGGTTTGGTCAAGCATCTCCGTTACACAACTTGGCATTAAATTAATTAACAACTTGGCACTACCTTAAAACCTACTCGTACAGATGCTTTTGCATTCTGATCGTATGACAAATCATTACAATAAGTCGTATAGCTAATGGAAGTGGGACAAAATTATCATAAAATAATTAATCCGGGAAGGCCAAAACACTGAAAACAGACAGAGCTTTTACGGGTAGTTATCAGGTCCGGGGCGGTTGGCTACTGGCTAGTTTTTTTGGAGTAAGACTTGCTGATGCGAGCGGAAATGCTGAAAAAGAACTTAAGAAAGAGTTTTCGCTTTCTTGTTTTTTTTTTATTCTTGTGATGTTCTCATCAAAGAGTTAAAATACTGTACGTACTTCTGGTTTCGAACTAATACTCACCAGTCAGTTAAAATATTACTAACACTGCTGGCCAAATGAATTCGTTTCACTGACTTGCGACTGTAGGAATGCCTATATACAGATACTAGCAGACCTCAAGCATATCCAGCTTTATCATTCCCAGTCTGGTATTGCTTTAACAATTTTTTTGGTTAGAAGTCCAAAGAGATAAGCAATAACCAATAACAACACATACTGATGGACTTTTGCGAGCGATGTTTGAATGCTACGCTTACTAGTCACGCATCACCGGTAAAATGCATTTATCGTAAGACGATTTGCATGAGCGGCACCGGAGACTCGGAGAGCAGCGAAGGGATAAGGAATGAGAAATAACAGGAAATAATACTTCAAAAATTTTGACTAAAAGAACCTCATAATGTCCTTACAAAATAATTGTCGCTTTAAATTTTCTACAGAGAAGTTGCTAACTGCACGTATAAGAGGGAAACAATTAGCGCGAGTTTTGCACCGCTTGGGATATTTTTCGCAAAGAAGGTTTCACCTTTGTCAAGTCAGAAATTAATTAATTAAGTAGATCAGTTAACTAATTAAGCAGATCAGCTGCTAAAGGGTCTCCAGATAATTCTCCATTAATCAATGTCAACGAGTGGCAGGTCGTCATGGACAATATCAAAGGTCCGCGCCTGCTAATCAAATGCCAGTTCATTTTGTGGCGCTGAATTAAATTGGAAACGCTCACTTTATCGCTGTTAGCCGACATGGCACAGTACATTTATGAATTAATTAGCGCAGTGCAAACTGTAATTGTAATTAACGTAAGTGCTCTGTAGATAATTAATTACCTAATAGTCTGATCATAGATTAATTTTTAATTGCTCATTTAGACGCTTATATATATGTTGTATGTATTAAAGTGGATGTATATGTATGTATATGTATATGTACTCGTATTACAGTGTATGTGCGTAGAAGACTATTGTTTTCATGACTTAAGCTTGGACGCTTGGTGCCTGATGCCGTTATGCGTATTCGCAAAACGGAGCTGTTCACGCGGGTATTTGTAAAACGTGCCGTATCTTTCCTTCGACCAGTTAAAAAACAGATCGGTTCGGAATGTTATGAATCATAATCCTGGCCAAAACAAAACCAGACCGGAGATAAGAAACGCAGAGGTGATTGAGGACGCGTATTATAAATTATACTGTACGAGTAGCGATAGTATTTGTACGAACGATAAGACCGCCCAGTTATGATTCATTCCATCGCGTTATGAATTTGTGTCCACTTTACCGGCTAGTTTCCTTTCTCATGAATTTCTAGAATTCAGTCTTGACACTCGCTTGCTACAGCTTGCATCTACTTGATTGTTCCTCTTGCTGAAACCTTGCTTACAACCTTGCTGCGTTCTTGATTCCCTTGTCATTAAACATGCCTTGAGTTACGTTGTTGTGTTTGACCGCTTGGGATGAACCTGTGTCATCCCAATCGGAGCCACCTGTGAAATTGCGTTACATCAGTTAAGAGCGTCCACGACCGCATCGTTGCCGGTCGTGCCACCTTTCACACCAACAGCCGTTTAATCGTGGTAAAGGCTGATCGCCACCCCACTAGAACAGTAGCCAGATAGGCCACTGTTACTGTACAATAGGCCACTGTTACAATACACTGTACATTGATACATTAAACTTACAAAGTGCTGTACAGATATAAAAAAATTATTTAGCTGCAGCAGTTAAAGCTGTAATTAACAAGTTAGTTAATAACTAAATACTACAGTAATCGTAATCACTGTTGTAAATTGTGTTCGGCACATAAATTAAATAACAATCAGCAGAACCAACGTTAACTTGATTCTGCATTTTCGTTCTGCATTTTCTACTCTAGCAAGTTTCTTCGACAGCACCATATTTTATTACTTTTTATATGCAGTATTTCTCTTCGGCTAATGCTGTATCATCCTGGTGCCCTTGCGAAATGTGTAAGCACTTCAAGCGTGTGCACAAGTGCAATCATTGCCTTTTCAATGGTGGTCGGGATGGAAGCTATTGGAAGATACAGATAACTGCCGGTCGATGCTCACACGAACCAAAGGTAAGTGTTGCACAATGCTGTACTGTACAGTTACTCCATATCCGTAGTCTGTACTCTGCACCACCGGCACCATACGTACCTTAGAATTTAGATGTAGCTGTAGACTGTAGTACTGTACCATAGAATCTCCGGGATTACGGCAGAATCGTTGGGCTGGAATTGATGTTGTTGCTTACAGCCTTACGCGTTTTCTGATGCAGCGCTGCGGCATCTTCTTGTTTGTGCAGTGCAAGCTGTAGCAGTGTACACTTTCAGACACTACTTCCGCTTCGCCGGCATGTATATCGTATGTAGCTTGCAGACGTAAAATTTGTATCATACGTACGTCAGCTGGTTGCAGTTGTCTTTCCTTTGCAAGGCGGTCCTGTGAATGCTGCCGGTTCCGCTCCTACGTGTTCAGTTGGCGTGTTCAGTCCGCTTCCCGCGTTATGACGTCGGGATGTTTATATTTGGGAAAGGGCAACGGCAAAGGAATCTCTCGTTTGGAGAAGTATTATTATCGCGCGCTCTGACTGCGCCTGCAGCTGCAGCAGCTGTCTGCACTGAATAAAGTGTGCACTGTGCAGCCACATGTATGCACGCCGCCCCATGGTTGGCTGCTTCACTTACAGATGCCGCGATATCGCATCGGCTGTTTGTTTCGGCCTGGCTAGAGCGCAACTGCCTGGCATGTGATCATCGCATCTGGATGATGCTGTTTTTTTCTCTTTATTGCGGGGCAATGTTTTTTCCTGATGTTTAACCCATATTCCGCGCTAGCTAACACCGGATCGAACAGAGCGTTTACGGTGTTTATTGATAGTTACTGAAAATCTGCGATTTTTTACAGTCCCTTTGCTCACTGGGTCCAACGATCGGTTCAGCGTGCACAATTCACAAACATGACTAAACCAATGGTGGTGTTCTATGTGACAGATGCGCTGTGCTTCTCTGGCTTGGTTGTCAGTGGATGTATCGTCCGATTTTCCTTACATAGTTTTGCGCCCGCACTGCGCACCAGCACGGCGTCTTTGTGATATGAAAGTGTCAGTGGCGGATGTTTGTCTGGATTTTTTTCCTGTGGATCGTGTAGGGCATTGTAACGTGTCACAATGAGCCAGGACAAGTTCCAAGAGGAGTCGCGGTCAGCCGCGACGACCGTGGAACAGTCGTTGTTGGAGCCGCGGGTGACGTTTAATCTGTCGGACAACGGCAGCCACGCCGAGACGGAGGAGGCCGTCCAGCATACGGGGCACGACCGGGAATCGGAGGAGCGCGAAGACGTGAAGGAATGCGGGATTGGCACTTGCCGGCCTGTTTGTCTTCAGGGCTCGTGTGCTTCCATTAAGAGTTTCACCTTCTTCTGTTCGGTGCTGGTTACTGTGCAGGTAATACACACTGACAATTTCTAATTATTTGAACAGATTACTATACTTATAATACAATATGCATGTACTGGATTAACCGATTATCATTTTTAATGCAGCGATTGGATGGGGCTAAACTGCATAAGAATGTATAAAATTAGTAATTAAAGGACACAAATTAGACGCATCGAAGTTAAGCTCTGCAGCTGTAACTTCTTTTGTGGTGGGCTAATTGAAAATCACCGTAAATTACGTATTAGTACAATAAATAATTAACAGAAATGAATTTATGCAATAAATGTGTTTCAGTTGTGCCTCGCTTTCGTATTTCTCGGCTGAAACTTAATGATGCCTTTTACTGCGAGTGTGCTCACAAATACCGCAACAATAAGTGCGAACAGTATTCAGGAATTCTTTAGAAATCCTTTTGTCCATAAGTTTGGATATTAGGGATAGCCTATGCCAGATAGATGATTAATACTTTAACAGCCCTGATCTTAAAAAATACCAAGTAACAAAGCCCATATGTCCATAGCGATTTATACAAATTATAGTTTACTGTTTCATTACCTGAAATCAGTTGCCATTTCTTAAAATAGCGATTTGTTCAAATGTATTATTTTTTACTAATAATAAGGACTGTAACACAATCAGGTTATCTGAATATTAGCTCGTTCGACATGTTCTGATAGATAGGTATTAGGTAGTAAATAAGCTTATGTCATTAAGAACATAATTATTATTAAGTAAACATAATGCGCCGCAAATAACATTTACGTGTGCAGGGTATTTTAAGCGGCGGCTATCTTCCGTCTGTGATTTCCACGCTGGAAAAGCGCTACGACATTCGCAGTGGTCTTTCATCCATCATCCCCTCCTCATACGAAATGGGCAACCTGTTCACGGTGATGTTCGTCTCCTATCTGGGCACCCGTCGGCATATTCCCCTGTGGATGGGTGTAGGAGTGCTGGTGATGGCTAGCGGGAGTTTCCTCTTCTCTGTGCCGCACTTTATGACGGGCGCCTATCACGGCGGCAGTGTTAATCTGGAGAAGGGAAATTTCAGTGATTTGATCCAGGATACCATCTGTCAGCCAACGGTGCCCAGCCGGGTGGGCTCGGAGGCCCTGGTGGCGTTGAACACCTTTCAGCAGAATCTCCATCTCAAGAAGGAAAACGTCTTCTGCAATTCCAAGACGGGACATTTGAACTCAAACAACGCACTGTACATGTTCATCTTCGTCAGTGCTCAGGTGTTGATGGGAAGTGGCGGTAAGGAGTAACAGCATATAGCACTGACGTGAGATTGAAAATAGAACTTAAATTACCGGTGACCTTTGGTTTCAGGTTCGCCAATTTTTACTCTCGGTAAGTGATACGACTGCTCTTCGTTTGGTTGTTTACGAAAAATTGAATAAGGAATAATTATTATGCTTCCAGTTGTTAATATCGTTTACTTGTTAGGAGTTTCTCGATTTCTTAGGTGTATGCTTTCATCGCCTTTACAGTGTTGTATAGTTTATTTCTGTTACATTGGCTGCGAGTACAGCCATGGACATTGTACTTGTACAACAGTTGTAAATTGATTGCTTACGATACAGGGAAATTAAGTAATTACAGTACTTTTACGTTTGTATACTTGTTCATTCTTATTGTCCAAATTCGTCTGTAGTTCTACAACATTGATTTTGTTATTTCCGGTATTCACGGTAGCGAGGCACTGTATAACGAAACGTCGCTCTGGCTAACACGACGAAGTGCTTAAATCTCTAACGTATTTTGGTGGTCGAGATCGATTATTTTGGTCTTCGATCATAAAACTTGAGTTAACTCATCGCAAGAAGTGTGTAATCTGATCGATTGCAGGGGTCGATAGTGCACAATGTTTACATTATGCTAGTCCTGGCTGATTAATACGGTACATTGGCCGTAATGGCGATAAAAGCATCGCCAAAAAAGATTAAAAAATGATAATTTAATGAATCAGCTTTAGACATCAATCGGCATACATTTTTTTGTAAAAAGATGCGAAAGCATTTATTTATTAGCATAAAGTGCAGGGAAAATTTGCTTATTGATAATCGGCAATCACTGTGGTGCGTCCGAGTTATTACCGAATTGTGTTTGGATTTCACGGACGATGTCACATTCACGTTGTGTGTTCCGGCTGGCCGGCAGATGGATGACGATTTTGCGGGAATTCCCAGCAGACACCGAGTGTGTTCATGATGTCATATCTGTTTTAGGATCTACTTACATCGACGATCACGTCAAGAAGGAGAGTTCTGCGTTATATTTAGGTAATCTGACATTTAGGAGAAGAATGGTCTTTATTACAATAATTTTTTGGATTCACTGCTGTCTGCGGTTCTTATTGCCAATGAAACTTGATAAGGAGTAGAATTGTTTTCTACTTCACCTAAACATTTCTGTTAGAACGGGGTTTGGGCGCAGACAGTGAATTTGAATATTTTTGCTTGTTTGGTGTTTTTGTAAAATTTTGTCTATTTTTTCCAAACTTTATAGTTTGTACAGGGTATCTTCATATGTTCACAAACGCTCTCCTGATACTTAAAATTACAGCATTTTTGATGTCTTTGCTGTAGGTTGCATGTACACCATGATTGCATTGGGGTAAGTTAAAGCAGCACGCAATATTAAGGAAATGAAGCGTTTTATTTGGTAGTTATAAAAGCAGGAATGTTTCCCTGCAGACCGGTATTGGGATTTCTGCTGGGTGGTTTCCTCTTGCGCATCCATGTGGATACATTGTACTTTGATGAAAAGACGTTCAAATTGGACATTAGTTCTCCGAACTGGATTGGCGCATGGTGGGGTGAGTGGCAGACTAAGAGGGAGCGAGTGACCTTTCGTGCAATGCTTTTGCGGTGCAGTGCATATTAACAGTTGTTGCACTGCTTTGAACATCCTCTTTCTACACGATCTAATCGGTTGGCATATGTTCACATCTTCGAGGGAGTAAAAGTGAAGAAAAGAGCCCATATTGCTGTATCGATTTTTGCGGTTGACATTGATTTCTTCTATTTATACATATGGAAAGGAACAGCGAGCTCGTAATGCTGGGTTGTAAGCGCTCGTATTTATTGATTGTTTGTTATATTAACGATGGTAAACTGCTACGCGGCCGTGAAAGATTTGGCATTGAAAAGAGATTTTGATTGCTGGATTACTTTGCCTTTGATATGAAAACGGCCCCAAAAGAATGGGTGCATTTGACTGTACATGCGCGTGTACACTGACGCACTTTTCCCGAAAACGGTAATACGGCAATTTCCGGTGTGCGTTGTCCAACATTCCCTCGATGCAATGCATCCTGCATCCCAAATTAGTGGTCAGAGCGTGCGTAGAGCTCAGTAATTGCATAATCTGCATATGTTGCACTGACTTGTAAATGCATTCTGCATAACTGTATAAGCACCGGAAATTAAGCACGCTTTGTTTGTACGTAAATAAGAAAGAATAATTAATAACGGTTTCTAAAAATATTCTGATATAATTACAGGTGAGCTCGTGTTCTAGGTTCCATTTTTATCAGTAATCATGGGAGAATAATGAAAAATATCTTCTAGAAATACCCTGATATGATTACAGGTGGTTTCGTATTCTGCGGTTTCATCCTACTCAGCATCGCCATTCCCTTCTTCGCCTTCCCGAAATCACTGTCCCGGGAGAAAGCCAAACTAACGTTGGCCGATAAACCAGACAGGACTAACGATAGTTTTGCGAGTCTGGCAGATCGTGCCGGCGACGCAACCGAAACCGAGAAGGATTACGGGAAGAGTCTTAAAGGCAAGGGGACATATTCATCGCAGGTTGGACAGCTATCGACCACGTTAGCTTGTTGTAGGCATGCCGCGAGCTCTTTGGAAACTACTCTCCAATCCTATCTACATTGTGACGTGTCTAGGCGCCTGTATGGAGCTGTTCATTGTGTCCGGGTTCTGTGTCTTCCTTCCGAAATATCTGGAGACGCAGTTCAATGTCAGCAAAGCCGACGCAAATGTGCTGATAGGTAGGCGGATCACTTTTGAAGGATGTGGGGCTTAATTCACACGCCCTGTCTAATCGGGTTTACGCGCAATCAGCTCCGGCCAAGGGTGTACGTTGGTGTACGGCATTGTGGGCTGCAGCTATGATAATGATCGGTCGGGCTGTTGATCGCTCTCTTGAGATTGAATATTACTGACGTATCCTGAGTTGCCCTCGATTGGCCATGATTATTACGAAGGAAATGCTTTTTTCCTGACAGTGCTTTTCAAGAGTGTTCCCTTCAATCCGAAAAGAGCAACAATAGTCGGAAATGTTTCGTATTTTTTGTTTATTTATAATCTTGTTTATCATGAAGATTAATTGTTATTCTGGTGGTCAACTGTATACAGAAGAAGCGTGATGAGAATTTGCCTGACCTTTTGAGTTTTAATTATTTTAGGCGGAATTGCGATGCCTGGTGCTTGTATTGGAATTTGGGTGGGCGGATGGTTACTGAAGAAGCTGCAGTTGCAACCCATCGGAGCCGTGAGATTGTTAATTATGTGCAATCTGATCTCCTTGTCCATGTTCTCGGCGCTCTTCATGTTCGGGTAAAAGATTTATATAGCTTCTTAGTCTGCAATGGTAGGCGTGACGCTTCCTGTATCAGCGGTTATTTAGCGCTGCATAAATTTCATGGAGACCGTAAATCTTGGCATAATAGTTACCGGTAACCGTTTTGCACGCTATGATAGTAACGAGTTATGACTATTCTTGTCCTGCGAAATTAGTTGTTTAATAATTTCAACATAGCCGCATACGCATGTGGGCTATTCTTGCTGAAGTCATAACTGGCACGGTTCTTAATTTTGGTTACTCGAATTCTTTGGGGTGTAACTTATTTTATTGCACCAGTTGTCTTGCAGTCATACTTACTGGGGATTTGGTGTTTGTTTCGTTTCTGTGTTACTTTCCCGAACTTATTCGTTCGAACTGTGTAAGAATTGATTTCCTTAGGTGTGACAACATCAAGATTGCCGGCGCCACAACGGTTTATCGGTACGTAAAATCGAGGGACCTTATATGTCGCCCTTGGGGAAATTGAAAAACTGTTTACTTTCTCACACATACACAGCTCGCCGATGGTAATGGAAGGCCCGTTCCAAGTCAATCTGACATCGGCCTGCAACATGGGCTGCGGATGTTCGCAGAATGATCTGCAGCTGATCTGCGGCAGTGATGATCTGACGTATATCTCACCCTGTCATGCCGGATGCAAGCGATTCGCCCATGACAGCGGATTAAACAATCTCCAGGCCAACTTCTCCGATTGCTCGTGTATTGTCGACAGTATGAGCTCCCGCGCCAGTCCCTTACACGAAGTCTCCATTAAGCCCCTGGCCACCACCGGGGCGTGTCCGCGGGATCAGCAGTGCAATATGCTCATTCCATTTATTGTCCTGGTGTTTATTATGTCCTTCACGGTGTCCGTGGCGCAGATGCCTATTCTCATGCTGACTATGCGGTCGGTGGCGGTGGAAGAAAGGTCACTGGCTATTGGGCTTCAGTTTGTCTTCTTCCGCTTGCTAGGTACGATAATGAACTGGCGGTCGCACGAGAACTGCGATTATTCATTTTGATAATAATTTACGCAGTCTGTGAGGGTAGAAAATTTTTTGAGAAAGCTGAATATTGTTTTATTGCAGTCTCATTAGAAAGAACTTCTCTAAATTTGTTTTCTTGTTTGTACAGACTTTCAGTAGGTAATCACGAGATCATTCAAACATCAGTCACAGTTAGCTTTGCTGCACAATCCGTTCCACTTTTCCCGTATTTTTTTTAATGAAGACTGCGTCTGTGCAAAGTATTCACGAATTAGACCTTACACTAAATACCATTTGGGGAATTTTAATGCTCTGTTTACTGGCGATTTCCAATATAACTGTCTGCAGTTTCTGCGCTTGCGTGATATTATGATGATAGTATGTTTGTACTCTTTGTCTTCGGTACACTTGTGTTATTCCAGCATACGTCCCCGCGCCCATTGCTTTCGGGAATATCATTGACTCAGCATGCCTATTGTGGCGCTCCAGCGAATGCGGTGCGACATCTGGCGGTTGCTTGCTGTACGACATCGAGAATTTCCGCTACAAATACATCGGAATCGGCGCCGGGTTTAAAGTGGTCGCTCTGCTTCTGTTCACTCTGGTGTACTGGTTGATTCGGGAACGAGTTGAGTCCCAGCAACGAGAAGAACAGCGGAACACCGGCCTGCAGTTGCTGACCATGGCCGATCTAATGACGCTGTCACTGACGTCCTTGAGCTGTACGGAGCATGGAGTAAGCTGTCGGGGACGATCTCAGAGGAAATGTGCCAAGCTGAAACAGGTTAAAACAAGCTGAATCAAAACGTTCTAATGGTGTTAATAATTTTCATTCGGTCTTGCGGTTTCTGTTTTTAGGCGGCTAGTTTCAGCAGTCTTCCTGGGGATCTGACGAAAGTGGCCTATGCCAGTCGGGCGGAACATTTCAGGCCCAGTATCGTGTAATCGGAATCTAGGCGGAATTTCATGAACTGATTCGATTTTTCCAGTTTTATCAGTGCTCATTCTCGCTGCCATCATGTCGTTTTGGTGTTCCTAGGATTTGCTGAGACGGCACATAAGTACTGCAAACGCCGGTTGTTGCCCGATTCCGATGAGACTTTGTTTTATGTGCGATTACCTATGGGAAGGATTGCTGTTTACTGTTTTATTTCTTTGTGATGCAAAATCGTATTGAAGGGATAGATTTTATGCAGAGTTCGACCACGTATGATTGGTTTATGGTTGGGAATTAATTATTACCCGTTTGTGAATATAGAAGTATGGATAGACACAGTTGTTTTTTATTTTTACGTTTTTGGTTCTGTATATTTTATTGAGCACGTTTTAAATGAGAATAAATGCAATACATTGAAAGATTTATACGCAGTGCCAGTTGTTCCCTAAAGCTAAACCATGGACGTGCGTATGCGGCAGAACACCAGCTGTCAAATTCAAAGTTTTGAATCCTTGTTTTTTTGCGTTGTGGACCAGTTCAAACTGCAGATCTACGAGTTAGTAATGTTACTACGAGTTAATAATGTTACTGTGTATTACTGTTATATGTTCTTTGTATTCGAATGGACTACACTACAGAACAATAACAGGTGATTTTCAATTTGCTACTACCAGAGGTTGATTTAACTGCAGGTGATTGATTCAGGTGAGGTGCTACAGGTGATTTCAAGTTTTTAAAATTCCAAATTGTGCTCCTACACCAGTTTATGAAAATTAATACAATCACGCACACTAAGTACAGTAATCTAAGATAATTATTATCATTTCTTTTATTGATTTACGGACCGAAGTCCGGGGTCCCCCGATCGCTTTAGGACGCATTCGGTTTTTATGACCGCTCGCGCGCCATCGAGCCGCCGCCTTTATGATATTCTTAGGTTTCTTAAGTGCAGATGAAAGCACATCAGGTTTCCAAAGTCTGATTTCCCACGCTATTACTCCTTGGTGTCAGGTCATATTTTCTGCCAGCATCATAGTTTGTCGGACGCGTGCCATGCTTTACATTAGACCTGTCATTGACATAAAAAATGGTACCCAAATTAACATTCTTTATGTTTCTGCAAAAATTATCAAATTAACATCGACGAAAAACACCAACGCCAGCAGCATGTGCCGTTCATCTTCCGGCGTAAATTATTGTGTTTGACCCGTATCGCTCAAACCGTTATCAAGTTCCGCTTATCTACTATCGTGTGCATGGTTATTTATAAAGGAAGTACTCACTACTCACGATGGTCAGGTGTAAGTACGTACGGTATCAAGTACAGCTGCAACCGTGTACTTAGTACTTATCACAGTTGTACGTTGTTGTTCAAAAATTACTTTAATACAGTACGTACTTAATAAATTAATTAGACTTACCACGGTTAAAAATAAACATGTTACAGTCAATAGTTATAGATTTATTAGGATATTAATTTTAAGACGTGCATACGTTTGACTTTATCTGCGCAACCCGACCGGCGACACTCGCCGCCACAGCCATACTTAACGCACTCACCAGTCAGCGCTGGTGATCCGAACTCAATACTGAATCATATCTACATACGGTACAGTCTACGGTACCTTTGCCGCTTGCATATTTTCCCATATTTTCATTTGCAATACTTCACACAATCGCATCCGCCGACGTAGAAGGACGCACTCCTCACCTCCACGGCAAAATTGGCCAAATATTTTGCTGTAACTAATCGTGAATGTTCCACCGATGCGATGTTACGTTTGTCTTATTATTTAATGTAAGCACTAAGCAGTAAGCTGACATTTTCTCTCTTTACGGGCCCGATCTTCCAACAGGCTTCTAGGAGGAGGGGTCGTCTGGATGATTGAAAGTTGAAACTACTAGATGGTTTTCCTTTCCCATTGTACTATCGGAATAAAACCATAAAGGGAATATTTGGGAACAGTCCGACAGGAATCACTGCCTTGTCGTTGTTGTTTTCGTTGGCGTGGTGGTGGTGTGTGCGTGGGGCAAACGTAGCGCCAGGGCCTGTTGCTTCGTCCTGTTGCCATTATTTTCAATACGTGCCTTTCTGGGAGAACTATTTGGAAGTCATTAAATGGATCCTGGACACCGTTCGCACAATGGCTCTGCACAATCCTTCAGTCAAGTGCCCGATGTGGCGGTGCTGAATCGGTGAGTTGCTGTACTGACAGTACTGTGTATGAAAAACATTTCAAGTGCAGGTACAAATTATGTGGTTAGTGTTAGGAGGGCCCGAGGGGTACGATCAGGCTGCCGTAGTCTGCGAGGAAAGAAAACCGAGTAGGGCAGTTTTCGAGACGTGCCGCGGAAATGATCGCCTGTATGGAGGATTCGCAGAGATTGAGTCTTTCCGAAAGGTGCGCGGAACAACGCTGTCTCTTTTAGCGTTCTGTAGTCTGTGCTTTTATCACTATGTACTGTGTGGGAATTCCCTCTTAACATCTGCAAGTTGCAGATTACAATAAATTCTGTAATTTTGCTGCACATGGCAGGTTTCGCTAATGCGAATGTTCTCTTATCTAGTCTATTAACTCTAGCCGTAATATTGCGAAAATTACATTGAACCTTATTGCGAAATTGGCTAAATTTAAAATAAAATTTTTTGCGCTATGCCTTGATTACCATAAAAAAATAGCAAGGAAAAATCGCTTGCTGAGTTTCTTCAAACCAAAACAAATCTGTTGATTGTCAGATTGTGTGAAGGAAAGCACAGAAAAGTTTTATTGGTTGTTGCCGATCGCAGTTAATATGGATTGGTCGAGCGGTTGCTCTGCTGCCGCTGTCTGCCTTCAGTCGTGTATTGTAGTGTAGTGTAACGCTGACAAAAATTCATTCATAACTACGGGGCAGAGCAGTCAGCACTGGCAGCGACGGTGAATTGTGAATGCAGTTGTGGCTTTTTTTGCTTTGTGCAACGTTCCGCTGCGCGAGGATATGCTGCAGTCATACCTGCTAATTTTTGTACAATATTGTGTTCAACAGATTATTAGCACTCAACAATCCTCATGTGTGAGGCCACTCGTTGCTCTGACGGAAATGACGTTCATCCGTTTTTTTTCCGAACAACTTTGATCATTATAGTGGAACGCACGACACCCTAAAGTTTCGCTGGTGTGTGCTTCTTTTCTGTAAACTTTGGTGGATTGCGCTAAAGAAGTAGACTTCACAATTGTTTGTGGTGAAGTTGAGTACAGAACCTTTGATTGAATCTGAATGAGAGCACACCAGTGGAATGGATTAATTTTTATTATGGTTCTTGAGATTAGCTAATCACTGAAAGCCTGAAAACTCAGTCTGGAAGACATTTGACCAGACTTCGTCGTTTGTCCCCCGTTTTTGTTATCAACGTCCCGTTTATCAGTTATGGTTCGCCTTCCCGATTCTGTAAGGCGGGCAGCATCCAGACTGAGATTCTGGAATCGCAATCCCCCGCGGAATGCGGGCCACGTAAATACATCCATATTTACGATAAAGTAAGCTCTTCTTCTGGGCATTTTTTTTTAACCATCCAATCTCGGCATCCGATCTGACGGTGTGTAGCGTCAAATGTGGTGTGATGGCTGGGAAGAGGAACGTAGAAACTTGAATTTTCATCTTGTATTTCTCGTACCGTGTATGAGCTCAGCCTCTGTCGTCTGCACGTCCCAAACAGGCTACTAGCGACGTTGAAAATTTCATCAGCAAGCGGAAGCCATGTAAACCAGAACCTTAACCTGTAACCACATTAAAAATATTTGAGGATTTTCATGAGTTTTGAGCTAACAGTAATTTGGCCTTAAAAAAGCAGCGGTAATCGGACATTAAAGCCTCTGTGAATTACTGAATTGCACAAGTTTTGTATCTACACGTTTTGCAGTGGCGGAGGATATCGCAGTTTCACCGGATATCAAGGCGATCGCGATAACATATCGGTTTCGAGTCAGGAAAGCCTGGATCTGACACCCACCGCCGCCAATCCCCATGTGGACAGCATAAACAGCACCGGCAGTCACGAACACTGCCACTTCCCCGCCAACGCCCTAGACACATCCAAAGCGGCGCGGAAGAAGCTCATCATCGCGTCTGTACTGTGTCTTACCTTCATGATTGGCGAAATCGTCGGTAAATGGTAGTGTTTTGTGTGGAGAGGCATTTTCAGGCATGGTGTGATGACTGTAATCAGTCTTTTGATGAATAGCACCAAGATTTCATATTATCAGGCGTAAATCACATATATCGTGATATATGAGTATGCCAGATAAAATTATTCTTCGTTTGTGACGTTGTGGCTACGCCTTTCCGCACTCCTGAATAAGTTTTTATCATTGTATCCTCTAATCTGATCGTTCGCACATCCGGACTCAGGAGTGTTGGTTTTGGGAATGGTGTTTTATATTGTCGGCACGTACAATGTTCGGCATAAGAGCGGTCATCTGTGCAGTTCCAACTAGGCTTTGCGGCCATTATAATTTTTTTTTGTTTTAAAGTTAGTCAGGAGATTTACTGTTCGGTTGCAGGGCCGAATTCTACTGGGTTTGCACCAAAGATTAGTTTGTTTATACTTTGTTCTTAGAAAATTTGTGTATTTGCAGGTGGATATGTTGCTGGAAGTTTGGCGGTTCTGACTGATGCTGCCCATTTATTAACGGACTTTGCCTCCTTTATGATTAGCTTATTTTCCTTGTGGTTAGGTGTGTGTTCTTTTCCTCACAGTTAGACTGTTGGCAAGTATTTCTGTTGACATTGATGGTTTTGGGCGTAGGTGCTCGGCCTGCCACGAAACGAATGAGCTTCGGGTGGTATCGAGCAGGTACAAAAGAGAAATGAATAATATACTCTTTTCTTGTACCGATCAAATAATGCGGATGCCTTTTGGCAGAGGTTATCGGTGCCTTAACGTCTGTGATAATGATATGGGTTATTACGGGGATTTTGGTGTACGAAGCGGTGCAGAGGATTCGCACGGGAGATTATGAAATTAATGCCAGTGTGATGTTGATTACGGCGGGAGTTGGAGTGGCCTTCAATATCATGTAAGTCGCTTATTTGGCGGATATTTGTGATACAACACAGTGCAGTGGCTTATTTTAAAAAATGGTCTATTCTGTGAAAGACGTTTTAAAGGGTGGTATGTGGACTATATACTTAATTGTTCAGCTAATCGTAAGACCATGTGTTTATGTTGTATTGTTCGTGCAGAAGCTTTAATTTATCATTGTTTTAACTTTTTATGACCCTTTTTAGTAGTAATTTGGTGAATTTATTGTACAGCCATTAATAAACTTGCAGAATGGGCATTTCGCTGCATGATGTGGGCCATCATCACGGGCATAGTCACGGCCACGATCATGGTCACAGCCACGGCGAGGAGGAGCACAGTCACGATCACGGCCATGATCATGATCATCACACCTCCTCGACGAATCTGGTAGTGGAGTCGTCCAACGGCCATATTGGCGGGAATCCCGGTCAACCTGACAGTCATGCGCACAGCCATGGAACCAATATCAATGTGAGGGCAGCTTTTATCCATGTGGTGGGAGATCTCTTCCAGAGCGTCGGTGTGCTGATTGCCGCTTATATCATTTACTACAAAGTAGGTTTGGTTTTGTTGCGCAGAGAAGTGTTTGTCTTTTTAAATAACGCCAGGTGCTTGCGAAATATATAGGAGTTAGTGTAAAGAATTAACATTGAATGAAAATTAACATTGAAATTATTTTGGGCTTTTTACGTTAAACATTTTTTTTGCAGCCGGAATATCGCATTGTAGATCCAATCTGTACATTCCTGTTCTCCGTGTTGGTGCTCTTCACCACGGTGACGATCATGCGCGAAACACTCAACGTCCTCATGGAGGGAATTCCACGGGGATTTGATTTCGACCGAGTGCGGGATTCCCTCCAGGAGATACCCGGTGTTATTCGGATCCATAATTTGCGAATTTGGGCTTTGACAATGGACAAAGTCGCTGTTAGTGCCCATTTAGCAATAGGTAAGCATATTCGCTTGAATCTTATCTCCCAAATTACGTTACGAATGCGGAACATGAATTAAACAACTCCTTAGAAAAGTTTGATATTTGTTTACGTATTTTTTTGTCTTTGAATATGGTTTCCTTCTTTTTTTTTGTTTCTTTTATTCGCTGTAAGTCTTTTTTCCATTTTGGATTGACGACTGATTGATAACGTTTGCCTGCAGTTTGTTTAACCTCGTGACCTTTGCATTGACCGACAGGTTGTTTTATTGAAGCCGTCGTATAATGCGCGTGTCGCTGTGAATTAGTTATCTGTTAAAGGTAATTAAATGTGATAACAATTTGTCGCAGAGCCGACAGTCCAATCTCAAGAAGTCCTGCGCAGTGCACTGATTAAACTGCGCAAGCAGTTCAACATCCACGAATCCACACTGCAGATTGAAGATTATCACCACATGATGGTGGACTGTGAAGGGTGTCGGGAGCCGCGCGACTGATGCTAAGAAATACATTTTGGTTTTGAGGACCATTAGATGGCGCCTTACTTCGTTGAATTGATGTCTTCTTACCCTATATGCTCACTTTTTTGATTCCGATGTGCTTGTTGTACCGCCAAGGCTGGGTGCTTTCTATTCATTCGTATAATTTATTTTTTAACACTTTTTCGCAGCGTTTTAAGTTTTTTCCCGATTTTGTTACTGTGATGTGATTTTCAACCACTTCGAGGTTGAAATTATAAAGTTGAAAGCATGTGTCGTAAACACTTTTTTAAAATAATTAGAGTATTACAAACATTCGTATTGGATAAGTTGAACTGTGTATTGGGATAAACAGGTGATTTTACTGGCTCACTGTTTAAAGGAAGCTGCAAAACCTACAGATTCACCAGCAAAAACCACATGTTTTGGCACACTGAACCATTTCATTTTTGGAAATCCCTTTTCACCCCCGTTTTTTATAGCCACCCCCTTTTCTCACCCTGTTAATTACACTATTACAGGCACCCTTTTTTACAGTTACGTACAGTAAGAACACCCTGTTTGCGATTATACAGACACCCATTTCCTTGTCCATTTTCAGGAATCTGACATTTTTTAGATTTTATATTTCACCGATGCCAGTGAAATTCATAAACTTTTGTTATATATGACCTTTCCACCGGGCAAACGACAATATCGACTGAAACGTTTGCATCTTTGACATGAATTTCGTTGAGTACTTTACTTGGTCCAGCATTTCTACCGCAGTTCTGCATCCTCGGTTGGTTATTTCCGCTTTGATGCGAACGTTTGCGATAGATCGTCAGGACTCAGCACACAACAGCCCGCAACATCTTTGCCTGTCTCATTACCCGTTTGAAGTCGTACGGTTGTTAATGCCTTTAGCGACTTCTGGACCGATAGTTAACGATACCATTGTCTTTTTCTACGCCGAGTTTATATTTAGCCGTGAATTTTCTGGAAGCTTCTTCCATCTTTCCTGAATGAGCGGGTGGTTGTGACTTGTGAGTCACTGGTGACCCACGAACTTATTGTTATTCGTTAATCCTTAGAACTTAAGTACGCGCATGCCGAACGTTAAACTGCGCATATAATCAACTGTCAAAAGGGTGCCTACAAAAATCAGGGTGTCGTCTTAAAAGAAATTACTTAATTAAAAAAGGGTGCCTATAATTAACGGAGTGTGGAAAATGGGTGGCTATAAAAAACGAGGGTGTTTGGGGTAGCTATAGTCAGTATAGTGTCACCCTTTATTTTATTTACAGTTGATCGATTCAAACAGATGTACAAGGAAAGCTCAGAGCTGTCTTTCAACCGATTTATTTTGTTGTGGGAGTAGCGTTTTGGCGAGTAAACTTCGAGAACTGTAAACGACTTCCGATTATCGCCACTTTTTCTGCAAGTGAAAATTTTGGTTTTATGTTTTTATTAATCCCACACCGCCGATTACGCAAGATACAAAACTGTAACCTTGCAAGAGTCCTATCTATGCTCACTTGTGTGCATTATTACTGATTTTCTATCAGATTTTCTACCAGTACTGTCTACAGAGGCGCTCGGCTGCTCATATCGCGAATGAGTTTTTCCAATCTCCGCACCTGAAACGCAACAGAGGCGAAAATTACTGTTATAAAATAAATGAGTTGTAGACCATGAGTACTACACTGTAACTACAGTAGTCGTACCGTATTGTGCACTGCGGCCTGCATCCACGTACTTATATAAATATTCGTACTCACTTATACTGCATAATCTTTTATGGTGAACAGTACGAAATTACTAATTAAACATATCTCAGTAAATTAAATTTTAATAGGTTAATTTAGTTATCATTTTTAAATGCTTCAGGTACGCTGTACAGAGAATCACCTCAGCGTCCGTCATAGTGTCAGTGCGTGCGATTCTCTTCTCGGTGAAGTCCATTTCCATGAACGTCTGAAACCGGAGGGCATCGATGGCACTATCCTGTGCCGCAATTAGGACCCGATTCTCCACTTCCTATTGCACATTTCACTGACAAATCTTCGCGTTTATTTAATCTCTATGCACCTTGCATGAACGATAGTTCCATTAGCTGCGCTACCGAATATACGTACCCATAGTTTTTATGGAATGTTATGCGGAAACATGCAGTAGTGTATGCTGTCATTTGTATCAGTGAAAGTGTTAACTTATATTATACGAGTAGATATTCAACAACGCTTCTATAGCTACATACGAGTAGGCATTTATATGGCGAAAACAGCTTACAATTAATGCAATCTACCATATATATACTGTAAGTGTACACTCTTCATATCATAAGTTGTTTTTTGTACGAGTACTAGTACTTACTCTCAGTCTTCTCTGCCGGAAGTTCTCATGCGCCAACCGGAGTTTTGCCGCCAAATACCTACATTATTCTTTTAATTTACATACTCATAACTGGAGCTGTTTTGTTAATTGTGTTCATAAATATAGCACAAGTTAACCTATCAGTGAACAATATTACGATTATTTTTATAACAGTTTGAGAGACCATTAATTATGTGCGCATTCTTTATATATGTCGAAAGCAGTCCAGAAACAGGATTTTCATGGCTCTTACGGTAACTGCGAGTTTCCAGACATAGCTTCAAAATTCCTGTCAGCATCGCCGGTCATCTGCAGATGGGAGCGCTTCTTCGTATTTCCGGTATCCGTTTAAAGTACTAGTGATCTGCGGACCAATGTTGACGATACAGGCTTTTTCAGGCAAATCTTGGCTTTTGACGATCCAACTATTAGCTATTAGCTATGGTGCTGTTAATTTTGTATTTAAGACGCAATACGTATGCAATAACGGCCACGCTGAAAATATTGATAACTACTTAATTAGATTACGAAAAACTTGGTTGCCAATTTCGTTTACTTGTGCGACCTCCCAAGTTTCTGCTGTTGCTATAGAATATTGTCATTTTCCGTTCATATGCCATGCTACGCGGTCAAGCGTTTATAGAAAGGTCACACAACAAACTTGGTTGGCAGGCGCTAATTACAAACAAATAATTCACTTTGCCTCAATTTTATTTTTGCCTCAATTGTCTGCTTTTTGCGATATTTTGAACACACGCTTTTCCCTTCACATTTATTTTAACAATCTGAAATACCCGTTGCATAGTTTTACAAGTAATTAACGAATCAAGTACTTATTTCTAGATAGGTTTTTTATAAGCACTTTAGGATTATATAATATGCCGGCTTTTGTAGTCTGATAAGTTTTAGAAGACCCGTCAGATAGTTTTACAAGTAATCAACAAAACAAGCAAACAAACAAAATTAAGGCGATTTCTCTCCTAGCTTTATCCAGAACGGCAGTGATGGAGCATAAAAGACTCCTGAAAAATGTATTAACACCGTACTTTATACATCTGGTAAGGGTTAGTCCCGACTCCCAACTATCTAGAAAACCGTTTTCTGCCGGTAGTTTGCTCGCAGGTAAGTAGATACTCGAATTGTACATTGTGGAATTCCTACAAATTAATAAAATACGTACAACTTACAAGCACATAAACGGTCATTACTGCTAAGCGTATTCTCAGAAATATGAAAAACTCAAGAAAATAATCACAAGAAAAATGTAATCTACGGAGCTAGCAGTAACGTATTGTTCAGCGTCCAAATTAAGTGCATTATAAATCTGGTTGAATAAAAATGTAGCTGTAAGCAGTAAGCCTGTATAAAAAATTGCTTTCAGAATTGCAATTGCAAACTGCAAATTGTACTTGCTTTTCGGAATAAAACTAACAATAAATTAAATACTTCGTGCTCGTAACATCCGGATTCCAAGGGCCGATTCGGTGATCCTAACTGGCGTGTGCATTGCACACTCGCGCTTGCACTTGATGCTGCACTTTCACCACGGCAAAACCAGCAAATGCATGCACGATGCCAAATTTCGAAAAAAATGCTTAAATGTTCTGCTTATTTTGTCAAAAGTTTTGCCAAACTTTTGTGGATGTTAGAAGTAATTACTATTTTGTGTACCCATAATATTGTGAATTCTTAATAGCAGCTGATTGTACTCTGTATGCGGTTGATGCAGTGACTGATCTGCCTGCGGTGTGTGCCATCACTGCCATGAAATGCCGATCCCCCTTCATCTGGATCCTACACTGCCTGAAATCCGCCTGGCGCCTCTTATGTGGCAAGAAGCGTCCCAACCCCGAAACGGCCGGACCCCTGACGGGCGTTACCGTTAATCCCGCACCTTCTAGTCCTTTGGTGCAGCAGGTGGAGTGCGGCCGTTGAATTGCAAGGGAAGCCGCGAATTAATGCAGCGCGCACTGTGTGTTGTAGGGCAGCGACGCATGGTCGTCCAACTGGGATAACGCGCCCAGCGTGAACAGCTCGTCTGAACCAGCGGCGATGTCTTCTCTGGGATTGACCCGCGGGAACAGCGTTAAATACTCCGCCACGGAGGCCTGGAGGGAGTCGTTGATTAAACAGAAGACGGCGCCGCCTCCGCCGCCCGAAGTCGAAGAGGAGCAGAATTTCTTCGACCATATGGAGCCCACGCTCCGCAAACCCAAAATGGTACATCTTGAATATTTAGCACCTTTCACTTTTCTAGTGTCGTGCAGCTCTCGCGCGGCACTGCCTGTTCCATTCATGCAGTTTTCTTTTAGCGCTTGCGTTTTTGTAAGGCATCATCTGGTGGCAACCGATTTATTTTGGCGATTGTGTTTTACGTTATTGTTGCTGATTGCAGGTGAAAGTGTGGAGTGACGCCGAGAGCGCTGCTCAAGATGAATTTTCCTCGCGCTTATCTTTTAAGCCAGCTGCTGTGCCCAATCTCGTACGTAATGTGGCGTGCAGTTTTTTTGGGAGCATGAAAGTCTTTTTACCATTTAAACGTGTAAAATGCGTTAAAAAATTGGTCCGATATTGCGGATTTCCGAACTCCTGCACGTAAACGGGAAATTAAATAATTACCATGTTTCAAAAGGAACTTGCATTGCCAACGTTTTTCCATAGAATAACCATGGAGCGTCGCCGGTGTTTTTATTTTTAAAAATTGTTGTCTAAAATGAAAACGATGTCCGTGGCATCAGCGGTACGAGCAGCTTTGATTTTTCGGAATAATTGCTTTTAAGCTAGGACGGCAAACGGCTGCTTCCTCCAGAAGCAGCGAGCTAATACACTCAGACTGATTCCTGCATTCGCATTTGCAGAAAGCGGAATTGGACTGGATGGAAGAAGGCGAAGGGGCCGGAAGTTGGGAAGCATCCATCGACGAAATAGATCCGCGTGCAGCTAAAAAGGCTAAGAGGAAAGCAGCTAAGGAGCAAGCCGCATCTTCCGCCCAACAGACTCAAGATGCGCGTGTCCGGAAGCAAATGGTTTAGAATAGAACTTTCCCAGAAGAAACCGTGTCTTCCCCTTTTCTCCGCGTCTTATAAACGAAAATACTGATACTGTCTTGCGTTTCATCAGAAGTGGTAGGTGCATATCAGTATGTTCGTTTTTCTAATCATTTTTTAATTGTATTAAAAGCAGTTTTTTGTTTTGTTGGATTACGTTGGTTCTCTGCAAAATCCGGTGGTTAAAATTGATAAAATATTATTTCTCAAACGTTATCCATTCTGCTCCTGATTGCAAAAAAATTTAGTACAGTAAAACCGATCAGAATACCAACCCAGATGGAAGAAACATCCCATCAGCCAGGAAAAACACCCAGATTAAATCATGAATATTATCACGCATAAAATCAAAAAAGAATCCTCGATGGCACTTAAGGTAATTAAGAACTTAACAAATATGCATTATTAGGTCCAAATAGCGTAAAACTCGGCAGTTTGCACCAGGGGTAAACAAGTCGCCCATATCATGAAGTCGTCAGCTGGTTGGGTGGGATATGTCCCGAATCACCGAATGTGCGTAGGCTCACCTGTTCAACATGAATATTTGTAACGTGATAAAGGCATAATATTACGTATTGTTATTCTTGTCTGCAAATATGTACCAGTAAAACAGCAAATAGGCTGAAATATTTAAAAAGACGAATTGCTTACAGACGTTGTACTTATAACTGTAAGCTAACGGTTTACAAAAAATCTTACCCGTCCATTAGGGCGTATGGTCAGCCACGTTATACTGGAGTGGTGTAGGGACATCCGTAACCACGCTTCTGGAGGTAACTGCAGAGCTCTGAAATTCACATACTGTTAGTAGTATTTCAAGCAAACTACAAGCAGTAATAACCATAAACGTTAGCACTATAAAACTATAGCAAAACAACGTCATTTAACTACAGAGTACAGATGACGCAAACAGCCTTTCGCATCAGCACAGAGCGCCATACAAGTCTTATTAATGGCGACTCGAACTAAAGCAACAATCAATCCATTCTGATCGATAAAGCAAGGGAAAACTATGCATTATATCGATTTCAGATGCCTAGGTCGCTGTCGTGACCGGCGTATTAGCAAAAGAGCTGAGATGGATTAAGTGATTTCGTACACCGGCATAGTCAAGTAAAAAGTGCCTCCCAGTGGTAATTTTACAACCGCTTCCATTAGAAGGATAAACGAGTTTAAAACAACAGGCCCACCTGCAGACAAAATAGCGAATGACGTTGGCATGGCATACGATGATCTCATAACTGTCCTTCTCCTGATCAGGATCAGCGCGATGAATGAAACGCCGGAAGGCCGCCTCTATCCGCGCCCCGTCCTCAAAGTACTGCTAAAACACAATTAGCAAAACATGATGAACACATTATAAAGAAATTTAAAAGGTATTTTTTGAAATTTCATTACGAACTTGAGATACCAATGGCAATTAAAAAAGCGCATCAGTTTTTCGTAGTAATTCAATTTATAACAACAAAATCCCACCTGAGCACCCGGTCGCCAGCTGGCCACCGGTGGTTCGGGAGGAATAGGAGCGCCCTCACGGATCAGATCAGTGCTCTCTAGCTCAACTCCTGGCAAGGATGAGGCAATAATTTGAGCAGTTTCCCGAGCACGGCACATGCTCGAGTGGATCAGTTTTGTCCAGGGAAAGTTTAAGTCACGCAGACGTTTTCCCGTGTTCTGCGCTTGTGCGCGGCCTATGAAAATGTATGAGTATTGCAGTTTACAATATAAAAGGCGTAGAAGATAGCGACTGTCTAATGCAACTCAACCGACTCTCTTTTTTATTACGTTATCTTAATTACTTCTGCCAATTTACCCAGAAACAGAGCTTTAACTTTGTATTGCTTGCTTACCTAGTTCTGTGAGCATACGACATTCATCTGAGATCCCATCCACAACATAATGTCCATGTCGGATGAAAAATAAATTCCGCGTAGCTTTAGGTGTCGCCGCCGCTAAGTCCGGTTCCCGAGCATCAGGCTTGGCTTTTGGCCGTATCAGATTGGCTGGCTCACGTCTGTCCCAGTCTACAAGAACAAATCACTAAATCAACAACTGGTAAATGCATTTGATGCATGGTGAATTCCCAACGACAGTTTTATTCAGGACATCCTCAAAATACTGACAACATGCGCTTGCAGCAGTGCTGCCGATTAAAAAATCTTAAGTCGAGGTGGAATGATGCACCGTTTATCATTTACGATTATAAAATAACAAAATTAATCAATGTAAATGTGTGAAAATTTTCCCCATACGTACATACACTCATACGAATTTAAAAAAGGGAAATCACTGGGAGAAATTTACTTTTAGAAATTTAGTATCAAAGGGTGTTCCAAATTTTTCCAGAACTACTGCTATCAGTAATCAGTTTGACAGAAAGTCACGACAAAAACTTGTGTAGGATGTCGATGATGTAAGAGAATGCTGTAAGGCGCACGCGACGATTTCCTTGCTCCAACCCGGACTAATTATCAACAAAACTCACGATCACGGATCACCTGCAAAAGTTGACAAAACAACCCTTACTCTGATCCCATCGGCCACAGGAACTGGGCCCAGGCCCATCACAGGGGATCGCTCCGGGTGGCGGACCAGGATACAGATGGACGAAATTTGTGGAGGCATTGGCCACTTCCACGGGTTGCGCGCACTGTGCCACCACGTCGTCATTCTTCCAAATACTGGCGATGGCTGCCGCGGTGCCTGTACTGGCCAGCAGACCCAACGACGCCAATAGCGCCTTCTTTCCCGCTCCCACAGGCATATCACGCAGGATGAGCACACACCGTACGGATCATCGACACAACATTCTCCAATGACAAGGAAGATAGTACGTGGGAAAAAACAACTGGAATCCAACCAGAATCAGTTTTATCAAGGAGGAAATCTTCGGAAGTTGCGATTGGTATCTACTATCAACTTGATACTGAAACCCACATGCTTGGAGATGACGAAACTGTTACAAACCACATGCTCGTGCCCGTGATTTGTGCACCGTGTGGCTGTCCAGACAGAGGGCTCAATAGTGCTGTGGTAATCCACCCGGGCCAAATTTACTAAGCAATCAACCAGCAATGAAAACTCTTCAACAAATTTCGCTAATTAAGATCCTTTTGATCGTATTTAATTTATCTTTTTGCTAGTGTTTTTTTGTTAATATCTATATTCCTGAGCAATTTGTTTCAGCAATTTGTTTCAATTTGTTCCTGTGATTGACACGGTATTTGTTTGTCAAATATAGCAAACCATCAGACGCATCCGGTAGGATCGGAGAATATGTCTGAACAGTCACAATTTCTGTTACGTTTATCGTCATATTAATCTCTCGGAACAGGGAAGCTGTATTGCATTTTCGTTTCCAGCATTTGCACAGTGCGTCGAGCTAGCAGCTCCACGTAAAGTGCCCGTACACTGCTTTCCGCTTTAAGCCGCTCACTACTGCCGCATTTGCGAACGCCGTTTAATAAGTTCACTACTCGTACAGTAATTTTGAAAATCTGCGGAAGTTCTCTGGATTTCAGTGGTGCTTGTCCTGGTTTATCCAGCTAAGGTCTTACGACGACTTGCATCTTTTCTCAGCTTTTTGCTGCCTTATTCCACTTTATTTCGTCAGATCGTATTTTATAATTGCTAATAATGGCCAGCAAGGAAGAATTAGCCTGCGTTTACAGCGCTCTCATCCTTATGGATGACGACGTGACGATCTCGGTAACTTCGGGGTTCCCGGCTGCCCTAGGCCTCCTGGCTAGTACTTGTCACTATCGTGGTTCTTTTTACAGGGCGACAAGATCACCACGCTTCTAAAAGCTGCCAACGTAGAGGTGGAACCCTACTGGCCAGGTAAGAACTAAATCTCCGCGTTTCACGAACTTCCTCTGTAAAGCGGTATTTGCCGGTCGGTTTTTTCTCCGCTTTTTTATGTTTTCTTCGGCACATTAGTTCAGAGATGCTTTTAGCTGATTTACTTTTGCGCTGAATGGTTTTTGTATGTGTGATTATCTGTAATGAATTACTCTCTGGTGAAACTGCAGTGTTTCACATGCTGTTTGGTGTTTCGTCATTTTTCTTTTCTGTGTGTGCAGATCTCTTTGCCCGGTCGTTGGAAGGTGTTAGTTTGAAGGAGCTAATATCCAGCTTCGGAAGCGCAGCGCCGGCTGCCGCCCCCGCAGCAGCAGCCCCTGCCGCCGCTGCACCGGCTGCGAAGGCCGAAGAACCAGCAAAGGGCAAGAAAGAAGGTAACTTCGCGCATTTTGAATTTCTCGTTTGATTCGTTGTTTATGCGGGAGTTCGCATCGCAGAGTTGATTGTTAAATGATTTTTTTGGCGTTGCAGAGAAGAAGAAGGAGGAAGAAGAAGAGGACGACGATATCGGTTTATCGCTGTTCGATTAAATTTTTTTGTTATCTGTATTTCAAATTTACAAAATGAAAGAAGACCGTGAATAAAAATTAAAATCGCACACCATAATTTTCTTGTTCGTTGTTCTGCAGTTACTGCATTTAATTAGCAGCACAGCGGAATTAGATAAACGTGCATGTGATAGAAAATTTCATGGTCGAAAATTTTCAACGTAAAACATCCTCACCGGAAACATGCAATTTATCTAATAATCAGTGAGTTTCTTCTTCAGTAACATTTCTAATTTTTTTATTCTTCCGGATTCTGGCTCGGTCACCGAATGCGGAACGCCATCCCCATGTATTTGTTGGGAACTGGATGGTGCTTGATTTCGATAGAGTTCAGAGAATATTGGTTGATCGCCGCGTTTCACGCCCTGCAAAATATAACTCGGAATAAATTCATTTAATCTCAAGGAAACATTCTCAGGGAAACATTAACTTGAAAAATTCTTCCGTTTGTTCTGTGTCAAAACGAAACTGCTGCACAATCAGCGTATTCAGTTCACGTACACGGTACAGTCGTTATAATCAGACATGAATCACGAAAACTTTGCACAAATCCAAAAAAGTCAAAAAGGGCACAACTCCAGCTGGGGCAGACACAGCGGCCGCCGCAGCCATATTGCCGTAGCCCAGGAACAGATACGGTCACAATATTTCATAATTCAATCTTATTAATTCTGTGTCGGCCGACCTCTAATCCAAAAGTACATCAACAAAGTTAAAAATCACGCACCTTCATTTCTAGAATTTTTCCAAGTTCATTCGTGTCCGACTCGGGCATAAGCTGGACGTACTTCTCAATGAACGCCTTTGGTGAATCATGCGGTGTCATGATCACTTTAAGGATCATTTCCGCTTTGGTCATTCCTTTCGTTACAATTTTTGTAAAGCTAAAACATGTAAATAAACCTCATTACGAACGTTGTTCACCACGATAACATCATACCATTTGTACCTTGACGGCGGTTTTCTAGAGATCTGAGATCCAAGCGAGGGAAGATCTAATAAAACGGTCTTCAACATGTGCGTGTCCAGCAGCAGCTGTTCCGCTCCCACTGCGCTGATTGGTTTACACTTGTAAACATGCGCGATATACTTTGGTATGAATGTGTTGGCAAACTTAATGCAAAACTGCGTGAAATATTTTCGGGAAGAACTCAAATAGCTGCGCAGAACTGGTAGGGTAGTGCGGAGATGGGACACAACGGCAGTGACGAAGCCGCTCTGATCACCAACAACTTCCACCGACTGCCACTGTTTCTTGATCATGGCCACGAGCGCTGGCTCACAGGCGGCTTCCAGATCGTTGACAAGCAGCTGGATGCTGTTAGTGATTATTCTAGAAAACCAACGTTATGAAATCAAAACAAGGACACAGCACAATCATAATTCGTGAGTTACGTTTACCTAAATTTTGCGCCTAGGAGACACGGTATGTAAAACAATTTCAGTTTACTCTACAATACTCGTAGGTATTGTATAACATACCGTAAGTGAAAAAAAATTAAAGCCACCCATTCAGATACGTGCATAGCGCCCTCACTTAAGAATGATTTTGAGTCCACTGCTAACACAATAATCCGTAAAAGTTATAAAAATTATTCAAAATTTGCAATTGGTTTTCGAAGGCATTGTTGTAGTACAATGTAGTACAGCTCATTCTCTCGCTTTCTGGTCTACGAAGCAATACTCCCAGGAATTATATATCGTTTTGTTTACAATTTTGAGTAAATCAGCTACTTCTATAAAACAAACTTTATTGCACTGCCACTTTGCACTGTACGTACATATTGAAGTTTTCTTGCTCAGGTGAAAAATCAATCTCCGATGCCAGTTCCGGCCCCACTTTCTCCTTCAGCTTATCTTCCAGCTGTTGTATGGTTTCACAGCAATATTCCGCCGTGGTCAAAATACTGCAAATCTTTCTTAACTCATCCTCCGTTAAACGGGCTATCAGCATGTCGCCCTCTTTTAGGAAACTCTGGATCAATCCCGTCGTGGCCGCGGAAATGCTGGCAACGCCTGTCTGACTTTTCGGCAAATTGTTCAGCAGCATCCGCTGACCATAAGATTTTAGATGTTTACGAAAGACATTGGCCAGTTGCACTAGGGCATGTCCACCGTATGTCAACTGGGTGCACTGTAGCATGGATTTCTTGTAGAAAATAAACAAATCGGCGCAACTCGGAAGAACGATGCCGAGACCGCCTTCATGGAGGGCCGCATCGGTTGGTTTGGGAACACCTTTGCTACGGAAATCTTCTACCAGTTTATCCATGATTTCACCGAGATTTCTGAAAAATATCATAATAAAACCCCTCTTAAAACATCCATACGACATCGATAAGTTAAGTATTATTTCAATTCCTGCTAATAAATTAGCTAACACTGCAAAACTGCAAATCACATTGTTCATTAGGTTCATTAGGCTTCTCAACAAAATCAGTGATCTGAAAATTTAGAGTAATTTAAATTTCAGGACTACTCTAGATACTGTAATTTTGGGTCAGTACAACTTTACAAGCAAACGGAAGCAAAAAAAACTGTTGTAATCAGGAAGACACTAATCAATTGTGCACTGAGTGAAGTGTTTGTATCATACCGATCTTTAGAGTCGATGTAGATATCCATAAACGACTCAAAGCAACGTGAAATAATTCCTTGGAAAGGTGCTAGAGCAGACTTCGGTGGAAGACTAGTGACCTATCGTAAATCCAAAATAAACCCCATTTTTCATTAAATTATGTCAATCGAGGTAACACCAACGTGCGCAACACCTTATCATTCGCGTTATGATTATGATGATTTCCATCAGAATACCATTCAGAATACCAGAATGCTTCTATAATTATTACACAGATACGACGAATATTGCCGTTGCTTGCAAATTAAATTTAATAATTATAATATAAACTTACTAACTACAAGTTAACTGTACCCACTTCGCTTCTGATTATCGCACCTTCACTTCGCTCTTCAAGCTTGTGTCACTTTGTTGAATTTGCTCAAAGGGATTTTTGTCCGTAGGATATTCCACCGGTTTTTGCTGTTTTATTCGAGCCGCGCCCTTCGATCAAAATAAAACGTTAGCGCAAACTGTCCGGAAAAAATACCACAATTAGAACTAATCGGGATCCGTTACCTGCAGTATCATGGGAACATCTTCATCATCCACTGCGCCGGTGAATCCTGGGAACCGTTTGCCGAGAAATGTCTCAAACTCCACTGTCTTCTCAATAGCAAATATTAACAAATTTACATCGATTTCTTGTTTTCTGCTGGCCATAACCTTGCTTAGTTCCGACCTGCAATAACATCAAAATAACATACTTATAATATGTAGCACTGTAGCAGTATTGTAAGTTATTTGTAACACTACAATAGTTGTGTTTAATGGCCCTCATTATCGTTCTTTGCCGATCGTTTTGTTCTTTTACATCGCCCAAATTTTGCATACGCAAAAACACCGAACTGCAAATTTAAGAAAGATTGCAATGACTGTTTCGCACACAGCTGGTTCGAGGTACGTACAAGTTTTAAGAAATCGCCCAGAACAGATTACCTACTGACTTGTGAGTACACAATTTAGGTCGACTGTCCACCTGTTCTTATTACGCTATTCTTGCCGAAGGGTATCAAACAGCAACGTCATGCATGAATTACCACAAACTCACTGCATCACTTTCATCAGCGTGCCTTTGCACAGACTAGATTATTATCGTATTTCAAGTTTCTTTCCCGAATAAGTCCTTCAGAAGTTTGGGAAAAATGGTATTCTTTATCCTGCACTTATTTGTGTTCTGGCTATCTCAACATCTGATCCTGTGCGAACAAACATTCGGGAGAAAAGTCGGTTCATTTCAACAAAAGTCTCATCAGGTATCACAAATGTTCTTCTGAACCATACAAGTTGCATATAGTACAGATATATTGTATTCCATAGTGTTTCGCGCGCGTAAAAGTTTCACTAAATATTGCCAAACTTCGTATATATCCAGACCCGACTTATCTGAAGACATGACTTGAAAATTGTCACTTGTCCGATTTTCCATGCAGTCGTTGAACAATAGGTATACCGTATACGTGATAATAGTACATTTCTCTACAGATATTTTTTAGATAAATAAAATCATTAGTAGGGAGGTAGTTTTGTAACATAGTTTAAATGTGAAGTACTTCTTTATTAAGCGAATGCATCTTTTATTATTTTCATTACTATTGCCTAAGAAGTCGAAACAGTGAAATACACTACTCTAGATACCATAACTGTACGGTAGTCTGTACAGATTGTATGTATGGCTACGCACGCGGTGCGCGCCATAAACTACAATACCTTACAGAGTGTATGCCTGCTTGAAAGCACCTTTCTATCTGTTTTTCGTGACTTTTGTTATTTGATTTCTGTACTTTGTTTCAAGATTTAGACTTCAGACCGGTTGAATACAAAATCTACTACCTAACAAAAGATTATGTAAGTCATGGACGTATTGAAATTAATATAGTATGAATTATCAATCATTATCATAATTTAATAAATATAAACGTAGTAACAACACTTCCTCATAGCACAGAACTATTTTCACATAGGATCATTTCGGTTGCGGTGCTTGAATTGCGTAAACATTTTCTGATATTCAGGAAAATTGTTTGTCGATCTCGTATCTTATTCGCAGGTTCGTGGAGATGTCTTCGCGGTCAACAGCACGACATTCCTGTTAAAAAACTTCATGTACGATGGTCTTGGACGGGATACGTATTTCTTCGTGGGAACATCCACTGAACCGTCGGAGCGCGGCACCCTCGTTCCCAACGAGCGCGGGAAGACCAATCTGCTCCGACAGTACACCGGCGAAGACATTCTCATCACTGTGCCCCCGGGCAAGCCCATCTCCGAGTTCAAGTGGCTGGCTGTCTGGGATGTCAGTGAGCAGAAGAGTTTCGGGGATGTACAGATCCCGGGTGACTTCGAAGCGCCACGCGAACAAATTGTTGGGCCGCTATTGCAAACGTATCACAATGTTAAATCCGAGGACATCAAAGTGATCGATGCCAAGACGATTAAAATTCCCAAGTTCTACTTTGACGGTGCCGCGGATGCTATTTTTTGGGCAGGCGTGGGGCAGCTGCCATCGTCGCATGGACTTCAGGTAAGCCAGTGCGCCGGCGTTAAGTGGTAATGTGGCCGAATGGCAAGAAATGACTTTAAAATTCGAGGTAGTTATCGCTCACTTATTTACATAACAGAACAGAGTGCAATGCCAGTGAGCATGTTCAGGTACCGTCATGATTCATGAGGTACGCACTATTTCTTCCCTGTAGGTGCCGACAGAAAGCGGCTACGACAAATTGTCCCGCTACACCGGCCAGACGGTGACCCTGCGCCTACCGGGCGAAACCACCGTCCTCGTTATCGACTGGCTGTGCGTCTGGGATCCGACTTACAGCCAGAGCTACGGCTACGTGATGATCCCGGCCAACATGAATATACCGCCGTCCATGGGCAACCTGGTGGGTATTGGCTACTCCCGTCTGCCCAACTGTGAGCGCCTCCATCAGCGGTTGCAGGTCAGTTGGGAGGTTTTTGGCGGCTTTCTAACCATCCAACTGGCCGGTCTACTGGAGTCCAACGAGTACATGGCCTTTGGATTCAGCGGCAGTAACAACATCTCCACCATGGTCGGGGCGGACGTTGCCGTGGCATGGTGGGACGGTGTGGGAAAAGTCGAGGACTACTTTGTCACTGCCAGAGCACCGTGCTCCGATATCGCGGTCGGCAATGCCAAGCGGGGCGGTGTGTGTGCGGATACGGCGCTGGGCGGGATAAACGATCTGATGGCACTGGAAACCAAACGAGAGAACGGGCTGACCATCATCTCCTATCAGCGCCCACTAAAGACCACCGACGTCAATTTCGACAGGATGATCGTTCCGGAGGAATTAGTGTTCATTATCTGGGCGATTGGTCCACTGGACACGCAACTCTTACCGTCGAAACATACGCTCTACTCCCGATCCGACCGCGCGTTCCGTTTCAGTCGACCCAACGAGAAGAACTGCGATAAATTCGACACCGGTATCGTTCGCAACCGGCAAGTGCCGTGGCCGGGGATTAAACTGACCGGCGAGCATACACAGACGTTTGTAGCGCAGATCGGTCCATCGGGCGGAGAAAAGGGCTACGCGGGATTAACTGGCTTCCGGTCTTGGGGCCTAGCGTGGTACATTAATGGTTCGCTGATCCCCGAACTCGTTCTGAAACGCGGAGTCAAATACCGCTTCTTCATTCAGGGCGGGAAAAATCCTCAGACTCTCGAGTATTATCATCCCTTTTACATTACCTCTGAGCCAGAAGGCGGATTCGCTCAGAAGAAAGAAGCAGACCGCATCCGGGTGCGCTTATTCGCCGGTGTGCGCCGTGGAGCGAACAATGACTACGAAGCCACGGCAGTCGGACCTCTGTGTCTTTGGAAAGAGCTGACGAATAATGTCAAACCGGAGGATTACTCCAATTTCTTTGGATATAAACGCCAGCTCGGTTTTGTATGTGAATCGGGTCAACCGGGCATTCTGGAGTTCACACCGGACGCGACGACGCCAGATGTCGTTTTCTATCAAAGCTATACTCAGCGGAATCTGGGATGGAAGATTACTATAGTGGATGCGTTTGAGGATCCCATAACGCATCAAAGAGTGGGCGCGTCGGCAGAAGGCGAAAGGGGCGGTGCCGTTGCGAACGTCCCAAGTGTAGTGTCACTATTCTGTTTAGCGTGGGCAATGGTATGGTGGTTTTAGCGCTGTTGGACGTAAGCTATTTTGTTCCCATTACAAGACTCATATGGCTGTGATACTCTGGATTAAACTCATTTGAAAATACTGCTGGTGCTACCTTGTTATATCACAAAATTCCACTGTCAGGCGTTCCGACATTTCCCAGTCGACGGGGAACATGGCACCGAATCGCTTCTCGAAATCCGCTAAAAACATTTTCAGCCAGTTGTAGCGGCGGTCAACTTTATCCAACCATGCGGCCTGCATCATGAAGAATATTAGTGAAATATTCATGTATCAGACAATCTAAAAATTACACAAAACTATTCAAGCGAATAATGCCTAAATTGCCGGTGCAATCGTCGTCTAATAACATTTTGTACATACATCTTGGGATTCCTGGAACAGAACAGTGTATTCCGATAGCTGCATTTTGATAAACCACCGTAACAATTCTTTCCTGAAAAAATGGCACATAAACCCCAAAGCCTCCACCTCTCACATATGTCACTTCATGAGAAAGAATGTAAACAAGCTGTTAGATAAAAATATCCGTTGTCAGGCGTACGAATAACTCCAGCACAGCAAATTGTTCACCTACCTGATTTTAGGATCCAAAACAGAAACAACGCGACACGCGTCCGCTAACTGATGAGAGGCTGTGGCATGCTTTGCATGGGTGCCTGAAAATGCTTCGCGAAAGTCACTAAGCAGTTGGACCCCCAGTTCTTGACGCACTTTGGTCAACCTAAGCATACAAAACAGCGGAAAAAATAAGTGCTCAAATGGATGCAGTTAATTCCAGCATTCCGGTAATGCTCTCACTGCCTACACAACCCACCTGTCAGCGAGCTGCTTGATTTCTGGAATGGCTAGATACTTTTCGAAATGTTCCAATACATTCATCAAACCCTGGAGTAAATTGGCAATCTCCCCATACTGACGTCGAGACTGAAGAGCTCTAAAAAGCGCAACCAAACAAAACAGGTCGTCAGCTACCCCGATGCATGATACCATGCTATTTTAAAATAACGTACTGCAGTTTTTGAATAGATGTGAAATTTTGTAAGTGATAAAACAGGTACAGAAAAAGGTACATGATGGAAATGAAAACTGTTTAAACTTGCACTGAACAAAATTTAACGACCAAAAAGATTAACATCCTGTACTAAAATTCTGGAGACTCTAGAAGTATCGTAGTGTAACGGCGTTACACTACGATTTGTTCATAAACTCATTTAACAATCTAGTAAGCACAGTGAATTATTTTTAAGGAACCTATTCTGCGTTGCGAAACACTTACTCTAAACTGTCAACACCGCTGACGAGCATATGTAGATGGTTGAGCGTCGTAATGGAGGCTGTCAGGTGGCGTTTGGCGTGGTCCAGCTGTTTGATATCGCCCGTAATTTCCTTCACCATCTCCTCTGACTTCTCCGCTTTCTGCTTAATATCCTTAATCTGCACGAAAAGCTGCGCGATCGCGTTCTGAGCTTCCTTCAGAGCCTGCTGGCCCTCATCGCCCGCCTCCGTCTGCATGCGCAATGTCCCGCGAATCTCCCGATCAAGCGCCACCATCTCCTGGCGGATTTTGTAGATGACATCGTCGATGCTAGACAGTGACTGCTCCGTGGGGAAGAGGGCGTTAATGTAGTCGACCACACTGAAATCCGGCCGATCCAGCGGGTCATCGCTGGGGAAAATCTGTCAAGGAACAAAAGATGGTGATACCAGTCCATACTTTACAAAAACAACATAGTGCCAACGGAGAATGGCAGACCTCTTGAATCGCTTTCAGGATTTCTGGTGGCAGATCCAAATGGTTGTCTAGCTCCGGCTCTGCAACCGTGTCATCACCGTTTCCTCCTAACCCGGCCATGAACGCAATACAGATCAAAGATCGCAAGGAAACAGAACTGACAAAAAACTAAAGAGGACCAGGTAGCTCAAAAACGGAAATAAAAGCTACGGTATAAAATTTACAGATGATACAACCAGTCTGTGGCCCTGATACAACTTTACTTACGATTAAAATTTTAGAATCGGTATCTGGCAGATGCGACGGCTTTAAAAACAACGTGTTGGCTGTGGTAACTGGTGACGGCGCGCCTGGGCGGTTAACGCATATTTTGGAAACCAAAATAAAATGCCTTTTGAGTTTTGACGAAATAACGAGTACTGTATTATGTGGTATAAGTACAGTACTCTACTCTAGGGTACATGCGTTTGCTGGTTGCATTTTTGTTGAAACTCACCATTAGCTGATTAGCCATTTCATTTTTTTGGACATTTTTCGATTCGATATAATAATCTTTATGCATATCTAATTATCCCTTAACGTGTTTAGCGATGTAGAGGCACTGCTTACTCGCTTTCTGCTTACTCGCCAAGGTAGAGTATCTCCAGTTCCCGGAAGTTAAAGCAGACCAAACTGGAAGCAGCTGCTTCGACAACTTCGCATGCGGCTCCCGTTTTACTCCACAGAAAATAAATTGCGCAACATCTGAGTCAGTCTTGGAGCCTTTTTTATTTCTGCCCGTGCGTAAAGACGGGTAAGTAATAAGTATCCGTTACTCATGATTAATGTATCTCTTTGTTGGGTTTCGAGTTATGATCGTGATACGGAGATGTGGACGCTTAAGCTTTGCAGGCGAAGCTCGACACGTAAAAATTCCTAGTCTTTTATTTGTATGATTACTTAATTTTAATCAAATTTGCACCAGTTTACCAGATTGGCTTTTTCAGTGTTTTGTTTATTTGAATGATTGTTCTGGACATGAAATAATAACCCGCACTAGTTTTAGAAAATGACAACGGTGTCAGTTTGCGAAATACTGCGATTAATTTTGTCATTCATTTGTTTGCAACGAAAGTTTCACAAGGATGCAGAATACCGACGTGAGAGCGGTGGATTCTCGTTTACGACTGGTATTCTCTGATTAGTTTAATATCATAAATTGGGCGATTTATGTGAAAACATTTTGGAACAGTGCTAGTACAAGCAGATGTTCCCAGCAGACCCTTTATTTCTAAAATCTATGCCTTTTGAACGATCAAAGCCGGAAGGTTAACAATCAGACACGCAGTTAACGAACCACGATCAGAAGTCAGCTCAGTAAATGTTGCGCTGCATTGGATAAAATATTTGCTACCTATATGTACACCGGCACTATTGTCTGCAAATATCTATATGCGTCAACAAAATTATTTGCAGCAGTTTTTATGCTTTTATAAACTCAACTCGAAAACCGGTTTACAGAGTTAAACACACCGCCGTATTTTTGTTATCCGACACACCAGTTACCGCCCAATGAATGGCCACACAAGTGCATCATACACTCAACCGCTGGAGCGTCGTCGTACGTTCAGCACCCACACGAGCGACGAGGAAGATTCCGGTAACACGACAACCATACTCATTCAGTTTACCGGAAGTGACATCGCAAAGTGCCTGTTACGTAAAAACGCACTCGAATGGCATTATCCTTATCCGCGCATAATCTCAATGCAGATCTCTCCGTCGATGGACAGCTGATGGACAAGGGAATTCGCTCCCGCCACGGCTCGGCGACGGCATCCCCAGGGAATGGTCTGGTCAGTCCGTTTTATGTGGACACGGAAGAGCGGGAGCATCGCCGGCCAGCCGAGGAGAAAGAGGAAGAGTGCGGGTGTGGACCGTGTCGTCCGCGATGGATGCAGTATTTCAACGGGCCCAAATGCCTCCTGGCCTGGCTTTGTATTGCGGCCTTTGCTCAAGGGATGATCGTTAACGGTAAGCGGATTTGGTTTAAAAAACGGTACAAGTTCAAGAAATCGTTGTTATTTTTGCCCATATCCTGCAGATTGTTAACAAACACTGTGATTTCGTTTTCCGTAGCCGATTTTGCGTCTATTAAAATAAATGTCAGTTCTTGCATGTTTAAGTAATAAAATACTGAAATACTGTTGCAATGTATCCGAACTAAAAATTAACATGGTACGGTGCAATCTTTGATACTTACTAATTCGTCTCCATATTATGCATTTTAAATTATGGGACATTTTTATTAGTTCGCCACACTAAAGTCTGATTAACGTGCTGCCAAAAGTCTTACTAGTATTTTCAGTTTCCGGTGAAAAACACAAAGGATTAATTTTCATGCAAGTAGTTTATTTATCGTTTGCCGGTGCACGGTTGTTCGCCTTCTGATTTTAGGTTTGATAAATGTTGTGATCACAACCATCGAAAGGCGTTTTCACCTCACCAGCTCGCAAAGCGGATTAATAGCGTCCACCTACGATATATCGTCGTTGGTGTTTTTGCTCCCGGTTAGTTATTTCGGCGGAATGGGTAATCGTGCCCGCTGGTTAGCGGTTGGATCGGCAGTACTGGGCGTTGGATGCATTTTATTCACTGTGCCGCATTATATAACAGAATCTTACAATGCCGCCGAAGAAGTGTCCACTGCGTGCAGGAAAAATATTTCGCAGTCGCAGTCTGCGCTGATTATGAAGGAGTGCTCGTCGCCACTGGAAAATTACAGATATTTTTTCATTGTGGCTCAAATTCTTCACGGTGCTGGTGCAGCACCGTTGTACACCCTGGGAGTTTCGTTTTTAGGTAAATTACTCTGTAACTAATTCGGGTTTCTTACCCGATTTGTAGTTTCGGCGATCGCGCGTTCATTAGTGCCTTATAAATTTTCTTCTACAAAATGGTGATCATATGTGCAAACTTGGAATTTTACGTAAAAACGAAAATCTGTAAAGCGAAAAATCGTATAAAACGTATAAAATCGTATAAAACGAAAATCTGTAAAGCGTAGTTAAATGGTTATTAATGAAACAATTAATTTTCGTTTCAGATGACAGCGTCAAACCAAAACTATCTTCCATGTATGTCGGTAAGTGATGTTTATTGTTTGTCATACTTCCGCTGCAGTCGCTGATTACTGTTTACTGTTGCACAACAGCGTGAATCGTTACCGACACACCTTTTTATGACAGGTATTTATTACGCTTTTGCGATGTTGGGACCGGCATGTGGATTTCTGTTGGGGGGACAGTTTCTCACGATTTTTGTTGACTTTGATCGATTAAGCTCGTAAGATAAAGTTTAATCCATTTCGCTGATAATATGTCACAGATCCACTTCGTGCTTGATTTTACAAAATTACTTCGTGTTTTTACGTAGTAGCTCCTGATACAGCTTATGATCGAGTTGACAATGACATATCAGAGTGATAGAAACATAACTTCCTGGGATCTGTTTTACATGCGGCTGAATTACATACCATGATGTGGTTCATTTTAGGTGGACCATGAGTCCGAACAGTCCTGCTTGGGTCGGAGCATGGTGGTTAGGGTTTTTGGGCGCTGGAATCATATCTTTATTAACTGCGATCCCTTTATTCATGTTTCCGGCTATGCTATCGCATACTCTTGATTATCGACAGCAGCGTAAAAATGAGACACACGCCGATGTCGGTGAAGTGCCGACTGTCCACACTACGGTCACCGGAAATCTTCATGCTCTGCCTAAAGCCATCAAAACGCTTCTCATCAATCGCACTTTCATATTTTTAAATCTGGCCGGTGCGGCGGATGGTAAGCGCGGATAAAATACTCGTATTTTATTTTTCCTGAAGTTTTTACTGTATATTTTTAAATGGTAATAATATTATATATACGTAATTGTCTTGCTCTGTTGTTTCAGCTTTTCTGACGCTCGGTTTAGCTACCTATGCGCCCAAAGTGTTTCAGTCAATGTTTGGATTTAATGCTTCTCTGGCATCGATTATAATTGGTATGCGGACCAGTGGTCATTAATTACCAGACTAACTCGAGCTTCTGGCGTCGCCTACTTTATCTACACCTGTGACTCTCTTGTGCTCGTAACGTTCTTTTGTTTTGACCCGCTAAAATAAGGATCATTGTAACTCTTTAAAACTTTAACAGGCGCTGCCACAATACCGTTTGGCGCCGGAGGTACCCTGCTAGGCGGCTGGATTATCAAACGCTGGGGCCTGGACTGTCGAGGAATACTTAAAGTATGCGTTATATGCAGTTTCCTGGCCTTGTTATGTGTGTTGATATTCCTTATCCGGTGTCCCAATGAGCAGTTTGCTGGTGTTAATGTCCCGTACAAGAATCAGAGGTGATCTGCGTGCTGCGCTAAATGTAGATGAAACCCTCCTACATTTTCTTTGTTCGAGTGTACTCTGGTCTATTAGATTAACCATCTGTTTTTTTCTACAGTGGCATTTTAAAATCCCCAGTTTTAAGTGCATCGTGCAATGCCCAGTGTTCCTGTGATGAGATGCTGTATGATCCCGTGTGCAGTATGGAGGACAACATTGCTTATTTGACGCCGTGTCACGCAGGATGCAGGGAGCATCGCAATGGAGAACCTTCTTCCGTTAGTCTAAAAATACAAACGTTATCTGTAGAAAAGAAAAAATGCAAGAGTGTAATTTAAAATGTGCTTTCTTGTTGTAGAGTTTTTACGATTGCGCATGTATCGGTATTTCTTCCAATGCATCTAAACCAGTCGCGGTGAAGACATCATGTTCCACTAACTGCGGCATTATGCACTGGGTGTTCATAGCTTTTTTCGCACTGCTCATCCTTTTTACCTTTCTGAGCAGTATTCCGGCTGTCAGTGCCACACTGCGGTGTGTTGTGGAAAGCCAGCGTCCTTTTGCTATGGGGATGCAATGGATTATTGTGCGATTATTCGGTATTCGTAGAATTTAACTTTCCTCCTGTGCATTTTAATTTTTAACTTAACGTTACTAGGCACAATTGAAGAAAAATGTTTAAACGATTCACGATTGTATTGTGTGATATAAATTTTAACTGTGAAGAAGCGTGTCCGCGCTTACACTTCCCATTATTTTGATGGCTGTTGCCTGTGAGATTTTACTGTGTGATATGGGCTGATTTGGGTATGTACATTTTATTTGTTTATGTTAGGTTCTGTTCCTGGGCCGTTATGTTTTGGAGCTATCATCGATACAGTTTGTAGATACTGGCAGCCGGAACGATGCGGCAGCGGAAAGGGACGCTGTTTGTCCTATGATAATGCAGCTCTGTCGAATGCGGTCTTTACCATTGGAATCGTGGGGAAGGTGGTTTGTTTTACCTTTTTTGTACTGGCTTGGTGGTTTTACAAACCAGCCAAGAAACCTGTGATGTCGGAGAATCCCAGTGATGTCGGTTTGGCCAATTATGTGGCGTCGGTTAACGTGTCGACACAGTCTCTTGATCATCCCCGTTCGGGTCGGGTGGACAATGGAATCTGATGTTATGTGCCTGACTGCAGCTTAAATGTGGTGTACATTTTAGTTTTTACGGTCTATAGGCTAGCGGTTTGCTAGCAATTTATTGATTTGTTGCAGTCTTCCGTGAGTACACTTATTTATGGAGTCATCCAAATTGTGCGAAATGTAAGATGTCTACGTGAAGACGTATTTCGGTAACCACTATGTGGTATGCATAATGAGAGTCTATAATTTATTACAATGTGCAGAAACAATAAGTTCTGCATATATAGGTATATCGTATTATGTACAGTGCTTCTCTCATAATTCTACAATCTGACTAAATGAGGAGGCTACGGTCTATGTTAAAAAGCCTGCGAACAGCCTTTTTTGCCCGCTGAGGCTGATTGATCAATGCAGCCTCTCTGCTGTGACTATAAATAGACCGAAGACAGAGGATTTCAGTGCTACGAAAAAGCGCAAGCTGAATGCTGCCTCGCTGTATCGATCGATCGGCACATGTGCGTGTGAGTGGGTTAATCCGCTCGCATTCACTTACACACGTATGAGTGTGGCCGTCTGTGCGCGTACGAGCTGTACAAACCGGTTTTCGCTGTCTTCGCTAGAACGCACACCCTAAACCCGTAGCTTCCTTTCTTGCTCGCATTGTATGTGCCTTGAACCCTAAAGTACTTACTGTAAAAGGTACTTTAATTTAAAGTACTTTCACTGTAAAAATAAAGCGAAGCGTTTACATCAGTTTTTACTCGTACTGGTTGCTATTACAATACCGCAAAATAAATTGACTGAAAGCCTTCTGGTGGGAACTTACACCGTAGATTATCTTTTCGGGACAAACGGCGAATATTCCTGAAATAATTATTGTTCCTTCGCTATACACAGTACACACACACTGTATCCCTGGACCCTCTGCTGAAATAGTAGTTGTATCGCTGCAGATAATGTCGCAGTATCAGATCAATGCGAAGAGGCCGTTCTGTAGTCATGTTAATTAGGGATAATCATGAAGGAACGCACCAACTGAAAATTAAGTTTTTCGTTCGTTGTACTGCAACTGACTGCGTCGAAGACACGAACATCGTTAGTAATAATTTAAGCAAATTTTTTACCGAATCGCTGTCTTGTACAGTTTGCATAATACTATATGCTTTTGTAGTAGTACCGTATGAATGTATCATTATGACCCATGGGTCGATGATTCTACGTTCATATCGTCCATCGGCCATTATTTAATTTTGGTCGCAAGCAAAGGTCACCATTTTCAAGTACGGTGTCAGCATTATGAGACTTTTATGAGTAACTCAGGATGAAATAACGATGACTCAGTAAGTAATCATGGAAAAAGTAAATACAAAGTATGACTAGGAAGTACCGGCTTATACACAGATACACACATCGTTGTTAGAATAATAATGGACGACAAAACTTTTGAACTGATACGAATACTCGCCAACCCAACACTTTTGCTCCTTGCATACAATCGTGCTGGCGTTCGACGTGACTTCCACGGTACAACCACCCAGATGCCTTTGTAATGAGCTCATGGTCAGAATAGCAGTCATACAGTACTGTATATAGATATAAAGTATTTTGTTTGAAATGGGAAGGAGCATAGCTGGCACTGTCTGCATACTCTTATGCCAGGAATACACGTAAGTACCAAAATATTATATCAAGATTCAGATCTATATTGCCACGAATGGGATACACCAGAGCCGGCAAACCAGAAAAGACTGGCCAAAACCAATATTATATTCTGAAAGCCCGTAGTCGAAAACCCGGCCAGATAGTGTTCATTTCTTTTAAAACCTCTCCCGCTTCCAGCGCCACAGGGGAAGAGTTTCGGCTACCTTCACCAAATGTAACTAAATTATTACAATAATAATTATCATCGTGGTATTTTTAACCAGGCAATGTTGCCACGTAAACCAAATAAAATATAGTTAAAAAATGAAAGTATTTTTCACTAATTAAAATATCAGAATCAATTTAATTAGCAGACCGTTGGCGTTATTGCGACAAGAACGACTACAGACTGTACTTATCAACGTTGTCATCGAGGACAATTTCTAAACAAGTGCCGGCCGAGCAGCGATAGACCGAACTACCGCCACTGTTCAGTGCACAAGCCCGTTTCTGTTCTAGTTAGAATAGCCCGCTAAGCCAGTGAGCGACCGAACTACCACTATGGATAGCTATGTGAGCGGTTGACCGAGCTGTCATTACTGTCCGATGCCGAGTGAACGAGTGACCGAGTTACCACTACTGTCCGGTGCAGAGAGCCCGGTAGGGGAGCGAGTGACCGCGCTGTCATTTATGTCCGGCGCAGAAAGTCCGTTAGGTCAGCGGGTGACCGAACTACCACTGCTGTCCGGCGCAAAAAGCCCGGGAGGTGAGCGGGTGACCGAGCTGTCAGTGGCGGGTGTCGCTACTGTCCAGTGTACAAAGTCCGTTAGGTCAGCGGGTGACCGAGCTACCACTGCTGTCCGGCGCAGAAAGCCCGTTAGGGAACGAGTGGCTGAGCTACCACTACCGTCCGTGCACAGAGCCGGTAGGTTTGCGGGTGACCGAGCTGTCACTAATGTCCGGCGCAGAAAGTCCGTTAAATCAGCGCGTGACCGAGCTACTACTGCTGTCCGGCGCAGAAAGCCCGTTCGGTGAACGGGTGACCGAGTTACCACTACTGTCCGGGCACAGAGCCCGGTAGGTGAGCGGGTGACCGCGCTGTCACTAATGTCCGGCGCAGAAAGTCCGTTAGATCAGCGCGTGACCGAGTTACCACTGCTGTCCGGCGCAGAAAGCCCGTTCGGTGAACGGGTGACCGAGTTACCACTACTGTCCGTGCACAGAGCCCGGGAGGTGAGCGGGTGACCGAGCTGTCAGTGGCGGGTGTCACTACTGTCCAGTGTGCAAAGCCCGTTTAGGTGAGCGGGTGACCGAGCAACTACTGCTGTCCGGCGCAGAAAGCCCGTTTGGGAACAAGTGGCTGAGCTACCACTACCGTCCGTGCACAGATCCGGTAGGTGAGCGGGTGACCGAGCTGTCACTACTGTCCAGTGTACAAAGCCCATTAGAGAACGAGTGACTGAGTTACCACTACTGTCCGGTGCAGAGAGCCCGGTAGGTGAACGAGTGACCAAGCTGTCATTATTGTACAGTGTACATGAGTGACCGAGCTACCACTACTGTCCGGCGAACGGAACCGGTTAGATAAGCAAGTAATCGAGCCACCACTAGTGACCGGACATACACCACTGGGCACAAACCAATTTCCAGTGAAAAGAGCCAGTGAAGTGATGAGTCACCAAACTAGCGATCCAGTGCACTATCACTGTTTCGAATTTCACACCTTATAGACTGATATTTCGGCTTTCTTTGCGGGTAGGGGATATCGTAAAATTATCTGTATATACAGCCAAAGGGAATGCTTTTCAAGGTTGAGAGATCATGAACTGATCTTCATAGAAAATTCGTGTTTGCCCTATTGCATGTACCGTATGTTTCGACGAATAGACTGATATTAATCTAATAAAATTAATATTCATTCAAATTCAAATAAAACGGTCATGGACCACAAGAAACGCGGAGGCGAAGCCGAGGCTGTTTCTTGTACGTAGATATGATAATCTATTTGCTGCATGTATAAATCGTACTGTACTTATGCGCCATTGCGCACAATTCACTCATTCATCGCTGTGCTGTTTATAAAATTTAATATATATATATATATATATGTGCGATAACATAACTCATATATATGTGCGATAATATATATATGTGCGATAACATAACAAATTTAATATATATATATATATGTGCGATAACATGCTGCGTGACCAGCTGATATCTACTATCAAAGCCAAAGGAACAAGCTACGTATGATAATCTTCTTATCAGTCATACAGTAAGTAGTCGTGCTACGAATAGTGCAAATAACTGCGGTTTACTGCTACCCTTAGTTGTTATTATTTAGCCGTATCGTGTGCTGGTTGAGGATAAAATTCCAAACTGCGTCAGTCGCTTTGCGGTTCACAATATGCGTACAATCTAGCTAACCATAATCCGTTTTCGCCACTTTTGCCTCACGGTCCACGAATTAAGTTTGGTTTGCAGTTCCAGGTTTTCGGCTGGCACTTGTAAAAATAACTACTTCTGCTGTGTCGTTGTCCCGCTGCTATGACCACGTTGGCCAGTGTGTTAGACCAGCAGACGAAGCGGAGAAGCTATATGTCGCTGAAAGACGACGTCGACACAACCGAGCATCCCGAATCGGTGCCGTTCGTTATTCGCGGTCATGTAGGCGCCAACGGTCTTGACCAGCGGGATGGACCGGGATCGTTTCCTGCGACGGGTAACTACTAGTAATATGTCTAATTATTACAATCTAGTTGTTACAATAAGACTACAGCAGACGAAAGTTACCAATAATACCATATACGTGCAAGTTTTATCCGACATGGCACCTAACCGTTACCGATCGTACTTGTCAATGCAGTATGTCTAATTAAATTAGCTGGACAACAAAACTGATGGTAACCCCTGTTTTGTAACTATCTATTACAACTTTGTAATAATAATAACAACAAAAATAAGAATTTGATACTTGTAGTTATTTTAAGTAATGGTTTGAGTGACACAGGGTCAGGTGCGCATGCGACTACAACTGCAGCCGGATCGGTACGACTAAAGCTAGGCGCTAAAAGGCCATCGGCTACCATCGAGAACGAGAATGTCCCGCTGGATAACGAAGAAGTTGCGGCGCGCCCCCATCGACCGCGCAGTAAGAGCGACGCGGCCGCTAGTTACGCCAGTGATCGATCGAAAACCAGCGACCGGGAACTGGAAAGTATTGAGCGCAATGTAAGGATCAATTATAAGGAGAATATGCTGAATGCTAGCCGGGCATTATTTATGGACTTATGGTCACGGCTCGCTTTTATATGTGTATTGTACGATATACAATATTTATATACAAAAAAGAATCAAATAAAAAACTACGCATGTAGATGCCTTCAAATTATTTCGCTGTACTTACGGTATGTTATCTTCCTAGATCTTTTGTGACTACGTGCTTACTCTTGCAGTAGAAGTACTCTTGTAATACTAAAAGATGTTCAATGGAGTCTGTAGCGCATTTTTAATGCGAGGGTCGCTCGAATTAAAACTACAAGTAGTTCATGAATTTATAAACACTTTTGTACTTATTGCCCATTCTTGCTCTCGTAATTACTGACTTCCCGACCGACATATTCCCCATCCTAGTCAAAAGTATTCGACAAATGGCGGCAATTCATTCGTGCGCTCTTCGTGCCATATGCCGATTTATAAACCTATACAGACTGTACATGATAATATTCTATACTTTTTTAATTTTTATTGTAGCGGAAATCCTCTAACGCCAACTCTAACGACACACCCGATGATGCCGCTCAGTCCGAGATCAACATTCGCGGCAATCTTTACCAGACGAAGAAGACCGTCGCCCAGGGGTTGCTGGACATTGCCCTGCTGACCGCGAACGCCAGCCAGCTGAAGAACCTCATCGAAACGGAAAACCACCCCTTCTACACCCTAACCATGGTACTGTTATGTATGTCAATTGTGCTGCAGATTGTCGTGGCAGTGGTGTTGCTGGTGGTGGGCCGGATGGACATGGAGACCAGTCAGAAGCAACGCAAGAAGGACAACAAGTCGGTGGTGTTGTTCAACGATATGGCCATCATCGGCGTTTTCCTCATTACGGCGGTGAATCTGTTTATCGGGATCTTTATATCACATGGAAAGGCGTATATTCCACCGGTGGATGCAGCCGCATCGTGGAATCAGAAGATGTTCGAGCGACAGAAACAGCTGTGGGAACCTACGGCCAGAAACGCATCCGCACGCTTTTAGTAAACTCGATGTGATCGTCCAAATAAGGCAGCAGCATTCCTTAATTTATTTGTTTCTGTTGGGATGGTTATTTTCCTTTTTCGCTCGTCGCAAAGCTCTGTGATAACTTTTTACATCGACTTGTAGTCTTGAACAGATACCCATTACTAGTAATAGTACATAATGGGCATCTCTTGAACACTGCACTGCACATGTGAACTCGATGTACCGTATTCATAGTTTCATACATAGAGAACAGAACTGCGAGAAACGGTTTTTGTGCGCTCTCTTTACGTACGCGGTTCGCAAAAATTTTAAAAAATGGCAAGGATTATCCGAAATTCAAAATATTTAATAGCTTCGTCGATCGTACATGGTTTAATTAGGTCTAAACGTAAGGTGCCGGTTTCCCGGTACTAGGCTACTAGACAATAGTCTTACGAATTTTGAGGATTTACATGTATTTAAAACCTTTAAACGTACTTACTTGTTTCGCCTTTATTTACTCTACAGTAATAAATATTTTATCTCCACTTTTGTTTTTCGGAATGAGAACAGCAATCATAAATGCTATAAAAAAACTGTAAATACTCACTGGTTAGCATCGACCAAATTATGTGAGTACAGTATACAGTATTTCTATTTTACTGTATTTTGTGCGCTACTACCCTTACTAGTTTTTCATAGTGCATTTCCTTTTTTATAATATGTCCTTCAGATAAGTAATGATATTCGTACCATTCTTAAGCCCCAGAATTCAAAGCATTGTAAGGTGACTAATAACTGGCCATCCTGCGATTCTACAGTACTAGGTAGTATAAATACATCTAGCACGGTATAATGCACTCTTGAAACCTGAGGTCCTGAAGGTCTGGAGATGTGCTCAGATGCTGAAAACGCTTTCAATGGACAAATATTCGCAAGATTTTGGTCCATTAGTACAGAAAAAATTGCAACAAAAAGTGTCGAGCCCATAAACAGTGCAAGTGCGTATAAAACCAACCAAGATTTCATATTATGCCAAATGCACCTTTTTACCGTACTGGGAAATGAAAATGACACAATGTCAGTAAATAAACGAAGAACGCCAAACATCACCTGACGCAACACCTTCCTACATAAACGAAATCGCTTATCGAATACACGGTTATACACCTACAGTATTCTAAACAACAAAGCATTTCAAATCAACAAAATCAAAAGATCCGAAAACTTACGCCACGTAGCCGAGCCTACTGGATTCGACCCTGAAACAATCAATGTGGAATGTGCACACAACTCCACAGTTACGATTCTGCATCCACCTTGTTGCTGCTGCCGCTTTGCGTGTCTTTCTTCTGCTCCTCCGGCGCATCACCTCCACTCTCCGCTAGGTTCTGCTGCTCTTGCTCGCGCAGGAGAAACTTGGCCAAATACTCCAGCGGACGCGCTGGTCGCTGGCGCGCCAACTCCGACATACCCACGAGCAGACACGGTACCACTGTCTCATCCAGATAGCTGCGGGTGGGCAGCTTAGCCAGCTCCTCCGGGGTCTTGCGTTTGCTGCCAGGGGTGCTGCTGCTGTTGCCGTTAATCACCTCCGACTGCATCTTCTTGCGTGCGTCATCATAGCGACCCTGCTCTTCCGCGCTGGCTTGCGGCGGAGGATTCGTGGAAGCGCTAGAACCCGAGAGCGTCTCTGCATCGTTCTGCCCACTACTCACTTCACTGCTGGACGTTGCGGGCTGCTGGGTGGGTTCCGAGTTGTCCATCTCGTGGTCGTGACCAAAGGGATTAGTAGTGGACGGAGCAGGATGTTCCCCGTCGTCGAAAGGATTAGTAGATGGGGTTTCGGACTGAATTTCTTCGGGCTGCTGCATGATTGTCGGGCTGTTGTGCTGTTGTGCAGGCCAAAACAAAACGGAGAAAACGCATACAAATTGACGACTGCAAAGCAGCAACACTGTAACAGCAATTAGCAAAGGCTCCGAAGAAGCCAACAATGTGATTCCAATGGTTTTAGTCTTTTAGATTACAGTACATAAAGGCTAAGACAAAAGCTGAATCTGCCACCAATGCTGGCTGACCAGAAATCAGGAACGATAAGAGACAAGTTAGAGTGTTAGACAACTACCTAAAGCTGGACGATTTCTGGCTTTCGAGCGATCGATAAAAGTTGTGTCAGTCCATTGGCCGAATATAAATTTGTTATTTACTAATTTACATCAGCGTGGTTGCTTCGTTACGGAGCGGCAGCGCTGACGACAAGAAGTCTCGTTCCCAGTGACGCGTACGCCTTCAAAATTTTCGTACACTCTATACACTACAATAACAACAAACATAAAAGGATGAATAAGTGAAAAAAACCAATGCCATAAAAAGCCACGAAATGTTTTATTTACGATTTAACATATATATACAAATAAGTAGTTTTGGCAAACCTATGAAGTTTTTCCTACCGCCCAGGAGGTCGCAAAATTACAGTAGGAGAGTACAGCACTGTACTGTACTAACTACTTATTGAAGTGCACAGTGGCACTATACACCATGAAGGGCGTGGAAAAACGAAAGCAACCAAACAAGTTCGTACTTGAAGTACGAGTACGGTAGATTTTCCCAGCTGACTCAACATCCTTTCAAGTCGAGTCGGGTTCTGGCAGGCGCATGATATCATTTTTTATGTTTCACAGTTCCCGTTGTGAGCGACTTTAGGCGGTCCAGCTGCAAGTACTAGTAAGTGTCTGTAAGTCTAACCAGGGTAAGTGCAACATTCTTTCCGTGCCAAGTTTCGTTTTTGTCGGGTTCTCCTTTTGCATTTTTTCAAAATTCTTTCAATAGTCTTTTGGTTATAAGAGCCTCCTAACGTTTTGATGTGATATTTTGGGACGAAATTTTGTTGTGCACTATAGTAGCTCGGGCTCCTGCGTTCCTCTAACTTGTAAGCTATTCAGGGAATCATTACCACATCCGGAATTACAATGGGTGCGGGACAGAAAGTAGTCAAATGGCTGATGCTCATCTTCAACTTGATCTTTTGGGTGAGTCAGACTGATAATTAATTCATTGTTCTTTTTTACCGGTTGCGCATGAACATTTCGTTTTCCGATAATTTCAATGTGACTAGACAGTTAAGTAACTGAAATCGAATCTAGGGCGCTAGAATCGCACCACCCAACTCAAACTGTGACCCAAGTAGTAAAATAATAGTGGCACCGCGGCGACATATTAAATCCGTAAATATATTTATTATATTTTTTTTCTGCGAATCAGTATCTGTTTACAATTTTTGTAGATCTCGGGCATCGGCCTCATCATCGCGGGCGCCGTGGCCCAGACAGTATACAAGCCGTATCTGGCCTTTCTGGAAAGCACATACCTCTCCGCACCTGTCTTGCTCATCGTGGTGGGCGCGGTGATCACCATCATCGCCTTCTTCGGCTGCTGCGGCTCAGCGAAGGAGAACTACTGCATGCTCATCACCTTCGCGGTCCTCCTGGGCATCATCTTCTGCGTGGAGTTGGCCGGTGGCATTGCCGGGTATGTGGAACGCGGCCGCGTCGGTTCCTACCTGGAGTCGAAGATGAGGACTTCCCTGGCGCGCTACAATGCCAGCTTGGATGAGAAGGCCTGGAATGACACACAGACAACTTTGAAGTGCTGCGGTGTCGATGAGTGGCATGACTGGCTGAATCGCAATTCATCGCGCGTCAACGGGACGATCACGGGGCCAAAGGTGCCGGAGTCCTGCTGCAAGCAGCCCGCGTCGTGTGACACATCCACGGTGAATCTGCAGCAGAACTGTGTCCCGCCGGGTGACCACTGTCCCATCTACCAGACCGGATGCTACAAGCAGCTGCGTGAGCAGCTGGAGAGCAGCATTGGGATTATTGGCGGTGTGGGTATTGGCGTGGCGTTTATTCAGATTGTCGGGATCGCCTTCGCGTGCTTCCTGGCACGACGCGTCAAGCGCGGATACACGTATGCTTAGTTATACACGGAATTGCTGATTCAGTGACATTGTAATCTCCAAAGATTTAATTTGCGATTTACTCATAAATTCATAATCAGATAACTATGCTGCATAACTCATTCATCGCGCATACTTTCCGTACAAAGGATTCCAGTTCGACTTAGTCGTGTAATGTGTTCTATATTATTATCTGAAAAGCGTTTGCTTTATTTCTCTCCCATTGGATGATAATCTCTGTTTAGTATGTATCTCTTTGCAGTAGTAGTTTCACATGCGAAACTCTAGAAATAAGCAGTCTCTTAATTTCTTCTCCGACAGGCGAATGAAGCTCATGCTTGTAATTTGTGACAGGTTGTGCTTTTTTTATTTGCCTGTACTCAGTGTACTGTCTTCAAGTGTCTGGTCACCGTCACTCTCGTGTAGTCACTGTTGTTGTCTGGAAGTTTAGTTCGGGCATGTACAATAAAATTCATGCATAAGCATTAAGCATCCTCTGGTTGTGTCACTTGAAATACAGTGTTCACGAAACGTTGGTTATGCTATCTTTGTATGTATCTTTGAGCGACGAAAACAAAGAGAAACAATTCGGCGAGGGAGCCGAAGGCGTTCACAATAAAATTTCACCATCAATAAACAGAGTACTAACAATGAGCCTGCTACTCTATGCTTAAAAAGTAGCCTAAAAATTACAGGAGTATGATCAATAGAATAGTGTATACTGTCACTAGTCTCACTACTCAGTTACAAGCCCAAGTTGATAACATTAACAGCTGTCGGTGAGCCAAATTTATAGTTATCGGTTACGAACTTACGATTACGAATGAACACCACAGCCAACGAAATAATCGATAAGCATTCATATGTACGCAGTAAATACGTCAGCAAAAGTGCAGCAAATTCACAATCTGAATGATCAGATCATGAAAATAAAAAGAAATACGAATGCCGCAAAACCGTATTTATCAGCCATGACAGCAGGAAATAACTGAAAGTGAAAAAATGTCCATGCATACAGCACACACGTGATACATTAAAATTAACACACCAGAATGATAGCCTTCCAAACAGACCTTTGTTCAACTATAAAAGCATTTGGTGCACCTTTCTCTGTAAGAATGTATTCTCAAAATGAAACAGAAAATCGTGGAGAGGGAGAGATACCAGGCAATCAGCTCTACAAACGGTGTACAACGCACCGAATCCTCCGTCCTCACTTGCCACCGCAACAACCGCCTTTGGCCTCGGCGTTCCCGTTGGTCGCGCCCACACTGACCGTCTGGCCCTGGGCCCGGGCCCCGGCTGGCTCGGTCTTAGGTAATTTCTTGGCAATGGCTAAGAAGATGTCATTGACATTCATGGCCGTCTTGGCCGATGTCTCCATAAACAGCAGTCCCTGCTCGTCGGCATACGTCTGCGCCTCTTCATACTCCACCATCCGCTTACTGGCCAGATCGGCCTTGTTGCCCGCCAGAGCGATGACGATGTTGGGATTGGCCTGACGCTGCAACTCCCGGACCCAGGCCTTGGCTTTGTTGAAAGATTCATGATTCGTTATGTCGTAGACGATGATGGCGGCCTGGGCGCCACGGTAATACATGGGTGCCAGACTGTGATAGCGCTCCTGTCCCGCTGTGTCCCATATCTCGAACTTCACAGTCGTCTCGTCCAGACACACGGTCTGTGTGAGAAACGCCGCACCGATCGTGCTTTCCTGATACTCATGGAAATGGCCCTTAACGAATCTGAGCACTAAACTGCTCTTGCCCACCGCGGCTTCACCCAAGAGGACCAATTTGAACTGGAAGATTTTCCCTGCTTGCGCTGATCCACCTGGAGCTGATCGGGCAACGTTCGCCATATCTACAGAACGATAGGATGATGTACAATCTCTCCACAACAACAGAAAAGACAAATCAACAATTAACAATCATTCCAGGGTTACGACTGCTGCTATAAAATGCGAACTGGCTGTAAAATAGAGCTAGTCCAGTCCTTGACGCCTAATTCATCTGGTATTACTTTGATATACACACATGGATCACATGGATCAGTATTAATGGAAACACACTCCTGCTTCGTCATAAACTCAAATAATGTCAGATTATCATAATTTATTTCTGATTACTTCCTTCAAGGAAAAGTTTAAAAGACACCGCCACACCAGTTTACCTATCCACCTCCTGAGCATACGAGATGCATGCGGTTCAAAATTAAAATCCCTGTACGGCTCATTCGATTCTCTTACCGTGTGACGGAGAGTCAATCAACTGCACAGAATTTCAGCTGCCAGATGTTAAAATAAAGCTAATCTTTCCGTCCCATTCACACAGCAGCAAACGTGACTAGAAAGTCGTTCACTAGTTGTCTTACCTGCTCTCCAAATCTTAATAGATAACAAAAACAAATTTATAGCAATTTCAATGAAAATTCAAGCAGAATTAGACGGTTTCTATGGACTACAGTCTATAACATCACAGAACAAAATCGCACAAAAGCCCCTCGGAGAACCACGACTTGCTGGAAAACGACAACATGTGGACTGCAATCTGGTCACGACACGATGACTCATCCAAAGAATGTCAGTCATTTTAGCCAACCCACCATGGAAGGCTGTTGTAAATAATATTAATAAGCAAAGTACAGTACATACGTGGTACTATTACGTACGTACATGTACTATTACGTACATACAGTCATAGCGTCGTAACAAGTATTAATTGCAAAAATAATTACTTTCTGTAATAAAATAAAGTACCTACTTTAACCTTTATTACTTAATGGAGCTATACAAAGCTTTTCGGCCTCTACATTTCACGATCAAGTAATTTTAATTTTAGGAATTATTTTCTGTTTAATACAACGCATTTCGCAATAAATATTATTTTTATTACTAAGGTTAGTAATATAGATATTATGCACATGTACATAATAATATCTATATAGACAGCCACTACAATATAGTAACAAAATCATCAAATTTTGGTATACTATAAAATAAAATTATTAATATAGATATAATAATGATGCCTGCAACTAGCTGCAGTTATAAAGCCATCAGTCTGTTGAGTTGTCACCGTACGTATCATGCGAAGTAAGTACGTATAGTATCAAAATAATTGTAATTTGTAAACTAAAAATAAAAGATATCGCTGCCAGATTTACAGTTTTCCTGGGCCCGGAAGTGCGGATTCTTCTCGCAGGGTCAGTCTTCCCAATGTGTAGTTAGTCATTTACGAGACCCGGTGGTCCTGTACAGGTATACTCGTATCTATTGTATATAACCGGTCCGGATCCGGTGGTTACAGGAGTGCTATGGTTGTCAGTGCCAGACTTGGCCCATTTTCGCTTTTCCCACTTTCACCCCATCCCCACTTTCACACTTTTATTCCCAGCTCAGCCCACCTCCGGCTACTCAAATTTTCAGCCCATCTCACCTTTTGGACCTCATCTTCATCCCCATTTTTTACAAGCTCAGCGCCGTTAATTTTGCAAGTTTTCCGCATACCATAGAGTGGCCGGGCGAAAAAAATTTTTGGTTTCCAAGAAAATATGTTCACTTATTGAAAAAATCCGCGCGGAGCGCGGAAAATTTTTTGTTTTTGGAGCTCAAATGGTGCATTTTTACATGCTCCTAGCCTGAAAAACAGATGAAAATATCAAAAATTTTCATTTTTATTTGTTTTCTGGATCCCATCCCATCTTTCCACAATCCCAGCCCATCTCACCTCATCTGCGGCTCTTCCCCACCTCATCCTCATTTTCACCTAAAAGGTGATGGGCTGGGAAAAATGGGGAAAATTTTCACCTCACCCAAAAGATGGGCCAAGTCTGGTCACTTGTCACAGACGTGGCTAGCCGCAGTAAAACGTTGCACCGAAAAAATTAACCGTAAGTTTTAATCATAGTATTTTAACAAACTCTGTACATATCGCGTAATATGATTATGGACCATGGTAACAGTTTAAGCTTAAAGGGAAGTGGGCCGGTACATATGGTACCAAAGTCGTGGACATGCACGAAAACTCACACTTTCGCGCACTCCCAAACACATTTTGTTTCGGTTTTTAATATGGGGTCGGTCCATAATGAGACTTTTGGTACATCTGATGGTGAATGCATTTGAACTTTTTGGAAATTTATAACAGCCATAACTCCCGAACCGGATGTTGCGCGCACAAACGGTTTTTACTCCAGTGTATACAAATCTTCTGGCTACAGAATGTCATAAACCGAAACAAAAATGTGTTCGGAAGTGCGCGAAAGTGTAAGTTTTCGTGCACGTACACGAATTTGGTACCATATACCGGCCCACTTCCCTTAACGTACGTATGCTACCATTGCTAGCCTAAGTCCGCGTTACTTAATTAACAAAAATATACTCGGAATGTTATGAAATGTCGCCCATGAATTAATGGCATTATGGCAACATGTCTTCTCTTGATTACAATTTAATGCACGATTGCACGGCTATCGAAAGGTCAAGATAGCCTTAATAATTTGTTATGTTCACTCCCGATTTGCGTAATGTATGCTATCATTTTTCCACATTTCTCGAAATGCCGAAGCAGGATCAGTGGAACGATAACGATGCGAAGGAGAACACAGGAGTATAAAATATGGCCCATGGCGGACATATGCGATATTTCTGTGTAGATACTTACGTGTTGATGTAGGAGTTTTTCATGATCACTTTCAATAACATTACGCTTGAAGGGAGGAGTCGAGAGGGAAGGACGGGATTCTCATTACCACTGCCGGTTATAGGTTGGATTATTTACAGCCAGCGTGACGCTGAGATACCTTTATGTTAACATCACAACAACCTGCAACAACATGATTGATAACAAACGTGTTGTATCCCATTTCGTGGAATATGAAGACGTTAGTATCGCGCTTGTACACCGGCAGCACTTCCGTGTAGTGATAATATTTATGTGATGCAAAATGTGCACGCAGCGCTGTATCTTCTTTACATTTCCGTTGCTGTCAGACACTTACATACAGTTTCGTATTTTCTTTGCAAAGTACTGGCGCCGGCACACTATTTCCTAACATGTCTTGCAGCGAGCATGAACATTTGCATTATTTTCCATTTATTTTCAAATTTTCAACTTGTTCCGAATAAAATTTCTTTGTCTCAAAAAGGCAATAATAACTTTATGAGTGAATGTTGTGTTAATTGTCACTATCTACTTGACAAGTGAAATGTCTGTAAACGAGTATTCTCAAGTACCAACTGAACCGCGATAGTCGACCTGCTGATATGTGTACACCTACGGTACGTATATTGTACTCGTATTTCTGACTTATTTTAATAATCAACATGAACGTACTTAGGATCCTAATGCCGCCATGTATAACCTGCACATATTTCACTGCTTAGTCAGTATTCGGATGATGTTCTAATTTTATTCAAATTTATTCGCCATATTTTATGTTGTGACTCGCGAGCAGTACACATGCGTGTGCTCATGGAGATGTCCTACATGTTTTCGCCCCTACCGGATGCATGACTCCATCGGCAAAAATTTTCACTTTTTTATTTATTATTATCAATGACCCTTGCTATAAGTGAATCACCGATGCTGCATCAGCCAGAAGCCCCCGTTCGCTGTTCATCTGGGCCATCGCAGCACCACAAATCCCCGTTAATTGGGCACATGTTGTTAATTCTCGTCGCCATGGCCATGGAACGAAGCCGGCAGTCGGCGCGTGAATGCCGCGCCAGAAAAAAGCTTCGCTATCAATATTTGAGTGATCTCATACAGGACCGAGAAGGAACGGTGGATAAATTGCAGTCCGAACTTTCTGTGGTGAGTGGCAGAAGATTCTGCACTGTAATTAGCATATGCCGATTGTTTAATCAGGGGTAAAGGTGTCCGTTAAATCGCTAAATTAAATTATGCGGAAAGCATGGCATTTGAAGACATGATCGTATACGGTTATTTGATTACGCAAGAGATATTATTGCTAAGCTGTTGACCGCGAAGATGAAAACACCCGGTTTTGTGATGTAGCTGGAACGGTGGGCGCAACAAATAGATCAAGGAACAATCCCACCGGAACTGCATAATACTGCACCGGTGCCGTTCAGTGCCACCGACACCATATCATCCGTCAATGGTGCATTCAATCCACCTGCACTAGCCACCACCTCATCGATCTTCTTGCAAAGAACTCCTGTAGATCACCAGTTTTCCGCCGATTTCATCTCAACCCTATTCGAACCACCAACCACGACCGCCGTTGTTCATCAGCCTAATCCGATGCCGCCTTACAGTGATACAATGGCATTTTTTCGCCTGCCATGAACCGAAAATATACTGAGACGACTGCTCGTTAGACAAAGTATTAATATATTTTTCTCTACCGTGTGGAGTTATTTATTTTATGACCAAAATACGCTTTGGATGCAAATGTTTATTCTTGTACAAAGTGCTACCGGAAAATTAATAACCGTGTTATTTTAAAAAATTTGAGCAATGGTTACAAAGAAAGAATGATTAATATAGTCAATGCAATGGCATGCGGACTTCGAAGGTATTGAACATCTGTCCGTTTATTTACGGTTTTACAAACTGCACGCCGTAATTATTGTAAATCAAGGAAAGTCAGCATATGAAAGTGACAAACCTCGAAAAAACAAAAAGCCATCCCATTTCATCAAGTAATAAACATATGATGATGTAAAAAGCGTGAAAACAAAAATGACAGCAAACAACAACCAAATTTTCTTTTACCATCGAAATACAGCAACTCTTACGCATAAGTTTTAACGATTGAAATCACCGTTTCGAAACGTCATCAGCTTGCAACATCGCAGAATCACAACTCATCATGCCTTTGTCGGTCAAGGGTCCCTTCCAAACTGGATGGTTTAATATACACTCCTTCCATCACCTGCCAGTAGGTTCCTGATCCCACCGAATAATGTCCACAGATTTCGTACTGACCGGCGATCGGACGGCCAAAGGTGTTGCCAGTCATGTGAAGGTAATGGTTGGTGTCGGCGTGCTGGAACACTACTGCTCCGTCCCGCGGCCAGAAATCGTCGTCACAAACCACTTTCCAGTTGTCACCTGTAATTCAAAATACTGAAATACGGGATCTATTTGAAAAATACGGGATCTATTTGAAGAAAGCAGAAGAGCGAGAAACGTCGCATCGGAGACGGGGTGTCATCGGCAGACGATGCCTATGTTTACAAACCGCCTGGCAAAACACATGCAAATTACACTGAAAAAAGTAATAATTTGCAAGTACATACTAACAAGTAACAACGAAAACACAATGAAAAGAATCTAACGCTAGTTACCAAAAAATACCGGTAACGGAAACCAGAAAACCATGGGGAAATTAACAAGAAAGGAAGTACACGTTTTTAATAATATTCTATATTTGATACTAACCAGTAAGTAAGTACTGCACATTAATAAATAGTCTGAGTTGCGCACACCACTCACCGGTATCACTCTTTTTATCCTCCTCTCCAAAAGCGCTGACTTCTTGATTATTGGACAAAGGAGAGCTGAATAAGTGACTATGGAGAAATTTTCCCGTTGCCATATGCTGCAGCCGGATGACAGAGCCACATCTGATCGGTTCCCTGCAAAATGCCATCAATTATACCAAAGATACTCGTATGTGTCCTTCAGTGATTCACAGCAAGAAATACTAAAAGCAAGCAAGCAAGAAATTAATTTAAAGCAAAAAAAACTAAAAGTCCATTCAATCAAGCTCACACAAATACACACACAGTACGCCAGTACACCATGCATGATGCACCATAGCGATTATTTAAAAAATCGCCATGACAAATAAAATCTCACGCACACATCCAGCTAAACTCGAACTGTTCTGCAAAATGAAATAACAGAAAAAGAATTTTCTAGGAAAATGCTTACCCTCTTTCGCACGATTTTCCGAAAGCGCCTTTGACAGCCCAGTAGCTGTTATGGTCGGTCTTGGATTTCATTCCGGTTACAGACTGCAATGTGTCAGCATCCCAGCGTTATTCTAGCACATAGTCGCCGTATTCGCGAAGAAATCAAAATCATGCATGGTGCAGTCAAAAATCAAATACTCACGGTTGTCTGAACAAAAAGCAATACAAGCGCTGCTTACTTGTTGGCCGCTTCCAGATCCGTACCGCACTTCATGCGAATGCAGCCGTCCATCGTGGACATTGTTTTTTAATTTAATCAAACTCCCGCAAGTTACTTGGTTCAGGTGGCTGCCTGTGCGGACACACAAATTTGCTTATGTAGATGTATATTAGAAATCAAAGGAAAAGAGCCCAAATTCAGTTGGCAAATAGTAAGCTGTAATGTGTAATCACAACATTTTATGCTAAATATCTCACAGAGTCACAGTCAGTTCATAGTTTACCTCTGCATATTGCAGTGAATTCGCTTATGATGGCAATGAGGAATAAAAAGAAGCCTTTTCCGTAGAGATCGGAGAAATCCATTGTGAGAGATCGACGAGCGTGGGCGATAACACCCGAAAACTTGCAAGAAATACTGAAATAGACTCCAAGAGCCCAACAGTGCAAACAGATCCAATAACTCTGTATTGTTGCACTGCGATATTGCTGAGAACCTTGCTTGTGAGTTAAATCAGTTAATGCAGTCAAGTTGCTTCTGCAAATCTGCGTAAGGTAGTTCCAGCATCCAAAGAGGAGCGCAGTTTGATTAAATCAAGCAGATCTTAATTGCAATCAATACTTTAAGCGCATTCTGGTGAAAACACTGCAATATCTGCTGAAAAACGTTTTAACTTCCAAGTTGTTTTGAAAAAGTTTCAGAATGGCTTTTTTGAGTTTTTTAACGCAGTCTTCGCCGTTTCAGCACGCACCGCCCACTCATCAACAAATGCGTCCAATCGCAAACCGCAACGTTGGTTTACTACGCAGCGCACCGGAAGCGGTAGGGCTAGGAACTTATTCGGAAGTGTGGTGCAGTATCTAACTTCCTAATTTTTCCATTGTTAAAACTTTAAAGGTTTTATTTAATTTTACCATGGAATTAAGGCTACAAATCTACGCTTCCTTCCGCGGCTCGGAAATTTATTATTGATATTCTTTCTGTCGCATCCTTTGATTCCATTATTAGTTAGTTAGTTCTTTTGGAAGGAATGATCATGTCACATGTGTACAAGTACTGCACGAAACGAACGAACAAATTAATTAAGTCAGTCAAAAGCACGAGCAGAAATGTTTTTCATATTAATGTTCAGTAGCAGCAAGAATAAGATGCAAAAACGTCTGCAACTCATAATTTTATTTTTAGATAACTTTTAACAAGAGTTTTCCTTGTGATCCATCCGTATTTTCCAGATCATGATGAGCCTGTAAACGTACAAAGTTCCCAAAGTTTCTTTCCCTATTTGTAGTATCGTTAGCACGTATGTATATACTTGGTATAAAGTTGGTACTGGTAGTGGTAGGAGTACTGCTAAAGCTTTCCTGAAACGGGCATCTTACCTTCTCAGCTTCGCGAAGAGGGTATTCCTTGTGTAAAGTAGGTCGCAGGTATCCCGCTTTGAGCCCATCTGTCAACACTTTGGACATTTCACTCCATTCTTCTTTGGTGGAGTCCGCCAGTTTGACACCGGTAACGATGGCTTCTTTAGCCAAAATCAGCGCTGGTGTGATACTGACGCTGCCCGTTCCTCCGACAATGACAATGCGACCTTTCCGGCTGAGCAATTCGATATCTTTCTGCAAATTATGTCCGGCTGCCATTTCTATGATAATGTTGACGCCTCTAACACCGAATTCTTGCTAAAAAATTTGAACAGCTACCGTAATTATAATGATGGGCTGCAAGTGTTCATACTGCTATCGATAGGTTTATTATAAGGACAGCTTAATATATAAGGACAAGTTTGACCTTAATGTTTTCGATGTATCCAGTTGCTCTGTGATTATAAACACCGGCTACTCCGGCGGTCTTTAGGCGCTGGATTCCTCCTTCTGTTCCTGCGGTTCCGTAAACTTTCAAGCCGTGTGCAATTCCCAGCTAGAAAATTAAATAAAATGCCCTAGAGTACTAGCTTGTCGAGAAATTATGGGCGCATGAAGACAGCGAAGAAAGCACATTTATGGGCTGTGCCAACCTCCATACCACGGCGCGTCATGCTACATTTTTTACGCGTTAATTGAATTAGGCATGGCTGGTGCACGTCAAATGTCTATACATCCATAATTATCATACCTTCTTCGTTTTTTTTACTCGCAGTATAAGCCAATGAATAGCATTAGACATGTTATAAGCTTGTGGTCAAAAAAGATTTACTGAAAATACTAGCGTAGTGTACATACAATACCTGTACGCACGCTGTACCAACCGCTCCGCTGGCTCCGTGTATCAAAAGTGATTCACCTTTCTTAGCTTTCGCACTAGAAGTATATAAAAAACCATGACAAGCGTAAGGGCTGGCCTAATAGTATCGGGACATTATTCAGAATAATGCTGGAAAGGTCAACGCAAACTCACGCGATAAAAAGCGCCCGAATTGCCGTAAAATATGGCGATCCCAGCGATGCACCTTCCTGTAAAGTGTAGGATTCAGGAAGATGGTGCACCTCGTCTTCATGGGCTAAATGGTACGGTGCGTAGGTTCCACCGGAACGGAATGAGTGATTACTGACGAAAACGCGGTCGCCAACCTAAATGAACAGAAAATAACTACACAAAATATTCTTAACCATAGTGTGCAAAATCTACGTAGACTTGTACATAAAAACCAATTAAGCTGTGCATCTCAAATCAAGTCTGCTGGACGATGATTTGGATTAATTTTTTCCTATATGATAATATTCAACGTGAGAAAAAAACTGCAGCTGGGATCACGAAAGCATTAAATATTCTTTAAATAAACTCCCTGCAAAAGGTTTATGTGAATTTCTGACATCCGTACTTCCCTGAAAACTGGATTCAGTTTATATATTAAGCATGTAATCGCCGGCCACAGATCACCATAAAAACGTTTTAGCAAACGCAAACGTACTTTCACGGCAAACTACAGCAACAACAACAACTGAAGTACGAGTGCAAACTGCAAACTATAGTTAAAGTATAATATTCAATATGTTGTCTCAAATTCAATACTACTGGCAAAATTAAATGGTATAAAGCCGCTTGCAGTCAGGGATTCCCGTATCTTTATTGTTGCTTTCTTCTTTATCTGAAAAACAGTACTTTTACTTTCTTGTACCTTAAACTGGGTAACCTCCGGTCCAACGTTCTCCACTGTGCCGGCTGCATCCTTGCCAGGAGTGGCCGGCAGATCGACGGTCAGGCGAGGATGGTGCGTCCCGCGTAAATGCGTGTCCACTGGATTGACCCCGGCGTAATGCACTTTTATTAACACCTACAGTACGACCAGTTGTTTTCCAGCTCTATATAATCGTAAATTCGTAATGTATAGAAGTAGTGCGCATGCATAGTGACTGCGACCACTGCATAATGTACATCCAATACTTTAGAAGACAGGATGCGGTAGATCTGGATCTACCGTTTGTCTCTACATAACTGACTATTGGTGCATGTAAACTAATTAAGATCACTTCTATGCGCCCGGAAAATTTCCGGGCGCATAGCACTTTCGTTTATTTAATTTGTAACCACAAGTATTACAGTAATCGAAGTACACGGTACTAGCTCTGATCGATCTGAGACAAACGTAATAACGATTATTGTAAGTACTAGCGCATAATATGTCTTTCTTCAAAACATGTATAGACGCAATATATAATTTTAATTTGTGCGATATTCTTACTTGGCCAGGTTTATCGGCTTTGGGAATCGGCACGGAATTTAGGGAAAGAACACTCGGTGGTCCACGTGTATCATATCGTACACACTCCATCTTCGGATCTTGAATGATACTAAATATAATATACGAACTACCCTAGATATTATAGAAATACATATTTTCTGTAACAACTGAATCAAAAATTTAAACTAATGAGTACCTGCCGATTGAAAGGTACACGGTGAAGTTGTAAACCAATTTTTACACAGCTGCAGTTTGTTTGATTCCTAGATGTGATTTTCCGTTCTGCAGCAGGACAACTTAATGAAGCGGCAATCTATAATTTTTCATAACAAATCATACTGGTATTGACAATTTTAGCTTTTAGGTAATCTAGCTGCACTCCGAGCAGTACTTGAACATTGGCGTCGAAACACAGTTAACGTTATTCGTAAACTTAACCATTGTTCTTTCTGTTAGCGGATTTCAAGCCATGCAGATGTTGCTGGGCCCTGTCTTCTGAGCTTACCGGTATTGCAGGTTTCCTGATAAGATAAGATATCCAGCAAAGATTGACGTCTAATTCCTACTTAAATCTTCATGTACAATATGTTTGTACTATGTGCAATGTTGTGCAGCCAACAACAAAGTATTCAGAATTATTCTTGTCGGTTAGAATTAATCCATGAATATCTGCGGTAATATGTACGGTTCTAGTTTTGTATAAAATTCTTGCCCAAATCCCCTCAAGGTCAGAGCGCATACTACCTTGGATGTATCATTATCCGTCAAATCGTCTAGAGTAGTAAATCTACAAAAATCACCTTCCGGCAAATTGTGCATTTTCCGGTTACAAACTAAATTTCACAAAAGACGACCGGCATACTCCGCTTACGGATACGATATCTGTATAACTAGTATAAGTGAAAATTGTCAAAATTTGCGGTGCCCAAACGCTCAATTTCCGCTTCGATATCCTTGGTCTAACAATGCAGTACGTCGACATTATATATGTATTTCAGTCTGTTGAAAAAAACGATACCGAAAATGAAGTGATGCACTTGCGGTAATATAAAAAAGTATCTGCACGATAGCCCATAATTTTTTGGTGTTCTGGCACGCTGTTTTAATGGCTTTTGTTTCGACTGCAAATCTGCAGTTGTTTTTGAGTTGTACCGCACAGGGCGACAGTTATTGATAGGCGACAAAAATGCACAGCAGCTACGTGGCCGAGACTCGAGCGCAGTTTTTAAAAACATTCATGGCCATGCCCAAATATGCCTAAAAATTTTTTGGAAGCATGCGAAAAATTCTCACACTACTCAGTGACAGTGACTATAACTGTGTTCAGACCTGGCTTTGGTTTTTTTATTGTCCAGAGTGTAAACCAACGATTTCCACACCTTTGGTCGATCTCACCGTAATTGTTTTGTTATATGTTATCGAAGAGGTGAAAGATTCGTTGTCAGTAGAAAGTATTGGTATATTATTATTTCTTTCCACTTTGCGAGCGCTGACTATGATCGCCGGATTAAGTATTTACTGATGGTTGAATTTCCTCGGGGCTGTAATATGTCATCTTGCTCTCTCGCATCGTAATCTGGGCTGTGGATCCTGATACTGAAGTCGAGAAGCGTTTGCGTGTGATGGTATGTACAGTACCAAGTTTGGCTCGTTTGTGCTTTCATGTAGTCGTGATAGCGTCATTTATAATAAATGTGCGAACGCAGAAGAGCGATGATGTCGCTCGAATTGAGATGAAAGAGAACGAAATATGGAGCTATCTGGTGTTTTTGATCCGGGACATTCTGGTTTTCTAGATTTAAAAACGGAACCCGGAACGCAGATTAACGTGGAATCCCTTCGCGCACTGGATGAACCTTCGAAAGGCAATTTTGCATTATCGAAGTTGGAATTGAGCCACTCATCATCAGGTACGGATTTACTATACCCACTACACAGTACAGACTGTGGTCTGCTTTTGCCTCGTGTCCGATTTGTTGTCCGGTTCGGCCATGTTGGTTTTTTTAAATTCATAGGTATGCATCGAGCAGCGTACAATAAAACTTTGCTTGCAATTTGAATTTCTTGTTATTGCATCAATCATTTCTAGTTGGTTGCTGCCTATGAAGACCCTATAAGTGTGCATTGTAAATCCGTAGTGCAGTGACTATGGAGTTTGGCCAAGTCGATATCATGACTATTTTTGGCGAACGAACAAACTTTTGGGACTTCATTTTATACTTTCTCGACTTATTTTTGTAACGCCATATCACACATGTGATATGGTTGGGCTTAAATGGATTTGAATTTGGAATTTTACACTTCATGTTACTTTACTTCCTAGATCCTACGTTATAAATGCTATGACGCTTCCCAGTTTGCTTTGAGACTTATGCGGTGATTAATGTTTTCCTTCGCAGGCTCGAGTACAAGCAGCCGAGAGTTGAGTGGAATCTCCGAAAGTGCTGAGCACTGGCAGTATGGACACAGACATCCGGTGATTTTGGCCGAGACGCCGGCCGTTTCTGTGCTGCGTCGTCCGTCCACCCTGTCAGGCGTGTGTATTCCGCGTGTGGCCTTTGGCAACAGGCGTCAGACGCCGGAGATCACGAGCGCCGTATATGAAACTGTTGTTTTTCCCCATATAAGTGCGGTAGACTCTGCTGGAGAGGCAACAGGTATATTTGATAATTTGGGTACAGTACTTCAGTTATGCCAATTAAGGGTTCGTGTTATTATTTTAAAAATGTACCGACGGCTTTACTTTACTGACTTGTGCCGAATGTTTTGTGGAGTACAGTACTTGCAAGATTTTTTTCGAATGATGCCACCTACTTATGCTACTGTAGGGATAGTCTATCACTCTTAAAGTTACAGTGTTTCTACTGTTTATGCATAATTAATTCAGTGTCGACAGCTTCGTTTTCCAGAGTATCATAATATGGAGCCAAGCAGGAGAACACACGTACCTTCAGATACGACAAATGAAACTCCAAATAACAACATGGAAGCAAAATTGATACCTGACAATGAAGGTACAGATGCAAGCTGCATTTGAAACATAAAAGTACTTGAAAAAAGTATTTGCATTTGAAAAGAAGTATTTTTGCAAGACGTGCGCTTAAGAATCTTATGGTTGGACCAGGTACTGGAATTTTATGACTGGCGTTTAAATTTGGTGGTTTTTTAATGAACGTATTCCACGGTTTTTGTTTAATATGATTTTAACAGCAGGTGATGTTCGTGTTGGAAGTCCCGTGATCAACAGTGACCACTACTTGGACCTGGTAAATGCGAACACCCGGCTACAGAGCCAGGTGGAAGTCCTGTCGAACAATGCATCTATGTTTTTAAAAGAACGAGCGGAGCTACAATCCCGTCTGGCACAATTGGAAGCCCGAAACCGTGCTTTTGACGCATCTCTGCACTCTGTCATTAGTGCCCGCGACGAAGCTGTGGCTGAATTATCGCAGTTCAGAAGCCATTTGCGCCCCACGGAGACAAGACTGCAGCAGCTGGAATGGGAGCTGCAGATGAAATCTCGCGACTGTGATATGAAAGATCGCAAGCTAGATCACGCACAGCAGTTAACGGAAGAGTTTCGCAAAAAAGCCTGCGAACTGGAAGTGGAACGTGATGAACAGGAAGGAGTGGTGGCCGCGCTGAAAAATAAGATCTCCGCCTTCCAGGTGCAGCTGGAGGATGCCAGGCAAGAAAAGTTACGCTCCACAGACCCATCGCCCCGGTTGAACTCAGTGATGGTGGAGCGGGATTCCCTTGCTGAACAATTATCCAAAACGAAGAAAGATCAGCTGCAATTACGCACCGATCTACAGCGTCTTGTTGATGAACGGCTGGAAGATCGGCTTAAAATGGATGTTGTGAGGAAGGAGAATGCGACATTGTCGCAAAAGATATCCGATCTGCAGCACACTGCGCTCAAAGAGAAGACGAACTTTCTAAAACAGCTGGAAAAAGTCGAAAATGAACAACGTCATCGAGAAGTGGAGTTTCTGCGGCAGAATATCGAGCGGGCCGGGATGAAGGGTTCGAACGGTTCGAAAGTGCTGTCGGAAGGAGAATGGAAACGAATATCTGAGCTGGTGGCACGCACCGATGTCCTGGAAGTGGAACTGACGTCAGCGCGAAGTGAAGTGCAGAGTCTGCGTGAGACGATGTTAACGGTGGAGCATGAGCGGAAAGAGTTTAGTCGACGCATCGTGGTAGCGGATAAAAGTCTACAGGAAAGAGATTCCACCATTGAATTTCTTACGGGTCGACTGGAAGCGGTGAATGCGCGGATGAAGGAAGTTATGGACCGACAAACTACATTTGATGAAACGCAAGAACGCATCAAGTTATTCGGTGTTGAAATTACGGAACTGCGGTCAAGTAAAGCTACTTTACTGCAGCAGCAAGAAACGGTGATGGAGAAGGCGCGAAAATCTCAAGAACTATTAATGGCTGCTCAACGTGAAACGAAGGAAACTCAAGCAGAAATGAATAGAATCAAAAACGAGTTGACAGCGGTTTCTACGGAGCTGTCATTGGCAAATTCACAAATCACTGAGATGACCGAAAGGGAGAACATTTTAGCGAAAGAAAAAGAGATGTTGTTGCAGGTAAGGAACCGCCATCAGTTGGAGCTGTCGGCGTTATCTGTGAAAGTGGCTGAAGTGGACAACCTGCAGAGGGATTTGTCACTTGCACGGGAACAGGAAAATATTTGGAAACAGCACGCGGTAGCATGGCAGGGCTACAGCGAGCAGCTTGCGATAAAACCTGCTGTTTCCGAAAAGCAGAGCCAAACAGATGCCGAAAGAGTGGCGGACGGAGTGATTTTGAGGATAGCAGAACTTGAATCGGAAGTGAAAGCGAAAGAAGATTCGGAAGCATTACTACATGGGGTTGTGGAAGAACACAAGAAACGGTTGACTGAGTTTGAGAACCGACTGGACGAAATGGAAGTGGAAAAAACAACACGGGATGTTGGAGTGGCTGAACTGGAAGCGGAATTGAGTATCCTTAGAAGTACTCTGGAAGAACAGAAGCATGTTGCTGTACAACACCTGGATACCATTTCTCTGTTGACCAACCAGTGCAGTTCCTTAGAAAAGGAAGCCGAATCGCAACTCCAAGCACGAGAAGCGCTGCAGGTGATAACTGCAAGGGAATACTGTAGAGTAACCCTGCACTTGATATTTGTAGTTCGGTGTGCGGTATTCGGTGTGATAGGTGAAAATAAGCGGTGATATCTTGCGTAAATTCGCATTGTCTAAATCATAGGTGCAAAGAAAATTAGAAAATTTTAACGTTCACAGTAACTATTGACCGCAGCATGGGAAAGTTTTGGGAGAGAAGTTGGGAGTTTTGAGATTGTTATGCTTGTGGAGTACTGTTATGCAGTGACAATCATATGCGCTATGTATAGTGTTTACATTTTTAATGCGATTTGTGTAGGCAATACTTGTATACACAGGAATGGTTCGGTTAAAATATATATAAATATATATAAATTACCTTATTTCTCGTTTTTTATTAGGCTGAATTTCAAACATTGCAAATACATTTGGACACGGTCGAAAAGGAAATCTCCAGCAGCCATGAGACGAACGCCAGTGTGTCCGCTTCACTGAGCACCGCGATTCAGCAGGACGAAGAACTGGCAAAGAGTCAGCAGCTGGAAACCTTGCGACTACAGCTGTTATCAGCGGCAGCTGAAAATCAGCATCTCCAAGAACAACTAGATGGATTGCGTGGGTTAGCAACTCCACCAAACTTCTCTGTCGATCCAACCGTTGTCGTTGTCCTAGAGCAGAAAATTCTGATAATGGAATCTGAGCGTAAGACACTGGAACAGAAATTCGAGGCTTATGTGGCCGAAATGGAAACGTCCGCTGCTCAGCGAGATGAACAGTGGCGGCTGTACTACTGCAGTCAGCAGGACACGTTGGAACAGCGTATTGCGGTGTTGACGGAAGAAAATGGAAAATTAACGAAAGAAATTCAAAAATTGAGCGACAATATTCAAAAAGATGCGTCCAGTAATCCTCTGTCAATTTTGGCAGGCGAAGGGGTTTCTAGTGAAGATTATTCTGCGTTGTTAGCGGAAAAAATCAGTGTGGAAGAAGAGCTGGTGTGGTTGCGAGAAAAAGTTGCGTTTTTGGAAGCAGAATTTAGTCTTGCACGGAATGCTATCCAAATGCAGCCTAGCGCAATTTTGCCAGTCAGTGACATTAGCGAGCATCCTCAAAACGATCATAACCCAGAGAAAAAAAGGATTGTAATACTGGAACAGCAGCTGCAGGAATTCATTACTACCACAAAACAAAAGGCTGATGAATATTCCGCTGTTGTCGCCGCCAACGCGTTACTTCAGCGTCGTCTGCAAGAATTCGAAGAGTATGTCCGCGATTTAGATGCAAAACGGCAGACGGATGACCAGAAAGTATTTGAAACGTTGCAGCAGCAATCTAGTATAGTCAGCGAACTGAATCTTTTGCGAGAAAAGTACAGATTAAGCGAAGAGGAACGCGTTAGCCTGCTACAGCAAATGAATGATGCTACGTTAACCGCGTCGCCCATGCTTCACGACAATGTAAAGCAACAGCTTGAAAAGCGAATTGAAACACTGGAGGCTGATGTGCGGAATTTTAGCGTTGCGACGTCCGAATGGCAAGAAAAGTATTTTAATTTGCAGAATTTATTGGAAAGTGGCAGTCCAGCAACACCATCAAGTAGCACTGCTCTTTCGCCTCTACCAGAGAACGGAGTACAGGATTCTGATCTGATCAAATCGTCGGTGCCAAAGGCAAAGAAGGATCTTAAACAACGGATTGCTAAACTGCGAAAACAAGGCGAAATGAAAAAGGGTCACATGGAGACGATCCCCGACGTGGTCAGTGTGGTTCCCGATGATACATCGGCGGCAGTCGGTGATGAAGCACCTATGCCGGCGCTGATTGCATCCCTGGAGGACGAGAAATTAGCTCTGCAGACGCGCGTGAGATCCCTGGAAGACGCCTTAATGAAAGCGCATGATGAATGTGCCGTTATGTCTTCATCGTTTTCCACATTGCAACAGCAGTTTACCCAGATGCAAAGCGAAGGCAAAGCGGTGCTGGAATACTCGAATACATCTTCACCCGCCCCTTCTGTGACGGAGGAAAGCGTTGACTGGAGCGGCAAAAATCCCAGAGGGAAAATAGATCTCAAGCAGCGTATCTCAAAACTTCGGGATTTAAAAAAGCAGAAGCAGGTTGATGTGGTCGCTGTGGAATATTTGCAGCAGAGGGAACCTCTCTCGGTCGATTCGGAAAGAGAGCAGGAACGGAAGAATTTCGATTACGTTATCGAAAACCTCACCCGGTTGAACGATAGTCTGACTGATCGGTTAGCCAAACTGGAAGACAAAAATGCCGCGTTAGAAGATCAACTGGCTGCTGTGCGTTCCACAGCAAGTGACAGAACTGCTATTCTTGAGGGCAGTTTAGCGAAAGCTGAAGAAAAATACGCGACTGTGCAGTCGCAATATTCGGCGCTGCAGAAAGAACATGGCGACTACATTGCACAGCTTTCTAGTGACCTGCTTGCTCGTGATGAGCAGTGGAATAAGTTCATGGCGGACGAAAAATCGGAACACAAAATGGCTGTTGATCAGTTACAGCTCATGAACAGCGCATTGTTAGAACAGATTTCGAATTTGGAGAACGAGAGCAGACGGCTCGTAGATCTGGCTGCAGAAACCGGGAACAGCGGGAAAACGCGCCTGGAAGCCAGTGTCCAACATGAAGTAGCTTTGACAACCGAAAGCAACAGAACTGCTGACCTGGAACGCAAGTTGCTGGAGGCGTCGCAGAAGTGTGCCAAAACGGAGCTGGATTACTCGATGTTGCAGAAGGAGTACGATAATTATGTTGCCCAGGCCACTGGCGACGTAGTTTCTCGAGACGAACATTGGAATAAATTTGTATCGGATCAGAAATCCGAATATGAACGTATTCTTCACGATATGTACGAAAAGAGCGGTGCTCTTTCCGAACAGATCGCGCGCTTGGAGGTGGAAAATAATCACCTGAGAGAGCAGGTTTCAAAAAACATTGAAACAGTAAACGCAAATGAGACATCAGCCAGTCTTGAGATGAGTGCTGCAACACAGCGATTGGAGTTTTTGGAAGTGGAGAGAGTGCAGTTTTTGAAGGACATTGAGGTTTTGCAGCAGACTATGGCTATGCAGCAGAATTATTCGGTAACCGGCGAAGCGGAACTAGTACAGCTGCGGCACAACCTGACCAATTTGCAGGATGAGAACAACGTACTGGAAGGTCAACTGGAAGCTCTGCGAGCCTACATTCAAGCGCGGGAAGAAAGCATTGGGCATGATTCCGAAATAAGAAATAGGGAAAGTGCGTTACTGGCATCACAGCTAAAGGAGGCTGTGCAACATGCTGAATCTTTGGAATCCGAGCGAACAAAATTGCTGAGTGATTTTGAATCATTGCAGCATACTGTCGATATGCACCAGAGCTCAGCCGTTTCTGTCGCCCAGACAAACGAAGCAGCCGTTCTCGAAGTCGAGCACCTGAGACGGAAATTAACGGATACGATACAACAGAACACCTTGTTGGCGGAGGAGCTGGAAAAAATGAAAGTGCAGCTGAAAGAACACGAAGAGCACGCCGCTGTAACTGATCAGCAAATCGGTCAGTGGGAAGCATATATTTCCGAACAGGATCGCACGAATGAATTAAAGGTCACCGAAGCGGTCAGACAGTTGACGAGTCAACTGGAAGATGTACTTCGGATTAATTCGGAGAATCAGTTGGACAAGCAGAATTTCTTGGAGGTGATTGCTAGTTTACAGAAGCAGTGCCAGGAACTGGAGATTGAGCGGAGCCAGTTGATAAACAGCCACGAAGAGAAGATCACGGAAATGAATTCAATCGTGCAGCAGCACGATGAAGAATGGAAGAAATTTCTGTTGTCGCAGACCGAGGTGATGGAACGAGAAAACACACGGTTGACAGAGGAAATGGCCAGCTTTAAAGCACAGCTGGATAATTTATCGGCTTTACAAGAGCGCTGCGATGCACTTGAGAACTCACTAAATGTGGCCAATCAGACTGAAACTGATGTGCGCTCTCAGCTGCATACATCCCAGTCGGAAATATTGGAAATGAAAGAAGCATATTCGGCTCACGTTGAAGCCATGAATAAGTCGGTTGCGCAGCACAACCAGGAATACCAGGATTATATAGCACTGCAAAACACGCGTTTTGAAGAAGAAAAACAGAAATTGTCGGCTGAAATTGTCGAGCTGCAAGCATACGTGGCAGTGCTGAACAGTCAGATGAATACTGACGGCTCCGGCAGGGAAAGAACAGAAATATCAACAGTAGTTGAAGCGATGGATGATCGGGAAAGTGAACATCTCCGGGCGGAAAATGACAGACTGATGAAAGAAGTCATTGCACTGTCGGAACGTTTGGCTGCTGCAACTCAAAACTCCAAGGAAAACCAGCAGCTTGTGGACGCCGTTCCCTCACTTGCGAATACTCGCGCTGTCCGACAACAGTCACCCGTGGCTTTTACCAGCATGCATTTGCAGCCGACCGTGCAGTCGAAATTCGCCGTAAACTTTGACCCGTCCCCTTCAATATTCGACGAAATCTTCGTACGGGACAGCGGAGCTGCAAATAACGCAGGGGATTTTGCGAGACAGGTCAGTGTGATTGTTGTTGGTGTCGACGCATCACTATCTGGGAGCTGATGTTTCCTATAATTTTAGTGGATTTTAGTGCGGCATTTTAGTACTTTGTCTCTCTCGGTTGTACATGACGAATTTCTTTAGTTTTCGGATGTTCCTGCTTCCGATGCCATTCAAGCGACCAGACTAGAAGATGCCGAAATGACGAATCGACTAAGTGAGCTGACAAGACAGTTAACGGAATCCAGTACACGGATCACTCAACTGGAAGAAAAACTGCAAAAATCTGCCGCCGATGAAATCAACTTCCAAAATATTTCTAATACTGTGCGCCAGCTGGAGTTCGACCTGCACCAAACGAAATCTGAAATGGCGCATGTGCAACAAGGAAAAGATGATCTTGAGTCTAAAATCGAAATTTTGGAAGCCGAACTCTTCAGGTAAATGCTTTGATCTTAATAGAGAAATTGGCATTTTATCTATCCAAGGACTGTCATATAATCGTGTTGGTCGAAATTTGCGGGTGTGCTGTTTAGCGTAAATATCGTAGACGGTAAACGTCCTTGTTTGTTTTTTATATAAAAAATAACAACATGCTGTTCTTGACTGACTGTTTGAATTTTTTACTGGCAGGTTTCGGAAAACAGCAGAAAGTCAAGTTCAGTCTACTGAAGACGCAACACAGTCGGAGGTACAACGATTATCCTCTGAACTCCAGCTAGCAGAATGTAAAGTAGCCCTACTTGACGTGGAAATATCCCGATTGGAAAAACTGCTGCACGAGAAAGATACTGAAAGAGCGGTTGAGCTGGCGGCCATGTCCGACCAACTGGCTGCGAACAGAGCCGAATATGAAATCCAGGTTCATCAGTTCCAGCAGGAGTGGGAAAGCTATTTCTCCGAGCGCACCTCCTCATTGGAAACGGAAAATGCCGCTTTGAAAAAGCAGATGGCGGACTTGATTTCTACTGCGTCAAACCGACAATACACCGAAACGGAACAGTCGTGTCAGACCGAAACAGTGGGCCATGGTGGCACAGATGTGTGGAATAACTTCGCGGCAGATGTTAATAATTTACCACTGAATATGGAATCGCCGTCATCGGAATATGCCCAAACCATGGACATCTTCGAACGGACCATCGAAGAACTGACCAAGCAACCGGCGGGGTGCATTGCGTGTGATCGCCTGGCCGAGCAACTGAAAGCCACGGAAACGCAGTTGGACGCCTTATCTAGTGAGATTGAGAAACTTCACCAGCAGTCGGCGTCGGACTCGGCATTATCCCACGAGAATGATTGTTTACGGGAGAAAATACTAGCGTATGAGGAGTTGTTAAGCGGCGGAGAAAATGGCGAAGTCGTAAAGGACCTTGCAACTGACGATTTCGAGGATGTTATCGGGTTAAAGGAAGATCGAATGCGTCTGCAGGTGGAGCTGTTGGCCGTGCAGGAAGAACTGGAAATGCTGCGAAATAATTCAGATGTGGGCTTGACCTTTCCGCCGCTCCGCGATGTTCCAGAAAAGATTTCCGTTGACGCGACAACACAGAAGGACTGGGATATCCGGGTTGCGGAGTCACAAACGGATGCGGTTGAGAGTGGGGAGGATATGCGACTGACAATACAGAATTGGATTGATTACGCTGGACAGCTGGAGTCACAGTGTAGTGACCTTTCCGTGAACATTGCATCACTGGAACAACAGAAAATTGTTTACGAAAGGGAATGCTCTGAAGAAATTAACCGGCAAGTGAAGGAACAGGCATTCTTGTTATCGGAGCAATTACGGATATCAGAAGATGAGCGGGAATATTTTCGGCGTCAGCTGATGAACCCGGAAGCCATCGCTCGACATGAAGTTCAGTGTCAGACGGAAATCGATGATCATGATGATGTGATAATTTATCAATCAACCATCAGACAGTTAGAACAGCGCATCGTTTCCGCGGAAGAGGAAATCATTCAGAGTAGAACAATGTCGGAAGAGATCGCAGCGAGCTGGGCATCCATGTACCAAGCGGCGCAGGAGGAATTAGTCTTGCTTCGGAACGAAATGGATAAACCTAAGGACAATGAAACGCTTGATCGCATGCAGAATCTGACAGTGGAGTTACAAAAGGCTAGTGGGAAGAACTTGGCGCTGGAACAGCTGAATTCTGCACTCCAGCAACAGATAACATTCACAGAAGCCCAGCTGAATGAAAAAGAATCGCAGTTTGCGATAAATAAACAAGAGCTAGAGGAATCACGCATCCATTTGGTCCAGTTGAAAATAAAAGTGGAAATGGAGAAGGAAGGGCTGATCGCGCGTGTGGAGTTTTTGGAAGGCGAAATGGTCCGTAAGGAGGAAGTTGCTGCAGAGCTGCGCGACCAGATTATGTATCTGCAACGTGAGGTTGATGCCGGACGGCTGAAAATTGAAGACCTTGAGCATCAGGCAGAGAGTCGAAGTAAGAAGATTGAAGAGAAACAAAGAAGGATTCAAGAATTGCGAGCTGAGATAAAGCGGTTGCGGGAGGAGTTGAGTGGCTTGAAAAGTGCGTTGGATGAGATGGATCAAAAGAGAAAGACGGTGGAGATGGAAAACGCCGGGTTGCATGTTCAGAATGCCAATTTGGAGCAGGAAAATAAGGTTAGTACGATTGCGTTCGCAAATTTCGCAGTCTCCTTAGTTGTGTACTATAATATGATTGTAGTAAGTGGTTATTGATAATTTTATGGCTTCTGTGGAAAGTTTTTGACACATGTGTAACAGCATCAAATGAATTATGTCATAAAAATGCATTCCATTGCTCAGATTTTATCCGAAGAAGTGGAGCGTCGACAAGTTCTTCATGATGCTTTCCGAACACGGGTTAGTCAAGAAGCATCCCTGCTCGATGAAGAAATACAGGGACTACGCGATCACCTTCAGGCAAGTACGTATTTTATTAATTTTATGTCTGTTTCCGGGTGAGATGTTGCATTGTGCGAGTTCGTTTAGAGACTGAAATTTGTTTTTATTATGTTGGCACGTAACTGAAAAGGTCAGGGTTAATGAAATTTTATTTATTCCACACCTTGACGCGAATTTATTTGAGAATGACGACCATGTGTATCTGTAGTTTATTTTTGCGGGAACCTACAATTATGCATCTCATTTCAGACTCGCGAATCTGAATTCAGAGAGCTAGAATTAATTTTTAATGAGACGAAACTGGAAAAATCGGATTTGGAGAAGCGTTTACGAGCAGAAAAGCGACGTAATCGGAATAGCTCGCTTTCTGTCCACAGCGAATCCGATAGTCGCACTGGTAAATTATCCCAGAACGGCGAAGCATCAAACAAAAGTCCGTATCACACATTGTTGAGTCTCGTGGAAGGATATGAATCTCCAAAGTTAGTAGTACCGAGTAAAAGAGACAAAATTTTGCTTCTTGTTTAGTTAAGGAAGTACTGTTCAGAAATTGCGTGTACGCATTTCTCGCCTTTTAGATCGTCGTCGACATTAAAATCGTGTATGAACAATTTGAAATCGGAAATCGATGACCTTAAAGCCCAGATGGACCTGCATATCCAAGTCGTCCGGAGCAAAAGTGATAATTTGGTGTGAATGCGATGGCCATTGGGAGCGTCCCCAACTTCGCACTCCGTATTAACGTGTCTGTTTCGTTTCGTTGTCAACCCTGGTCTTTCGTTTTTAATAAAAACTTTTAAAACTTACCTTTTTTGTTATTTCAGCCTTATTAACCGGTGGAATGGTTTTGTGGTTTACAGTCATATTGATATTCCTGGCTTTTACAAGGGCATGTTTTATGGAAGTTTACAGCTACCTATGTACTTGTAACGGCGGTTTAGTTTTGTGATGGCAGTTCTGAGAGATTTATACGGGCATGTGTTTAATTTGAAATAAAAGTGCTACGTACATAATCATCGTAGTAATAATACCTATACTATACTAATAATAAAGTGCGTGATCACACTGTTTAAGTGTTTAAGTCCCATGTACCCATGCACCTGTGCTAACGAGATCGTGGGAAGCGTTCCCATTACGTACACAGAATCTGATGGCTTATAAAGCCTGCACATAAGTACTCTTTCTTTGAATCTGTATGGACAACCCCTACCGGAAGAAAGGAAATCATTTATTGTGGTCACCGACTCACCGGTATAGCGGCAGCTACAGTTTTCCAAGTTATGTGGACAAGCGTGTTTAGATTTTCTTCCCATAGGATGCAAATCTTAATGCTTAAGAATGCTGGTAAGAATGTATTTCCTAAAAATCCATTGGTGCTTGTTAAATTTTCCTCTTTTGACCGTTACCCAGGCGGCTCCAGCATTTGATGAGGTGTGGTCGATACGAGGATGTATTGGATGTGCTATGGTGTTCACGCAGATGGACAATGGTTTTCAATCTCACTTTGTGAGAGATCTACAGCTTATGAGCGAACTCTCCGCTTAAACGGCCCGCGTCTTGGAAGTCTGAACGTTAGAAACTTAGAACCCAACTTTGAACCCCTTTTCGATACAGGTATTAGAATTTGTACAGATTCTGTACATGTAACAGAATCTGTGTCGGATCGGAAATGCACTATTATGGCTTCCGCCCAAAACTGCGGTTAGATACATACGACTATATACGAGTACTTACTAGTACAGTACTTAACAGTTAACACCGTGGCTTAAAGTTACATTTATTAAATTTTAATCTTAGTTTTAGTATTTTGCTTTTGGTTTTTTTTACAGTTGTTGGCATGTTTAGAGGCATGTTATAATGTATTGACAGGAATCGTTGGATCCAGAATCGCTCCTGTATAGTACAGTATATGCTTGTAAACTTTTGCTGGCAATGCCTCCAACAACTCGCAGCCGTCAAGCTGCTGCTGTTACCGCACAAGCAGCTTCGACGGAACCCATAAAAGACTGCAGCAACGATCCGCTTGTTGCCCCCAAAACGGATTCCCTGGGGCTTCCCGGCCCTCTGCCCGATGTAACCAAACGCCGCCGCCGCCTGAATGCGCGCCCCGTTACCGATTCTCTAGTGGCTCCTCCCCTCGCCCCGATGCCCCCGACCAACAGCGCCGCGGAACTTTTCAAAACCGTCTACGACGCCCCCGCGCACGGTTTTCCCCAATGCTCAACACCCTGATCCCGGGATACACGGGGGGCCCGGTCCTGATCACCCTCAATCCCGCCGTTCCCACCAGTTCATATAAGCCCCTGCGACAGAAAGGCCTGTCCCCCTCGGCCGCCCCTGGTTTCCCCCTGATGCTGCATCCGCCCAAACATTCGCTGCGTTTAGTGAAGGGCAGCGCCTCGTCGTGGACGGTGGTGGCGCCTGTGCCGTTGATGCCCGCGGCAGCCACAAACCCCTGGTGCAGACGGCGACGGGACTCCCCCCAACGGTGATCTCATCGGCTACATCGCAGCAGCCGATGAAGCTGGCGGCAGTGCTGGCAGCCAAGCAGAAACCCAAGATCGCGACGACAGGGATGACTCCGCCGACGCGCCGAGGAAGGCCGCCCGTTAAGAAGGGGAAGGGACGGGGCAAAGGTTGGCGGAAGGGCCTGGGGAAGAAGGCGGAGAGCGTGCAGAGTGGATCGTCGTCGGCCACAACGACGGATGCCGAGTCGTTTAGGTACAGCGTACGCTTATCTGAAACGCATTGATTACGTATAGCTTGACGGTAGTTTATGCTGCGGCTCCGCACATTTTGGGTTGAACTAAAATATTTCACTCAAAATTCGGTTAATGGAGTTTTATTCTTGAGGCTTTCGCTTTTTCTTTAATTTCTTCACAAACCTTGCTAAACAAACTAGCCAATGCCTGGAAAACATCTTAACTCTTGTACCCGAACTAATTATGATTAGTATTTAATAATATAATTATACTTTCTTTGGTCCGATCTGATCGATTCTGCCTTAAATTCTTTTTTGGTTTTGATTTTTGTTGAAGCAGTGGCACTCATAAACAATAACCGCCACTGGTGCCAAAAAAACACATTTGGGATGGTTATTCGATTTTTCTTTCGTCTTGGGTTATTATGGTTTGATCCTTTACTGTAATGTGGTAATTACATATAGATCCGATGCCGATACTGGCGAAGGGACGTCTTCGGGATTCTCTCAGCAGCCCGACTCGGTGATATCCTCCTCTGTGCGGGAGGATTCTGTATCGGGTGAAGCGGACAGCGGAGTGGGTCCGCTCTTCACCGCCGCTCAGAAGGAAGCCATGGCCGATCACTACGGAGACACTGGCACCGCTCTCCGCTACACAGCCCTGAAGGAATGGTGCATGTCCAAGGGCGCATCGCTCCTGCATGCCGGATCCGTGAGGAATAAATTCCGCGCTCTCCTTCAGGACGGAATTGATCGGGAAGAAGCGGGTGGGATTGGTGTGGAAACGGTGGAACGTGTGAAGGAGGCAATGGGACGTGTCCGGGATCCGCACTTGGAGGAGTTCAAACGACAGATTTGTCTGGAGATTATCCGCTCCAGGAATCCGCAGTATGGCGTACTGAGGAAGGAGGTCGAGCGCACTAAGGGTAGGTTGTGCGATTGAAATCGTTATGGCTACTTTTCTGAGTGGATTTGGATTAGCCCTACTGTAGTGAATAGCTACGAAAATGTGGATTCAGTTTTGAATGTTCACCCATACCTTTGTGTTTTCTACGGGGTTTATCCTAGAATAACGTTGAGGCATTGTACCTTGTTAAAATTAACTGATGATGAATTTTTTGTACTGGTCTGTTTAATTAAGCTTTGCTGCAGTGCGGAATGTGGTAAATACTAACTAGTTAAAATTCTGGTTTTTTTATGAATTATTTTGCAAATTTTAAGTACTTAAGCCGATCGTTTTCTAGATCCCACTTGAATGTGATCGCTTGGACACCGCAGATCGCTTGAATGGGAAGGTGGACTGCTACCCATAATCCACTGCTTTCGTGATAAAGAAGTACTTAACTGAAAACAATCAGTAAATCTGAATATACTTCTGCTTTCTCTCACAAATTATAATAATTGTTTTTGATATGACTTTGCTCGATTTTTTCAGTTCTTTTCTACAGCTCGGCATTTTACATGTTTTATAGTGTTTTAATTGTTCAAGCTGCTTGCTTTGCTGGATTTTTGTCTTGATCTCATTAGAACTTCAGAAAACCCAGTTTGAGAGTCGCAGTTACTTTAGCAGATATATGTTAACGCAAGAACTTACTACAGGTAGACGTCTGCCGACTTACATAACTTGGCATATGGACCAGATACCGTTGTGCGACAGTCGAAGCAGCTGAATCAACATTTTTCTCCAGATGTTATTTTTCTCCAGATATTGACAGATGCTAACAACACTGGATCGGTAGTAATCGATTGTTTCAAAGCAGGTTTAGAACTTGTGCCAAGGACAGTTAAGATACCGGGCGCATATCCATTAATTGTGTATGCACAATTAATAATCGTCAAAAATAAAATTAATCCATTAACAGAAGCAGTTTTGTTTACGGTTATTGATAACGTTTGGTGTTGATAAAGAAAAACAGATAATCTGATTCAACTTAATCGGTTGTATAGCAAAACTGCGCAATAATATCCTGTGAATCTGCTCCACCACAAAAAAACCATAGACTACGTTAATTCCATTTAAGCATCATCATAGGATAACGAGCATTGATACACAAAAATACCCTGTATCTTGTCACAATGAAAAAAGACCGCTTTTTCTTTGTATTTATTATCCAGAATATATCTATAATAACAGTAAGTCTACATTACCGGAAGGGTATGGATATACAAAAAATAGCATATACAAAAGACAAACAAAACGATCTTCGAAAGCCAGATGGTAACTAATACACCAAATTGAAGTACAAGAATAAGAGGCACAAAAAAAAACTATTACGTCTGCTTTCTAACCAGATCCTCCAAGATTTTCTTCAACGAATGCTGAAATGGCGGTAATCCACGTGTCTCACTAACATCCCACACACAGGCCAAATCTTCAACAATGGCTTTGATTTTTTGTTCGTTTTTAGCAATCTCGGCCTCGATGGCCGCATCAATGGATAAAGACCGGATCACAACATCTCCATCGTCATATTGATTCTATGAAGTCAAAGTATTTTGAGATCTCAACTTATTATTCGTACCAATGGAGAAACTACCTGCTCTGCGTTATTCATTGCATCTAACTCCACTGGATTATTACTGTGCAGATTATTTACAATTGGAGAGACAGATGCGTCGATTCCATGTACATGGAATGTCACAATTTCTAACATAATTACTGTAGAGTAACCCTGCACGAAGTCTCTATTCACCAACTGCACGAGTTTTAACTGATGGGTGACTGATCCGGAAATAAAGAAATAGGTCGAAATTTAATGAGAAAATTTGTCAGCTTTTGGGGGAAAATGTTCGCATTTCAGGTCTTATGTCATCTCTGTAGTCAGTTAAATTAAAGGAAAGGGAAATTTTCCACAGAAGACCATCGTCAACTGTGGCATTTGATAACAGAATTCTACGCTTCGGGCCTTCGGTCATAAAATCTCAGTCCTACACTTACCTGCAGTTATGAGTTTTAACTTTTGCACTGGGTTATGATTCGTCCACACGACTGTAACACTAATGCTCAATTTTCTAAGCATTACGCACTTTATCAAATATTTCTTTTTCAAAATATTTTTCAATATTTTTTATAGTTTTTTTCAAAATATTTTTTCAATTTATAATTGCTATTACAAGTTACAACAATAAAATTTTCGGAAAGACAATTAAATTTTTTAAATATAAATGACACTGTTAAGCGCACCTTATTGGGACCGCGGCGCATCCGGAAGGCCTTCTGCTTCTTGACCATCTGCTTATAGTTTTCTTTCCGCTTGGGGAGGTAGTAATACTGTATACAATCCTGCGTGCTCTATACAAACAAATAAAATTGGATCAACTCAAGACATTTATTTGAAAAATACTTCAATTTTAATTAACAAATTAATTTCAAAGCGGACCACATATTACAACAAAAACTAGTAGTATCAAATAATAAAACGATATGATTGTAAATCATTATGATTAAACGGTTTGAATTTTTTTAAGTTATAAAAAATCATTAATATACTGTAATTTAATTCGCCATTAATATAATGGAATTTAATAAATCGCAAATTTAATATCGCAAAAAATATAAAAAAAACCCGAGCGCCAGATACCTTCCGTTTTAAGAAGGAGCTGATGTAGCCGAAATCCTTGGGGCGCTGCAGGTACTTGTCCTTGAAGATGTCCTTCTCCTCATGCGTCCAGAAGCATAAAACGAAATCGAAATAATACAATTTTTCTGGAAAAGGGCCTGACAATTTATTAGCAGAGGTAAAATAGCAACCACAACAGTTTCCATTTCCCATTAACTGAAATGCTGAAAAGCAAGGAGAAGCAACATGTGTATTAATTTAAAAAAGTTATATGTTTGCGATATGTTTTTTTAGTGATACTATATACATTAGTAATGACATAAGTAATAGCAAGTTAAAGAATATCCGGTTTTTTATTATTTGCTGAGAAACTAATAAAAACTCCGTTCAATATATCCTGAAAAATTTCATTATACTGTGCAAGAAAATACTGACAGCATTCTATACGACGATGAAAGCAGCATATGTACCCCGTCACAAAAAACAAAGTTTTTACTACAGGTCGTACACTGAGTTGTCCTGCAGGCTATACGCCCCGTAATACTGCAAGCTGAACACTAGGCTATACTGCAGGCATTACTATCAACTAAACTTAGCGCACTACAGGTTAAACTACAGGCCATACACTAGGTTCTACTACGGGCTGTACTACAGGTCGTACAACACATAAAGCAAACGAGCAAGCACCCCGGTCTATGATCATAATGCATAAGATATCAGCTAAGCATCTTGATTCCTGGATATCATTTTAAGTTATATTTAAACATATTAGAAATGAATGTAAGCGTTAAAATAAAAATCTGCAAACCGGAAACACGGAAAGATATCTGGTATGGTTTTAAAGATTTTATTGAATTTAATGTAAAAGACTTTATGAACGTAAAATTAAATTATAAATTTAAAAATTACATCGGGTCGTAGTATAAAAAAAAATCAAGTGCTATAAAAAATTCATAAATGCACAAACGCAAAGAACTTGTAGTGTTTAATTTAAAAAAACCGTTTTTTTCTGGAGTTTTTACAAAGAAATTAATGGGGTGAATTGTACTTTGCGCACAGCAGTATATTGAAAATTGAGATGCATTACAATAAACAAATAAACTAACCAGTCTCATTAAATAAACTACAATTAACACAATGTACTGCTGAAATTTTTGTAAACTTAAATATTGTGTACCAAACATGTGCCAAACATTTTTTACGCTTTAAATCATTTCTAATACTTGTATGATTAAATATAATTAAGAAAAATATTCAAGATGCTTAGCCTCGCTTGTTTGCCTATCGTACTTCCTGTAATACACCCTGTAGTACAGCCCGTAGTGCAACCTAATGTACGGTCTGTAGTTTAACCTGTGGTGCGCTAAGTTTATTTAATAGTAATGCATGCACTAGAGCCTAGTGCTTAGCCTGCAGTATTACGTGGCGTACAGCCTGCAGTACACCTCAATGTACGGCATGTAGTAAAAACTTTGTTTTTTTGTGACTGGAATACACATACTGCTTTCGTCATCGTATAGAATGCTCAATGCTGTCAGTAACTTTCTTCCACGGTATTTTCTCTACACGCTATATATTCAGGATATATTAAACGGTGTTTACTTTATTTATGAGACGGCATTGTTTTGAGTTTTTACAAAAAACGATAATAGGAGTGATTCGTATTTTGGGCCTATAAGTATATTATTAAAAATTAAGATGCATTTCATTAAACAAATCAACAAATCACTGAAATCAGTCTCATTAAGTGAACGAAAAGCATACGATGTACTGCCTGTAGTACATCCTGTAGTGCAGCCTGTAGTACAACCTAATGTATGGCCTGTAGTTCAAGCTGTAGTACACTACGTTTAGTTAATGGAAATGCTTGTAGCACAGCCTAATGTTCAGCCTGCAGTATTACTTCAAGTACAGCCTGTTGTACACCTCTGTGTACAGCCTGTAGTGAAAACTTGGTTTTTTTGTGACGGGAATACATAGGATGCTTTCGTAGTCGTATAAAATGCACCTATATTTGCTTGCACAGTGCACTAAAATCTATTAGGATGTACTGAACGAAGTTTTCATTCGTTTCTCAGCAAATAATTGAAATTCTGACTTATTAGTATCTATCTATCTATATGTATATCATTACCTATGTACATTAGTATTGCATATGTATGTCACTCTACAAAAAAATTCACAACCTTTTTCAAATAAAATGCATGTTGCTTTTCGTCGCCATATCAATTAATGGGAAATGTGAAAGCAGTTGTGGCTCATATTTGATTTCGGCTAATGAAATATTAGGTTTTGATCCAGAAAAATAAGAAATATTTCGATTTCGTTTTAGAATGTCACTAATAAACGGTACTCTAGCAAAGCAACTCTAGCAATCAGTAATTTGGGAGTACTGACCAGCTGTACGCAATTTGGATTGGTTGGGTGGTAGTGAGCCGTATTGGGTAACCGCTTTATAGGGCGGTTTTCCTTATACCATAGTCTACGGTGCACTGGGTGCCCAAAATTTTTGTGTTTTTTAGGAAGTGACTATAGGCACCCCTTTTTAGCACCAGCTTTTTCGTACTTCGTACGATATGAGCTATACGGCACTGTAGTACTGACAAACGTTCAGCTGGCTCAGAGCCGACTGCACTGCACTCACATGCGCTGCCTGCCTAGTCTCAGGCAGCACATGTGAATGGTGAATGTGCTCGTACAGCGTACGTCTATCTGAGCTGTATAAAAAGCTGTCAAGTGCAGGGTTTAACTCTACAGTACGAGTTGTCACTGTTACTCTACAGTACGAGTACGAGTTGTAAAAAAAGCTGTCAAGTGCAGAGTTACTCTACTCGTACTTATTGTTGTCAATTAAACTGCCCACTCCAAGCGCAACGGCATTCAGTTTTGTACTCTACCTGAAAACTACCTGCTCTGTGTGAAACTACCTGCTCTGCGTTATTCCTAGTTGCGTCTAACTCCATTGGATTACTGTGCAGATTACTATCCATTGGAGAGTATTCTATTAAATCTATTCTATTCTATCGAATTTATTCTATCCTATTCTATGATTCTATCAAATCGAAGTATTTTGAGATCACAACTTATTATTCGTACCAAGTGAGAAACTACCTGCTCTGCGTTATTCATTGTTGCATCTGACTCCACTGGATTATTACTGTGCAGATTATTTACAATTGGAGAGACAGATGCGTCCATTCCATGTACATGGAATGTCACAATTTCTAACATATGATGTTGTCAATAACTGCCCACTCCAAGGGAAACGGCATTCAGTACCCCAGCAGTATAACCATTACTAATGATTCTTTTTATTAAAGCATTCATTTGTAAGAACGGCTTTTCTACGGTATACGATAACACCACAAGTAATCTGAAGATACTGCGCAGTACCTCTGGAGATCCAGATCTTCCGCCATGTTGGCCGCTGTTGCTTTCGTCACGCGGATGATTCTATCAAAGAACCGAATCAGGACAATAAACAAAAAATACATATTATCAAGCGTAGCAAATCTACGTCTTTGCTCCCGATCGTCATATGACTTGACCTGATCACGTTTTTCGCATTCCCGCGAAGTTGACGGTTTAAAAACTACTGCCAACTTCTGCCACACCGCACTGGCTTCAACACAAAGCACGCGCGACAAAAGAACACTTTATCCAGCAAACTGTATTCGTTACCTCAGGACTCAAGTCACGACGGCTTTCAGTCTTCGACATGGTGAAACTTGTAATGTTACGACGTAGCTATCGCAAACACTACTGCCATATATCGAAAGGTCACAGTCAGAATTGCTCACTTTCAATCACTAAACGGAAGTATCGGTAATTCAGAAATCTTCGGAAATCTAAAGTGCAAACTGTTTTGCAGGTTTAGCTGCGTTGGGGGCTTTTATAGCCGGAGGCCGGGGAATTTATGACCGCTACGCGCGTGTATCGTACGTTTGGGCGGAGTTTCCATTGTGCACGGCCATGACGAGTTACGGTTTGGAAAAAACCCATGGTTTCTTCGATGCTCTTTGTTAGGAAAAGGGGACGCCTGCGCCGTGTCTATTCATTTTATCCACCTATGATTTTGTCCACCGTTCATTTTGTCCACCAATAATTTTGTCAGATACAGTACTTAATCCAATTGGATTAAGTGGGCATCAACAGCGCTGCAACGATGCCCACATACGCCTGATTCATGATGACGTCTTTGTCGTCGGCTTGAACGAACATCTTCCCAATATATCTATATATGCGTATCAAACCTGATACCCGCATTGTATAATATTCACCCAAATTAGAAAAGCGGGATAACGTTTCTGCCTTTCCTGGCTCTCCAGCAATTGGAAAATCGAAATCACACTTATTACACCCAGTTGCCCTTCTTACGGCACAGCACACATTCAACTTTCCTAAACGCTGTTTGTTCCTGTTGCCAACAAGATGTCCGTCTCCAACCATTCCTGGGTCTCCTCATCGCTTCTTAATACAACGTTTATTCTTCGGATAACGCCTGCTGTCACAGCCTGGTTTGCCGTGTATGCGCTGATTTGCGGCATCGGAATAATCTTGAACTGCTTTCTCCTGGCGGTCAGTCTTTCTCCCAGCGGAAACTCCAAACCGGTTCCGGTTGGTTAATCGCGCATAAGCAGATCCTCGATGTGGTGCTCTGCGCTGTTGTTTTCCCCATCATGATCTCGCCCGTAATGAACTTATACGTGAATATCGAAGGCACTAATGTCTACTGCGTATGGGCCCAGTTGGTCCCGGGGACCTTACCATTAATGCAATCCGGCTATTGGACGGCTTTCTTCTTGGACGTCAACGTCCGGCCCCTCGCGCTACTATTCCCGCACAAGTACTCCGTAATCGCCTCAAAAGCCTCGTTAGTATCGTGTATTTTCATCTCATGGATTATCGCGCTGTTCTGCAATATTCCACGCTTCTTCCAAGTCGGAATGCGGTTTGGCTTCACGGTGACCTCCTGCGGCATCGTGCGTATCACCAGCAAAGTGTTTACCTATTCGGGCGGGCAGCATATCCCGGTGGTGATGTTAGGCGTGATGTATGTGGCAATATTTGGGGTTATTCGGATGAAGATGAACACGCGAGTGGGTGAAACGTCGCAGCGGGAGGATGTGGTAGTGACAGTGGCTCGGAGACGAGTGGTCATTGCCAAATTGTTATTTGCATCGTACGTCTGGAATACGGTATGCAGTCAGTTGCCCCTCGTGGTGCTGCAGTTGGTGTCGTATAGTTAAGTACAACAATCGAGTGATTCTGTTGTTGTGGCTGCGGACGATTTATACGTTGGAATATGCTGCAAATCCGGTACATATATTTTAATTTCAGTGTGTCCTGCTGCAACAGCAGCAGTTAATGGAGTATTTACTAAAAGTGAATGAATAAATGTAATGTCACCATGTAAAGTTGTAAACCACTTTTAAAAGATATGAACCTTTTCGCTGTCCTGTAGTCATATCGAATTCCGTGGTTTGTTTAGATGTTTTTTCTCTTGCTGAGTGATGAATATCAACAAGGAAGCAAGCAGCTCTTGGCTGCCATTTCTCGGTCTGTATGCCTAAGGATGATCAGTGGCTGTTTGTTGTCCCTGCACAACCGCATCGCAGTGAACGGACGGCTGACCTACATGGCGGGAGTGACACGAGAGCTAATCGACTTTGCCGCATGGCGTATCCAACCGACAAGTTGCGACAACGGTATCTATTCAAGTCGGACAGAGTCCTAAAATAGAACACTGATATGTTCTTGGTTCTGCAGCCATTTATCTGACCTGCGTATATAAGCGCATAATACAGTTTGACCCGAAATAAGTTCGTCTTCGCGTGCATTCACGCAATTGACTAAGGCAATGTACTGTAATTACGGACCGGAAACGAAGAATTACATCAGACTGATTCAGACATTGTAGTTAGTCTGTAGGTGCTGGTTGAAGCAAAAAAGCTGATTGCGTACAATTGTACGAGCGATCCTGTCTGCCAACTAATTTTCGCTGTTAAACTGTAGTACGTACTTGTACATGGTTAATTCATCATCCATGCAAAAACTGGTGACTTTTTATCTGATACTACTACTAGTGATACCTGTGAGTAGTACTAGTGATACCTGTGAGTTCACCACCTATACTGGAGGTTTTCCTGGTGTCGCCTAGACGGTCCGCACTTCACATGGGAAGAGCGTGGATATTCTTCACAGTGTCCTGGAAATGTGCACATTGCGCAACAACGCCGCTGGAGACAAATCATTAATGCGCTGTAAGTTACGGCCCGTAACCAAATCAGTTGTACAGAAACACTTTCGCGCGCGACTGTATGCACCATGTCCAGATAATACAAAATAAAGCCAAAATCGAAATGAAATTCGAAACAGGGATAACTTGCTTTTCGGGCAGTGTTCATTGGACAATACTGGAGAGTGGAATCATCCCAACATTGCGAGCCCGCGTAAAGGTTGACTTGAATTTGTTTCGGGGCACACCACTGCATTCTTAAACCAGTCCTTTCACCGCATTGTACAATGTAGGACTAAATGGTCGCATAGCCCCATACCCAGCATTCTGTACGCAAGCGGTGCAGTGCACTTGTACGAAACGGATATTTTGAACTCAGTCGTACAGTGCACTGCGCTGCATTCGTACTGAATGTGGAGATGTTGGGTATGCGACCATTTTGTCCTAAGCTGTATACCAAATCACGCTAATGCACATATTGGTGGGGAAAATGAGCTGATTTTCGGTTAGACGGTAAAACATGATTGTGAGAGCAACACGAAAGCATCATTCGTTGCCATATTTCTGCAATCTGCATTAACTGTACTTCTATAGAATTTTTCTATGGTTTCTGTTGTCGTGCACGCACACCCAGCCGGTTAGCCACCACGTAAATAAAGAATGCAAAATTATGAGAGTTCTGGAGGAGTGTTTCAAGATGTTAACATAATTTTCTCCTTCAAGATGATGTCATGCAGTGCAGTTTTAGAAAAATTAAGTAACCTGTCTATTATTACTAGGCATGCGCGTATGCATGTGCCACACCTTTGCCGCTAGTACGGTAAGCGATCTGATATTCGCTCCAGTTTTAACGGTGTCCTGTTTCCGCCTTCTGATGAGAACCAAAGACAGGGAGTGAGCCGTAATGATGTGCCAACAGCAAGCAACCGTATTTAGTTATTAACTGCTATGCAGTGAATGTTTTACCAAGAACTTACTATAGGTAGATTTATTTTAAGCAATTTAAGACAACGTAAAATCTCACACTATAGTAAGTACTTGGTTTTTTACACTATAGTAAGTACCTTTATTTGTTAAACTGCGGAAATTAGTGTTCAGATCACATGAGACAACTAGCCTTAATCTGTAAACATCGGCAGTTTCTTTAACGTTGACCCCGCGAAGTTATTGAACGTTATATCGTTGCATTTCTGCCGCAGGCATAATCCACGTTTAACCCCGAGCGGTTTTTGTGGAAGTGGTTCTAAACAGCTAATCGATCCTGTATAACAATGTAGGATGTTTTAACGCGTTTAGCACGGCAATTGTAGCTGTGATTGTATATTTCGCACAAGTAATGTTTTTCGTGGACCGTAATATTCCTCGACGCAGTTCGGAATCCGCGACCGCCGATCGTCGCGATAGTTTTCACACCTCCAGTAACGGACGAAAGTGGTTTACAGAAGTCGATCATGAACTGTTGCCTGGCCAGGTGCAGGGATTTGAAATTAATCGCGTTATTGCACATCGTGTGACGCTGCACAAGGAGATCTTCCTGTTGAATAGGTACTCTAGGTTTCTGCCTTTCGGTTTAATTGATAACCTTCTGTATCGGATGTTTAATATTTTCTTTGTGTTGAGGACGTACGATTACATTATTTCTAATGTAAATATACAATATACGTAGTGGCAGTATTGCATTTGTTCGTTTTAATTTGGTTCTGTAACTTCTGTTGCTTGAGGCATGTGACTTCTACGATACTTCTACAGTTCAGCCGATTGTAAGTACTGGTTGCAAAATTGCTTAAAATAAATCATTAATGGAACTATGTGTTGACAAAATTAATTGTCTATACGAAGTAGTGAACGATGTAAGTATACGCATATGAATGATATGATGCACAGAATACATTGAACCGTTGATTTTTCTACTTTTCAGTACTGCTCACGGGAAAGTTCTGGTTTTCGATGGCTTGACCCAGGGCACCGAAAATGATGGATTCGCTTACTACGAAATGTGTAGTCATGTCCCGCTTTGCTGTCATCCAGGTAAAAAATACCGCCCGGTACTACCCTACTCTGTAGGTGATATAGATATATATCGTATTGTACATTAAACTGTACATACAATACATAGTCGCCTAATATACAGAGTAGGTAACTAGACATACGGATTTTTGTGTTGCTCTGTTTTGAAGCCAGTCAACATCGCTATTCAGATGTTCGAAAACTCAAAGCTAGAATAATTAATAATATACATAGGAAGGCGGAAAGGGTGTTCTCATCCAGATCGCTGCTTTCGCAGTTGAACCAGTAATACAGATTACAGTGTGACCTATCTGACAAGCGGCAAGAGTTACTCGTATTACAGACTTTAACCGTTTTGATTATTTACCTATATGAATAACATTATACCCCACAGTGAGTAATTAATTATCGGTCGCTGTTTGTAGAACCAAAAAGAGTTTTGGTGATGGGCGGTTTGGATTGCTCCGGACTGGGCATCGAGATCCTGAAACATCCATCCGTTGAGCGGATTGTCCACTGTGAGGAGGACTCGGAAATGATTGACTTTCTGAAAGTCCACTTTACGCAGAAGGGCTTCAACCACAACAGCAACAAGTACGAATACTATCCCATGGAAGCCAAGGAGTACTTGCGCGGTCACAATGAGGAGTTTGATGTTATCATTACGGATTTCGAACTGCCATCGCGTATGTACTACGAGTAGGCATCGTTACGGCCACAACAAGTGACGGTGTTAAATGTGCATGTTTCGTAGTGCAACGGCATATATAAGACTGCACAGTTGCTAATAAGTACTTTTTTGATTGTGTCGGATTATGAGATTGCGGCAATGATATTTGATACTCACTTTTTAGCGGATACTGAAGGATTTTTCGGGGATTCTTTCTTCGAGCTGGTGAAAACTGCCCTGAAACCTGACGGTGTGACGATCACACAAAGTACGGCGATGGATGCATTATGTTGTTACAGTGTACTGGATCGAAACTGCTAAATACTCCGTTGGCGCAGCCAAATTTCAAATCTGAGCATGTCATTAAGTTTGTTTTTCAATCTATACAATCAATCAATTTTTCAATGATACTCCCTTGGTTTCACTTTTAAGCGGTTTAGTGTTGTTCTGGACACGGCCTTGACTTTTGGCACTGGGAATATTTTATTATTTTTATAGCATCGTGCTCAAAACCACTGAACATGATCAGATGTTTTTGATTGACCGCAGGTTGGGGAATCTGGGTGGAGTTGCGGCCTCCTACGATGATGCTGAAGGAAAACATGCGATGGGCCAGGAATCTCTTCGATTCCGTGGATTACTACACACTAGCGGCACCGTCGTTCACTTGCGGACAAGCTGGTACAGATTTATCTACGAACGCATACTGTATTTATTTTCCTTTTGTTTTGCACAGGGGAAAAACATCTTGCTAGTAGTAAACACACTCAGCACAGCCTAAACTTTAGCGATGCGGATGCTCTAATAAATTACAACTGCATGTTTGCTTCGACAGGTAACATTATCTGCTCAAAAGAATTGGTAAGTTGAATAACGTTTGAATAACGTTGAATCCAAGAAATCGAATGACCTGTATTATTCAGAAATACTCTTCGGGTGGCGTGTTCATGCGTGTAGTGACTGCAGTTATTACTGAACCTGAATACGTAGCTTTTTTTGTTTTCTGGAGGCCAACCCGCGTTTTGTGCATGGATCCAAAATAAATGTGATACATACATGTTCCGGTACTGACGATCGTGAATAGAGTACTTGCGTTGTTGTCACGGTACAGAATATTCGAACTGGAAAAACGGATTTGTACTGCATAGTTGTATTATTTCTCAGGTCATATATTATAGTATTCCGAAAGTTGTTTCGTTCCGAAGACTTCTGTACTTATATATATCTGCAGAATCGCCAGTTTAAGGCTCCTGTGAGAGCGTTGGCCGAGACTACCATCAAGGAATGGAAGCTGCGTTATTACAACCCGGACATCCATACAGCTTCTTTTGCACTGCCGCAGTTTGCTAAGGATTTGTTGTTTTCTACGGAGACGTCACGACGGTTCACAATGTGATTGGTTATTCCGGTTCGCGATGTTAACTTCGGACTCTTGCTTTAATTATACTGTTAGTGTTTACTGTCTACAATTGCAAGCAGAATATGCACTAAACGGCCACTTTTACCAATGGCGCAAAGAAGTGGTTTTCAGTTCCGTTATTTTTTCCTGCTGACCAGTAGTTACTGGTTTCATTACATAAATGAACTGAAAACTGATGTTAGAAACTTGGAACTGAATTGTGAAAATGAGATGATCCAATCGATTGACCGGACTTACTAGTAATTACAAAATCAATAACAATTGGACTAACCGATATCAACTTAGTTATTTACCAAGAAGTGCGCAGCGGGTACACATACAATCTGCATAGCATATAAAACGAATGTAGAAGAAGAAGACATACGAAGTACTGATGTAAACTTATCATAAAGGTTTCGAAAGCGCCAACAGCTGCACCGGAAACGTCGTATAATTACGGGGTTTGTATAAAATTCGAAGAATACTTTAGACATAACTGTAAAATTATTGCGAAAGCACCAAACTAATGTCCGATTCTGAATATTTTGAATGATTTTCTGTTTGCCGTGCTCCCGGTTTATTTTGTGAGCAAAATTTCCCTGCTATAGATCTGTACATCAGTTGCTGCGTTAGAAGTTTGGCGGTTTCACTTAATACCACAAAAAACTTAAAATTAATAATTTGATAATCATGAGTACTTAATTAAAAAAGAGAACTTGGCGCCAAGAAGTACAGATATGGGTAGTTGTACAAACCAAGCGCACCAGAACCAAATGTCAGACTGCCCAGTATCCACAAAAACCTTGGAACTCACGTAACAGCCTTTACAAGAAGGCGGTAATCGTACTGCAGGGGTATAGTATAGTTGTACCACTACGCAGTACGCACTACGCACCCGATTTTGGAACACTCTTATTCAAGGCGCAGCGCCAATTTCATTGCATTTTTACAAATTTATTTTATTTTTCGTTACACAACTTGTTTATCCTGACTGCCATAGTTTTACTGTTTTATTGTTTTTTAATCAGTTTGTTTAGTCCTGTGCGACTGCGTAAACAGACAAGTTTAAAACAGCTGATTGGTTTAACAGCACTTGCTGCGCTTGTCGGTTGTGTCAGTCGTCTGCGTTTGTCGTACAACGAACCCATCCAGGTCTCTTTCGGGCGCAGACTGACATACTGATACAGCCCGCGTTGTTCTCGCCTTCTCGGGGAGGCCTCTTTCGTTTTTGCACATTTGTTTACATTTGTTCCATCATTATCGCCCGTCGTATCATCCTTATTACAGCGTTTTCTGGTGGTACTTCATACGCCACGACAGTATCTGGCATTCTAATCTTGTTCTGTCGTGTTTGGCTTAAGTATTGATCAAGTGTTGTCAGTAGCGCTACAGTCACACCATACACAATCGTCCGTGTATCAAAGCGAACATATCTCTTTTACTCGTAATTTCTGCGTTATATGACGGCTGATCGGAAGTTCCAGGGAGGGGAAGACCCAGTGCAGACGTGAAAGCATTCACCATCAGTATTCATGGTTTTTATCTGGACTGTGTATCGCTTCTCGGCTGACCGGGCACTTAATCGTCGTTTGTTATCGGGTTTGCAGCGTTTGCTCATTTAGCCATTTGCCATTGCACCCGCTTCCCTTTGGCTGCAGTTATCGCTGGATTTGTGATTTTGAATCAATCTCAGCAGAGGTTGCTAATTCGGCACGTTATCATGCGCGCATCTTTCGAGCGACCATAAGTAAGTCAAGGATGCGCTATAGTCTATACCTACGTTTTTTGAATTTTAGTTGCTCAATTTAGGATTGTGAGATTTACCGATGCGGCAATTTTTTGGGAATTTAGAAGATAGCTCTTTCAAAGTGATTACTGAATTCTGCCAGTTTTTCGCTCCGCTGTTCGCTCTAGTGTTTTCCCCAAAACATATTCGTTTAATGTGAATCGTTTAATCAGCTTTAATTAAATATGTAGAGTTTTCTTGCATTTTCAGCTGAATCTTTTCCCCTTGGACTTTCCTCGCGGTTACTTAATTTAATTTTATTTTGACCAGTTTTGAGTTTCGCATTTCTAACGCGCAGTTTGCTCACCAGAATTGAATGCGTATTGAGTGTGAGATCATATGGTTGGATGAAAGGATTCGGTTCTTCTCGGTTGCACTGGTGTGTGCACTGCATTCGCTCATGTAGCCCAGCTGTTGACAAAAAGTCCATGCGTTTCTGTCCGAACGCGGTGCGGTGCAATTCGGTATCAAATCGGAAGCTGCCGCTCGTCCGCTTCTGCTGCTGTTAGTGAATGCCTGCGAGTGCCGAATGACGCCAGCAGCCGCGAACACAGACACACACATACACAGTTCCTGTGTGTGTCTATTTTACTTGCCTGTTTTGATAATAATTCACTTTATGAAGAACCTCTCACCGAAACCTGATTCCAGTTGCTCTGTAGTCGGTTGCGTCGTATTACGCTTGGGCTTTCTGTTTTATGCTGTCTGTATATACCAGGCAGAAGCTGTGTGTGTAATGGTATATTTTTGGTTTTGTTTGTTTTCGAAAATTAGCCGTGAGCTGTAAGTAAATGATCGCATTTCTCGGCAGACTTTTGTGCCTTTCGGTTGAACAGTCAGAAAAAATAACGTGTCAGGCCGTGTCGGAATGGGATCTCTTCCCGTCACAGTCAGAAAGAAATATATTACCTTTTTGTTTTACTTTCAGAAGATTTGATTTTCAAAGCCGATTGTAAAATTTTTCTCCCAGCGCTAGCTAGACCGTGCTAGCAGGAGCCGGAATAGCCGCATCCGGTGTATACTCGTATGGCAGGTGTTTTCGACGTCAAAGAAAAGACGAATGATTATTAATACCCGTATACACATCGGATATATATAAGTGCTTTATGAGTAATGGGTGAACAGATAGTCAACGGTTTTTGAAAATTCACGAGCATCCCTTAATCCGCAAATGATTTGTTCACTCTTTCAGGCACAACACACAACCTTGCGCTCGCTGCATACGCTGCATCCCGGTTTTCTTGTATTCTCCCACATCAATCGCGCAGCCAGCTTAATAGAGCGGATTCACATTGGAACAACACAGCGGCTGCACTTGTGTGGTGTTGGGAGAGTGCATTTATGTACGGACCAAGAGCGCATGACGTGGATCGTGCTTTGCGATCGAGAGAGGAAATCCTTTTTCCTGCAGCTTAGAGACCGCGGCATCTGTGGCACGGTGGCTGCTGCTGTAGCAGTCCTAATACGCCGCAGTGCATCGTCACTCACGGCACACACATGCTGCAACGCCGACTGCACTGATCAGCAGGGAGAAGGGAAAGGGAAAATATTTCTTTTATCGATTTGCACCAGTCGGGTTCGTTGTTATTTTGCCATGGCATATGTACGGCACGTAGCGGCGTTAATGTGATATCTTGCTGGCCTCAGCCAACGGGATCGCGCATTAAGCATCATACAGTTGACACACACATACACGGCGGCATCAGCGGAGCATGGCATAGCGTGGATCAACGTTGGGCCAGTAGCAGGATATGGCTTAACTGCAGATTCCCCCTTCATCGACACACACGCTGGCGACAAAAAGCGCCGTTTTCTGTGTGTGTGTACTAAAAAGCTTATACTGTTCGTGAGATCCATTGTGATTAACATTGTGCGCCGAGTGGATTACACGCATTCCTGGGATATTGGTGTTTGTTTGTTTCAATTCGAAGAATGCTGGTGTACTGGGATGACAGCATAGGCTGAACCTGTGCCATTGTTGCTGATCAGCGTTGATTATTATTTTGTGGACACTTATATATGTCTTTAAATTATTACTGGTGATTCTTGTAATTCCTAACTGCGGCATCATCATGGCGGACTTGGAAGCGGTATTGGCCGATGTGTCCTACCTGATGGCCATGGAGAAGAGCAAGCAGTCGCCGGCCTCCCGGGCCAGCAAGAAGATTGTCCTACCTGATCCCAGGTGCGCGCATTACTGCACTCTGTTCTGCTCATCCAGCGGAAAGACGACGTGGTCGCCTTATTTGGTTCCTTGACGTCAGTGTGGTATTGTGGTTAATCTCTACTATTTTCTCTCTTTCTTTTCGGGTTTGCCTATAGTGTACGGAGTGTCATGCACAAACATCTGGAGAAAATGGGAGAGGTGACATTTGAGAAGATATTCCATCAACGAATCGGTAAGACCCTCTGTGTGTATATGTGCCGTTGAAGAATCGTAAATTGTTGGCAGACGGTTTGCTAATTGTTTGCCTGCTAGCGATAATGCCTTGGCCTCAGTTGTACGCGGGGCTGGCTGCGTGTCTGCCGCTGTAAAATGTACAAGTGAGTGCGGTGGTGAGTGAATAGGTTGGCTGCTACTTGGACGCGGATGTTAGTCTTTGTGGCCGTTTTTCTCTCTCCCTGTTTTCCATTGTAACGGTGTGTTGTCGTTGCACAACACACCGCCGTCAGACGTTGAGTAGCGCACTTTATGTCTACATAGTTGACCTTATGACGACAAGTGCCAGCATCATGCTACGGTAGTGGTGGTGCAGTGTGTATACGCGCAGTCAGGTGACTGTGCGTGAGGGACGCGTCGTTAGTTTCCTTCGTAAATTCTGGAGCGATGGTATTATTAGAGTAATCATCGTGAAATATCGCTGGTGGTGGTTGTCGCAAGACTAAAAATAGCTGATAAAGCAGTTGCAAATTTATGTTCGATGGCGGCTGCAATTGACGCGCCGGCTCGTTCGATCATTGTGCCCTGGATGGTCAGACAATTTCCCCTTGATGTCTTAGCGTATCCGAGAACGGCGAGAAAAGGATTCTGATTTAATTATGCTAAATGACAGGTGCACTTGAGAAACGTTAACAAAAGAACCGGTGAACTGTGTGACAAAATTGTAGTGTTTCCGTGTTTTGTAATGAGGAACAGTTAAGGATGTCTTGCAGTTTGTCCCGACTGGTTGCCGGCTAAGGAAAGCATAACCGTTTAGTACGTCCCTTAATGATCCATTTGTGCGTTGACAGAATTGCAGCCGATCGGGTCTTGGCTTTGAAGCGGCGTTAAAATCCTGTAAAACCCCATAAAATTAGGGAGTATTTATGTTTCCTGGGCCTGGGCGCGCAGTTGAATGTGATGGGTGATATCTATCCGAGTAACTTTGTAAATTATTTATTGCCCAGTCTCATCCGGCTATGCGTACGCGTGCCGGCAACGGCGGGCCGACGCGCGCCAGACAGAGCAGAGGAAGGGAGCAAGACAGCGAGGGAGAGAGATGCAAGTTTTTGACAGCAAGAGCGCGGGCGAAACAGTCCGTATCCACCTCGGCCCAAATGAGTGCTTCCCGATTCCGTGGGTGACGTTGATTGGTCTAATATTCCTCCCGCCTTACACAAGAGCGCAGCGGGATTGCTATGCTTTTACCGAAAAAAATGGTAAAAAATCAGGAGATATATGCTATATGTATGGGCCGGATGGATTTGTTGTTGAGGTTTTGCGCGCGCGTTGTTCACCGACGCAGTCCTTTGCGTGTGTTATACGCGCATGTGTGTGATGCTGACTTTGATCATTATGTAAAATGAAGTCTGGAGTAGGGATAAAAGCATGTCAACTCCACAGTCGAGTGCTCTGGGTGATGATCGGCCGTGATACTGGATGGGAGCTGGGAGAGCATGTCTGTTTGCACATTTTCAGCGAATTTACGGAGAAAGCGACAGTGTGTATATGATCACTGTATTATCCGGGCGTTAAACATGTACAATGATTCGGTTAGCCGTGTTTTTAATAAGCCAGGGCGGTAATTAACAAACGCCTTCTTTCGTGAAATTTTGCCTTCGTTGCTGATGGCCGATCGATCGATTGGCGATGACGTGCAGGCTATTTTTATGACGCAGGGCTGGTGTAATTATACTGTATTTACGACAATAACACCGTGTGCTTCGTTAAAGGTTAATTGCGTGTGTACGGTATCTAATATAGCGTGTTGTTTGGGTTGCTTTTTTCGGGAAATGGCAGAAAAACGTTTGCTGCGTATTGGTCAAGTGTGGAAGCGAACGCAGGTGGGTTTTCACCTGCCGCTGTATGCATGCAGGGATGGCGTACAGCCGGAATCAGGAATAGGCGAGAGGTGGCAAAGAGGGGCAAACGTAACATGCCATTGTCGCTAGTTCAAGTACAAAGGAGTTGCCTGATGAGAAAGAGCAGGTCTTTTCAGTCGGTGTGTGTACTGGATCGATAATTGTACAGCAGGTAAATTTGTGGGGTCGAAGTTTCTGTACCTAACCGTGAGTAGTGATGTGAAATTGCACAATCATGTTAGTTTTAGCATACCACGGAAGCGGAAAGCATAGTTCGTTTTCTGCAACTGTGTGGCAATGCATCTGAGTGTGAGGATCCCCGATCCGTTTAAGTGATGCTGCGGGTAATGAAATCACGAAATGATGACTCACGTATCGACAACTGCTGTCCAGGAATATTCCGTGAATTTCGACAGAAAGTAGAAGAACAGATTGCGGTCTTGTCTCGCTTATGCTTTCCACTTATCAGTTTTTTGCTTCTAGTTTATTATTGTTTTGCACTTTATCATGGGTTTTTAATTTTATTGCGAAAATTAACATAATTTTACTTTGTTTTGGCGTTTTGTTCGGTACTGGGGGTAACCAAATAGTGCCTTGGCGAATACCGCTGATGTCTGCACTTGATCGTTTGGTTCTGTGACGGTAGATTGCGTGTAAACTAATTGACAAATTGGACGTGAAACATCGTTAAGTTGTCTTTTGATGGTTGTAACATTGCATACGCGTTAACTGGGACGCGTGAACATAAGCGCACATGAACTTATTCGCCAGCTTATGCCAGAACAATCAGTGCATAGGTTCGTCGTTGGAGACTTCTGCCTTTATATTGCGGGAACACATATCGCATAGTAGCCTGGGGATCGAATGATTTTCGATGTTGGTTTGCAGTTAGAATTTGAGAGGAGGCGGACGCACGCCACCTTTTGAATAATTGTGCCATTTCGCATGATATTGTGTCATTTTTTATGTGTGGCTCACAGAGCAATAAAAAAGCAACCTTGGTTCGTGCTGTGTTTTAACGAGTTATATATCAAAACAACAAAAATGGGCGAGCTTGTTCATGTTTGAAATGGAATATTTTTACAAAATACTACTTGATACTAACGCTGCAAGGTCAGCTTTGGATGTAGCGCAACGGCAGGGTGGAATAAGCCTCATTGCTCCTTTTAGGCATTGTGCAGGTCGTTTTAACGAAATTTGATTTTTTTCCTTTTTGACGTAAGAAAATTGGAATTCTCTCCCAACTGTTTTGACTCTGCGCAGTTTGAACTGTGTGCTCTGCTATTGTTAAATTTATTTGTAGAAGTGTAGACAAAATGTTGAATCGAAATGCTTTTTTACTACAATGAATAATTATGTATGTTTGGGGAAAAAGCGACAGTGTGTATAAAAAAGAGAGTTATTCAAGAGTTTTGCCAGAGTTTATTAACCGTGGAAGAAACATAAATGTTTCACACTTACCACTTGTCAGATTAAATTCTTGTTATTAAATGACGTACGCTATTGGAATGTTGATGAGTTGTTGATGAAATTGTTTGGAGTTGCAGGATATCTCCTCTTCAAAGACTTCTGCGAAAATTTACACGCGGAAACCGTGCCTCATTTAAAATTCTACGAAGAGGTAAACAAATTATGCATCACTGAAGCGAATTATAGTTTATGAGCAATTTATAATTATCTTACATTAATAATAAAAGCATTAACACTGACACTGAAAATAACGTGCTATGTTATTAATGATCCTGGTTTATTTTGTGGCGATTGACAAAGTCCATAATGAATAATAATTCAGCAACAGTGAATAAACCGTAAGTATTAATGATAATAACTTATTAATTAAAAAGATACTGTTGGACATTCCGTTGAATAATACAAGGCCTGCACTGAACAGTATAATACTTTATCGCTAATTATTAATGAATTATTATGTTATGTATAAGTAATTTTGTGCCACCGTAGCATCTGTGATTAATACACGCGGAAGCGGCGTTCTTTGTCGGTGGATTCTATTTTTCTTTGTGGTACGTTGCAGATTAAGCGTTATTCCAAGATGGAAACTCCAGAGGATCGGCGGAAATCTGCCAAAGAGATCTACGATCAGTTCATTATGAAAGAATTACTGACCTGCACTCACGTGAGTCGATTGTCTTTGTGTCAGTATGTGACATTGATCATCCCATAAGAGGCATCATTATCTTCCCGTTTCCGCGCGCAGAGGTTTTCTGAGGATTCCGCCGAGCATGTGCAAAAGTACCTGATGAGAGGCGAGACGCCCAATGATCTTTTTGATGTAAGAAGAGAAAGCTAGCGAGAGCAAGAACGCTGTCGTTATTGAAAAAGATAAAAAATGACATTATTTCGGCTTAACTGGCTTTTATATCTGTGTGCGTGATGATAGCCCTACTTGGATGAGATCCACGATTTTCTCCGAACCAAGTTATTTGATCGATTTCTTGAGAGGTACGTCGGATGGGTGACGCGACGGATCGTGAATGCAGTTGTAATTATGATGATGGTAATGGGGGTCTTTTTGTGATGTCTACAGTGATAAATACACCCGGTTTTGTCAGTGGAAAAACCTGGAGCTCAATATTCAGCTCACAATGAACGACTTTAGCGTCCATCGTATTATTGGCCGTGGCGGATTTGGCGAGGTCTACGGCTGCCGCAAAGCCGACACTGGACGAATGTAAGCAAAGTACTTATTTAATTTCGTTGGTAAACACTAGTTGACAAACACAAATTTGACGATAGTTTACCAACTATTGGCGTGTAAATCGTGTGATGCTTTAAGTACACAGCGAATAAAAGATCCCAGATTGATGTCTGTTTTAAACAGCTTTTCTGACACATCATTTCGACGCATACATAATAGCGGGCGGATACATGCAATCATGCTTTGTATGTACAGCATGCTTTTTGAAATGAACAGATGCTATGCAGAGTATTCTTTCTAAAGGCAAGTGCTTAATTAAACGAAGTAAGCGGACAGTTAAGACAAAAATCAGCAGTAGAAAGTCACAATAATCTTTTTCGAAATGTGAGACGTTTCACTTGCACATGGACCTTGGTGGTCCTAGAACAGGAAGAACATAGAAGTGCTCCTGTTTTGCTAACACGAAAAAGCCGGCTGGGCCTGAAAAAGTGCGCATGTAGTGTCAAATATCTATGGGGATTGTTGATGTTGTATGCTTGTTGATAAGTGGATTTTCGCTTAGCATTGTGTACATAATTGCACTCGAGAGACGGGACTGTGCCTGTTAGAAACGCGCACCTCGGTTTGTGCGTTTGACTCCGACTAACCGCGCGCCACTGTCACAGCGGTGGGGAGATTACGCGCGCTGCTCGCGATCCTGCGTGCCGGCACCCGTGGCACGCAGAGGTCATCAAATGTAGTCGACATTTTCACTCATGATCTGTCGTCTCTCCGTGTGCACTGTCTCTAATGCGGGTGTGTTTTTTCTCTTTCACGCTTGTTTAGGTACGCAATGAAATGTCTGGATAAAAAACGTATTAAATTAAAACAAGGCGAAACCCTGGCACTGAACGAACGGATAATGCTGTCACTCGTTAGTACGGGGGTAAGTGTGCGCTTCGACACGAAGTCTTTAACTAAAGAGCACAAATGGCACTGTGCATTGATCGGCCATGTGCGTAAATATGCCATAATGAAAGCGGCCCCCATGTATTGGGGCTGTATGAGTTCGATAGAGCGGTTAGCGGAAGTGGTTATGTGGTCTTAACTCTAACTCTCTTTTCTCTGTTTCCATATGCGAACAGGATGGCTCGCCCTTTATCGTCTGCATGACGTATGCTTTTCAAACCGCTGATAAACTGTGTTTCATCCTCGATCTGATGAATGGTAAGAGGGAATGTTGTTTTTGCGTGCTGGCGTTAGGAGAGAAGTTGGAGTGGGTGTTACAGTTATCTGGAGGACATGTGTGGGGGTTGGGCACAGTGACCTTTGTGGGATGTTTTAGGTGGAGATCTGCACTACCATTTGTCGCAGCATGGCGTTTTTACGGAGCAGGAGATGCGCTTCTATGCATCGGAAGTCATTCTGGGATTGGAACATATGCACCGCCGCTCCGTGGTCTATCGAGATCTCAAGGTCAGTCATCCCATATGGCGTCCGTCTCTCCTCCTAGTTCTTGGGTTTTCCCCAGAATTCTGAAATACTGGTTGAATTTCGATATTGCATCCTGTTAGTAGTGTTACATGCTGGCAACATAAAAATACGAAGAATGTGAGAGACATTAGTCTCTGAAGCGGTTTGTAATAATGTTTCTAATTGGTGCATCCAATTTTTTTGTAATTTATCATGATACATGTATATATGAAAAGCTTGCTTTCATGGGGTGTTTATATTCTTTAAACGGTTTTGTTGTGTGCTTGGTGTTGTAAATTGATTAATGTCTTCAAGCGAATATGTCTAGAAAAAGCAAAACTAAGGTACATAGATAGGCACATCCATCTCTTATGTACCTTGACCATACAGTAGGCATACACATTAAATCTGAAAACCCCCATTCGTACGTACTAGGGCCACGTAAGGGTATGGTGAATGCAGCATATCGTTTGTGTGTACTTATCTTTTCAATTTCACTGTAAGTTCGGTTTTCGGTTTTTTCATAATGGACCGCCTTCATTGGTTTTTGTGGTTTGCTTCAAGATTTCCACCCTTTTGCAGCCTGCCAACATTCTGCTGGATGAGCACGGGCACGTACGGATCTCGGACCTTGGTCTAGCCTGTGATTTTTCCAAAAAGAAGCCGCACGCCAGCGTGGGTACGCATGGCTACATGGCTCCGGAAGTATTGGCCAAAGGCGTCGCCTATGATTCCAGTGCCGATTGGTTTTCACTGGGCTGTATGCTGTACAAACTGCTCAAAGGGTAACAATTAATGAATTCATATAATAATCTATCAGCAGCGCACATTTGGCATACACAATAATATGATCAGTCCTGCGCGGGCGGTGCTCGTGCAGCCGCCGGATTGGTCTGGTGAAAAAACGGCACCCGGGCTGATTTGCCATTGCTAATCCCCGTGTGTATGTGTCCGTTACAGACACAGTCCATTCAGACAGCACAAAACCAAGGATAAACAGGAAATCGACCGAATGACGATGACGCAAGTAAGTGTACTGATTAGAGTGGGAGAGTGAGTGAGCTGGGATTGTTAGCGAGCGAGTAAGAGCGCGCGCGCGGCTTTTCGGGTACGTAAATGGCTGTGCATTACCAACAGGATTTCCACAGTCTGGAGCTGCCGGATACATTCACACCTGAGCTGAAAGATTTATTAGAAGGCCTACTGAAACGCGACGTGCCCGATCGATTAGGATGCCGGGGAAAGGGGGCCGATGAGGTCAAGGAGCATCCTTTCTTCAAGGGCATCGACTGGCAGCAGGTCTACCTGCAAAAATATCCGCCGCCTCTCATACCGCCCCGCGGGGAGGTTAATGCGGCGGATGCTTTTGATATTGGCAATTTTGATGAGGAGGATACCAAAGGAATAAAGGTAGGGTTGCTTTTATGAACTGATGGTGCATGTGCTTTCGGAATATTATTTGCTGTTTATTTGGTGCGTTTTTTTAGTTTTGAATTGTTGTATCCAACGACAGTTTTCATACTCATTAAATATAGCCTGTATTGCAAGTGATGATTAGGGTATAAAATGAGTGTCAGTATGGTAAATGGGTGTTGATCGTATGAGTGGTTTGACTTATTGCGCGCTGTTTTGTAGCTCAGCGAAGGGGACCAGGACCTGTACAAAAACTTTCCCTTGGTCATATCGGAAAGATGGCAGCAGGAAATAACCGAGACAGTCTTCGAGATTGTCAACCAGGAGACGGATAAAATTGAATTCAAACGGAAGAGTAAACAGCGGTCTAAACAGTACGACCAAGATGAGAAGACGTCCGACTGCATCATCCATGGATACGTTAAGCGCCTGGGCGGTCCGTTCAGTAGTCAGTGGCAGCAGCGTTATGCCAAGCTCTTCCCTAACCGTCTTGAACTGCATCAGGACAACGGCAAACCAGAGGTATTGGGTGTTGTTCTTCTCTTCTAATATTCGTCCGTATTGTAGTAGCTGTATTGGCTCAGTGTATTTGCAATGACTTTTCCGTACGAGTACTACAGTACTGTACTGTGGTATTCTTGTTTTTGTTCTCCTGTATGTAGTTCAGTTTCTTGAATAGAAGTAGAATAGAAGGGAATATATTTTTATTGAATCGCTATGATAACTGAAGTAAGCACTGTCAGTATTCGTACGCTATTGTATTTGTGTAATTCGATCGTTGTCGTAAAATTTTCTCCTCGTAGCTTTTGCCAGTGGCAACGTATTTAGTTGGTAATGAGGTGATAGTTAACTCTGTTAAGTGCAATCGCGTTACCGTTTTGATGAATGATGGAGCAGTAATAACTTCGGTCATGCTTGCTCGTAACCTTACTCTTTTTTTCTTATTAAATAATGAGGTGATAGTTAACTCTGTTAAGTGCAATCGCGTTACCGTTTTGATGAATGATGGAGCAGTAATAACTTCGGTCATGCTTGCTCGTAACCTTGCTCTTTTTTTCTTATTAAATAATTTACATGCGCGTGCAGCGTTTATTTTATATGACGCCACTTCGTCATGTGCTGTTTATTACATCTTCTGATTTGATAAATTGCTTATGCCAATTATCCATAAATGTTATTTATGCCGTCGGTAAGCAAATCAGGTTGCGCGTTTTCCCAGATGATCCTGATGGATGAAATGGTGGATGTTAGTCAGGATTATCCGCAGGTGAAAGGAGAGCCGTCCATAATATTAAAAATAAAAGATGGCAACAAGATTGTGATCGCCAATCAGGTGAGCTACATTGAATGGGAAACAAGCCTGTTTATCCCGGTTAGTGTTTATTTCTACTCAACGCGGTGACCTTGCGTCTGTGTAGGATGATATTGGATTAAAAGAGTGGGCGCAGGCTCTGCGCGCCACTTTCCGCTCTTGTCAGGAGCTGTTCAGTAATGCCGCGGCGCGGAAAGCAACCAAAATCTACGGCACCCTGACAGACGGGAATTCGGTAGGGATAGGCGGCGGTGGTGGAGGCGGCGGGAACATGACGCCGTCATCGCCCAGCCATGCCATCTCCACCAACAGTCTAACATCGTCCAGTTCCCGTTCGGGCCTGATGCGGGGGGCCAGTTCCGACACATGACGGTGGGCGACATGTCTCTGGCCCAAGAGCATCGCGCCACCTCGGTGAACATATTCCCGGTCCCCCCGCCCACACAATGTACCTGTGTTCCCTCCTCCCCCGGTGGTGTGGCGGTATTGGGCGGGGTGTATGTGTGTGCTTGTGCGTCTCTCTAGTCAGAGGTTACTTTTTCTTGGATTAATTATTGTGCGGATAAAAAAATGTGGGGTGTTTTTTAATTTGTCTTTTTCTGTCTGCGAAGAGAAATTTTATGTGGCGGCTGGCTGGGTGGAAAGAATCTTGGAGCTTTTTTGGTTTTTCTTCTTCTGGGAATCTGTTTTTCTCCTCTCCGTCGAGTGCAGAAATATTTTTGACCACGACAGACTGCGCGACACAGGACTGTTGTATTGTACACACAACGATGCGGGATAATATTCACAGTTTAAATTCGTTGTTTTTCCTTTTTTGGTTGTAGGCAAGAAGCTTTGTCGAAGAATCGGTCATCTTGTTCTATTTTTTTCGTTTTGACTCAAATTTCTGTTGTTATTAAGGAAACTGGGATACTTTATTAAAATGTTACGCATTAAAAGAAGCAGTTTGTGTGCGATGTTCTAGTGTGTACAACGTCGAGATCAGATTACTAATATATTGCATATTCTTCGTAACATATTACGCATTAATGTAGCTACACATACCTTTTGTAAATGTAAGCTTGGACAGATTTTTTTGAGAAAAGTTAAGTATGTCTTACAACTCATCCTTAAAGGAATGCAAAATGTTGATACGATGCTTGAGATCTTCCTTCTTTTTGTCGGCTATCTTCTCGCTCTGCAGTTTTTCCACGCGTCTGATTTCCTCGGCAACAAATTGTTTGCCCTTCTCCAAAATTTTTTTCATTGTGACCAGATAGATTTTTGCATTGTTCTTGGTCGCGGGATCCGTGATCTCGGCAGCTTTGCTTTCGGCTTCCTGGAGTAGCGCTTCGCGCTTCCCGGGGTCTTCTTCAGCCGTGAACAGTCGTGCGAGTTCATCGAATTCCTCAATGCATGCAGCTAAGCCCACCCACACTCCTGTGTTGCAAAAACAGAGTGCCGGTTGAACTAGGACAATATAATGAATACCTTCTTCTTATATAATCTTTCGGTAAACCATGTACAGAGTACTTGTACAGTAAACCTTTCGGTAAACGCCGATACCGGCACTAAATTACAACGGTACATATATAATATAGTGTGCACTGTGTATTGTACACAAACCGTTTAACTTTTTTCCACAAGGAGAACAACTTCAACCCACATCAAATTTCTAACAAACTGCCTTATTAGTTATTACATAAATAACATTTGTGGCAGTTACGATGTACGTATATAATTTTCGTTGGCCATAATATTATCATAAGAGTATAACCACACGTCATTGCTGATATAGTTATATAGGTCTGCAACAGCTCTCTATGAATTATAATAATTCTTTACATTATGGCGCCCCGAGAGATATTACTTTTGTTATTACGGTACGTGTGTGCTCGTGATCCGTTTTCATTGCTTACCTCCTCTTGACTTTAAGAATCGCTTAATATCATCGGCTTGGAAATTTCCGGTGTATGGAATGGGATCGTCCGTTCCACGTATGAACAGCTTCAGCACAGGAAAATCATCCTTGTTCACGTTGAACCGTTCGGCTAAATCGGCATTCTTTTTATCGCCATAGTCTAAGCAGAAACATTCAGACTTTCAGTTTATTGTGTAAAGTGGTGGGGGAAATTTCCAATTAATCGTTACTGCAGGTGTAAATGTAGAAATGTACGAGTAAAACAGCAGTTAAACGAAACTGTTCATAAACCTGCAGTATTCACTTCTGCAAGCAGTAAATCCGGGTTGGCATGTGCCGCTTCCGCCACTTTAATATATTCGTCGTGCTTGTCGCCGTGCGGGAACACCCTGTCGAATTTGACTAGTGCCACTTTGAACAAGGGAAGGATCTGGAAAAAGTCATTGCTACATCGTATTACATTTGAAAATTTTTCATAAAACCATTCAATCTACACAAAGAATTCCAACCGCATATGTAATTTTGCCAGCTTCGTGCCGAAATGAATTGCAACTTAACTGCAATAGTAATGTCATAGTCAAGCATTCAGTCGAGTCTTGCAGTTAGCTCTGACATTAAAAATTATTATTCCATAGTTTATAAATCCAGTGGGCACCTGCCTTGTCAAACGTCCATCCATCCAGGGGAACAGATCCTTTGGCATCTTTACTCTCGGTTAAACCAGCTGCAATGAAGCAAATGCATGCAAACCAGCAAAACTTAGTTACTTTGCTGCATGTATCCATCGTTAATCAGTTCATATGTTATGTTTATTGTACATCCGCAGAATTCACAATTTAGAACATGGAGGGATTAAGATTGGTTTAACTAATCTAATCCAGCACCTCGCAGTAACTAGAATGCTCCGCATATATACATGCAGTCCCAGGTGTCAGGTGGCGAAGATGCAGTCGATAGTGCCATGCCGCTTTTACTTGCGAAGGTTTGTGGGATGCGCAAAAGGGTACAGTATAAATAAGCGTACGGTGCAAAACGTACCGGCGGAACTGGAGAGAAATGAGGACAACTAAGTGCATACGCACCAAATGAATGCAGTAGAATTACCATTAAAACGGTGTAGCAATAAAGACACCTTGCAGCAGCCCGGTGCAGTGTCAAAATTAATACTGATACACAGCAAAATTATTAGCAGCAATATAATTTTGCTGTTTGCGCCATTATTATGCGCCCATCCAAGAGTACGAGTACAGTAACTGCGGAGGCGGTTAAACCCTGATGCCCTTTTATTAAGGAGGGAACTATTTAGCGATTTGCTTGTACAGTACTTTGTATGCGAAAGTTTTTGATTTTTTCGGCATATATAGGACAGCATTAATGTTCACGTGCAAGATGCAACTTCAGTATTGTTAGGATATGCCAGAGCAAACAGCAAAACTCCACTTATTTAATAAAATACCGAAATACTTTCCACTGATCTCAAAGGAACATTTAGTACATATCCGTTCTTTAATACAGTAATATCTGAATTATGAACATTTTTGCCTCCACGTAAAGTACAGCATTCCATAAGACACAAATAGCAAATAATCTCTCATACAGATCACATACTCTGTTACACATATAAACTCTACATGCAAACCTAAAACTTAAAGGAGCTGCGTTAATCGGAGATTCCCAAAACGAGGAGATTCCATCAATGAAAAGCAGCACACAGCAGCAAAACGACCAGAGAAACAGGTTAATCACGGATCACAACGACTAAACAGTAACAGAATAAAGGCCACCTATGTGGACAGAAATATCTCTTTTTGAGCATTACGGTTGAGGATTGGCTAATTCCCATTTCTGATCCAGTATGCGAATATAATTCTGTATTTAACGCCTAAGCCATCCGGTCTACAGTTTCGATTATATGCGAAAACTGTCTTTGCTATCATCGAGATGGCGCAGCCTCAGATAAACATCCGTTCCCAGACCTTGCATTGACTCGATTTTTAACGATCCGCCCAGGTAATCCGCATATGCCGAGGATGTTGGCAGACCAAAACCGAATCTACATTAAAAGCAAAAGATATTTTTTTCAGATAATAACACGCTGACCGTTTCTATTAAATTTGTTTACAAAGGCAGTATTTGATCCTAAATGAAATGAACTAACCCCGCATATAAAACGTGACCTGCTCAATAACCAACTAAAACAGATACAATTCACGCAGTGCTAAACAAGGCGCATTCTTCCCAGCCGAACGGGCACGCAACAGTAAAGTGCTTCTGAATACACAGAGTAAATTAGTTCCGCAACACCAGAATACAATCAAGTACGAACGAACCTGGTGAACTTTGAGCATTATTAGTAGTGTTGCACTACGCCTTTTAATATAATAATGTCAGGGCAACATGACGGTGTGAAAGCACTCTATCTTATTCCGTATTTAGGTATCACACTTCGCGAACTACATTCCCAACAGATTCCATACCCGTGCATGGGTCCTCGCGTCACACCGGGGTTGGCCATGGAAATGAAATCATCCATGAATCCCGGTTCCCGATCGCCGGTCGTATCCGAATAGAACAACGACGCGGTGGTATAGTGATAATCAAAGATATATGGCAAGTGCCGATGCGGTATACCGGCACCGCGATCGGAAATGCGGATAACAAAATCTACGTCGTTGTTGGCCAGCATAACATGGACACTGGGGAGAGTGTCCACATCGACGTCCTGGTGATTCTCCACGGTTGCTCTACAAAACATTCACTCGGTGTCAGTCAAAGACAACGGAAAACGATCACTTGTTCGATGTATACTCGTACCTCATAGCATTTTTAAACAATTCCGGAAGGATATAATCCAAAGGGGCAGAGACATATGGAAACGATGCGGACACGTGTCCGCTGATTTTCACCTGAGGTGTCTTGCCGAATTTATTCAAGCACAACTCTCTAAGAAGCAACAAACGAACAAAATGAAATAGAAAGAAAAATGCCTGATATTCACTAATGATGCTAACTGATGTTTCCATCTGCTCTTTCTGGTACCACCTCAAACTGTAGTAATATATTTCGGTTCCTGCTAGCTATATTCCGAGAATGATAAGTAAAAAATATTTCACAATTAAAAAGACAAATCTAATTTAAGAATTTTAATCTGCAGAGAATACCGGCTCGAACAACCGCTTCACTGTGCGCCACGATTCTATTAGTCCACCGTACGCTATGCTTCTACTGTAGAATTTCTACAGTACATTATGGATTATTAATTATGAGCGTGAACACGTTCACAATTGATAAGGCATAATATATAAATACAGTATATCCGTTTGGATGACGCCAGCTATTTGTAGATCATCCAGATTTAATTTATCAGCTAATTTCAGCGTAAGAATTACAGTATCAGTAAAGTCAACCAACTGCAAACAGTTTGTTCTGAAGTTAATCTGTTCTAAGTGCAGTCTGAACGTTCTTTACTGAAACAGTTGTACTGCTAAAATGAGTAACCAAATGTTCACGAAGAAAACCATATTAAGTATCCGCACCCGCAGTTGTTAATTACTTTTCAAAGTATGAATAACCAGAACGCACCTAGTATATTCCGCCCACTTTTCTACTGTTCGATGTAAATTCATGTTGACGCAAATAACACCGATAAAATTCGGTTTGTCCTCATGTAACGCCAAGTGATGTTCGGCTAGTAAACGGATTCCTAGACGCGAAGTTAATGTTCGATCCAAAAATGCCTTCAGGGTTTCTTTCTGCAAAGTCATTCACTGTATTACTCAGAAACAAAACATAAATCACATTTCAACCGGAAAAAATTCAACTTAAACCATATCCTATGAAAATCAATGGCAGACCAACACTCCGAAGTTCCAAACCATTACGAAATCATAAGTACGTCAAAGGCAACAATTACTGCTACGCTACTATGTATAGCAAATGTAAAACCATACAGAACAGTATACAATACAAACGCTCCATACTAATGTTAAAATCAACGCTAATTTGAATTCATACATTAGCCGCATTATTCGGTTACGTATAACTATAAATCCCGGTGCAGGTTACAACCAATTCGTACCGACATGTATTGTCGAGAATCCTTAAATCCTTCCGCCAATGTGGTCACAACATCGCGAAATTCATGTAACAGTTCCCGAATGATATTGCTGTACTTCTTTTCCGCTTCAAAAGTCTCAATCTGCAAAACTCGATGCGATAAGCAATTGAACCGAATCACATACCGCGAAAAAAGATAATTGCACTTACCGGAGGAAAACTGTTTAGGATATGGAACGCCCGAATGTACAGCTCGTGCACTTCGGCAATGTGCGGATTGCATCCGACGATAAAAGGTAGTGAGCGGAAACCAGCCACGCGATGAGCTAACCGCACTGGTAATTCTCTATGCAGATACTGTGCCGATCTCTGCAATGGGCAAAGACATCATTTAACAAAAATGGGACAAAGGAAGGTATCGGAGGTCGAAAAACTCTTACCAAGATGTGGCTTTTTCCATCCCGACTTTTCCCAGCGTATAGCAACGTCGAGGGTCGCAGTCGCACGGATTGCTGCAATATAAATGCATTTTTTACACCATCAACATGCCATGATCACAAGAATCAAACCACGCGGCTGCTAAATACATTCAACTATCAACATAATGGCAAAGTTTAGTCCCAAATATACGCAATGAATTTAAGTACAATACAATTTATGCACTTACTGTATGTACTTATGCACTTATTTACTTATGCAATTTATGTACTGTAGCGATAGTATTTGTACGATCGATAAGACCGCCCAGTTATGATTTATTCCATCGCGTTATGAATTTGTGTCCACTTTACCGGCTAGTTTCCTTTCTCATGAATTTCTAGAATTCAGTCTTGTGCACAGCTTGCTACAGCTTGCATCTACTTGATTGTTCCTCTTGCTGAAACCCTTGCTTACAACCTTGCTGCGTTCTTGATTCCCTTGTCATTAAACATGCCTTGAGTTACGTTGTTGCGTTTGACCGCTTGGGATGAACTAGCGTCATCCCAATCGGAGCCACCTGTGTAATTGCGTTACATCTGTAAGAGCGTCCTCGGCCAGCATCGTTGCCGGCCGTGCCACCTTCCACACCAACAGCCGCTTAATCGTGGTAAAGGCTGATCGCCACCCCACTAGAACAGTAGCCAGATAGGCCACCCACTGTTACAGTACAATGCAATCTAGACGCTAACGCTATGCACGGTAGTTAGAAAGTGACACATTGGCCAAGAAGAAATGAAAACAGATTGACGAATATATCAAACTCCGATCAGATGCAAAGATATTAAAACTAAGCATTTGTAATGCGTGCATTTACAACACGAACTCTACTAAAACTTTGAAGCGAAAAGCTACTAAAATATTTTAACACTTTTAACGGATCACCTTTAATCCACGCAGTAAAGTAAGTAAATATTTATCAATTAATCCCGATCCCGTACCACACAACTGAAACCACTGTTCCTGTACTTCAAAAAGTACTGGATTTATTTAGCGATCTGAACGTGAATGCAATCCATCAGTCCGTTTTAGTAGCTTTTCGTTCAAAGTTGTAGTAGAGTTTCGTGTTGCAAATGCACGTATTGCAAATGCTTAGTTTTACGATTAATATCTTTGCATCTAATCGAAGCTTGATCCACAGCGAAATCGTACCTTTGCAGCCGCAGTATCCAAGGCAGGATCGTTGAACCAGGTAGATTTCGGGCCGAATTTGGTGTTTTTATCGAAGAGATTCTCCGATGGAGGCCGTTCGGATGATGCGCAGCGTATCAAGGACAACCACGCGGGGCCATTGCGAGCCATAGGAGCTCGGAGAGGACAGCACACTGCACACACCAGAGCCATTCCATCCACGACCAAGTTAATCTGTTAAACGCTGCAATCCGGAAAGAACTCACAGTCAACGAGAACTTGTTACCGACAGGAGGCAGTACAGCTAATTACTTATAACGATTTACAAACAACTCAATGTCAAGTTCAGTCTCAGATGAGGTTGTAAGGAATCGTAAGTCAGTAAGTATCTGTGTCCCGAACATTCCCAAGTGTTCCAAATTCAAAAATAGATAAAATTTTATTTCTATTCTTAATATTCTAACACGATTTCAGTAGCAGTCAGGAAAGCTGCAAACATGTTACCGTGCTTAAAGGTGCCAGTTATTTACTGTTTACAGTATTTCTAGCCAAACTGCCAAACAGTCTAGTAAAAGCTAGAAGTATTACGAAGTAAACGTTTATTCGTTAATAAACCTTGTGAAGTCTCTTATACTTAAAGAAGTTAAGTTAAAGTACAGAGCGTTTTTGCTTTGTTCCAGTGGTACTTACCAAGTTACCAAAATCAGTTAACAATGTCAATCTGCAAAGGATTTACGGCTGTTGACAGGTCGACCCAGAAATCCCAGTTCAACGATCATCTCGCGAACTTCTTGCGAGTAAAAACGGAAATTATGCGCCAGAACTAACACGAAAATCAGTAATTGGACCTTTTCTAGAATTTTGCAGTCAGGAAGGAGCAGCACAAGAAGGGCGCTGCTGTGACGTCAGCGCGGAACTACAGGGATGGTTATGGAACAACGCGGTTTTCCACCTTTGCCGATAATGCACCAAAATGATCAGTCTTCCTTTTAAGTTAGAAAATTACAAAATCTGAAACACGTTACACGAAGGAAGGGTACGATTGTCCTGTTCTGAATATGTTGAATTTTTCTGCTATAAGAAAATATACCAAGACAGCTAAATTGTTGACATTCAAAACTGAAAGTCGAATTAATAATTCGACTTTCAGTTTTAAACGTTATGGTGCAGTAATGATACTACGAGTAGTACTGTATGTGCTGCAAGGCGCGGTATTAGTAATTTACCCTTTAGGTCATAAGTGATACAGCCTTTTAATTCCCTGTTCAGGTTGTTTGTCCATACTGCTGCAGTAGTGACTGCAGTCGGAAATCTGCCATTGTTCGTTGAATCTTGAAGTTCAAACTTAAAAGATGTAATAATAGTTGTTGACCAGTTGACGGGAACACAAATTTCTATTTTTATTTCAGTTTTCCTATTTCAGCTTGGTATTTACTATTTATGGTTTATCTGCGCCGACTTATTAGTTTGTTTGGCATACTTTACGCCTTGTATCAGTACTTCTAAACGATATTCAGCGAAATGACCGAAAGAAAAGAAGCATCGGAAAACTCTGAAAACTCTGATGATGGCGGAGAAGACGCAATTCTGAAGCGATTCTGGCAGTTCGATGATGATGCGCGATACGCTTGTCCGTACGATTCCACGCATAAAATCCGTCGATGCCGCTTGGAACGACATCTCATGTCTTGCCGTCAGGTGCGAAAATACTCTGGAAGAAAATGTGACCATACGCATACTGTAATGGAAACCGCAGGAAATGATTGCGTTTCCTGCATTTTCAGTAGCCATTCTTGTCGTTTAGCCAAATAATGCAAATTCCTGACGTTTTCTTTAACATGTCTTTGGCAATCTCTGCTTGCATATGCTTATCTTATTTTACTAACTATCATCATCATCGTCATAATAAATTATGTACTTTTACTGATTTGTCTACTGACTCTACTCTTAACCCAACTTGTCTGAAACGGTGATGCTGTGTTTAGAAGCATCCGGACATGGTGATGGCCACGTGCCCCTACAATGCCACCCACGTGCTGCCCCCGAAAACCTACGTTAAGCACATTCTCGGGTGCCCGGACATGCGCATCCTCGACAAAGACCAGGGTCAGGTCAAGTCGCGATGGGCCGCGAAAAGTCGCCCCTTAACGGGTACGTCCATTTTTAATTTCTAATGGGTTGATACTTGATAGGGAAAACGCTGTTGTTGTTGTTGTTGTTTGTCTGCAGGTTCCGTGAGCATGGGAATGGGAAATTCCTTTAATGAGCCGCATCTGCTCGACAACATTCAACTCGGCTTCGGGTAGGCGGAATATTTAAGTATAACCTTCGGCTTTTTCCGTAGATTCGTATGCCACTCAGTTGATGGCTACTGTAGAATGGCGCAAATCGAAGTTGGAGCCATGCCAGCGGTGTCCCAAGTGAAAGTGGCCGTGCAGCCTTTTGCGCCACCGCCGCAGCCGCCGAGCCCGGAAACGGGTGAAAATACGGCCACACCTACTCCGTCTTCGCGATCTGGTTCATTAAGGTGAGACGTTTGCACAGACTAATGAAACCACCCAGTTGGAATTATTATTGAGGTTAAGATTGAGGTTAAGACGAAAATGAATGATTTGCATTCATGCATACGGTCAGTTGGATAATTCCACAAAAATATTGCCGTGCACGAGTGCGCTGTACAGTGCAATAAATAATAATAAGTATTACTACATATCGAGAAATAAATTCTTACACTAGTATTACTTACTTGTATGCTTTTTCAGTGAACAATATATTGAAGCACTAGCAATGGGCTTCCACGAGCGGATTAGGCTCAACATGGCCCAACAGCAGGGTTTGGCCTTGGTGGATCGGTTCAAGAAAGAGAGCGTTATCAAAGGAGGAGTGACATCGCTCTATTCTTGCGGAGGACAAATGCCGAATGGTAATGGCGTTAAGCTTAAGGATTAGAAAAGTCCAGCTGATTTTAAAATTAATACTCCTTGTGTACATTCGGAAACGGCTTCTTTCAGATTGTGCTCACTGGCTGTGCCTGAATTGTATTGAACCTGTAAACCAAAATTCCATAAAACAGTAGTATGATAATAATTAATACATAGAACATGGCTGGGATAGGGTGCAACATGGGTTGTGTTTTGTAATAATTTAACCGAACTACAGTCCCGATCACTGTTTTTAGTTCCGAAAAGTGAGAAGGAGGAAGCGGAAGATTCCAGTAGCTTGCGTTCCGAGAGCATTAACATAGGAACTGATTATGAGGGCATGTCGACGGGTGAAAGATATTCCAAACGACTGGAACAGTATTTCTATCGTAGCCAGAGCGCTGTTCGACCAGATTCCGCTCGTTCGCTGGACACCGACATGTCTGCTCCATTCTAAATGTCACACTGCCGCTACAAAATGGAGTTAGCCGGTGTTCAATTCGGAAACTTTTCTGACTGATCCTTTTTACTGACCAGTTTTTCTTACTTTATTCTTGCTGTACTGGATGGAAGGCAAAATAGAACAAAAGATCTCGGCGCAGTTTAGCTGTTACATAGTGGAAACGGTGGTGACAGTGTTATGTGTAAAGCTCTTCTGACTTGAGTTATTTCACTTATTTGCTAATAGTGGTGGTCGTCTGTTAGCATTCTGTGTTCATGCGAGACGTAATCGCGAAATAGTTTTGTACAGGTTGTTGCTTTGTTTTATTTCTGTTGATTGTTGATTTAACAAAGAAAATCCTGATACGGTGTGCATGTTAAGTTTTATGCCGATGTTACTGATGATGTGACCACACGGTGACCTGGCAGACCGACAAAACGTACAGTACTTGCATTACGGTACTTTAATACAGTACGTACAGTACAGTACTTGCAGACCGTCGGCATTTCCGGTATGATGGTATCCTAATAATCCTACCATCTGGTATCGTAGTATCAGTAGATAATAATTATTCGTACGTCCAATTCGACACCATGCGCCCGCGCTGGTAAATGTTGCACGAAGCCTAAATTGATTCAGGTTTAAACATTAAAATACAAATAGAATTGTTTGTTTGCGCTGTGCGATACTATAAACCGTGTGTTCTTTGTATCCAAAACAATAGACGCGCTCCTCCTTACGACAGGCTCTGGAGGATGTCGTAAGGACTAACAATAAGGAGGCATACTATGTACTTATTGTGGAATGTGGATCCACAGGCAACAGCGACCGAAGCATTTTTTCCGGCAACGATATTTGTCAAATGTCCATACAGATTCGAAAAGAAAATACCAAGACTTCTTGCTGCGGTAGTTTCATATTATCATTGATTTTAATTTTTATTTAGTGGGAATTTTTGTTTACTGCGGGATGCGGGTAGTCCATTGATTCTTACGATTGTTTGTTTTATGTTCTTTTATATTTTTCTAATTTTCTTGTTTTGTCCAGTTTTCAGTACTGCTGCGGTTATATTTTAAATTTTATTATTAAATACTGACTACTGTATAATATTTTATCCAGGCCCGTCTTTAGCTTTTTGGAAGGGGGGTGCGCAAAACCTCGCGCCAGCTGCGCCAGTTGGGAAATGGCCGAAAATTTCAGGAAAAACGTAGAAAAGTGGCTGAAAATAAGCCACTTTTCTACACTTTTCTATTGTGATTTTCGGTGCGCCAGCGCCAGTGCGCCCGCGCCAGTCGCATTTTCTTGCGCCAGCGCCTGCTCCCGGCACACCATTTTCCCCTTTTCTCCCTCCGGGAGGCACGCCCCCCCCCCTTAAAGACGGGCCTGATTTTATCCAATATAAACCTTTTAAAATACACAGTATTATATTGCTTTAATTTTCTTGCTTTAAGTTTAGTACAGATGCGCTTAAGTCTACTTATTAGCCGGGCGGGCTCCGTAGTCTACACTCTGCACACAAAATTAGCGTCAAAATTCAAACTGCGGTCGATATGTCGCGATACCGGGAAGTTTGAGCGCGCAGTAATTGTTTTTTATCTAGGATATTGAACAAATCTATAAGTCTAGTACACGATCTCCTGTTCTGCTTTCTTCACAGATGTTTTAGGCGCGCATTTCGCATTGCCCATTTCGTAATACCATGGTAATACTACCGTGGTAATCAAAAATCATTTTGTCAGCATTTGTATTTTATAATTTTTTACATTTTCTTTTTGAGATTGAAGTTTTGCATTGAGCGCCATTCAAATTAGAGTGATTTTTTAGAATTCGTCTCCTGCGTCAGATCAGACTGAAATGCTTTCATAAGTTGTTGCAGTATCCATGAATATAAGGGTGGTATTCATTATAATGTGAAAGTTTCCTGAAATCAAAGCTGACGCTCTGTTCCTTTCTTGCGGTACTTCACTCTTCAGCACAAATTGCAAGTGCAGCAGAAACCATGCCAACCATGCCAAACGAGGACTGCATGGACATGGAAGTGTGCCAGGAGCCAGCCAAACCTGATCCAGTTGTGCGGAATGAATGCGAAGAGGAATGTCTTGCAGTATCTTCTGTTGGGAATAAACAGCAAACCGAGATGGTGGCCACAAAAGACCCTATTTGCGAATGTGCCGTGCTGCAGGATAAAGTTGTTGTCGACGAGTACAAAAGGCTTGATAATTGTCAACAGGTAAGTAAAAACAAGCGATTAATTTTTGTACCTTGAATTCACTTTAGTAGCTTGTCGATACCTGCATCTCATTCCAGATAAGATAATGCGGAGACTTTTCGAAACCCGTGTGAAAAATTTATAATGCAAAATATTGTATTTGTCGTTGTTGATTGATTTTGGCATATTGTCAGTAAGTGCGGAATTTAGTATTTAACTTCTACAAAATATATTAAGAGTCACTCGGATCCATTTTTTCACTGGTAGTCTGGTACATTGCTTCTGAAGAGAATCTAACCATTATATTTATGTTTAATAGCTCACTGATATAAAACATTCGTACATAAATTTTTTTGGTGATGAGCATGTTAGTGATGAGCATGTTACAAGCGCTCCTACAAATTCTTGCATCCAGATTGCACACTTTGGTCGTTAGTGGAAATCGGTGAATTTTTTTTTAGTTTTTGAAAAATTCTTTTGTTACACAGCATTTTATCAGCGAACTGAATGGGATTCTGAATTCCTCTCAAACTTTGTTCAGCGGAAACTCCTACGAACAAGTGCGACAATCAAAGGAAGCATCCCGAAAGATTGGCGATGGGTCACTGAAACTCGATGCTTTGCTGAAGTATGGTGGCTTTCTTTATGTTAATGCTTTCCGGGGTACACCTTGTTTTTCTCGCACACCTGACAGATTGACCAAAGGTCTCCACCCGACGTGTTCCCAGGCTCCAGTTCAACGTGCAGACGATTGTGCTTCGCCGGAACTCTCGGGTTTACCGCTTTGCCATGACATTGCCGACGGTATCGCTGAACATTTGGAGGTGCGGGTGCATTTCTCGTGCCTTTCTTATTTCTCCATCCCTGTTACGAAAGCTCGTTTAGCGGTGCATTGTTTGCAGTCTTTGTATTCTCGTCGAACCGCTGGGCCGATTCAGGAAACGAACAATTCTTTAATTTCCAAAGATCTACCAGCACCTGTGATTGTAAGAATTGTTTTGAGGGAGATTGTCTGCGTTTTAACTAATACGTCTTGCCAGGCGGAGAACATGGATACTGTGGATGCTGGAGAGAAAGTGGAGGAAGTTGCGAATGTGCCAATTCTTCCAGAAGTAATGCTCAGTTAGCTGTTTTCATTTTTTTTTATTTCTAACGGGTTATCTTCCATGCGATAAATTGATAAAATACGACATGTTTGCAATTGATATCGGTTTGTTTGAATTGGGTCGATATCTTGCAACCCTGGCACACCCTGTATTTTGATTATTCTCGTTTAGGAGCCTGTGCCGTCTCCAAAAAGCCAAGCCAGTGAGCAGACGGAAAGTACGGAAAACGGCAAAGAAAACGATGCGAAAAAGCGCAAACATCGCGATTCGATTACCAATTGCAACGTATGGCTTGGTTTTTATTCTGTTCTGCTTGCGATTGATTACCTTTGTTTTATATGTAGATGGAATCTCTTTTACCTGCTGATCTTACTGCGAATAAATCGCTTGTTCCACTGGAAACTCCGGTAACCACGCTAAACAGTCATGTATAATATTTGTTTATTATTACTGACACCGGTCGACATTTTTAGAAACGACGCAAACCCAACCGCCTCTATAACGACGACAACCCATATCCACTAAAACAGCTAGCAAGAGAGTCTTTTATAATTGTCGCTGAGCCGAAAGATGTGTGCATCTTTTGTCTGGATGACGTCTACCATCCGGACGATGATAAACGTTTGTTAAAATGCCATGGTCCTTGCCGGCGCACTTTCCACTACCAGTGTTTCGATGTGGAGGACGAAGTCAATCCAGCAGAATATCGGTGTCGCGAGTGCGAGAGTGGTCAGTTCCGTACATGTTTTCTTTTCATGTACATTGGTTCCTGTTCAAAAGTTTCCTTGAAATTGCCTTGTAAGAAGATTGCAGCAGATATAATATTGACAACTGTGGCCTGATTCTTTAGGGCTGCGAAAATGTTTCATGTGTGGCGAAACGGACGAAAATTTAGTGAAATGTCCCATAGCGGAATGCGGGCACCATTATCATTTTCACTGCCTAATGGGTGCTAAAGCCGATCCGACCACCAAATTGACACAGTGCCCACAACATTCTTGCTACACATGCCGTTTAGCCGGACGTACTCCAAAGATGCCAAAAATGGATAGACTATTGGTGAAGTGCAACAAATGTCCGTACGCCTGTCATTTTAATTTCATGTGCTGTCCAGCGGAAGTTCTCGTCTGTCCCGACAATCCAGCATATTTGACGTGCTGGAAACATACTGATAACCTGAAACAGGTCAAAAGCAAGCGCGGACCAAAGAGTAAGAAGAGAAGCTCTGCTTTCAGCCCGAGCAGCACCATGGCAAAGAACTGCCTGTACTGCCATGATGGTAGGCCTTCATTCAGCGAGTGAAAAGTGGTTGCACTGAAATGCAGAAAATGTTAAGTATTTAATTTAGTGCGTGTTGCAGGCGGTACATTAATGGTATGTGACCAGTGTCCATTTGTGGCTCATCAGAGCTGTCTCCAGCTGGATACGGTTCCGGATGGTCCGTGGAGTTGTCCGGAATGTACGAAGGGGCGTCGACCGATGCTGCTGGATATTGTCTGGCATAAGTGTGGCATGCACAGGTATTGTACTCAAACATGATATCTACAATATATCTATATACGATAGTTAATAACTTAATACGTAGTATTATGATTATTGTGCTGCTTATTTATTGGCGCTTTATTTTATTGTACTTCAGAGCAGTGTTGTGAAACAAACTTGTTCAATTACAAATTTTAGTTCTTTACATGTACACATGTACCTGTAAAGAATTGAAATTGTGTGTATAATCCCACTCCCCTAAACAATGATAATGCTAAACAACGTGTTCTCCCACTAAACAATAATAATGAAGTGCGGTTTTCTGATATTTGTTTCGGTTTTTTGTTAATCTTTTAAGGGATTTGGCCCGGTACATTACTACATAGCACTGTGTTCATGTACAACCCCTGGAACTTTCGCTGTTGCGCACTCCCAAACACTTTTTTGCATTGCTTTATGGTATTTTGTAGCCAAAAAAATTGTGTACGTAGGTGTGAAATCCGTTTTCGCGCGCAACATCCGGTTGCGGAGTTATGAGGGCAACAAAATTCCAAAAAGTTTAAATGCACTCAGGTGTACCAAAAGTCTGATTATGGACCGATCTTCTTTAAATTTTGCTCGTAAATGCGCATAATCATGAAGATCGTTCTTACACCGATCCACTGTTCTAGCGTGTTTTTCAAATTTTAAAATGAATTTCGAAAATTTTAAAATTCATTTTAAAATTCGAAAAAAATCGTGGAAGTCTGAATCCGTGTAAGAACGATGTTCATGGTTATGGGCATTTATGTGCAAAATTTGAAAGGGATCGGCCCATAATGAGACTTTTGGTACACCTGAATGCATTTAAACTTTTTGGAATTTTGTTACCCTCATAACTCTGCAACCGGATGTTGCGCGCGCAAACGGTTTTCACACCTACGTATACAAATCTTTTGGCTACAAAATACCATAAAGCAATGCAAAAAAAAGTGTTTGGGAGTGCGCGCGACAGCGAAAGTTCCCGTGGATGTGCACGAATTTGGTGCTATGTACCGGGCCAAATCCCTTAAACGTCAACAGATTCTTTGCATTTTTTGTTCTAGATAATGTTTCACTGCAGAACATCAATCGCGTGTTTGTTTTTAGGATATGGCCGTGTCAGATAGTACCGGAATCATTGTGCCCACCGGTAATCCAAAAAAGCCATCCAGGAGGCAGTGCATTTACATTAAGATTTATGGGGACTAAAGAGTTCACGTATGCGTCGACGGCCAGCGTCCTTCCGTACGAAATCTACGATCCGGGCTGGAAAAAATCCAATTCAAAGGATAAACGTTTTCCGGAAGGTAATTTACTTTTTATTTTTGCGTAGTGTTAATTTCATTTATCTAGCAGCAAACATCAATGGAAAAGATGCGGCAGACGGGCTGAGCAAACGTATTGCGATGTTTTTCAGTTGAATTGGCGTTTGAGTTTATGAAGATTGGTGTAATACATTATGTGATTTTCTACGGTTTTGGTTAGTGCAGTACTAGATCGCTTAAAATAGTTGTTTTTCTATATTTAGTTTTTCGGTTGTCGACTACTGGTAGGTTTCTTGAGTATTGTTGCGTAAACAGGTCTGAGAGAAGCGAAGCAGAAAGGCGAGGAACTGCTGCGAATCAAAGAGGATTTTATAGCCACCAATTTTCAAGGAGTGCCTCCAGTTTACAAAGCAATTAAGGTGCGTGTTGAAGACTTGTATCTTTCCTACACAGAAAATGAAGCTTAAGTTTCCAGGGGAATTTTGCCGTTTTACCTGCAAAGTATGGACGTCAATACGGCAAGAAGAACGCAAAACGAGGACGAGCTGATAGTTTCGAGGACGATAATGTGTGCAATTGCACCTCAGACGATCAGGATCCCTGTGGGCCGTCATCCGATTGTCTTAATCGTGGTATTCATTTTGAATGTGATCCAAAAACCTGCCCAGCTGGTGCTAGGTGCGGAAACCAGCGGCTTCTTAAGCGGCAGTATCCGAAACTGAAAAAGTTTTACACTGCTGATCGGGGATGGGCTCTGCGGGCGGAAGAGGACATTCGTGAGGTACGTCGTTATCACGTGATTGTATTACTTTTGCAAGGTACTATGACGTTTGTAAATTTGTTGTAGAAAATGATTTATATACTGTAATTAAATTTTTAATTATTAAATCCGTACTGCAGCGACAGCAGCCAGCTGAACTCTCTTGAGCTCTGAAACATTAGCCGTAACCTATATGAGGCTGTTATGTGGATGTCAGATTTCGGTTGCGGTTAAATGCAGTGTACTGCATTTGTGTGTGTAACCGTAAATTAAGTAATAGCAGCGAGTACTTAATTATTTTTGAGTGGAAATGATTTACGCAGCATATGGCTGGCGGTGTTAGTGCTTGGACATAGCGCCTAGCGGTACAAGAAAATGCACGTTGGCGTGCATTGGAAGACCGAAGCGTAGCAGCTTTTCGCTTGTGCGTGTGATAACTAATTTTTAACGTCCTACCAGTAGCACCCTTAACATTAAGATTACCATTAATTTTAACATGGCAACATAACCAGCCAGCAATATTTTGTAATGACCGTAACGGACAGTGGCGGCGGACACAGACATTTTTGCATTGGCGCTGAATTAGAGGACCTTCGCTACGCTCCGGTCGATTATACTTACAATACGGTATTGACACATCAGCCTTTCTGTAAAAGATACCTGTAGATATTGTAGTTTGTAATACTGCTTACAGTACTTATTATTAATTTTTACAAATTTTACGTGGCACATTGTAATTATATTCCGAGTTCATGAAAATGATCGTAAAAATGGCGTACAGTGATTAAGCCCCATTGAATAGTGCCGGTTAAGGCTGATGGCATAACTGTGCTGTGGCAGAGCATACACTGGCTGCAGTAGACTCGGTCTTCCGACGTCACCGTCCATTGGCCCGCCGCCGGCATGGTTGCGCTTTGGCGCCTGCACTCTCTGCACATTACCTGGGGACTTTCTCCCGAGATAGTTGGAAAATGAAATTTCCCGTTTTAACTCGGATAGCCATCTGACCAAACGCCTGGTGTTACAGTGTTTAACTGTGTGGATGGCTTATATAGCACTTTATTTGCGAAATATGATAAATAACTTCTTCAGTGTTTTAGCAGTCATGATTTTCGAAGAATTCAAGGCGTTAACATATCGTTCGATATTTTATTGCAATCGAATAATTATTACCGGCATTATCAAGTGCCTAGAACGTCAAAAAGCAAAAAGGTTGTCCTATGAGCGAAGTTATCAGTGTGCAGGAATTACTGATTGTTTATACTGAACACTGCTTGGCGTTTGCTAGTAAAATCCACTTGAGTAGTATAGGGGTGCAGTACTTACTCGTAATTTTTGTTGGTACGGGATATATTAAACCGGAATTTGAGAAAGCACAAATTTACGGAAGAAGTACTGCGTGTGATAGTTAAAGATTTTTTTTTGTTTCTTCAGCGCGAAGTGGTGATCGAATATGTCGGTGAAATCATCACAGTGGAGGAACGCAACCGGCGTATGTGTGAAAAGTTGCAGTCGGGCGATATTAACTTCTACTTCCTGGATTTGACCAAAGGCCGTGTAATCGACGCTGGCCCTAGCGGAAACCTGGCACGTTTTGCTAATCACTCCTGCGATGCAAATTGCACATCGGAAAAGTGGGAAGTGGACGGGGATACGCGGATTGGTCTGATTGCACTACGGGATATTCACAAAGGCGAGGAGATCACTTTCGATTACCGATGGGAATACGAGTGTGGCGTGACGTGCCGAGAGTGTCTCTGCGGTGCGGAGAAGTGCCGCGGCAAAATTGGCGGAAAGACGTACGTGTCCAAAGATAATTCGGCGGAGAATTCGAGTGTGGGAGAGTGATTCGCGTCCGTGGATACGTATTTCACTTTTACCACGTTGCATTTTTGAATTTTTTTATTTGTTCAAGAGTATTTTGTGTGGCGTTAATTTTCCAGAGCTTCTCAGGGTACGTTTCGTGTATTTGTATATCGTGGTGCAATGTTTTACTGCATAGTTGTGTAAGTGTTTTTCTCTTTTGAGTTACTTTTTAAGTTTTTTTTGCATACGCCGCACGTACAGAAGTACGATAAGTATTGTGCGAGTCGTCGCAATACTTAAGTTTTAAGTAAATAATACGCAAGTCGTAAAGCATTGAAAAATTCAAAAGTCAACCCAAGACGCATCTACGGTTGGGCATGTACGTAGTAAAAGTTAAAGGTACTTTGTAGTACGGTATGGGTACGTAGTATTAGGGCGGCCCCATAGTCAACCGTTTTCTGAGACGGAGAAAAAGTTTCTCGACGGGACGGTACTGACCGAGTTTCCGTGGTCACGGATTTCCCACGACACGGTCACTCCGAGTCGGAGTCTCCGACTTACCGTCCCGTCGTTGTGTCCGAAAGTTGTTGTCCGTACTTCGGCTATACGAGTATTCTTTTGACTGGAAGTAGTTAGGCAACCGCCCGTTGCAACGGTTGGAAGTCACCGCCCAGAGCGGTTGAAGGCTGCATTATGGCAAGCCGGCATTAGGCTTATGGCAAGCCGAGTATTATAGTAAGTAATGGGTCGTCTTTATTGGGTTATTCGAGTGAACATTGAATAGAAACAAAATTACGCGTCACATCATTTCAGTACATAATACACTTCATCCAATCTCTTACCAATACAGAACGTTTCCTGAACACAAGCAGCATTACCCCGCATCAAAGCTATACTGATTCTCTGCTTCAGGAATAGAGTGGACCGTTTCTCCTGTGTCCTCTCATAAAGCATCTTACCGAGCGTAGACATCTTACATTTAGATTCTTTACTCCACACGCCCATTGTTTCAAAAACCAAAGCAGAGAAAATAAAGTTAGCCCGTAGATATGCGTGCTTATTGTTTTTCTTTGCCTCTGCCATCGTGGCGGCCGCGCCGGCTTCCTGGGACGTCTTGGCAATGTAAGAAGTAGCCATGGTATCCGGGCACGTTACATCCCAAACCCAAGATCTGCCCTGGCTAAAGGGGACTGAGGTCATACCGTCCGGTCGTTTCAGGGTATCGCGGTACAGTCCTGGCGGCTCCAGAACCGAAGGGATGCTGGCCGAGCCACACGCGCGATGGATAACATCTCTGATTTCGTTGTGACGGGAAATCTTCGCTTTAAGGCGCTTGCATCCCAAACCGTGATATCCCCACACATCAACAATGCTGCCGCATTTGCACCGGTGTTCGACACATACTGGAGCGCCGATGCGCTGCGCAATCGATATTCTCACTTCGGTATTTGACAACAAGGTACCAAGGCTTGCCACTGGAACCGCGTTGAGCCACAGTCCAGATTCGGGCTGGGACACGGCTAGCAGCCGGGCTTTCTGATTAACGGAGTTGGTTTGACGTAATACTGCTTCTTTCTGCATGAGAACAACCGGTGTGTCCCAAGCACGCTGAGTAAGTAATTAATTTTGGTAATAAGTATTAAGTACAGTACATGTCGACTACGAGTAGCGGAGTAGGATCATGAGTAAAGTCTTTAAAGACTTATTGCAAATTTGCAATAGGTCAAACAACATTTCAACAAGTAATTATGCACTTTATACTGCATAGTTTGTCAAATCTGAGAAACTAAATTTTTCATAAACTTTCAATTTGGCAATCTACCCACTCACGGTAATTTTCAGCACAAAATACCTCATTAGTAGCTTTCCATATTTATTGTTATCCCCAAAAGCCTTGCACTGTTTCACACAGCTGCTCTGAATTCCGAGTTATTCGGTATTATTTTTTTTATACTGCTAAATGTTTTACGAGGCATTTTGCTACAATTTAATAAGCCGATGTAAACTTACGTAAACTTTCCAAACGGCTCACAGATGGAAAATCATGTACTGTATAATTTGCACCGAGCGCGAAGCGCGAGGTGCTGCAATTAACTGATCGTCAAGACTACACGCTCCATAGCAGAGTACATACTTCCACAGCAGAGTTGTCTGACGCCAAAAAGCGCGTCACCGTCACCTCTTTCCTATGGGATATGTGGAATTCCACAATACTGATTCCATTTCCAGTGGTACGTATCACTTCAAGTGGTACTGGAAATGCGTAACAGATCTGTGGCTATTGCTCGCGCTCGGTGCAATAATGTGGTTATCAACTACCGCTAGTATGTACTAACTTACAAAATTTAATACGATATGGAAAAATGTACGTACAGATGTAATTATTAATTTTTAGTAATTAAAATGTCTGTTTAACAAAAAGGGGTTGTGTTAGATGTGCATTTATGTAATAATTAGTACATATGTATACGTACATGATACTGTATAAGTGTATTAATAATCTGGGCGTCCAGGTGGGCACTGCGCAGTGGCCGCTTGGACAGACGTATGTATGATTGGGCGAAAAAAACGGAGACTGTATTAGGGAGGAGCCATCCTCTCCTACACCGAAGTCGTCGAAACCACGAATTTCGACGTTTCGGTTTCAACACGACCATGTCCCCTCATAGTCATCCGTAAAAATGGGACGGAGAGTCGGGGAATGGTGTCCTCATAGTTACTGTACTGTTACCCTGCACTTGCCGAAATTTCGTCCAGTGTCGCAGTTAGGTGCTGTATGCCGTCTATGTGAATCGTGATAGCGATCGTACAACGTACGCCTGGCTGCACTAGCGAAACTTTCGGCAAGTGCAGGGTAACAGTACAGTATTCGAAATTTGGACACCTTTTAGTCGAAACTGCCGTTTTCGGTGAACTATGAGGCCGCCTTTAGGTAAGGTTGGGCATTCCAAGAGAAACGTCCCTTTGGAATGGATTTTGGATTGGAACGCGGATTCCAACTTTGGAATCCAAGATATTCCACGGATTCCATGGAATGCGTTCCAATCCGCGGAATTGCAAGGTACAGTGAAGTTGAACAAATCACGACAACGACAACTCCCCACTGCCCAGTGAACAAATCTCTACCGTGAGTGAGTGACCGAGCCACCACTATTCAGTAAACAAAATCGCTAAATAAGTGAGTAACCGAGTTAAGAGTCCTTGCCTAAGAAGTTTTAAAATAACTGCTAAGGCGATTAGTGCATTTACTAACGAATTAAATGAAATTATGTGTTCAAAGCGGCCGTGGATCACAAGAAACGCGGAGGCGACGCCGCAAGTGTTTCTTGTAACAATAACAATGTGTCTCAAAATCTGAGCAGCAAAATCGAATTTCTGTTAAACGTTTCGAACAATTCAGAGCGCATATAAAAACATTTCCATTTCCAACAGAAGTGTGTAATTGTTTGCAAATTAATATGGATAATACGGCAAAATATGGGTTGCGAAATAATTGTCTTGTGATACGAGTAGAAGTATGCATGATATTTTATGAACACCGTACTAACATAGCGCACATATTCGCTGAAGCTGTTCTTTAAGTTTTGGGAAGACTGCATGACTTGTGAATAATGTCTGGGAGCGGAATGTGATTGCGTCAGCCTAATGATCGTTTAGTCATACAAGTAGTACTGTATTATTACCGTAGACTTCACAATCGCTACCGCTACAACACAGTGGGGCTGCCGTACACTTAAAGGCGGTACAGCGGCTTGGTCCGACGTGTACGAATGAAAACTGTTATTAGTAAAAAGAAGCGCGCCACTGCCAGCCGCGCATCTTTAATTCCCGAAACAATTTTATTTAGATATAACTCGTTAATCTTTATGACGTCTTGTGTGTTCGTGGGTTATTCCTCATTCCATAATCCATACTATTCCCGCTCGAGCCGTATTCTACCAAATGTATAAGACGACTATCAGGCTATCAGCTTTGTTAGGTGTTCCTAAGGCCTGATAAGTTGGTGAGATTATATTTTGTGATAGCTATGGGCTTAGAGATTAGGCAATCACGTTGGGAGTGGTGATTTGTGTGTTGTTGCCTGGAGATGTGATCGCCTCTGTTTTGGCGTCAGCGATTTATGCTTCGTGTGCTTGCGGTGGTGTTGATCGCTCGGGCAGTAAGTCATGGTGTGATCAGCGCACTTTACTCCAGCTGGGGTTTCGCTGAGATAACAATCGTAGACTTGCCGTCTTAGAGACGAACTTGATATGACTGCCAGGCACCTTTTTGCAGAGCCTCCACACGCTCACTCAGCACACTCGTCTTCCTTCTTTTGCATTCCGCTCTCTCAAAGTACTTTACCCGTAGTGTACACCTCTCTGTAAAAAAGTGTCTATTCTACACCGTGCTTATTACACTGTTCACCGAACCTCACGACGGCGGAGTTCAATGATGCTTTCTTGGTTTAGCTCTGCCTTCGGGGAACCCCATGCCATGGCGGATCCCGTCAAACCCTCCCCGGTGTCCGCCGCCGGTGATGCCCTGCGCAAGCAACTCCTCCAGGCGCGCAGCCAATCCAAAGACCCCGCCGTCGCCGCCGTGGAGGATGTGCCGTTCAATCCGCCGATGCCGTGGTTCGGAATCGACATCGGCGGATCTCTCGTCAAACTGGTCTACTTTGAACCGGAAAACGTCCTCCCCGAGGATGCGGCCTGCGAGGTGGAGCAGACCAAGATCATTCAGCGCTACCTGACCAGCAACAAAACCTACGGCGACACCGGAATCCGCGATGCGCACCTGGAGATGCGCGGCGTCCCCATCAACCACCACATTGGAACGCTGCACTTTATCCGCTTCCCCAGCAGTGCCATGGAGAAGTTTATCCATTTGGCTAAATCCAAGGGCCTGTCAGCGCTGACGACAACGGTGTGCGCCACCGGGGGTGGCGCGTTCGCCTACGAGAAGACGCTGCGACAGGAACTCAATTTGGAGTTGCATAAATTCGATGAGTTGGACTCGCTGATCAGTGGGATTCACTACATTGAATACAATCACCCCGAGGAGACATTCACCTTTGAGAATCCCCTGGATGAGGGGCAGTGCAAACGGGTGCCGCACAGTATCCGCGATCTGTATCCGTATTTGGTTGTAAATGTCGGCAGCGGTGTCAGTATTCTGCTGGTGGAATCCCGCACGAAATACCGCCGAGTTTGGGGCACGAGTATCGGTGGGGGAACGTTTATGGGGCTGTGCTGCTTGCTGACAGGATGTCAGACGTTTGAGGAGGGGATTGAGCTGGCGGCCAAGGGCGACCATCGAAATATTGACAAACTGGTAAGGGGAAATTGTTTTTGGTTGTTGAACATGTTTTACAGTGGTGTTAATTAGATCTCACTTTCGTATACGAGCGACTTGAGCAGATGTTTGTGAACGGGTGTCAGTTTTCTTTTCTAAAATTGACAAGTTGTCTTCGAATGGTTTTCATTAATTAGCATGTTAATATAAGTATCTGTAGAAGAGTTTCGCTGTAATCTAGACTACACGTTTTGCAAACTTTTTCAAAAGCACCGATCGTTTAATACCTTACGTGGCTGCTTGTTGATCCATATCCTGAGTTTTGGCATTTTGCCGATAAAACTGGTCTGTTCGCAGAAAAAGGGACATTTGGCTTTTGCCATTGATTTGGTACAGAAATATAGCAGTCAGTGGCTTGTGGTTTTGCTTGTTTGAGATGACTGTACCGCCGTAAGGACGTTTTGTCAGCTGAATGTCAATTTGATAGATGGATGATGAATTCGCTTTGTTGCGCTATCTCGCATACTTTTGTGGCCTGCTCTGTCTTTCGTTAATTAAGTTCTTTTATCTGTGGTTTTACTACTGATAAGTTTGTGAAAAGTTCACGTTGTTGCTGAAAATTAAGTTTAAGTTGTAAAACGTCATAGCGTTTTATTTATGTGTAAAAAGTAAAAACACTATTGTGTAGATGCAGCATTATGAAATATGGAACACTGGTTTGACAAATTGTACGCCTTCTAGTGATTAGCAGTGCCAGTGTTTAATATCTATGCTAATGTAATATATTGTTGTAGAGTAGTTGATGTACGAGTAGCACTAATAACTACTCTGGTATGTGTTTTTAAGTTAAGTAGTTAGATTAGGACAAAAGTCGAACTACGATTGCAGGGTCAGAGATAACATGGCTTACTTTTATACGAAAATATTCGTTTCTTCGTTTTCACAAATGTGTTTACAGATGGTGGTTTCAAGCCTTTTTTATTACTGTACATACCTTTAAATGAGAGAATATTTAGTAATTATGTGCTGTTGATAGTTGTGCGTTACGTTTTTCCTGCTTGCTAATGAATTTAAATTGCATGCGATTCTAACCGTCAGTAAATAACGTTTTACTGCAGACTATTAGCAGCATTTACAATTAGCAGCATTTGTAGAATTTGTTCATATGAATCTATCATAAACTGTCGTTAAACAGATAGGGTATTGCAGATTTAATCGCAGACTATAATTAGTTAGTACTTACTTTGATCACTTTTGCCAGATGGCAAGGACATCTCTATTGGCTGACCTTTATCGGTTATGTAACTGACACTAACTGTTATATTTTGAAATTGTAGACTAGACTAAAATGGGTACAATTTCGTGTAAAGGTCGTGTTATCGTATGTTCTTGTTTTTTTTTTATTATTTATGAGCGCTATCTCATTTACTGCTTCTCCAAGACTGTTAAAAAGATATATATATATATACATGGCACTACTCGAGCAGCTATAGCCAACGGGGATATTAATTAAGAACTGTATTATGGTGTGTTTTTTTAAGGTACGAGACATCTACGGCGGTGACTACAGTCGTTTCAATCTTCCCGGCGATACGGTAGCAAGCAGTTTTGCTCAGATGATGGATCCGGAGAAGCGGAAGACTGCCCGCAAAGAAGATCTGGCCCGTGCAGTGCTGGTCACTGTGACCAACAATATCGGTTCCATTGCTATGATGTGCGCCATGAATAACGGCGTCGACAAAGTGGTCTTTATGGGCAACTTCCTCCGCGTCAACGCGATCTCCATGAAGCAGCTGGCCTACGCCATGGACTATTGGTCCAAGGGCCAATGTAAGGCGCTATTCATGGAACACGAGGGATATTTCGGTGCCGTGGGCTGTCTGCTGGAGTACATGAATCTGGGACGGATAAACCAGAACAGTAGTGATGCAAAACCAGTGTAGACTACAATAAATTTGTCTGTGAGATTAGCACAGATTAAGTAGTTGTCTCTTCTGACCGGTAATCTGTGCTGGGTTAATTTATTGTGAATTTACAACCGTGAGCGGGGATTTTGTGAGAAAGGTCGTCGTGGTGTTGCAGATGTTTTAGTGTTTTTAGCCGTTGATGTTTTTGTAGATGTTGCATGCTTCCATTCGCTCGGGTATTTGTTGTGAATTATTTTTGTTTAACAAAACTTATGATTTAAACTGTTTATTAAGCAATATTTGGAGGAGACTTGTAATAAAAAAGTTGGTAGTTCCTTGCAGCAATGCTACGACATAAATAAGTACTTACTGCTAGCAAAAAACTTACTGGTGGTAGTTACTGTTGTTATATCGCCCGCCCCTTTTGCAGTCATTACGTGAGGACAGCCACAACCAGACTGAAAGTGCAAAACTCTAAAGCAGCGAACTACTTGCTACTCGTATGACTGTGTTTTGGAATCTACTCACTTCTACTGCACAGTTTTTTACGTTCATCCCTGGATTTCAGTTGCGTCAGTTGTGGGAGGACCATCGGCCCGACAGATCGGCAATAAGCAGTCTATGTTCTTCCTGTTGGCAGTTATACTGGCCGATTGACATTTGTTGTTGTTGAGTACTCGTAGGTAGTTATCCAATGGCAATGGGTGATGGTGTGGTCACGATGATGTCACGATCGTGTTGTCGCTTTTTAAGTGATTCACACCAACCATGAACTACTCTTCCACGGATCCTGTCATCATCCTATTTCTGGGCTTATTTTCCACTTAGTGCGGATTTGCTGTGTGAATTATCTTTTGCTATGGGTTTAATCTGCCCTGGTGGAGAAATGGCCAATGGTTCCTCTGATAATGTCCCCTCTCGTGTTTTATCTCCTGCAGAATACAAACGCAAACTGGAAAATGCCATGAGTCTATTAACTGATCGTCCTGACGGTGTGGCGGATGTTTCTTCGTGTGGTCTGACGAAGCTTCCCAAAGACTTCTTCCAGATTTGCGCCGTCTACGTGAAAGTGAAAGTTTTGATATCCGACAATCAAATCACTGATTTGGAAAGCGGTGGGAAAATTGAGGACGTGTCCAGAATCCGCATTCTGGATGCACATCGCAATCGCCTGGAGAAGCTGCCTGTGAATTTTGGCCTTGGTTTCAGTGCCTTACTCGAGCTGAATTTATCGGATAATCGGTTGAAAACCCTCCCGACCTCCTTCGGGAATCTGCGCGCCCTGCAGACATTATTCCTGGCCAGGAATAATTTTTCAGAATTTCCCAATATTATCTGCGAGTGTCGACAGCTGCAGGAATTGGATATTTCCGAAAATTCCCTTTCCAAACTTCCCTTAACGTTCCATCAGCTGCGTCGCCTGCAGACCTTCGTGTTCGACCACGACAAAGTGCTGTATCCCTCCAAAGACGTCACGGTGCTCGGCGTGGAGGCCATTCTGAAGAAGATTTGTCAGGATGACGGCAAAGAGTGGCTGAGCGATGTGCCGGTGTTAAATAATCTGCCGCCAGCGACACGGACTCGTTCCGTGGATTATGGGATGCGCCAGCAGGAACAGGCCATTGCCGAGGCCCTGTCCAAGTCGGTCAGTTCTGTGACGATTTTGGAGCGATATCGCGAGGAGGAGGCGCGTCTGCAGAATGCCGTGGCGCGCTACAAGGATGATGATAATATCAAAAAGAAGGAAGTGATGAAATTTCGCGCGGCCATAGAAGAAGACGATAAGCGGCATTTGGAGAGTATCCATAAAGTGAAAGTGCGCGAACAAGATGTGAGTGCATTAAGTAATTCTTAGTCCGGTAAAAGGAATTTGTTTGCACACAAATCGAAATTAGTGAAAATTAAATTAGTTTTTTCTGTTGTGCAGGTAATTTTGATTTTTATGGGTTGTTTAATTATTGTTTTGTAAGTTTTCTTGTCTTTTTTTTGCTTTTTCATTGCAGCATTGATTTCTTTTCGGATACGGTCTACGTTTGTCCAAAATTCCACTTTTTCGAATTTTATGAATGATGCCTTACTGTGATCTACTCTTAGTGTTCCGCTTACAGATTGTGCTATTTCCGAAGCTACTTTGTTTGTGGCATTCATTTGAAATTGCGATGACCGTGTGCTGCATGAATTTGTTTTTCTTTCTGTCTACTTGTTTTGTGAGATTTGTCAGCATGCACCATTAATTTGACAAGGGTTCACTGTGAATTTTTTGCCTTTGCTTGACTTGCTGTTATTTGTTGCAGATGCTCATGCGCTCGCTTCAGGAACGAGAAAAAATGGAAGTGGAACTGCAGAAGCTGGCCCTCAACGTGGAAATGGGCAAGCAGTCCCTTCTGGAAGCTCTGCGCAGTATGGAAGCCCATTCCCAGCGGTTACTGACTCAGTTGACTTCGCTGAGCGAAGAGCGCGCCAAATACTACAAATTCTACGAAGCCGAATCCAAGAAAGCGGATAACGCCTGGCGCACTCTACTACCGCAGATGGAAACATCGAAACGCGACATGCTTCTCCTCGCTATGAAAGCGCAGTTAGAAGACTCCGAGAAATTCTCCATAATGTACAAACGATTAATGGACAACCTGCGTGCTCAGAACGATAACGTCATCAACATGTACCGCGCGGAAGAACAATTGTTCCCCTCGATATTAGCTAAACAGCAAGCTCAACAAGAAAACATCATCAATCACATGCTGATGGATGAGAATGTCCACAAAGAAATGTTCCGTGAGCTCCAGTTGAAATCCGATGCTGTCTATAACCGGATAGTCAGTGATCTGATTCTCTTGGAGAATGAACTGGCAACGTTGTCCCTACTGGAGCAGAAGCAGACGGAAGAACGTAGCGTGGTGGTGAAGAAGTCGTTAGAAGATGAACGGCTGCAGTTAGCTAAAATGTACAAAAAGCTGATGGTCGAGAAGGAACAGCGGGAAGCCCAGCTGAGGCGAATTATGCAGGATATGGAAAAAGAAGCAGCCAAACACGCTGAATACTTCTGGTTGGCACAGTACGGCCGCTTGATGGAACTGATGCCGGAGACGTTGAATAAACTCCCGGAGACGAAGAAGGTGGAGATCGATCTGGATCCGAGTACATCCAAAGGAAAAGGGGAGCCGCCGAAGGCCACCAGTCCAACCGCGACGGCATTGCCGCAGACACTGCATCTGGAGACCATATGTAGTGTGTGCATGGAGCGGCCCTCCACCGAAATCTTCCTGCCCTGTGGACACATTTGCTGCTGCAAGGTATGCAGTGAGCCATTGACAGAGTGTCCACTGTGCCGGGCGGAAATCGTGCAGAAAATGACGTTGAACAAATCCGGCAACGAAGAGATAGTGTGACAGCTTATACATTATAGCAGTTGTTTTTTCACAGTGCGCCGGTGTTTCTTGGTGATTTTTTTGTATATGGTGCGGTCGAATTGGGTCATGTGATTCTTCTGCGCACAGTAGTTTGTCGGTGTTTTTGGGTTTTGTTTTGTTGGTGATTTAAAGATGTGCATTCAGTAAGTACAGATACGTATCGTACTTGCTGACTCGTATAATGAGTTAAAAAATAGCGAGTCTGGACTCGATGGATGTAATGATTTGTTTACAATGTTTTGGTCGTTCTTGCTCCGTTTCGATCTAAATAATGAAGTAAGTAATTTACTTATTGGCAGAACTGTTACTAAAACTACGGTAGTATAAAACTAGTCACTGTGGTATTGTCGACTGCAAAATTCAACCAAAATGCTATTATTTTGTCGATTCTTGTGTGGCATGGCATGAACAAGAACTACCGTAACTGCACATGTGATAAAGCCTCCTGTAAGTCCATCCCTAACACTCGCAACCATCCAGGGTTTCTCATCCGGATTTTGGGGACAAGCTTCTTCGTTCGTACTTTGTAGTGTAGCAACCACATGGGTTTGGTTGTAATAGTGATTTCCATAAGCGTTGATGCAGAACTAAATGCAATTTAAATACAAACCAGTGTACGCCGCATAGCATAATTGCTGCGATTACTGTATGTTATAAGTGTTTCTAGTACTACGTTTGTACTTATGATATGATACTTATTATTAACGGATGATACTTATTATGATACTTATTATTAAAGGTTTACCAGCTGATTACTGTATCTCTTAACGAATGGAGACATCGGAACAGATCCCATCGTTTCCGAACACGATGACCTCAGGCCATAGTCTTCCCGACGAAATAGCGGGATTATCGCGGGAAAACACTGCCTGCCACTACTGTGGCATCAGCTACCTCACTTATCGTCATTTCTCCGTAAGATTCAAGAAATAAACGATTCTTCAAAAGCTACACATGTACTACTGTTTTTTGAGGTATTTTTAGTTAACCTTGTTTCGTTCGTGTTCAGATTCTCCAGCAAAAGCTATATAGAGCTTGCGAACTGCTGAAACAAGTTGATCCTGATTTACTAAGTTTGTTAACGGATCAAGAGTGCGCCATCCAGTAAGTGATCAACCACAAGCCTTCGAAAAATTAATTTCGTGGATTCAGAGAAAACGTCTACAGAGTAGTATCGATAATCTGTTTTATACCACTGTAACAACAAACCTTTCGACCAAAAATGTCATTTTTATACACTAACAACAAACCTCCTACGTGTACATTATTGTAATCAGTATAAGTGTTATACTCACTCGTATAGGTATCTGTATAGAGTAATTTACACGAGTACGCAAAATGGAACGATAAAGGTCAGCCATGTACGTAATACAGAAAAATACCGAACGAAGCGCAGACCAAAATCATTGCGCTGAAGCAATCCTTTCACGAGTTTCGCCGTCAAGTCCACAGCAACTTCACCGCCTTCCAGAAAACATTGTCCCTTCAAGCATATCTGGTAAAAAGCGCCTGCGAGCAGTACTTCCGGCACGTCGACATGGCCCGCGACGAGGCACAGTTCCGCTTCTATCAAGAAGAACTGCGACGCGCCGAAGAGCAGCGCGCCACTGCGGAATCCTTTAAAACCATGCTGGATCAGGCCAATGTAGAACTGGCGTTGGCTAGAGACATTCTGCGCTCTACCGCTCACGAGGCGGAGCAACGCCGGCAGGAGCTGGAGCAGCTGCGCCGCGATAACACAATGCTGCAGCAGGCCATGGTGCGCACACAGGTGGTGACCTTTGATCATGAACGCCTGCGGCTGCAGGTGGCCGAGCTGACCAAGAAGGCGGCGGAGGATCAAGAGGCGATTCAGCGTCTGCGAGAGGAAGTCGAAAGGTCACGCAGTACCAATGGTTCTGGAGAAAGAAAGCTGGCGATTGAGGTGGACGAAGCTGTTGCAGAGTGTCCAGCGGAGCAATGCAAGTAAGCAGTGCACAAAGCAGTGTGCAACTGACCATGAGAGCATGAATAATTATATGTTCGGCAGGACTTTAAACAATCAAGGCGTGCGTGGCCGTTTCCCATGAATTTTATAATATGTATTGCAGGTTTAAGCGTTGCGGATAAGTGGAAGGAAATCAAAAACATGACACAAAAATTCCACGAAAACCAAATGGAAATAACAGAACGAATTTTTACAATGTTCAGCGTCATCAGTCAACGCATTACCGATCTTTCTCTCCGTGTTCACAAGGCAAAACAAAGCGTTCTTCTTGCAAAGCAATTGGCCACTACAATACGTAGGGATAAGAAAACTGCAGACATCGCGGGAGAAAATGATGAACAATCTAACGATCGTAGAGAGGCATACGAAGAAAAAACGAGAATCTGTCAAGAGTTCCTTAAACATATTCAGAATGAAGCAGCCGCGGAAAATACGAGGGTAACTTTTTGCGGGAAATTTAGTATTGTGACTGTATTTCCAGTGGAATAGTGTATATCACATCTATAATAAATTATATTTTAGTTCCTTACTGCATGTGCTGTATAAACAAATCGAGGCAAACGCCTATCAATATAGCATGAGCGGAACAGCTGGATAGCTTGGACGTTACCGACAAATTTTTAGAAACCTAGTAACACATCTCAGTACCTTGAAATTTCACGGAGAGTTCAACTGCTTCTTTTTGACCCAGGCGGCTGTGCGAGAAAAACAAATCGACGGTCAGTTGCAAATGATGCACACTGAATGCGAACAACTGCATAAAGAGTTAACGGAAAGGTCAACTATGATCGCCGAGTTGGAAGAAGCCAGGCTGAGAGAAACGGCTCAATCAGAAAGTCTTCGCGAGCAGCTACGAATTGTAAATTCAACAGTAAGCCAATTACAGAACGACATTACAGGATTACGAACCCACACTGCTCATCAACACCAAGAGGTACGTATGCATACTAGAGAAAAGTAGCAACAAACGTCTACTGCGTGCAAAATACACACTGTATACCGCGGTGTATTCATAAAAATTTTATAACCTACATTTTATAAATATTAAAAACCTGTTTCAAAATTAGAATAATTTTTTCTTGGAAGCCTCTTAGCAAATTTTGCTGTTTATATTTTTCACGTCAAGCACATAATGCAGTGCTAATACCATCCTGGGAAGCATAAAATGCAGGTTCAAATGTTCAGTCTCTTAAATTAAATTTTGTTGTTTTTTACCTCTAGATAGCCATATTAATGAAGATGGTGCACATGCAGTGCGAAGAACGTTTCCGATTACTTAATATCGGGAACAAGTGCTCATAAAAGTAAGAATTTCAGCTCCGAATCCTAAGACCGTAGCCCAACAGCACAATACTGTAATTTCAGTTTTTTGGTGAAGGTTGCATAGCTCCTCTTTCGGCAGAAATACAGAGCTAACATTCCTCTGCGGATTTATTAATCTATGAGTTATTCGGAATTTCGGATCCTGCACGGCGCCTGCTGCCGGTTGACCTCCTGTTTTCTCTCTATCCAGTTGCAATGGAGAAAATAGCGTGGGATAAGCGGCATTCTGATAAAGTAGTGCTTAACCAAACGGTCTACCTTGCCGATTCATCGGTGCCTTTGTCGACGATGATGATGCAGCTGATGGTGCAAATGCAGTGATGTTTGACAATTTGAAGCAGTCATATATGAATGCCATGCAGAATCCCGGTGCCGTTTGTCAAAACGTATTAAACTTTTCACTACTCACTGACCGCCAAATCGGTATACCACTCCAAATGTGCAAAACAAAGCATCGCTTAGCACTCAGACTAAGTTCAGAATTGTACCTAATCAACGTTGCGTTCAGTTCGAGGAAGAGTTGGCGCAATTTCATAACATAGGGCTGAACAAAACTTTCAGAGCAGAAAAATATACTTTAGTCACCACTCACCAGGGTCACCTGGTCAGGTCACGAAGGGGTCAATATTACCGTATTAGTGCTCCCAAGCCCGGACCCATAGCCTTTTTTTCCTCCTCGTCCGGCAAGTCAGAATAATGCAAACTTCTTCCTTGTAGCACAGTTCGTGGTTCTATTCAACTTTCTGACATGTAAACTTTTACAAAGCAGGAAAGGGCATGTGTGATTATGGGGTACGGCTCGCTGCCTTAATTAAGATATAAGCATGCAAGCATGATACGACTTCACGATGGCCAGGCTGTGCTCATAACTTCATACTGGATGTAAGCAATATTGTATTTCAAGTACGTCCTATAAAAGCAGTCTACGGGGAAGAACGCTTCCCGACAGGTTAAACCATAATTGTCTATCGTCGATGAACCGCATATGTTCAAGGTTTCAAGCACCCCAGCGTACAAATTCCATATATACTGTCCAAGCATACAACCGATATACATGTACATCTCAAATAAAAAAGCGCCAAACAATTTGTCTCCAGGCAGATAACAGTTTGATTACTGACCATTCATATCAAGATTTGCACCAAGAAAACGCAGTTTCCGGTTTTCTTTTATTAATTTTTCCACTTCCCTTTAACAAAACCATACCAGCAACAATGTGCACGTCAGTCCACAAAATGTCAGCAATTTCTCCCTACCATGAAACTTCGTCATAAAAATAAAATTTCAGCAGCAAAATTTACTACGAACAACAAACTTCGAACCGGAACAAAACATTTTGCTTATTCAGGTTTGCGAAATCCTCCTCTAGAAGACATCTTGGCCGGGAAAGTTGAGCTGATATTCCTCTGTTTGTTGAAAGACTTGTTTGGATCCCGCACTCCGCCGCCCTGCCGGTTCACTTTCTGCTCTTTTCCCGTCGGTTTAGCGGGCAGAGTGAACTTGGAATAATCCGCATTCTGATAATCAAATGCCACACGTTTGCTCGCCAATTCATCGGCGTCGGCAGGGTGCACAATCAAAGGAGATTTACGCTTCTCAACTCGCGGCTTTTGCGCTGCCGTGGCCGGCTTCTTCACTTCCGCCACAATAACTGGCTCATCTCCTTGGGCAACGGTCAGTTTTCCTGTTTGAGCGATAACGTCGACAGCAGCCTGATCGATGTGGCGGAGGCGTTTGTCCTTTTTCTTTGAAGCAATATCCGCCACGTCAATGACAGGCAGCGGTTTGGGCGTTGAGGCCGGCACATAAAGGACCGAAGGTTCAGCGGGTTGCTATAAAAAAGCGTGACACAGAATTCGACGCATTGAGATGCTTAAAAAGAAATGCATAAACTTGCAGCTACCTGAAAATAATGATGCACTAATACTCCGACCTACGCTTACTAGTCTGGTCAGACTGATAGCTTACAGAGCAGCGAAGCCGTAAACAGGCTTGGATACTCAACAACGATACGAGATCGTACAGCATTTTTACTCTGTCTACATACCAATACTCAGTTTAGGCTGCTAAGACATTCCAACAGTTGCAATAGCGGACGGTTAGTTACAAAGATATGGTGAAATAACCAGAAGAAAGGAAAAACATAAAAAGCGTAATCGGATACCGTGTCGACTTTCTCCGTCGCTTTGACAGTCAGTGAGTATTCCCATATCTGCCGGAATAGATCCCATTCCGGATTATGCACTACTTTCGGTGTTCTGCAATCATATATCAACTCCAAATCTCTCAGTGATGGCTGTTCGTCCAAATGCAGCCGGGCGAATTCAGTAACCGTTAAAGGTCTGGAAACAGGTCGTTCTATAACTTCCTCGGGTTGCTCCTCCATTCGTACCTGGGCGCCGACTGGCATAGGCACCACACCGGTGAAATTCCTGGCATCTTTTGCAATATTAAGAATATGCTGCATGCGCTGCTTTAGCACTGGCGGGACAAATTCCACACAGCGCACCAGATCTTCGGAAGATTTCGGTAAGCTTTCGGCGATGTCAATGCAGGCTTTGGTTGGAAGGACGTACCTACGACAACAAGCTGTATACAAAGGAGACGTTCAACACAGTAACCACCAAATAAAATTACCCCAAACTTTCGTCCACATCCCGTGCCACCTGATCACGCCACTCCAATATTCGTTTCAGTGCAAATTTTTGCTGTTCAGAGAAATTTTTGGCAAACTTCCACATGACCAAGGCAAAATCGTTCTCATCCAACTTGGTTTTCTCATAGCGCTATAACATATATGAAAACCTCAAATACGACTCTTAATTCTGCAACACATCCAAAGTTACCTTTAGGCAGATCTCTTTACTTTTGCTGTAGACATCAAGTAACATTCGCTTACTGGGATCTTTTGTCAGTAACTCATTACGAATACAGTCATAGATATAAAGCAAATCATGGGTGTCAGAACGTGCGTACTCCAGCATGTCATCTGGAAGAGCCCTGCAAAAATAAGCCTCTGTAAAGCAGTAAGTACTCAAAGCAGCAGTAGCATATAAAAACTTTACTTTGACAATACCATTCACCAAAGCTTTAGAATTGTTTCTCACTAATTTCGGCAATAACTAGCTCCCGGAACAAAAAACCGGACCGGCAGTATTCGCAAGCAGTATTCGCAATGATCACAAAAGTTAATTCATCATTGGTTATTACCGTAAATCACTTGTTGCCCTAACTTACAAGGTCACAATCAAAAAATGCAGGCGCAAAACACTTCTCAATAAAACATATTAAGTTACAAAAACCTCCCAGGTTTTCCACTGGGAAAAAAATAAATACCGTATTCTCCAGTCGGACAACTGATGAGTTTTATCCACAGTTTTGCCGAGATACCGGGACATCAAATGCGACAAAGAATATCTCGAAAACCCTAATGCACGCGCAGCTTGACCGGTATCGAACATATTGACCACGTAGATCCCGAAATCGCGTTGCAACCACAGCACATCAGAATCAGCACCGTGAAATACCTGCAAAACATTATTTGAAGTAATTCTTTCCTGTTGGCAATAAAAAGCGATATCACCTTCAGAATTTCCGAATTAGTGAAAATGTCATTCAGTTCATGCATGTGATTCCGAATGGCAATGGCATCAATGATGTAGTCCTTTGATCGAGAAGAAATCTGGACTAAGCAAGTGATACCGAGATATGTGCGATAGGAATGATGCTGCAACCAAACAGGAGCCATGAAACGAAACCGGCGTAATCATTATTAAGCGTAAGAAGCAGACACATAGTTCTACACTTCAACATCTGAACACACACTCAGTACAAAGATTCGGGCGAGCCAAAATTAACAATGTAATAATAAAACAAAATTTCAATCAAGACGCCCATATCTGAGTATTTATCACACTTCGTTACCCTTTGTGCAGAATTTTTACCAAAATCTTCAGATAATATGGTGCAAACTTGACAACCTGACGCGAACATTAATTCTCCTTCTAACTGTTCCCTGAAACCAAACGCTAAATAACTGTACCTCCAGGTCAGCGGCAATTTCCTTTACAGATCGCAGTTCCTTCAACATTCCGTAGAGTGCTTCGGTGGTATCAACATACACAAACGGAGTATCGTCCGGCGAAGGCGCTGACTGTGGCTCTTTCATAATCTGCGCATTTGGTCCCGGTTGGAAGACATCCAATTCAAATTCGTACGGATGCGGGGCTTCACCACCGTCCCTCCAGCCTTTCATAGAATAATCTAGGGAGCGCAAGGCGTTGTGTTTCGTTTGCAGTTTAGGCACAAAGGGTTTATCGCTGTTGTCAATAATCCAGCCGTGGACAACTTGCGGCCGAGGCACACTGGGAGTTTTGGTTGGGAATTTCTGCGAGAAGTAAAGACATTAATATTACAAACTTACTATTATCGCTAGATCCATCAGCCGGTAACTGCATAACGAGTGAACGGAAGGAGATTAAGATGCCTATGCATGGCCGGAAGCAAGAAACAATTATTATTATTATCATTACTATAAAAAAGAGCGAAATAAATACTTATTTCCTTCACAGTTCACATCAGTGAGGCTTGATGAATCAAAACACAAAAAAAAGAATTTCCTGATCAAACTAGCACACACAAATATGAAACCAAAATAATATTATTTGGAGTTCCGAGGCCGATAGTATTACTTGAACAAAAAATTCTGTTAAAATGTGCACCTGATTTCCTTTTAGCAAAGCACCAGCAACCGGAAATTTGGCCGATGCTTGTTCGCTAACGGAAGCGTTTTCCTCTTTCACCCGGGCTAACTCATCCATCGTCAGATCCTAACAAGCAATACGGTATAAAGTTCCATTTCCCCAGAATCGCACAGAACGCACCATCCGTTCTTTGAACTGCTTGGTGGTTTCCTGAATGCCTTGAAGAACCGAGGCTTTATTCGAGGGACTGTCGAACAAGCGATGGGTGACGGAAGGCACGCCATGGTATATTGACAGCTTCTTCAACCTGCAAACAATCGCACTTCATCATACGTCCAAGCAAACTGTAAAGCAAGACGTTTACATCTGCGCTATGTGAATGGTGGCCGCTGATGCGCGTTCCTCGAAGTCGGGATAAGTACTGCAGATTAAATAGTTCATTTCGCCTTGGGGAATCGTCTGCGAGGCCTCCACGATGCCAGTTAGCTTCTTCCGAAGACTCTACAGAACAGCAATAAGGCACGAAAGGTAGGGGATAAACAGAACATACGCACCCGGACAAATTGGTTAACGTTAGGATAGCGACCAAATCCGAGTTCTTCGGGATGGTCGCTGCTGGCAGCGGCGCCTGAAGATGTCGAAGGCGTGCCAGCCGGTGGCATGGCGCCCGCGAAGCCTTTTCGCATAATCAGAATTAATTTGTGAGGTGCAGAAAAACTCCAGAACAAGATCGACAAACTGTAAATCAACAAACTAAACGATTACGCAATACAATATCAAGTACATGAATTATCAGTTTATCACCAAAGACTGGCAAAGAGTGACATTAGTGATATCTCAAATGGCAAGTCTGCACTCTGCAACTCTGGTCTGCGGCCACCCACCGCCTCAGGTCGTCGCTTGCGTGCATTTCTGATTATAAACTGGTACTATTATAAAAAAAACAGCTGATTCCTGTGCTGATGGCACTGGCTTTCTTTGTGCACTGTTTTATTTTTGGGATAACGCATCGACGCTCTAATCAAAAATTAAACAAAGATGGCAAAGCGCCGGAGTCCATTTTATCTAAGTCTGAAAGCCAAATTCTTCCTGTTCACCATCTGCACCGGCGTGCTGCTGGCCATCTTCGCTTATCAAATCGAGAATGTCTTGCACTACGTCCGCCCTCTCTCCCGCGTGGATGCGGTGTTCCCCTTCACTCCCCAAACGTGGACGCTTGCCCCAGAAGCCCCCTCCGACCGCATCGAACCTTTTGTCGTCCAGGCATCTGACGAAGTCCTCGCTGATCTCCGCTATCGTCTGCAGCACACGCGCTTCGGCCCGCCGTTGTCCGGTGTGAATTTCCAGTACGGTTTCCCTTCCACTTACCTGCGCGAGGTAAGCATCTGCGGTGTGTAAGTCATAGCAGTGTATGCTATTTGTTTTTGAATTTCTGGCGCAGTTTCTGTCCATTCTGCCCAGGTGGTCGATTATTGGTTGAATTCGTATGACTGGAAGAAGCAGGAGAAATTCATCAATCAGTATATTCATTTCACAACAAAGATCGAAGGATTGAATATACATTTTGTGAGGGCCGAGCCGAAGGAGAAAGATGTGCGGATTCTACCAATCATTCTGCTGCACGGTTGGCCCGGATCGTTTTACGAATTGTACAAACTGATACCGCTGTTAACGACACCACAGAAGAGCAGTTGTGGAGTTTGGCAACAAGTGGCTTTTGAAGTTATTATTCCATCGCTGCCAGGATACGGCTTCTCACAGGCAGCACAGAAGCCAGGTGGGTTTCTACCATAGAAAGTGGAATAGCCATAGAATATAAATTAGACGGACCGTTGTTTCTACCTTCCAGTTTACGGTAAAATTGCAGTTATAAACCAACCTCGTTGTTGTGCTGCCTGCGAAATAAAAGAATAGATATTCTGTAATAATAAAAATTAAATTAATATGTATGCTGTAATCTGATTAACAACAAAATCTGCATGAGTTCAGTTTTTGCCATACTTTTATAAATGCCTGATATCTGTTTTCAATGTCTATAAGTGGTCTGGATCGCATCTTTGGTATGTCTCGAGATTTTATAAATTACCTACATTAGTGCAGTGAGACATCTTTCGCTTCTAGGTTTGGATACCGCAGCCATGGCTAGGATGTTCCACACCTTAATGACGCGGCTCGGTTTCCAGAAATATTTTATCCACGGCGGCGACTGGGGAAGTCTTATCGGACGAACGATGGCAGTAATGTATCCGGACAGGTACGACTGTTTCTGCTCGTGGTATTTTTTTACTTTGGTATGGCACGATCTTCATCCTCCTGAATTGTGTACAGCGTTCATGGCCTGGAATTGACGATGTATCCCATACCGATGATCCCGTCGCTGCTCAAAAACGCGGTCGCTTCCTTCATCCCATCGTGGTTTGTCGAGCATCACGAAGCGGATAAGTTATTCTTCCATAATGTACCGGCACTGCTGCGGGAAACCGGCTATATGCATATTCAAGCGACTAAGCCAGATACTGTTGGTAAGTGAAATCGGTAAATGCAAACATGCACCCCTTCGTCTTCGGATTCTGTGGAAGACGTTTTCTGTGATTTTACTCTGCCTTTAATTCTTTGCGCTTTTTGGATTACGATGCGTTTTTAGTGTCATTAAATCGTTGGTGTCATAATGCTGCACTTCACAGTTTTATCAGTCGCTGAATGCAGCGTGTGGACTTTTTTGCAGATTATATTATTAGGAAATTTGCGTACAGTTACGGTTGGCGTTATGTTGAACTCTTGATGTGTACGAGTTTTTAATTTGTGCTACTATAATGGTTGAATTTTGTTTCATTAGGCGCCGCACTTTCTGACTCTCCCGCTGGTTTGGCGGCATACATTATGGAGAAATTTTCAACCTGGACGAACGACGACAACATCCAGCATCCCAAGGGAAACCTGGCCAAGTATTTCGACATGGATGATTTAATCAACAATGTGATGATCTACTGGATTTCCAACTCAATCATGTCATCGCAGCGATTATACAAAGAAGTCTTCGCCACTGATTACGACACGTACCTTCGGTAAAAGTGATTTCTTATTTCTCTTAACATTTTGGTTACCGGTTTCACGTTTGTTCAGTTATCCAGTCAAAGTTCCGACTATGCTGTCTGATTTCTTCCATGAACTGCGCGGAGCAAATCCCCCAACCGAATACGTTCGTCCATATTTTACCAATTTGCTGAAGGTATCGGCACATTCCACCGGCGGCCATTTTCCCGCCATGGAACGACCGAACGATATTGCCGAAGACATCCGGGCGTTGGGACTGGCGGTTATCAAATGTTGAAACTTGAACTTATTGACTTATCCCGAAATACCACCAAAAATGATGTTTTTAGGTATACTAGAAAGAAAACCAGTTTTGGTGATTGACTTACAGCAACTGTGATTTTGGCCCCCCTTGTTTTGGGAGTCTGTGCCTTTTAAAAGTGCAATTTTATTAATTTTTTGTCAAGTTTTTTGTGGCGGAGGTTGACAACGATTGATCCAAGCATTTGACATTTGACAAGTTTTTAGATTTTCTGCTCTCGAATTGTAGAGTGTTCCAGTACTAAAAGTTTTGCAGTTTTTCGTTAGAAAGGTGGTAACGTGAAGCGCGCGCAAGGATTGCTTGAGTAAAACATTAATAACATACACAGCATTAATCATTGGTTGATTAAAGCACTGCATTTTGCAAACAGTAAGTGAATTCGAAGGATGTGTTCGCTAGTTCTGAGAAAATTAAAGGGAAATGTGTTTTCATTGATACGTTGTTTTTCTCGATCGAGAGCTGCAAGGTTTTGTTTACATCGAGCTTTTGAATTTATCGTTGTGTGACAAATTAACTTTTTTACTGAGATCAAATGCAATTTTGTTGGATTAACTGGTTCATTACTCCCTTTGTCGTCATTGCGCAAGCAATGTACAAATCTGGCACCGCGAACAGCGGTTCTGTTTGAGCGAACGATCATATGGCACAGTTTTGTGACGCTCATAAGTCATAACGGATTCTGTGGAGAACATTTATTCCCACGATCCAGTCCAATTTATTTGTGAATTGATCATAAATTTCTAAGAAGTTTGGCCGTCGATGGTATGTATAACTGCACGTAAACACTTTTAAGTACTGCGTAATTTCTGCCGATCAGTGTTGTTTCTCATGAGCAGGTTGTATGCATGCATCAATTTCATTTCAAAGTTTTGTTTGATTTCGTAATTGATTACCGGAAGTAAGTACCGGCATCATGACGCCGTCGACTTTTATCAACTTCGGTGTCCTTTTTTTGGTTCAGAAGTAAGTGGCAGTTTGGACATAATAAACTGAACGTTTCTTTTTCGATGTATGTAATTACACGTAATATTGTATATTACAGAATATATTTAGTACGTTTGGATTAAAAATATAAATAGTTTAAATTTAAATATATGTAAATAAAAACTTATAATTTATCTGACCAACAGAACGCATCGCTGTGAGCGTGTTATTACTAATTTTTCGTAAAGCCTGCAGTGCACTAACCATAAAGTCTAAATGAAATAAATATGAAGAGCAGTAGTCTTTGTCTCTCGGAAGTGTTATGTCTCCATAGATGCATTCTTTGTTATTAAATTGCAAATCACGACTTCATTTATAACTTGGTTTTATTCTTCGTATGCTCGGCGATCTCACTGTATATAGCATGGCGCGCAGAACAGAATTACCATAGAACTATGCAGTACGATACTCATTACGCCATGCAGTCAGCACTGTGGCACCGGAACTCGAATCATTCTGATCCCGATAAGTTAAATGTTGTGTATTTTGCAAACATTTTTAGTTAAAGGAATATGTAATTGTGCCTTAAATTTGATATGTAGCAGGTAGTGTAACACCGGCTGTTTTACCAAACAAAAACTCTTTCAGTGTCGTTTATATGGCTTATAACGTTATTCATAATACAGAGGCGCGGCTAATTTTTCCTTTGAACTTTATTGGTGCTTAACGGATTTTGACGCGCTTAGGCACTTTCTTCACTTTCACTCGATACCGCTGCATAATAAAACAAATCCTAACCCACGAGATTTACATTGTTACGGCCTACATTCAATCCTCTAATATCATCAGCGGCACATTCCCACACCGTTATAAAACTTGCGCTCACTTTTGGGGCGTAATTATTTTTCGGGGGGAATGTGGAACGAATAATAGTTTCCATCACGTACAGTCCGGCAGTGAAAGTGGACGGTTGTCTCTCCTCTCGCTCTCTTTATAACTGACTGACCACAGCTACCGGCTCATAAAACTGCCACCGCACCGAGCATAATTACAGAATACAACGCCAGAGAGTGTGTGGATGTGTGTGTATGCATTCATCCACCTTCGAAGTATATATTCGTCCCTAACCGGGCAAATAAGTGCAGCGCTTGTTGTTTGTTTCATTCTGTGTGTCCAGTTTGTATGAGTGACCCCGGCCAGTCAGCCAAGGCGAATCGATTTTCCTTTAGGAGCTCTGGACAGTGGATACAACCGGCACCTGTGAATACCGATTCCGCAATATGCTGCATCCGAACGGCATTGTGGAGTATAATCCGTGGATGGCAGTTTGATGGTTGACAAGTGAAAGAATGCTCTGAACGGATATCTTCGTGATCACAGTTTTTCATGTTTTTCTCGCTGTTGTCGGATTCTGATGCTTAAATTCCAGTCGATGATGAAACACGATTCTGAACATTCGCCCATTTCTGCTAAGCCGGACGGTGCGGTCATGGTAAGCAAAATTTTCGTAAAACCGAGTTAACTATTTACTGAAGTAAATCGCGGTTAACGCTTTAATTCAAGAAATTTCGTTGCGGGATTTTGTTTTAATGATCTGTTTCTGAATTTTTACAAATTATTCTTATGACAGTATTTAAAGAGTTAGTAGCTTTTCTCTGGCTTTGAATATACATGTCAGTTGATAGATGAGCAGGTCAGCCGAAATCAGCAGCGAAGGAATTACTACATAGTAGCGATTACGAATTGTTTATCGAAGCACTACGCAATACCGTATACATCTTTAAGCTTAAATGCATAATATCCCCGCCGGACAATTCTGCTGACTGGATCAGCAGAAAAGGCGTCAATATCCGATGGATAATCGCTCGCGTTTTTTAAGTAGCATATTGCTGGCTGTTCCAAAAAACATAACAATGGAAGATGATTGTTCGTGGGAAGTGAGAGAGCGCGGAAGACATACACACATGACACACACACAGTCTGTTCTTACGAGCACACAATTCGATCGCGCGCGCGTCGTTGTATTTTCTCCGTCGCCGCTTAATTCACATTCACTTCTCTATCAGCGCCAAGAGTGCCGATAAATGGTTTTGATATGACGCCAGATTGCACCTATTACCTTCGCTGGCCATCGTGTTCAGCTGGTCAGTTGTGATTGAGTGGATGCGTAATGAAACGCAGTGCACAATTTAATTTACCCAACGATGCACGGTGTGCAGTGTGATCTGGCCACCCGGCGTAAATCACGTTGCCCCTTCCCATGAGGTCGCTTCCAGTGTGTTGTAACTTGTGTGGTATTCCTTCCGTGGCCCTGTTCATTCCGTAACCGACAATGATGGATAATCATGTAGATCCTGTACGAACATTTCGCACATTTCTACCAACATCGGGCGATTATGATCCCGCTCGTGAGCTGGAAATTTATCAACATTATAGAGTAAGTTACAGCAGTGCTTTCTTTACGATTGCGGTTAAATGAAATGTGTTTGTCGGCCTTGTAAACGGATATAAATTAAACGGACTTTAGATGTTGGTTTTTATGTATTTTAAACGGATCGATTACTGTACTGTTTTTCACAGTCGGACTTAACCAATAAGTAATAACCTAAGTCAATATTTTTCAAATTTGTGATTAATTTGTTAAAATTGTGATTAATTTGTTAAATGTGCATGTATTTTGCTCAAGGGATTTCATTTGCATTTTAGCTTTTCATAGTGCTATCATACCTTGTTGCTGTTTACGTTGCGGTTACGAATACCGTCATATATTGATGGAAGTATTTACTTACAAATCGAGGTTTACCATTTAGGTGTAACATGGATGTTCGTCTCTTAAAAATATTGTTGTTTTAACGTTATCGGAAACCTGGTGTCAGTGTTGTTGGGTGGCATGTTTTTCCCTGCTCAGAAAACACTTTTAGAGATTGTCCACATCTGTAAAGTTTCTTGTGTAACTTTCTGCTTGTCTAACTTGTGTTGTGATGACTGCGACCTTTGCACCGCATGGACGTATATTTCCTAACATATTGACCAGAATGCTAATAATAGTTTCAAGTCGAGTATTTGTGCCAGTTATGGCCATTTGCACCTTGCTGGAAAACATTTTCGGATGACCACTCGAAATATCCAGTTGCTCTGTTTGCTTTCCGTCTGACTTGATCGATGGAAGCCGGGCTTTATATGCCAGAGTTTATTAGAATCTGCCGTGGACAGGCCCAATATATGTGCCGTTCACGGTATCAGGTGGATGGGCAGCAGAAAGTGTATCCTTTGTCCTCATCCTATTGCCCGGTTCATTTGGCCTTTTATGCATATACGCGCTCGTAATAAGCGCACTGTGAAGGTGGGGTAAACAGGTTTCCCTTCTCTTCCACCTGAAACACCCTCCGACAGCTGACGTTTGCTCAATTTTGATTCTCGCAGAAACAGCCATAACTGTCACTTTCCGTAGATTAATTCCAAGGATTATTTATCCATACAGCTGAGCCCGTGAGAAAACTTCTGACCTTCGGTTGATTACATGCTCTTTAGAGATTATTTATTTTTTTGTAGCAGTTGCTATTTACAACTATCCGTAGACACGTGCGTAACGGTGTGTTAGTCTACTCTTACAGTTGTTTTTTAAACTGTCTTCCTTATACGGGCGGGTAGTGGCTTAATCCTCATAGATTTCGCTGATAAATGACCGGAAGTGCTGTTGCCTACTCGCGGTTGACCCAGGAAATGTCCGCACTCGTCATTGATTAAAGCAGTACGCGAATTGGAAGAGCCAAACTGTAGTAGCTAAGAAATGTTTTTAAAATTTCGCAGCTCAAACCAACACGAAAATTTCCACCTTTTTAAGAGAAGGCTAGCAAAATTCTTATAAACTGTCCAATGCAAGAAGCTAAGCCCTAAGGTTGACAACGAGGTTAAATTAGGTTTTTCTTTTATAATATTTTCACGGTTAATTGATGGTGACTTTTGATTTAGAATCCCACGTTCCAAGACAGCATGGATGGACCGGCAGCGCATCCGCACACGAACGGTTCTACCTACGGTTCGTATCAGACTTTGTCCAATGACAACCCAACCAGAAGCGTATCAACCATCTCTCCGGTTTCAAAAGCAGATGTCCCCACGTCGGGAAAAACCAACCCGGCATTCGTCCATGAATCCTCCGTGGACACCGACTCAGGCGGTGTGCATGTGTATCCCGAACGCAATGGTCATTACGTGACCAAACCGTCGTCCCGTCCGCACAGCAAAAGCCCTGCTCATTCCTCCTCCAATCCTCAGTATTCGCCCTCGGAAGACCGGGAAGTGCCCGCTTACTATATGCCTGTGAATGCCCATAGAAAGCTTCTCAGGTAGGCAACTCAGTGCTTTTATTGCCACATAAGAAAGTTTACATGTTAGTAATTTATTACTGTAATATTATGCTGAATATTGCATATGTTTTCGTTTGCATTTTCGTATGTTCAACAGTCTCGCTGAACGATTTAGTTAGCTTACCTTAATGCCTAAATATTTTTGCATTTTGTGCTCGTATTTATGCAACGTTTATGAAAAGCTTGAAAACTGGCGAAAAGTGCCATAAGTGTTATTGAATCTCAGTTCCCTTTTAAGCGGTCGTTTTGTGGCGTGTGTGGTTTTGCCTAGTTAGTCGTATCTTCAAACAAATTACCGATAGATCTGACATCTTGACGGAGCATTTTAAACGGATAATCGTTGATCGTTACATGCGCCGTGCCGCGAAAATCTAATTGACCAACCTTGGTCGCCACTTAACCAGCCAAATTATGAGAAGCACTCTCTTGCTGCTCACACATACAGAGTACACACACCAAGTTGTCTCTTCCTGAAAATATTTTAATTATGTGTTTCTCTTTGACTTGCAGAGGGGAAATTCTTTACGTTACCAAAGACACCCGCAACAGTGGTGCCAAATGTTGGAGGCGGACAATATGTATTAGCGGCATATGTTTGACTGTGATTCTTGCGATTATACTGGCTAGTCTTGGCGCAAGTACGTACATTAACACTTTGTACTTGTACTTCAACTGTTTTTTCGTGTTATAATAGTATACTTTGTGTGCTTTGTTTTATAAATGCATAGACCGATTGATTAAGGGCAAACAATGCAAGAGAGTCTCTTGTTGACAGATTGTTATATCATAATTGGTGTATAAGGTCAAAGTACCGGCGGTATAATATAATTAGCCGAAAAAAATTATAATCTAATCAGAGGAACGCGCTGAGGCTTTTTTATGAATACGACCGTGAGAACTTGTCAATGAAACCAGTAATCTGTGAAAAATGAAGTAATACGTACAAATTACTGTTGGCTTTGTTTATATCAAAGCCGGCTTGTGTTGTGTAAGAATATGACGGTGGTGGCTGTCTGTGTTTTTTCTCTCCGGCTGTGGTAGCAGCGTAAGACATTTGTGTGTCGCTGACGACACCGGAAAAAAACTATCTTCGGACAGGTCAACAATATACCAGAGAAATATTATCACAGTCCAGACTGATTGTTATGGGCTGACAAGTCAGCTTTCATTGAATTCTTGGCTCACGGTACAATACTTGATCGTGGCAGTTTTTATAAGAAAATGTTTATACTGGTTTTGATGGTTTGAACAATTATCTAAAATCTGACGGTTTGCAGCACATTTGTAACATCAAGAAACTTCCAGTAAAAAAATGTGTACTTCTGTTCGTGGTGCAAGGGCTAATATTCGTGTTATTTTGTTGTTTGTTATGAGCAAAGCCAGCAAGGAAATTATTAATAAGCTTTACTGCTTAATATAAAAGGTTACTTAGTTTGAACATATCGTTGAATATATCAAAATTTCTTGCCCGCTTTCCAATGCGCTAGCGCTGATTTTCAGAACTTCGTGATTATTTCATCGAGCACTTTCCAGGAGAAATACAAAATAATCCGAAGTTAAAATTTTAAGTAACGTTAATTATAACTTTTACGCAGTCCAGTGCAGGCTTTTCTTGTTATTCTGAATTTCTGATGCGCAGTATGATAGTTATGTGGCATGTTTGATAAAGACTGTGATAACATTATTCAGAGAAATTTTATTAACGATTTAGTGAAATATCTCTGTGTTGTTTCAGCTGGCGTTATTTTTAATACATCGTCTAAGAAGGAGGAGCTTCGGATGCCGGCATTGCGTAGTCCGGCGGGACTGGATGTCGATGTGCATGAAGTGCAGGAAGTGGACAATATGGACAACAGTGGCCAGCCCAAGATAGCTGCCGCTGTTATTCCAAGTGCTGTCAGGGAGCCCAAAGCGGATGAGGCGCTGCAAGAGTGGCGACGACAACATCCGTTCGAGCTATCCGCCGACAATGGCTCCGTACAGAGCACGCGCCGCCCATCGGCTGGCGGTGTCACACTCGCTGGGCTGGAAGCGGTCAGTCTCCCGTCCGATGGAGGTACAGTCCAACGCAGCCCAGTGGGGCAAATTAAGTGTAGTTAGTAACCATTTGTTATAGTAAAAATTTATTATAGTTAAAATTTTGTTAAAACTATTATATTACTTACTTGTACACTGTTATGCAGCGGATTCGGTCAAATTTTAAAATATTGGATTTGTAGCAAGATCTATTGTATAATTGCCATTAATCTTTCTGCATAAAGCATTACAAGTAGTTTTAGAGGTTCAGGTAAGAATCACAGGTAACTTCAGCTGCGAGCTTACCACCGCATCGAATAACAAGTGTTATAATAACAAGAACACTATCTTGTCCACGGATAAAAATAAGATCAGCAGACATTATTCTGTGGCTTTGAAATTCGTAGTTTTCTCTCCCTGCTTAAAACAGTGAGAGGAGTAAACCGCCGCGTATCCGCTGATAAATGTTCGAATGTCCTGGTCGGCAGATAACACCGGCAATCCTGGACGCTGGTTCGCTAGACCGTGACACCAATTTCAACAAAGCGCCGACGACATGGGCATGTAGAATGCATTATTCGGGGTATAATACGAGTATGTTTCCTAAGCCGACCAGCGCTGATCGGGCCAAGATGCGCGTCCTCACGAAAACGTGTTAAATAATCCTTTATAGCAATATTTATTATGCAAAGTGTAAAGACGATTGTGTCTAAGGCGATGGTATAATACACGGGGCCTTTATCCTTATGTATATATACGTGTTTGTGTATGTTGATAGTGCCTGAAGCCATTGAAGGGGAACTACGCATCATGAACATGGACTTCCAAGCGGCACTGGCTGACAGTAAATCCTGGATATTTCAGTACACATCCAACGACCTAACTGTTTACGTGAGTGTTGTCTATCATTAAACACTGCGCTTTGTCTGCCTGATAAAGAGCGCAGCAGTGAAAACAATTTGACCTTTTTGTCCATATTGAACGGACAGTTGACGCTGGCAGTCAGTGACCTTGTTGTGGTCGGCATTGCTCTGTTTGTCGTGTATTCTTAAGTTTGTAGCAAAAAAATTAGCGCCATATTATTGTTGTTTCAATACCGGAAGTTTAATAAAAATCGGTTATTGTTAAAGATTATACCTAAATTTCGATTTTTATGTATATATTTTTGTCCCTACTGCTACCAGGAACGATAATACAGACAGCAGCAGAGAAATGAATGTAAATCTCCTGTACTTTTAGATGAACGAATTGTTTGCCAAAGCACTGAATGGAGCGAATTACAATGCTACGAGAATTATGAGCTTGCGGTAGGAAATCGAATTTTTCACTGTGTTCAAGTAATGGTTTTAGATACCGACTGATTTTAAGGGACGAAACAATTTTTTATTTACAGTTTAATTATTAGAAAAACTATTACATTGTTTACTTATTATTTTATTATTCCTGTGTTTATAAAACTTCGTTATTCCATGTTTTCAGGTCAGGAAGTGTGATAGCAAAGTATCAGTCCTTATGGAATCAAGCACCGCAAAACTGGGATGTTAGTGTTATTGCCATTTTAAACAATCATTTGGATCTCAACAATAACTTCATAGGTGAGTATCGTATATAACGCCGTTTACCGTTCGAAAGTAAAGTCTATTGTTTGTTGCAGGAAATTATCTTATTGATCGGAACAGTTTATCGGCAAAAAGTACGATATGGACTACAGGCAAAAAGCAGACATATGACGCTTTACCACGGGATATGATTTTGCAGGTATTTTTTACACATGTCGAGTGGATAATGGCGGTTGTTCACATTTGTGCGAATTTGACCTACTGGAAATGCGACAGTATTGTTTGTGCCCGGATAATAAAACTTTCAAACTAATTAACGGAACCACATGCGTGCGGATCACTGGAGTTGTGGAGCAAGAAGGTGAGTTAATTATGGTTTATGTAGCTATTTTAAGAAGCTGGTAAACTCTTTGTGAAAGCATGATTATTTCGACAACTTTTAAAATTTTGAATTGATTCCTGCATCTGTTGTATTTTGCTTTCTTTCGCTTTTGATTGATTTTGAAGATCGTTTTTGCGTGATGCTTTTATTTTCGGACACGTTTTCGGACTGTATTACGTATAAGTATTTTAGCGGGAACTACAAAAGCGCCGAATATGGAATCAGCCACAGCAACGTCTGGTTTAGAGACTCTACCGACGGAACGTAGTACTCACTTAATAACTAAAACATCCGTTACCGAACCAGAGACCTCCGGCACAAGATCTTCGACTGCTACAACGGTAAACATCCCTTTCGCATCGTCTTCTTCCGGACAGGAACACACCGCAACAACCACAACACTGGTTTCTACTAGCGCGACAACTTTAACCGGCATGACCTTTCCGCTTCTCCAGGACCACACAGTCGCCCTCAACAGCACCCCCGGCTTGACCTCGCTATTGCCCGCACTGTCATCCGAATCAGCGTCAGTTACTGTAACAACGGAATCTGTACACACCAACACTTTTCCGCAACCTACGGCGACTGCAACGACGGAATTGCTTGTCGCCGCGAGCACTTTGGAAAGCGTTCATACGCCGTCTCCAGCGATGCCGATGGGGCATTTGGACGTGGCGATTATCCATCCCAATGAAACTGTCCAGGCGGAATCCACCCATGTTGTCGTGTCCGCTAATTCATCGGCGGCATTTGTGGCATTGCCGGTGGAGTCCACTAGGAATGTGTCGGTGGCAAATAACACGTTTTTTGGTTTTGTTCCGCTGGACCAAGAAAATAGTCAGCATGAGGGATGGACGATGCCGCCCAATACCAGCACCACTGCAGGTCAGTTTCAGTTATCTTTATAATATAAATTAATTACCGGTTGAATTCCGATTATCAATACAAATACTAAAAATTACTTTGCCGTCATTTCATAACAAACAAATTATTCCTTTTTTTTTAATTTTTAAACCTTTTCCCCGATTCTGATGGTTTTCTAAATAAAATGTTGAGGTGGTGTGAACTGAACTATAATTACGTACGTCGACAAAATAGATGATGGATCGGACATTCATCATGAATCCATCCTGGCCGTGTCGACAACAGCTGCCGTTGCGACAACTGTACCCACCATTCCAGATACCTCACCAATGACCTTTGCCACTACGGCAGCATCCCAGCCATTATTAACGGTGACCACAACCGTTCCTCTCATTTTGACGACTGCTCCAGTTACTCCGCCACCCGTTGCTTCTGTCGCCATCGCAGTTGCGCAGTGTTATAGCGACGAATTTCTCTGCCGTAAGGAGAACCGTTGTGTTCCGCACTTGGTGGTGTGTAACGGTGTGCCGGAGTGCCAGGATGGCACCGATGAGGCCAACTGCACCGACTGCCATCCCAACTTCCGGTGCTTGTCCGGAGCATGTGTACCCATTGGGCTTGTGGTCAGTCTCAATGATTACGTATCCTCTTTTCCACAAATATATATAAGATTTCAGTCTTCTGCTGTTGATACGTCAAAGTTTGATAAAACTAAGAAGTGTACTCTATGCACATTATGCATGAAATGTACTTCTTGTGCAGTGCGATGGTATGGAAGACTGCAGTGATGGATCTGATGAGCTTGGCTGCACACAAAGCGTCTGCCAAAAGTCGGGAATGTTCCAGTGTATTACGGGATACTGTCTGGAAAACGCTAACCGCTGCGATGGAGCAGGCGACTGCTATTCCATGGGCTTGCCGGTTGACGAGTTAAACTGCATTGGAACGGATGCTAATCACACTTGCAGTGGTCCCAATCAGTTTACCTGCCAACAGAGCCGACGTTGTATTCCACTGCACTGGAGGTAAGGGAATGTTTTGTAAACTGCAATTTAGTATTATGCATGGAAGCTCACTAAGTAAACTAACACCGAATCAAAAACGTTTCGGGCATTGGTTTGATTAACACAAACAGAGTAATAAAACATTGGTGTGTTTCTGATGCATTTGATTTTGCGCTAGGTGTAATGGGCGAATTGACTGTTTGAATCAAGAAGACGAAGTTAACTGCCAGTGTGATGTCGGAAAAATTTCTTGTGCTGGCGGTGGCGGTTGCATTGATGCGAGGTAAGGAATACATTTTATACGATAAAGTTTTGGTGACTTTTTAATAATGCATAAGTTCTCAGGTTGCGCTGCAATGGAGTGGTGGACTGTCCAGATGGATACAGCGACGAAACAGACTGCTTCCAGCTACAAAATTCTGGATTAGTGCAAGCCCGAATGTTGGATACCGAATGGCACAATCTCTGCACGGACGGATGGAACCAGCGAGCGGCCAATAACATTTGCCAAAAGCTTGGATACCGGTAAACTCACATTATAGACATTAAACAGCGTCCTTAAATGAAGTAGCACCTCTTCTTATAGTGACATAGTCATGTGCGTTAAGCAACTAATTTGACAAACACAACAACATCCGCTTTAAATAGTTATTCCTCTGAGCTAAAAAAGCCGATGTTACCTGACTGTTTGTGATTCGATGTTGCACAATAATACTCGCGGTCAGTTAAGAACGAACAAAGTTGCAAACAAAGGTCAATGATTAATCATCCTTTGCGTCATTTTGCCAAATAATTTCAATTACAGTGTTAGGAAATAAGAATAAATGGTAAACAAACAAACAATTAATAATAATAATAATAGAGTTAAAGTGATATAATTAACATTTATTGCCATACTAAAATATTCCTGTACTGTGACACTTTTATAATTTTGATTATTAAAACGGTAATTCAACAATACTGTTTATGCCAATTTTTATATAATAAGTTGATAACTTCAAATGTTCGCATTAGACCGGCCATGTCAGTGTTCACCGTTCCTGCTCCAGCCACCGATACCGGCAACATTTTCTGGCTGAAACCGGACTTCAATGCGACGCAGACCTTGCTGCAGCAGCTGCACATCACCACGCCCAACACCTGCCTCGATCCTAATTCCCGAGCCGGGATCACTTGTGAACGCTTCCGGTGCCAAATCGCCAATGACCCCGGTGTCGGCAATCAGGTCAAACTGCAATCAGCTATCGTGAAGATTATGTTCGAAGGCGATGCCTTCACGGTCTGCAATGGATACCTGGTGGCACCCATGTGGATTCTGACTTCCGCTAGCTGTTTGCAAAATAGGTACTGAACTCATTTATCTTCTAAAAAATAATGTGGATTAGCATTCTGAAAATTCTGTGACGTATTTTAATTACTTTGTAGCGTATTACAATATTTGGACAACTTTATCTGTAGAGTATTCTTCGCAACTGATTTTCGTGTAAATTGTTTTAGACCGGCCAGTACGATAAAGTTGACCTTTTATACCAATACTTTCCACACCAACGTGACTGCGGTGCATCTTCATCCCAATCATTTGACGGTGCGCATGCTGCACAATTACGATTTTGCTCTATTAAAAGTGGCTGGCGTAGTCCCGGCCAATTTTGTTCCCGTTTGTCTGCCGTCCAATTCCAACCCGTCCTTGTGCAAACTGGCGAAATTGTACGATAACAGTACCGTGGTGGCATCGCAGCTGCAACGCGTGGCCGAAATGGACTGCAATTCGAAGCGGAATTATGCCGGATTGGTCAGTGGAAGTATGGAGTGTTGGCGCAGCTCACTGCCCATGTGTGATGTATGTCGTCTTCTGACAAAAAAATACAGTAACTGTTATTAAACTATTTAAATTCCCATACCAAAATATGATAATACTGTAATAATACGTCTTAATTTCGCTTTCCTTATCGCTCTTCGAAAGCTCAGTTTTTAATAAAGGAGTTTTGTCAATAGGTACTCGTATAACAAAACACTCGTGAACAGATTTTGCGGACCACTGTAACCTGCATGGCAGAGCCGATCGATAGCTTCCTACATAGTCTGTACTCTGTACCGATGTACTGTATATCAAAAGCACCCTTGTATGAAAAGCTTCGCATGTAAATCACTGTTTCAAATATTCCGATCCATCTTAAATCACACTTAGAATATGTATGGTATTTTTGTCGTAAAGCAATTTCAAGTTCAAGTGCAATGTTTTTTTGCAGGAGGACGCCGTGTCGCCGATGATTTGTCAGAGCATCTTAGGTGCATGGGAAATCCGCGGCTTCCTCAGCTACCAACACCACTGCGGCTACTTCACCCCCAAACCCCTGGTCTTCGCCAATTTGACCTACGCCGTCGACTGGATCCGAGATCTCATCGGACCAGCGCTGTCCAACGTGCCGCGCACCGATGAATCTGTCTTTTATCCCTACATGGAACCAGTTGCCGCCGACTCTCACGTTATCTTCACTACAACCGCGCACGAGCTGCACACTACCATCACGCCGCCGATAACGACTGTGACGACGACAGTGACCTCGCGGAAGACTGTGCATTATGATCTGGATGAGGTGACAGCGGAGTACGGGAATGACACGTACAATATTACCACGTCGGCACCGGTAGAACTGTCGAATAGCACGACAGCGGGATTCGCCGCGGTATTGTTCAATGTCTTCGGAAATATCACCGGTGTGCCGGTGAATACGACTGTGGCCACAATGCTCGTACCGGACACGACGACATCACCATCGCCATTCAAACTGCAGTGTCCTGATGGTATGCTGTCATGACAAACAATAAATTTCTTTTGTTTTACGATAATTTTGCGACTTATGGTTAGATGTAGTCAGTTGATGATCTCTTATAGTACTAGTAATTTTTTCTCTTTTTCAAGGCATGTTTTTACCGTCTTCTTACTTCAAAATTATTAAAACATAATTTTGCTTGTGTTTGTGGTCAAGAACTTTTGAATAATTTCAGTAATTAAATAAGGGGATAGTTTGATTATGCTTTTTCCGAATATAAAGTTACGTTCCAGCCCCAATGGTTCTGCAAAGTTTTATTAAATGTTTTCCAAGGCCTGATTCAGTGCGTTTGTTTGATTTAGGAACACCGCTTCTGACCGAATATTTATGCGACGGAATCTTCCAGTGCAGCGACGGTTGGGACGAGAAGCCGGACATTTGCCTGAACATCAGCTGCCCGGCGGCGTCGCACATCCGCTGCACCAACGGCCGCTGCGTGGACAGCCGCACCGTGTGCGATGCGCGCGCCCAGTGTCCGGCCGGCGCCAGCGATGAAGTAGGCTGTAAAGATTGCAACATGAACACCCACTTCAAGTGTCTGGGAGACCGCTGCATCCCGCTCTCGTGGATGTGTGACGGCGAGAAGGACTGCCAGTACGGTGACGACGAATCCAACCAGAGGTGCCAAGTGTGCGCCAACGCCACCAATCAGTTCCACTGTACATACGGTGGAGGGTGTGTCCCGTGGGAAAAGGTGTGCGATGGGGCGTTCGATTGTCCGGATTTCTCCGATGAGAGTCAGTGCGCCCGTGTCAACGGGACGATGGGCGGTGTGGTGGAGATGCGGGCCCGTGGATCGGAGTGGATGGCGGTGTGTGACAGTGGGACGACGGAGCGGAATGATCAATGGGGCGTTGGATTGTGTCATGATTTGGGTTTTGATTACGCCAATCGAACGAAGGCGATCGGGGTGGGGAAGCGGCCGGGGTTTGTCATCGGACGGGATGCGACGACGGCCAACGTCAATTTGTATTTAGCTGCTAAGAATGTCACAACGGAGTGCAACGGATCGCTGGCTTTGTCTGTAAATTGCGGGTTTCAGAGTGAGTCCTACTAGTGCAACTGCATTTTTTCTTTCTTAAACCTCTATGATTTTTCTTATGTACAATATCTCTTCCTGTTGCATTTTTCAAAAAATAAAAATATTTCCCATGTATATGGTTTGTATACATGATTATTATACATGCTTTGACATAATTGGCTCGAATTTTGCGAATGCCTTATCAATTCTGCAGCTAAACTTCGGTTAATAGGTAACGTACTTCTTTAATTCTTAAACACAGAAGGGTTTAAACGCACTTTTGAATGCCTAAATCGCTGATCCCTTTTCAGAACGCGGCAACTGGCAGTTCGATCTGACGGACCTCGACCCATCTGTGGCATACAAAGCCGCGCCCAACGAGTACCGCCACATTGTCCTCTTGGTGTACTTGAAGGGTGACCTGGAAGATTGCGTCGGCGTTATATTGAATTCGCGCTGGATTCTGACTTCCTACGAATGCATCTCTCAAGCGTAGGTGGTTGCTTAAATATTTCTCTGATAGCGCTCCAGGTGACCTTTGTGCTTGTACGGTTGTTCAGGGATCCCACGATGACGCCAGTGGACTGGGCGCTCTTTTCCAATCCCAACTCCATGGATCAGGGCTCCTTCCACTTGATTCGACGGTTCGTCGCCCATCCCAGTGTCAAGTTTAATATCTACTTTTCCAAACATGATCTGGTGTTGGTGGAAGCCATGGAAAGCCTAAAAATGGGTTCTAGTTCGGAGGATAATGCGGCTGTGTGGACGCCGAGAAGTCCAGTCCCGCTCAACGCGTCGTGTGTATCCTATGGATACTTGTACTCAAGTACGTTGAACGAAATAAAAAGTTTGCAAGACTCGAAACTTCCTAGATGCTCTGCAGTCTGCGGAGTCATGCCGGCCATCTACGTATGCGAGTTTTGCGGCTGTTGTATGAACTTCTATCATTATTAAAACCAGGTTTATTCAAACGTCGTTTTATTTATCGCAAATTTAAGTACAACACGAACTTTGTTACGTAATTTGGGCTGTGAACGAACCAACAGATTGTGCCGACTGCGTTCGGACATTCTTGTCCAAGTCCAGTAAATGTGCAATTGTGCATCGAAAGCAAGGTAGATTGACATACTCGTAATTGTACTCGTATACGATCCTGTGCTGCATGCACTCTTTTGTCCACTTATTGCTATCTCATTAATCTCCTTTGATGGCGAAAATAAATTAGCGTTTGATTACTGATGAGTTTTGTAACTAAGCTCAGTTTGTTTTGTAGTAACGGAAATTCCTGGCACACGGATGAGTAGACGGTCGGAAGGACAGCTATATTTCTGGAAGACTCCGCTGATATCCCCGGAGCAGTGCAATCAGGCTAGCAATTACAACGGAATGATCACCGACTCTATGCTGTGTGGCGGTTTCCGCAACACCACGCACAGAAGTCCCTGCATGGTAAAGTTTGAAACTTGAGTGCGAGTGTAGACCGACTGCAAAACTGATAAAATAACATCGTAAAAACGGAATAATCTGTCGCCAGGGTCGAGTGGATGGCGCGCCGGTAATTTGTCGGAATGCCAATCAGTTGTGGGAAGTGGTGGGCATCCGCAGTTTCCAGCCGGTGTGTGATTCTCTCTGGATGGCCCCCTCGGTGTACACGGACATTTACCAGCACCGGAAATGGATCGGTGATGTAATCGGTCCTTATCTGACCATGAGCCAAATGACCACGACCGAATAGTTTTGTTAGCATAATGTGCAAAATGCTCATCCGCTGTTTCGTGTTTGTAAATTTTAAGCAAGTTGTTTGATTAAAGTGTGAAAAATTGTATTTTTACTTCAGTACAGCCACAGTCAATTACAGTATACAAAGAATTCAGTCCATTCACAAACATCGGAGATAAGTTCTTTTAGAAGAAATCTGATACCTCAAATGGAGTAGACTGGGCGTAATACAGATAAAAGTGGATTTAGAAAATGAACATCAATACGAAGCCTACCAATCAGTCTTATATCATCAGTATACTGAACCGAGATTCGCAGAACATTGCGATAATTAAACACTAAACGCAGAGCAGTTGAAGCATCTCCATCCACGCACAGATTAACTCTTGGCAGCTGGTTTAACATTGGCCTGACTGAATTTCTTAGCCTGTTCCTTCACTTTGGCCACGTATTCCTCGCGGTTCTTGGTGTAAGCGCCGTACGCTTCGGCCTGCGCCGGATCCTTCTCGTTGGGATTGACCAGCAGATCCTGAATGCCCAGCAGGATCTCCTTCACCGTGATGCCCGAGCGCCAGCCCTTGTCCTCGTCCAGAATAGACAGACACACCGTGCCGCTCGGATACACATTGGGATGGAACAACGGCGGCTCGAAGACGCATTTGGGCGGTGTGGCCGGATAATCATCGCGGAATTTCATCTTCAGATGGTAGTAGCTGCCCGATGGTGGATGCTCCCAGATGGAACCCTTGGGGCCTGCCGAAACAGTAGAAGCAAAATTATGCCATCAAAACAATCTATTAAAAATGCAATTTAACAATAAGTCAGATGATTATTGTCATCAAACGATAAAAACTTGAATCCACTGCAGGTAAATACTAACATTTTCTGTGCTTCATCAAATGAAACCCGAAAACTTCCAAAAAATATTCTAGGACGAAGGTAATTCGGCACCTATGTACCTGGAATGAGGCAGTCCCAGATAAACTCGTTCAGGGTGCCATCAGGATTTTCCGTCGGCTTGGCCACAAACCTGGAGGAGGCTTTTGCCAATTAGTATCAATCATTTAGTGGTTTACAACCAAAAGAAGCGTTTGTACCATAAGGCACAAATACATACCCAAACGGATGATCTTTGCGCCTAAAAGCAGAAAAAATCCAATTAATTACAGTAAAATGCCAGAGACCGATGTGCACACTGCCCAGAATTTTACGAGTTTCGGCAATTGGTGAGTTGCCGACTAATACTATATAGCCTATCCAAGCTATGCAGTAGTGCAGGCTTCTGAACAAAGTCGAGAGATTCCTTACCATGTTTTGCGTTCTTCCCTCAAACGATTCAGCGCCAGACTCATGATTACCTTTCAAAAGGAATGCCGATAAATCAGTCTGAAAATGGCTTTGGCTTTATAAACAAAATGATTCATATCTCAAAACTCGAAACCAGTACTTATCGCGATAGAGCAGAATCAGCCTCAAACATCAGCACCCAAAAAATCAGCAATGATGTCGTTTCCGAAGTGCTCATGAACGATCAGGTTACGATACCATGTCTCTTTTCATTTATTTAATATCTTATTCTTCACTTACTTTTTCAGTTATTAATTTTGTGTTGATGCAGTAGGTTGCGCATATAATAACAAATCTATCTCCAAAATTAGCCTTTAAGGAAAACAAAAGTATTTATGCAGATCAACTGATCAAGTCAAAAACTGAAAAACTGACCGTAGAGCAACTTGGAAAGTAGTGTGGAAAACCAGAAAGAGGACAAAAGTGGCAAGCTGCAGCACGCAAGCACAAGTGACAAGTACGAAGAAGTGCCGTACCGTTCCGTAACTTTTATAAACATTGCGATATCGGGATGTGCGATTGGTTACCGCGAATTCGTTACGGGACCGAGGGCGGGGCGTGAAGGCCAGCGTCGTTTCGTTTGTGATTTTGCTAGTTTTTGGAGTTCATCTGTTCGTGGATCTTTCACTGGACTCTGTCTTCCTCAATTTCCTTGGTGCTCCTGGGTTTGGGATTGTTGATTATTGGTTGGAAAAAGCTAGCCAGAGATTTGTTAAAATCTGGGATCCGAGATTTCTGAATAGATTTCTGATCGACGCAGTTTAGACTCAGGTTTTATTTGCTGTTGAGTGTTGACTCAGACGACAGAAATTGTTGCCACATTTCTAGATCTGGTTTATCATTCTTCCATGCTGGCCCCTTCCAAGACTGTCAGTCTGTTTTGAAGCACGGCTGCGTGATTCTTCCGCACGGTAAATAACGGCCGTAATTTCGGAGCTGTGTGCAAAACCCAGCCCAACACGAGATCGGCGGACCCCACTGGATAACGAGATAATTCACAAATTACAACTCAGTGACAACTGCTGTAATTTGCAGATTGAACATTTTGATTTCACCATCCTTTGAACTGTGCGACATCTTCGTCCTTTCCCCACCTGTTCCACCATGAGCAAACTAAACATCAGCAACGTGACGGTCTTGGAGAACCCAGCCAACTTCTTCCATCCCTTGGCGTTTGAAATCACTTTCGAAGCGTACGAAGATCTAAATGAAGGTGAGCGTGTCGCGAAGGAAACTGTCGCTGACTGATGATTGCTGAACCCTTTTCTTGTGGAATCGCTCGTCATTAACGCACGGTTTGGTTGGTTTAATGGAAGTCACTTTGATGCAGATGTCGAATGGAAGATCATCTATGTGGGATCGGCCGAGAGCATGTCTTTTGATCAGCTGCTGGATGCGGTTGTCGTTGGACCCATCCCCACGGGGCGCCATCAGTTTATTTTTCGGGTTAGCTGCAGTTTCAATTTCAAACGGTTACATTTTCAACATAAAATGATGTTCTACTTCTAATAACATTCTGCAAGTTTTGTTGTTGATAAATCACAACTGGTATTTTAATTACTGTAAGTGTAAGTTAGTAGGTACTGTACTGCAAATTTGGAAATCCGTGATGCTTTTTTCTGCAGTACATCATTACTGTAGTATTGGACTTTCATTACTTACTTGAGAAATTATTTTGTATGGTATTTTAAGGTGAAGAATGTTGTAATTTTATAAAAAAATAATAGCTAACACCCAAAAATTAACCGATATGAAAGGAAAAATGAACGGTTGTTAGCATACTTGTTATCTTGACAGTTTGTGCATTTTTACTTTTAGGCTCCCGCTCCGAATCCCCAGAAAATCCCAGTGGATGATGTCATCGGTATTACAGTGGTGATGATAACGGCCTCGTATCGCGGGAAGGAGTTCTCTCGTGTTGGATATTACGTGAATATTGACTATGCCGATCCGGAACTGAAGGAAAATCCACCCGCCACTCCGCTTTTTGAGAAGGTACGCTGGGATGCTGTTTACATGCTTTGATTGGACTAGACTTGAACTTTCCACTTCGTTGTAAAAATCGACTCGTAAAATCGAAGCTTCTTCGGGAGAAACCAGTTGAAGTGTTGAAGATTTTTAAGATTGTTTCAGATGAAAGGAACAGTGTTTCGTATTATCCAGGAGTCATGAGATATCTTGCGGTCTTTAGTGTACTGTAAAATCAAAAAGAGCAGAGAATAATCAGTTAATTTTGTTTTTCAACGCTATTTGCAGCTGGAGCGTAACATTCTCTCCAACAATCCCCGTATCACCCGCTGCAAAATTGATTGGGACGACAAGCCTCAGATGGATGGCGTGTCATCCAATGCTAATTCCTCTGCGAATATGGTGGTAGATTCCATGTAAAAGTTCGGCATCGGCTGAGGACTCTGATTCTGGTAAATCGTTCACATGGTTGGAACTGTGCGAGACAGCCTATTTTTCTCAGTTTTTACTGCACAGATTTTGGTGTAAAATTATTTCAGTTGTCTGGCCGCTGTTTAAATAAGTCGTGCTAAATATCAATGTTAATAATTATAGCTGTAAACGGTTGCTACAAAATGTTGCCGAAATTTCTTGTACCAAGTGCCAACACTGTCTGCGCACGGTGCAAACAGTTTAAAATGTCGATGGCGTTTTTTGCTGATAGAAAAATTCAGTACAGTTTTGTTCGATTGTCCGTAAATTAGTTCATTGAATTGCCTGGGTGCGAGTTGCTTTTAAACTGAATAATTGACCGTTAATTAATGCCATTTGCGAATGGTATTTCGATATATTGTGGTCGGTCTTACAGAAAATTATGGCGAAGAAATGTTTGCATGAAATCACGTAAAATTTCTGCAAACGGGATATCCGTTAGCGATCTGCTGAATCAGATGCTGATTGGTGAATAATATTGTGTTTTCTCCAAGAAAGTCATTTCGTTTGGCTTACAGTGAACTGAGTTCGGCCGAAATTGGCAAGCATTCGGATGCGCCCAAGTGAGAATTACTAGAGCGCAGAAAACAGAGAAAATGCAGAGCACATGTAATTGACGCCATTGCACATTCTCTGACACTTTTACCAGTGTCCACCTTTGTCGTCGAGCGAGCATGTTTCACGCAAGGGGCCAGTAATTAGCCGCAATGTCCAACTAATTTCCACCAGCCGATCGGCATGCGTATAACGGTGTGTGTGTTGTGATCGGATTGCTGCATTAAAATTTGCCTCAACGATCCACTTAAATGCTCAAATTATATTATCAACTGGCTGGTGTTGCCGTTAAGGAACTGTTAGGACGACAGACTGGCCGCTCGTGTAACCAGTTTGACTGTTGTTTCTTGTACATACGCTCAAGCTGTTTGTTAGTGTTTGCCGCCGATGGCGTATTCCACAGTGAAAACATTCGGACGGAAGTCGTCTAAGACGGTGCCGTTGAAGGTGAGATCCTGCTGGTAATATTGGTTATTCGTTGGCGCGATTGCTGTCTGCATTGGAGATTTACCTAATGTCCGGTTTCCTTGTGCAAATACAGCTCAGCCATACCAGCTACTCTGACACCGGCCAACACGCGCTAAAAGTACCGATGGATAATGCCACCGGAAGTGATGCGCACGTGGATAGATTGCGACTGCAGTCGGTTGAAAAAAAGTGGGAATCGTTCTTTCGGCAGGTCAGTCAATAATTGGCCGGCAGACTGCTTGACTTAAGTTAAGCTGTTGCGCAAGCAACATATATTTATCTGTTTATGCTGCTCACCGAACTGATTGTGAACTGCGTCCAGCGTAAATACGAACTCTTGCGTATTGTCCACTTGTACAGATTAGATGTAAGTAAATCATGTACGTAATAATAAACGCACATGTCTGTTGCTGGCTAGTAATAATTTATGTGTACGAGTACAGTGTACACATTTTTTTCTTTCAGTAGCAACACTTTGTTACAGGAAAATTCCTTGCTTGTTTTTACTTTGTATCAATTCCAATTTTTCGCTTTGATACCTGTATTCTTGATAACTATTTGTTGTTTGTTGTGCTATCTGTAGTGCGCTCCTTTGAAGTTCTACATACATCCGGTAGCTTTCAATTTGTAAATATGGTGGATTCCGAACTATTAGCATATTGAGATACTTATAAACAGATGTACCTCGTTCTCTGGCAGATTTGATATTTGCGCATGGAACCGATGTTTTACCCGAAACGCAGACTTCCGTGGTAAAAGATGTTTGAAATACTTGTGTACCAGTGGGAGGGGCCAATCCACCCAGATTTTCCAGATTACGTTGGCATTAGCGCTTTGACCTTTTGAACGGTTTCTCGAAACAAGCCTCCTAACGCTATGGATCTTCCGCTACAGATCCGTACATCATCCTCGCTGCGGCTGTAATAGCCGTTGAATAACCGCCGATGAAAAAAGCAACACCGAATGCACGTTGTACTTTATGTACACCAGTATTTGCTGGGTACTTTCAAATCAGTTTGCCGCCGCTGCTGAATAATAACCGGCAGCTAATTAAACATGGGATGTACCAGTTGGCAGCCATCAGCTAACAACCTCTGTGTTGAATATCGCAGCTGTCAAAATTCATGTTATTAGTTATTACAGCGCTGCACATATGCCTAACATAGCACAAGAAAACACATCGGCTTGTAATTTGTGATGCACTGCAGCATCCGACGATAATGTGCCGGCTCTTGAAAGAGCACAGATCATATGCAGATCGCTTAGCTGACTAGCCAGCAGTGTTTATGTGTGTGAATATTTTGTCCCGCTAATTGACGTCTATGATACAGTATAACACGGGGTTTGATTAATTTCCCGGTTTTTTGACACTTCGGCGTTTTGCTGCGAATAACGGCGTGCTGTATGTGCAAACTTGTTATACGCATAAGTACTTACGCTTCTCCAGCTGATGTTACTTTCCTTTCTCTTTTTTCTGTCGCAGGCGGTTTAGAACAGCATATGACATTATTTTGATATGATCCCAGTTATCCTCATCGCAGTAGTATTGTAAGTTCCTTTATTTAATAAGGATAAGGGTTTATTATGGCGTTGTAAGTATTCATTGGAATTTCATTGAGTACATGGTATTGATATTGGGGTTTGATGCTTGGCTGCACAGAGTTGCCACACCGTGGACACCGGCGAGGAAGCCGCCTTTGAAGCCCATTATTTCATCCAGAATCTTCGCCGTTCCGCACTCAGCGCGTCGCGTAATTTAATTCCCTTCGGGTCGGTTGCAGCGGATACGCCGGCTCTTTTAACGGAGAAGCGCAGCATACTGCTGTATTCTTTGATGAAAAATCTCAGAGCCGATTTCAGCATGACTGCCTCCAAGTATGTGCTGCGGTGTGCACGAAGCTTAAATTCCTGCTCTAAATAACTGCTAAATCTTGTTAATTCTATGTGCCGGTTTTTTTCTTGTTGTTGTCAATTGGCTGTTGTTAGCAGCAGTACGCAAGGTTTGTTTTAAGCTTTGCGCATTTATAACTTTGGATTTCACTGTTTATTGTTTCAGTTTTCGTATGGACTTTATTCAGCAGAACGGCGTGAGCATGCTGTGTCAAGCGCTAAAAAAGCTGCAAGACGAGATTGGAATCTGGGAGAACGTTGACGCTAAGGACGATGTGGACGAACTGAAAAATAAAATGGTACGTGCGTCGTGTTACAGTAGTACACAAGTATGCTTTCTGTATGTTTACTTTTGCAATCTATCGAACCTTAGAACCTTATTCAGTTTAACTTTCACAGGTTTATAGGAAGCTATTCAAGCTAAGCACTGAGACATCATTGTTTTATAGGTTGATTGGTTTATTTTCTATTCTCCGTATGCCATTCGATAAATCTTTCGACATCCTTTAACTGCTAAGGAATGTTTTGGCAGTTACGAAACGGAAACTCGTAATTCTTGCATGTGTTTTTCTATTATGTTTTGAACCTTCTTATTACAGCAGATAGCTGTTAGCGAGTAAGGAACTTTTTACTTAGGTAGAAATGGTGGTTTTGAAAGGCTAGAAAAGCTGCTTCACTTATTTCAGTCTACCGACTTGTATACTTGTATGAAAATCGTAGAACACTGGCCATTGAGCATTATCTTGTTGAAAGAGTTTGACGTGGTTGCAGCTGACGTTGAACGGTTTACAAACAATTCGAAGTTAATTTTTTAGTTAGTTCGAAGCTTTTTTTGTTCTGACTTCTCTTGGAAGGAAATATTCTTAGATAATCGTTCTACAAAACATTTCACATCAATCCACGTTACTCAATACCATAGAACGTGTTGCATCATGTTACTTTAGCAAAGAAAATTTTCGACATTGTCGTTGATTATCATTATACCATGTATATTTAAAACTTTAAAACATATCTTTTTTCATTTAAAAAAAGCATACTTCATTTCAGCTTGAAATGCATACTTCATTTCAGCTTTTTCATTTAAAGCATAATTTATCTTTTTTCCAGAAATGGTTCATGCACGCATGATACACATACTGTATGGCATTTTAACTCATCTATGGTCAGTTGTTTAATATTACGTAAGGATACAGGAAATATATGAATATATGAATATGATACAGGAAATATATGAATATGAATCTTGACCTTTTCCAATAACAGTTTACATTGCAGACGTTGTTAGAGTAAACAATACGGTTAAAACGTCTGTAGCTTTGTCTGTGCACGCTGAATGGAAAGGCTTGCTCAACAGTATTTATCTCCTTTTACTGTAGGTTGATGAATTTCACTGTATAATGTGCATCAAATTTGCGACTCGGGATCCGGTAAGAAATTAACTTGATATCAAATTTTTTTGCTTCTGTTTCTATAGTCATGTGAGAAAGTAAGTATGGTAATACAGTAACCAATTTAAACACATCCATCCATTCTGTATAACTACCTTGAAATATTATCTGGAATAAATACTATATTCTGTTGGGTTAGCCTAAAACTTAATAGTTTTTTAAAAATAAATTTGAACCGAATTTTGGAAATATTAGGGAGAAATTTTGGATTCTTTGACATTACTGCTTGCCCTTTTTTGTTCTATGGATGTCCGCGTGCATAAATTCTAGCAGTTTCCAAGGCTTTCTTACTTTTATAAATTTTTTTAAACTATCACCCTTAACTTTAAGTAATGCCGAGTATATTTGCGCCACAGGATGGCTGCCGCGGCGTTTTGCAAGTGGACACGGGGAATCTGGAGATCATCTGCCAGTCGCTACTGAGTCCGTGTATGCAATCGCGCATCGCCGTCATGGATCTGCTGGCCAATCTCATTCACAAGCATCCCAGCGGTGCCCTGCGACCGATTTTGCAGCAGTTCACCACGCTGCGTCTGCGCTACGCACAGCACGATCGCTTCCGCTTTCTCGTCGGTATGTCGCAGACCAACGGGAAGCTGAATCTGCTCTTCAAGGTTGGTCTGACCGGTGACACGTCACAAGTACCTGCAGTCGTCTGTCGAGGTAGTTTTGTTGTTGACTGGCACGTCTCCCTCGCTAGGCATCGTTGCTAAACATGATGAACGAAATGCTGAAAGCCTGTCCATCCGGCAACTATCAGGTTTACCTTCAGACCGAACTGGAGGAAGCGGGACTCAATGTTGACGAAGTGGAAAAGGTGACTCCAACTGGTCGAGCTAGTTGCTGTACTTAACCACGACGCGCGTAGTCGCACAATGGTCTGATTGTTCGTTTATAACGAGTTTATTTTTTTTTACTGTATAGCGAAAAAACAGGATAAGTTCCCCATACAGCGATAGATACATAGCCATACACGATTTTTTAAGCATAATAAAAAATCACGTGAGTATAATGTCTACAGGTATTGAAATTGTATTGAATACGAGTACAACGTATGTGTGGTAATTTTGGATTAGACTTAAGATTAACCATTGCTGCGCTGCGTATGCAACTGCGAAACCATGGATTCATTGCGCCGCTGTTTATTGACAGACTGCTAAAGCCATGGCTTACAAAGACGAGTCTTATGAAGATGCAGCCAATGTTGTCCGACAAGTGACACTGTGGAGAGAAAAACTACATCATGGTCGACAAACCACGACGCACTTCCGCCAGCGCGATAAATGCTGCAGTGGTAATATTAGTATTATCGCATTGGCAATACGATTTATGGGTCTTGTATTACTTGGGAAATACTCGTACGATATCAAGCCATCGTATATACCATTACCGGCAACTGCATCCCCATCTGAAATTTTAATCTGCAGTTATCTAATCATGACACACACCATACGAGATAGTTCGGCTGTTTTCCCGTGTACTGACGATGAGATAAATGTACAGAATTATGCGATGACCTTTATTTTTAGGAATCTCCATCCCCGTCTCTGCCCACCTACGAATACGGTTCGGCCTGCGGCACTGCGTTGTCGATGCGCAGCGGGTCACACGGCGCTGTCTCCATCCCCACCCCGCTGCCAGTGCCCATTCTCCCCCGTCCCTCCAACACTTCGCCCCCGGCGAAATCAAAGTGGTCATCAAATCCATCACTCCGCTGCAGGAGGCCGAATACGCCAACCGCCTGGTCAGCATCGGCGCCGCCGACGTCCACGCACCACCACCCCTCCCTCCTCCTCCGGCCCCCTACAAACCCCCGCCCCGCCCCCACACCTACTCGCAGAATCCCATGCACCGGCACGGCGCCGACATCGGGACGGTGTCGGATATTTTGGTCAGGGAAGAAATGCAAGCCAATAATAAAAAAGCAGAAAAAAACGGTCAGTTTCATCAGCGCTCGCTGACGGAAGTCCCGGCCAAATTCGGCGTGACCAATCGGAAGATGCAGAATACGAATCTGAACCAGCGCATGGCCGATAAGTTCTCCGGTGAGTACAATGACTGGCGCCGGAAGCGGTCCGGGGATTCGGTGGATTCCGTCGACTCTCACAGTGACAGTGCGGAGAATTCCAGTCCGGAATGCCGCGGCGCGGTGTACCTGGTGGACGGCGTGTATCCGGCGCAGAAGACACTCATCGACGATGTCCTCATGCAGTTTGACCGGGCCTATGACGCCCTGGATGAGCAGTCATCCAAAAGATAGATTTCAAGCTGACGTACATAAATGCCGCATAAAATAGTTTTTACTTACAGTACTTTCGTGGCTTTGTTATTGGTTAAGACTTAGTAATGGTCAGACTGGTTAGAACCCGTAGGGTACTGCCACAGAAAAAAATGACTCACTAATCAGTTATCTTTCTCTATGGTAGGATTGTACATGACTGTGAAATTAAACGCAAGCGCATTCTCACTGTTACGTATCACGGAGAAGATCTATATTACAACGGAAAACCCCGTTCGATCTGGTCAGAACAAACCAAAAAATTGATCGAAAAACTGCTAACGCCATTCGATTCGGCATATCTGGAAACTGCAGTGAAAAACCAGGAACAATTCCTTTTCCGAAACAGTAACGTGATTAACAGTAACGTACTTCGGTGAATATCTACAATTTTACTTTGAAAATTTGCAAATTTGAATTATTTTTCCAGGACATTTAAATCTACCAATTTTTAGAAAATAATTCAGACAAAAACAAAATATTTTTTCACTAATGGTTTGACATAGCTTTTATGTGCTATAGACTTGCTCTTTTGAATAAACTTAATATCCTCCCAATGAAGCAATACTCAGACCCAGCGCATCTCAGTAAACAGAGGGCCATTTTGTTCAGCCACCCGGTATATTACTGTATTGTAGTCTTGTAAGTTGTAACCTCTACCGGCGTGATTTCATAGTTTGTCCGACGGGCGGCGGCTGATGACAAGTTTGGAAAAGCCACTCTAAAACCTAGTTAAAACAATAAGCCAACAAATTTTGCAATCCAAAAGGTCATAATAATTCTTTAACAGCGTGGTTTCTTCAACAGTCGTTTTGATTTGATGATATATTGCTTTCGGAATACTTTCATTTCCAGGCTTTCAGTCCTTCGCACTCGGTTTTTTGACCCTTTTTTAACATGAAAGGTAGCCGACTTATGATTTATGCTACAATAATGCCTGAGTTGTGTTATAATAATGCTTGAATTCAACGGGTTGTTCAGTACCGTCTCGCTCTAATTTGCGACGTTTTTCTAGTCGCGGCCAGGGATATCTAATTCAATCGGAAAATCTTTTTTTAGTTAATAGAAGTATGAGAATAATTTGTATCTCACGTTTTTTTATCATCTTGTCGTGGGACCTTTGCGCAAAGGTCCAGCGACAAGATGGTACAAGACAAGACGACAAGATCACGTGCGGGCAGTGCCAACTGGCACTGCCCGCGATCAACATTGGAAGCTTGGGGTTACTATACCACCAAACATCGCGATGTCCGGTGGCATACATAATAATGCCAGGATTCCTTTTTCTGTAATAGTGTAAGGTATAGGCCGTATAGCCTGAAAGGTATCCTCCCATTTCGCCTCGGGACGTTTCGCCTAGTGGTTTGATTTTTAAATAGCACTGACAACAGGAGCGTTTTCAGTATTTCTGAATTTATAATTTTTAAGTTGTCTCATATTTGCCCGGTGTTTTTTTTTTATTTTACGACGTTTGCTATGCTTTCTTAATTATTTCTCAGGTTTTTCTTGTGTTTTCCGAAGCTTTCTTATGGTTTGTTATGTTTTCTTAGTTTTACACCCGCAAGAGCGCTAAAGCGCTGCTCTTGTTTAACAGTACTTCGAGTATACGTAAGTCCGATCAATCCTAGCTAAACTATCTTGTGGGTGTGATGTATGCATGTATGTAAAGAAGTACGTAAATAAGTATGATTTTAATAATACAGGTTGACAGCAACGAGCTCGCACGATAACTAAATACGGAGCACGACAAGTGACAAACAAGCAGTAACGGAGTTGCTAAGTACAACAGGAATAATACGTAAACGTAGATTCACGAGAACACCACAGTGGGAGATATGGCGAAATAATACTCGTAATACTTCTATGTGAAAGCAGTTTCCGTCATTATTGACGGATGACGCACAGCCAAAAATACGAATGTATTGGACCAGTACAGTAATAAATTTCTGCAGACCATACGAATGTGTTGGACCAGCAACCTGAATGACTCAAACTTAAAATTCGGGTGTCTGTTGTCTAATGATGACTCTGATCAGAAAAGAATTCATAGTTTTAAAGTTTTGGGGAAATACTTTTCGTATTTGCGGAAGTCAAGCTGACTTACTTATAATACGCCAATGCATGTGGACACCTTTACTGTTCCAAGTCTTGAAGTGGCCACCTGTTGAATTTGTGGTGCCACTGTGCGAGTAAGTATGTACAGTATACTGTTATACACAAATGGATGTTCGTAGTTATCTATCATACGATTCTTGGCGGAATGCCCAAAGGTCAAATTCGTCGATGCAAAAGCGTTTCGCGCAATCGTAGGCAGCCGCACGGCCGTACATGGAACGAGGGTCATCCTTCTCCACTGCACATAGAATTCGCAAAATTACGAAGACAGACCGACACCATCCAGTAACACAACATATTAATTTATATACTGTCCTTCTGACTTTTACGCTGAAAAACATCAGCAAGATTCCGCAGTAAATCGGACGAAGCACAATGCTTCGAAAGGCCAAGAGCTGCAATCCTGGTTCATTTCTGGATGAAACAATTCCATCTTGTGATCGTACCACCACCTAAGGTGGCGGAATGCCTTGTTCCCGTCAGCTTGCTAGCTGCTGCTAGGTGTACAGACATATGCCCAGTGCACTACATCATCATTGCGCAATAAATTTTTTGAGGCTGAAAGCATTCACTGAAGCCAGCACTAACGCAGCCCAACGATGTAGTGTTGCAATACCTAAAGGCAAGCAACGCGGTGCAGTACTTATCAATAGTAACCACTTATTTTTACGACGTTTTATTTCCTATGGTTTCCCTAATGTTGTTATGATTAGTTTCGATTTCCAAATTCTCGACATTTTATTGCTGTCGTATGGTAACAGTACCAACCATAAAGAAATGTTTGCTGTTGGTTGAACGTGTTTGCCTATGTCAGGAAACAACGAGCAAGTATTCCACCATCCACGTCGACTAGCGTAAACTGCACCGTTTACGATCTCACTCGTGCAACGGCGATCCCGAACACAGCCAAGCGAACCATCTGGCCCATCCGGAGCGTCTCAGCAAGGCTATGGACGGCGGCGACCTGACGAAACTGCACAGCGACGCGGACATTTTCGGTAAGCAATGTTTTCCATGAAATTTCAGGAAACTATCCGACAAGGTTTTTCACGAAATTCGTTATAAATTTGTAATCGTTAATCATTCATTTGAGTTGTCCGTTATCCGTAAGTTTGTAACGCAAAAATCTCGATGATCGTTGCAGAACGGAGTAAAAAATATGGAGTGAATTGTGCTGTCCAGAAAACAGTGCTAGCAGCTACCATTACACAACGTTTTAAACATGAGAACGAGCTTTTTGCACATGCATTTATTTGTGTTTGGTATTTCAGAAGAACAACTGCAGCAGAATCGCTGCGCTGTGTGCCTGGAAGCTGCATCTAGTTTTTGTTACGGAGTGGTGACGTGCATTTCTTGCAAAAATTTTTTCCTTACCAACTGGAATAAAACGGTTTGTGTTAGTCTGTATTTTTAAAACATCATACGCCGTATTTATTTTAACATTTTTAAATAAAATTAAATTGTTCATTATTAGTTTTTTTGTTTTTTTGTTAGGCTTTGCAATGTGTTAAGGAGAGCGGTCAATGTGCATGGGAAAATGTTTCTCTCAAGTCGTGCAACAAATGTCGTTTGGAAAAATGTCTTGCAGTCGGCATGGATAGAAGGAAGTCAACAAAACATCCAGACCGCGCTCGGCTAGAAGCGGTACTCTTGGGACTTCGCAACCACAAAACCCCTAATGCCTTTGTAAAACTCGCTGTCAGTGCTGTCGTTCAGAAACGCTTCAAGTGTTGATGATCTAGATAAACTACTCCGCGCTGTGCAGCAAGAAAATTTTGCTGAAACAGAATGCGTGCCGTTCCATAAACTTCTCAAAGGTGCCCGCGTACGGTTTACAAATAGATAGATATGGTGGCGACTGCCTTGACCGATGTTGGAGGATATATTGTTTCGAAATTCAAAAAGGAAAGTTCCCGTGCTCTTCCTGCAAATCTGGTATCGGAAACCTTTTGGGAGTTTGTTTTTCGGAAACCGGCGGATTGGTTGAAGCACGTTCTCGAGTTGAATTTGGTGGATTGAGTGTACCGTCTGCGAATCTGGACAAATTGCTGCAGTACGCCTTTGGCTTTTTTAGGCGATTACAAAAAATCGCCGAATTTTACAAAGGCGATCGCCATTTGGAAAGGGCGCTGAAGCTGATTCTCCTTTCAATGGATCTCCACGGCTTTCACCCTTTAAGTGATATTTGTGTGTGCGAATCGAAAAATTATTTAGAGTATGAATGCCTAAAGCGCTTCTTTAACACAGCTTTTAAGAACGATGTAGTTGAACGCCGAGCCGATGCTGTGAAGAAAAAGTATGGCGCTCGAAAGTCTGTACCGATGTCCACTGATCCTGGTAAATTAAATAAATTAAAACAGCTGTAACAGAAACAGCTCACACTTTTGGGTTTATAATTGTATTTGCTGGTTTTAACAGTAATTTTTAGTTATTACTTCTACGTGCTCGCACCCATCGTAATTTAAAATTTCGGTTAAAGTTTTAAAGCGATAAATCAAAGGTTTTCTTGGTGCAAAAAAGCCTGAAAATGATTATTTATTTCTTTACCGCAAAACAATTCGAAACAATGTAGTGCTGAGACAATGATTAACACGAAACAGTATTCACACAGATAAAACTGTAGTAAGTGCAGATAGAAGCGAATTTCTGAATTATTATTATTAATGCACTAGTTATTTATAAATTATTAATATTAATAATGTACTAGTTATAATTGTCCAAAACATTACTGCTTTAATTAAAAAAGTAATGTTGTAATGTACTGCTGCATTGAAAACTGTTGTTTCTTAAGCGAATTAAATGTCATCTATGTGTATGTATTCCTGTCGAGACTACCACAAAATATGCAAGCGGTTATTACACACTGTTTACAGATGTAGCGGTCTGATTAGCAGCAGAGTGAAATTAGCAGCAAGTCTTCTGTCATTGGTGCTGCTAGAAGATAGCGGCACGCCCACGACCCGCCCTTATGCCCGCTCAGCAGCACGGCTGGCACATTTTCTTTTTTATGGCGAACACCCAAGTTTTACAGTAAATTTATTCCGTTAAATTCTCTGAACAAAGAAAACGACAAAATTTTACGTAAAGAAGTGCAATACCATGCCTCAAACCCAGGCCAACGCAGTGCTATCAAGACCAAATCGATAGCCGGACGAACAAGCGTTTTCATAAAGCATCATAATATTCTTCTGATCTCAAGATCACATCCGACTTCTATAAGTGTTTTAATCTTCGGAGCACAGACTTCAAAATGGCATATTATTGCTTTTTGATCTCAAGATCATATCAGACATCTATAAGTGATTGTATTTTTGGGATCATAGGAACAACGAAATGGCACTCAAAGGTTTATATTGTACAAAACAATTGTTAAATATCGTGCTTTTTTACAAAACAAAAGCTCCGAAGTTGCAGAGACACTTTAACTTTATCTGTTAGAAACGCGACAAAATGGCCTTGCGTAAACTAACGGTTTTTGATTACACAAGACGCACTGATAAGTCTGATATTATTCAGCTCAGAATTTTTGTATAGACTAGCAACTCGTTTTTATTCAAAACGATATCTGAGGATTATCGATCACGAAAACTCAAAAGCAAAAAACATTTTGAAAAATCGTTGGTTCAAAACATTTTATTTGGAAAGACCTTTTTTGAGCAAAAGGATTGACGCGATTTCAATATTTCAAACAGCAAACGATTATTTTTTTCTAATAAATAATATAAAATTCCAACAATGCTAAAATTCACATATCGAAAAGGCAAAAAGTAACGCCTTTCAAAAACTTTGTTTGCTATTCAAATTATTTGTAACTATTTTCATTTGGCATTTCTGGATTTTGGTAATATTACCGCAAAAAATCGCTAACATGAAACCATTAATTTTTCTTATGGTTAAGTAAACCTTGCAAGTTCATGCGTTTTTTCGAAACCTTTATTTCATCTTTATGCTCCACTAATCTTCCGTTATTACAAATCATATCACCTGGCATCAAACGGGCAAACTGGAGGTGTAAAGCTAATAAAGTATCTACTTCAAAAGATTTGTGTTTTCAAAGCATGCCGGATCATGCTATGGTTTTTAATGCTATTGCAGCGTTGAAAGTGTTTTAGGCGCGAGTTTTAGATAACAGTTTGTAATCATAACCTTTGCACAATGAAACTTTGTAATTGTTTTACATGCTGGTCTTGACCACTGGCCAAGTGACAAGTCATAAGTAATTGCTTAAAGAACAATATTTGCTAAATTACGAATTACAAATTAGATAGCTGCTCAGCTTGCCGTGTTGTGTTATAACTTTACCGTAACTTCTTTTGTAAATTGCCATTGAGTTGCTTCGTGGTAACAACAGGTAAGTTACGGGAATGTCACTTCTCACAAGATAGCAGCTTTCCGAACATTGCTTCTATCATTGTATTTGCTAAAAGCCTAAAACAGATAGCAGAATCAAAACATGAATGCCGAAGAGTGTGTCACTGGTAACTTCTGTTTTGTAAGGCGGGCAGTTTCTTGCTTAATAAGCCTCCATTTTCGTCTCACCTGGGTGAAAAACTTGGCACTGTTACAATGCTGTAAATGTCTTCCTGGCTTATTAATATAAACTAAAAGTAAAATTTACTCTCCGTAGGCCGAGACCGTCCTAGCAGATGAAGCTGAACTTTAAAAAGCTGCTTTTGTATATGCGAAGTGCTCAAAGACATATGCAGCGCTGACTCCTTTCGGGAACTGAAAATTCATGGCATGCAAACACATAAATATTCGTGTGCTGAAACTTTCACTCTAATGCAGCAATCGCTCGCTCGCAGTGGCATGCTAACCGATTTTGAAACACAGATTCAGAGTATTGAGGTACACATAGGCATAACATATGAAGCAAAAGATGATGATCGCATTGATGGTTTTTTCAAAACACTGCAGTAGGCTGTTTGTGCTGTGTGTTTAGTTAATCTTTATCGAGAAGTAACAGATTTCGTCACAAGTCAAAATTTCAGTTGTTGATTTGATCTCCAGATCAAATCGTAGTTGATTTGATTTCAGATCGGCTCATTTTTAGTTTGATCTTAGGATCAAATAGTTGCTGACTACTATAATCTCAATTTTTTTTAAGACAAATGGCTTTTTACAGTTTTAGTTTTTAGTCACGTGTCACGTGTTTAAAAATTAAAACTGTAAAAAACTATTTGTTTCAAAAAATTAAGCAACGTCTTTTGAACTTGCTAGCAACGTCTTTTGAGCTCAAAGTTTTGACAGGAAAAGAATAGTTTAGCGAATCCAGCGCACGATACTAACTACTCGAATAAAACTGCTTTATCTGTTCTTGTGTTTTGGTTGAAATACTGAGATAAGTTCTTGACTACCTGCGGCGCTTTTCGTGCGAGCACACTATGCTCACTACAACAATGAAATTTGCTTTGGAACTCATGTTTTTTTTCTATTTGTATTTGAGAAAAGAAAGATGAACTTCACAAAAAATAAATATTCAGCAGTAAGCTTAAGTCAAAAAATGGGAAAATGATGGCTGTGGTGGTATATCGCAGCTAAGAATTGCACTGCTGTTACTTTTGCCGCTGCCGAAACGAATCTTTTGACAGTTTGTGGCAGAAGCAGCAGCTCCAGCCCCTTCTGTTTAGCAGCACCAATGGTGGCCCACATGCTGCTGATTTGACTGTGCTGCTACTCAGACCGCTACAACAGATATTGTAGAACAAAAAATTATTTGGTGTATTTGTTATCAAACATGGCAAGCGATTAAATGAACAATAATAGTAGAGTTGTTTATTTATTACGTCTAGCAGCATAATAATGCGAATCGCTATCGAGTACGCGTATCGACCGACATCGAGTATTATTGTGGTGTGGGCTGCGTTAGTGCTGGCTTCAGTGAATGCTTTCAGCCTCAAAAAATTTATTGCGCAATGATGATGTAGTGCACTGGGCATATGTCTGTACACCTACTAGCTGTCGCAGCTGGTTGCAATTTTTTAGAGATGAGATTTATATTTTACAATGTGTTGATTTGTGTTATTACATATTTTAAACATTTTGAATCGCTACCTTTATCGATTTTTGCTATTTTAAGTGATTTTTGAATCAGAAATAGTAATATTAATTCAGGGAATTGACGGAATACTCTGGCCGATTGTGTATACTTGTGGACAGACTGAAAACAGCATGGCGGACCCTGCCGAAGTCGACCAGGAACCTTTCCGAACCTTCGGCGATCCTCTACATCCTTCCAGTGATCAACTGTTATCTGATGCCTTCCCCGAAATGAACAGTAACCAACCGGACTCCGCCATCCTTCCCGTCCAAACGAAATCGAAAACTGCTCTGAAAAAAGAACTCCGTTTCCAGAAACGAACGGAACGCTGCAAAATCAACCGTGCCAACGAGAAGCTGCGGCGCAAAGAGAAATTACTGGCCAGCCGAAAACGCATGCAGGCCGCCTCTACCCCTGAGCATCCCTATGTATCGCGGCGCGTGGAACGACGGATGGCGCGGGATAAGTTGACCAAGGCGTTGACGGAGGGAGTGCGGCTGTGCGTCGACATGAGCTTCGAAGAGCTCATGTCGCCCAAAGAAATCGGCCAGCTGGCCAGCCAGATTTGCTACATGTATTCGTCCAATAAGAAAGTGGAGAAGCCCTTCTGTATGCATTTAACCAGCCTGAAACAGGGGACGAAGCTGCATGAGGAGGTGGTTAAACGTTGTCCTGGATTTGATAATTACAAGGTAAGTGTTTTCTCCGCGGCGCCTGCATTCGTTTTCGTACTTTATGATTTCTGTTTGGATTTATGTCTGATTTTTACTTCCTTATAATCGTTAATCGTTTTCATAATAATTAAAAAAATTGTTTTGCAATTCGTAGAATTCACCAGATAATGTCGTTGAGTTATCCGAGAAAATTATGTTTTGCGATTTTTTATCTGTGAATTTGTGCACCTGAACCACACTTACGCCTGCTCCAGCCTCCAGGCTGCTTCTGTTGGTTGCTTAATACGCACAATTGTTCCCTGTTAATGCTTTGCTAATTTTGGTCATGTATCGTCGCTCTGTGTAATTGCTTTTGTTCGTTTTGATGATTCTGTGACCTGTGTAATGGTTTTGGATCTTTTTTAGAGATTTTAATTTTTGATGACCGTTATATGTTATTGCCGCTCATGAAATTTGCCCCCCGAAAACGTAACAAATTTTTAGAACAATTAGCATGTCGTATGCATCGTCAGCTTCGGTAGCACATAACGGTTGGCTAATTGTACACATAGCTCACAATGGTTTTTCACACTTGTTTTGCCGCTGCGCAGATAAAAGTCTTTGAGGACCCATTGGAGAAAGTATTCCAAAAAGAGGAATTAGTCTACATGTCGCCCGATTCCCCCAATATCTTGGAGCGTATCGATCCCAGCAAAGTGTACGTCATCGGGGGCCTGGTGGACGGGACGCCGAAACGACAAGTCAGTTTGTCGCGGGCCCAGGCGCTCAACTGCCAGTCGGTGCGTCTTCCCATTGCTGAGCATATGAAGCGTTCGGCATCACACGGAAACACCATTCTGACGCTGAATCAGGTGTACGAAATTCTCATGCGATTCAATGAAACAAATTCGTGGGAACAAGCTCTGGACGCCTGCGTGCCTCGAAGGAAAGGTTTTACTGTCAACGGACAAGCGGATACGCCGACCGCCGAGGAGGAGGATAAAACTGATGTATTGCAAGAGGAAACAAATAGAGAAACTATTACATCATGAAACACCATGCCTTTGTTAGCTTTTGTAATGGAAAAGTTTTAAGCTTTGATTATGTGCTGCAGTTGAATGCTAATGTGTTAGCCAACTTAGTCCTGGTTTCTGAGATCGGAAGTAATCTTTGCATTGGGCCCGTTTGGACGGTGTGGTGATTCCGTTGAGACAGTGTGCCAGTTGCGTATCACATTGGCATTGGGCGTGTTTGCACGGTTGGCTGTCCTCTGCAAAAGTGGAAATGAACGTTTATTGTTTCATTCTTAGAAGTGAAGATATGTCAGCATCTTGGTCAGAATAAGTATTGTTGTGTACCAATTGGTTGATTTTATAATGTGAACGATACACTACTAATATTATTATTAGTACACTAAGCAATACTGACGACATAGATAGTAGTAATGCAGTCGAGGTACACGATTTTCCGATTAAGCCCAAATCGTGACTGTCACTGATTGACCTACCCTAACTATAATAATTATTAGTATGTATCTTGCTTAGCGAATTTGAGGTCTTTTGCAATGCAGTACTGCAAATTGCAGCAGTAGAAAAAAGTTGCAATACCTGTAGTCTGTTTACAAAAAAATTAAAGTAATACAAACGATAATCAAATCTTTTTTGCTGCCTTCGGTTCCCACAATTTGAGTGGAAATAGTGTTGTTCAGTTACTACTACTAGTATATTATAAAAAACTGGAAAGTGGAAACTGTTCACAAAACTCGTACACAAAACAAGTACGAAAATAATATCTGATGTTTCTATTATGCAGTAACATTTAAATCGACCACCTTTAAATAGCTCCTGATCAGCCCCAAATTCTCTGTACGTGACACTCAGCCGAAATATGATTAATGTAAAAACACTAAAATTAAAGAGAGTAACTGCGCACTTACGGCATATAGCTTTCTGGCTGGCGCAACTGTAGCTGACACTGGACAGCAGTGGCCAGTACATTCCGCATCCGTCGGACGACTCCATCTGCTGATAGCACTGGTCGTGCTGTTGGCAGCATTTGTCAATGGGATCAACAGGTGTCCCCGCTCCTCCCGGCCCACAGTAACACCCGTAGAACCAGCCGATAATTTTCGGGTCAAACTGGGGATTTTCACACTTGATGATCTGGTACAGGTCAAATGTATTCCCGAACACACCGCTTACATGCACACCGGAGATGTATAATAGCACCAGTTGCCAGATGCCGGGCATACTGGACATCGTGGATATCAGAATGCAGCGTACATGTGCCAACTTAAAGCAGCGAGTTGCTAGTTCGCCACGCGTGATGTGCAGCTGCGCTCTCGCGTTGCCGACTACTGTTTGTAACGGTGTCGGTGTATGGTTAAGAATTTCCGATAATTATTGTGTTTCTTGCTGTATATTGTACAATTATTTGCCGCTGGCCATTTGTGGTCACACGCGGTCAATTGGTTATTAAATCCGCAAGTGAAAAGTAAATGTGGCACATATAAAATTAATTGAATCATGAATGGTATCTTTACCATCCCCAAACGTTGTTGAATTACGTATACGTGGTTGTTCCTTTCTAGCACCGCCATTTATACTACACAGGGCACGGATTCTGGCTTCAGCTACGGTTATTTTGCTATCAGCAAAGTGAAAAAAATACAAAAATTTACTTAGAATGTTACAGTTGTACGTGTCCGCTCCTATTGCGTGCCGAGGTCATATTGTCCCAAATACAGAGTACTTCTACAGCTTTACATTGCGGTCGGCAGTCCATGGTCATACTCATCTACAGTATGGTAGTATTTATTGAGCGCTGGAGAGCGAGCATTACTTTTTTCGTTTTTATTCACTGTTACTGTGTATAAATAATCACGGTAAAAGGTTTCGTCAGTGCACTGGTCTGCATATGGCGTAAATGTAAATTTTGCAAACTTTTTGTGCAGTGGAGAGCGAATTCCCGCGGCTGTCTATCATGGGAAACGCTTGTGACTTACAGAAGGTTTTTCTGCTCGGAACTGAACGATATATCGCGGATCACTGTCCACTCCTCTCAATGATACCGTGAAGATGAAAAACGTATGGGTGGTGATTATTCTGACTGCAGTAAATGTGTTGATTTTGCACAATGGTCAGAAAGTTGGTTGTAATTTTCTTCATGTGAGTAGAGCTTGATGAGCGGCATTTTTGCAAGGAATAATTTTTATGGTTTCTTATGCTTTTTTTGAATGATTTTGGAGTGATTTTTATGATTTTTTTATGCATTCTGCGCCGACGATTTTGGCGATATTTGATTTGACGATGAATACCTTGTATGTAATCCAACAATCGCAAACTATGCCATGGTAAGCATGAATAATGCATGATCATTGTCTTCCAGAAATAATTTGTACGCATACTGCACATTGCACAGCTTTTAAACAGGGAAGAATTTTCAGAAAACAAATAACAACATAATACTGACGGAAACACTCTGTTGCCGCAAATCCGCAACAACCAACGACTGGTCATCAAGCCTGACGCATCACATTAATTTTGTCCAAGTCTACCCGCTCAGCAGGTGGATGTGCTCGCCTTCCAGTTGCAAACCGACAGCCTCGGATCGAACACCAGGGGATCGGGACAGTGCTTCGTATAGGGCACCCCTCCCGCTGCGCAGGCGCAGAAACTCTCCTGACACGGGCCCAGTGCGAAATCCCCCAGTCCGTGGCGCGAACAGAATACAGCATCACAGTTACAATTGCCGGTGTCCATACAGGTTTTCAGTTCCTGTTTGGTTAATTCCGCTTTATGCTCATCAACAGCGGCGCATCCCGGGATCATGGACGGCCAACTGCACACTTTGTTTACCGGATCGTAAAATACACTGGGCGGACAGGAGCGGGAATACGAGATTCCGCCCACACACGTGCAGTAGGCTTCGTTGCACGGACCAGTCGGATAGTCACCTAAACGGTACATTTACTAAGTGAAAATTAATTTATGTTGGGCAGGCACTGCTTTGTGATTTGCTGTACGGATACGTTGACATCAAACGCAGCAATCCGCTGTACGGTACGTTATTGACCTTACTAGTCATGAGTTACATGTAATCGCATTTTCATTATTGCTACTAATCACACTACAGCTAATATCGCGATTTTCGCTATACTCAAAATACTATTACTGTATTTACTATCTCAGTTTTCTTGAGACACAAAGCAGTTGACTGGAATACGCGCGATCTCATGAAAATTACCGGCTGGTCGGTAGGAACAGAACGCATCATCACATTTCGTTTTGGAAATAACGGCCACCGGGATGCGCGTCGGTCGGGGCGTGGTCGGTGGGACATAGGTGCCCGGTTTGGCCGTAGTGGTAGGCGGTCGTGGAGGCGGCAGTCGTCCGTAAAATATTTCGTAGATCGTCGTGAACAACGTCATCGGCCTCCCACCGCACTCGCCCTTCCAGTCATCCAGTCCCAGTTCCCACACCAATACCCCATTGTAGCCGTTGCGCTTAAGCCAGTTGGCCTTCTCCGTCACACTGCCCACATTGTCGAAACTAACCCACAGGTCATCGGTGCCGTACGCGTAGGAGCAGCGGCATTCTTTGTTGGTCTGGATGGTGAGGCTTTTGTCTTTCAGTCGTCCGCATATTTCGAAATACGACAGACTACCGAGCTCCTTGGTGAATGGGCCTTTGGGGCCGGGACCGCGGGTCGGAGCGTTGAAGCCGTGGTTGGAGGTGTTGGCTAAAATCCACGAGCGTCCGTATGTGGGTATTCCGATGGCGAGTTTGGATTTCGATATGCCGGCATCTTTCCATAAATTGGCTGAATATTCCTAAAAGTTGTGTAAGCTTAAACATCTATCAAATTTGTCCGGTTTCTCTCAAACACTTATAAACAGAAAAAGTGTCCGAACATCTGATGCATTAGAGCATATACGTAAAGCAACGCAATAATTATAATTGTTGTAGAAATTGTACAACATATACTCTTTTCATGTGTGAGCGCTGGGAGCATGCGCACTGAACAATTGCATTCTGCTTTGCATGTTTTGTTATCAAACCAAGCAAGAGATAGAAATTTACCGCTTTTCACGGTCAAATCCGGTAGAAGTCCATAGATCACCTACCGTATTTTAGAGGCTGTACAAAATGCAGCAAAAGTGTGGTACATGGCGATATTATTACTACCGCTTTTTAACTGGTTAAAGTGTAAAAACTACTGTCGTTTGAGGATAAATAATTTTTAAAACCTCGACAACTCGAATGCACCTTCTTACCACATTTAATTTCGCTTGGTAATCTACTTCGGTGGATCTCTTATACATGGGTGCATTGTGACCGGTCTGTTGCTCCCAGGATCCGTGGTAGTCGTAGGCCATGATATTCACCAAGTCAACAATGCTAAAAATGACAAAATCCTAAAATTGGCGTATTAATAAAGATAATGGTCTGTGCTGTGTATATTTAAACTGAAATCAATTATTATTATTACCCACTTGTTTTGCGGAAAAGAGTGATACAGAGGTAATTATGGCACTACAGAGCTGTAGATATTTGTTTGTACCGAACCTACTTCGTATTACGGATCACAAAAGTACTCTGAACATCATGCTCCTTGGACAAAAATGGTAGTCAGTCCCAATTACGCAGCTTTTCGAAATGACAGTCATGTGGTAAGCGTAAAGTGAGCAAAACACATAAGCGACTCGAGTTTTCTACAATTACCTGAAAACTATAGTGGGTAGCACTTTCTCCTGGCTGCAGCAAGCATTAAAATTACTTGCGTGACACCAGTGCCACCATACATTATCGATTTCTACGATCCAATATTAACCTATATCTACACAAATAACAGACGCATCCTGCGTGTGACCTTGTGCATTTTAAGCAGTAACGTACATGAACTGCGTTTACCTGTTCATTGCGGGAACATCGTAACCACCGTGCATTAACGCACCAACCTGCATAAAAACACGGCGTCGCATTATGTCTCTTAATCCCATTAAAAATCTGGGACGGCACTATGCGAATTGCGAAAGGAGATGCCTACATCCACTGTCAGCGCTAGTCGACGCTTTCCAGTTTTCACCGCGTCCTGATTAAATGCTGCCCGCATCTCCTGCAATAAGAAAAGCATCTTCAAAACGCAATAATAGCGAAATTTTTAAAAAATATGCCGGTTACGCATAAGTGCTTGCCGGTCAGCTTTAATTAAAAGGTCTACACGATGCACTTTTTCTCTTGAAGTTTATATACTGATTTATGAAACACTGATTAACTTTTAAAGATAAAAGAAATAACATTTTAATTTTATCGCTAGTATGTATTCGCTAGTAACTGCAGTCAGCGCAATGCTTCCTGATCATCAAGATTTTTCTAGTCTCTTTTTTGACAATTGCATTACCTGCAGCAAGGCCATATAAACCTGCAGGTCTTCCGCTTCAGGATATTCCCAGTCAACATCGATCCCGTCCAAATCCAGGGCACGCATCATGGCAATACTGGAATTAATAAAGGTCTGCCGGCTTTCCGGGCTTCTGGCCATCGGTTTGAACTGATAGCTCAAGGTCCATCCTCCCACGCTCAAATGAATTCGTAGTTTCGGATTGATTTTTTTCAGTTCTACCAGATCGAGCAAATTTTCTAAAAAGACAATGAAAATGTTGAAGTACAAAATATACTGGAAGGTCTCGTGATGATTAGCACTGAGTCTAATGAGGTGCACAACTGACAAAGTTCATTCACCTTCGTCCTTCCAATCATAATACGCTATGCGGTCATCGAGAATTTGTACAAAGGCATAAACGATGGTGGTGCACAGGAAGGGGTCCACGTTTGATGGTAAAAACGCCCAGGCGTCGCGGTATCGGCTCCATGAAGTGAAAAAACACTGAAACTGCGGAAAAGGCAGATCCGGTTCCTGGAATTGTGAAGCCGCTGCCTCCCTTACTAAATAAATTTGGAAGCATTTTAGTTATGTCAGAAGTACCGTCAAGAATCTGCTTTGTATGCCTTCAACTATTACGTATTCCATAATTATAAATAACTTCGTAAAAAGCTCTATAAGTAAAAATTAAAAAGATTATGAAAAATATTTGAAAAATCAGTAGCAGTTACTTCAGAGCCGCTCTATGCTAACTTTTGCGCTACAAATTTGCAGAGACGTTCGCTTACTGCGTGTATTCGAGTGGAAGAACACAATGAAACAAAACAAGGCTCCAAAACGTAGCTCCATCGCCAAAGCATGTACCCCAATGTTTTCTCCAATGGTCAAATCGGATAACGAATGCGTTTTACTCTTTCCAGAGTAAAGAGCTACCGTTTTGCTGCAGTAAAATTTAACATTTTTATAACACCGTAAAAAAAGGTTCAGTCATTTCTATCAAACAACTAGTGTAAACATCGCGCCTTATCATGATCAATTACACTACGGATAGCAATCACACAGCAAGGCGTTCAAGTCCCGGAAATGACCACGAGCTGATCCAAAGAACATATATGCATCAGCGTGGAAGTGGACTTTGAGTTAACACTGGCGTGAATGACGTTTACTAGGAACTTTGACATACTTACCTTTAACTAGAGCGTAATATGATGCCACCGTCCACAGTTAGCGTCGATTCATTCCAGACAATCGTGTGAGGCGATAGAGCATTGAAAACACCGCATGTCCATATCAAATTACGTTTCTTCCGGTAAACGTTAGCCAGATGCTGGTACGTATTCCACGCCGGTTCGTTTACATGTGGGCCACCGATCTTACACATGTACATCACGACTCAAGCTTTATGTACATCTTGCATACCAATTTGATAACAAAAAGCTGGGAAACAATATTATTATATAAAATTAAAACGTGGGAAAACGTTTTCCTGCAAACAAGAATAAGTTGAAAACGCTTTGTGAAGAGGAACGAAACAAATTTCAGATAACTACACAGATCTTCCATCTTTTGCTGTTTGTATACGTATTGTCTGCCGGTGGGTTTCATCAAGTTTACCGATACATATTTCGCGTCATTTATTCGCAATCAGGGAACGGTATAAGGTGCACCTGCCTAAGGCTGAGAGTGAAAGCAGCGTGATTCATGCATTAGAGTACAACTTGATTTTGTGTACAGCGATTAATTAGAGCACACAATATAAATGCATGACTAGTTGCGGATAAAAGTATTAACAATTGCACGGGAAGGTGGATGTGTGTTTTGTTCTGCAAGTACTACGTCAGAAAATGCACCGTTTGGAGGCAATAAAATATCATTTAGTGCACACGTGCATAGTTTATTATGCATGATTACCGGAACACACCTACGTAATAAATATATTAAATGTAAAATATATAATACAATACACCGAAGAGCGAGTTTTAAGCACTGGAACATACATCATAAAGTTTTACTGGCAAACGCGCATCATAATTATTTGTATTACAAATTATGTAAACCATGAACTGCCAGCCGATGAAAAGTATTTACTCGTAATTGATCTGGAAGACATGCGACTTGATCGAGATAAGTCTTTAACAGAGCGAAATGCTGACGATGATGTAAATCTAAAAATAAACAGCAAAAGAAGGGAGGCTCAGTAAAGTGTTTAATTAAACGTACGCTTCAACTACCAAATGCTTGGACCAGCAAAAAATTTCCGGCAAACAAAGCTTTCCATACGGATAATGCATCTAAATTTGATTTTACGAGTGATTCCGCAAAACTGACCTTTCGTCGTTACGCCCCGTTGTCTTTACTGCATCTTCTCCGAGTGGTCACTCGATCAGCACAAACATTCGACAGTTTTTCGGCACATTGGTCTTTCTTGCACGTGGCGCCGCGTTTTGTGAGTTTGGCGTTTCCGGTACGGATAAAGAACATTTCGTCCACCAGTTTTTTGGAACCGTGTTCACATTTCTTGTGGCACGCTATGTGCACCAAGCGTAAATTGATCTGCAAATGAACACACAGCTGCTGACAAATGCATCGCATTTTAATTGATTAGATTTAAAATCCAGGTGAAATTATTCGTAGCTAGTGCCACGTACTGTTCGCGCTCACAGGTATATAAATTTTATATTCATTTTTCCTATGACTTACGTAGTGGCGCTAGCACTTATAATTATATAGTATGTTTTCGTTTTCCAGCCGTACAGAGTAGTTCCTGTTATTGTCGGAATGCAGGCTATTATTTAACAAACTCTATCGAAATTGTTTCAATATGTAGCATCATTTCTCTGAATGTTACGTATAAGATACTTTCAATGATACTTCTATTCATGATCATGGAAATTTACTTTGGTGAAAAGCAGAGAGTAGAAATAGTCGACATTCAGGCGATGACATTTCGGCACATTTATGGCCGATTGAATCAGCCCAGGAACGACGGTCCTAGATTTCTCCGCCTGATGATCCAGATTCCAGGTGGAAAACACGAGCCGGCTTTCCTTATTGTCAAACGGATTAATCAGATGCGTTTGGGGACAGAAATCCGCGTCAAACGGTCCCTCACAATTAAACCATCCCTCTGCATCGCACAAACGCAATTCTTCGGACACTGTCCGCCCAAAATATCCCCCATAATAGTCATTCTTCACCAACTTCCGGGAAAATTCATCGAAAATTGCGGAAAAATATTTCTCATAATTCAGCTTGGTAACAGCGCCCTGAACGCACTTTTTCGCTGTATAGAAATAACTGCGCACACGACTCCTCGCCCCGTTTTTCATCACGCATTCCTTGGATTTGGCGGTCGGCGGGAGATCTTCGAACCAGTCGGGATCATCTGCGCGGTTGTCCGCCTGGCGCTTATTGCTAAGACCGGATAAGAATGTGGCGATCGTGGATAATTTCGCATTATCCGTGGTCAAATGAAGGACTTGTTCAATACGCTCCTTGGCTTGGTGTAATGGATGGATTTTCTTTGCTTCTTCGAAGGCGTTCAAAAGATAACTCCAGTAGCCCATCCAGCATTCGCCAGGGCGCAGTACAATGATTACGGAATTCGGTGCCAGACGGGATAAAAATGTGTCGTCGGAAATGTCAGTTCCATCTGATTCCAAACACAGACGAATGTGAATTTTCTTTGGGATGGCGAGTTTTTCGCGCCCCTTGTTTAGCAAATCGTTGTAGCTGGAAACAACGACTCCGCAACGTTTTGTGCGGCTTAAGTCTTGAACTTTCACTGGGAGAGGCTTCATGATAATCAAAAATCAATGTAAAGCGGTATAAGATGCCAAAAAACAGGCTAGTAACGAAGTATTTTAACGTGGCACTTGAATGGGGAAATTGATACTTATTGACTGAAGGTGTTGGCTGAAGGTATTTTGCCCAGCAGCACGTTTGTTGCTGAAGTTAGCCAATGGTCTAATACCAAAGCAGTCAAGCACTAATTGCAAACCATGGGCGGTTGCCGCAGGCAAATATTTTTGGTGAATGGAGATGTCCCATTAGCGAGAAAATAAGGAACATTTATGATTCGTCTAGCAAAAAATAGTTTATGAGTTTTACAACTGATAAAAATTAGCTTAGCGATAAAGCATAGATCTTTTATCTAACAAAAATTGCTGATGAGTTTTACAACTGATTTTCTGGTTCTATGCATTACAATTTGCACCAGTCAATCAGTCTACTCGTTAGATAAAGATTCAAATTCTTTAGGGAAAATTTCGGCGACATATGCTTTAAAACAATTCCATGAAATGCAAAAACCAACACTTCCTGGAATGTACAGAATACAGATACTTTCGAACCTAGTCCCGAAATCGTCAATTCAGTTTGCAACAGGGAACAAACTCGTGTTACAGGAAAGTATAAAAACAATAAAAAAATTACACAATAACAGTCAAGTAAATTTCATTTTTTCACGATAGAAGACAATATTCTGGTAAGCGGAAACGGCTCTCCCGACGATGAAAAGACTCCCTTAAAGTCATCTTGATTCAAGGAGAACACCATAGCACCGCCAAATTGATGCTTTCGTATCCACTGCGCTTTCAACTGGATGCTTTCCTCGTCTTCATACGAAATCCACTGCCTTCCTCGGTACATGTAAGGAACACAAGCGTTCTGGTCAAAAATCCTTGTCCCTCCGTTAGTTAGGATGTCCACGGCTTTCGGATAAGTCAGAAATCCGTTATCCACACCCGGACCGGTGCAGACCGCGTTGTAGCTGTGCCAGCAGGGGAAAAGCAGCTTCCAGCTGTAAACACAAATTTATAGTACGCATACTTACAAAACAATTTGGCTTAAATCAACGAAATACCGAAGTAAAGGAGTTTTAGTAGCTCTATTTAGTTAATTTCCGTGCAGCCTCTGAATAATATAAATATTTTGTGTATGTTACTATGTATATGATTATCTTATATAACCAGGATGAGTGCAGCGTGCTGCAGTTCTACTAAAAGCACGTATAGTCGGCGTAAACAATTAAACAAATGATTTGTTTTGGTTATCCATTAAGATGACTGCACCGGCTACCTGCGAGCGTAGGTAGGAACACCAACAGCTAATTTTTCCCTGGCAAGTCCCTTCTCCACCCAGTACTCTGCTGCCCATGCCGTGTTCATTGTGGAAAAAAAGCCCGCTTGTTCCGGGCGTTTGTAAAGCGGAGCATTGTGGCTGGCCCAGATATTGTAGTAGGTGAACAAGTTGAAATCATAGCACATCAGATTCACGAAATCAACACAAGAAGAAATAGCCGGAATGTCGTAGGCAGGATCAATAATTAACTTTGGGGACGCAGCTAAAAATAGGCATTTTTGTCAATCGTTCAAAATTTCAAATGCATAAAAGTGCAGGTAATCTGTATAATGTTCTGGCTTACTCGCAGCAATAATATAGCCCTAAATTTATTGCTAAGATGTTGCCGCTTTTTCGAACCGATTACCGTAGATTATTTGCATGCAGAGTGTCGACGCGAGATGACAAGTGACGTTAAAACATTCTTCATACCTGCAATTGTCAGCAATAAAGGAGATTTATGCGCATCAAACGCCACTCGAATATCCCGCAGCCACTCGATAAAACTCTGTCGATCATACGATCGACTTCTCCAGACAGGGAATTCCCAGTCAATATCCAGACCATCAAATCCAAATCGGTCGAGAACGTCTAGCGCGGAGCGGATAAACATAGCCCGCAAGACTGGATTGTGCGCGGCATTGGAAAATTCCGGTCCACCTCCGCCACACGTCAACATCACTTTGAGATGCGGGAACTTCTGTCGCAGCAGCACGCAGCGCCTGAAACCGTCATCGTAGTCTGAAGAAAATGTCAGGTGTCCCGTAGAATCTATCGTCGACCATCCGACAATCAGGTGCGTGAGAAGACTCCCGTCGATGTCTTCGGGCTGCAAAGGATCACTGGCGGAGTATGAGTAATAAGCGCTAAGGATTTTGTCCTTTTCCATGTTTAGATTGCCGTTACACTCGTCGTCTTTTCCTGACAAATTAACCTATTTGTACTCAAAACAGCTTTCTCTCCTAAATGTGCAGATAAAGAAAGGCTACTAAAACTGCCGAAGTTAATAAACAAACGGCAAGGCAACAGACGGATAAAATTCTAAAAAAGTTACAAGTTGTTGTAATAAAATGTAAAGCGAAAAAATTAAAAAACCAAAATACTGAAATAAAACTGCTAACACGAGTAGACGTCAGACACCCGGGAAGCAGTCACAAAGGCGTTATGCATAGGAGACAAGAGACACAAAGTGCATTCGGTGCAAAGCGTTTGTGGTACACACTCACATCTTGAACGAAAAACGATTCAATATTCAATTTGCGATGATTTTAAACTTTTCTGCAGAACTTCTTGAATATTAAAAAGTTAGAGCTCTAAGAATTTTAACCATGTTTATGCTCGAAAGCAGCCATTAACATACAGCTTTGCCGTAAGCACGAGTTACAAACTGATTTGTTGTGGTTTTTGGTGCCCCTGGAGGGAGGGGTACGTTCAGCGTCAATATTCTTGATGGCGATGAACCACAGACAATCTGAGCTTTCAGCTACAGAACCTTTTTTCCAGAGTGAACTGTCATTTAAATGAAAAGTCTTGATTTATTGGATAAATTCACAAGAAGAACTGTTCATCTGAAACCAAATGAGCAATATTTCGTAGTCGTGCATTTTGCCCGGTTAGAGTGTGTATTGAATGCGTGTTTTTCCGTACACACTCTGTGGTTCAAGATGTGCGAGCGAATACAGTAACACTAGCGAGCCCAGGGGGTACTGTTGGCCGAGAGGTAAAACCGTAAATGCAATACTTGCATGAGATTTATGACTGCGACTTTTCCCAGTCCTTCCTTTATCTCGTATGATATTGTGCCGCTTTTTATCTATAATTTTTAAGCAAAAATTTCTAACAAAGCTGATACAAATTTGGTCCGCAATTCTAATTTCCCCGACTATAAGCCTTCGCCTCTAACTTCCTGTCCGGAAATGAGTCACATCATTTGAAATGCCGACTGACTGTCTGCCAGATAGTGAGACAGTTCGCACTTGGTCTGCAGTTGGAAATCAAGTTTACAGCGCGCCACTTTAAAATTCCCACGAACACTCTTTAGCCTTTCTGGTTCGAACCTCGAACACACTTTTATGCCTTCTACTGCGTAGAGCTTCTCCAACGGTTTTTGTTGCTATCGCTATCGGAGTATGCTTATTCTGGCGTCAGCATGCTGCATGCAGTACCGGAGATAAGCGGCCCATCGGAGTGTAACCGCTGTATCGTATTCTAATCTACTCAGTTGTGTTTGCACTGCCCCAGTCTTCGGCATTGTCTTCCACATTTTCACATTTTCAATTTGACACTCCCGATATTCTTTCAATATGAGTAATAACTGAGTGTGAAGAATCACTGACTAACGGTTTTTCGCGTCAATATAAACCGGGATACTTGTTTGTTAAACTCTGTACACGTTTGGGACGACTATTGTCACTAGACTCACTACTCACTTGTGGAGTCATCACCGCGTTGAGCTGACATATTCCGATGTTGGTGTCTTCCCGCGGAAATCGTGCTCTGGATTGGATCGATTCTGATAATACGTATACTATTAATGCGCAACAGATTGGCAGAAAATGCTTATCAAAGAGTAGTAAGTATCCATTGCCTGTTTGCTGTTATTCGTTTGCAATTGTTATGATTTTTATTGTAGTTTTAAGTTAATCAAATTTTGTCAATTGCCATTGACACAACGGAGCGGTGTTGGAACGAATTTTCATTTCACCGTATAACGAAGCAGTATAACGCAGTACTATATACTATATCTATCCCATTTCCGTTATACTCTGCTGCTAAGATTTATCGGTTTGTGGCGTGCAATAAATTTTGGCATAGGTAACAATCATTACGAATTTATGACTGCCACATTTTGATGCGCTTCTTTTGCGTTGCAGTCGAATAATTCTGCCTATGTCAGTGGAGGAGGTACGGTTGTTGTCTTGTTCGCAGTAATAAAAAAATAATGAATGTTAATTGTTTGCGTATAACGTATCCCGCAGTTCTGTACGTCATGCGAAAACGTATTTTACTAGAACCATAAATTTGCATATGGAAGAGTACGGCAAATATTATATTAGGCAAGTCACGCGCAACGACTGTGACACTTTTACGTAACTTTTCCATTTCTTGGTAATTTTCGTATCGTATTGGTTTTGTTTTCATCCCCAAGTGCAGTCTGCGGTTGATATTTGACTGCTTTGTTCAGTAATGAATTTAGTTATTAATTTGACAGTATTTTGTTTTGTATCTTGCATTTTTTTCTCGATTTCTTCTGCATATATCGTTGAATAAATGCCTTTTTGTTATATCTGTATGTAGTTATCGTCTCGTTTGCGTTGTAGCTACAAAGTTTTGTAACTGAAGCATATAGCAAGGTGCATGAAACGGCATAGGAAGCATGATTAGAGTAAGTACTAAAAGGATCCTGTTAATTTCAGTACCAAATCGCCCAGCTGTACTCCGTTGATCAGGCATCGAAAAGGGAAACCGGTGGAGGCGAAGGAGTGGAAATTGTCACCAATGAAAAGTACGACGGTGTTAATCTGCTGGAAGGCCAACCGACTTCCGGCCAGTTCACTCACAAAGTCTATCACATGAAAAGGTTCGTTCCCGTCAGATCGTCATGCCATGAATACCAAGCAGCTCATTTTCCTCTGTGCGTTTTTTTGTGCAGTAAAGTTCCTGCATGGCTCAGATTCATTGCTCCGAAAGGATCTCTTGAATTTCATGAAAAAGCATGGTATGTACTTTTACGATATGAACCTTTGTACTCACGTTGTACTTGTATACGAGTGGGATATTGTTATGCCAATTCCCAATGGTACCCGCATACCGCAGATATTTTTTTACTATACCTGACGTTGGTTAGCATACGTAACAGGTTGTATAGGAAACCGATCAATCAATGGTGCAGTACAATTCGTAAATGTTGCGGTACCGGCACGAACAATTTTTTTAATTTTCAGGAATGCTTATCCTTATTGTCGCACGAAGTATTCGGTATGTGAACGAATCTTTGTGCTCCGCTTTGTTTAACAGACTAATTATGTACACTTCTTCCGTTTTTCAGAATCCCCAGTATATGAAAGATAAATTTTGGCTTACGATTGAATCTCTGCATTTAGCCGATCGCGGAACGTCAGAAAATGTAAGATCTGCAATTCAGTCAGTCGCATTTCGGTTTTGTATGTAAAGTACAGAGTATACTTCTGCGAGTTTTGATTGTGTAGCCTTGTTAACAGACTCTGGTAATAAATTAGTGAATTAATTCTATAAAAATTTGTAGTTAAGTTCTTAAATATGACATGTACGGACATTTTATCATACTTTTTATGCGATACTAGCTTTTTTATACATTACGGTACATTACAAAAATGATTGCAACTGATGTATTGGTACAGACACATCACACCATCAGATTAAGTTCTACGCAGCACGATTAGAATACGTAGGCGTTTTTCCGCTTGTGTAGAAATTAATTATTCATTGGTATGCTAATTTTTGTGTCTCTTCGTGATAGGTCCACAATCTTCCACCCGAAAAGCTAGCAAAACGGGAAGTGGTCTACATTGACATCGCTAATGACTATGTTGATCCCAAGGTGCTGACGGCATTGACAATTTCCATTTTATTACTACAGTGCGAGAAAAAACACATTTCTTCCACAATGCACTAATGTTGACTTTTTATCAGGAATATAAAGCAGAATGGGATCCCAGTAAATTTCGATGCGAGAAAGCTCAGAGAGGGCCGCTTACCGGGAACTGGAAGGTTAGAAAGTTGCAGAGTAACGGTACCGTATGTCTTCATTCAAGCATATTACTTGTGACGTGTTTGCGATTTGAATTACTGGGGCATTAATAACGCAAGTAAGTATTTTTTACACGAGCAGACACACCTTTCGCATGGAGATAAATTTCACTTATCTGTAATTTAATTTTACAGGATGATCTTCTGTTGTCACTCATTTTTAATGTGATTTCGTAGGATACGGCTGACCCGGTAATGTGCTGTTATAAACTGGTTACGATTGAGTTCAAATGGTTCGGAATACAATCCAAAGTGGAGAGCTGGTCACACAAGGTAACCTCTGAGTAAGATGCCTCAAGGTTTTTATTTTATTCATAGTAATTTGTATAATAGTACGGATCAATGAAATAGTAACAATTTTGAGCCTTTTCTGATTTGAATGGAGCTTTTAGTTGTGATGTCGCTAGCCGGCGATTTTCATGGCGTTATGGGTATAATTCCTACAGTGTCAGTCAGTAATGCAGGTTTATGGCAGTCGAGGTTGTACTTACGTCATCGCCTAATTCGCTCGCGTGCAGTTTCATCTGTTTATTTAATTTATTGCTGTAGGTTATGTTTGTAATGAACGGCTCAGTTTTTTTTATTTTCGTCTGCAAGGAAATTTAGTGACTTATGTAATGGAACCGTATCGCAACTAAAGAAATGTTTATCCAGGCGGAGCGTAAGCTGTTTTTGAATTTTCATCGACAAGTGTTTTGCTGGATGGATGAATGGTATGGGCTGACAATGGATGATATTCGGGAAATCGAAGAAAAAACGAAAGAAATGCTGGATGAACAGCGACGAAAGGGTGAACTTCGTTCACTGTACGTGCCTGCCGATGAATGAAAGAAAATGGTTATGCCTTCGAATTGTGCCTGTGTGGATACAACACCGGTGGCCTTTAGTGTTAGGATTTTCTACAGTTTAATCGTGCGTTACTTGATTTCTAAATAGTGATCAGAATGGAATGGGGAACTTACACATTCCGATCAGCCTGTGTATCTGGTAGCTTTTCGTACTTACTAGTCTCATGAAGCAGCGACTATTAGAAAATGAAGGAGTTTTTACTTTATAGTGCTTGACTTTTTAATTGTAACTAAACGCTAGTGCATTTATGTTGCTGTTGTGAACAAAAGCCACAACGTTGGATCGAAATTAAAGTGTCAACGAATTCCGTAAACAACGGAGTACACGAAGCAGCAATTAAGAACTTTAACCATTACAAGCACATGCTTAAACATTTCTTTTTGTGGAAAACGCACTGATAACTAGAGTAGATATCAAAGAGATGCACCGTTTCCAGCTTCTCGAAAATTATGCCGGAACACTATCCAAACAATTTCTTCATTCGCTCCTTGTCTTCCACATCACGGATCTTCTGCACGTTGTCCAATTCTCTCAAGTCCTTATCTATGGCGTTTTTCAATGCCGGGTCCAGTTGCGCTGCCTTGGCAAAATCCTCGCGAGCTTCTTTTGGATTCCACGCCATGGCATGGGCCTTCGCTCTCCTGTACCAGGCTTTCACATTCACCGGATCCTTCTCAATCACCGTCGTAGTGTGCTGGATGGCTTCATTGTAATGGCCCAAAATCAACTGACACTGCGTGTAGTTTAGGAGTAAGGGGATCATCATCTTATCGAGTTTCATCCATTCTTCTGACTGAGGCTTCTCGTGTCCGGTCAATTCTTCCAAGAGTCCTAATGCTTTTGAGTAGCGATCTGCTGCCTCCACATACTTCTGCCTTTTATATAGGTGATTACCTATTAAGATTAAAAACCCTCTAATAAAGGAAATGTATAAAAACTTTTTAAATCAAAACGTTTTATTTTGTTCAATGTACATGTTCATTCACAGTCCATGCGCCTTTTGTACAATGTTATAGTTGTAATTACTAATATACAAGCCCGATCGCTAATCGCCTGGCCTCTATAACAGAGAAATTCAAAAACATGGGCTGTGCGAGTACTGTACGTAAAATATATAATAAGTTTTTCAATGTACTGCAATACATAATGCCTAATTGCCCATTCGATAAAACATCCATTCGAATGAAATTCTACTACTGTTGACCTGCCAGTATGAACCTAATAACTTGCACAAACAGGAAAAAATTAGCGCATGATCGCAGCAGTCGACAGAAACTGCATCGTCACGAGATTAAATAACACTATATCGTCGCGAAAATCTAAAAAAGCACTTTTTTAGACCCGCTTCGCGAAGCGGCGCCAGAGGTGTCATTAAGGATGGTGCAAAGACGCCTCCCAATGTTCGCGCTGGATGGATCTAAAAAGGGCTTCTTAAATTCGCGACGATCAGCCCGTGCTTGTACCTACTCGGCTCCCAACACTTCGATTCAAGTGTTGTACGCAAGGGAGGCTTCGGCAAAACAACAGCCAATGGCCCAATAGGTACATACTATGTACTTATGATAACTTATCAAAATATAATTAGTGCGCGCCCACACAAAATCCTTTACCTTCTTCGTGCAATTTTGGGACGTTTTCCATTTTCTCACCGACATCCATCGCCCAAGGATCCTTTTCGTATGAGCCAGGGGATTGTGCGTCGACAATCTGGAATTCGAAATCGAGATCCTCCGGCTTCTTGATCAGCGCATCCAGATCGGGATAGCCCAGTCCCTGCTCCATCAGCGTCTGCATTCCGCAGCAGCGATGCTGGCCCCCATCCCCGTGATCATGACCGCAGCTGTTGGGGGCCTTGCCTTTGGCAATGTCCCGCAACGATTTGGCCACCAAGGGATACGAGCTGAGGAGATCGCGGTCCACGGAGAAACGGGCGATTTCATGTAGTCTCATGGTTTTCAGACATTCTTCCCATACTTCCAGCTTAAACTGTTTGCCAAAAAGCATCTCCAGGGGATCAGACTGAGCATTGTTATCGTCAAGAATCGTTCCATCGGGTTTTATGGTTTTGTAGAAGAATTTTATCTTGGTGTCGTTGGTCACGGGGATGGCGTCAGTTCCTTCTTTGAGGATATGCTTGCGAATCTTATCTGGCAGCATTATGTTCCGCGTAGCTCGGTCGATATCCTCCAACTAGGAAAAACGAGCCTGGAGAAGCGTCAGCCAAGTTGAAGAAAGAAAGGTTAGGGTTAAAAAAAAAACTGTTTCCGGAAAAACGATGACACACAGTTCTGAATGTAAACTGAAAAAAGTAGAAGTTCGAAAAAGTCACTTGTCACTGCGCTCTTTTGACTTGCTCTGATTACTGTGATCCGCAACCTCAAGCGTGCGGTTACGTGGTACAAAATTGAGCAATCGTAAACCTTGTAATTTCTTTGGGGTTTGGGAGTATTAATACTCAATAACTCGACTACTTCTACAGTACTAGTAGAAGTATAGATATTTACATGCACAGTTATTATTGATAATACTAGTACTGTTAGTAACAATAAATATATAAAATGACAACAAAAAATTCTGCAACAGGAACATCTCTTCTATTTTATCCTGGTCAAGTGGCTTTCCCATTACGCAGATGGTATTTCCTCGTTGAATCTGTATGGATAACCGTTGCCGGAAAAACTCCTTTGATCGTTTTTGTCCAGTTTCAGCAATCAGGTTTGTCCCGATTTTGTCAACCAGCGCCTTCGTGCCGTCTCCCCACGGGCCGTAAATTTCAAACGCAGCGGCGACAAAGTTGTAGCGCGGCAACAACCAAGCGTGCTTGGTCAGTTTTCTCCTTTCGGCCATTTCTCCGGCGGCTCCGGCGTTCACTTACGTGCGATTATAATAATTATGTAAACAGATATATCTACTCGTATATAATATATATCCTTATTTAATACTCGTGTTGTCTACTTATTTCTTGGTTTTACACGGTACGTAGTACAATATGTGCCCAACCTTATCACCAGCTTTGGTTGACCAGTGTAATACTGTAGTTATTCGTGCATCTTTGTGCATCAAAGTAACTTGCTGTCTTCGGAGAAAAAATGACCACTGCCCATATCAAGGTAAAGATCTATATTACAACGGAAAACCCCGTACGATCTGGTCAGAACAAACCAAAAAATTAATCGAAAAACTGCTAACGCCATTCGATTCAGCATGTCTGGAAACTGTGTCACGTGCATTTTGTTTTGGTAATATCTGCTCCGGCTCCCGTGCACAGACGCCGGTGCCGGTAGAGAAGAAAGCTCAAGGTGACCTTGAAAACAATTTCAAAGTCCTGTTGCATGGAGCACAAAATCAGTAAATTTAAAATGGTACCCTTTTTAGATCAACAAATCAAAAAGGTTTGAACTTTTACTCCTAGCACAAACAGCAGCAGCAGCAGCAGTGGCACAAACGATACTGCTGGTGGATGGCTTCGTTTACAGTTTAAATCGTTAGCAATTTAAAGCGCTTAAAAACAGAAGTTAAGAATAAAGACTATCGTTGAAACTTGAAAGCCTTTTGAAGGCAGCTGTAAAAGAAACTGACCAGAGTAATCGTTCAAACGGGCTGACCTTTCACTGCAGTCCGAGCAAAACTAAAGACAGTGATTGATAAATGATAATCAGCATCTACAGTCCGTAAATTATTCCGTATAATACGGAATAATAGTACGGTACCTACTGTACATTCGAGATCTTTATTACCACAAAAAAATAAAAAGGGATTCACGAACCCAGCTTTCCCGTATGGAATCAGCAGAAACCATTTCCATAATCTGAATGCCCATATGTATTCCAAAACCCGGCCAGACGGTTTTAGTTTCACAGAGCCAAGCTGTGACCGAACTACCGCTACTATCCAGAGCACACAACCCGCTAGGTGAACGAGTGACCGAACTACCACTACTATCCAGACCACACAGCCCCAGACCAAGAGGTGACCAGAACTACCGCTGCTGTCCAGAGCACACAACCGCTAGGTGAACGGTGACCGAGACTGCTGTCCAGACCACACAGCCCGCTAGGTAAACAAGTGACCGAACTTCCACTACTATCCAGACCACACAGCCCGCTAGGTAAACGAGTGACCGAACTACCGCTGCTGTCCAGAGCACACAACCCGCTAGGTGAACGAGTGACCGAACTACCGCTGCTGTCCAGACCACACAGCCCGCTAGGTAAACAAGTGACCGAACTACCACTACTATCCAGAACGCACAGCCCGCTAGGTAAACGAGTGACCGAACTACCACTACTATCCAGAACGCACAGACCGCTAGGTAAACGAGTGACCGAACTACCGTTGCTGTCCAGAGCACACAGCCCGCTAGGTGAACGAGTGACCGAACTACCGCTGCTGTCCAGACCACACAGCCCGCTAGGTAAACAAGTGACCGAACTACCACTACTATCCAGAACGCACAGACCGCTAGGTAAACGAGTGACCGAACTACCGTTGCTGTCCAGAGCACACAACCCGCTAGGTGAACGAGTGGCCGAACTACCGCTGCTGTCCAGACCACACAGCCCGCTAGGTGAACAAGTGACCGAACTACCACTACTATCCAGAACACACAGACCGCTAGGTAAACGAGTGACCGAACTACCGTTGCTGTCCAGAGCACACAACCCGCTAGGTGAACGAGTGACCGAACTACCGCTGCTGTCCAGACCACACAGCCCGCTAGGTGAACAAGTGACCGAACTACCACTACTATCCAGACCACACAGCCCGCTAGGTAAACGAGTGACCGAACTACCGCTGCTGTCCAGACCACACAACCCGCTAGGCGAACGAGTGACCGAACTACCGCTGCTGTCCAGACCACACAACCCGCTAGGTGAACGAGTGACCGAACTACCACTACTATCCAGAACACACAGACCGCTAGGTAAACGAGTGACCGAACTACCGTTGCTGTCCAGAGCACACAACCCGCTAGGTGAACGAGTGACCGAACTACCGCTGCTGTCCAAACCACACAGCCCGCTAGGTGAACAAGTGACCGAACTACCACTACTATCCAGAACGCACAGACCGCTAGGTAAACGAGTGACCGAACTACCGTTGCTGTCCAGAGCACACAACCCGCTAGGTGAACGAGTGACCGAACTACCGCTGCTGTCCAGAACGCACAGACCGCTAGGTAAACGAGTGACCGAACTACCGTTGCTGTCCAGAGCACACAGCCCGCTAGGTGAACAAGTGACCGAACTACCACTACTATCCAGACCACACAGCCCGCTAGGTAAACGAGTGACCGAACTACCGCTGCTGTCCAGACCACACAACCCGCTAGGTGAACGAGTGACCGAACTACCGCTGCTGTCCAGACCACACAGCCCGCTAGGTAAACAAGTGACCGAACTACCACTACTATCCAGACCACACAGCCCGCTAGGTAAACGAGTGACCGAACTACCGCTGCTGTCCAGAGCACACAACCCGCTAGGTGAACGAGTGACCGAACTACCGCTGCTGTCCAGACCACACAGCCCGCTAGGTAAACAAGTGACCGAACTACCACTACTATCCAGAACACACAGACCGCTAGGTAAACGAGTGACCGAACTACCGTTGCTGTCCAGAGCACACAACCCGCTAGGTGAACGAGTGACCGAACTACCGCTGCTGTCCAGACCACACAGCCCGCTAGGTGAACAAGTGACCGAACTACCACTACTATCCAGAACACACAGACCGCTAGGTAAACGAGTGACCGAACTACCGTTGCTGTCCAGAGCACACAACCCGCTAGGTGAACGAGTGACCGAACTACCGCTGCTGTCCAGACCACACAGCCCGCTAGGTAAACAAGTGACCGAACTACCACTACTATCCAGAACGCACAGACCGCTAGGTAAACGAGTGACCGAACTACCGTTGCTGTCCAGAGCACACAACCCGCTAGGTGAACGAGTGACCGAACTACCGCTGCTGTCCAGACCACACAGCCCGCTAGGTAAACAAGTGACCGAACTACCACTACTATCCAGAACGCACAGACCGCTAGGTAAACGAGTGACCGAACTACCGTTGCTGTCCAGAGCACACAACCCGCTAGGTGAACGAGTGACCGAACTACCGCTGCTGTCCAGACCACACAACCCGCTAGGTAAACAAGTGACCGAACTACCACTACTATCCAGAACGCACAGACCGCTAGGTAAACGAGTGACCGAACTACCGTTGCTGTCCAGAGCACACAACCCGCTAGGTGAACGAGTGACCGAACTACCGCTGCTGTCCAGACCACACAGCCCGCTAGGTGAACAAGTGACCGAACTACCACTACTATCCAGACCACACAGCCCGCTAGGTAAACGAGTGACAGAACTACCGCTGCTGTCCAGACCACACAACCCGCTAGGTGAACGAGTGACCGAACTACCGCTGCTGTCCAGACCACACAGCCCGCTAGGTAAACAAGTGACCGAACTACCACTACTATCCAGAACGCACAGACCGCTAGGTAAACGAGTGACCGAACTACCGTTGCTGTCCAGAGCACACAACCCGCTAGGTGAACGAGTGACCGAACTACCGCTGCTGTCCAGACCACACAGCCCGCTAGGTAAACAAGTGACCGAACTACCACTACTATCCAGAACGCACAAACCGCTAGGTAAACGAGTGACCGAACTACCGTTGCTGTCCAGAGCACACAACCCGCTAGGTGAACGAGTGACCGAACTACCGCTGCTGTCCAGACCACACAGCCCGCTAGGTGAACAAGTGACCGAACTACCACTACTATCCAGAACGCACAGACCGCTAGGTAAACGAGTGACCGAACTACCGTTGCTGTCCAGAGCACACAACCCGCTAGGTGAACGAGTGACCGAACTACCGCTGCTGTCCAGACCACACAGCCCGCTAGGTAAACAAGTGACCGAACTACCACTACTATCCAGAACGCACAAACCGCTAGGTAAACGAGTGACCGAACTACCACTACTATCCAGAACGCACAGACCGCTAGGTAAACGAGTGACCGAACTACCGTTGCTGTCCAGAGCACACAACCCGCTAGGTGAACGAGTGACCGAACTACCGCTGCTGTCCAGACCACACAGCCCGCTAGGTAAACAAGTGACCGAACTACCACTACTATCCAGAACGCACAAACCGCTAGGTAAACGAGTGACCGAACTACCGTTGCTGTCCAGAGCACACAACCCGCTAGGTGAACGAGTGACCGAACTACCGCTGCTGTCCAGACCACACAGCCCGCTAGGTGAACAAGTGACCGAACTACCACTACTATCCAGAACGCACAGACCGCTAGGTAAACGAGTGACCGAACTAC